CGTGTGTGTGTAAAGAAGAAAGGCATTGGAGCTGCGGAGTCGTGGGGATGCTATGTGGGGGTTAAGGGGGTTAGGGGTTAGGGGGTACGTACACCCCGTAGAACTTATTAGAAGTTGTAAGGAACGATGCGGATAAATCGCGGAATCATGTAGTGTACAGGAGGAAACTACGGAGCTAAGTGCGGAATGAGAGAAAAGGAAGTGCCCAGGTGCTACCTACCTAGGTAGGTACCTAGGCATATTTAATAGTGAAAGGCAACTACCAGCCACAATCGGAGTTCCGACGGATGGCACAACCCACGACGGCCCCGATATCTTAAACCGTACATGTACTCATATACTCACTCATGAAGAAACCAATTAAAGCACATAAATGTTCTGTACGACAAAGTCAATCTCGCAGCTCTTTAGATTTCTTTTCCGTTTTTAAATAACATATCCCCGCTCAATCGCCATCGAATAAGCAAGGTTAAGTTCAATAGCACTTTTGTATATGAGCTTACATACATATATCCGCCCCATGTATGCGCCTGATGTCGTACAAGGCGGATCTATTCTTCACTGCAGTTCCCTAGGATCATCCATGTTGCCTTAATCTTTGAAACATAAGTCGCAATCTCGAAAGCCATACAGAAAGAGAGGACGGCTTCTCGTCGAAACGTTGGGACAGGACTAATAATGTTTCTCGTGGAACTCAAGATTATTAACTTCACAATATTGACATCGAGTCTAGAAGTAGGCACATAAATATCAGGCTAGAATGCAGTCGATATACATGTGATTGCTTCTTGGTGGCTTACCGCGCTCCAACGGGATAACCTCGAAAAAGACGTTGGCAGGGTTGAGGATGTGACAAGTGAGGAGATCAACGTGACGGAAACCCGGGAACCGGGTCTGCGCCATGGATCCGGATTCATTGACCTGCAGCTGTTCCGCTGTCGTTGTCTCTCCTTTTGTGCTCCCTCGATGCAATTGGACAAACGTCGCGCACACCACGTTAGGAAGCACAAGGCGCTTGGCCGGCGCACGGGATGGTTCAAGTCGACCACCCCAGCTTCTCGGGATTACGAAAGTACGGCCCTTGCTTAAATGGGGAAAGAGATCTGCAATACTTGGCAAACCACAAACTCCAGATCGTACCTACCTAGGTAATTTGTTGCTTGGGACCAACCGGATCGAAAAATCTCAAGCGCCCTAAACATCCGCGAAAAAGCCCACACACACCACACCAGAAAAAAAAAAAAAAAGGCGTGGGACCACTGCAGCAAGTAGTAGCTGTAATCTGATGAGATGCCAGGGAACTAGTTCACCGTGCCGAATGTGCGTGCGGTGAAAGTCCGCAGGAACCGACCTGTTGGTATTCAATGTGTTCCAACCCTCAAGTTTGTAAATTGAGCAGTGGCAATGGTGGCTTCTAATGTTGGATGCTACCTACCAATTGCATTGCTGTAACGTTTTCTCCAGACAAACAACAAATTTGTATCGTATGTTCATGCGCACTAATTGTCCGTATGGGTTGGATATAGAAGATATGCCTGACTATAATACCCGATCGCTAGGCCTGAAAAGCTCGTGATGCGGTAACATAGAGTTCGATAATTTCTGGTAACAATCATGAAAAGGCAAACTTCGTCGAACTCCACATTCATAAACTTGGTGTGGATATTATTCAGGTAGTAGAGAGGCTGGAGCAATGTTTTCGACGCTCTGTAAACTGTTTTCATTTTCGTGGTCGAGATGATCAAGATCTCCTCGTGACTAATTGGCATGACTCGAGCCTGAGCAAATATCATATTAGCGAAAAGCCGACACGATCTAGTACTACCCCTTATTTAGAAACAAAAATCTTCTATCATCTAAAACCTGTATAGTATTGTTCCCTCGATGTAGATTTGTTGGGGGCGGGGATGCTAGCGATTCAGTGCGAGGAGTTTGACAGTTGGTGAGGGGTGTATGGGGATCCAATCGCAATAGGCAATGGCTTGGAGGCATATCACGGCTCGGCACCGATCTGTCTTGCAGCTTTGGCTGGTGCGGATCGCCCACTGAGAACGGGGATTGGGGGGGGGCTTTTGCCAAAAGCATGCTAAATCCAACGAGGTTTGACAGCCGGCTAGAATGACCGCTCTAGAGGGGATCGCCGCGTACCCATCGGGGCGGGTGCCACTAGGGACACCCATCCCGTAGCATATAGTGCGCGCTATGCATTCCCGAATTGTTGTCGTCGCCGTCCTCTAACGGCAGTCTACCTTAGTTCGGGTAGAGAAAGTGGAAGACGCTATTTTGTGTTTCCATTTCCGCCATCATGTATGACTCGAGATCCCCCTGGTGATCATACCAGTTACCAAGACAGCGGAACGCATCTAGCATCTAAGTTACTCCTAGCCTCATGCAAGTCATGCTTGTCAATGCTAGGAGACACCCGGGCTGAGCTGTTTGTGTTTTTAATACCAAGGAATAGAGCGGCCATAATGTAGGGCGGTCTCAAATACTACGGCATTGCTTTGATCAGCGCTCGGTGTTTATTCTGAAGGCAAACCGCCACATGTCATTAGGGCTTTTCGCTTATGATTCTCCCTGAACTCTGCTGGACGTTTCCGATCCGCCGTGTGCATAGCCTGATTGGCTCCAAATCGGATCGTCATAAGATGTTTAAAGACTCGTCTTAGGCGGCTAGGTATCTATACTTGTAAATTTCAAACCCTGGCCAGTGCTAATTTCTACAACTTGTTTCGAGAATATAGCCTGAGGTCAGCCGTAGGTGGATTTTTATTTTTATTTTTTATACAGGATAAAAATTTGCACTGGCAAGGAACCGTAACGCTGGAGGGCCCACAGCATACGTGCTAGGTACCTAGGTAGGCTTGAAGCTACATTGCTACAGAACGTGCCCCTAAGCACGAGCGCCCAAGAATAAGACCTAGGCATGGGCTTTCAAACCACATCCGACAACATCCAAACTTAGCACCCACGGACTTTTTCTACACTTAAAAACTCCCGAACTAAACTAATAAGGCAAATAGCGGTATACAAATGCCGTATTTCATAGAATATATATACCTAGGTATCTATTGTCCCTGTCTTAACTTGACTTAATATCTGTGTGTACCTAAGCTCAAGGATGGGGGGGAAGGGGTCCTTGGCAAATTTCCCTCGGCTTTTAGATGGATTTTGCCTAACCAAAGCTCAGGGACAATACAAATTAGACCTGTCAGCAGCCCGTCCAATGGGTATTTACAGCGACATCTGACATGATTCAACACCCCTGGAATTTATCATATCACGACTCACTGACCCCCAACGCCATCGGGGGTATATTGATAAATACTGAAGAAATCATGCTGTCCTTAATTAGCTAGTGAAGAACCGTCCCCGTCTTAGCTTCGATTTGTATAGCAGTGAGGATCTGGATAAACCTTTATTGGGTAAAGGGGGCGATCAAAAAAAAGGGCAAGCATCACACACATGACGACATCCATTTTTGTTTCTTGCTCTACCGTGTGCTCAACGTCTTCTTAGTTCCAACTCATTCAACGTGAGTTATGGTCTGATTTTTGGATCCCAACACACAAGGCTCACCTATGAGGCTTATAGGAAGTAGACACCATTTTACCTTCCAAACAAAATAGTAACTTTTGGACGGTGCCAATTCCCCGGGCGCATCTGCGTCATACCATATGGTCTGAAGGGATGTAATGGGCCGATTTGCAGATGCGCGGAAACCTTCTTTTGAGTCGGCAAGATACATTTAGGTAGCTAGCCACTATTCTATGGCTTTAATAGCATCGATGCTTCAATTATAAAATAGCAATGCCTTGCTTCCTCCCTGTTGCGGGGAGCTTCAATCGCAACATTGATAGATGACTAGTTGGCTAGCATGTTTAAGCGGCACTTCCACATCAATCCGCAATTATACTTGTGAGTGAACGTATGCTAAAATTCCCGGCGTCTTCCATCTTGTCGTGAGTTGGTCACCAAGCGCCTCTTCTGCGCTGAACGGGTCCGGTCCCCATTATGTAGATCATCCTGTTTATAAGTAATTAGGTACCTAAGTACCTAGGTAGCCATAGTGAGATGGAAACAAGCTGCCAGGAGGGAATAATTCGATCCCGCCCTCTCCATAGTATGTATGAATGCACGTATGTATGCCAATGGTACGTTATGGTGTACCAGGTATGTAAGGTCCACCCCGGTACCATCTTCCTTTTCATCGGGCAATTTCATCTGGCACCAAAGCAATAACCGTCACGGTCCGGGGTCTGAACCCCTGTCTGCATATACTACACCACCAATGTACGTTGATACTACCACCGACGCTTTTGCCCTTCCTACTGTGGTCGTGTCACTCTGTTCCCCTACATCGAGTGCTCCATTACTATTGAGCCAAGCCTGTCGTCAAGAACCTAGACACTTAGACTGGCCAGACCCTTTAAACCATGTGCGCTCTCGGTAACCCAGTAAGTGACCTTAGTACATAGGGGTGGCACACCCCATAGAGCTACATCTGCTACATCTTTATGTATGTCGAATCTTTTTCAGTCCGTCGCCCGCAAAGGCAACGCCACACCATCAAGAGACTTGTCTGTGGGGAGGTGGGTACCAGACTAACCTGCGATATACACTAGGCCTCTCTTCGTCGTTCCCTGAACGCTGTCCTAGCATCTCTATGTCATCCTTGCTCATTCTTCGCGTCCTGGTCTCCTTACGGTTTAGTCAGTTCATCGAAACCACACCTCCACACACCTTCCATAGATCCAGTCTGTTATGTATCTTCGACATACATAGATGAGCGTTCCGCCTCCTTGTTCACGTTTCTTTGATGGCCTTCCGATTTTTTGGATTTTCCCTCATCTTTCAACCCACATTCACACGTTGTCTTAAGCTTATCTTCTGATACTTATATCATTTTGTCAAAACGCCACCATCTTCAAGATCGACTTTGGGAATTATAAGCACTACCCGTCGGCTCAAGCTAGTAATACTTTTGATAGGATACCGGATACCTTATGCAAATAGTCGATTGGCATTGAGATCGGAGCCGTTCCCTACGAGAAACTTTTTTCAACTTTGTCGTCGCTTCACCCCTATCTCTCTATCCGCATAACCGGTTCGACATAGCATTCTAGTATTCCAAACCATTAGGATTATGGCCCTTCAAGGCATCCAGATATAACCGTTGCCAATATCTATGCATCCGTTCCTCGACTAGGTATATATAAGTATCCCGTCATCCCGAACGGTTGCGTGAAGGCTAGGAAACGAAGGGTTTATTAGAACTTATAGTGCAACCCAACTAGTTGAGTTCCACTACTCATTTTTGCACGGAATATTGATCTCTTTTTATGTGCTTTGGAGGTAGGATAAGTCAATCCATTAAAACTTACGCATTGTTCGTAATATTTGCTAACTTTTGATAGACGCCGTTACGCCCAACCACTTGCTGTCATAGCGTAACTATTATATAAAGATGTCTACCCTCGCAATGCCTTCTCCGCCATACCAACATGGGTTTGCACACGGAATGGCTTGGCAAGATGTCCGACCTGAACCATCATCCAGGTCACGAGATAATAATATCGCTTTACCATCTATCAGACAGGTAGGACAATTCGCATCATCTTGAAGATTTCTTCTGATCGAAGAGCTAGGCATTTCCAGAACTTCAGCTACAAATACAAGAAGAGAAAATATCGCCTTCATCCAGTTCATTGTTCGAAAAGGGATCCAATAGTTGCGTAGCGCACAGAGATTACATTCATTCACCAACGTATCAAAAAAGACGTCGTTCGTCAATTTGGGATGGAGTGGAAGTTGAGAGAGTACATCCAGCCCCGAGACATAGCCGCCCCGGCTCGGCCAGCCATCGACCCCCTTCGCCATCTTCTTTCCTGCATACAGCCCCCAGAAGCACATGGACTACCCCGGTGGACCGAAGGAGATCCCCTTCTAGGACGTTTGCACTATCTTCCGGGCCGGGACGGATTGGACATGTCGAAATTCATCCAACTTTACCGAGCATGACGACGTTAAACTTCGGTCGAGGCTCCGGAGAGGATTATCCCCAGGAACAATTACGAACACCCAGCATTACGAGCAGCAACAGTTATGGGACAGACGGAGGTTCGCCTGCCTACGCACCCTCAAAATTTGGACAAGATTTTCATCACCCTAGCCGAATACAATCCCTCTCAGTAGGGTCAGCCCACCCCTTTGAAAGAACACGATTCTCACCGCCGAATTACTCACCGACAGCACCATACGGCCACCACCAATATCACGAAACATTTATGCGCATTCGCGATTACAGTATGGGGATGAATGGAGAAGGAAAACAACGGAAACGCCGCGGGAATTTACCAAAGGAAACTACAGACAAATTACGGATGTGGTTCCATGCCCATCTACACCACCCCTACCCGTCAGAAGAAGAGAAGCAAGACCTGATGAGAGAAACAGGTTTACAATTGAGTAAGTAGTGCCTTCTTGAATACATAAATCTGGTGTCTAAGGCGGTAGTCTATATGTATACACACTTGCTAACTTTCTACTTTCAAATAGATCAAATATCCAATTGGTTCATCAACGCAAGACGACGACAACTACCCGCAATGATTAACAATGCTCGCGCTGAGTCTGATGCCATGACAGTACGTGGAGAAAGCAAGTTAATACCATCGACGGAACGGAGCGAGTACGATGTGGACAACAAACCCCTCAGCGATAGCGAAGGAAGTACTTTCCAAGACTCCGAAATAGATTCGATAAAACGACGTAGGGTCACCCACGTCAACCGCGGCAGCATATGAAGTGTGGGAAAAAAAATCATAAGCATATCTGTATTACTAAGGGTGGTAATGTTTATGATACATAAAGCTTTTCGAGATTATCATTCGAATTATTGGTTTACTCTTTTGAAGATCACATATGAAATGGGCGTACGACATCTTTTTTTTCTTGTAACACTTTCCCAGGCAATTCAAAAACTGGGCATACGGGTCAAACCTGGTTGTTTCACGGTTCAGGCGTACAAGGGCATTAGATTAAGAGCTATGACGGTTTGGAAATGACCATCACAAGATACTGGACGGGATGTATATTACCCAGAATTGATTAGGGGATAGACTCATCAAAGCGAAGGGGTACGTGGATGTAGTTCTGTATGTGTAGATTTAGCCTCAACTGAAAATTGCACTATCCGGATGATACAAGATGTTGATTCTTAATATCGTTTACCGGGCCAAATACTTGCATCTACCTCCTTAGCTTCTTAACGGATCGTTTCCGACCCAAAGTGAACTAGGGATCCTCCAACCACAAGCCGGGGTCCGTTCCGAATGTTGTAAAAGAGATCTGCTCTTCACATCCAAGGTAGCTGCAGTAGCCCTCGAATTAGCATTTAAGAAGAATATATTGCTCTGCATATTGCCCCTTCCGATCGATAGATTAACTGCAGATGTCCGCGGCGGTGCAAAGCTGCCTTACTGGAAATCCGTTGGCTACCAAGCCCATCGTCATGACCACCTAATCTCGCCGCATCGCACAGTTTCATCAGTTAGGCAAGATTACAATTAGGTGGCGGCCCCATTCCATTAGAGATGGCGGATGACGACAGAGCTTGCAGAACAGCTGATGTGCCTTTGGTGCTTTGCTCCAGACTAAAAAGCTGTGAACCCGAAAAATGAGCTCACTTCTTTTTTGTAAGCAAATGTCGTGCCATCCCTTCGCCTTGTCGGGCCAGTCACGAAGTAGCCAAAGTGCCACTGGCTCGGTAGCTAGTTGTCCTCTAGCAAGTTTAGAGGACATAGAATAGACTCGTGATGGAACAGAGTGATAACATGGAATAAACTATAGACGGGCGCTTCCCGCTCCGTGTCCACGAATCTCGTCTGAGAGCTTGTGGCTAGATGCTTCTCTATCCCACCGCGCGTACTGTGATACACGGTCGCCTGCTACGGAGGTTGCCGTCTAGCGCCTAGGTGATCGAACCAGTCAATACCATATGTGGACTGGTGTACGTTAGCATGACATTTCAGATGTCTTAGTCTACAAGATAGCGTTGCCTCCCCTCCCTAGACTTTGTCTATTGACTAGAGTGTAAAATAATACGCTAAGAAGTATCTGACATCTATCTCGCCCACAGTCCACCTCGGATAAAGCTTTGCACAAAAGCCTTGTTTCTCCCATTTGTGTCTGCCAAACGTATCAGCCGTAGCACGGATCTCCGGCCGGCCTGCCCTTGATTTGAGACAAAATGGCGTTTTTTATTCGGACAAAAATCCGAGTCAATGTCTTTGGCGCTTAGGGAAGGGAAAAAAAGATCCCCTCTTTTTTTCAGCTAGTGATGTCTTGAAAGTTCTTCGATGGGGTCTTAGATATTGATGATGACATCTGAAACATCTCACTTGAGCCGCGCTGGAGAAAAAGACGGTTATATGTGTCGGTTATATGTCTTATCATCGTGTACCCCTGAAAGATACTTTGGCGGCAGCTTCATGACAATGCAGTCCCCTTTCTCCCCAACCACTCATAGCGCGGATGATATATATTAGATTCTTCGCTTGTGCCCCCTCCCCACCGAACTGAATATATTCACAATAAGGTGTTTTAAGGTCATAATGGACGAACTAGTGGCCTTGACTGATGGGCCTAGCAAGAGGTTTCGGACCAGTTTGAATTTAAACTCAAGATTTTGTCGTCTGAGGGTATTCATTATTATACAAAATATACGCCATAGCACAACGCCAGTCAGATGGATCAGACCTGGGTGACACGCTAAGGGGACCATCCGACACGAGAAACAAACTATATCCCATTGCTCGATGTGTAACCCAAATAACGTCTTCTCCTAGCATGGCAGTCGGCTTTGGAGTTTCCTATCCTAGACATCTACCTATCTAGGTACCCAAGGCAGTTCAATAAACCTTCACCAGCATCACCAATCAGTGACAGCAGGGCACAATTTAACGAGGGATTGTTCCTCCGGGGAAGTTGTTGATGAAGCTTTCTTGGCTAGGTGTTTCTTGCTCAGGCTGTTTGCTTTGACGTCCTCTATCGTCAAATTAATCATCAATCGGCACATAGGATATTGCGTGGGGGTTGGCGAATCCGTCTAGACACCACAATATCCAATTAAGTAACTATTTTATGATGGTTCTACACCGGTTATGTCGGCTTGCTTATTGCACTTACCGTGTGGGTGGGAGTGCCTCACGGCTTTAGAGGCGAAATAGTCTATATGACATCTGTATATGCCATTTAACCTAGTAGACTAAGGCAGCTTTGCTTCCCGTGGTCTCATTCATACTACCTACCTACTGAGACACGGTGGGCTAAGCAAGTACAAAATAGTAACTTTACACTTGGGGGCCAAGTTCTCCGAGCCAAAGAAAGACTTGCCTAGATGATGCCACAATCCGTTGTTAGAAGTTTTACTTGACCTTTGTAACGAGCTCTCTTGAATCGTGTCATCACCTTTGGCACGCTATCGTATACCCTATTTTTAAGCTCAAGATCAAACTGGAGTATAGCGGTAGAAACCGTTCCCCTAGATGGCGATCAGGTCTCTAAATACAGTATGGATTTCACAGCAGTCATGACTCGGAGGGGGCCGAATATGCGGCCGGATCATTGCCCCGGGAGCAAATAGCGGGCTTGTCAAAAAGAGAACCCCAAAGTCTCCAGACTATGTGCCATATTAGCTTGCATCTCTGTGCCGAGAAAAGCCTTCATCCTCCACACCACCCATCTAATCCTTCGAGACCACTTTAGACTCTTCAGAATTACCTACAACGGCAGCTCGACTGAACGTCCGTTACAAAACTAAGGTGACGACGGCGCCTTTGCCACTAAACTAAGCTTTAGCCAGCATAGGCACCGGCTTGTCTTCTAATTCGTTCCCAAAGTTCCCAGTTGTGGTCGCCGATCTTTTGATCTAAAACGATCTGCGCTTGTCACCCCGTCAGTTGCCTTTTCTTTCAGTCGAGCTATCTCCGGTTTGGCTTAGCAAGTAGAAGCGGGCCCGTCGTCAACCGTCGACTAGGGATACCTGGGTAGTTTCCCCTACTAGGTGGCAACCTTTTAGGAATTGTACCAGCCTACGTGCATTGGTGCGAGAATCGTCAGCTACTGTACGTGGTCGACAGCCTGGACGCCGCTTAGTCCCATCAGACTAGAATTTAAGTCTATTCGGCAACCCAGACACCCGGGTTTAGACGTAATCCGCGCTACTATACTGAACAATTAGTTCAGAATTTGATCTTGAGTGACTCCATACGGGTTCCTTTCAATGAATGACTGCATCGTAAGGCTTCAATGCATGTGTTTTTGCTTACGTGTTATGTACCTTGTGATCTGTAGGCTCCGTCGTGTCTGATACTGTATACGAGACGTGGATATCATATCATGGGTGTATACCTAAAAGTATGTGATAGGTCGTTTACTAGGCATTTTACTATGCTTGCAGGTTTCCATGTTCTGAATCGTAGCGTACCAATGTGTGGCTATTCCTGTAGGGAATACCTGCCCCTTTTAATAACCTGCCCTTGTGAGGAACCAAACATGTAGGATTGTTCATCTCCGTGTTATTTTTACACTACTGTACAAGGTTGTGAGATAGTGCTTGCCAAGAATGTGTTGGATAAGTCTACTTTATGTACAGACTCAGGATTTTGTTTTTCTACGGGAAAAACATATAAAATAGTGTAAGATTTACAAAGAAAAGAATATGAGATTGTAAAGATAAGTGAAAAATAGAGGAGTATAGGATAAGATCTTGACTTTTTAGTATTTATATAAACAAACATGCGTGTAAGCGAGTCCGGACCTCCGGGTTTATTCAGTTAAAATATTTATGCTACAAGTAGGATATACACAGTTATGCATGCCAAGATCTTATCCATATATCTTTTAACACAAACAAAAATTGTATTTATTCTCTGTTCTCTACCTAGGTACACTATAAAACCCCAAATGAATTAAACTATAATTTGAATAGGAGGATAAGAGACCATAAGACTAAGATAATTCTATAGAAAAACGCAACTATCTTACATCAGTATAATAAGACATGTTTCTATCGGAGTACGGAGTAATTACCATCCGATGGCGCTGCGTGATTACGTAGGTGGATACAAGTTGTAAGTGCGTACCTAGGTACCTAAGTGGATGCCTACCTGTTTGAACAAGCCTCTCCTTAAAGATTCAACTTGACATATACGGCTAGAGCACATGGAGGCACTTGAAAGCTGTGGCTACAATATCATTATAAAATAATTTTACCCCGTGGGCATCATGCTCGAAGATGGATCCGTAAATGAGGCCTCAGGCGCCCATGTCGGAGAGATTTTGGTGATTTGTAACCCCCCCCTGTTCACAACATTCAACCTACTAATGTTGGTAATTAAACAGTCGTGTGTCTCGTGCAGGTAATTGTTGGATTCACCTACCGCCATGGTCCCCGCCATTCTGGCTCGGTAACTGATTTCATGCAGAAATCGAAAACTTAAATGTGATCGTACCAAACCTCGTTGTAACCGTTGTGAGAAAGCCAAGGTTGAATGTATCTTCCCTGAGTCGCGGCGGAAACCAGCCTTCAAACGAAGAAATGTGAGAGAACTTGAGGCCCGCCTTGGTAGGTACCTCACTAGACTCCGTCGATTTAGACGGCATGAACTGAGATGAATGCGCAGCGCAAGTCGAAGTGCTTCTGTCGGAAGCGACCCAGAACAAACCCAAACACAATGAGGCCCCTGAGTCCGTCAACTTCAAATCCCCTGAGGTGGCCGACGATGTCATCTTTCAGGAGATGGACTTCACTGACCCCGAGATATCCTTCGATAATGGTACTGGGTACTCATATCAACAAGACCCGGGGGTGACGTTCTCGGCCGAGACATCAGATGTGCACGACCAGGAACAACCGTCTTTCTATGGCGACCTTATGGACCTCGGTGGGATATACGAGAGTTTGCCCCCTTTTGAGGTGATGGAAGAATTGTGAGTGATAGCAACGCGAAAATGCTTTGTACGGTCGCTTATAACGAACAGGAATCGAATCTACTTCGAGCGTCAGCAACATATGATACCTATAATTCACCCAACCCGTTACTTGCAAGCCTTTTATTCCGCCCCGCATATGAAGCCCCCTATGTGTCTTCAATATGCCATATGGGCTCTCGCTGCGCATGGTAGTCCGAAATATCAGGTCTACCACGAAATATTTTACCGACGCGCCCGGCAATACATCGAGGCGGATGAGATGAAGGTAAGTCCCATAATGTTGCATTCTCGCACTTTGTGTATCTGTGACTTATAAGTCAAAAGGGATATGGCGAGCATTTCATTACCGTTTTTCATGCTCAAGCATGGTGTGTAATATCTACATATGAAGCTAAGTCTATGTTGGTCACTCGAGCAGCTATGACTTCTTCTCGCGCGGTTCGGCTCGTGCAAATGATGGGTCTCCATCGGCTCGATGGTACCACAGAGGTATGTGACATCGAGGGATTTCGATTCATTTCGGCTCAACATAGGAGTCAAAGCTTCACGAGACCGCCAAACGGCAATTGCTGATACTCGATCCAGGAGACATGTCCAACTTTACTCCCCGCGAAAGATTGGACTGAATTGGAAGAACGACGTAGAGTTTTCTGGGGAATCTTTTGCATTGATAGCCATTGTTCTATCTCAACCGGATGGCCATTCCTTATTGACTCAGCAGAGGTGAGGCAGGATTATTGAAAAGGCAGGCTTGACTCTGAGCTAATGCGCTTTACAGGTTACAACTCATCTTCCGGCTGTAAGCCCTCCTTTCTGCATGTCATAAGTCTCCTCTACAGCCCCCTTTTACTAACTCTGATTCGAATGTGTAGCCAGAATCTGCGTTCCATAATGGCGAGGAGGTAGAGACATGTTATCTCCACGATGCCTTCAAGGGACACCAATATTCATCATTTGCTGGCGCTGTATTAGTATCCCACATGTAAGGATCCCGTCAGTCTCACTCAATCGCCTCCTACTTGCTAATTCATATCAAGATTCAATCAAATCCTTAAACATATCCACAAACCTAAAGCCAACGATAACACTGGCGACTATGAGTACGGTGAATACTGGAAGCGACATCGCGATATCGACAACAAACTTTCGGCCGCGTTCATGTTCCTACCGGAGTCATTTCGATTACCCGAGAATTATCGTAACCCGATTGCCGTACATACGAATCTCAACTTACATGCATCTATCATTTGCTTACACCACTCCGCGATTGACAGGATAGAGACCTACAAGCTACCAGAAAGCGCTAAGAAAATCAGCCAGGATCGTATGACTGCAGCGGCACAAGAAATTGTCAATATTATCAAACTGACTAGCCATGTCGGTTCAAACCCCGTAAGTAGTGCTTTCGACTGACAATAAATGGAATGTTACTACCAACAGACGCTGATACTGTCGCAGAAAAGCCCTCTAGCCGCATTGGCATTATATTGCGCTGCTTCAGTCTACGTCTACCTATGTACAGAGGTGCATACACCAAGTATCATCGATAGCCTTGAGTTCATAATCGCTGCGATGGAAGCCCTTGGAAGAGATCACGCAATCACCAATGCTTATCTACGCCAAGTTGTGGTCGACATCGAGCGGAATGATATCCGACATTTAGTCCGTCTACCTCGTCTCGACAACGACCCGACCGCCGAATTCACAACCCACCTCGCCCACAACATCCCTCTATTAGCCCGCTCTAAGATATCGCGGCACTCAAATCTACAACCACCCCTACCAGGGCGCCTACCGCTTGGAAAACCCCTCGGTCGTGTCGTCTTTACCAACGGCCACGACTGCGAGTACGGCACTTGGACATCCGATAGCCGCAGTCGGGGTTGGACAGTACAAGAATTCCAAATGCAAGCCCAATCCAAAGCTCAAAGCCAATCTTCCACCTCCTGCGAAAACCCCAACCACAAGAACCACAAAAACAAACGAAAACGCGCCTCCCCACCACACGGAGCTACCAGCACATTAGACGACAGTACTCCAGAAGCCACCGACGACCCGTCGCCCTCCTGGCCCTCCCAACCGGCAGACCACGTATCAACGAACCCCTCAACCCACCCCTCACCCCCCGACTCCCTAATGGCCGCTACAGCCACCCACGGCCCGGTATTCATGGGCGCAAGTTACGGCGTCGCACCGGGACAACCGCGATTAAAACTAGCACATCGCACCAGCTCGCCCCAAGTCAGTGCCGCCACATTAAAACAACAGACATCATTCCCACCGCCTTTCCCGGCTCCCTCTCCGACGTATTCCGTAGCGGATCACCAGGCTAGATGTGGAGCTTGGGGTGCAAGTGGAATGAACTCTCAATTTAGCGGGAATGCGAATGGAAATGGGAATGGGAATAAAGGCGTACCTTGGGGTTTCGTGGGTGGTGAAGGCCCGGGTGTGGATTGGGATGCGCTGGGTGCAAGTTTAGGGATAGATCCTCAGATCGCTGCGGATGTAGTGGGTTCGGGGGCGCGGGATGTTGGGGTAGAAGGGGATGGAGGGACGGGGTTTGATGTTAATGTTGGCTGATTAAATCGGTAAATATTTAGACGGGCTTCTGTGCAAATTGTTGGATATCGGTTGGTATGTGTGTATTTAAGCTATGATATCCCCTCAGCTTACTATTACGTGATATACAGATCCATTTAGTCTATTCAACTATGAAGTCAGAATGAATTGTGGTTTATCATATAAGCTTGCCTAGTAAAGAAAGAAAGAACCGAAGTTCATGAAAGAGTTCACTTGTTTACTTCCTGATGCGTGTATTCCCGCATCGGCGGTAGAGGCGGGTAATGCACGACGCTATATATGCAAATGCTAAAAGATATCAACTCATAATCGTCCAAATATCCCTGCTTCGATATGCTCCTATCCGGCCATGTGCGCATTCCTACCTAGGTATTCCTTGAATACCGTGTAATTACCGCGCTTTCACGCTTTCACGCCTTCACGCCCTAACCCCCTTTTACTCCCCCTATCCTTCCACCGTTCACGTCGGCGCTGTCAACACGGGTATAACAGGCTCAAAGCTCCAGTCAAAATCATCCAAGAAAGTCCAATCAATATTCTGCAACGTCTCATTCCCATTCCCAACCCCCGACAATCCAGCCGGCGTCTCACTTCCATTCATCCCTACACCCGCACCACTTGTCCCAGTCCCAGCACCGTTCCCTCCACTTGCAGTATTACAACCATGCGTAGCAGCCCCATTACTCCCCAGACACGTACAATGCGCCAGAGGCTGGTTCTTATACCTACAATTATGGACATGATCCGTCTTCCACCTCGTCATACAATCATAAGTTACACTCGCACTCAACCGATGCGAGAAACTCGACACAGGTTCCTCATTCCACTGCACCGTCGTCGAAGCTGCGCGTAACAATCTATCCGACCAAGATTCCAACAGATTCCCCAATCTAGTCGGTAGATCCGCATCGGCTACTTTAGCGCGCCTAGAAGCAGTAACCGCGTCAGAGGCAGATTTCTCGGCTTCGGTGCGGTCGATGAATTGCATGTATGAAGACCGTAGGAGGCGGTACACGACACAACCTGCGGCTAGGAGAGCGCGGAAGTAGAAGTGCGGCACGTGCCGTAGGAAATCGGTTTTCCGGTCGAGGTCGAGCGCCGAGCGCATGACGGCGCGTGCTGTGTTGTAGGCACGGAGGATGTTGCGTTTTAGGGCTTCCGGGTCGTAGCCTGGGAGGGGGATCATGTAGTAGGTCTGGATTTCGAGTTGGACTAGCAACGCATTGAAGCGGTCGAGCTCGTCTGGGGCCTATCAGTATACTACGGAGAACTGATGCTAATGGAGAAATATTAAAGGGAATAAGACACATACCTGCGCGTTCGGAACATATCAGGCCCCTCACAGCGTTCCACTCATCTTCCAACAGCTGAACTACTTGTGGCGAAACCCCTCGCGACTCTTCCAGGCACGCCGCCATCATTTTTGTCACATGATTAGAGAATTTCTGGCATTCTAAGAGAACGCGAAATGTAGATGGAACTTGAAATGGGGTTCGGCCATCGATGATATTCTGGATGGTTTGGTTGAATAGACCACCGACAGGTGGGATACCTAAAGATGATGATATCCTTTGGGCAATGATATTATATCCAGCCCAGGTGAAGGAAGCCTCTTCATCTGTGAAGGTGTTCTGGAAAACACCTTGACTGTACTCTGGATGATTTCCTTTCCCGCAGTGGATCCCCAGCTGAAGGGACGCATTCATGCAAGCCCCAGAGAACAACGCACTTGGATCGTTTACAAACCGTACTTCAGGGAATATCCATGCGCAGAGCAATATAAGGGCATTTATTGAAGAAATAGACAGAGGCCAGTTAGTGATAGCCGTGAAGGCATCTTTCTTGACCGATTCGGATAAAAAGGGGAAGACCGTAGAGGTCTTGGCATAGCGACGTGATGCTATGTAGATGATGGTCCAGAATAAGAATGGACAAGCTTCATAACACTTATTCGGATCTTTATGCCTTATGATTGGCATATATGGATGATAGCATTCGAAGTATCTAAGTACCAAGTATCAGAATTATGCGAATTTCTTCATATTTCAGGGACAGTTCAGCTCACTTATGAAAATAGTAATCAATATCTTCACCCGAGAACGGCTGTGACCCTAAAGCCCTAGGGAATGTGGGTTCAGTCGTAGGGGTCTGGCCAAGCGTGGTACTTGCGGGTGTATGTATTACGGAAGAGGGAGCAACTGTGGCGTTCACTGGCGTTGCAAGAGGAGGGGGGCGTATCTCTGCAGCGGCAGAGACGCTTGCCGGAGAGGGTACTCCAAATCGTGGCGTACTGTGTTCCTTAAAAGGGGTGAAGGTATCATTTTGCTCGGCACGTCCCACTGTCACAGTCGGGGATGAGGGATGTCCACCAACACTCTGCTTAATAGATTGGATTTCTTGTACTAACTCATCCAATTTACTATATGATCATTTAGTTTATTCAACCTATAAAATAGGCAGGGTGTTATACCTCTTTCGGCTTACTCTCTTATGAGTTTTATCCACCAGACACGTTAAGTGAAGCTTTGCGCAACGCTGGCATGGCTGAGAAGGATTCTGGCTCGGATTACACCGTACCTATCAAAACTGTCAATATACCATGCATTGAAGTGAAATATGGCATGATAAATAACTACAATAAGTGAGACATACCTTAGCATCACGGCAACTAGTACATGCAGTATTTCGCTTGATGCGACTAGATGGAGCCGGCGTGGGCGGCGATGTCTCTCGATTGGTATCCGGCATTGACATGAATGGTTCCTACGGCACCGATGGCGCGCTAATTAGGTGCGTTCTCCGGGCCCGAAGGGATACATGTGCATATATTAAAAAGTAATGTCGCCGTCGCACGAAGTCGACCTAGATGCCTGTAGAGAGAAGTGAATTAGAGGGAGTTAGCCGGTCGGCTACGCCATCGTTTATATTTGACCGATAATGGAATGCGGAGGCTTACGCCACGGGAAGTTCGGTGAGATATCGGTGCCGATCCCTGCAGCTTTCCACAGCCACATCTTGCTGAAGAGTCCACTCTAGGAGGTATACATTCTCCGAAGATACCTAGGTACATATAGATACTTGGTAAGGTACCTAGGTACTTACATATATATAAGTGATTCAAGGTTGTATTAGAAAAGAAAAAGAAAAAGAAATGTTACTTGAGGTCGATTCGAATTCAGTATCTCAAGAGCCAAAAAATTCAAACAACAGAAACAACAAATTCAGACAAGCTCAAACAAATTTTGAACACGCTCCAAGACATTGATTGCCTACACCAGTTCAGTACAGCAGTGCAGACACTCCAAAACGTCCCGAAGGACAATAGGCGGTTAGTTATGAGCACCTATAAACTCTATACAATTGTTACTAGCGCTATTAGGAAACGTTGTGTAGCACAATATGACCTTATGACATAGGTAAATTAGTAGGGGGTAAATGAAGGGGAGTGTTTGGGTTCCGAGGTTATCCGATAGAGAATCGCTTCGTTTACTTCTATATTTTCTGCTTCCATCATTAAGAGCTACATCATAATCTTCTATCTTTTACCACTTCCTCTCTGCAACACCTATCCACATACCCCATGCCAGGACCTTACCAACAATAGCTTCTCCTATCTGTTCTCTTGTGGTGGTCGCAGTCAACAAGCTAGGGTCTAATGGTTCTTTCAGAGCTACGACCTCGAAGAAATCTATAGAAAGTTGAGTTTTAACAACGTTGACATGATACTACAGTAATGAAAAGGTATGGCTTACATCTATGAGGTCCGTGGTTCAGAAGCGGCCTTGGTGGAATATATACATTACTATTCCTCGACCGACCGTAATGAAAACCACCCTTCAATCTTGCTTTGCTCTTATCCTCGATCTCGAAGTCAGCAGCATCGACACCTGTCTTTGAAGGTGCGATGCCTCCATAGATCCTACCATAGAAACAACAATTTAGTCATCAGTTCCCCCCCGGTCGGCAGATACGAACATAAAGGTATTGAAATATGCTCACCCGTGACAAATAGGCGTAGGTAACGGCGCGTCCGGATCCTCTGAAACCAACAGCCATTCCCTGACCTCCGTCGCGATATGTACTGGTGCTTCCCAGCGCAAAGAAGGGAATTTGCCTACGCCGTCGGCCGTGTACTCGACACCGAGTATCGAGTTAGTGGGGCCGCATTCGGGTGCTGTGACGGTGATCTCCTGTTTGTCCTGCAATTCAGCGAACGCAGGTCCCTTAAAGAAGCTCTTCGCATCGCGACCTTTGGCGTTTTTAAATAGCCAAGATAGAGTTACTTCTACGAGGGCGAGCATCTTCGTTTATAATATGGTTGCGGCGATCGATTAAGATATATTAGGTGGCTTGGCGTCAATCAGTGCAAAGTAAGTGAAGAATTTCATATGATTCCCTCCTTTTGAATCCTATGGTATTTAATATCGTATTTGAAGATTCCGGCATTACGAGGCTACGAATAGGATGATTCTAATGTTTGAAATTAGTAAAATTAGTTCCTCGAGAAAAAGAGTAAGCAAAACAGTATATCAATCGAGAACCCCGGTTCACGAACCTCGGAGCCGATCGCGCATATTCCCCAGGCAACGCCAAGCCGAATCCATCTTATCGACAACATCACCCCTGACCGCTTCGACACGCGCTATCAATCTACCAGCCTTTGCCTTCCCGCGACGCGATATATAGCACAATTGAACATTCGAGCGAATGTGGATCATGGATTATATGGATTTTAGTTGGTGGCCGTTATTCGGCAGGGAGGCTGAGATCGAGCCCGAGAACCTCGTACCTTCTCATCCGTATTATCCACTAGGTGTGAATATTACGGGATATGCGGCGAATGAAGCAACGGTCCCAATGCTTCTGGCATCCTTAGGTGGCATGCTAGGGTTTGCGATTCTGGGCGCATCTGCATTCGCTTTGAGATTCAATTCGAATTTGACAAAGTCGAATATTGCTCTGTTGGGTTGGTTTGTGATGAGTGAGTGGTTGACAATATGCGCACATGTGGCTAAGGCCCGTTCACTAATTCACGTCTGCAGACGGCTGCTTGCATTGCTTCTTTGAAGGTATCTAACGATTCTACTAAGACTCGTTCATTATTACACGTTGTTGAAGACTGCAGCTAAATTAGTTTAGGATACTTCGTTCTGAATCATGCTACCGTCGCCTCGTCACAGAATGTATTCGCACAGCTGTGGAAAGAATACGCACTGTCCGACTCACGATATCTGACTTCGGACTTCTTTATGCTTAGCGTTGAGAGCATCACGACAGTGAGTAAATTACGCCAATCAGAAGACTAAACCCCTTACTTTCGGTGTGAGCTTCTAGGTTGGGTGAATAGACGCTGATCTTGACAGTTTATCTGGGGACCTCTCTGCTTCGCCAATGCTATAGCAATCGCTCGAGGTAGTCCTTCTAGGCACGTACTGCGTATCATTGTTTGCATGGCCCACTTGTACGGTGTTGCGCTATACTATTCTACAAGTCTATGCGAAACCTATTTCACTGGCCGCTCTCATAGCCGGCCCGAGTTCCTCTACTTCTGGGTCTACTATGTTGGTTTTAACCTACCATGGGCTATCGTCCCAGCAGGTGAGTTATCTTTAACTTAGCCCCTTTTTCTAGAAGAGCCCAGAGCTAACTTCTTATAGTTCTCCTATTTGATAGCGCAAGAACTCTTACGAAGGCAGTAAGAGCCTTAGACAAGATTGATATCACGCTAGCGGCTCATCGCAGGACTCAGGATGCGTCAAATGGGACCATTGAGCCTAAAAAGACGAAGTAGGGATATAATTATGGGCGTATAAGCCGTAGAATGCGGCGATATTTCGTGCCACTATATACACCTCAATATAACCATTCCCATACCCAGTACTGTTGGTTAGATAATTTTGCATTTTAAGTAAAGCGAAGCTAATGTTGCTCGCAGAATCAATGTTGTTTTGAGGTATATGCTAAGGGCACCAATCTATCCTAACTCCAACGCAATGTCATTGATTACCCCCTGTCGGCTTCAAATGCGATATCATCAGCGGAATCACTACCAACGTAGCCTGATAGTAGGAAAAGCATGTGGATCGAGAACCATAACCAGCTATTCCACTCCGATCGCAAGATACACCTTTCTTCGTCCTCAGCGGCGCTTGAGGTCTAACCGGTTTATTGAATGTTCGATGAGAAGCCGGTGAGAAGCCGGTAATCAAATAATACTTCTGAATTATTCCTCCTAGCAAAGTAACATTCCCTGTGTCGTACATCTCATCTTACGTATTTGTTCATGAATCGCTTGTGGAAATCCGATCGTAGAAGATCGTTGATGAACTCCTTTTTCTTGCCCTTGTCTTCGGTCCCTCTCGCCTGGTTCTTGAAAACGACATCGTCGTCCCATCTGTCATAACCTAGTCAGCACAATACCAACGTAGTTCGCTTCATTTTGACGTACCTTCGCCTCATGTTGAAATTCTTAGGATTCAACAGCGGATTGCCCAGCGCAATATCTCGTTCTCGCTCCTCTTCTTCCGCCGCAGCTCTCTCTCGTTCTTCCTTTTCACGTTTCTCTGCTCGCTCGCGCCTGATCTTCTCAAGCTCCCGTTGCAACTCTGCCTCCTCATCTTCGTCGTCATCACTATCTTCTTCACTATCATCATCATCCTCGTCTTCTTCTGAATCCGCGTCTATATCACGCGACTCCTCTAATATGCGCCGCCGTTTGGCCTCCGGATCTTCTTCACCTCCGCCATCACCATCCGATTGCGATGTCAACTCTAGAGGTCGCTTCGCGGCGTTGGTAGTAGGTTCTGTCTCATCGGCAGCATCGGGTAGTGCACCGCCGTTCTGCTTCGCGAAGTGTGCGGCTTCAGCTGCGAGGAGTTCAGCACGTAGATCGCGTGGCTCGTCGGCATCGCCTCCTTGGCCGGGTTGACGGAACTTTAGCTTCGTGTGCGCTGGGAGGAGACGTTGGTGGTAGGCTGGTCCTCGGAGAGCTTCTTTTCCACGTGCCTGTTATTTCGTTAGTATGTGATGGTATTGGTATGGGTATTGATAGGATTATACTTACGGGATCGAAGGTGGGTCTGTGAGCGGTAGTCATCTTGAATTACCTCAAGATAGAACTACTAGATCATATGTGAAGAAATGAAGGTGTTGAATTAGAAGGTTAAGTAGAAAGTGTTAATTGAGATTGATGTTCTTAATAAAGTGTAAAGCTGGGATGGATGGATCCATGGATGCGACCGTTAAGTCGGTGTTTTAGTGCTCTAAAATGCCGACCTTGCAGGAAGCTAGTGATTCACCGCCCGGCAGAATCTGCAGTGGGAATTTTGAAGCTTCCATCATGAAATGTACACACCCCACCATGCCATCAAGCTATTGCACCTACTACCATTAAGACGAATTATGCAGTGAAACAGGAACGTATATCATTTCCACTTCTAATTTCTCTCTCCTATCATGCCTCGAGAGGCCGAGCCTTCACTCAATGAGCGCGCATTCGTAGTGCAGGCACTACAAGATGGCTTGCGTGTCGACGGCCGCGCCTTCGATCAATACCGAAAGCTCGAGCTCAAGTTTGGTGATCAATATGGAGTCGCAGATGTCACTCTAGGGAAGACAAGGCAAGTTATAATGTTATATACACACATGCATATTATATATAGCTTTGCTAACCGCAAATAGGATACTCGCGAAAGTATCAGCCGAAGTCACAACGCCTTACACTGATCGGCCGTTTGATGGCATATTCACCATCACAACCGAACTTAGTCCAATGGCATCGCCTGCCTTCGAAGTTAATAGACCCACAGAAACCGAAATCCTACTATCGAGATTACTAGAGAAAACAGTGCGCCGATCAAATGCTCTCGATACCGAATCATTATGCCTCGTTGCGGGTAAAAAATGTTGGTCTATAAGGGTAGATTTACATGTCCTCTCGCATGATGGCAACTTAATCGATGGATCTTGTTTTGCTGTCGTAGCAGCATTGCGCCACTTCAGAAAGCCAGATACCAGCATAGAGGGAGAGATATTGACTGTATACACACCCGCGGAAAGAGAGCCGGTTCCGTTAAGTTGGCTACATTCGCCATTCTGTGTCACATTCAGCTTCTATGGAGAAGGAGAGATTGCATTACTAGATACAACTCTCCTGGAGGAACAGTTAAGGGTCTCTAGCTGTACCATCAGCCTTAACAAACACGGAGAAATCTGCCAAATTGCGAAATTGGGTGGCACACCTGTAGACGCGGCTGCACTGCTTCAATGTGCAAGCGTTGCTCTTACCAAGGTCAAGGAGTTCTCCACGTTATTGGATCAGAAACTAGCCGATGACTCCAAGCGGAGGAATAAGGGCGGGCTCTTAGCAGAGCTATCCGCGGAGAACGAAAGATAGCAGATGAAAACTGCTGTTCATAGATGACCAAAAAATGATAAGATACCCATGCTCAAGAGGCCAGCCCTCCAAATGATCTCGAACTCGAACTCGAACTCGAACTTAAACTTGAACCGTGACTCCCAAACCCACAAACGCCTTGTCCATGACGCTGAATGCAAACCCGATCCCTCTTTATAACCAATCAACATAATGTAACGTAGAACCCTTTCTCCTTACTACCTCATCACTGGTGGCCTTGATTCCTTATTCCATTTTACCCTTGATCTCACCCAGTCAATTGCTTCCCTCACACCCGTTCCCGTCAACGCGCTCACAGGCAGTACTCTCGAGTCGCGAATACTCGACGCCTTCTCGCCCTCAAACACCTTCTTGACTAGACCCTCCTTTATGCGCACAACCTCAACACAATCCTCGCGATCCTGCTTATTGGCCAGTATAAGCAACGGCACACCTTCCGTCTCCGAATTCTGCAACACATCCTCAAGCACAAGTCTACACTCCTCCAACCGCCCCGAGCTATCATGCTCCAGGTTACCATCGCCGATGTCGGTGCTATCGATAATAAAAACGATGGCATGGCAGCTAGCATAGTAACTCTGCCATAACTTGCGCAGACTCAACTGGCCCCCGACGTCCCAGATTTTGAGATACATGTCGGGAAGGGTGAGTGTAGATACATTCTGCCCGACCGTAGGTACAGTCTTAAGTTTCGGGTCCGGGTGCTCGGGGAGGCAGAGCGATTTCGCTTGCTCGTGGAATGTGGTCTTGCCGGCGTTGTCGAGACCGAGGAGGATCACGGAGTATTCTTCGCGCCGGCGCGCCAGCAGGTAGAGGGATTTGGCTAGATGGTACATTGTTCTTTTTGAGGTGTCGCGAGCATCGGATAGGGGGGTAATCGGGAGATTTGTTTGTAGGTACTTGAGCCGGCGATAAGAATAGGTACCGTAGTAGTGGTGGCTTGAGGTGATGTTTTAGATGGGTTGACCAATGATTCGTCTCGTGGTTCGTGGTGTGTCAAATCAATTCGAAATTAACCTTGCAGAAGAGTCTAGTCTGCTTTGGGAATGGTCTATTGAAACGCGATGGTATACTTCCGAATTGGGTAATTACATTTAGCACGGATTTCTAGGAAGTTGTAATAGAACGTTACTTTATGTACCTAGGTATCTATTCTCGTTATTATTCTATCAGAAAAATCACATGTCTTATGTATCACAATAATTCAGACATTTAATGAGACTTGATATAGTGTGACAAATATTAAAGGTTGCTATATCATATTCTGTCGTGTTTCTGAATTCAACATGAAGATACATGCACCCAGGTATCGTGAACAATTCGGGCACCTTCAATTTTGGTATAGGTATACACACAAAAAGAAAGGGGCTGGGAGTTATCACTTCTATTTTTCTATAATATATGACTGGTTCTTTCCATAACGCCATGTCTCACTCTCGAACGGGAGCCTGCATGAAGGATAAATACATGTACATATACAATTAATGTCCAACAGAATTAATATAAAGAAGTTCTTAAAGTATATTCTTTTATACTATTCATAAGTGTTTTATGAAGCGACGATAATATGTTAATAAGTAAGGTTTAATCGCCGAGTAAATCGTTCTTGCCTTTTTACTGTTTCACCAGGAGCCTATCCGACGATAGCAAAAACATGACGTCATAACTATTTAGCGCCCAATCAGCCCGTGTCATCATCTTCTCTCCCTACCACCACTTACCACTTACCAAATTCCCCCCAGCCACGCCGTAACAAGTTGCATGTTCCCCCCTCGCTACCCATACCTTACCAAACTTCATACATACAAGCATCCATGCATTCTCATCATTACCTATCCTTGTAAATTCATCTAAAGTCTATCGTGTACTCCGTGTTATTCCGTTGTTTCGTAGATCTGTTATAATACGCCTGCCCTAATAGTCGATAGCCCAAAATGGCTCCGGTGCCATTTCAACATCCAGTTAGGTAGGCCTTGTGAAACGTCCATTCACTCATCAGCAGCCAACTCAATAATATCAAATACAGATACATCCCACTAGCTGCGGTTGGAACTCATCTCATATCGGTGGTATACTTGACATATGCTATTATTGCTAGCCTCTATACATCATATAAGTCATTAGGACCAGCTCAAGATACACGATCACGCCTTGCCCAGCGGAAGAGATTGGTTCCGGTTTTCGTCGGGTTAGCCGTTGCTGCTTTTTCGGTGGCGGCTTATACATCTGTGGCTTCAGCCATCTTGTCGTATAAGACGTGGGCATACGAACATGGTGTCGATCGACCGGAACAGTATGAACAGTATGGATGTTTCATTACTCTACATAATTATTAACCACATAGTGGTGTATATCTAACACAGCCTTAGATTTACCACCAAAGATGAGCTCTTCCCACCGCCCGAGAACACGAGGAGACTCGACTTGTCCTTTATTGCTCACTGGCTGAGTGACACACCAGTCTATTTCGATGCTCTTGAGATTGTCGCTGAGAAGGCTCGCCGCTTCTGGTGGAGCCAACAGATTGATGTTGCAACCGCGGCATTCAGTATATTATTATCCATCGAGGGGAGACGTCGAAAGATTCCCCTGAATGCTGCTTTCCTAATCCTGGCACATCTCGTGAACCTGTCATTCGCCCAGAATTTGTTCTACATCGCTCTTCTCTTGACCCCTACGCCACTATCATCTAGTAATGATGGTCTCGATTTACCAGTGGCGCCTAGGCGCCTCTCGGTATTCACTTGGATCCGTAACAATCTTGTTACGCCGAAACCTAGGAATTGGTATCCGCACCCGTCTCTACTTGTTACGGCCCTAGCCTTCAGCTACTCATCCATACTCTTGCTTCCCTATGCTGCGGAAACGCCGTCGTTTAGAACAATAGCCTTTCTTGGTCGAGCCTCAACTTTTCTACCCGTGATTCTTCCCGAGGTTGTACCAGTAAACTGGGGTAAGGTCCATTCACACCCCCATGGCGCCTATCGCTCACTCATAATAATATTTCGGACTGTTGCCGCCGCGTCATTTGCGATTCACGTCAAATCTAGCATTGCGGGATTGGCCTACAATGTTCCGAATTCAAGTCACCATCGTCATAGTGTCTTCCTACCTTGGGATGTAGAAGAGCGGACCACTTGGGAACGCAGTACTACAGCTCTTGTTAAGGTCTTGGGTTCTATAAACGACCATCCCGCCGTAACGGCCGTTGGTTGGGATGTGTTACTATGTACATTGAGCCTCGGCCTATGGGTTGCTACTCGCGCTACAAATGCTCAGGATGTCATTCAGTCAATCTTTCCAATTCCTAACTTACGCCGTAAGGTTGAACACTCGATCGAGGGGGGGATACCGAGCACCCCCGTCAAAGCCGATCCTGAGCCTGTCGAGGATATTACGCCGGAACACCATATGGTATTGAGACGCCGTGGCCGGTCAGCTAGAAGAGTAGGAAGCGTCGCAAGTTCAAGCGGACCTAGTGAGGATGGGTTTAGAACTCCCGCAAAGAGAAGAGGCCGGCCAAAAAAGTCCAAGCAACCCGAAGAAGAGAAATCGTATACGCCGTCTTCGTCGGAAGCCAGAGATTTGGTGGAAGGGGACGTCTTGCCTGCTAAGGAGTTGGACTGGGAAGATACTGCTCTGACTTGGGGCCTCGCCGCATTGCTCGGGCTTGGTTCCGCTTCTTCTAGTGTTTTTGGAGGGGAATGCATTTCGAGATAAGAAAGGGGTTGTTGGGGGAACAGAAAACAGGGTTAATGAAGCATAATCAAAAGCGGGAAGTTGAAGATTGATATGACGGCGTTGGGTGGGCAGCTTAAAACGCATATAGGACTTATAACGGCGCTCTTGGCGTAGCGACTCATACCAATCAACTAATAATGAGCGCACTGGTTTACTCAGTTTTATACATCTAAGTGACCGCGGGAGCTATCGTCGTCAGGACCCGCCGAGATCCCTTTATGTTTGTAGGCCCTTCAACTTTTTACCACGAACGCGTGGATCCGCTTATGTTCTGTTCCCCCGGTACATACTCCTCGTCTCTTTCCTTCTTAATCAACTAGTTCGTTGTCTGGAACGACGACATCATCTGACGAATAACCCAGTGCGCATAACCCTTTACACGCAATTTTTTTTTCATCCCACACAACCTAACAAACCATTTTTAGATTCCGCGTCACCAAGCCCTTTACTTTTCTTCCCAACTTCTTTCGGTTTCGAAGTATTACAACAATAACCGAAAAACATTTCAACAGATCTCTGGGTGGTAGTTTGCTCCGATCTACCACCGCCCCGTGGCCCTGAGGCTACGACGCGAGTCGATAACGTTGTTACTCTCATCAATAACCGTATGTTCTCGTCGATTATGAATTTGTTTGGGCATTGCTGACATCAAGGAGGGCATCGTGAAGACATCCCTCTGCTACTCGTACAGCAGCCATCAACGATCCGGTCCTTGAGGCCGCAAGAAATACGACTCATCCATTTACAAGAGACTTCTCTTCTCCCGAGAATCCATTCCTACTTCTATCTCCGCCATTTTGCCATTCTGGAATCAAGGAAAATACGCAAAAAACATCATTCAGTCCTCCCAAAGTTTCGAGCCCCCTCTACATATTCAACACACCAAACCACATTCCAGCTTAGCATTAAGCGTAACACCATCATCATGCCGACAAACTACACGGAGCTCGTAATCTGGGATTTCCAGGAGCGTTACGAGATTCCCCTGGTCGTCTGGGACATCCTCCGCTACTACGAGTATCTCGAACTCAACTACGGCACGGTTGATGTGCAACAGCAGATCGCAGCAGTGATTGGACGTGGCAATGGTCCTGGGTCAAACAGACACTGTTTTTTGTGGACGGCGGCTCGCTTGAAGGGCATCGTCCAAGAACGTCTCGCTGAAAACCCTGTTGTTAACGCCGAGACGGCGATCATTGCGGACTGCGCCTTTTTGATGTACGAGCTGTACATCTTGGGAGAAATGGCCCCTTTCTAATAAGGTCCCTCTTCACTTCACCGGGTTTCGAGATGTCTAGGGGTCTTGTTTTCGGGAGCATAGGAGTATGGGCGTATGAGAATAGAGGAGGAACAGAGTCATGATAGCTTTTAAAAGCTTCATGTATAAGTCCATAGGACGACAGAATTCCTCTTAATAAACCGAAGCTAACGCTGAGTAAACCATTCGCCTTGTAACCTACGCTGTGATAGCCATGCTATAACAAACCTCCATAAACGTAAACGTAAACATACTACCTTATCCCTTAAACGCTTACCTAGAGACCATTCATCTCCCCCTTCCGTTCAACTCCCCTATCCTCTCCCTACCTCCATCTACCAAGTATACACCCAATTCGCAACCCACAACACCAGCACAAACCCCAAGAACACCTTCTCCGTCATCCACCTCGCAAAAATCCCCGTAGCCCTATGTCCCAACGCCGCAACCCCCCCAAACGCCAGCGTAAACAACCCTACCTCCACCAATCCCCCCACCCTCCCCTCTAACGCCCCAATCCTCAGCTTCGCAGTCGCGTTCGCGCCAAGCCAAATATGGTACTGCAAGACATACGTCTCCAGCGCAACCCCGCCCAGCCTAGCAGGCAGTATCAAATACGCAGTTTTCGCCCTCCCCCTCAAGACCACGAAAGCCAGGACCGGGATCCAGGATATGTAAGGATGGAGGTTGTTATACTCGGATTTGGTGGGGAGGGTGGTTTGTGTTACGATGAGGAATTCTAGGATGCAGGCTGCGCATACGGAGTAGAATACCACGCGCCATTTCGGGGAGATGGGTGGGAAGTAGGGGGTTTGGTTTGGGGGGAGGATTGCGTGGGTGCGATGGTGGGATTCGGTGTGGATTAGGACGGCGACGGCGGAGCTGAGGAAGAGGATGTACCGGTCGAGACGCAGGCGGAAGCGCATTTCGGAGGCGTCCCAGGAGAGGCGGAAGATTGTGTGGGAGAGTTGGGCGAGGCTCTCGAGGATTCCTGGGGTTGAGAGGAATATGTCGGTTAGGATGGCGCTAGTTATGAGTTTTAAGATGAGCCAGCATGGACGTCGGTTCAGGCGGTTGAAGTATGCTAGGGTGCCGTGGAGGACGAGGTAGTAGAAAGATATCGCCGAGGCGAAGTAGTATGAGCTGTAGGTTGTGCCCATTACGTATGGGAGGAGAGCGCTGAGGAAGTTTAGACGGAAGAGGACGATCATCACGCGTCTGAGGGAGAAGTCGTTTGTCTTCAGGAGATAGAGAGTGTGTCCATACCCCGAGAGGTAGAAATAAGCGGATATGAAAACCCGGATGATCTTGTACACCCATAGGGTTTGGGAGGCGTGGTGATAGTGGTAGAGTAATATGAAGCCTTGCATCAGCCCTTTGATCTCATCGGAGTGGTCTCTCGACAAATATCCCGGCCCACGATAGCCCGGAGGATCTCGTTTAGTTTGATTCGTAGACCAAGAAAGGCCATCCGCAGTCTCACGACTTCTATGTAACGACAAGAAGCTAGCCACCAGCCATAGGAAGCATACAGCGAGGAACTCGTTTTGTTGATAGTGCCGTTCGACTTTTGCTATGAGATGTGTCCCGTCGCAGAAGCAGCTCCATATAAGAATGCCGAGGATGATTCTACTCGCTTTGACTGATTCGACTCGCCATCGGGGTAGTGCAGCTCTAATTCTATGGCGAAGGTACCGAGGGATAGTTATCGCTGTAAGGCTCCATACCCATAGGGCCATTTGGAAGGGGAGGTTTGGTGGATTCGCGACGCAGCAAGTGCCTCTGAAGGATCGTGACTTGGCTTTCGCTGCGGTATTGCAATGTGCATTGAGTATGACGTCGAGCTTATGTCCAACCGCAGCATTGGAAACATGTAAGCCATCGCTGCCATGATCTATCGTCTCCCGAAGCCACATTTTATTGAATACCCAGAGTATATGCGACCACTGGTCGAGTGAGACTTTCGAGAGGTAATCATTCATCTTTTCAATCTTCTCTGGTGTGATTGTCTTAAACCGATCAAAACGCATAACATCGTATTCAGGTCTATGGACTGGACTTAGAAGAACTTGGTTTGCAGCACCACGGAGGCCACGTGCTTTGCGTTTTGACGATGATGCCGCATCATCGTTTAAGTTTGACGAGAGGTACGGAAGGACGCCATTGATTCCACGCTTGAATAAATCCATATAGTCATCCTCCCCATATCGAGCAGCCCAAAGTCCTGGGGCACCTAGAACGATGAGCGTCGTAGGTAGTTCGCCCTTATTGCTAACATTTCCTGCGTTTAGGGTGTGGAAACTGTGCAATGTGTTGTTTAAAGTAGTAGTATTCAGCCAAGGGTCCCAAATATATTCGATATCGACATCATTGTCTTTAAACGAGAGATCTGTATGTTTGCCCTTAGTTGATCTCAGCACTATGTCCAACATCTCACTTTTCGCATGGATAGGATCAATCGATTTCGCGAAAGCCCAGAAAAGCTGCCGAATAGTAGAATCGCCTGCGAGGATGACCTTCCGGTGGGTTAGACAGTCGCGAACAGTTTCCTGAGAGTATTTCTCCATAAGGCAGTCTTTCGGTTCCCATATTTCGGCACTGAGCTCAGACAAAGGCGACCATTGCCCATCGTGTAGTAGAGCCTGACACCCGTAAGGATCATACTGTCCTGTCTGGTAATTAGAATTAAAGCAAGCCGAGATGGGGCACATCCGACCACTCAAGCTCAATTCTCATACCGATTTTATATTCTTGATATTGCTGGAGACCGAAAATCGCGGCAACAGCAAGTATAGTGATCCTAGTGATAGAGTGAGACCAAGTTAACGGTCTTAGTAGCCCTGGCATGGTGACAAATTTGAGACGATAACTAGGTACAATTTGGCTAGACGACACAAAGTCAAGATGGCGGCCATACTAGATGTCAGTCTAGAGGCTTGAATAGATGGAAGGGTGTTAGCATCGCATCAAATGTTCCTGCATACATAATGCAGCATTCTAAGGTATCTACAACCCGAACCTATAATTGAGCACCTACATGAAGGTAGTCTCAACTTCCCCAGCAAGTCAATCTTGGGGAAATAGAACCCCAGCAGCATTCTGCAACTTGCACCCATATCTAAAAATATCGAAGATAACATTGATATTGCCATAAAGTTATGTTAGAGAAAATGGAAGACTTGTAATAAACATTCATAACCTGCCCAAATAGGGGTTAGGGGGTGGCTCGAAGCCGAGATGTGGCTGTGCACAGCAAGCCCCACGATCAAATTTCGCCCAACAAAAATTCTCGTCGTTTTTTACAATTTCCTTCTTTCTCCCCATCAATCAATCAATCACTCACTCACGGCATCGGTGGTCTAATTGTCTTCAATTAACATCGCTTCTTTAAATCGCCACGCATCTAAATCGAAATGCGATGTAGATTAATTCTTCGCGTGCAACCAAAAGACGGCGTTTGCATCGGTAGGTGATTTGTAATTGCTGATTGTAATTGAGCTTTGGTGTGTGAAGCTATCGTCAGTCGAAGTGCTTTTTTGCCAGACTGGAAACCTAAACTTACATAAATTGTCTTTTGCCATTGCTCGACCAGGCTCGAACTTCAACACCTGATCTTGAGCCGGATACCTCATACGAGTGTATAAGACAAGAGTGAATTCTGCAACGATCTTTGAGTACGGGACCTCGTGGCCATTGGCATCGAGGCTCTCGTAATTTATCTGTTGTAACATTTTAAATCTTCACATGTAGCTTAGCAAATCTGGGAAGCTTGCTTTGTAAAGCTGTTTCTTAGCTTATATTCAATTAAAGTCTATCGAACCCTAATCGCGTTACAGTCTAAGGGCCTTCCATCAATAATCCGAAAAGGAAAAGCCTTCAAAGACATATTGTCGGCAGTGACTTCTGACTGCGATCCATAATACAAAACAATTACTAATCACACATCATTTAAAACCATCACATCCTTCAAGCGTACCATTCACCTGCAAGCCATCTGCTGTACAAGTCGAGGGAGCCCTCGGGCTGGTTGAACGGAACCATGTGTCCGGCTTGGTACACACGCGCGAATGTAAAGTTGCCACTGGACTTGATCTCACCGTACTTGTTAGATCCGGTAGTAAGATCATTGGTCTTAGCAGCATTGAAGTCCTTCTTGCCAGGCCACTCAAGTGCCTCGGACCAGGCCTTGTTGCCCAGCCAGTTGCAGATGAAGTCAGCGTCACCGGCATAGATTAGGACGGGGATCTCCTTAATGATATCAGGGACAAGACGGTGGAAGGGCTTGGACCAGTCACCCTGGAATAGGAAGTTTCGGTTGATATCCGTGTTGCAGCTCTCAAAGCCATCGACTTCAACACCGAGGGCCTTGAGGACCTTCTGTTGGTTTAAGTAATCGGCAATCCAAGCGGTCTCAGTGTAGCAGAGGTTGGCTTGGTCTTTGCACTTCTCCCGGATGTCGTACACGTTGTATCCGGTGCGTTGGTAAGGGCCCATCATAGCGTTGTTGCAGTAAATCGCACTAGGAACACATGACCACACGCTCTCAGACTCGTAGCAGCCAGAGATAAGCGACTGGCAACGCGGAAGAGCGTTGTCCATCGCTTGGCATTCGCTCTCATCGAGGACTGCGTCATATCCACCTTCACCACAGGCCATTGGGCGGTACTGAGCGTACTGAGTGTAGGGGTCCGTTAGACCATTACCGATGGCGACACTCTGCAGGTTGATGTTGCGGTTCTTGTGGGATAGAATCTCCGAGGTGAAGACTGGGATGTAGTGTCCGGCGTACGACTCGCCAGCAATGTGGAATGGTTGTTCGGCATACTCGGGGAAGTTGTGGAAGAATAGAGTCAGGAGAGCGTAGATATCCTTGCCTGCCGCGACGGTGTTATAGACGGGGTTGCTGCTGTAGGAGAAACCAGTGTTGACGGGTTGGTCGATGAAGATAACAGATGCATTGTTATTCCAGGAGTATTCGTTGTACTTGAGCGAGCCGTCCTTGTTGACGCTAGAGGGACCTAGTTCCATGAATAGTCCCATCATCGAGGAACAGCCAGGGCCACCGTTGAGCCATAGTACGACGGGGTCGGTCTTTGGGTTGTTTCGTGATTCAAAGAACCCTAGATGCAATCTGTTAGTGGATGCCAAATCTGAATCTTGATGAGCTCTGTTGCTTACAGTAGAATAGATGCTTATCGTTTGCCTCATCGTCAAGGTACCCACTGTACTGCTTGACCTTATCTACGCCGAGCTCGGATGGGTCGACCTTCTTCGCTCGCAAATTGTAGGCTTCGAGAGAACCTCCGACTTTTCTGTGTTTAACACCGTCGGTCTCAACCCACATACTTTGCACATCAGCGCCCTTGACGACGTGGTCCCATTCGCTATCAGGGCGACGTTTATGACTCTTGGGCATGGAGATAAGGCTGGCAGCCTTTTGGTAGAAACCAGGGACTAGCATGCTCATTTCATCCCAGAGAGCCCTAGCAGCAGAAGGCATCTCATCGTGAAATGTGCTGAGATGCTGCTGGGGATTCTTGACAGCATCGTTGTTACCACCAAGAACGTGTTGATCTTGCGCAAAGACGGCCGTGCTGGCGCCCAGTAGCAGGGCGGAGCTAGCTATTCTCATGATGGCGGTAGGGGATAGTCGGCTGAATTATCAAAATTCAAGACGACTATAATGTTGACGATGATAAAAATGGATGGTTAAGAGAAAGAAAGGATAAGATGGAATGGGATGGGATGGGGATGGGAGGGTTTTAAGAATGGGATTGGGGATGATGACGATGATACAAATAGGTAACAATTAGAAAGGTTGGGGACCTTGGAGCTCTAAGGTATGCGCTATTAGGTACCTAGGGACGCCGCTGCTAGGTACGGTATGCAGGCAGGTCCACCGGGTATTGCATGGGGGATGAAACGGGAAAGAGGACCCGGTTGGCTACTGTCCAGCCAACAGTCATGAGGCGTTCCGTTCGGTGCCTGAGAATAAGTAATTCCTTATTGCTTATTTCTATTATCTTCACGTTTTTAGTACGGTATTTAGACCCACAAATGTTAACACACGACTTTACCCAACCAATTCGCCTTGCTTAATGCAGATCCGATTACGCCAGCTGTTTATGCTATCGATACGGCTAAGCTGCGTGTCGTGTGATAGATGGATGGAGGGGTCCCATTAAGATAAGCCTCATCGGTCATTTCTTCTAATAGGTTGTATCCATGGATACCATTTCGGGTCTCGGGTCTCGGCTTGAATAGAACGAAATACATTCTTATCAGCAGTATTAATAAATTGGGATGAAAGCTCAAAACTGATTCATGTACTTCCGATATTTGATGTGAATTGGATACTCGATAGTTTTATCTAGGCTGGTGCCTGCAGAGAAACAAGCTAGGGGATGTACAGAATTCCACCGTATTATAAGTTAGGTTACGGGTGCAGCAAGATAAAGTGCAATGCTGAGTTGTTCCTGCGTCCCGTCCTTGCGTTCATGTGTCAGTAAGAGAGCGGAAGTACCTATGTTAAGTCCAGCAGCTTATTAGGTACATACCACATGCTTTCATTCTATGTGGGGAAAGGTGAAGCTTATTTCTCTGGAGAAACTACGGTTTTATGAAATTTTATACTGGGATGTGCATGTCATATCTGCAACATCAGAACTTTGTATGCACTCAACCAAATAACCGCAACAACATCTCGACCCCAAGAAAGCAACATGTCGCGACAAATAAATCAACCTGGTGCGTATTCTATTACCTCACCCGCCCTTTTTATTCTCTGGTAAACTGCACATGTACTAACTTCTCGCAGTATGTAATTAGACCCATACCCTCTTCTGCGTCTCCCCGCCCTCTTTGTGACGATCTATGCGCCCACGAAGACCCTGCGCCCAGACAAGGGAATGCTAACATAGCCATACCATAGTCCAACCAAATAAAACTCACCAACGTCTCCCTCGTACGTCTAAAGAAGGGAAAGAAGCGCTTCGAGATTGCCTGCTACAAGAACAAAGTACTAGAATGGCGATCAGGCATCGAGACTGACCTAGACGAAGTCCTACAAATCCCTAACGTCTTCCTTAATGTCTCAAAAGGACAGACAGCGCCATCCGCAGAGCTAGCGAAAGCGTTTGGCAAGGACAAGCCAGTCAACGATATCATCCTCGAGATATTGAATAAGGGCGAGCTACAAGTAGGCGAGAAGGAGCGGGCGGCGCAGTTAGACAGAGTACACAATGAGGTCATAAGTATAGTCGCAAGTAAGCTGGTGGATCCGCGGACGAAGAGGGTTTATACCACGGGTATGATAGAAAAGGCGTTGGATATGTTGAGTTCACAAGCACATCAGCAAGGCGACAAGAAAGCAACAGACACAGGAAGCGGCACGGGGACACCAGCAACGGGTGACGATGCAGAGGCTAAGCCGAGGGCGAAGGAGCATACATGGACAGGCGTAGTCACGACTAAGAGCGCAAAGAGCCAGGCACTAGAAGCTATGAAGGCTTTGATTGCGTTCCAGCCCATCCCGGTTTCGAGGGCGCGGATGCGGCTCCGGATTACATGCTCGACGAATGTGCTGAAGCAGGCAGTGAAGGCACCGAAGAGCGCGGATACAGAAGGAGAGCAAAAAGCACCTGGAACCGTGAAAGACAAGATTCTGAGTTACGTCGAGCAGGTAGAAACGCAAGACGTTCTCGGATCAGAGTGGGAGGTTGTTGGGTTTGTTGAGCCGGGTGCTTTTAAGGGTCTATCAGATTTCGTGGGCAACGAAACAAAAGGTCAAGGAAGAGTTGAGGTTCTTGATATGGCAGTTACCCATGAAGATTAAATACCCAGCCTTGTATCTGGCGTTCATGATAATGAACTTAATAATTATGCAACGACCTAGTAGAGTGGTGATGGACTCGGAAAATGGCATAGACAAAAGATACCCTAGAGCCAAGAATCTCATGGCAGAGCCAGCTTATTTTGCACGCATATAATCACGGAAGATCTTCACAATGAACACATATTAGAGTGTTGGTCACAATAATGTCTCTTTTTTCTCTAGAGTACACCTGCGACTTTCCGAAACCGATGAGCAATGTCCCCAAATCGCAAAGTAATTCAGTGAAAACGTTGATGCAGTAATTTCAGTCCAGCCTTCACGCCTGTCCATCCGCAATGAATGATCTGAACCAATGAAACCATGCCTCCACCACCATGTAATTTTTTAACCACCCTTCTTCTTGGAGACACCAACAGTCCGACCGCGACGACCGGTCGTCTTGGTGTGCTGACCACGAACACGGAGACCCCAGTAGTGTCGGAGACCACGGTGAGCGCGGATCTTCTTTAGGCGTTCGAGATCTTCACGGAGCTTGGAGTCGACACCGTTGGCCAAGAGTTGCGAGCTCTTGCCGTCACCGATATCGCGCTGTCGGTTAAGGAACCAGGTAGGGATCTTGTACTGAGTGGGGTTCTGGAGGATGGTGACGATTCGCTCAAGCTCTTCGGAGGTGAGTTCACCAGCGCTATGTCGATAATCAATTAGCCTACGATCCTCCTATTTCCATTTATGATAGTATAATCGTACCGCTTGTTTAGGTCGACATCGGCCTTCTTGCAGACCAAGTTGGAGTATCGTCGACCAACACCCTTGATTCGGGTCATGGCGTACATAACCTTCTCCTTTCCATCGACGTTCGTGTTGAGGAGACGCAAGATCTATTTGTGAGGGTCTGGTTAGCTAGGATTGTCTCGAAGGATGGTTGCGAATGCGATAGAGATCTTCAATAATTGATGATCAATCCGCGAAATCAAGAAGCGCAAGTATGTAAAAAATCAATTAAGGATATACTTACGAACTGGAAGTTCGTCTTCTCTCCCGAGACGAGCGACATGATGGGCAACTGTGTTGTTGAGTTGTTGCCTTGATGTCGTTCAGATTGGTTGTATCGTGAGTTGAAGGAAGAGAAAGATTGAAGGTTTGATTTTTCTGGTAGGCTCGCTTAATTAGGGTACACGCGGAAAAAGTTAGGGAGGGGTGCCGATTTCCATTTGTGCACTCGAGTCTCCAGTTTTATTTTGTGCGGACTTTCTAAGGGCCGAGCTAAAGTGCGCGCACGGACCACAAGTGCACGTGTGCTTAGCTCCCTGGCAGCAGTAAAAAATTTCTAGCTGTGCTCCAAACTTCTCAACTTAAACTTCCTCCATTATGCTGAATATTTCGACCTGCAATGATCATTCAGAATCGCCATGGCCTTGTCCGTTTCTTACAATTTGTGAGGCCATTGGAGAGATAGAGATCACTTGTCACAGGTTTCACTTGGGTTTGTATAGTCGTTGACTCCGTGACGCGAGGAAGATTTCGACCAACTGTACATTACGACCAGACTCAAGATTACCTACCTGGGTAGGTGCCATTCACGAGCAGGCCGATTATCATTCTATCTTGGCAGCTAAGATTGCGACTCGTTCACATCATCTACATTTGAATTATCTGGGTGTCTTCTGCCCAAGGTAGGTAACGTTTAACCTCCTTCAAATATGCCGGAATACCCGGTTGACGAAATGAGACATTATCAAACATCGATGAAGAGTTAGGTATCAATGTTTATATCTTATTTTCAACTACATATGGCCAGTGATGAACGATCTTACACAGTCTATGAGGATTTCTCTCTATATTGAGATTTCTCCAATGAGTTATCATTTACACTGAAAATTCTGAGGCCTTGATATTATTTCTGTTAGATCATAGCAAATATAACGCCGCTTCCGAGCGATTTCTTATGCGAACCGCCGCCAATATTCATGGCTTTTCCCAAACCTGTCAACCAATGTGTTTTTCCAATACACATATACCGCCAAACGCCAGTTGAAAGAGGCAACCCTCCTCAAAGGTATCATTACATTCGTCTTGTCGTTGCCCTAGCCCAAATAACCCAATTCCCAACATCGAGGAGCTCAGCTACTACTCGTCTGCTTATTTCTCTGACCTTTCTCGTGGGTCTTCTTGAGGTGGTTTGTGGACCAAAGCACTGTCGAATCGAGGATGTGTGTGGCCATGGTCAACGCTGGTATTCCTGGAAGCGCTGGGGCTTATGCCACTCATGCTACTTTGACCACCGTGGCTTGACTTCCGCTTCCCGAAGTTCCACTCAAAAGCATTCAATATCTTTTGATGTTCTAGATTTTGTTGGTTAAAGGGTCTGTTTAGATAGGCCAATTCATCCCGCTCGATAGATTTCTTGGGCTTATGGGATTTGAAACCTCCAGTCAAAGTCCGCATTAATCGAGATGGTGTCTTGGTAAGTTCTGAGGATCCATTGTCGGTTGGTGTTGTAGTGCCGTTTGAGCGGTTACCGCCTGAACTGGCTGAGGATTGTTTTCTGCTGGTGGGAAAGGTCCATCGTCCCAAAGCCATTATGAAGTGGCGATGTGTGATATGTGTGTCTTTTAAAGCTTTGTGCTTGAGCTGCTCCCAAATATCTGGGTACTCGGGACTCGTTCGTGTTATGATTACCCTATTCTTGAAGGGTATAATGATATTATCGTCACGAAGGATGAATGATATAGAAATCCAAAATGCAATAGTAGAAAAAGTCCCAGCAATCTGGTTATTCCTTTCGCTTTATTAGTTTATGAAACGGCTTTGAATGGCACAACGGTGGTCACACCCACCTACCTATCACATTACAATGGTGCTATGTACACTAGTATATACCTCTTAGGGCACTGCTAGGAGTACCGGTTAGGGGGTGTATGGGGCATATACCGATGCTTTTTTAGTCGATTTCGCGGGGTCGCCGGGGTCTAAGATCTGCTATAACCTTCTAACTCTGCGTAGCTCCATGTCCCCACGACGTCATCCTACCGATAAAGAAAGTCGCCGAGACCACCACTACCAACCACTACCTAACTAGAACCTTTTCTAGGTCGATTCTCTCCATCTTAGGACCTACATCTTTTCTCACCTTTTTGGTCACAGGCCAGTCTGGAATGCCTCGTGAGCTCTAGTACTCTCGCATCAATTTCTACATTGAGCATCGAGTGTGTTTACGGACGTTAGTACATCTTTTTTCCTTTGTTCGTACCCCAGACATACCCCAAGGCTTAACCGCAATTCGCAACCCGGGGCTGTGTATTCCCATCCATCCAGCCATTGTTTCCGGGTTCTTTGTCTATATACGTACGTACAGTACATATGGCAATGTCTCGGAATTTTGCTTCTCGGTGGCAATGCTGCATTGTACCCAATGTACACTGCCGAAGGAAGCTGTCTCCGTCTTTTCTGTTGGTCAGCAAGCATCCCGCTGTACGGCGACAAGCATCGGTGACCAGGTAGTGATCCTCTTAGTGGAGCGTTTTGTTGAGAGACTCGAGTAAGTAGAATACTCGAAGTCTTTTCGAAACAGTACCTAGATAGAATCGGACTTATCCGGAAACACAATTCGCTCTCACAATAAGTACTGCGATCGACAGAGGCGTTATTTGTACGAATTAGATGTCGTCGGTATTAATTTACTATGTAGCACCAGAGCACCAGAATAACCAACCCCCCCTTCACAGCTTCTCCCGCGTGCTACGAACATTGACAAGATTTCCCTCATCGTCAATTTCCATCACACATAGGATCAACGTATCTTTAAGTGCGCCAAGTCGGTATTTGTGATTGATTTCCTGATAGTCTTTATTCGCCGCCATGGATGCGAAATGCTGTACCGATGGATAATGCACGAATGCCACCTCTTCCCATCCGTGATCCTGCGCTTGGCCACCCGCCACCTTGCCGACTATTTTCACTCGTCCGCCGTGTTTCGAGCCTACCCTAGCTGCGAATTCGGTGCCGTATTTCTTATAGTCGTCTAATTTGCCCGAATTGAATGCGAGTAGATTTAGCATTGATACAGGATGACTCCTAATCTCAACCGGTAGCCCCGCGATCCATTCATTTAGCTCGGCGCTCCCTTCCAACTTCTGCGATGTAGCCGAGGGCGATACCTGGTGCGGTTCCGGCGGTGCGACCGATCCTGGAGCTGGGCGTAGCAGCTCCGTGTTTATAGCCGCATAGCCCGATAGCGCTTTCGATGAGACGCCGCAAGATGCGCTGAATATACCTTGGATGTCCGCTTGTGCCGATTGTGGGATCGAATCAGCCTCCTTCAAGATCAGAAAGAGATCCCAGCGGAGGTTCCGACTCAATAAGTGGCTGGCCGATAATTCTGTAGGTCGAATCATCCACCGGATGGCTCGCGCCTGGACAACAGGTTTGATGCCATTCTGACGGAGCTTCCTTAGGAATGAACCGACTGTAATACCATCTTTAAGGGAGATGATATGTAGGTGACAGAGAACCATTTGGATTATATCCCGTTCTATCCCTTTGGTTTCGTTAATCTGTTTACAGCATCGATCGCTACATAGATTATAGAATAAATAATATGTCAAGAGTCTTAGACGAAAGACTCCACCTCTGTTGACATATTAGATTATCCCGAGGTATACTAAAAGGGAAAGACAACTCTACCCCACCTAGTCCTATACGACAATGGAACAATCCTAGACCTACTATCGGACATCTGAGTGTTCCTCAAGATGAGGTATGACTAAAGCTACAAAGCTAACCCCAGCTACAGCTTCGAAGGTGAGCTTTAGAGCTACTGGATCATGCATGAGCACCGCGAGGTTGTAGTGCTACCTGAGTACCTGATTCTAGCTAGCACCGGGTACATCAGCGACACCATTGTACCAGAACCCCCTGCGTTTCAAAGATCAGAAACTGAACAACAGGTTTCAAGCATTTACACCATGACACCAGGCACGACAAGAGCAACGTCATTACGTCGATGAAAATGGTCTTAACGTATTATCATTTTCCCTTCAAGTGTCAAAGGACGCTAGACAACCCGAGGTCTCGATTCACCTCATCTTCAATGCTCCAATCCTATCCTGAGGAGAGCTTACATCATATGCAACTCCTTTTTTCAACTCATAAAAAAATGCAGGACGCCTAAGCCGAGATAGCTTTGATATTTTTGAACAAAACAATATACATGAACGTCCGCTGTGGGTATCTACTTTCTTAAATACAAGGAACAACAAGCGAGTGTCCCCGCGAGACTGGCTCGCTCGACATAATATGACTACAACTACCGATATTATTTATTCGCGCGGGTTTCCTATGCACCCGGTGCTTTTGGAGCAGCTGGTTGAGCAGGTTGAGCAGGTGCTGCGGCCGGAGCGGCAGCTGGCGCCGGTGCAGGTGCTGGTGCTGGGACAGGCGCAGCGACAACATTCGTCTCTTGCTTCTGCTTCACGATGTTAACCTGTCCATTGGCAACAGTAATCTGTTCAAACGACGTGAACGACTGCGAAACCAAATTGGCGAAAGCGTTTCCATTAGACTGATAGAAACCGCAATCTTGCAAGAACGAATCAGTGCTCTCGACGAACAAGTTCTTCTGGTTAGGCAGGATGATCGCAGCAGGATCAACGAATACGAGGTCGATAGCAGGCGCCTGCGCGCCGATAGGTAGGATCATGCTCTGGTTCACTTTGCCGAACGGCGCGGCGGGGTCTTGGCCCTCGATGGCGGGTGCGGCTGTTGGCTTTGTTACGGCGCTGGCGGCTTCGACACCGGCGAGGTCAACGGTTTGCGAGGCGCCGATGGTCATGGTTGCTGCGTCGGAGACCATGACCATGACTTGGTTGTCGGGCTTGCCGTTGTCGGCGACGAGTTGGTTGACCATGTATCGTTTCTGGTTACCCTTTTCGGCTCGTGCGTCGATGAGGGTTGATACGGTAACAATTACGGTGTTCTATTCACTCGTTAGTCCAGTACGAGCAGAATCGGATACCATGGCTAACTTACCACCTGTGCGAAGCGGGCCTTGAAGTGGTTCACCCGAATGTTGTTCTTGACCTCCTCTAGCTGGGTGATGAGAGCAACCTCCGCTTGTACAAGCTGAGCAAATTGCTGCTCAGCTAGTCTCTGCAGAGCGTCCAATTGCGCCTTGTTATCCTCCACAACGATGATGTTCGTCTCTTGAACTATCTGTTGGATAGTGAGAGGAGCACGTCGTGACCTCCACTTCAGACCCCTTTCGGGTGCTGAGAGTGCCTTATCGGTCGGTGCTGGGCAGGTTGTTAGTCGATGGTAGCCTTTGAATAGGAGCGCGTGAGTCTTACCTGAGGCAACGAGCGACGACAGACCCATCAAGGCCATACAAGCTTGCTTGAACTGCATTTTGATGAGTTGGCTTTCCAGAAGCAAAAAAGAATGAATAAGAAAAGCCTTTCAAAGGACTGTAATGAAGTTATAATTATGTATAAAGAACGGAATATCAAGACTACCTCTAGGGCGTCGAAGAAGAGAAGAAAAAATGAAAGAAAACGTAGAACGAAGCGGATGATCTACCAGTAAACGATCATACGAGTACTCATAAGGCGATCATTTTCTATGCGAAGGAAATCATTCTCTATCTATATATGCTTCCTACCTAGACGGCGATCTAACACCATGCTCTTTGGTTGATGATTCTCATGATCCCCTCTTCCCTCCGGATGGTCGACCATCCGGACAATCCTCAAAGCGCCAAGATCTTTAACCTCTCCCCTGTCCCAAATACCGCATCTCACAACCTGATTCGTCCGGCTGAGGCTCTGGGGTTGAGGCTCTTTAGTTTAAGCTTATCACTAAGGCGTCGGTTCTAGACTTGGCTCCTGAAGCTAAACTGCTATAAGGAGTCAAGGACCTGGTTCGGATGTCCTGTGCACTGTCTATCTAAGTCTTAAGAGGTTAACGTCTCTTACCGCACCCCAGATTCCAGCATAGCCTCAAAGAAATCCAGCAAATCAACAAGAGAACAATCCGACTTTTGAGATGACAAGCGGTGACAGGTGCTCCAGGTAGTTACCGAATATAGTGTGCCAAGAGCCAATCAGGAGGCGGCATATTCCCCTGCTTCAGGTGTGGTATATGGGGGCCTGTGCCATTCGAGACCCAGACGAAACGTCACTCGTCTTGGAAGAACTTCTCAGGGGTCAACGTAGCAACCAAACCTAAGACGAGTTTTTCTCTCAACGATTAAACGAACCCTTCACGGGGTAAGATGTCATGATCTGCTAAATCCCTTAGTGCGATCTCTTCAACCATGCGAAATGACTTCCGAAATTGGTTGGCTTGCTGTATGGTTAAAACTTCAATATCATGAAGTCCTACTCCAGAAGATGTGACACTACGCCAAGCGCTGTCACGTTGGAACTAGATTCTTGGTCTACTCCATACCAAGCTAGTCCTGTAATAGGACGTACTGTAGCGTGTTTATCATCGCGATATTCTTCACTATATTACAGCGGCTCCTGTTAGTGTTTTCGCTGTAGAGCCAAGGCAAAATCTTCATATTCCAAGGATTGATGCGCGTTGGCGTCTTGCATCGGATTGTTTTGCCGATTCCACAACGTTTTTGTTTAAATTTCCGGTATCCTAGTAGCTTTCTAGAGAACAGCCATGCCCTGGTTGACCGATCGACATGATCACCAAGCTGCTACTAACCCATCCCATCTCATCAGCCGTTCAGCCGTTCTAATGAGCAAACCTGAAGTCTAGTCTCTGCATACCCTCATCCTTGGTAGCCAGCACATAGTTTTCCTGCTCCTCGGATGTCATCGCATTCCACTTCCTATCTCTCAACTTATTCCGCCAGATATAAAACCCCTTCACAAAATAAAACAGCACAATGTTAAACACCGTAATACCTAGCAAGATCTTATTTCCGCGGCGGTAGAGCGGTTGGTCATCGTCGCGGTAGATATTACTCGAGATAATATTACCGCTCTGCACAAACATATTATACAACGCCGCAGATACCGCGCGTGTGCGCACCGCGTTGCTATTCTTTGCATTCCAGCCGACGAGGATCGCATGGCAGTACGGGTACGAAAGGAGACCCGTTAACATCGCGTAGCGCACCCAGGGAGATGCATTGTCGGGGAGTAGGACAAGCGCTAATACCCACGGGAATATCCATATGTTGGAGCTTGAGGATATGATCGAGCGCTCGTTAAAGCGGCGCGATACCCATGTTATGATGAGCAAGTTAACGGCAAAAAGGAATTGTGAAGGAATAGCGAGGAGGTTGGCGTCGAACACCGAGAATCCGATTTGCCGCAGGATATACGACAGGTAGTTGGTAGGTGCTCCTGGTGGAATGTATGTCGTTAAACCGATGATGTAGAGCGGCCACATCTCCCAGTCTTTGACGGCTCTAAAGAGCAGCGTGGGTCCGACAGCTTGCCGATTATTCATATCGCCCTTGCTCGGGTCATCGCGGAGGAGTCGGTTGACGAGTATCAATTCCTCGTGATCGGTGAACCAGCCGTTCTTACCCCGAAACCAATGTCGAGTCTGCGTAGGACCTGGCGGCATCAGACCCCATGAGAATATACCGATAATCAACGTTATTAGGCCTTCGATCAGGAACAACCACCGCCAACCGCTCCACCCGTTAATACCACGCATCTGGAGAATACCTGCGGCGAGCAGTGATCCGATGATGTTCACCGCACTAAGAGCCGTCCAGAACCATGCTAAGCGAAGGGGAAGTTCTCTACTCTTGTAAAAGTAGGTAAGCCAAAGCACGATATCGGGGATGAACCCTCCCATAAGGAGGCCAAGCAGCGCTTTAATGGCGTAGAAGCCAGCACGACTCTTGAGGAAAGCCTGCGATAATGCCACGACCGACCAGCACACCATAATTGTAGGAATCCACACATCGGCTCCAAGCTTCTTACTTATTAGTCCACTAGGTAATTCCGCGGCGAGGAAGCAAGCTAGGAATATCGTCTGCCCGTAATTAAAGTCGTTCGTGTTCATGCCTAAATCAAACGAATTCGTTAGCATTGCATACTTCCGCAAGAACCTCCCACCATCCATTATTCCCCCACAGCTAACGAACCATCCCCAATCAACGGGTGAGGGTGGCCTACCAATTTCCGGCAACATATTATCCGAAATAGCCCTATTTATATTCCTCCTATGCATATCCAACGCGCAAAACATAAGCCAAGCCCAGACCATAATCCGCATATCGATCTTCCGTACCAATCGTCGTTCCTCTTCCGCCGTCCACCGGTACTCCGGGTCGAAGCGATGTCGGTTCTCATATCGCGCCTTCTCGTACTTTAAACGCCAGTATTCAGCCACCGCCGGGTCGGAAAATACATGATCGTCGCCCGATCCATAGTCTTCGTTTTGACCCTTCGGTGTATCGCTTGAGTCCGTCGCGTCTTGCGAGTCGGTAGCGGTCTCCTTGGTTTCCGCTGGGTCTCGGTCCGAAATCTCGATGTTGTGCTTCAGCTCTTCCGCCATAGCTTTCTACGTACCCCAACACTCAAATCACAGCAATTGAGCATACAAGAAGAAAAAAACACCCAAAAAGGCACCTAAGCAATCAAGTAACAGTCCACAGCAGGAATCCTACTACAGTCTCACCACGCAGCATCTATCCATAGCACCACTCAATCTTCTCCGATTCCTACCTACAAAGGCATTATTTTATAAGGTACATACATACACACGCCCAGCTCATTCAACGCCTCCGATCGCCGCGGACGCATTCCGATGTAGTAGTACCGAGGCGCCACCTCCCAGCAATCACGTCATGCGGAGAGACGGACACTGGCTGCTGCGAGCTTATCTATTGCGCCATTCCAGGGGTCGATTGTGCGAGCGGATGGTCCTGCAGCTATGAACCCTATCAAGTACCCGAGACATCTACGCCAAGACTTTGAAAAAGTAATTTTCAGGTCTGTATCACCAGTTATGAATTTAGAAATTACCAATGCCAATACCTAGTAGCTGGTAATGATTTCCCGGGAATGTGTAGGCTGGCTCCGTCTTGGTTTAGTTTTGCGCCGGTTAGGGGCCGTTGGCGGCGGAGCGGACCCTTCCCGCTAAATCCACTTCATCGGTATCTAATCGGATTAGGGAAGGCGAAATACATAACTACCGGACGTATGGGTTAAAATAACGGCGACGTTCTAGTTAAGAAATCACTTATGGCGAATTGGCTCCTAGCTTGAGCTGGCTGAAGCATTAGTAAAAATGTGTAATTTTGCGCAATAGCCACAGAAAGAGTAATCTACGGACTACCCTTCCCTTAAGAAGCATCTTACTAAAACTGCTTTCGCTAGCAGTCCTCGCTGATCGTGACTGCGTACGGTTCCTCCCTATCGATCTGTCGACAAATATTAGGTTCCTTGCCCGCCTTAAAAGAGACTGCAATACAGTCAACGCCGTTGATGAGAAATGCAATATCCGAAAACTAAAACGTATTAACGTCCGCGTGGACGTTGATATCTGACCTTCGGGAATTCTAGCGGCAGCGCCAAGACCGCCACTTGCACATGTGTGCCTTTCTCTGCTCCCTTTGCATTTTTAACCTTGCCACCAATCTCGCGGAAGTATTGAGCGAATTGTTTCTCGTCAAGTCCAAGATCATATCGGATGCTAGCTGTATCGAAGCTGAAATTGGCTAAGACTGCCGCAAGGGCACAACAGTAAGTGTATGTTAGGTCGGTGTGGAATTTCCTCATCTCTCCATTAGACGAGAACTTGCGTCTAATATTCTCGACGACAGGTTCTGGTGCTGGTTTTAATATCTCTCGTAATTTATCCCTCGGTGGAATTCGCCTAGTACCTCTCTCCTTTCCTGGCCTGCTGCTCTTGGTAAATTTGATGAGGAAGTCTAGGTATCGAAGGGCTCGTAATCTGTGTACCGGATTCGGCCCTTCGTTGATAGGCACAAGTCGCCTCGCAATGAATTGAGTTGGCATTGGCACGCTTGTTCCCTTCTTAAGCTGATCCCGCCAGTCTTGGATGGGAATGGAGTTCAAGATCTCGCCTCCAATAAGCTCTTCGAGTGTGTATACGTCCTGGATCTCTTGAGCTTCGAAGTTTCCAGGGGGTACTGGTTTCGCTGCATCAGCGGCTGCTTGAAGATCTTCTTTAGACGCCATTCCTGATGTGACATCGTTTATAGACTCCATTAACGCTTGGGAAGAATTGCTAAGTTTCTGAGGGTTTCTGCCCGCCTCGGCCACGGCTCTCTCCGGAGCGATTGCATTTTCGGTAATTGCAGCAAGAGCCTTCTTTGCCTTCTTGGTTCCGAATGCCTCACCAAGATTGTTACGAAGTTCCATCATTGTCTGCGCAATAGTTAGATTTCCCTGATATAAAATATAGAAAGATGGTATTTGTACCTTAGAAGCCTGTCTTTCTGAAGTGTCTTCCTCGGGAGGTTTTTGTGTCCGAACTACACCTCGGACTGCCATTTTCTTGGCTTCTATTACAGCTAACTTGCCATTGCTCGGATCGAAGACTGCAATGTAATGCTTGAGATGCGACTCTCGACCACCAGGACCTTCTTCCTTTGCTGTATAATCTAACTTGCTATGAGAGGAGGAATGTAACATGAGGTTTAGAGGTTCGGCTCGCTTGCTTCGTTTTGCACTGGAGGGTTGTGGTTTGGTATAGGCTTGGAATTTCACAGAATCGGGAAGACAAAGACCAGGCGACGTTGCTACAGCGAGTTAGTGATGTTGGTGCGGATCTTGTGTTATAATATTGGGAAACCATACCTATCACCGGCGGGCATGTCTTCGCTTGCTGGATAGATGAGACCTTCACGATGCTAGATTGTGTCGGCTGTGAATCTTGAATAGCTACCTTTTTCTTCGGTCGCGAATTAGCATCCTCGCCACGTTTTCTCTTCTTTTCTTTGTGTTCCGCCATGATCGAGTCGTATTAGCCAAACTGGCTTCGTTTATTATGTTATCGGGATTTATTACGATTTTCTCGGCGTGGACTTAAAATTTTGACTGTAGGAATTGAGTCTGAACAGGATAAGAGAAAAAAAGAATATTTTGCCGTTCATGCAAGCCAATGGCCGATCAAGGAAGGCGGTGAGCACATACCCCACGGTGGGTACATAGGTAGGTACCCTTCAGTGCATAACTGTGGGCGTTAATCAGTGTCGCACAGATGCCCGTAAGTACCTAACCGCAAACGGTTTGAACGCTTTTAGAACACACTTGGTATGTACCTGGGCAGCTTGCTTGAACCTTTGCATGCCAACCGCCGTCAGCGACCTTTTTGTGCAACTGGGAGAAAATAGATAGCCCGGGAGAGCTACCAAAAGCTATGAAGAGGGGTAACCCTACAGACGTCATTGATACCTAAGTAATCTCGCTACTCGAACACCACACAATTACGAAGTCACAATTCATTAGAAGGCAGAGTAAATGGGATCAGACTTGCAAATCTATTGACTAGCAAATTGATCTTTTCTTCGTGCAATGATCATGAACTTATTCACAGTAATTCTGCTACTTCGTTCCGCGATGCGTAAACACAATCGTTGGTCCACTCGATGGTGATTGACCAGCTATCCTCCTTGTCCGGTTCATTGCCATCATTTCTGCCAAGCCTCCACAGTTCCAGCTTTTCTCGCGATGTTGGTTGTTTTGTTGTCTGTAGACATCGTCTAGAGTTGAGTTCCGAGTGCTAAATACGAACGTGTCGAGTGGGAGTAGTGATTGTCATGTGGCTTTAAGTTCTAGCGGGAGAGGCGCTGAGATCGAGTGGGTGATGCGTTTACTTGCTGTAAAAAGGAAGATCAATTAGTATCGGGCTGGCATACAGCTGTGTGGGAAAAGGATGCGATAACTTACCTGCGGGCTCTCATCTTTCTTCTCTTTCGCTTGAGGCGACGAACTCTCTTCTTTCTCCACTTAGCTCTCATCTTGGCGACTTAATCTGTTTATTGTTAGCTATTGTTGCTCTTATAATTGTGGTGGTGGTGGTGAATGATGGGTGCTAGGTGTTGGTGGATTATGGTGGCGACTGCGCGGGGAAGCTCGTGCGAGTCAACTATGCGCACAGACGAAAATACCAAAAACAATGCAAGAACAAGAGTAATCAATTGTTCTATGCTTCTTACAATTGAAATGCGAAAGGGGATTGAGCTATGTGAAGCTTTGAAAAGTACTTACAAGTTGCTTTGGATGAGTTGCTTTGATGATGAAGCTGTGGAAGAGGAAAGGAAATTTTGGGAGTGGCACGAATTGATGAAGTATGGTCGGGAAATTATGTTAGGGTTGTGACCGGCTAAAATTCGGGTAGAATACAGTGGGGCATTTGACATTTTACTGTGGTCATTGCACTGGTGCCTTCCTCGGTCAAGTTTGAAAGGAATCACATAGAACAACAACAAACTTTCTTGCATCCACAATGGCACTCGCCTAGCCTTTTAACGCGATTTCCTTAAAAAATAACATGCAGTGATTCTTAATATTGTCGCAGGTAGTGGTTCTTGCCTTTAGGCAGGACTTGTCCATATCAATATGGATTTCGAGGTAATCGCGATTCCTCATTTTTCGATTGACTTTTCATGTTAAAAAGTCAATTTTTCCACTGAATGTTCTTAGGTATCACGCTCTTCTCATAATACAAAGTTTTTTTTATTAGACAATGGAAGCCTATTGTTTATTCATCGTCTTGTTAGTGCAATTGTAACCCCTGATGCACTTCATATTATTGCTTCAAGGGGTAGTATCTCTACTACTGTCGCCTACAATTGATGAATTATTCACACCATGTGTCGCCCAGTCGCGTTGGTATCTTGCTGGGTAGATGCCAACCCACCACAGGATTGTGAACCTCCAAGTAAGGACTATAAATACTAAGCTACCTACTCTCATGTTCTATCGCAGAACCTAACGCACGTTTCTACTCCTAGGAGGTTTCCACGTAGGAGCGTCGTTAGTCGAAAAAGCTAGTCATCATAACTCTCAACTCTTCACAGATTTACCCCTATATCCTGGGCAGAACATTACCGTCGGAAGAGATCATCACGAGAAGTATGTGAAACATGCACATCGCTAATATTCATCTTCTTTGCTAAATACCGAAAGTGCTATCTCAATCAATCATCCCTATGTTTCGAAGAAGCATTTCGTTATTTATTCAGTCATCTATGACTTGGAAGACACCTCAAGTCAACCTCCTCAGATATATGTCCGAGATTGCCAGTCTTTGGACGGTACATATGTCGATGACGTCTGTATTGGCAATAAGAAAAACCCCTCAACAGGATTCTACCTTAGTCGAGATGTGGAAGTCACTATCAAACCTCATTGGAAATTCCGCATCTCCCTTTTAGATCACCCCGATCTAGAATCACCGCTTAGTGCAATTCAACTTCGAGAGTCCAGTGTAGGTTCAGCTAATAATCAAAGGTGCCCAGACAAAGTTAACCACGAAAACTATAGCTTTTTAATGATCGGTACATCATTACCAACCGAACGTTAGGTAGTGGGTCGTTCGCATCGGTTCACCTGGCTGTCGATGTAAATACAGGCAAGCAAGTTGCTTGCAAGATACACAACCTCGACCGCCTTCGTGAGTCCAAAGGCTCAGAATACTTAGTCAAGCGCGCAATAGACGAAACTGACATCCTCGGGAAGTTGAGACACGTAGGTGTTATTATTCTAGATTTTAAAAAGCAGACTGTTAATAATGCTGCAAGCCAAATCTGCCCACATTTGAGTATGCGTTTCGTTCTTCTCACACCCTATACGCCCTCACCGAGCTCGCAACTGGGGGAGACCTCTATTCAATGCGCCTTAAACACGGAGTCTTCGAGGAATATGATTGCAAGCCTATTATCCAACAGATAGTGAGCGCTATTCAATATCTTGTACGTTATATCAGGTGTCGATGCCTTCCATCCCTGCCCATGCCATTAAACGAAGTGAAACTAATTGCGCCACGGCAGCACAACGGTAACATCGCACATCGAGACCTAAAACCCGAGAACATATTGTTCATGATTGGGCCAGAATTGAACGGTAGACTAATCGTTGGAGATCTTGGCTTTGCAAAATCTCTGGCCTCGGGCAGAATGACTAGTCGAGTAGGGACTACACATTATATAGCGCCGTAAGTTTATATTATTCATTGTCCTAGGTTTTTGCTAACAGTTTATTAGTGAAGTCGATGGCCACCCCACGCATGGTTTGGCAGTAGACATGTGGTCTCTGGGAATGGTTACTATGTTCCTTGTAGTAGCGGACCACAATGCAATACCTAGCAGGTTCGCAACGATAAACCAAGCGGCCATCGACGGATGGCTTGACGCTGTGTTTAAGGATCGGTACCACGAGGACATCAGTAGTGAATGCCAGGATTTCATTAGGTCGTGCTTGATGTTTGAACCTCGACGAAGAATGAAGGCTTCTGATGCGATGCGTCATCGTTGGCTCCGCCGCCTAGGTAGAGGAGGGGCTAAATCATACAAGAAAGGAGATGCTGATACATGGAAGCCACCACATACAATATCACCACCCGTACAAGAACTTCCCGAGGTGGAAGATATTGAGGACAATATCCAACCAAGAGGGGACGACGCCGCCTACACGCCACCAACCACTAGGTCAGGTAAGAGACGATTCGCAGATGCGGGTGTGAGTGTGGGAAATTCTCAGAATCCGCAAGAATCGCCCTACTTTGAAGGGTCACAGCCACAGGTCCCTAAGCGACTAAAGACATCCGTCAATGAAAACAGATCCCTTCATGGATCTGAACGATCGGAGCCGTCTATCTATACAACTCCAAAGGGGCAGCGTACGGCTATAATAAGGGATCCATACTCCATTGATCAATGAGACCGGTTTTAATACGCTAGTCGTTACACCTGGACTTTGTCAACCCGAGGTACTACTAAGGGTATGCCGAGTAAGTCAAACAACCGCTTTCTACCAGCCAGCTTGTATCATCTTATTGTCTACCTGGCTTGGGAATGTAATTTAAAGAAGAAAAAATTAATTGTAGATTGCAAGTTATTGATCTCTTTCGCCGTTTCATTCCAATTCCTTTGTTCGTGAACTCGCCGAGTCGGCGTGTTTGTACAACACAAAAACAAAGACTCTGTTCCCATTGTCTATTGTTGTCTTGGATGCATACGAGGACAGATAAAAGGCAGGCCAATTCCAATATGCCACTCACCATCATCAGCATTATTCTCTACTGTATTCGAGTCTATTGTAAGTCTATTACACCTGGAAACACATAGTCATAATGCCGTCAGCTCAACAGCAAGATCTCGCCGGAATGAAGACCGAGCAACCCGCGAACACTAAAAACGTCGTGGGCAAGTCTCAAGAAAAGCCCTCTACAGGCAACGGAAATCCTCAGGAACCTCCAAAGCCGGGTGAGGAAGAAAAGGAACCCCCTCGGGACTCACTCACAGGTCGAACACTGGCCGACGATGGCGGATGCTGTCTAAGATGTACCGAAAAGGGGCTACGATGCACCCTTATGTTCCTCGGAATCGGTGGAGAGGACAAATGTTCGGCCTGCCGTCGCAACAAAGCCAAGTACTGTTTCCGCCTGCAGGCACCGTCGCGCCGAATTGGTTGGAGAGGTCCGCCTTGGAAGAACCCGAACTTCTTCACCATCGGTGAGCAGCCTACCCGCGAGGAAATGGAGCAGATTCTTCGAGACCACTACCTAGGCGAGGAGACTTGGCGCCATGGCATGTACATCAACGAGGCGGAGCGCAACTCGCTTGCTCTCCCTCCTTACAATGGCACCGACAGACCACTTGACGAGAGACCGGAGAACTGGAAGTCTGTGAATTGGCAGCATGTTCTTCCAACTTGGGAGAATCGCAGTCTTAAGCCTCGTCCGTTTAACACGGGAGAGGGGGAGTTCGATGATGGTATTCCGATTGATCATGGATTCCTTGTTGATGGTACGCTTGAGTACATGCGCGCCCGTAGGGGATATGAGCCCAGGACTGAGCATTTGAGTGAATATATGGATCTTGGAGAGACGTGGTGATGGTGATAAGATGATGAGATGAAAATTGGAATTAAAAAAAAAGGAGTTGTTAGAGGATAGAGGATGAGTTATTGTTTTATGTTATTGTTTCTTGTTAGGAGTACATAGTCACTGCATCACCAGTCTTTAATCCAAACCCCGTCATATCACAGATAGATATTTCAATTTCTCAATACAATCCTTGTTATATGTAATTGTTAAAGCCGTCTGGCTTCAATGCATTTGTTCAATCGAGTCGGAACAAGGTGTCTTTGTTAGTGCACGATGTAATGAATTGAGGATATGATGTCATAACCCAAATCCATCCATACAACTACCTAGGTACCTACTTAGGTACATATATAGGTAACAACCTAAAAAAATACATCACTATCGTCTCGCACCTTCCAAAGGTTAAAAAACACGTGATATACACGTGTTGATTACACGAGGCCATCGTGAGGCCAAACAAAATGGTAAAAGAAACTCCCCCGGACAGGTTTGAACTGTCAACCTCCTGATGGACTGAATTCCTACTGGAAATAACAGTCAGACGCTCTGCCAATTGAGCTACGGAGGAGAAGGAACGAACCAATCGGGGATTGGCGATGAATTCTCGGACTCTTAAAGGTGTCTATAATGTTTGTGTGGTGGGGTGCTATAGTGCTAGAATTGAGAGGTCCGTGCTTGTTACAGTATCCGGGCACAGTAAAACTTGTATGGGTTACTGTCTCGCTAGAAACAAAAGCAGTAGTACAAGCCAAGTTACAACCCACTCTTCTATCTATATTTAGAGCATCACCATGGTCCTCACGCTACAGATCGATACTATACAGGTTCAACCTTATATAAAACTCCTAGTAATGATACTTCTATATATTATGTAGAGCCAGTTTCTTCAATTGAGTAGTTACTTTCAATGGCTGACCTCGTCGGAATAGAAGAGACCAAGGCTCGAGAACTATCAAAGAAACATCAACCATAAGGAACCCAGAACCGAGTGAGCCGGTGAAGGATAAATTTGCTCCTACTTAGACTCTAGTAACAATAGTTTCATCCCATCTCTTCTTGAGAGGCTAGATCTAGTTGATCACGCGGAGAATCGTCAATGGCTAAATACACGTGTATTTCGGCGAAGAGGATCTCACCTCGACCATTTACCCGTCCTTGGCCTGGATATCGTTAATCTGAAAGAAGTTCACATACCCCACAACTAAGATGCGGAGGTGACATTTCGTGGAGCTTAAGATGACGACCGCATGGTTATCGAGGCGAACCGGTTACTCTCCACGTGTTGGAGGCGCTATATAGTGCTTTATAGTATATGCAGATGTCACCGTTAGAATACGGCAACGGTCTAGACCGAGGCATACAAATTTGTATGGCCTAGCCGGCAAATATCCATCATGCTGGCTCCTTTTCTATTTTGGGCTGTTCCATACTCTTAAAAACTGAGGAACGCCGGGATCAAATTGTGTCAATCATAGGTCTTTATTGAGCTACGAGGATAGTTTTAGCGTAACGAACATGAGGCTCACAGATCTTCTCGCTATCGTCGGCACCCTACCGCTGGTATCCGCGGCGCCATCATGGCTCCCGCTCACCCGCCGCCAGTCGGGATCGACCATCACCGTCGACTTGACCAAGACATACCAGACGATCGACGGCTTCGGGGCCTCGTTTGCGTTCCAACGGGCTAATTTGATCACTAACATGTCGGACAAGACCAAGCAACGGGAACTACTCGACCTACTCTTCAACACAACAACCGGTGCCGGTCTATCCATCATCCGAAATGGTATCGGTTCTAGCCCCGACAGCAGTTCCGACCACATGAACACATTCGCACCGAAAGACCCGGGCGGCCCAACGGCAGAGCCCCAGTATACCTGGGACGGAAAGGATTCTGGTCAACTCTGGCTCTCGCAGGAGGCGTATAATACCTACGGTATCCGTCAGATCTATGGTGATGCTTGGAGTGCTCCCGGATACATGAAGTCGAATGGTAACGAGGTTAATGGTGGCACGCTTTGCGGTGTTAGTGGGACGAACTGCCGTAGTGGTGATTGGAGGCAGGCGTATGCGAATTACTTGGTTCAATACGTGAAGTACTACGCTGAAGCTGGTGTTCCTGTTACGCGGTGAGTTTTCTTCTTCTTCTTCTTCTTCTTCTTATTTATCTTTCTTTCTTTCTTCTTGAAAAGAGGTGATTAAATATTTACGCAACTCTCGATCTGATATGTCTCTAGTATCGGTTTCCTCAACGAACCTGAGTTCTCCACGAGCTACGCCTCAATGAACTCCAACGGAGCACAAGCAGCCGACTTCATTAAAGTCTTACACGCTTCACTTGAAGCCGCAAACCTGACATCGCAAGTTGGTATCGGATGCTGTGAGTCCGAAGGTTGGGGTAACCAAGTAAACATGGTAAACGCTATCAAATCAGCAGGAGCAGAAGACCTTCTAGCCATGGTAACTTCTCACACCTACACCGGCGGTCCATCCGGTCCCATGAATACCCGCGTACCCGTCTGGCTCTCCGAGCAATGCGATCTCCAGGGCCAATGGAGTACATCATGGTACGGCGGTGGTGGCGCTGGTGAGGGCCTGACGTGGGCTAACAACATTTACAACGCGCTTGTTAATTATAACATCTCGGGATACCTATACTGGTATGGATATAAACCCAGATCTAAGTGTTGATTTTATTGGATACAAGTACTAACTGCAATTCTAGGGAGGGTGTACAATGGCCCTCACCAAACACAAACGAGAAACTAATCCGCGTCGACCAACAATCGCCCTACAACTACGTCGTCGCGCAACGTCTATGGGCCTTCGCCAACTGGAGCCGTTTCGTGCGTCCCGGCGCCATCCGCATCGGCAGCAGCGGTGGGTCAGGCGTTAAGAGCGCCGCCTTCAAAAACCTCGACGGGAGTATCGCGGTCGTTGTCATCAGCACAGGTGGATCGGCTAGTAATGTCAACATCAGCTTTACTGGTCTTGAGGGCAATGCGACTGAGGCTACGGGCTGGGTCTCGGATCAGACGCATAGTTGTGAGAAAATCAATGTTACGGTTGCGAATGGTGCGGTTAGTGGAAGTGTGGCTGCGCGCTCGATTACCACGTTTCATATCGTGAAACCGACGGTCCCGTTGGTGGAGAGGAGTGAGGAGAGTAAGAGAGGATGGCGGTTTGTGTAAGTTTTCAGGTTGGTAGGGTTTGTAGGCTTGAGTATCAAAAGTTTAGGTTGAGTTGCTAGCATATACTTCATGAATTTATGAATAAAAGTACATCTCCTAAGTAACCCTTGATGCAATGGATTGGTTGGACCACTGTCTTAGTCTAAGTAGATGGATCCCCAAGCAGTCCCGCAAGTGCGGCCTTTGTATCAGCACCTGTCTCCTTGACTAGCTTCGCTATCTCCCTGAACTCAGGAATTGAGGCGTCGCCCATGCACTCGTACAGCCAACTCTCGCTCGTCGTGACAATCGCCCCCTCGGAACGTAGTCGTGCCAGAGCGATAGGTATTTCCTGCGGATTACAACTACTCACACCATCTGCTAACACATACACTTTGTGTCCACGTGCCACTAGAGATGAGTGTTAGTAGCCTAGGAAGGGGAGTTAGGCGAGGGAAAGGGTGGGGTCCGAAATGCTAGGAATATCACATACGTAGATCTAGCGATGTCTGTGTAACGCATATATGTGACTCAATCCCTACAATCACAATCTCGTGCCCAGGGACGGGAAACGCCGAGGAGATCTCCGCCGCACCTAGCATGCTGAAGGCCGTCTTGTCGGCCTCGGTATAAGGCACTGCGCTAGCGGATATCTCCTTCTGTATCTCTGGTACTGTGGCCCCAAGCTTGGCCGCGATCTGCGTTGTCGCGAACACGGGGATGTTGAGGATCTTAGCTGCACGGAGGACTTTTTGCGTCGTTAGGACGCTAAATCAAGGGCGATACTTTCGTCAGTACCCATGCCTTTACCCAGATGACACTTAGTTTATAGTAGAAGACATACACTTTGTCGAACTGATGGATGGCATTGCGAAATTTGTCCTGTAAATCGCAGACACTACACAGTGCTCCAAGTCAATTCCACACTATTCAGCGAAACAACGCCAGCACCCTCTCATTTCTAGGATGGACTAACAAGATTGCTGGCTTTTCTGTAGCAAATCATCAGTTCCATACGCCTTTCCTGAGGGATTTATGAAAATAATGTGGCTTACTGTGGCGTAATCGTGAACCTGATTCCATGGTAGTAGTGGCGTCGATGGTTACGGACCTCCGATGGAGATAAAGAGATGAGGTTGTAATTGGACGTGGTCGAAGCCCCCTTGCAAATGCGAATTTACCGAATATTTTCGCGGAGCTCATGAGCGGTTGCTACGTGTACCGATATCAAAGTAATGACAAAGATGGGAATTCCGAACTTTGAGCGAAAGCCGATGAGAGCCAGGAGATATAAATGTGAATGCGGATGCGGGGAGCGGGAAAGGGAGCGGGAGCGGAAGTGGGGATGGTGTCAGGTACATTAGGTACTTACGTACCTAGGTAGATACTTAAGTAGGTACATGTACATAATGTACTTTCTCTTGAAATCATGAAGAACTTGATTGATGATATTATAATTGAGTTGGTATAGTGAATTTTATTTTCAAGGTACATCGTAATTGTTGAGAGATGAATACAATTATATCAAAAAGGAGGGAATTACAGCCCAGAGTGTGTACCCAAGAAATCTACCTCTATCCGTCATAGTATTAAGATATCTGGTATTCAAGATACCACCGAAACCTTTGCCCTCTTCAACCATCCTTGATCTCCTTTAACTGTGGCTTTTCTTACATTATACAATTCGTCGATAAATGCCGGGACAAAGGTACCTGGTCCTTTCACATCATCCCGTTCCGCTGCAATTTCCGCTGCGATGCTATACTGAAGCAAACCTGTTATCACTGCTGCAAGTTTGTCATTTGGGTGCGCCGCAATCATAGCAGAGATAGTTGTTCCAAGGCAACATCCTGTACCCGTTACCATGCCCAGGTACTCGTGGCCATTGTCTACGGCGTATACCGTGTCTCCAGCTGTGACTAAATCTGTCTTCCCGGTCATCACAACAACATGTCTACGGAGTTTGGCCAGCTCCTTAATTGCGGGCCCTAACTCCTTAAGGTTCTGATTACCGGGACCACTATCGACGCCTCGTTGCTGAATCTTGGATCCACCAGGTGTACAAGATAGAATTTCCGACTGGTTGCCCTTCAGAACATCCACGAAGCCACCGCCAAGGATAGTCTTAACAGCTGATCGCCTAATGGCAGTTGCTCCAGCACTGTTCGAGTCCTGTTAATTTACAATTCAGAGTTGGGAAGATGGGATGATAAGACTCACCCGACGGGATCGAACACCACCGGCTGCCCAGCATCGTTATACGCCTTCAGCGCCTTCAAATAATTCGTCAATCCATCCGGTGTAACCGTGCCCATATTTATGACTAGAGCGCCGCCTAACTGTGCTAGGTCCTTCGCCTCCTCTCCGTAGTTTGCCATGATCGGGCTCGCACCTACGCTTAAAGCCACATTTGCTGCGAAATTCTGTACCACCAAATTCGTCATGTTATGCGATAGCGGTTTCTTACCGTCTACGGATTTGATTATATATGGCACCAGGGACAAGATCTCCTGTGGCGACCTCGATTGCTGTCCTGGCACAACCGCAGATTTCGCAAATGCGGGAGGTGATTTGACGAGCTGAAGAAGCTCTTTTGAAACTGCTTCAGGGTCTTTGGCTGCCATGATAGCGCTCACGACCGCGACACCATCGAGTGATTTGCCGTTCCCTGCGCTCTGCCATACCACACGCGAGACATTGGATGCATTGATGCCACCAATACATACCGTTTTCACGGGCCATTTTTCAGCTGCGATCTTGAGGAGAACCTCCTGAAGACCTTCTATGCCAATGATGCTTTTTGTGTTCTCTTTTCTAAAGCTGTATTAGCGAATTATACAAGAGTGATGTTTCGAAGCTGGTCTTACGTAGCCGTGGCAAACACCGTCCCAACACCCAAGTAATCAGCTCCTCCTTTCGCTGCCACTTCTGCCTCAGCGACACTATTCGCCGTAACACCAATAATCTTATCCTCCCCTAAAAGCCTCCTTGCCGTCGGTAAATCTGTTCATCACCGAATTAGCGTGTCAATTCCTGTATTACTCCCTCACATACACCATCCCGCCACATCCTCCCCTACATATACATTACGTCATACCCAACCCTCCCCGAACCACCAAACCATCAAAGTAAACAGAAATATCTTAACTCAAAACTCACCAATATCATCCTGTCCAATATGCACGCCCTCACACCCAACCGCGAGCGCAACATCCACACGATCGTTAATCAACAGCGGAACATTGAACCTCCTCGTAATACCATGCAACTTCCTCGCTGTACTAATAAGAATCCCCGTATCACTCGTCTTATCGCGATACTGCACACACGTCACGCCGCCACGCAGTGCCTTCTCGACGACATCGCATAGATCAGCGTTACCTAGGATCGCCGGCGTCGAGTCCGTTACTAGGTATAGTGTATAGTCGACCTGTGGTTTTGGCATTTTCTCTTCTAAGATTACCCCTCACTTATTCACTTCTCTTTAGACGGATCGAGACGGGGATTAAAATATTAGATTAGATATAAAAAAGTGGCGAGGCTTTTAGCAATACGGAAACATTCCGTTTATACATCCATGATCTAATAAAGTTGTGCGACTTATTCCACCGCACCGTACTAAGCACGCAACTAGCGGGGCTAGCAGCTGTCCCCACGCCGTCGGATTTGACGTATTTTCTACGTTAGTTACCAAAGTACCTATTGCTAGTGAACATTAGGCTCAGGTACCCGACTTACAGAATACATCATAATACTGTAAATCCATAATGAAAACACACTTAAAAACGCTTCGTGTTAAATATTATTATTTTATTGAGCTTTGATTTTTATTGGCTTTTTCTTAATCATGTTCTACCTACAACAAGGTATAAGTAGAATCTCGCTGCGACTCATAATACGAGTCGACACGATACAACACGACAGAGCATCATATCAGAACATGAAACTCGGCAAACCATCATACAAGCATTACTCCATTCATCATAGTTGCGTGCACATTTCTGCAGGACCACCTAAAGTAAGGCATTCCTTAGGGAAGTACCCAAGGTCATTTACTCGGCCGCTGCAGTTGGCGTTCTCGGCTTGTTCGAAGAACTCATCCATGAGAAAGCCGAAGCGCTACCAATAGGATTGGTCGACGTACGAGGTGTTCCTGATACGCTCCGGGTCTCGCGGTTGGCTTGAGTTGGCTTCGTCTCCGCGCCTCCAATCGGCGTTCGCTTCGACTCCCACCGAATTGCAGAGCTGCCGCTGCTAGCGCTATCGGCTCCAACCTGGCTTTTGCGTCGAGGTTCGCCACTGCTTCTAGGTGGTGGCGCCGGTTCGTAGGATGCTCCCGTTCTCGCTGAAGATGACGTTGTTGATTTCATCGGCTTCAGAACCTTCATGTTCCGTCCTCCCCGTCCGGCAGGTTGATAACCACTTAGAAGAGCGTTTTCTTTTGGCTCATTGCCATTAACAGTAGGTCCGTGACGCCATGAATTCCAGATGCTTCCCGCTGCCGAAGTTCGACGTGAAGTATCACTCGCAGCATCATTTGCTTGAGCTTGGGAGTCCTTCGCGCTAGAGTCCGACATACTGGCTTCCTTATATTGTCTTTCGCCCTCACCGCCGTTTTCCGAGACACTGCTCGCTCCTGTGGTTGCAGCTTGTTGGCTTGCTTGTTCTGAGGCCGGTGATGCGAGTACCCGAGAATCATCGTCATCGCGCGACTCCTTCCCTTCGGCTCCGTCCGAATGCGCCGTAGTTGTCGATTGTGGCTTGCTGTCGCCCAAGATGAATGGTCGGGCGTTGGCATTCAGCTTCGGTTTCTCTGGGAAAATGGCCATTGTACGAATGTGTTTGAAAACACTATTATCCTCAGGGCGCACGAAGGGGACAGATAACTTCTCACGTTCGCTACCGTAAAGAGTCATCCGGTTCTGCGAGAACAGTACGTCGGCTGAATGCTCCCTTAGTGTCTCACTGCCTAGAAAAATACGGATCGCCTTTTTAGCTTCAACGTTCTCAGGTTGATCCATCCCCGCTACCTCAAAAGTGCAAGTAAGGCTCGGCATCTGTGGCGCTGGGCTCATTCCCCGAGAATTCGGTTGAGATACGGTTGCTTCCGTTAGGTACACAGGCAAACGAATCCGATGAATACCGTCCAAATCGCGATGAATATCGTCCACCAGGTCTAATTCCTTGATTAAAGAAAACTCGACGACCGACTTCTGCGATCCGGTACACACATCGGCGTAAAGCAGAGTATCGTGTGCAAAATTCGCTGTTAACCAACATCGAATAATTGAAGGCACAGATCCCAGTACGAACAAGCTCGGCGGTGGTTCCGGGATCCCGATCGGTGAATCGTCCTCCTGAGCACCGGGTGTGAACGTTGTATCCAAACCCAAACTGCTCCCACGACCGGAAGCAACGGAGTGGATCGAATGGATCGAATGCACCGAATGGCCAGCAGAACTATGTCTACCGTCCGATTTATGAGACAGCGAACGTTCCATCATGTTATTGTTGCCGAGAACACTACCGGGTCTGATGGGACCGAAGTCACCTGAATGCCGGCCGTTTTGTGCCCAACTCGAACCCTGAAGAGCACTTTCATCAAAGCGGACACTATTCGCTCTAGAAGCTGCACCACGTCTAGTAGGTTCGTCTTCGGCATCGAGGTGTAAGCTTCCTAGAAGGTTTTGGCCCTGCTCTTCGAAATCGTCGAATATCTCGTTCGGAGGCATCTGAAGTGGACCTAGACAAACACTATTAGTACAATCATAACGTCACAAATAAGTTGGTAGAGAACGAACCATGTTGCGGTGTACCACTCAGAGCACTAGGAAAAGGTGAGTTCCAAACAGATTTGATGGCAGCATCGTCAGCTTGGCGTTTCTCTAACCGGGAAAGTCTCTCGGCGTGATTGTTTTGTATCATTTGCATCTGTTTGACGTCCATATGGACATTGTAAAGCTCTTCACGAGAAACTGCAAAGCGGGAATCCATGCCCGTTGGGTTGACAAGCATACAGATCGAGAAGGCGATGTCGACGAAGGATTATGCACAGCTAAGAGCAGTATCGAATAGAAGCACGAGAGAGGCAAGCCGAGACGCTTGCGTTGTAGGTCGGAAAGGACGGAGTCGAAGAGTTGACGTCGAAAGAGCAAGGATAGCCCACTCGTAGCATTGGATGAAGACCCTTTACAAAGTTATAGCCCATCGACTTGATGTATAGACTCCAAAGAACGGTGCTTCGCGATGTGATTAACTCTCCCCGTTTGAATCGCTGTGGCCTCTATCCTTGATATATGAATGACAAGGTCCACCACCACCTCCTCATTGCAGAGGACCTAATGGTCACTTTGCGAAGCACCGTTCGGAAACAATTTTTTTCTAGCAATCCGAACGTGGTAGACGCTGATGATTATTATTATTGGGACTATTCGAGGTCGAAACACAGTGGCTTCCGGCGGACGTAGGGAGCGAGACGACGACGCGGCGGGGCAATGCTAACTCGGAATATCGGTCAGGCAGGTAGGCAAGTTTTGTGGTCGTGGGAATATAATATTCCAGAATGCTTCGCGGTTGAGCTGGAGCGAGGCGACTCTCTTGGCACCAAGACGGTCGGGATAGTAGCAGTATATTATTACGATCACGAATACAAGTTACAACTCCAAGCGAACTGTCTTTTTTTCTAAATGGACGAGGACAGGTTTGGTTTGGGTGTCGGAGGTGGCGACTGGAATTCGAAAGGGATCTACAGGTATACGACGTTTAAGTAATCGAGGTCGACGTCAGGGAAAAAAAAGCGACTGGGATAAAGAATAGGATAGCAGCAATTCAATCGACGTTCTAAGGTTTCAGAATGGCATCCGAGATCGATATATTGGTGGGGTGTGAATGTGAATGACGGTGGGAAGTATTAAGGCATTAATTTTACCTTACAAAGTGGAAGTGAGAGCAGATTGTATAAGAAAGAAGAGGAAGGAAATGTGCGTTAAGTTTCGTCGTGGATGTAGAAAAAATAATAAGCTTCTGAGAACAGGCGATTGCTAAGAATCTAGGTGATGATGATTTGGTTGTAAGTTTATGGATTTATGGATTCTCACACTATTACGCTCTTCACACAAAAAATGGTTGGTAGTACATAAGGAAGTACCTGCCTCTAGGTCGTAACGGTCGTTCACGTTCACAGGCACTTATCCACCATTGGATTCCCTTAGCGTGCATCAAACTTCAGTACGTACCACGCTATTGATAGGCAGGTATTTTCCTAAAGCACTGGCCAAGGAGCTGCCGCCTATAAAGAATGCCATACATCCTAGTAGTGACCCCTAGCTTAAAACTAGGATCTCCAACTAATACCTCACTTAAGGAACTTAATGAGCACTACCAGGGCCCATTCTTCCCCAATGCAACTGTGTATATAGAGGTAGGTACCTGATTGACACGGATACTTCAGAAGGATTCGCCTGCGTTAGTGTACTTCACTCCTGCATCGTTATGTTCTACATAACAACAATTAACTCCATCCATTATCGGTTGCACACTTCTCACATATACAATTGAATTAATTCGGAGGAGCAAAGGAGTCATATATATGAGTAACTTGGCTTTTCTATTTTCAGAAATCCTCCCAACCGATAGCATCTTGTTGTTTCTATGCTAGCTATGAGCGATTACAATGTACCAGGATTCAACTCCCGCCAACGCGGGAAGACTTCCTTTCCTTCGGGGAACGGATCGATATGTGGCTTGACAATATCAAAGAAGACCTTGTAGGCTTCTCCGCTCATGTGTAACCCATCTGGTAAAAGTTGTTCCAGGGCACCTCGCTTGCCTCCAGGATGCCCTAAAGGAGAACCATTCGCGTCGAAGTCCGGAGTCAGGGAAATGGCTTTATCCATAATTGCCTTTTGCAGATCGATAAGCACCACACCGGGAACCTCGGCGGCCACTTTTCGGGCAGTCTCAGAGTAAGCAGCGCTCACAGCCGCTTGCCTCGTCGATTGCGGGTGGCCTACGGCCGTGTCAAGAGGAGTAAGTCGAATCTCATCTAGTGGAGGTGGCGTGACCAGTAGGATCTTTGGATTGTGAGCTTTTATGTGATCGTGGGTGATGATCTTGATTAGGTTCTCTTTGTACTGCTCAATTGGAACCCCTTGAGTATTGGTCGGAATTGGGAGAGCCGCATCGTTCGCACCCAGTAGTACAAGCTATGCCATGCTGCGATTAGAATCCGGATACATTTCGACACCAAATACACAACAATGACACGACACGTAAGCTACCATTACTACTTACTAGGTATTCTATCTGAGGACCCGAGGATGATGGTGGTAAGAATATTTGGGGAAGGTATTCCAAGGCATTCTTAGTATTATAACCAGAGAAGCCCCTATTGATCACATCTAGGAATCGTATACAGTCTGCGAATTGATTAAAAATAATCGTACTTATTAATCTTATAGGGGTAGGGAACGTACGATGCTGTAGCGCTCCATGAAACGAGAAGCCACCTTGAACTTCACTGGCGTTTTGGAAGAGCGAGTCCCCAAATAGGACTATCTGGTTATATGGCTTCTATTTCGCACGTTAGATTAGATTTCAACTTATGCTACATGAGGAAGGGATATTTGGCATTGGAATACTCACAGCCATGGTTTCGAATGAGGATCCAGAAGGGGAAGTTGGTTATCTCGGTGAAGACTAGGAGGAGATTAGGACGGGTCACCCACAACAAAGCACCAGACGAGTTGGGACTAAAATAGTGGACAAAGTAATGAGGGGAGTTTTACTCAAAATTTCGTGACACATGCATGTCCTCATACTTTAGGTAGATAGGCACGGCCCGATCAATACGGATGTATTTCTGCCGAAGGTGTTAGAACAAGTTCCATGAAAGCGGCAACCAATCAGAGACTATTCACGCAGGAATTCCGGCTTCTTTCCGAGCATCGCCAGATCTCCGACATCGTCGTGCTGAAGAATTTACGTCTATTCATATATGTATATACTCTATGTAGATTGCTTATTTGCTCAATCATGTACCGGAAGCATTCGAATGGAACCTCTCTTAATTCTCTTAATTACCCTTCTGGAACCCTGTATGAACCGAGGGTTCGGGATATGGAAAGTTCATACCATCGAGACTATATCCTAAAAGTAGACTAGGCCTTTGCTATTACTTTACGGCGTTAACCCAGGAAACCGCGCTTAGATCGTTAGCTTAATAGGATACTTGGGTAGTATTATTTTCCTGCGGCGCGAGAACCAACAAGCCTGGAGTTGAAAATTAAAAAGGGAGACTCGAAGAGTTGACAAAGACGAGGCTATGAACAATAGCTGAGAAAGATTATCTATCGCTTTTGCTCTGAATAGAATAATTGTAAACATATAGTTGAGATTCACAAGTTATACGTCATCGAATTGGGGGTTCTAGGGTTATCAATTAACGTTTAGGATGCAGATAGGTACATGTAGTTTTCAACTAGAACATGCTGAAGTTAACTGAAGACGTTTTTTTTCCTGTCCTACCCGAGACTTGCGGTTATCTGCGCTTAAATCCGAGATAGTAGCATCCATGGCCTTGGGGATTTTAGTTGCTGATAATAATGGGCCTCTTTTTATCCAAGATCCGTGATTGGACAAAGATCTTATCGACAAATGCTACTGCTAAGAAACTTTGCTCCCCGCTAAAATTTTGGGAGAAAAGTTCAATTGCTTCCACCAAAATTCACGGCGCATTCTACCATTACAAGATGTTCTAAAGGTCTAGAAGACCATTTTCTAATGGAATTACAGACGCCAACACCACATATAACAAGATGACAACGGCATTGTCTGCGCAACTTGCGCAGATTGCTGCGAATTCGAAATCAACACTTGATGTAAAAGCGCAGAAAGCCGCCCATTCAAAGTCGTTGATCTTCGAGCCTCGAGTTGCCGCGTCGCAAAACTTCCAGACTTTATATGGTATCTGTCGCCAAGGATACGAGGAATTATGCCAATTAGATTCTCGATTTGTCCCTTATGGGACGACGATATTCAGCGAACAGAGCCAAGACGAAGATAGGGGGCAGATGACTGCTGCCGAAAATGAAGAGCTTAACAAGAAGATCGAATCTTTCCTCCGTCTCGCGGGTGCGCGATTGAGACTGATGCCAACTATCAAGGCTATAGAATGGCTCATCAGGAGGTTTAGGTATGCTCTTTAGGCACATACTACGGCATCATAGTTCTGACTTTGCGATAGGATCCACGAATACAACACTGCTATACTTATCTCGACTTTTCTACCATATCATACCATACCGGCGTTCGTGACACTCTTATCTATCCTCCCCAGCGACCTACCACATGTATACAAATTCTTAAACCCGTACATACAATCCTTAACCCAACTTCCAAGATCTATACTTGTCCACCAAGCTATACACCATCCCGAATTCCTCAGTACCCTCTCGACATATACGTTAGATGCCTGCAAGAATCAGCAGCACTACCCTGCTCTTATATCGTTCTGGGGTGGTATCGTGACCGAAGCAGTGAATGGGATGTTAGACAGAATGCGATCCGGCCGTCGTACTATCCAACGAAGCAACGACCAAACTCTATTACACCAAATAGGACCAACTCTCGGTGATGCTTTGGTCATGCACAAGGTTCCTGGTCTGCAAATAGCTTGCTATATGGTGATCTCCGTGTTCGTTGCAAAGGGCGATCTTGATGATGCCGCTATCAGTGCCTTGATGGAGCAGCTTGTAGCTGGATGGACAGCCGAGTCTCTGCGCCCCGGTCTTGTATGCCTCTCGATTCTGGCCCAGTACCGTTCCGCGAAGCAAATGTCTGGAAAAGTAACAAGGGCACTGCTTAAGGTACCCAATCTTTCTGACCTTCTTGTTGAGATTGGAAGAGAGCATAACATCGGGAAACTAGCAAACGGTCTCTCTCTAGCCTTGGTGGAAAGGGCGCACAAGAAAGGTGATATAAAGGGCTTATCAGTGGTTGAATCGCTTCTCTTGGGATCAATTCTCAATGATCAACAGTCAACGGTTGTTTTCAAGAGTTTATTACTAGCAGCTCACAAAGTTGAGGATAAAGTGGACGTGCAAGGAGAAGTGCGAAAAGCTCTCGCATCTATAATCATCAAGCTTTCGCAGTTGAATACAGATGCTGGGAAGCTCTTTACCCGAGCGATTGACGAAACCGAAATCGATGTGGATACCTTGGAACTGAGACTCGGAATTGACCTACGGCCGAACCTAGCCATAATAGAGCCCGAACCAGATGTCCCTATGGCGGATAATGAGCCTACGACAACGGCAGTAGACACATTCCTGTCTGCTCTTCAGCGAGTTAGCGGCATCACCACCTCGCCGTCAGATTCATGTCTTCGAGCCGATTCATCGAACGCGTTCGCTGATATCTGTTCTGTTTTCCTTTTTAGTGTTGCAGAGCCTGATAATCTCAGGTCTTTCGACAAACTTCCGCCTCTCCAGTATAGCTCAGCGAGTGAAACGCCTTTTTACTTTACGTTCCTCGTACGAATCTGGTGTGGTCCCTATCCAACTTTAACTCGTGTTGCTGCTCTGGATTTGGCAAAACAGCGTTTAAAAGAAGCTGACTGCAAGGCCGTTGATTTCCAAGCTCTTTTGCCATACAGCTTTGCAGCGCTAAATGATCCATCAAAAAAGGTTCGACGAGCTGCCGCAGACCTGATAGCCGTCTTAGAAACCTCTTTCTCAGAATTGGACAAGAAATCTGAGGACCATGGCCGATGGGCCAGTAACCATTTATACACCAGCGCTGATTCGTTGGAATGGATGCCCACAAATATTTCCCATAAATTATTGCGGAATGTCGTTACCCCTAGCCTTGAGGAATGCGTTCTAAATGCCGATTATATTATCGAAGTCTTACAAAGCGCCTTAAATGGTGGTTCGAAAACTAATGCTGATCAGGACAAGGATAAGAAGAGCCATCTTTCTCACGGAACGCGACGCTCTATTTTAACCTTCCTCGCTTCCCATATAATCTACACCCCGCTTTTACTCCTGAAAATTCGCCTTCTCGCCTCATTAAATCAGGTCAAGGGGGTATCGGGTACTACTCGTACTGAACTACTTTTACCCTTACTGAAATGGTGGTCATCGTTGTCTTCCGACGAGGCTACCCGCCTCTGCGCCGAAGAAAAAGTCGAAGAGGCAGCTTTGGATGAAAGCATCGCCCAAATAGTGCTTCCCAATGACAAGAGTGGCCTAGAGTTCTCATTGAATGTCGTGGGAACTCAGCAACTTGTAATAAGACCTAATCTTCTTCATGTCATCTTCTCGCGCATCCAGAATCTATGGCCAATCATGAAGACCGAGGCGAGGTACCTAGTCTCCAAGCGGATGCTTGAGCTATCACAAAAAGACCCGTCTAGTGATGGTGGAGCTGTTTCTAGCGAGGCTGGTAATCTCTTAAGAAACATTGAACTGTCGACGGATATACTCCTATTCTTCCTCGAGTCTTTACAACCTGCGGCAAAGATGGCTACGGAACCACCGTCAGGCAAACGTAGGAGAACAAGTTCCTCGGAAGCTCACCGTGGGTTCGGCACACAACCAACGCCAGAATTGACTGCGATGCTAAGACAAGTGACGTTTGTGTTGCAATTGGTCGAAGGATCTGATCCTGAAAAACACCCGGAGTTGCTCAATGCGCTATTCAACGCTCTATCCGAACTTCAACATTTTAGAGTGTTGGTTGGTTCGGAGCTCGGGTATCTTCAAAACCTCATTCTTCGAAGTCTGTTGGCTATGGTTCCTGCATACAAGAACAACCAGTCTCTCAAGATTGACAGCACAGGCGGGCATGGCGACCTCCTTGTTAACTGCATCCAGAAATCCTCTAGCCCCTCTGTACAAAACACCGCACTACTTCTTGTCGCAAGGTTAGCGAATGTTGCTCCCGATTTGGTGCTCAACAGCGTGATGCCCATTTTCACGCATATGGGGGGCTCGGTGCTTCGGCAAGGTGATGATTACTCGGCCCACGTAGTCAATCAGACGGTCAAAGAAGTTGTACCGCCGCTTATCCAATCACTTCGAAAGGGTAAGATCAGTCCACTGGCAGGAGCTTCTGAGCTTTTGCTCAGTTTTGTGACCGCATATGAGCATATACCATCGCATCGAAGGCTTGGCCTCTTCGTGTCTTTAGTGGAAACACTAGGTGCCGAGGAGTTTCTTTTCGCACTCTTGGCTATGCTTACACATATGTACGGCATTACCGACCAGGTATTGTCGTTTGCTACTGAAGTTTTCAACCACTTCACCGTCGAAATTCAGCTCCAGTCCTTGATCAAACATTTTGATCTTATTGGCGATGTCTTCCAGCCGAGACCTAGCCTATCTTCCGTTCTCCTTGGCACCAACGAGCAAGTTGATCGAGATCCTCAGAAGATTGGATTCCGTCAATTAAGCTTGATTCCCCAACTTCTATCTAGCAAGAAATTGATGTCGCAAATCGCCAAGCTAACTGAACGAGATGATATGGAAGCCTCAAAAGTCCGTGAGCTTTATTCGACGCTACTAGAAAATCTCCTAGTTCTGGCGGACTCCTTAAAACAACAAAAGAATCTCTACAACCGCTGCGGCGATGCGCTTTCGAAGCTTCTAAACCTCCTCTCTATTGGAGAGTTTATTAAAGCAGTTGAAACACTCTTGGATAAGCCCGATGTTGTCTTACGTCGGAAGGTTCTACGAGCCGTTGAGGTCCGAATCGATGAAGAGAGCCAGGCAGATGCCACTTCTAGAACGGCTCTACTTGCGTTCTTGCCACACCTAACGGCCATTATAAGGGTATCTGACGATATGGCTTACAAACACATAGCTGTAGGCTGTGTAGACAAGATATCCGAAAAGTATGGCAAGAAGGATCCAGAAACCGTTACCGCGGCCGCCTCGATCATTGCTAGCGATAAGTGCTTAGGTCAAGATGACACTCAACTTCGCATTATGGCGTTGCTCTGCCTGGCTTCCTTGGTTGACGTACTACAAGATGGCATTGTACCTGTTCTACCTTCTGCTATTCCAAAGGCGCTTGCGTATGTAGCAGAAAGCATTAAAAGCGAAACTCCAGGAGTGGAGCTCCATAATGCCAGTTATGCATTCATCGCTGCATTAGCACAGTATCTCCCTTATATGCTGTCTGGATCCTATTTGGGGCAACTCTTGGCAGTTTCTGGTGCATCTGCAAATTCTAGCCTAGGCAGCGATGCCAACGACGCGAGAGTACAGTGTCTACGACTACTTGCCAAGCAGGTGGACGCGAAAACGCTGTTTTCCGCCCTAGACCAGAACTGGGTCACAGCCACAGACTCAGGTTCCATTGTAAGTTGCCAGAACACAGCACATTACTATAATAGTACAACTAACATAATAATAGGCCACACGAGAGTATCTTGACGTCCTTGGCATCGCAATCGACAAGCATTATAAGGCAGACATTTCTAAGAATGTTGCTACCCTTTCAACCATATTCCTCAACACCTTCGATCTTTCTCGGCTGCTACATTCTAAGGGCGCTATTAACGACGACTTCGCTAGACAATTACCTCGCATCAAAGAAACGACTAATGAAGTAGCGCTAAAGATGATATACAAACTCAATGATGCCGCCTTCCGTCCTATCTTCTCGCAACTAATGGAGTGGACTATTTCATTACCGAAAAAGGATACCGAAGGCAGAAATCTTCGACTTCTCAGTGTTTACGGGTTTTTGCTCACTTTCTTCGGAAATCTCAAGTCTATTGTCACTAGCTACGCCTCTTACATCATTGACAGTGCTGTTGAGGTTCTCCGTACAGTAGATCCGAAGAAACCTGTGCAACACGAGCTTTGGCAGAAGGTTCTACAAACTCTCGCCAAGAGTTTTGAGCATGATCAGGACGATTTCTGGCAAGCCCCGGCCCACTTTGGCGCCATAGCACCCGTCCTTACCTCCCAATTTTCCCACGCTTCTTCTATTAAATTTGACTTGACGCATGATCTTGTACCTACAATCGTGGAACTAGCTGCCGCTGCCGACTCCCAAGAGCACCAGAAAGAATTAAACGGTGCTCTACTAAAGCATCTGCGTTCGGAACACACAGCCGTTCGTCTTGCGGTTGTAAAATGCGAGCAAGCCCTCGCAAGCAGGCTGGGTGAGGAGTGGCTGGCTATGCTACCGGAAATGCTCCCGTACATAAGCGAGCTGCAAGATGACGACGACGAAGACGTGGAGAGGGAGACAAATCGCTGGATTGTAGCGATAGAAGGCGTTTTGGGTGAGAGCTTGGACGCTATGTTACAGTAAGATACTAGATAGAATTGGGCTAAATAAAAAGCAAAATGTATTGTACAACCACACTTTGTTCAAGTGGCTTGAGTGATTTTTTTTCATCCCCACCGATATGCTGTCGGGGCCCGTCCCGTCTTTAGGATGTCTCTACTTTTACTATTATTCAGAATATCACATACAATTCAGGTCTCACGATAACATTAATAACCACAAGCACACAGTAATCCACGAGTTTATCGCATCATTGTAGATTGCATTATAGCTAGCCTAATCTGCTAGGTACCCTGATCTGATCTCATAACTCCATTTCGTGATTTCGTCCTAAGCCTAGCTTTTTTTTCCGCGCGACTCCTAATACACCTGCAAGAATAAAAATAAAAAGCAATTCATCCGAGATCATGTGGCTAACTCATCGGCCCTTATAACTCCGGAGTCGAAGAATCGGATATATCGTAGCCGAAATCATTCCCTGCTGTTGTTGGTCGATCCGCGATCCATGGCTGAAACTATCCGACAGGTAGGTCTGGAGCAGCGATGGAAAATGTCAGGCATGAAGGGTATAAGCGGTAGACGACACTCAGCCAAAATCCTTGAGCGGATATGAACGAACTCTGGCTTAGATGACTAAGGCGAGGGAGATTAGGGCTACGAGCATGACTACGCAGGATACGCCGGAGTAACCGTTGCCGTCTAGAGCCGGACCGTCGGATGTCATGGCTATGCTCATGGTTGGAATCGCGCCAGTGCTGGAGGCGGTGGCGTAGTCGTGTAACGCGCCGGTGCCGGTTGCGTTCATGGTGCTGTTGGTTGTGTTCCAGCTCATTGGGAGAGGGACGATGGTTCCTGGGGCGGTCGGGCCTAGGGGGAGGGTTTCTGGGATGCTGGTGTTGGTGTTGTTTACTCCGAAGGGGTAGAGAGACGCGGTGGCAGAGGCACTGAGATCGCTAACGCTGTGGGTGTGGAAGTGTTGTGTGGTCAGCGTGGTGATGATTGTGCTAACTACGATGCCGTAGCTGTCGTCATCGGATGAGGTACTGGACGCGGACGGAGGGGCAACGGTTACCGTGTAAACATGGGTTGAGTTGCATGGGGTCGCAGTCGTTGTGTTGAAAGGTATCGGGGCGACGGTGACGGTGTAGACGGGTGTCCCAGTGCAGGAAGTTGAGTTGCTGGAGGCAGTTCCGGTGATGCCGTCGACTGATCCAGTGCTCTTGGTGCCAGCGACTGTGGCTGTGTTGACACTACCAGGGATGACAACGGTGTAGGTGCTGATTGACTCAGAGGTGTAGATCTTGGTAGTGCTGTAAGTCAAGGGGACCGTCTCAGTGGTGCTAGAAGATGAGACTGAAGTCGACTCCGTAGATGTGCTGGGTGAACTAGACTGGAGGTAGACGGTGGAAACCACAGTGGCAGTTACGGTCTCGGTAGCAGGTGCACCGCTGCAGGCCTCAGTGGGAACAGTGGTCGATTGGGACTTGTGGATGACAGTGTATGAGGTACCAGTTGTGGTGTAGTAGAGGGTAGTGTCCCCTTCTCCGTAAATAGTTGTTGTCTGATCAACCGTAACAATCGGGGCAACAGTCTCTATCTCAGTAGTGGTATAACTGGTCGAGGTAGAGGTAGCACTACGGTTGGCAGCCTCAGTACTGTATGAGATATGTTAGCTTACATCTTGTTTAGTACGAAGGGGGGGTTGTTACTTACGCAGCAGTCGATATGACGATAGGAATGGCACTAGTGTGGGTGCAGTTATCCTCAGGCGTGACGGTTGCAGTAGTCGTAAAGTAGACGGTGCTGTGGGCGGTACGAGTGGTCGTGGCGTTACTGAAGATATACGAAAAGTTCGACTGAGAACTGGTAGTGGGAGCCGTTCCAGTGATACCATCAACGCTTCCAGTAGTCATAATCGGAAAGGGGGAGACCGTGATAGTGACATTAGCCGTCATATTCTGAGTGACGATACTGGTGGGCTCAACAGTAGTAGTGCTATTACCAAAGAAGTGAGTGGTAGAGATATTCATAGGAATTCCGGTACTAGTGCTCATGGTAGAGTTGACGTAGGAGGAAATAGTGCCGTTTGAAGAGAACACAGGGGCAACAGTAGTCGAGGCGCCAACTGAAGTCTCGGTCATGGTCATGTTCTTACTAACGGTAGTAGTCTCCAGAACAATAGTACTGTTGAAAACCTCGATGGTGTTGGTGCCAGTAGCCACAGATGAAGTCTCAGTGGTGTTGGTTCCGACCGAGGTAATCTTAGTAACAGAAGACGAAACAGTAGGGGTAACAGTAGACGGGACAGTGACCTGGGCAGTAGGAGTAACCGTGATGTGATCAATGACCGAAGAGCTGACGTGAACCGGGACAGTGGGATACTCAGTAAGAGTGATGGTAGGGTGCTCTTCTCCGTATGAATAGGCCTGACGACCCATGACCTTGGTACCAACAGCGTCATCGGGATGCTTAGGGGGGTTCTGGCCGTGAACCTCAACGTTGACTAAGAAAATGATTAGTTAGGAAATGATCCCCCGTAGGTTAAAATCAAGGGCATTTAATTTAAGTACTCACCGACAAAGCAGGTAGCGATGCCAACAACAATTAGAATCGCGATACCAGTGATGGCATAGCTGAACTTGTAGATAGCTAGGACTACCAGTTAGCTATTTCAATTGAACAATCTATGCATTTTTTTTATTGCGAAGGAGAATTAACTTACCAGAGCCAGCCTCTTGCTGATAGTCGCTGTCGGCGTCGTTCTCACTCTTCTTGGGAAGAGGGCGAAAAACGTCGCGGACGCGCTGGGCGAAGGGCTTTCCCACAGGAGTGGGTTGAGCGCCCTGCTTAGTCTCCGCAGGAGCAGACATCGTGAGATTGATCACAGTGATGAATCTAGACAAAGTTAGTCAATGTTTAATTTTTTAAGAGGTGAGTAGAGTGTATTGCGAAGTTCGTAGGAACTCAGTACAGATTTGTGGTGTTCGGAGAAATAATGGCATGAAGGCGTGGGTTCGATGGCGAGGAGACGGAGAAAATAAATTCGAGGTCGAGCAGGAAAAAAAAGGTAGGAGGAGAGGTAGGATAAGAAAATGGGATTGGGAAGAGATGAAGAAGAGAAATTTGGATTTGAAGTTGGAAAGAGATAGGGTGATGGGACGGGCGATGAAGGCGTGGATATAATATTTTCGACGCATTAATTTAGGTGGTGTAGGATGAGAATGAAATAATTACTTACCAAAAATTGTCGAACGAATTGGACTTTAGAGTCGTACTGATAGATGGAAAAGTTGAATTAGTACGTTGTATGTGATGTAGAAAATAAAAGAGTGTGGGAAGATGGATGTGAGAAAATGAGTGTGGAAAAACGAATGTGAGTAAAAACGAGTGTGGGTGGTGGGAAAAAAAGATTGAGGGATCAGGTTTGGTGGACGTAAAGAAGAGTCGAAGAATTTTGTAAGAGTGTAAAAGTTTCAGAAATGACAGTTGAATCAACTTGGTGGCCTATGCCAAATTGGGGGAAGAATTGGTTTTATATAGGAGGCAGGAGGTAAGGAAATTGTGAGTTTGGTAGAGGTGCAATAAAAAGGGTGATGGTTACGGATGTGCTAAATAAAATCGAGAAGAGACAATGAGGAAATATGCTTACAAACTTGACGAGTACTGGTGATGATTCTTCAAAAGTAGCAATAGAAATAGAGGAAGAGGAAAAATCCAAAGAGTTGGCGACGAAGATGTTCGGGTGGTGGTTTGGTAAGGAACGATGATGGTGATATCGAAAGTGGTTGGTGTTGATGCGAGAGAGGAAGGAGAAAGATCGAAACGAGACGAGATTAATATGTGCACCTACTAACCAGGGTGATTCTATTATCTAGGTAGAATCAGATCAACCAGTAATTCCTCTGAAAAAAATATTGATCAACGCTTCTGGTTGGCCGTCTATCTACTTAGGTAGGTAGTTTCCCCTAAATGAAGTTGCAAGGTTGACATCTATGGCTCGTCGCCCACCATAGTACACGTAATCAGTAGATACAATACTTCAACTAACCCTACTGCGTAAACTAGGACCGTACCCAGTTAATTATTTGACCAATTGTATTTTTACTTTATTCCAATTGATTCCTCTTTCGTCCCGTGCAAGTGACACCGCTCGGGTAAGTAATAGTACCTAGGTAACACTGGCAAACATAGAAACCAGCAAACCTCACTGGCCAGCCCCTTATAGCACAGGTACAAGGCCATATCATTAGTGAAAGATGATGCTGGTTTTAGCGTTTTTAAAACTGATACTATCCTGATCTGGACACATCTAGAGATTGCAATATTCAACATCCCGTCCTAGAGGCACAAGAAGCAACGGGAGTGCCGTGAAGTTTTAATGAATTGAAGATATATGTGTCTTCAAACTATATATACATAATTAGCTACCTTCTAGACATTTCGTGTATTATTTCAAATGGAAGTAGGTGCACTTCTTCTCATGATCACGCTCTTGATATTTAAGGAACCTATGATGCAGTTTCCCCTAACAACTACGCCTGTAAAAAAACAATAAGGTGTACTATTTCAAAGAGCCTACGGGATATAGGGCGTGGGCGATCATTATACGTGTAGTATTTTGCTGGAAGAGTAGGCGTTCAATTGTAATTAGTGGACGGTGTTGTCGAAGATGGTGAAGTGAGGTTCAAGGATCGATAGAGCCTCAGGTACGAAAAGGGGTACAAATCGACAGCGGGTACGACTGGTTGTAGCATAATGTACCTCCGAAGCATTGACGGAGAGGTGCAGGTACCTAGGTATCTAACTGCTCCGTGCGGAGATATCACACCGAAATCTATTGGTCCAAGCTTCTCTGTTTGGATAGCTAGGGTAGGTACCTCGCTAGTTCGTCCTTTCTCTGTACTGTTTTAGCCCCACACTACCGATTGTTTTACTAAAATCACCCTAGTGTGAAGCGCGTTGAAAATAAAAAAAAGAAGGTATCTAGGTATCCACCTGGGTACTGTATTAGTACACGCGACGCTTATGAAATTGATTGATTGATTGACCCTGTAGTAAAGCCAGTCGCGTAACACCTGCCCCGAGAAAAGACCATTTTATCGTCAAGTCCTTCCGGCACTCATTTGTCCCACCTTCTTTCCCTCACCTTCATTTAATTATTCGTTTGGGCGGGTTAACTTTTAATCGGCTGCCTCAAACCTTTAATTTTATCGATTTTTTACACTTTCTCTTGACGCGCGCCTGAGTCCATTGTCACGAACTCGCCAATCCGCCCCGCTTCCGACGAATCGAAGCCATACACCTCAAACGACACAACAACAAAATATTTCTCACTTGTATCAGCGAAGCATCTACAAATAATATAGAGCGATAAGCACCGACGACTTCGGTATGGCGCGTCGCAGGGACGAGGCCCCGGAGGAGGAAGATCAAGAGATGGAGGAAGAAGTTGTGAGCCTTCAATTTGACGAGCCTTTATCATGGCGCGCAGGAAGGCCAATTGCGACTGGCGAGCTTTTACGACGCCTCGAGAAGCTTTCGAAGGAATTGGTCGATCTAGACCAAGAAACAATTGAAAAGGAATCGTTGACCCATGTCGCGAAAGAGTTGGCTTCTCCCAATCTGCTTGCTCATAGGGAAGCGGGAGTAAAGGCCTATGCCGCGGCATGTTTAGTAGACATACTAAAATTATGCGCTCCCGAGGCACCTTTTACTCCAAAGCAATTGAAGGTTCGTCTGAGATGCTATCTCGATCATTGTAATTGCATTGATTCTGACAATTCAATCTTCACTTTAGGAAATCTTCACTCTCTTTGTAAAGACGATTCTCCCCGCACTTTGGGATCCGAGTAACGCATATAATACTCAACACAAATACGTCTTAACATCACTCGCCGAAGTCAAAAGTATCCTTTTAATTAACGATGTCACGAATGCGGAGGAACTTTTACTTCACCTATTCTCGTCATTTTTCGATGGAATCTCGCGTTCTTCGAAGGCGGCATCGGGAGAGCAAGTGGCGAAGGATGTGGAGTTCCATATGACGGATATTCTGGTCACGTTGGTCGAAGAAAGTCCCTCTCTTTCCCCGGCTGTGCTAGATGTCATAATGGCTCAATTCCTAAGAGCTGCCCCACCAGGAGGACACAAGGAAAAGGCAGACGCCAACGGAAAGCAGACGACGCTTTTGCCAAAGGAAGAGCCAGAGGCGTATGTGATGGCAAAGACTGTGTGCAATTCGTGCCCCGAGAAAATGGCACGTTACGTGGGCCAGTATTTCAGTGAGGTGATCATGGATGTCTCCGGAAACGCTGGACATGGGAACGGCCATAAGGATGACGATGGCTCAGACGATGATGAGGGTAATGGGGGTCCTTCCGAGTCGGATTTTAGGGAGTTGCGAAAAGCACACCAACTCTTACGCGAACTTTGGCGGGCAGCACCCACTGTCTTGCCAAATGTGATACCGCAAGTCGACGCCGAACTTTCCGCCGATAACATTCAATTGCGTTTGTTGGCAACTGAGACATTGGGGGATATGATATCTGGTGTTGGTGCTGCCGGACCACCTCCGCTCCCAGAACTCGACCCAGCGGCGTATCCCCCCCTAAAGTTGAACGATGAAATTCCGGATCATCCAGCAACGAGCATCCTCACTACGCCCATTTCACCCTTATCCTTCGCACAAACGCATTCCCAAGCATTCCACAATTTTGTCAGCAGGAAAAACGATAAGTCACTCCTTATTCGGGCAGCATGGACAACGGCAGCCGGTTACATTGTCTCGACCTTTGCGGGTGGTATTGGGCTTAGTCGGGAAGACGAGTCATTATTTGTGAATGGTCTACGCGACAAATTGAATGACAATGATGAGAAAGTTAGATTGGCTGCTGTGAAAGCTATTGAAACTTTCAGCTTTCGTGATATTATCACAAAATTAGCCGCTATTGGAGGTGCGAATAAGGAAGGGTCGGTCTTGTTTACACTCGCCGATCGTTGTCGAGATAAAAGACCATCCATCCGCGTCGAGGCTATGGCTCTTCTGGGGAAGCTTTGGGCTGTAGGCAGCGGTGAACTGGCTGCTGGGCAAGAATCGGTAGTTTCGGCATTATCCGGCATCCCGACTCGAATCTTTAATACGTTCTACGCAAACGATCTAGAGCTCAACGTATTGCTAGAGCGTGTGATCTTCGAATGCCTCGTCCCCCTTACCTTTCCTCCCCCACCCAAGACTAAGGGATCCAAGCCCTCGAATGGCAATTCGCAATCTCAGTCGGCCGTCGATACAGGCTACGATCAGGATAGGATCCGCGCTGAACGAATCCTTCTGCTCGTTAAAGATCTGGATGCGACTGCAAAGAAGGCATTTAATGCATTATTGGCGCGACAGCCACAGTTTTCTAGATTACTAGAAAACTTAGTACGCCAATGTGACCTATTCAACGGAGGTAACCCCGAGGGTAATGCGGACACGATCAACCAGAACTTGAAAAAGACGATCCAATACATGTGCCAATTCCTCCCCGACCAGATCAAGGTTGAAGCAGATCTACACAACTTTGCCAATTGGCATGATCGCCGCTGCTATCAACTTATTAAGTTTGTCGTATCTGCGGAGAGTGACTTTAAGACAATGCACCGAGCTGTCAAAGAATTTGTTAAAAGGGTCCAAGGGTCGCCTAAGCCTCACATGTTGGATACACTTTTACCTCTAATATACCGCTCGGCGTATATTATTTTAAATAAAAGTCACCTCTCGGCTTATATGGATTGTTCAAAGAGCGACAAGGATGGACTGGGACTTGCGGCCCAGGAGATCACCACCGAGATCTCCCAAACCAACCCCGATCTATTCAAAACTCACGTTGGGCAGCTTTGTAAAGATTTGGTAGATGGTGCGCCAAGTACTGACAAGGCGAACGAGGCTGTAATGGTCGAAACTCTGAAGGCTTGTTCCTCATATTCCAAGAAGTACCCCAAGGAACTTCCGGATGACAGGAAATTTATCCAAGCACTAATGAGTTACGCCTTGTATGGAAAACCAGCCAAAGCGGCCAAGTACGCGGTCAATGTCATAATGGCTAGGAAAGATGACAAGAGCTTGGTCTCGGCTACAGACCTGTTGCAGAGGACGATGAAAAATTGGAGTTACGATTCCCCTCATTTTCTCACCAAACTTGCCGCCGTTAGTCAACTAGAGCTTTTGACATCTAAAGTGACAGCCGATGCCAACGATCAAATTGTCGATACGGCGTTGGAGGATGTACTCCTTAAAGTCCGTACACCCGCCAAAGAGACGGATCCTGAGTGGGTTGATGATTCTGAACTTGACGAGGAATGTCAAATCAAATGCTGGGCTCTTAAGCTGGTGATAAATCGTCTTCGGGGCACTCAAGATGTGGAAGAGGCAAAGGAATTGGCGAAGCCAGTTTTCAAACTCCTACGAAGTCTCCTGAAGCACTCTGGCGAAATATGCAAGGTAGCGGATACGCCGAAGCACCACCAAGCTCGCTTGCGATTGCTCGCTGGACAGCTCTTCCTGAAGTTGTGTACTTCGAAACACTTTGAGGAGATCTTCTCACATGCCGACTTCAATCAACTTGCCTTCCTAACACAAGATCCGAGCGCCATGGTTCGTCGGCTATTTATCGAGAAGCTTCAGAAATATCTGGTGCAAAATAAGTTACGACCTAGATTCTACACCATGATCTTCCTAACAGCATTTGAACCTGACACCAATCTCAAGAACCAGATCGAAACATGGATACGGTCACGCGCTCGATTCTACCGAGATGCTAAGCACAGCGTTATGGAATCGACAATGGGCAGATTAATTTCCTTATTGGCGCACCACCCAGATTATGGGACCTCAGCGGATGATTTAATTGACCATGCAAGATACCTCCTCTACTACGTTAGCAACGTCGCCACGGAGGCTAACTTTGGTATGATATATAAATACGCCGAACGCGTAAAACAGACCAAGGATGGTATCAACCCTGAGGAGAGTGAAAGGCTCTACGTGGTTAGTGATTTGGCCCAAAATATTCTCAGAAGGTGGCAAGAAAAGAAAAATTGGATCTTCCAGGCGTATTCTGGCAAGGTTGGCTTACCTATGGGCTTGTACACGGCACTTCCTAGTCATGATGTGGCGCAAGAAATCGCAGAAAAGCAATTTCTTCCAGAGGGACTTGATGAGAAGCTTGATGAGCTGTTGAGGTCGGTGGATAAGAAAAAGGTAAGTTACATAATATTGCATCGCCCTTATTAATATTTTGAACTAACATGATTGGTTTCTAGAAGCGCCGGAATGTAGAAGAACGAGGCGAAGGGCAACCTGCCTCGAAGAAAGTCAGAACGACTGTGCCCAAGCCCACCAAAGCGAAAGCAACGCCGAAGGCTGCAAAGACCTCAAAGAAGCCAGCAGTCAAAACTTCGAAGATTTCGTCAAGAGCCAAGAAAGCTGCTACCTCATCATCACCTCCCGGAGACTCCGCAGATCGCAGGCGTAGCGGTCGTTCTAAGAAGAACTCGTCCTACATCGAGCGAGACTCTTCGGAGGATGATGAGGACATGTTGGAAGGTGTAGCAGAGTGGGATTACTACGATAACAGGGGTAATCGTATGCAAGAGGACGACCCAGAGACATCAGATCTCTCCGAAGTTGAGGAACAACCTCCGTCTGCAAACGAGGAAGACGACGTTGAAGAGGACAAAGCGGAAGTTCCCGAAAAAGCAGCCGAGGAGAGTGAGCTTAGTGATATCGAGGAGAACGAGGAGAATGAAGAAGAGGTTGCACCTCCATCACCGGCACCGAAGTCGAACGGGCGAAGAACTCGTACAGCCAGTTCCCCACCTGCTGCTAAGACGAAAACCTTAGTCTCGAGACCTGCTGTTAAAGCCAGCGCCGCTAAAGGAAAGTCGTCCGCCGCTGCAGGCAAGGCAAAAGCAAGGCCTACTCCAAAACCGACAAGAGCTGCTAGTACCCGTTCTACTAGGTCTAGGCGAGCGGTAACCCAAGATAAAGAGGAGGAGGATGCATGAAGCAGCGGGTCTAGATTGGGCCAGGCTTGGGCAACTTAGCACGATTTTGCGTTAGGTATGATGGCGTAAAGGATGCCAGGTTAGGATATTTGAACGTGGAATTATTTTATTGAACACCCTTCAACTATGGAAGGCAAACAATCATAGCAGAGGCAGGACGAAAAAAAAGACCTATGATAATGAGCAAGGCGATGATGGTTGGGCAAGGGGAACGCAGTGGTATTTGGTGGTCGTTTTGGCTCTTTTTATTAACTTCACCATTTGTTACTTTAGGTAAACCTATAGTTCTTTTTATACCCTTGGTCGTCTTATGGAGAGAATTACAAATACTCTTATCTACTTCATGAAATTTCCGTGGTGAATAGTTTTTTTTATAAAGCTACGTAGAAAATGGGATAAACCAGATGGTAATTTCGAGTAGTATATATTAGGGAAGAATCAGGTTTAGATAGATTCGCTACCTAGGTATTATATCACGATTTACTAGTCATCTATTCACGCATTAAAGCTGAATACGTATAAATTAGTAGATTTGATTATCCTGCGTATATAGCAGGCAAAAGCCAAGGTAGCTTAAAACAAATTTAACTCTAATGAAAAAGGAAGAGGTATCGAAAGAATCTACCTTATGGAAAGCCGATGGTATTCAGTTCCCTCCCTTTTTTCAATTCTACACAAACGCCATGAACCCATAAATTTCCTGGTGGGAACCCGCCGATTTCCGACGGCCTTTTGGATGAGTGATCCTGCTCTTAATTGTTATCATATCACCCCATGGCCATCTATTTGGTCATGACGAATATCCTCCGCTCAATATCACTTCCGGGCCTTATCACGGGCCTCGCGTGCCTTCCAATTATCTCTTACGTGCTTACTATGATTAAGCAACTCCTCGCGAGTAACCGCGTCCTTTATACTCTGAATCACACTGTTCACGACGGATATGTGGTTACCATCGGTTTTGTCGTCGCGGAATCGGTAAAACCGCCAACGCTTCTGGCTATCCATATACACTTCCACGATACGCTCGTCGAGAGCTTCACCTAAGGTCTTTAATATCTCCCACTCGTCGTCTTCGAGATGTAGGTTATCGAAGTAGCGGTAGCTGTTACTGCCGTAGTTGGCGAGGAGCTCGACGGGGGGTGTGCTGTCGTAGTCGATAAACGGCTCTGTGATGCCTTCGGCGCGCTCTTGTTCGTCGGGTTCCACTAGCGGAAACTTCAGGCGCCACATGAAGTCCACTGTGTTCTCGTCGGCGTCCTTCCACTTCAGGATATGGGGGTCGGTGCCGGGTTTGTACTCGCTATGGAGAGCCGTGAAAATGAGTCCGTCATTTTCGTGTTTCAGGTTTTTAATAACGTCCTCGAAGATCATACGGATACCGTAAGCCATTTGCATAGCCTTGAGGTCGATGAAGAAAGGCTGGTATTGGCGCTCCTCGGGGAAGTCGTCTAGTAGCTTCTTGTATGGCTTGAAGACCTGCTCTTGGAAATATCCTAGTCGCTTGGATAGCTCTCGCGACATCAGTGATTGACCGTCCATCGCGAGGCAATCGAAAACTAGGTATCGGGGCTCTTGGCGCCCGTCGGGTAGCCTGTCTACCACTAACTCTCCATCTAGTATTGTGCCGCGGTGGAAGGCTTGGTGGTTGCCGGGTAGGGGGAAATGGAGGGAGCCTGCTTGGATATACCAATATTCGTTCTTACGATCGATCAGGTAGTGAACCTCTTGGCCGTTCTCGTCGGCGGCTAGATAGAGTAGGTAGCGAATGCCATCGGACTTCTCGCAGACGTAGTAGCTATAGCGCAAAGCAGCGGTTAGCAGCTAGTTTCGTAATAGGTAATATGTTGATACGAGATAGAATCCGCCCACTTACTCTACTTGTAGTAACTCATCAAGGTGCTTGCGCGTGAAACTGACGGGTTGCGCACCGGGGAATGCGCTCGAGGTTCGGTGAAGTATATGGGCGACTTCTTGGCGTAGTCCTTGGACTACATCAGGAGGGGCCCGAATGCCGGGCTCGTCGATAGCGCGTATAGGTATATTCATGTTGACTTATTTATCTTCTAGTACATATGTATTCTCGAGAAGACGCGACAGTGGTAAGAATAGGGTTGTCGAGAATTATATTTTAATCGGCGATGCGATGCGACACGGTGAGGTGGAAGAATTAACTGAAAACAGAAATGGTGAAAGGACAAGGTGGAGGCGAAATAAAGGGGCGGGTGAGCTTCATCGCATTAAGAAATCATATTTATAGGAAGTCACGTCCGATAACAAGTCCATCCCAAAGTTAGATCTAATATTGAAGGCACGCATTGACGTTATTTATGAGTTTATTCCCATCATAGGCAGGCACGAGGCTGCCAAAATACAAATGTTGTTTCCGCCGCCGTGAACCTTATCGACTTTATCGGCGCCCTAGTCCCTGCAGGATCCATCGCTAAAGACCCGCTAAACCCACTGTAGCCATGCATGTGCAAGGGACTACTACCCTTCTGTAATTGGGGTAGCTCCTAAGCTTCACGACTACTGTAGACAATTTAACAATTAAAGCTCGCGACTTCTCACGATTGAAGTATAATTGCAATAGATATATATGAAGCACGTATTTTTGAATCCTCAATGGGGGTCACGAGTAATCGCATAAAAATGAATTAAGGAAAACAGCTCTTCAGAAAACCAGGTGACTAAGTGAACCTCAACGCTACATATGTACTTAGGTATCTAGGTACTATGCTTTCCGCTAAGATTGGACCGACCTTCAATCCCGTCTTTCAGCTACATCTCGCGAAAATTAGATAGAGCTTCAAAATGTGAGCCATTATATAGTAAATGTCTTAAATAGGATCAATTGTTAGACTTTCAGAATATGGGGGTTCTCTATGTAGATAGAGAAGGCTTATTATACGGTGTTGATATTGGTACAAACTCCGCGCTTCCCTTTAGTAGCTGGCACACATATTTAACAAACTCCCCGCGCCCACCGACCAAAAAATAGAAGAAATAAATAATTTGGTCGAGACGTTGCCCAACATCTAGGTTAGATCGGATCGTTCCTCAGATCGATAAAAACCATAGAAAAAACCTTTGAACACATAACTCCGTTACCCGCCATGTCTTTACGTCTCGCAGTCCTGGTGATATCTTCCGCTCCGTTTTTTCGCCGTCGAAGGGAATCCATGTAGCTAAATCCTGTGTTACTCGAGAAGATTACGCGGCCCCGCTCGGTTTGCCACTTTCCGCCGCTATTCGGAGTTCGACTTTCTCCTTGTGGACCTTGTTTTTCAGGTGAACCTCGAAATTGGATGCGGTGATATCGGGTCCTGGTGTGTATAGCTTACCCGGACAATCGAGACACCGGATTCGCGGGAGGAAGTAATATCGTAGATTCGGTGGGCCCTGCTCGCCTTGCTGTGGTAATGGAACCGGTGCGCCTGTATTGGAGTCGACGGCGCTATATCGCATGACTCCTTCAAACCTATCCTTCGCATATGCCGGTTCCTGCTTGAATTTATCAAGGGCCGCGACGAGCCATGTAGGGGGAGGTGGCTGTTAGAGGTATGTGAGTATGTGCTGGATCGCTAAAGGGGTATCAAGCTCTGGCAGTCTTTGATCATTGACTAGAGATCATAACGACTGCTGGAGAATTTAAAAATAGAGGGGTTGGGATGTTGGGATGGGTGGGGAAAATGTCTTACGGGAACTGGAGGAGCAGCCCCGGGGATCGGCGCTGGGGCTTCGACTCGACCGATCTGTCCTGGGGGTATACTGCTATTAGGTGTTGTCGCTGGGATTGCTAATGTCGTGGCGTTCGGTGTAGAAGGAGGTGGCATGCTATTCGAAGCAGAGGCGCTATGGCCACGGGCGTGAGTTTGAGGTGTCTGTGATCTGCCTGGTGTACCTTGCTTCAATCTAGAATCACGTAATAGGATTTTCCGTAGCTTTTCTCTGTTCGAAACCCGTAAAGTTACATGGAGTTGATGAGGTTCTTCGGTATCTTCCCTAGTTAGTTCGCGTCCAAATCTTCTAGATGTCCGGGTTTCATGATGATGTATCGTGGCCTCGGGAGTTTCAGAGCGGCCGAGGTTCGCCATTCGCTGTTGCGCGGCGGTCGCAGCACCTCTCATGCCTCTTGTTCGAGCCGTACCGGTCAGCTGTGAAGCTGCGGGCGAATCGGGACCTGAATCATCACTCGATTCAGACTCAGAGATGTCACCATCCCGTGCGCCTGGTCCTCTTCTTCGGCCTGTGCCCGGCGCTCCTGCGACTCTCTTATAGAGTCTACTATCTTCCACGTTTTCTGCCGCGCCAGGTAATGTGGATGATACGACAAGGGTGCGAATAGTCCGTTGCCTCTCCTTAAGATCAGGCAAGGACGGGCCACCCCGTCTATTTATGGATCTCTTCTGTCTTCTCTGCTCTCGGGAGAATACCATTTCATTTCTCTCCAGATCCGCCTCGCTAAGCTCGTATAGATATGGCGCATATTCCTTCGCTTGCTGTTGTGGTCGGAATACTGTAGGTAGAGGTGACGGGAGAAAGGCCATGACCAGATCTGGATCCTCGATTGGTCTGCCATCAAACGGATGTCCGATGCTGTACAAGCTTCGGGTAAATAATTGCGTCTGCTCCCGGATGCAGTGAGCAATGGCCGTCGTGAACTCCCCAGAAAGCGCGAGGTCCTTTGCCATACTTGCAGCAAACTCTTCGGGAGAGTTAAGGGGATTGTTGATCTCCCATTCAAACTGATCCACTAGTGTATGCTGTCCGATGGTAATATTTAACTTGACCAATATTCGCATCTCGTCGTTTTTCCATGCCGAATAGGGAAGTTCCGGATCTAAGGCATCCTCGTCGGAGAATACGAAAGGGTAAAAATCGGCGAGTTGCTCGTGCATCTGCTGGATGACTTGGTCGAAAACGGGTTGAGCGGCGGGGGCCTTGAGTCCCATATCCTCTACCAAATGCGCAGCGAACAGCTCAGCGCCGACAATTCTCTCGTGAAGATTCCACGTAAAGGTGTCGCGCAGCTTGATTTTGTCCCAATCCACATCTAACCGAACAGGAACCAATTCTTCATGCTGCTCTGCCTGCTGCTTCATATCCTTCCGCTTCCATTTCAGAGTCGGTGCTTGTCGTTTACCAGGCCTCGGTTTAAAACCAGGATACGTTAACCGCGCTTGTGGACCAATTTCCGTTCGCCCGTTACCGTAGCCAGCATATCCTTCACCATAAAGTCTACTAGGCGTGAATATCATCCGGTAGTCATTACGCAAGAGCTTATAATCGTTGATCAACTTGAACTGGTATTTGTTGTGCTCATTTTGCCGGTCTTTATCGCTAACCATAGCAGCGGAATGTATGTGGTCTCGAGCGATGGCCTGTGCAATCAGAACTTGTTTGAATGCATCTTTGTCGCGACCCGGGTGGTCGTTGGAGTTTGCATCGTCCGGCGCATCGGGTTTGTTCTTAGGTGTTGATGTTGCCGAATGATCAGATTTTGAGGTGGTAGAGGCTGCGCCGGCAGGGGTGGCGCTCGATGGAGCTGGTTCTGCATCTTGTTGAGTTGCCATAATTAAGTTGAAGCCTCACATGGAGTGAGGGATCCCACTTGACTTGACAATGATGGGGGTAGAGGGAAAAACACTTTCGGTTCGCCAATCGTCCTGTCGTATCGTATCGATTCGTTCCAAATTTGTATGTTATAAATCAAATTGCGAATTGGCGCCGCTAGTGCACAACGACCCGCAAATAGGATAGGTGGTTGGCGAACGAATCAATAGTATGGCGCGATGGTGGTGATGTTGTTGTGGTGTCGTCGCGATGGATTATCGAATTAAGCGCTCAACTTTTTTTTTAGGGGCAGAAACGTTCGTACCCGTGGCTCGTAGCTGATAGAAAGACAGGAAACCGCAACGGAGAAGAAGGAAGGCTGGACACGCGACGAACCGCGACCGAATAAGTTGAAGAGACTTGGATTTTCGCGCGCATCTCAGGCAAATTCTAAGTACCTTGCCCGAGATGGTTAAACCGACGTCCGTGCGTTTGTAGCATAAGCTATCGTTTAATGACTAGTGACTATGTTTAGTGCAAATGTCTGTATAAGCTTAATTACTCACTTTCATTACTTTCATATACTCTTTGTCAAGCATAATATCATACAGTGCTAACAGAAAATACACGGATCTGCAGCCCTGAACTGTAATTAAGGCGAAGAACGTCACCAGTCGATTGCTGCCCCTCTCCCGCTTGCTTCGCACAAAGCCCCGCAGCTTGACGAAAATACCAAATTATCTACCTCTACCTCTCTACCTTGATCCCACTTCCTGCTCCGAGTTTTCAACCCACCTTCGAAGTTCATACGTCCAAGGTCAACTCAATTCAATCATTCGGGACAGTATCAAGCAGTACGGTATAACAAACAGTCAACATGTCTGACGAGAAGGAAATTGGTTCGTTTATTTATTTCTATATTTTCCCCTTAGATCGCCTCGGCCAGAGCTGGCTGTAAACTACCCCGCTATTGGCTCTGCCCGTCGCTCGACCTAGCTTCCTCCCGCCCTCGCCCTTCCTCTAACCTCACGAGACTCGATAAAGTTGATTGGTAACTGACATGTATAACTCATAGACTACTCCCTGGCCAACCCGGATACCCTTACCAAGTATAGGGTCGCCGCTACCATATCGGAGAAGGTCCTTGCTGCCGTTACCAAGCTATGCATCGCTGGTGAGAAGATTGTTTCTATCTGCCAGCAGGGAGACAAGCTCATTGAGGAGGAGACGACTAAGGTTTACCGCGGAACCAAGCTAAAGGGTGAGTGCGAAACACAATGATCACTTTCGATGCGATTGACATGTTTGCTTACCTTGGTTATGTGCAGGTTTCGCTCACCCCACGACTGTATCGCCATCTTCTTACATAACACCATATACTCCATTAACATCCGATAGCGCCGAGGCGAACATCGAACTTCAGCCCGGTGAGCTCGTGAAGATTCAGCTTGGAGCGCAAGTTGATGGATTTGGTTCCATTGTTTGCGATACCGTCGTCGTTCCGTCTAAGGACCAGGCGCAAGATGCCATTACCGGCCGCACCGCCGACTTACTACTCGCTACACACTATGCCAACGAGCTTCTTCTACGACTTATGGTCCCTCCTGGATTGTTAGCAAGTGGAAGTGATGAGGAGAAAGCGAAGGCAGCTGCAGTCAAGCCCCCAACTCAGTCTAAGATCACCTCTCTTTTGGAGAAGGTTGCAAAAACTTATGAGGTTAACATAGTGGAGAGCACAACCTCATGGCTTTTTGACCGCAATGAGATCGAGGGCAAGAAGAAGATTGTCATTGCCCCCGCAGAAGGTACCAAGGGAGATGGTACGCCTGAGGTCGGCGAAGTATGGGGTGTAGAAGTGGGTATGAGCTTGGGTTCCGGCAAGGACAAAGCTATCGATCAACGAGCTACTCTTCTCCGCCGAACGAACAATACCTACATTCTGAAGTCACAGACGGCGCGCAAGACACTATCTACTATCCAAACCAAGTTTAGCCATTTCCCTTTCAGTCTGAGACAGCTCGAAGAGGAAGGTGGTGATACTAAATACAAGGTTGGCGTGTATGAAGGTGTTCGTCAAGGCGTGTTACGACAGTACGAATTAGTTGGTGATAAGGAAGGTGCTCCGGTAGCCAGACTATTAACTACCCTCGGTACGATTATAAAAATAGCCCAGCCCCCTTTTTTTCCCACTACTCACCTTATGCTAACACGTAAAATAGCGATTACAAAGAATGGTATCTCGAAATTGGGAGCACCACCGGCGCTAGACCTGAGCAAGGTCCAGTCGGATAAGAAGGTAACCGACGAGGAAATTCTCAAGATATTGGAACAACCACTTAGTAAGAATAAGGGCAAGAGTAAGAACAAGAAGAAGAAGAAGCCCGCCAAGAAGCCCGCCGGAGGGGGAGACGATGATGCAGAGGAAAGTGACGACGAGTAAAGTTATGATCTGCAACAGCTCAGATGCACTTGATGGGCAGACACACTGAAATTCAGCATTGCCTTGGTTTTTACATGGTATAAAACCAGTGGCGTGAGCCCCGTGCTCTTGCGTTCATCGTCAGCCGCTGTGGCTTTTATGTACCTGCAAGGTTCGGCGTCATTCTGACGTACCGTTGCTCCGAGTCACACCAAAATAAGCCAAACGCCGAAAAGCGCACAGTGGGCCTTGCGCAGCTGAGGGGAAATACTTTACTTAGGTGTGTTATTAGTTCCCATAGAGGAAAGAAAAAAAGGAACAAATAATAAAAAAGGAGAACAGCTATTAAGCTGAGAGATTATTACGGATGTCGACTGAATTACGTCTAGGAAATGAAGCTGGACATATTTGAGTGAAATCTTATGGTGACTTATCTCTTACTCCTTGACCGCTGGACCGGTGGCTTGATAGGCGCTATTGTGATATTACGAGTATTATAAGCGAAAAAAAATCTACGGTGACGATATGGCGTTCTAGGGGGCGGATTTAATGATGCAGGTTTGTGGGTTCGGGATTAAAAAGACACGGCGTGTCTCTCGCCTAGATACACTACCTAACTTACAGAACCGGAGTGTGAGTCAGGATCCCGGGCTCCTACGTGGCGTGATGAGCTTTGAAGCTGCAAAACGGCCAAGAGGGTAGATGCAGCAGGGTAATGTGGGGAGATAGGAAACAGAAATAAAAGAGCAGACGAGCGTGGAAATCTGTCGATGTTTTTTGGTTTTCCTCTTTTAATAAAAAAAGGGGCTATGTGACGACTAATGAGTGAGTTAGTTACTTAAATCAGGTAGGAAGTCCGAGTCTTTTTTTTCTCATTGTACTGTGTCTGTTCTCCTTAAAAAGTAGGAGGTAAGAGCGCTATGTACGATGAATTTTCAGGGGGGCGTGTACAGTAAGGGGAAGGGACGAGAGAAAAAAAATAAGAATGGGGAAACCATCATTTTTAAACCAATGATGGTGGGCATAATAACAAATACCTAGGTAGGGTTCAGCAACTTGAAAATAAAATACCGTGCAACAAAAAATAATTACCTTTATTTCATCCGATCAGAACGAGTAAGGATAGAAGAATTAGGAATTAGTCAAAAAAAAAATAATTGGAAGTAGGAAGGAGCACAGTACATACATACAGAAAAATATCTACCCAATCGGCGAAGAAGACAGTAACGTATCGATATCGATACAAGCGCTAAAACTTCCAAAATTTAGGGAGGTTAACAGTAGGCTGGTAGGCGACCTTGTAGCGGTATTAGCGGTATTAGGTGACCCCCCCCTGGTCTGTTACGGGTAAGGTTACGGGCGGACGCCGTCCACTTCCGAATTTTGGAGCTCTGGAATCCTCGCATAGCCCATAACCAGTAAACCCTCCCTTCGCCCTACCGCGTAGGACAAAAACACCATCAGCAAAAAAGCGCGACGAGTTCGCCGAGCCCGATAAATCAATCACAATTAATCGTAAGTTGCATTACGCTGATGTCAAACGAATAAATGCTAATACTTCTTAATAGCTGGTATAATTGATATTGATCCGGTGTTTCGCGCGGTACTGAAGCGCCTGCGAGGTTCCCTGGCAAAAGGGGTTGTTCGCCCTCAAACCTCGCCCCCCTTCCCCCCCCTCCTCTCCCCCCTTTGAAAATTCGGATAGGAAGAAACGAAAGAGTGGAATAGGAGGAGGAATAAAAAATTGGTCTGGTGGAAATTCGCGCATCATGTCGTCCAACCATAAACCCATCCGATCGCGCTTCTCCAGCCCGCTGCATTCGAGTTCGCCATCCGGTCATAATAGGGGACTTGCCGGGGAAGGTCAAAGAACGTTTATGCAGCGCTGGCTCGAGCCTCCGTTGCAAAACAAAGCAAGCTTTCAGGAGGCGGGATTGATAAGAGGAGGCGTAGTAGAAAATATGGCACCGTTAGGTACTTTGCCGAAGTCGATGATGCATAAGAAATCGCCCGTGAATGGGGATGCGGTGGCGCCCCCGCCGGTGAAAACTAGGATTGTGTTGAAGAAACCCTATACGAATTCCGCGACGAGGGAAAGTGTGCCGCGCATAAGGGAGCAAACACCAGCGGAGGAAGTGGAGGCTGCGGTAGATGCAGAAGCCGAGGCAGAGACGGAGGCAACGGAAGAAGCAGCGGACACGACAGAGGCAGAAACCGCAGATGTGGAAACAACGCCGCTTTCGCCGTTGTCCCAACCACTCCTTCCTATCCCGGTTATGGACGACGGTGCAGACGAGGATTATGTGCCTAAAAAATCAAAATCGCGGCCTTCCAACCATCGGGTTATCAACATTAGCCCCAGCAACCACGCAACAAGAAGACATTCATCCAGAAGACGGAGTGCGCGTACTAGCCCTACTCCCACTCCCACTCCTTCTCATTTAACAACCCCCGTCGGCAATCATCAGGCTGCAAACTCTTCTTCTACACCACTCAGTTCCGCTACTGCTGCTCCTGCTGCTGCGGTCAACCCTACTACTTCAATCACCTCCACTACAACAATTACTACACCTTTCAACTCTGCAGCATCTTCATCTTTCAACAATACTATATCCTTCAACTCCGCTACTACACCTTTCACTTCTACCCCTCTGATTCACTCAACTGCCGCACCCACAAATATCACGACAACCACAACAGCACCTAGTACTATCCGCGCGGTAACCCCACCCGGTTTTCAAGCACCTCCTTCTGTTTTAAATCGTGACGAACCAGATAAAGAATTGGCAGATAAAGTCGTGGAGGCTGCAGTAGATGAAGCACTTCTTCATTACCGCTATCCCACCGCTTGGGCACTTCGATTACTTTACGATGAAAATTCGTCAGACCCGCATTTTGTTTCTATGATTGAGGATATTTACTACCAACGCGCAGATATCGAGACGCAAAAAGAATTCAGTCGACTCGTCTACTACAAAAAAAAGGACGGTAAGAAGGAGAACAAAGGTTGCGATTATTTTGTACCGCCTTCGACAGATACCCGAGTGACTCCTCATAAACCCAAACCTGCACCCTACGGGGATCTCATCAGAATGGATCTTAGCACTTTTCATGAGCAACAAATCCATCATCATCAAGAAGATGATCATCTCGATGAGGAACTTCTTGAAGAAGGACACATTAATAAGAAGATCAAGCTTGATGAGGATGCCATTGAGGATGATGACGCTAGTACCAACACGCCTACTAAGGCAAATGGAACGGGAGATCACAAAGGTCTCACAAACACCAACAAGTCTCCGAACAAGTCTATCCGAGGCAGAAAGACAAGATCCGGATCTGCTAGCAGCTCATCTACTCTATCTTCAGTTCCTGACGATGTTCCGGATGACTACGAAGAATTCATGGATCAGGTGGATGACGACCTAAGTGTCGTGCGTCCCATGGCTGCCGAGCCAAATAATGCGCAAATCCCGGTAGGCTCAGCCCAGCCAATCAGCGACCAGGAGAAGAAACCCGCCGCCGCCAAAAAGAAGAATGGTGCATCACCCAAGCATCCTCTCTCGCAAAGTACACCTGCTCCTGCTCCTAATCCTACTTCTAACATTAACACCCCCCTCCCTCCCTCTCGCGACTCTAGCATGCCCGCCGCTATTGTCGTAAACGGTCATCAAGAATCTTCTAGGGCTAACAGCCTTGACATTCCGAAGTATCCTAGCAAATTTGGAGTGTTAGAAGAACTTCCCGATTCATTCCCTTACAAAAAGAAGTCTAAGAAGTGTGAGACCGCCAGCATTACTAAGGAGTCATCTGAAGACAGCTACATTCGTGATCACCTCGGAGAAGACGATTCATTGCCTTTCGAGCTGGCTGTGCCACCTCCGCCGCCTGCCATCGCGGCTGCGACAGAGCAGGGTCGCGCATCTCGAACGCCTGCTTTAAGTTCGCGAGCTGCCAGGGCGGCGAAAAGAAATCATGACGAACTCAATGAATCCATTTCGCCCACTGCGCTTTCATTCAAGACAGGCGATATTGACTCGTCCTTCTCCGCGCGAAACTCACGAGCTGCGACACCCTCATCTAACTTACGCTCTAGCAAAAAGACTCGAGCAGGTCTACGTGTGAAGACTTCGTAAGTCACTATTACTACCCTTTTTCATTTCTTCATTATCCACTACTGTGTGTTGCGTTGTGATGGGATCTTTTTTTTTCTCTTTTTTCCTCATTCACAGCGTGGTCCGACCGATTGCTGCTGTGCTGTCACAAAGCGAGCAAGGCCCAGCCAAGTGGCGATGTGGCACCACATGATCTCACGTTGGCCAAACCAAACTTCCACACAGAACCTCTCCATTCTATTCGCAAGGCCCATTCATGACATTATCTCTATCTGTCTATGCTATATATACATATATACATAGATGCACTTTTATCGCAGAGATATTCGTTGCTGACCACACCTTCTACATGACAGGCCGATGAAAAAGAAGAGCACAGCTGCGGGAATTCCTCGTAGTCATGGTGATCGTCCGAGCCCCGTGGGTAATGGACCCAACCACCAGGTGAGTAGCCAAAGAAAAAAAAAGCAAAATTCCAATTCACATCCATCCCCTTCCCCTCTTTGGTGAATGTTGCAACATATTTCGACTGCAAAATGCATCGCGACATATTCTTGTGCGGATTTGTCCCCTCATCCGTGGGCTAAGGGAGGAGGCTTGGCCCTAATACGGACACGGACAAACGCGAGCTCGGCTGGCGGGCGATTGGATCCTTCTAGATCCCTGCGCTTGGGCCCATGAACTCTCCTGCGTTTACATCATCCATCTCCAACCCCATGTTATGTTCGTGTCGATTGTGCTGACAGGATCATCTTCTAGGACGATAACGACGATTCCTGCTATACTTGCGGCTGCGATGGCGAGTTAGTTTGTTGTGATGGATGTCGTTTTTCTTTCCACTACATGTGCATCGATCCGCCTCTAGAGGAGGAGCCGTCAGTTGACGAGTGGTATTGCAACGAGTGCAAGACTCGACGCGGCCCTCCTCCCCCTCCTTACCCTTATGAAGATGACGAGCCTGTTATCTTCAAGGCACTACTTACGTCGCTGGAAGGCAAGAATCCTAGCTCGTTCCGTCTACCCGAAGACATACGGGATCTCTTTGAGGGTGTTCAAACGGGTTTGCGGGGTGACTACGAAGAGCCCGTTGCTCCGAAGCCCAAGTAAGTTCTTATCATATTTTTTCATGATCGATCATACAGCTAATACATTCGCTTTTTAGGACCAACAAGAAGACTGCCGATGAACCCTTTGATTTCTTCAAGGTTAGAAATGCTAATGGCCCGGTCTTGTGCCATCACTGCCACCGAGGTTCCATGGGCAATCGCCCCATTCTTCCTTGCTCTATCTGCGGTCTCAACTGGCATCTCGAATGCCTGGATCCTCCTCTAGCTGTTCCACCTGTCCCTCGGACCTGGAAATGCCCTTGCCATGTTGATGACATTCTTGCGAACCTTCCCGAGCGATTGGGACCTGCGCATCGTTATCGAAAGCTTAAGGATGCGCCCGTCATTGAACAGGTGTACAGCCGAGGACTTGCGAACAACGGATGGATTGAAATCGACAACGATGATAGTGATGATGATGACGAAGGCTGGCGGCAATATAGAGGATTTGGTCATGTCTTCCGATTATCTGAGAAGGGTATCAAGCAGGACTTTATCACCAAGTAAGACAATCACATGCGGATATTTGGATTTTTTGGAATGCTAACATATTACATAGTTTACGCAAGAAGCGACCGAGTGCCAATGCGCCTGTTAGCAACCCCAACCCTGTTCCTGCGTCTACATCGGCAGCTGCAGTTCAAGCTAGTGTGCCGACGTTGGAAGAGCAGCAGGTAGCTTTGAGCCTTGCTCAGCTAGCCCAAGGTGGTGCCAATGATGGCATGAGTATGCTGCACCAGGCCATGATTGTATGTCATATTCCTTTCGTTCTTTGTACTTAAAAATAAATAGCTAACAATTATATAGTCCGAAGCTAGTCCTGCTGTCATATCTATGATGGCGAGCGGAAGTGCTCAACATATTGCTAAGGGCAATCTGGCTTCTGTTGACAAGGTGTCACTTGAAGCTATGCTTGCGCAAGCCGAAGTCCTATCCAAGGGTATTCGAGATCTTCTCCAGAACAAGAGCAAGGAGAACCAGGAGGATACCACAAGTAATGTGGCAGTCAAGGAGACTAAGCGCAAGTCTCCCGTATCAGCAAACGAGAAGGCCATTGTTAAGGATGGCAAAGATGAAGATGCCGACACCAAGCCGGTCATGGACGATTCTGCGATGCAGATCGACTAAATATTTCCCCCCACCCACCTGAGATACAGCCGACGATGATTAGTCGGCAACCACGAACGATTCCGCAACGTAGACCGATATAATACCCCTTGCTTGCCGAACCCGTCATTTTTCCATTCGAGCATATCGGGCGTTTCTACTTGGGCTTTTGCCTCCCTCACACTTGTACATTCTGCATCTTTCTGTTGGACTCGACTCGCATCAGAGGTTCTACCTGGTTATCGTAGCCTCGTTTGGCCTTCTCTATAAGACGAGCATTGTAGGAATTGGTAGCTATTTGATTTTTTTACGCAGCAGCATCAATCGGTTGTTTTCCCACACCCTGGCCTTCTTACTATTACTACTATTATTATTAATTGTGACCCGCCACCGCCTTTTTTCTTCTTTTCGTTGTGATTCTTTCGGTTCGATGTGAAAAGTCGGGAATTTGCAAGGAGACTGGTTTTTTCTCAAATTCTTCGACATCGAACGGATGAATTATTAAGGGATTGATTTTTTTCCCAGTTGAGGTTTCTGTGGATGGACTGGGCACAGGTCACGGTGCGCCACGTCATGTTCCTGAGATATACAAACAAGCAAGGAGAAGATCGATCGGACCTTTTTCTTTTCATCCCCTTCTTCTACGACATGGATTGATTCGACTTACTACTTGATGTATTTGTACTCTACGCAGAGAAGAGGAGGCAGACAGAGGAGAGAAGCATATACGGCACGCAAGGAAGACGAGGATAGCAGCAAGTAAGCAGCAAGTTGTGGAAATAACGCTGGCAAGAAAGACCATGGTCGTTTGTGATATCCATCCTGAGGGACTTTCTACGTGTTGTTGCTTTTTTTTTTACTTCTATTCGTCTTGTTGTCCGTATTTGCAAAGGGAAGGAAAGGACAAGGGACATGGAAAGGGGCAAGGGAGTTACTTACATAGACGGACGGAAACGTTGATTGCCTCATTATTTTCCCCCATGCGCGTCCGCGCCCCCTCGGGCTGCCGGAGATGGAGGGAGGTTATATTGCACTGCACTGCGATTGTGTACCTAGGTTAGGTACTTTACTAGAGGACAGGAAGGGCGTATGGAAAGAATAGCTTTGATGTGTTTATATGTGCGTGGTTTCGTGTCTCTTCTTGCCTGTACATGTGATATCAGTACTAAACCAATATTCCGTTGTAACTCGTCCTATATTCTCTTCAGTCCTTTCTAACTTATTATTTTATCTGTTTTTCAGATGGCAACATGAAAGAGAACCAATAGTTCGTGCGAGTCATTAGGGCAAATATCACAAGATCGGCATTTATGCGAGGGGAGTGAGGGAAAAACTGGATCGGATCATCTTTGCTAAAGATGCTATTTTCCAAGGTTGCTACTTTTCTTAGTCTATCTTACTACGACTATAATAGTCGGTTTATCCGTCGTTTTCAACCACATAGTCGATGAGAAAGTTTTCTTGCTCTACTAATCCAAGATTTAGATGATGTCTATGAGGAGATAAGTACTGTACCCGTAATCGTAGGCCCTGTTTCCGCGATGCGGTTCAGGAACAATGTCGTCATGACTAACGCAGAGAGAGAATTTGGAGTTAGATAGTGGTCCGTCTATACAAACGGCGCCGGTTGGCCAAAATATTACTAATTTTACATCGTCTGATTCTTAGGTACCTGACTATCTACATACCCGACCACCTAAAGCCCACCGTCGCCTTCGAAAAAAAAAAAATTCACTAGATCGTAGATACCAAGATTTCCCACCGCACCGGACCTATACTACCGTCTCCAATTACCGGCCCTACTGATTTGGTACCTTAGGCTAGAAGGAACCAAAACCAAGCCAAACCAAACATTTTATTTATTTGGTGGCTAGAAAAGAAAACCGCTCTAGTAGGTGGTAGGTTGCCTCCGGGATCATCCCCCTTTACCCGAAACATCGAGGCCTGGCCTGTCGGTCGGCTAAGGGAAAAGAGAGACAGTCACGGGTATCCACTACCTAAGTAGGCATAAAGTAACCACGTCATAGTACATGGAAAGTGTATAATAGGTCGGAGAGAGGAAGAAAAGGAGAGAAATTTCTAGCCTTCTCCTAGGTGTAGGTGGCCGACACATGCAGATATTGGGTAGGCATGCGTAGGGAAAATAATATATACTAGCGAATTGTAATAAATAACTTCTCTATGTCATAACAGATGCTCAAGCTTTGCCCAAGTGCCCTACCGAATAATTTTATGATAGATCAGGCAGGACGAAACAAAAGCGCAAAATATCTAAGTAAAAAAGTCGTCGTATAAAGGGGAAAGGCCTCGTGATCTCATCGTCGGTACCACAAAACGACACCGAAAAGCGTAGGACCACATCCGAAAGCCTGTCGGGATCGTCACTATATGCCGAGTCGTATTGCAGGAAAAAAAGCAAGCGGTGACAAAGTCGCCTCGCCATAGAAAAGCCACTCCCTTCTCACCGCCTTTTATAACTCAAGTGTCACAACACAAGTAGTCGGACTATCACGGAAAACGAGGGGTAAAAATAGAAAAAATTCATTCGTCTCTTAAGGATATTTTTGCCCTATCCATTTACTTCACTAATGATTCTGTCCGTCTGTCCGTTCGCCCACTCAGCGTTTTAGGTAACGCGAATCCCTTTCCCCCCTTGCTTACGATGGGGTGAGCTGAGTTGTCACGAGGACTAAGATAGAAAAAAAAGCCAAGGCAAGCAAGTTTTCCATTGCGATAGGAGGCTTTGACACAATTCTCCGTACAACATCTCTCGCTCTATACCACTTTCACCTCATCAGCCCCAGGTTGCTTTTTCTCTATATCGCCTGCTAATGATAGAAAACCGCGTCAGAGTTCAATGAATCCGGTTGAACATCTGTCCGACCACCTGGAATAACTGGCTTTGTACATAATGACAAACGTGACGGAGTAGTCCTTCATCCGTGGATGCTTCCTCCAAGTGGAAACCTTGCCGTGAGGTGAAGTAGGCTAACCTCGAATCCATTTTCTGCAATAGCAAGATCGTGATCAGGAGATCAGCCATGTCTAAGAATCGCCTAAGGGATAACTGTTTTCAACGAAAGCAACTGTACGGAGATCCAAGTCAAGTACTGCCAGTGTGGTTTCCTGCCCTCCACAGCCGTACCGGGCCGGACTGCTATACCGGGTCTCGTGGATCACCACACAACAGCTCTTTTTTGCCACAAACTGATGATGAATATGAATCAAACATTTCAAGCCAACCAAACTCCCTTATCTGTACAACCGCGCAATTCGTCGGGGAAAATAGATGCACGAAGATGTAGAAACGCATCTAATCTCATGCGAAATAGTCAAGATGACCCTTTAGATCATCTCTGAAGCCGTTTGTCAGCATTGTTGCAACTCAAGGTCGAGGTGACCTCTTCCTTTGAGGGGGTTGACCTACGCGTCCGCGCCTGGCGTTGACTGGTTGCTCCTGCATATACGGGACGGCATTACCGTACCCGTAACCTCCCATGCCCATGCCCATACCGAATCCAGGGGGCGCGAATCCTGCGGGAGCCCCAGGCGGCTGGATGGGGCTACCATTTGCCGCGGCCTGACCACGGTACTGATCCATTGGTGGGTTTGGGTTATTATAACCCCCATAGCCTGCCTGCATAGGCGGGAAGTAATTGTTCATCGGTGGCGTCCCACGTGGGAGCATGTTCTGCTGGTACTGTAGCTGCTGCATGTTCGCCGGCGCCATCGATCCACTAGTAGCATTATACATTGGTCCTTGGACCCCATACGGCGGGAATGCAGACATTCCAGGCTCGACGCTCTCACTCCTGGGTGCGGGGAAGCCGCCCATATCGAAGTTCGAGTTGTTACTAGCAGGGTTGAGTGGGTTCAGGTATTGATTGCCATACTGAGAGTTCTGCTGTACGGCAGCGGCGTTAGCTTGGGCTTGGCGGGATCCGGGTCGTTGTCGTTCAATAGTCGCGTTGTTACCCACGGAATGATCTCGAGATCCACCTCCTCCGCCGCCAGTGCGAGTAGATAGACCAACTTCATCCATAAGCCTCTTATACCCTTGGTTGGGTTGTGCCTTGATACGAACAAGAACACTCTTCACGTTCTCCACTACTTGTCCCCTAATGCTCTCGTCAAAGAATGGCGTAGTTAGAACCTTGAAGATCAATGTAGCACCACAAGCGTGGTCGCTCAGGATAGCCTCCAGGATTTGGTCTTTGGGAGTAAAGAACAGAGCCTTAAGAATAGTGTCCCTTGCTTCTGGCTCGGACTTTTGGTTGATGACCTTCAGGACTGTCAGGTATGCAACCTTATGCGTGCAAAGGTGGACGAGATACGGAACTAGCTGTGGAGCTAGTACACTACGTCGTTGAGGGAATGTGCATGTGTCCAAAAACCAGGTCAACAAAAGAGCGCCGTTGGCATTGGTAGCTAGTTGCACACTGTGAAGAGCAATAGCCGCAGCAAGCATCCTCTGCTGGTCCTTCGTAGCATGGTGGCTTTCGAGACACGCTCGCATGGCTCGAGCACCATATCGACCTTGAGCAACTTCCCACATCCTGCTAAGCATGGTTTCAAAAATGAAATCATTGAACGGAGCGCCAAATTTGAGGCATCCTTGCAAAACGTAGTTGCCGTATTGATCGAGGAACAATGGCATAGTGTACGGTCGAAGATTCTGAACGATTAAGGTCATCTGATGGGGTGTCTTGCAGACGTCAATGATCTTTTGCGCAGCCCAGGTACCGTTCTTGTGGACACCGATTTCAGCCATGTGTGGTGAAATCTTGGCCAACATGAGATCTCGGATGTTGTCCGAGCAATGCTCGAACAATTTCTGGACGACTGTGTTACCCAGATAATCCGAAGATAGCTCTGCAATCTCAGGAAGCATCTCAGTAGCTATGTGCTCAATCTCTCCCTGAGATAAGCTTTGGTTGTCAATGCGTTTCCGGATATCCCTCAGCTTCGGTGCGTCATGGACCCTGGTGTGAGTTGGCTCGCGAATCGGGGGGATCTCGTCGATAAACGCGGTGTATTGAATAGCCTGTTGGAGATTGTGGGAGATACGGTAGGTGTCTTCGTCATTGGCACCAAAGGACTTCACAATCTGGAGAATGTCTCCTGTCATGTCACGTAGGGGTGGAATTACTGGCGCCGCATTCGTTGTGTTCGAGGCCGCCGCCGTGTTGTCACTCGTAGGAGCGACAGTATTAGGACTAGTTCCGTCCTGACTCTTTGCAAATGGGTCAGGGCTGGGACTTGGGAATACCCCATCATGACCAGGCGTGTTCGATGCGGAGGGAGGCTTTGCAAAGTTGATGCGAATAGGGCCAGCTCCAGGGAAGATCTCCTTACCATTCATGCTAGCCTTTGCCGAGATAGCGCTATCGATCCTCTCAAAATTGACAAAACCGCAGTTCTTGTGCGTCAGTACCCTCGCAGATAGGATAGGGCCATACGACTTAAACATCTCGGTTAGAGTTGACGTAGTTGTCGAGGTTGGGATGCTTCCAAGCCATAAGGCACTCGTAGGACCCTCAAGACCAGCCTCTTCCGCCGTCAACAACCCGTTGTTTCGACTATTCGACCTACCCAGATTCATCGCGGCTACAGCTGTGGGAAGGTCATCAAATTCCTTCTCTTCCGGTAGTCGAATTTCAGCAGCCGTCATAGAGCTGTCAAGGCGCGAAGGAGTAGGGTAGTAGTTTCGCATCAACCTTGAACCTGCTCCCTGCAAGTCTAAAACACCAGCGGTGCGGGCACGGGGTCGAGTAGATGACGCTTGAGAAGCAAATGCTTGGAGTCCTTGAACGGCCAAGTTGTGGTTATGGATAGCAGCATTAGTAGCAGCAAGCTGGTCCTGAAGATGCGCAGCGTATTGGCTCTCAAGTGCCATGCTGTCATCATCATACCCATCATCCTCCTCGTCCGCATACTTGTCTTTATTGTTGACCGAATAGGAACGGAATCGGTTGGCTTGCTTGAAGTCGGCAAGACCAGGCAAGTAAGGGGTGCTAGCCAACTGAGCACGAGCTGGCTGCGGTGTTTCGGCCAAACCTAGGTAATCAAGAGTCCTCATATGGACATCATTGTCACCTGGGCCCTCCTTCGAAAACGCAGACTGTGCTGGCGAGCTTGGTCCATTTGATCCGACGCTCGCTATGCTGGCGAGGGTGTTACCTCTCTCACGACCAGCACTTGGGTTCCATGTACTGAAAACCGAAGGGCCAAAAGGCGAGCTACTGCCTGGGCCGTGAGAAAAGGGACTGCGCTGTGGCATGGAACCGGCTCGGAGTCTTGACAGGAGGTGGGAAGAAGATCGGGAGGACTCCGGCGCATCGTTCAAATTTGGAGATGGCGATTTGAACGGGCTTTGGGATGGCGTCGGTCGGGTGGATTGGGAAGAGATTGAAGGGATGCTGAGCATACCACTCCCTATGCCACCAGCGGGGAATCGGGATGGAACAGTGCCGGCTCGTGCACGTCGTGTCGAGGGCAAGCTATCAGGAGTAGGGAGTTGCGCAAAGTCCGGGAATCCGTCCGTTGGCGACTCGGGGATATTCTCTCGTAGGGGCGTCGAATTACCGCTGGTTGGAGGACCACCCCAGGGGTTGTTCGATAGACCAGCAACACCTTCTTGGGCTTGAATTTCTCGGGCTCTACATTGGGATGGTTAGACATGTGCTAGGCGAAATAAAAGCATTGCGTAAATGCTAGGAGGCCTCAAGTATTACTGCAACATACCTCTTAGAGAAGAGCCTACTAGATCCGGCAGTCTCGTGCGAGGGAGAACCAGCCCCGGAACGCGTGGTGCCTGCCATCTTGCCAGGTGGATTCAAAACACCAGACATGCCGAATGGGGATCTAACGGTAGATGCGCCTGGAGAGTCGACCGGAGGTAGATTTGTGGTCGGCGAAGTAGAACGACCGTTGGCACTTTTAGGAGGATAGCCAATAGTCAAGTGTTCAGATCTAGCAGTTGACATTATCGATTATTCATCCGACCCTCATCAGGAGAAGCAACAGTAATGGCTCTCCACCGGATGATGTTAAAGGGCGATTTTTTTTTTAAAACTCCGTAATTGGTAAATAGGTAACGAAGCCGAAGAAAGCTCGGAATGACGCGGTGTCAAGCTGGCAGGGCGACTCTTAATCGTTACTTCTCGTCCTATAATAATTCGACGGTCAAGGCGACGGGGGTTAAACCAGCCACACCAGCAGCGATCGCCAGGTATGCTCGATAGATTAGAGGGTCGCACACGAAACCGCAGGAGAGAGAAAAAGGTACGCCAAAGAAATGAGCGAAGTATCGAAGGTAGTGATCCCACAAGTATACTTAATTTTTTTCTTCGTTCCGGCTTCTTGGGGTTATTACAATGATGCAAGCGACCGGGCCAGGTGGTCGGAAGCGGTGATAAATCTGATAGAACAAGTCTCAAATAAAAAGGGTCAAAGGTAGAAAAAATACAAGGGAATGTCGTAGCCTTTCGAGGACAATGTCCAAATCGAATTGGTGTTGAAATAGCGATTTTGTCGAGAGACGATTTTTGATTAGCCTGCCCTTTTTTTCTGTCGTATTTTTTCCCCTTCCTAGACGAAAACCCCCAGTTGAAGAATTGGTGGGAGGGAAGAAAAAAAAAAGAAGGGCCTGTTAGGACGATAAAACAAGTGACCAAACGGATCAGGATCAATATACAGGCTCCATTAAAGATCTACGTATGATCTAGAGGCGGGGGAATATGAAGGAGACTCGAGCCTGGAGAAGGGCATAAAAAAAGGGAAGAGGAGGAAAGGTTGGAGAGACTAGAGAGACTGTGATTCTCAGGAGGTTCAAAGAAGAAGTTAAGGTGGATTGTGGATTTGGGGACTGAATTGGCGGATTGGATGTGCGAAGGGAAAAAAAAAAAAAGTCAAGTCGAGGTACATGCGGTACAGGCGGTACAGCAGTACTTTACCAGTAACTACCTAAGTAGTGTACTGACTGTACAGCAAAGTCTAGCAGGCGGGCAGGTCGAGCAAGTGTAGCAAGTGCAAGCAACGCCAGAAGTACCCGTGGACAGCAGGGAATGGGTGGAAGGTACTATGGATTATAGTGGGGGCCGATGCTCTTATGCTCTCATTCTGCGCCCACTCTAGGACCTGGACATCTTCGGGTCGCGAATGCCTACTGTCTTGTCTTGTATCTTTTCTGTATCAAAAAGTACCACGCTTGTACCTTGCTTGGCATTCTGTAGCAGAAACCTTTAGTTGGGATGACATAATGACATATTTGGTACCTCCAATATTCAACAAGAGCAACCAACGTGCTAATGTATGTGGCTTTTGAAACGTAGGGATCGCCCTGATCAACTAAAAGCCCTCTTTTTATTTTTTTTTTACTGCCACCTCCAATCTTGACTCTTTTTTAATTTTTATTTAGACTTTGTTTCTCTACTAGGGATACCTCTAGGCTATTTAGGTCTCTTCGTCTGTTAAATGTTTGTTCTAGCAATTGAGTTTATCTATAAGTACCTAACCTATCGATAAGTTCCATTGCGACGTTGTAAAGAATAAATAAATAAAAAATAAAAAATGGGTTTCGTCTAGTTTCTTCCGCAGAGCCACCTCGTCCAGTCCAACAATTTATCTTTCATATAAATTGTATTTTGGATTAAACAAGTTGGAATTGATTGGGTTGCTTCATCAAGCGCGCTTCCACCTGTCCCTTTCTTCGGATTCTTTTTTTCTTAAAACAGGGGGTCAGCTAACCCATGATTGGTGAGAAGCAAGCCGTGGAAATTTTTAACAACTAGGGATTTCTCCGTTGAAGCGTCGATACCGATTTGGCAGTTTGGAAAGATGTGTCCTTGTGCAGGCATATACATTTGATATGTGTATTCGGGTATACATAACACATACGCATACGCATACGCATACATAACATACGTACGTACAAATCCCATAATCCCATACATACCTACATACAATACCGTACATATATCGGGAGAGGCGCGGTCGTCGTGCCCCGGTGCTGACGAAAGGGAACGAAAGGGAACGAGAATGACGACATCTCACCCACAAGTGCGTTGTAGCCAGCTATCGTATCGGATTCCACCAGGATATCGACGCCTTGGATCCAATTTTTCGATTGCATTGAACTTTGACGGACCCTACGATTCCTACGACTCCTACACTCATGCTTCTTTCTAGAATCCGCCTTTTTCTTAATGTTACCTACCAGCCTTAGGTACCTAGCAGACCAGATACTCCCCCACATTGTGTCTGTCTTGGGTAGCTTCCGTGCGAGGTACCTTTTTTTATTCCTAATTTTTAACGCTGTTTAAGCCTTGTATACTACAAGTTGGCCTCCTACATAGAACCAACACGGACTGTCCCTAAACCTTCAGCACCCATTACACGAGATGTGATACGGACACATGAGGCTAGTATCCTGCAAATTGGGATCCCAAAGCTCACCCCCAGCAAAAGAACGGCTCATGTACCTTAGGTAGGTAGTACAGTACAGCACAGTACTTATTCTATGCGCCAGTACCATATCTTACATGTCGGTACCTACTCGAATGGTCGAGTCAAAACAGACATAGTGTTTAAGTCGGCTTGAAACTAGCTGGCCTTGGCCACACGAATGCTCGATGTGGGATGAAACATCTAGCATCTTTCTCTTTCTGGAAGGAGATATAGGTACGGCTCCTTAACATTACATGGGATTACATGAGAAGCGGCGTCAAGTAGATGAAAGGGGTGGGCTTCCTTTTTGAATCTGAACCTCTCTAGAGTCTAGAGATGAGACACACAGACTACCTACCACAAACAACGTTGATTATCACAAACTACCACCGAGGAGCCGGGAACATATTAGTACGTTACTGTTCTATATCCCACATTTCCATGTAGTCCAAGAAACGTGGCATTATTATGGAAATCCATCCCTGACAAAGTTTGCTCCGTTAGCGAGTTAATGCAGGCGGAATTCCTATCACGAGGTAGATAGATGCTAGATACATATGCCTACTGTATGTACCTGAGGTAAGCTTTCATTTTCGCATGGGCTCCCCTAAGCTGGCGTCACTAGCTTGACCGGGCTTTTGAAGTTATCGCAGATGTGCCCTCTATAAATTCAGGGGTAATCACAGATCATCAGCACGTACATGGTGGCTCGTCTATCAGATACATATATCATCAAAGCCATTTATTGCTTTGTAATGTAAAATTGGATCGTCTTAACCTCGTTTGTGCCCATAAAGTGATATATCTCTTTCTGAAAGCTTCTTCTTGCATGTATATGTATATCCAGACATACATATACACACTAAAAGTACATGGCATACTATGTCAGAAACGAACATGCTTGACCCCTGGTCCTAGGTACCTACCGAACTGCCATGTACGTTTATTGTGGCTCGTGTGAGCCAAAGATGGGACCTCCTCACTACCGCCTTAAGATGTGCAGCTATTACTTCATGCTCTGGGGTCCTCACTGGAAGCCGAGGCACCAATCAGCATCCCGGACGACCCTCGGACGGGGGATCTGCTATGAAATCTGAAACGTCGCTCCAAGTTGCCCTCCAATCCCACTCCAATCCTCACGAGACTCCATTGGGTTGACCAGCAAAAGCCACCCTGCAAGCTTCGACATCCCGATGCGATGTGCGAAGTGCGCGAATCGTTCTCGGCATCGCATTGGACAAACCTATCCACGTAAATTGTACTACCGGAGACTAGATTTCTTTGTTCTTCCTCTCTATCCGAAGAGAAAAGAGAGAGGAGAGACATAGGTACGGATGTACTTATCAAGTTATTACCCCCTTTGGGAATACATACATACGACTTTTTCCCAATGACGATCCGGAAAACAGGATGCGTCCCATTCGCCAACTACCACTGCAACCCCCTCCGGCAAGCCCTTTTCGTATAGCTGTACATTACATATTAATATCGCTATCAATTCCACCTATCTCGGAACCGGGAAATACGATTTCCTCTTTCTAAACAATGTAGCCTATTACATCCTTTCCGTTACTGTCTTTGTGTTACCTAGTATGTAATAGGTATACGTGTGTATACGCAGAAGTATACATAGTAGACATAACCTGGCGGCCTGGTATACGTAACTCCTCACTCGACCTCCGATGTCAGGTCTATATTTAACTCATCTCAACTTAAGAAGTTTCGCTGACCTGCCCAGAGATCTTTATTTTCATGCGTGAAACAAACACAACGAGGCTTGTCTTCTCTTTTTTACTTTCCATCTCTACATTATTTCTCGGCTCCAGTTTCATCTTCTTCCCTGTCGTTAGGCTACGCCTCGCTAAGAAACATGGTTTATCTGATCCATCCCCGACCTCTTGATCGACACTGCATGATGCCATCTCTTTAACGCTTCTATTTCTGTTTCGCGCCAACACACCATGCTTAAGGCAGAATCGGAAAATCTCTTGATTCTCATCTGTTTTTTTCTTTCCCTATTTTCACATGCTCGTATGAGAATTTCTCTAAAAGGGAAAACCCGTTGATAACTAGGATGCAAGTCTGCCTAGATTGCTGTACTCTCACGCTTTAGGACGTGTAATGCCTATCGAACACGATATCAAAAGGAAACCATATGCCGACAATAACCAGAGTAACTACTCGAGCGCTTCCAAGCTAAAATCTATAAATCGAATGACATCCAAAAACCATATAAATCTCACATCCCTGAGCACATTTCCTTAGTCATAATCGTAGATACGACACGTTAATCAAGGATAATAACGGAATCACTAAGCCACCCATAACCCCATCCGAGCTAAATAGATCCTTGGTAAGAAGGGATGTGCATATCGGATTACGAATGCATACATACGGTCCCGTCTGATATATCCTCTTACGGCCGAATTTTTAGATCATATCTAGATTTCCAATCAGAACAAGGATACTAATTTGCTTTAGACGGCTGCAGGAGTCAAGCTTCGATGAGGGATTATACTTGAGATAATTATACCCTCCAGGAATACTTCATTGAGTTAGGCGTCCGCTTGAAATCCACAGATTGGAAAACAAGTCTACTAGCACTTAGGACGCTATGCATTACGAATAAACCAACTATCATGTGTTCGGAAGATCAACCATCCAGCGATTAACTCGGGCGTCTGAAAATAAGTAGAGCATAATAGAAATGAATGGGTATCAATTTCTCTAACAAGCTACCTATTCGTCTTTCTCTTTGAAGCGACGAGAATCCTAACCATATCTTCCCATCTCGCTATCTGATATACAACGCCCTTCCCTGGGCAATACATCACAAAATATGTGAACTCTCATAGCACTGCAAACACCTACTATAGAGCCCATTCGCCCTTATCATCTTCCGCCGTGATAAACGGCTCGTCAATACGTTTAATCGCGTAATCGCTACACAAAATGCTGTAGGTACCATTAGCCTCGTTGCCACTAGGATATATAGTAAAAAATAAAAATCAAGAAAGGGATATACGACTTACCAAGCAGAAGCCACCAACGCATCCAGCTCCGCAACCATAGCGTCCTTCTTCGAACCACTTACCAAGCCCTTACTAATCTGGACCTGGCACTCTCTAATACGCCTACTCTTCGCAACACCCGCCTGCTCGAGTACCTTCCTACCCAAACAATCCGAGTGAAACGCGTGTTGGCACGGGAACACAAAGAACTGTCTACTGAGCAGCGGCAGGGCGCAAACATAGCACTTCTCACCGGGCTCAACAATCGCGTACCTATGATCGAGGCCCTTGATATCGACCTTAATATTCGCTGCGGTCTGTGAACTCTCGTCCATTTCTTTCTTCAAGGAGTCGATGTTACGCGAGTAGTCCTCAAGTGCCTCGCAAATCTCGTCCTTGAAGTCGTCGATTACGACGAAATCCGGGAAGAATGGGATTAGGTCCTCGATCTTGAGAAGGTCGCATCGCTTCAAAAACTCTATCGCCGTCTTGATCCCGTTCGATTGTGAGATAACCTTCCGAGCAACCGCGAGCCAGAGCTTCTTCCGAAGGGTAGGGTTGGTCATAGGTCGGTCTGCGATGACGGAGGCGTATTCTATTTCATTATGCGAAAGGGCGAGATCGACGGCTTGGACGTATTGGCCCATATTGGTGTAGATGTGTACGCATGACAGGGTTCGCTTGTGCTGTATACATAAACGGAGAGCAAAATCGGGATCGAAATGAGGTTCCTCGCCTTGGGATTCGAGATACGCCAGTAGCCCGGACTCGTCTTTCGATGCTTGTGATGCATAGATAGATACGAGTGTATTGTGGACAGCCGCGTCTGTCGAGTGAACTTGGTTAATGACGAATTGTAGGTATCGGATGGCCTGGTTCTGGAGAAGCGTTCCGGTAAAGGTTCTATGGTAATCAAGAAGAGCCGGTATGATTTTCCTTGGCTCGAGTTTAGGATGTCGCATTAATATTTCCACCAGCTCGTGTCCAACATGTGTCATTAATACACTGCTGTACCGATAAAAGACTTCAGGATCCGTCTGCTTCTTGAGCACATTCAGAGTTTCCGTCCATCGTTCCCTCTGCACCCAATATGATAGGACATAATTATAATCGTTGACGGCGTTAGCGAAGAATAGAAGCTCGTCTTCTCGAGCATGACTGCTGATAACATCGTAGGTCGTCTTCCGATCTAGGTCAGATTTGTGCTTATTAACGAATCCGTGGAATTCGTTTCGAACAACGTCAAGTTGCTGCCGCGATTGTTTCCGGCTCTCATTTTCTGTCGACTCGGCTTCCATAGTAATAGAGTCTTCTAGAGAATTGAGTTTTGCCATGAATATCTCAACTAGCCACGTCGCTATCATCATTCTCTGCATAATGGATGCCTTCTTCAATGTCGTGAGTTTCGTGATAAGATACTTTCGTAAAGCATCGTTTTGGTTATGATCAATAAAGGCCAGAGCGACATCCTCGAAGGCCTTGCTGCTTTTACCGTATACACCGGCAGCTTCGACGAACAGGCCCTTTTCGACCAGATAGTCGCCCGATGCCGTTGAAACAGCATCCTTTTGCGCTGGAGTATGAGCATATTGCATAGCCCTATCAAACTGTTGTCTCTGAAGCATTATCCGCCATATATCTCGATCTTCGTCTCTAACAACGATCTCGAATATTTCTTGGGTAGTGAAAAGCCAGAATGTGTTTTTCTGTTGGTCGACATAGAGGCCTAAAGCTTTCTGCCCTTGGTCTAATATTGGTTGGTCATAGACGAGTGAACCAGTCAACCGGTTTATGGCTACAACACGGCCGCCAACTAGGCCGATAATATGCCATTGTGTTAGTGCGATCGCATCCACGAATTCTGAAGGCGTCTTCTTCCGTCCAGACGTCTCTGTTGTGACCACTTGTGATCTCGATAGAAGTTTAGATTCCGCGAACACCTTATTCCCGAAGTCGTTATTCAACGGGCCCGTCAGAAGTTTTCCGTGGTAGACGCCATGCGAAGAAAGCCACGCAAAGGCTCGTTCTGGGGCAAGGTTTTCGTATGCGTTGGTATCCGGAGAATCCGGCGATATAGCTAACATCGAAGGAGCGGGGGATGAGCCTCGAGAGATCTCATGTATAACCGGTTGCTCGGAGTCGAATAACCTCGTGTAGATCGAACCGCTACCTTCATGACCGCTTCGTCCGACTTTCCCAGCGAGGTGAAACAGACGGCCCTGCGTACTAATAACCACCCTCCTCATATCAATCTTCCCTCCTAGATTGTCAACCCATATTCCTGTAATTGGCCCATCTGGAAGCTTGTGTAACGCCTTTAAGTATTTCTCCTCTTTCCTGTAGAATTCGGTCGAGGTTTCGATGAACGTTTCGTATATGTTTCCATCGGAGGCACCTATTAGGATCTCGCGGGTCGTGGAGGTGGGTAGCGACGGGTTCCAAGCTACAGACTCAACTGGGACGCCGCGTAGCCTACTTAAAGGTCGGGGCTGTCGTGACTGTGTATGTAGGTAGTAGTTCTCGCCGAGGGAGGTACAAATAAGCAGATGAGAGGCTGTAGGGTCGAGGAATATGCGCCGGATAATGCCGACCTCGGAAACTCGTTTAGGAAGATCGATGTCTATTAGTACCATAGGTCAGTCCCAGCCCAAACAATGTAGCCCATTAAGAGGTGGCATAAGGCTCACCGTCTATATCCTCCGGTCGATTGAGATCTATGCGTAATATTCGTCCATTAGACAAGGCTAGTACTAGCACATTGTTGGAGACTTGGGCGGCAACGAAGTCGGCGGCGATAGAGAATTGGAGCTGTACCGGTTCGACATCGAAGATGGGCAAGCTCTCATCGGTAAGAGCGTGCACGCCGTTGGCAGCAGCGAAGCCGTTTGTTGCATCTAGCGCCATCGCAAGGTCTATCTTGTCATGTTGGAGAAATTGGAGTCGCGACAGGCCGCAAAGCTGTCTATGGGTTGTTGTGGTGAATTAGGTAGATAAAGAGAGAGTGAGAAAGTGAAGGTTAGGTAGTAACAATTTACGGCTTCGCCGACGCGTTGAAGCTCGGAAGGTACCTGACTTACATATGCATAATATACATAATGTCACATTACATAATATCGATAAGTTGTACGCGAAGCGGGGCATAATACACACATTATGCAAATGATAATGCAACAATAATGCATTTGCATAACATCACTTGACTCTGCTTATATGTATTGCTGTATTGTTCCTCGACAACTTTGAACATACAACACAAAGGATATCACTACGAATAAAAATTGAAGATTGTGCTGACTTAAAAATCCATGGTAACTACCTAATTAGGTACTTAAAGAACTCGCCGCCTCCATGCAATATGGGTTTGAGTAGTGGGTATACTATCGTCGGAATATATGGACAACCTCATGCTGGCAAGATCCTCCTCCTAATACTATGTTCAGAACAACCAGATATCGTAGATGGTTAGTCTACTTGATATCTTATTTACATGATAATAAATGTGTAAAATAAAAACAAATGGCCACCTCGGACTGAAAAGAGAGTTAGACTCCCTCAGCCTATGCTTTCCTATCGCTCTACCTCAACTTGGCGAGCATTATCTATGCCGAACTGCCCTAGTCATTCCATCCAAGGCATAAGTATCATAAACATCCTCCATTGTAGAAATTTTGATCTCTCAGTTTGCCTTAAATCCTCATTTGGCCTTCACTAGAAGAGAAAGTTGGGGTCTGCTGGTCCCTCAGTTTCCTTTTTTTTGGGTTCCTCTCATCGGAATATCGACTCTCATCTGCTTCTTAGATATCCCGTAGCCAGTGTGTTGTACACTTAATATTTGGTGTGTAGATAGTCCGTATAATAGGGGCATTTTAAGCGACTATTATGTTGTTGGGCTAGGCACTTAAGTATGTGATACATGTTGCTGTATCAACGTCGCTTCGTTCACTCGGTACCAGATACTGTCTCCGTCTCGGTTGGTTGTTTTTGCCCTACACTAGAGCCGAATAATTTGCTGCTTGTAGCACTTATCGGCCCATCGGATGGGAATGAACAATAGCCACTTTCCCCATCTGTCAGATTAGCTTCCTCTGTGTCGGTCTCTCCCATCATCTCCATGAGTTTTTGCTGCATCGTATTGCTGGGTATGGATGATATCCCTCTGGACCACCGGCTGTTAGGATTTGGCTTCCTTCCCTTTAGAACTCTGGCTTTAACGACGATGCCCCTCGCCCTCTTGGGATTCAGTGCCACCCCCATAAGCTCTTGGCCTATTATGTCGCAAGCTAATCGAACCTCACTGGCTTCCCATCCCTTGTATCTTGTTAGAAGCCTTAGACAAGTAGACTCCATTCCGTTCAACATTGCGAGAAGCCAGAACTTTCCAGTCGAGCCGTCTTCGGTTCTCAGAGGAATAGCATGCTCTGTCAATTGAACATCGACATAACCTGCATTAACTAAGAACCTTGGTTCAAGGTGAGAAACTCCACGAGGCCTTCCATGCAGGACACAAGCCTCATCAAGGTCTTGTGCTACCTTGTAGGCTATTGATCCAGGAGCGAATAGTGCCTGGAAATTGACCATCCGATCGTCGAAATCTAATACTTCAATCCATCCACCTGGTTTGATGCAACTAAATGCGGATCGATAGATGTACTGCCAATCAGAAAAGGATCCCGTCATATCTCGTAAATGTACTAAATCGTATTGGTTCGGTGGTCGTTCCCATTCTAATTCAGCGTCGTCGATTTCCCAGTAGACATTTTGAGGAACACGGCGTTCGAATATGTTCGAGATATCGGTTCCGGTTACTTCGCTGTCGGGATACAGCTCAGCCATCTCAATTGCCCATTCTCCAACGCCCGTCCCTATATCCAATATGTGTGTTGGTGCTTCCAAAGGTACACTCGTTAATTCGCCTTCGAATGTCTTGAGGTAAACTTGATTGATTAATTGCAGTCGAACTTGTTCGTCGTCGTCGTTTGGCATATAATAAGACCCGCAATACCGCCGTCCATTTTCCATGACATAGTTGAGATCCAATTCGTTGATTGACCGTGTCGAATCTCTGCATCAATAAATTAACATTCCCTCCGCATTGACCAGTAATCCAACAACAACTTACAATGTCTCTTCCTCGGGGGTATCATCGTCAAACGGCAATTCGATCCGATAGGCCCTAGAAACGGTCGGGTAATGACTCGGAGAATAGATAGAGGCGGTGTCGGCATGGCTCGTCGCTAACTCGTCGTGGGGACCTAATATGCGACTTTCCGGTTCCACGGCGCTCGCCGTCCACGAACTTAGATAGTCGCTCGAGTAATCTTCTGTGGAGATGTCGTTGTCCAGTTCCGGTACAGGAAGCTCCGAGATACCCACGCTACGGCGATTTTCGCTACTAACAGGACCGACGGACGAGTCCGTCACACTAGTTGCCTGCGACGGCATGGTTTCGGCTGGTACATTTGATACCTTGACCTTTCCCTTTTTTCCCTTTGCTCCTCTCTTCTTCTTCATCCCCGTCGAGGTCCTTAATTGACGGTGTGGGTATTACTCAGACTATTTCCTTCTCACTCCCTGGTGCATCTCATAATGTGTTGTTTGTCTTCGATAAATTAGAGGTCTGGGGGTAGGCTCGTAAATGAAGTATCTTGTCGTTTGTTTATTATGGCGCTGGACGAATTGGTAAACTTGCGAAAAACTAGGTTCTTGGCGCTTTCGATCGAGGATATTATGTTGCGGGCTCTGTTCGTTGATAAATCAAACGACAAATGACAGGTACTTTAGCGAACGAACGGGCGTTGACCACCAGGTGCGCTTAGATCGCAAGGCTAGCCGATCAAGAAGTCGCCATTCTGTCTTGCGTCGAATTAAAGGGGAATAATAGAGTCGTCGCTAGTTAGTGGAAACGAAGCGAGGGATTAGTTAGGAATGAATGTCTTGACAAGTTGGGGAAAATGGAGCACGAGGGAGAGCGGAGGACACTCGTGGGCGGATACGGCAACGATTGGCTACCGAACTGCTCATCCAACCAACATATGCAAACTGGTAGAAGGCCAAGTTGGGGGGAGTCTCTCAATCCAATGAGCGGTCTGGTCTGTACTGAAACGTGGAGTCGTAGACAGGGGATGAGCCACATGTCATTGCTCATCCATGCCAGTGGGAATATCGGCGTGGTATTCCCCTATTCCCTCCGCATAGTAATATCTACATATATACATACACTGCATATGTATGTTCATACATGTACGCTGGTACATAATATACATGTGTGTTATATTAGGAACTATATATGTATGTATGCACCCTTCATCCGAGCCTACGATTCTGGCGCTGGATCATCACGCCTCAAAAGCCACGAACGGCTCGTATTGGCTCCTTTTAATATATGCTAGACCCAAGAGTCACAAGGGTTCTCAATTTATTGGACCCGAACGGATGGGGCAAACCCGCACGCCCGGCCTTGGAAAATTGATCGGTGGGCTTGGACCGCTGGGAGCGGATACGGACCCCGAATTCCTATCAGTTAAGTGTTGAAGTACTACACACATTCTGAAGTATTTGATCAGTTCTCAAATTCTCAATCTAAATACCTAGACGTATAACCAGGTTATGCAAAAATACATGTACCTATGCAGTAAGATGAGAAAAAGGGGTTGTTTTTTGTGATGAGATTATATATACTTAGGTACATAGTAGCATTTTCCTTAATCGTACATAGTACCAAGATATTCCCATAACTCGAATGAAACCCGAGTATTCCTAGTCCGATCTATTCCGCTTTGGAATAAGCGACATGCGTGGATGCATTCTAAGAACATTCAACGCTTCGCAATGGATTTTATTGGTCTAACTAACCACATGCTTATGTAGTATGTAAGCGTCTACATGAGGAGGGTTACATAGGGGCAGTCTGATAGTCCGGTTATTGAAATCCTGACGGAAGTTCATCGACCCATCCGGTCAACATCCGGCCGCGGCCGCAACACGCGCCGAAATCAAACGCCGGCTCGGGGACGTCTTAAAGCTAAGATTTTGGACTGGGCAGTGGCTAGAATAATCGTGTTCAAGTAAGAGGCAATCCTATGAGTTTCATATAACCCTGTGGCCAAGTGAGAAGCATGGAAACAACAATTATTTATCCGCAATGTGTATATGTATGTCGAACCCCGACGGACATTGTCACGCCTACTGAATATGCACATTAATGAGTTGCAGCTTAGTCTAATTTAGAGTCGATATTGATTGTATAAAAATAGCGCACTAGTATTTAACTAGCAGCTTCTAATGATAACGGGATTCCTTCTTAGAACACTCGCATATTCCATCGTCTGTAAATCCCAATGAAATACCTAACGCTTTCTATCCCCACGGGACTCAAGAGGCCCGCCTTGTAAATATACCCTTGACTCTGGCAATGCATTCATCAATTCTTATCATAGTATCAAATATCGTCGTAGGCCATTCCTTCCGCATATATGCGAGTCTTGGCTCTAGACGTTAATCCGGTGATTTCCGTTTCCTTGGTATTTGCGGCTCGTCGCATATTTCCTCTTTGTCGGACACCACCTCGGCCTCGACGACAATTGGAAAAGGGCTGAGGACTTTACTAATGTCACCCCACCATTCTTCTCCAAAACGTCGATACCAGTCGACGGTGATTTTCAAGCCGTCGGCGAATGAAGTTTTTTGGTCCCAACCAAGACGTCGAAGTTTGGTGGCGTCAACAGCATATCGATGATCGTTAAAAGGTCTGTCATGTGTGTATTTCACCCACTTGTTGAAGTCATCTTGACTTTCGTGAGGAATATTCATCTCCTTCAACAGCATGTTACATAGTTGAATGTTTGATATTTCGTCATGCGATCCTACATTGTAAACTTGGCCGAGGGTTCCTTTATGTAAAATGGTGTCGAATGCGTCGGCCGCATCGCCGGCGTATAGATACCTTCGGGTAGGGCTCCCATCGCCGTGAAGCACTGTCGGTCTCTGACGATTCAATAGGCATATGAATTTAGGAATTATTTCTGTCCTGAGGTTAATAAACTGCGCTCTCCCCACATCCTCGGATGTTTGTCGCTTACTCTCAGGAAATTGATGCGGTCCATAAACATTGTTGCTTCTAACTATAATAACCGGGAGTTTGAAGCTCTTCATGTAAGAGTGCACAAGCATTTCTGCGGCAGCTTTACTTGCAGCATAGGGATTAGTCGGTGATAGGATGCTGGTTTCTAGTAAATCATCTTCATCATCCTTCACCTCGCCGTACACCTCGTCGGTAGATATATGGATAAACCGCTTCACGCCAACTTTCTTCGCGCTCTCTAGCATAACATGAGTGCCGTATACGTTTGTATGCGTGAATCCGTATGAATTTCCGAAACTTAAGTCGACGTGAGACTGGGCAGCGAAGTGGAATATTGTGTCGATGTTGAAGCGCTCCATACAATCGAGCACCTCGGAGGGGTTAGTAATATCGCCATGATAAAAAGTGAAATTTCGTTTGTCGTTGAGCATGCGAGTATTGTTCAACGAAGAGCAATAATCCAACTTGTCGAAGGACACAATATTGTAGGCTTCCGGATAAGTGAGTGTGAGATGACGGACAAGCCAACATGCGCTTCGGCCGTTTGTTAGCTGCAGCGTAGAACCTTGAAACTTGCAAAAACTCACATGAAGCCGGCGCCGCCAGTAATCATAATATTCTTGACATCCGGTAAAGATTCGTATTTGGTAGAACCTGTCAATACGGGAGCTTGTTTCCAGATTCCATAATCTTCAAAGAATCTGGGCTTTGCAGATTTGCTTCCGGGGGCTACATGAATATGTGGTAAGCGGTCTCAATCTGGCTCGGTGACGTCGTGGGCACACTTACAATGCATCCCATTGGTGCCATTCACATGTGGCGCCGTCATAGTGCGCCAAAGGTGGTTTCGGATTTCCGCCAATAGATCAGTCCGAGGCTTAAAAGTTGTGTAGAAAGGCTTCGAAACTTGTTCAATGAAGGAGTGGCTGGATGTGAAATATCATAAAATCTCAGGAGATATGTGTAACAAGGTCCATTATTTTTCTTTGCCTAACACAGGAGTTTTGCAGGGTGGACAGATATCCAGATGTCGATCTTTACAAGAGTCGGTTGCAAATCACAACTCGACGCAAGACAGTCTTTGGCTTGTCCGACACCTAAATCATGGAAGTTCGGATCGCAGGGATGGCAAACTAAAATAAAGCTGGGTTTCGTCTGATAGCTAATTGCAAACTGGACGTTTGTAGGCGCGCAAAGAATAGAAAATATGATCACCCATTGGTGGATTTGACCAGAAGAGTGTTCCAACTAAAATTGAAAGGACTAGCCTCGATTACTGCACGTTATTTTCGCTGAATAGAGTGTAATGACTGGGATACGGTCGAAAGAATGATCGGTTGTCACGAGCAAATTCCGTGACGTCGAAATGGGTACACGCCTACATGGACGTATTAACCATGATGTTGGGACGAGCGAAGACATTGACATGTCTTAAATATTTAAATGTTTGAATTTAAAAGTTGAATTTAACAGGTTATTACTTCCTAGTCTTAGTTCGTCACTTCTATTAGTCGGCAACGAGGTTACGCAGGTACGGATAAGTTTGCAGGACACAGTTGCCCCACTTGGTTAGGTACAAGAAGCGCAATATACATGTATATGTCTGCTCTATAAATTTAGAGACAAACTCAATTGATAACGATCGATTTTAACCTAGTCAAGTTTAATGAAATGCGAAGTATATCTGCAATTTTATATACAAATCACCTATAAATTACCCTCAGATTGTATCTTACTCCCTCATATGAATTGTATCACGTTCGTGTCCCGTCGATTTGTTGTTTACCAACCCCTGACTGACAACTGTTCCCGTTGTCCTTCTTCAAGTCCGCGTCGTAATACTCTTACCCGAGATTTGTGGTTCTTGGTAACACGTTGATAGAAACCCTCGAAACCGGATTAGCAACTCAAGCCGCAACGAGTCGGTCAAGTCCAGTAACACAGCACAGCAGACGGATAGACGATGATACTGTGTATTCTACAAGACACTTACAAATGGAAATCAACACGGTTATTCGGCAACTATGTGATCTATGCCAAGTAACAGCCTACCCAAAAAGATGACAAACTGCGAATATCATTTTAGTAAGACGTATATCAAATACGAATACCCGCCTTAGGGTACACATTGGACGCTTCAAGCTGAAATGCGTAATGTTTGCTCATCGCAGTTGTGTGCATATTTCTCTCCTCGTTGATAGCAGCGTCCCAACGAGCATGAGCATACCCATCTTTGGGATACTAAGATGAGCCGCGATCGAGTCTCACTTAAGGACCGTGCTGTGGCACCATACTTCTGACGTGGGCTGGTGGCGCACATAGCCTGCATTTGTTACAGATAATTGCGAAATTTATTGACGCCATTGTTAGAAGTAGATGATATGGTATTCGTAAGTCCCTTCACAATAAGACGGATCCTCATCTAACGTGGAATGAAACAGGGGGTCGATCGTGTGTCCTTGGCTAGATCTTCCAGCCCTTTAACTCCTTGTGGATGTTGATATCTGGTGAATATTAGATGGACGCAATTGATTCTAAATAAACCATCCTCTCGGATGTATCAACATGCCTGCAAGTCATTGGGAGAATGCTAAACTTGCAAGTCCATTCTATTTGAAGAGATCCCTTTCCACCTACAGATATGCATATTGGGTACATCTCGAGAAGTACGTGGCTTGCGTATCACAATAAGTTACGCTATCACTTCTATCCGATAAGGTACGTTATTGAGATGGCTTGCGAGATTATGAAGAGACATTAGGGGTGGTTTTGTCCTGTCTTAGACAAACCTAGCACGTGTATACTAAGAATTGTTTTGTACATCCACTTGTTTGGAGTCTTAATCATGGAAACATTTGACACAGAAGATATCAAAAAGTGCTTGCACCCCAAAAATACTTCTTACAGGAAGCTTGCAGTAGCACTGAACTAACCCTGGTCTGACCCCATTTATTAGACTGCCAATCCCGCATGCTACACCCTGTAATTCAATTGTTCGGCTGGTCGGCTCCCCCTGTAACACAATACTTAAACCGACCTGTTTCGCGCCCACGGGCGACCAAATTTCGTTTCCTGCATGCTATTAGGTACTTAAGGTTTAGTGGACTCCACGTTCCGTTCCCGCCTGGACGATCGGCTAAAATAGCAGCCACTAGGTACAACGAAACGGTTTCCCGCCCTCCGGGTTGCGTACGCAAACACCTAAATTGGTTGTATCGCATTCTTCTCCATTCCCGTTCTGGAATTTCACCCATCGTCATTCGGTTTTCGATTCGACCAGCTTGCCCCGCCAAAAAAAAAGAAAAGGCGAATACTTCCGTTCCGTTCCCTTCTTGCATCCACCGTTGCGAATACAGGTTATTCTCGATCGTAATCGGTTTTCCCTAATCTTTACTTTCCACATGCTCAGATTTACCGACTGTGGACGACGGCGAGCTGGGCAGGTCCCGTCACATGCATTGTGCAGTTCGGTATGGCATCCTTGAGCGCTCGCCCCGGACGGCCTTTATCCGCTGCGTCGTCCTTCGAATTACAAAATGAAAAGGATCGGCTTGGTAGCTTCGAGGGAATAGACAATGACCGCGGCTCTCAGCACACCGTAGTGGAGGAGGGTAATATCAGAGACGTTGAAGAAGGTACAAGGTTAGAGAAGGCGGCCGGTAGCCAGACCACTCGGAATTCGTCTAAGAGTAGCTTCGGATGGGCTGTATTCTGGATCGTAGTCAATACTTTAGCGACAATAGGCATTGTATGTTTATTCGCCTGCCAATTACCAGTCTCGCGAGCGTAACTGATTTCCATGGTTCGTTAGGTTTTCACGAACAAGGCCATATTTTCCGATCCTTCGTTGAAGCTTGCGCAGCTCACCTTTGCTGCATTTCACTTCTTTATGACATGGCTGCTTCTATTTACACTGTCGCGACCTCGATTCGCGTACTTCGTACCGCGCCGTATCGGTCTTCGAGAGATAATTCCTCTATCACTGGCCATGTCGCTTAATGTCATCCTACCGAATCTCTCATTAGCATTCTCTACCGTTACTTTCTACCAAGTCGCGCGGATTTTACTCACTCCTACCGTCGCAACTATGGACTTCGTTTTATACAAGTCTATTCTACCTCGAAATGCAATTCTAGCACTTATCCCTGCCTGCTTGGGAGTCGGTATGGTCTCTTATTATGACTCGCTTCCGACGCAGGACGCTAGCGTCAAAACCACATCAAGCTTGGGCGTTATGTTTGCCTTCTGTGGCATCTTCGCTTCGTCCCTCTATACGGTATGGATCAAGAGTTATCAGCGAAAGCTGCAAGTTTCGAGCATGCAGCTACTTTTTAACCAAGCGCCTGTGTCAGCATTCCTTCTACTTTACGCAATCCCTTTCATCGATACCTTTCCTACTTGGACAGAAGTCCCCGTCGGCCGTTGGTTGATGATATTAATGGTAAGCTAGAGACGCCTGTCACCTACCTACGTTTCTAGTCTACTAACACTTCTTAGTCTGGCGTGTTTGCTGCCTTAATCAACCTATCACAATTCTTCATAGTCGGCCAAACCGGCCCGGTCTCAAGCACGGTCGTCGGACACCTCAAAACATGCCTCATAGTTGCACTCGGCTGGGCTTCATCTGGAAGATCAGTTGGTGATAAGTCGGTGATAGGTGTCTTTATTGCGATAGCTGGAATTATCACGTAGGTTGATACGATCTCTATGTACTTACTAAACTAACATAACCTAGGTATTCGGCAGTAATGCTACGACAGGCAACTCGAACTCACAAATGAAGCTAGGAAGAAATAAGGAATGATTTTGGAGTTTGGGGAATTTGTACTAGAAGACGCCCATGGCCATTCCCGGGCAAAATTGATTCTACGGCATAATTCTAGGTGTTTTGGCTGCACCACAAGAGGTATTATTGGTGCGCCGTGGCTGTCGGCGTAAATTGGGAGGCTTAGAATTGCTTTTGCTATTGGAACGAGATAAATGAAGAGGGGGGTGGCTGCTTCGGAAAGGCCCCAAGTTTGTGGGATGTATACTATACCATTGATACCCATTATGCCTACAAGAGATTCTTTCGAGCTGCGTATCGACCGAATGATATTTCTGAGTTTATTACTTTATGAGTAAACTTCAGGTATGCCTCTAGCACAGTTGCGTGTACATGTGGACCCCAAAGCAGTCCGAATACGTCAAGACGGCCAGATTGTTAGCTCTTGACCGACTTTATGACTGAAGTAGGAGTCACAACGGCACGGATACGTACCTACACATCCGTATGTGGATGTAGGCATCAGGAAGCATGCTAACTTGAGTCATCTGTGATACTCCGCGTATATGTACTGATTCCTAATTGTTTCATCTACAAGCCGAATATCTATAATGAGCACTGGTCGTAAAATAGCTATTGTCAATCATAACACGAGGATTTTCCTATCTGTCGACCACTTTCCACTTTCGTTTGAAATGACAGACGGAAGATGGGCGCATGTAAAGTCAATCGTCGCGGCAAACGCAACAATCAAATACTGCTCCTACAAGGAAACATTGTGTATCCAGGTATCTGATATTTGCTTTCTTCGCAACGATGCACTCTGGCATCGATTACAATGAAAACAACAAAAATTTCACTCGCTACAATCCACAAGGGACGGTAGAAGAGGATCAACTCCACGGTGTGCAATGCAGGTCTCCCCTCTTTGACATCCTCATTCTTGATCGAGGAGGTCGCAAGCTAGGTAAGTTTAAGGAAGAAGGGGAAAAAAGAAGAACTGAAATTGTGGGAGGGAGGCCAGGTATTTATATGTTTGCTAACAGTGCATGTGTGTGGTTCCTTCCAAACTATAAAACGTACGGTACCTACCTAAACCTTAGGTGGTGTGTTTGTCCAGTGCAGGCTTCAATTACAGGGAGTTGCTACCGATGACATAATCTAAATTCTGCCGGTTTCTACCGCCCTGTACAATCAGCCCCACCACTGGGCTTTACTATTTAGTTGCGTCTGCCCTCCATTCCTTTTGACCTTTCCTCTTTCTATTTATCTTCAGCTCTCTTTGCCTTTTGGCTTAGATCAAGTGTAGTATCTGTTCTTTTCAGTTTAATATCTGAAATGGTCACATTGTGGCCAAATCACTTATTATTCTAATTTTTGCGCTGCGGGAGTGCATCCTCTGGGCTTGCCCATGATCACGACCACCGTGTCCCTGGTATTACACACTGCTTCCAGGCGATGCGAGCAACCATTTCATTGCGGTCCCTAGCTAGTCCTAGGGACGTGAAGAAGACTATTGCTCAAGCTAATGATTACTGTTAATGGATTTCAGGGTGGTAGGAATTCAATGTTGAATGGCGATGTCGAGGTATCTTTCGGCGTCCTCAATGAATACGGTTCCAGCATCGAAAGTCTTTAAAATACGAAAACCCCAGGCTACGATGGGTTTAACACTTGATATCGTACTAGGGATTTATCATAATCACATAGGTCCAATTAGACATGATTTCATATCTATGCACAACATGATAAATTGGCCTGTTCTCATTCATGAATCTAGCATCATAGTAGAAGCTGTACTTCAGCTTCCGAGGTCATCTCGGAGCTCAATAATAGGCTAGCCGTATTGGGGCCTGTAGATCCAGCTAAAATATAGGTACATATATCAGCACTGTAGGTACGTAGGTAGGTACGTAGATGAGCTAAGTAAGCGTGGTCCAAGTGCCTACCTAAAATCAAGACATGACCTCACGGAGCACCCACAATGCTCCAACAAGGCTTCCAGATTCCGCCAACCCACTCCAACTTAGACTATCTTCTTATTTCATAAGCTCAATTCGGTACCCCTACAGAAGCACTTATCGTCGTTTTTTTTTATTCGAGGCTGGCCCAAAAGTATCTTGAATCTATAAGGTTGGAAGACGATACCAACTTGAATCATTCTTCCCTAATTAAAAATTTAAAATATTCTCATCGTCACCCTGTTCCACTCTGTTCTATCCAATCTATCCCCTCCCCCGCCTTCTTCGTCATCAATTGTACCTGCGCACGTCGCGACACCCGGTTACCAACTGCACTTTGATTCACCTAGGAACCCGCGGCTTTTGATAACGCATTATTCCTCAGGCCACAGCTTTGTTTGGCACGTTACCGCGCGGACGCAAGTGATTCACCATGTGGAACGACGAGGAAGACAATAACCCTTACGGTACGAGTTTCGACCGTCGTGACTCTATTACTTCTTCCTCTGCGAACCCTACCTCCCCAGGTTCTCGCGACTGTAAGTTCCACACGCTTCTTCTTCCCCTACCTGGATCGAGGAAAAATAATGTGGGAAAACATAGCGTTGGATGACTCTCCTGACGAGGCTGATCCCGACTGGGAATATGTAGACCAACAAAATCGCTTCGAGACTCCGAACACTCCGTCCACTACCAGCGAAGATGCGCCGCCTCCCCCACAATACGGACAACAACTTGCTGATCCTGACAGCGATGAGGAATATGGATCTCAGTCTAGGGGCCAGGCGGTACCACGAAGGAAACCGGGTGGTTATGATAGCCGGATCGAGCAGATCCTCTATGAAAATCCCGAACTTCCTATCTTGATCACAGACGCCGGAAAGAGCATGGAAAATGGTGGAAAATATATTGTCTATACGATTAGAACAGGGGTGGGTTCTGTAAGAAATTCTCTTGCGACTTCTTTTACTCATATGGGATTTAGGATCTTGAAGTCCGGCGTCGATATTCCGAATTCGCATCGTTACGAGATGCGCTAACTAGACTCCATCCCACACTTATCATCCCTCCCATTCCCGAAAAGCACACGATGGCTGATTACGCCGCGAATCCAACAAATGCAAAGCAAGACCAGCAGATTATCGATTTGCGAAAACGCATGTTGGCTGTTTTCTTGAACCGTTGTCGACGGATGGAACAAGTTAGGGACGATGGTGTTCTATGGAGATTTCTTGACCCGAACGTCAGCTGGGTATGCTTGTGGTATTGGCTCCCTAACGCTGTGCTTTGACTAATTTGGCTTCAGAATGAAGTTCTACACTCACATCCTATTGTATCTATCCCGAAATCGATCATGAAGGCACCCCCTCTAGATACTGCAAACCCTTCGGCAGCACACTCATATCTTCCCGTACCAGCTACTTCAGCTAAGCTCAAGACGCCGGTAAACCCAACTCCAGGACCCGTATTCGACAGTTCCAGCACAGTTGCTTCTCAAATACTCCGCCGATTCCCGCCTGAAGCCCACGATTTGAATGAGCAGGAACTAGATCCTTATTTCATTACGTATGAGGCATCAATTAAAGAGCTAGAGCAAGCCTTGATGGGGCCCATGGAAAAGGTCAACCGGCGTACACTTAACCACTTAAGTTCTCTATCAACCGATCTATCAGATCTAGGCGCCAAATTCAACGCATTCGCCTTGTCCGAACCATCACCATCCCTCGCCGCAGCTATCGAGCGAGTCGGTCAAGCGGCGGATTCATCCTACATTGCGACAGAAGAATTATCAAGTTCTTTAGGAGCGAGCTTCGCCGAACCTATGAGAGAAAGTGCCCAATTTGCAGGGGTCGTCCGCACCGTCCTACGCTACAGAATTCTGAAAAGAGTCCAGCAGGAGATGGCTAATGATGAACTCTTAAAAAAGAAGGCTCTATTAGAACAATTAGAGAGTAGTGAGGCTGAAGCGAAGCGGATCGACCAATATCTGAGTAGTAGTCAGCAAATCGGAGGGGGCCACCAAGTTCACCCACCTCGACGATCTTCTAGTATGAAGGAAACTTCGACACAACACCATAGGGAAGGCAGCGTAGAAGACACAGCTTCTATCGACTCGGATTTTCCGCCCACCCATGCAGATGTGTCTTCGGCACCTTCGGCGAGAGTGGGAGTTCCTGAGCGTTCCGCCTCTAGTCCGAATCATAAGAAGGTTCCTAGCGGCAATTCCATCACGAACAAAATCTTCGGCCCAATACGTCATGCTATTCAAGGTGTTGCCGACGTGGACCCAGAGAGAACCCGCCGAGACGCCATAGGTAAAACACGGGAGAGTATAGAACAGTTAGAACAAGCTCAAGTCGCGGCCGCTCAAGACGTGAGGGACGCAAGTGCAAGTATCCTCCAAGATCTAAAGAGGTTCCAGAACGAGAAAGAGGACGATCTTAGACGATATATGGTAAGTCTATTCCAACATACTCGTTCCATAACTGGACATTTTGACTAACGATTATCTTAAGCTCGCCTATGCAAAGAGCCAAATAGAATGGGCGAAAAAGAACAAGGAAACTTGGGAAGAAGCAAAGGCAGAGGTCGAAAAAATCGATGAGACGTAGGGCGTCTTCGAAGAAGAGTGGCTGCAGCAGGGTTGTCTCAACGACATACATGAGGGGTGTATAGGAGAAGGTGACTTTATTGTTCTATAGCATCATCATAACGGTTTGCCTCATTCGGAATGGATAATTAATATGATGAACATACCCGAGATAACTCACGAGAGCCAGGTCAGGTCAGAGTCTACGAAATCGGGAGTTTGGGTGGTGATTTGATGCAACAATTTTTTACAATACAATACAATTCACGAAGTGTATTGGCATTACGTGTTAACGGCAATAGAGCTTAGATCTGACAAAGTATTTCAAAAGTCCAACAAATAGTCAAATAAACCAACGCGTACACAGACTCCTAGCTCCTGACGTATACACTACATACTCATACAACATAAGACTACTAACGATTGGCCCTCTCGTACTCTCGCGGAGATGTTCTATCCCGAGGAGATCTGCTAGATCAATACATGCATTGAGTGACATTCTCCTTAGACTTAGTCAACATCAGGATCCCAACAATGACACCGTAGAGGCCAAGGACCTCGGCGAAGATCAAGATCAAGACCATGCCGATGTATAAGCGCGGCTGTTGACTGCTAGCTCTCACTATACACCATTATTTCTATTAGTTCTGTGTTCCATTCGAGGATAGAATAACATCCGGGAAGAGGGGAACGGGAAGAAAGAGAACTAACCTCCCGCATCTCCTACTATGCCAATGGCAAAGCCGGCCGCGAGACCGCTGAGCCCAACGCTGATGCCGGCGCCAAGCTGTAGGAAGCCTTGATGTAGAGGTAGCTTCTCGACTAGGTCCTATGTCGGCGTTAGTTAACTCCTGCTACTTGTAGAAGGAGGCAGTAGTATAGCACGAGAGCAATATTGTCTCCGCGATATAGAAGGAAATGTACTCACACCTGCGATGATAACGCTGGCTACTAGTCCATAAACTGCGATGATAGGAGTTAGTAGGCGGATTTCCGGTTTAGGAAAATGTCGGGGTTGCTAAGATGTGTTTTGGGGGCGCGATAACACCTCGTGGAGCTCGATTAGGAAGCTCTGATGAGTGGAACTGGCCTAGAATGGGGAGAGGGATAGTTGCTTTTTTTCTGGATGTCAATGCTACTTACTGGATAGGATCTGGGCCATAATTGCGCAGAGGCTACGCGTACGCGTTGCATAGCGGATGTCAGCCTTGCTTTCTCCATTACTTCCGCACCAATGGCAACGTCGGTCAAAGTATAGTTGAGGGGAAGAAGATAGGATAAGTGTGGTGGGTAGGTAGGAAGACGTACGTGTTCTGCATCAGCCGATCCGGGCGGATGATGCCGGACGAGAAGATGGCACCGGCTGACTTGGCTGTCCCGTAGGATGCGCCTAGGACGGTGAAGACGATGGAGGCTGCGCAGCCCATCGCTCCGAAGAAAGACTATCCTATAGTTAGATGGCATGGAAAGGTGTACGAGTGATGGGAATAAGCCAAGCAAACTTCACACGTACGGCATATACTGGGCTGTACAGACGATCATCGAGTCAGCATGTTTAGTTAGGCATTATCAAAGGTGTGAGACAGACCAGCGTGCCTCGTACATGGCGTCAGTGAATGCGGTATTCATCTCAGACATTATCGCTTGTTGGGACATAGTATACTTTGATTATACAAATTGGAGATGGGTACAAGAAAATCAGTTGATTTAGTAGGTACTATAGCTAAACAAGCAGCAGTAGAAGCAACTATAATGTAACAGACGATGAGAAAAGCTACCTAGTATGTAATATGCTTCTTTCTCAGCAGAGCACGTCGTCTTATTGTACAACTCATAGGTTGATCAATCAGCCCCAGGCTGTCAATTCTTCCCGTACTACATCTCACTACTCATTCATTCGCCTGGCTTTTGGTGACGACGTAAGTTCGGATGAGGGGTTTGTAGGCAGAAAGATAAAGTATTGATTGATTGGTAGGTTGCTGGTATATAAGCGAAAGAAGCAAGTTTATATGGTAGGTACATGTAGATCTTGATGGAGTTAAAAAGGAGTTAAGAGAAAGCTGAATGGAGGCTTGGTATTGTATCTAGAGACAGCTAGCCACTGGAAGCGATCCGATACCTTTTAAATTGGAGTAAATTGTGGCTGGTGGAAACAATTTATTTTTAATATCGAGATGATAAGACATGTATATACGTACCTAGATACCTATGTACCTAATATAGTCAGCTCCCGAAATTCTAAGTTCTACTCCACTTGATCGTGGGCTACCCCATTAAGCTCATTAACATTCTTCTCACCTTCACCTAAAAAAAACTACCGACACTACCGACATTACCAAGACTAACTAACACAAGTCAAACGCTGCCTGTAACAACTCACCGCAATTCTAGGCAAATGGTCACCTAAAATAATTATGGTCAAAATCTGACGACCGACATAAGTCGTTTGTGAGTGTAGGTCAGAGGCTGTATTCAATGCTCCTTACTGCCTCGTCATTCCTTGCTTGGTTCCTTGAATATCAATTGGACCGTCACGGCCTCCCTTGTATTCAAGGCGATTCAAAGCAAATTGCAGGAATTGTGGGCTTGCGCGTTCACTGACAGAGCCTCAATACCTTAATCACTTTAATCGGTGAACGACAAACAACTCCATGTCGACTCCCGGCTCTCCGCTCTCTCATCTCAACTCCAATACCAACGATTCAGTCCAGTGACAGATCCCCCAACTTCACTCCGCCTTAGGAAATCGATTGTCTATTCGATCTGTTCTTACTGTTTGACTTTCACAATGGTAAAATGCTCGGCAGCCCGATTGACAACGGGGAGGCAATGAACAATATACTTTGAATCCCCAACAGCACCGAGGCTATGCGAGTTATTTTCAGCTCGTTGAAACACTGATGATTGGACGGCTACGAAGTACCCGGGCTCAGGGCTGTCGGATTGTTTGTTAGAAACCCCTTCGCGATGGGTCCTAACTAACAACTTGATACAACCAACCGTATCAGGATCTACGAGCCCTATGGAGTAATGGTTCCCTTGTACCATTGATTGTTCCGAGAGACGCTCGGCTTTGTTTTCAATTCTGGTCATGCTTTCTGTTAAGCCATTGAAGTTGCTTACGTTTCCTTCATTAACTCATTAGACTCGATGGGCAATTTGCCCAGCTTTTTTCTTTTCAACGTATGACCCTTATGACCTTCCACAGCCACCCCTGACTTACTCGCGGGCGAGAGATAATCGACTATTGTATCGTGGGACGCGCGTCAACCTGCGCCAAGCCCATACTCTTTTGTGCGGACTCCCCACCATACGTCCTCCCCTGTTCTTTTATTCTTCCTTGAGCGCCAAGTGACGATCGTTTATGATTTGATAACCCCCGGTTCATATGACAAGAAAAGACGTGCGCATATACTGCCATGTAGCACTGTATCTCTATCTATCGCACATAGGACCCTTCAACCTCAACCACCCTAGCCAAGACGGAGTGGCTCAGATATCTAACTTAGCATTCGTCACACTCGGGCGACTCTTTTCCCCGGGTCATTCTATTCTCACCACGCTGAGCAACTGGATTGCTTCTTTCCTTTCTCAACTAATTCATCATTCCATTCTTTTCCCCGCAACTTTACCATACCTTTTCCTATTTCCTATTCCCGTTTTTAGACTACTTTTAATACACACCCCCCTTTAGATCTGTTCTTAGCCCCGGCTGGCCACGCACGACTGACGAATCTGTTCCACTGTACTGGATACATCTTCTTGCCTTCTTTGCCGGACCCGGCTTACCATAAAGACTAAAAGCGACCCATTCGAATACACATTGATAATATACCTTCACTTCTATGCTTTGAACTATAGCGCTTTGTGTTGTTTGTTATCATCTGCTATTAGACCGGTGGGATAAGGAAGAAAAGATATCGACGATTTCTTAGCGATCACGCCGAGACGGCCTACACACTACCTCAATATGAAATCAACAACAACAGTTCTTGCCCTTGTCGCAAGTATATTAGCCATACCGGCAAATGCACGTAATATACCGGGTGGTATTAGCCAGCCGAAAGTCGTAAACCTATCTACGCAACGAAGAACAGTATCAAACCCTGTAAAACGGGATCGTATACGACGAAGAGATACTATTAAGGCGTCATTAGACAACGAGGTACGATTTGAGTATTTTTAGCTTTTGATTCCCCTTTTACTAACGAGCTGTCAAGGAAACACTATATTTCGTAAATGCCACACTAGGAACGCCGGCGCAGTCTGTGCGATTACACTTAGACACTGGTAGCAGTGATTTATGGGTAAATACGGGCGACTCGTCACTATGCTCTGAGGCGTCTAAACCTTGTGCCTTTGCTGGAACATACAACGCCAACTCTTCTTCCTCTTATAACTATGTCGGAAGTTGGTTCAATATTTCTTACGTCGATGGCTCCGGAGCCAGCGGAGACTATGTCACCGACACGATCACGATTGGCCAGACGACCTTAAGCGACTTCCAATTCGGTGTCGGTTACCAGAGTACCTCCGAGCAGGGCATACTTGGTATTGGTTATTCTACCAATGAAGTGCAAGTTGGAAGAGCGGGCAAGAAGGCATACGACAACCTACCGATGAAGATGGTCTCGGGTGGACAAATCTCACGGAACGCTTACAGCTTGTGGCTTAACGATCTCGATGCGAACACTGGCAGCATTCTATTCGGAGGTGTCGACACGGCGCAATACACTGGAAGCTTACAAACGCTACCGATCCAATCTAACGGCGGTGTCTTCTCAGAATTCCTCATTACACTTACCTCCCTATCAGTGGGCAGCACATCTATCGCTGATAACCAAGCTCTTGCGGTCTTGCTCGATTCGGGTTCCTCGCTTACTTACCTGCCTGATGACATGGTTAACAGCATTTACGAATCAGTCAATGCGCAATACGACTCGAGCCAGGGTGCCGCATATGTACCATGCACTCTTGCCAGTCAAACAACATCCGTGGACTTTACGTTCTCCGGTGTTAAGATCACCGTGGGAATGGACGAACTTGTACTAGACCTTGTGGCAGCGAACGGACAACGCCCGACTTTCTCGAACGGTGTCCAGGCCTGCCTATTCGGCATCTCGCCAGCCGGCTCGGGAACGAATGTTCTCGGCGACACATTCCTACGATCCGCTTACGTTGTCTTCGACCTCGAGAACAACGAGATCTCCCTTGCGCAGACGAATTTCAACACAACCGAATCGAAGGTCCAAGAGATTCCCAGCGGAACGGGCATTCCCGATGCCACTGCAGTCTCCAACTCTGTAGCCGCGACTGAAGGTGTCGTGAGAGGTAGCGGTAACGGCAATGCCGGCCTTGGTAACACCACTGGCGATGCCGTCATCGCAAGTGCCTCCATGGCCGCAGTCCTCTTCGTATCCTTCGGTGCCGCCGTCATGACTACGATATTATAAATATAAATATAGGTGGACGCAAAAGACTATAAATACGATAAGTGTTGTTCTGTTTTGGATTTGTTGCATGGCATACTCAGCATCGCAAGGCGTTTTGGGGACTCTTGATTTGGATACACATATCGGTCTATATGGGAATCTAGCGTGCCAACTTGGTTTTCATGGCATTTTGAGTACCGGTATAGACGACCGAGGGACTACAAAAATACTGACTGATTTGTATGATATGATATCTGCGAACTGGATGGATTGGGAAGGAAGAATAACCGTGTATTATATCACTGTCCCATTTGCATGACCACATACCACATATTTTACGACAAAGCGAAGCGTAGCGGAGGTCGTTAGGCGTTATAGCTATGAAATTTACGTCGTGTTTTTTGCTTTGTCAACTTTGATATTTGGATTTGCGGTGACTAGAATCGTTTAACTTTTGATTCTCATAGAAAACACACCTGTGTGGTGTAGTCCACAACTTTTCCTTCTCGTCTTTAGGACTGACGGCCTGATAGCTTTGAGTCCCTTTTCTTGCCTTCTGCGGCTAACCGGTAGGCTTTCCCCCTTATACCCCTCGAAAAAAACTCACTTGCGAATAACCAGTGCAACACTCCTTTTAGTTCCGATCCCTCCTCATTCCTCACCAACCCCTTTCCCCCCTCCAGTCCTTTCTATAACGCAACTCAACACTGCTTAGAAGCAGCAATCTTCGGATCCTTCCCCCTCCCCCTTAAATACCGATCACAATCCACCCCACGCTTCTCATCCCCATGCGCGTGCATATACGCATCGACCCAACACATCGGACACACAATATACGCCGCATTCGAAAAGGCGATAAAAGGCCGTCCTTCGCTGTTAGCGGTGTCTGCGTGGCAATCGCATGGGCACGGGACAGTTGGGATCACGTCTTCGAGATCGATATCTGCGTCTGCGTCTTGCGGTGTATAGTAGTTGTTGTTGTAAGTTTCTTGGTCGTTGTCGGAGTTGGATGGGGAGAGCGATATTGAAGATGAAGAATCTGAAAGTGTGGATGAGGGTGAGGCTTCGGAGGTGTCCATTGGGTCCTCGGTGTCGGGAGATGAAGAGGTTTCTTGGGTGCTTGGTGTGTCGGCCATGGCGACTGATGAGGTGTAGGAGCGGTGGCTGCGGGGGTGGGTTCTTAGTTGCGATATTTCTGAATTTTCCCACGGTGCGAAGGCTTGATTTTGGTTTGGAAAGGGTGGTGAGTTATCGGGGGACTCGTATGATAGTTCAGTGATGAATTCCCCTTCCGTTTCCATTCCAGCCTTGTTCATGTAGCGACGGTAGGCGGGGGCGTCGATATAAGAAGGAGGCCCGTCGGTGATAGTGGCTGGGGCAGGAGCTTCAGATAAAAACAACGATGCAAGTTTCTCCTCCTGTAGCTTTCTCTTACGACGTCTTCGCTCTTCGTTTGGGGATCGGGATCTTGAGGAAGAACCAGAAGACGGTTGTGGGGGAGAGCTATCAGCAATGTTCTCTTCGTCGGATGTTTCTATCTCCGTTGCGATCGCTTTCCCCTTTCCTCTTCCCTTTACTTTACGTCGGGCCATCTTTCCTCGTCAGCACTCCTTTTGGGGGGAAAGAGTGAAGTGATAAAGTTATTATATGCGGGTATTTACGCAGGCAATCCGCGTTGATTCAAGCCAAACAAATGGTAAAACATGCGTTTGATGGTCAAGCCTGTAATCGTGTTGGCTAGATAACCTAGAAGTAAACTTTACCACCATACCGGTAGAGGGTAGAAAAGGAAACGAAATGGTAGGAAGAGAGGAGGGAAACCGGTAATTTTCGTATGTGGCGTTAAAGAAGATGGAGATTGAAACGAGTATAATATATTCGACTAGGAAGACAAGGCGTTGTGCAACGTGCTGCCTGAAAATCTATAGACGAGAACAACAATCGTGATTCTCAATGAGGTTGGAGTTGCGAGGTGCCACAATGCGGATGAGGAAAAGCGATATATGAAAAGAAGTGTTAATACCTGGAGCGCCGTGAATCAATTCACGTCCAGGTTCGTTCGAATGGTTTGTGCTCCAAAAGTAAAGGTAGAACGTGAACATGAAATCTTTCTTTTGATATCGGGGTACGGGATGGCGCAGATCCGACTTAGCTATGCTCGATAGCTTCAGATATATTTGGTATATCTGCTTTCAGGCACAAGTTACATTTTATAGAAATAATATACGCATGAACATCATCATATTGTATTGGGAGTAGATAACGGTGGCAGGGTGTTATATCTATTTGCACTTTGTGTAGTCCGCACGGTCGCAAGGCCGGCGACAACCAGGCCCTCACTGTCCGTTAACGGCTGCGGGCGGTGACGATAGTTGGTATCTATAACTAGCTGACACTGTGTTAAACAATCTTGGGCTGAATAGCGACCAACAATAATCTTGAGAAGCGCAGCGAGCAAGAATTGAAAATTGAAATACCAATTCATATTAAAGTTGATATTGTCAATTTCTTTGTATACTGCCTTATAGTGGTGCTTGGGGGGCTGAATCAGGCCTTCCGTGGATGGCTTTCCGATGGTTAGGAATGCGGCCAAGCTATCAATACTTTTAAGAGCTCTCAACGCAGAATTAGCAAGATATTCGTTTCTTCGTCTTAGTGTCGTCACCTATAATGGATAAATGAGGTCCCAATCGAACGACTGTCGAACTGGACATACATCGTCAGAATCGTAATGGTATATTCCGACCGGATTGTGCATAGCTAGATCATAATCAACCAACCCCCTCTAGTACTCGAAGTCATCATCTACAGATGGTCCCTTATTATTTGTAACACTCTCCTGTTTCCTGTACATTTCCGCTACTTGACGACTGCTGGTTGCCTCATCAGGTTTTTTGTCGTCCCTTATCTTAATGAATCTTGGGAACCGTAAACTGATTCCCTTCTCGCCCGATGGGTCGATGTTCTCCTTCAAACCGGCTTTATACCTCGGGCTGAGAGTTAAATCTGCAGTCTTAACTTCCCATACATAACGGGGTTCGAGCCAGACGTCCGGTTGATGTTGTCCACCTGATGAGTGGGAGTAGAATGGCTTTGGTCGGTCGATAACTATTTCGGAGAGTTGCTTGTGAAGCTCTTCGAGGACTTGCTCCGAAAATCCAGTTCCAATATTGCAAATCGTTTCGTAGGTGTCGGTCGCTGGATTGTAACAAGCGAGAAGGAAAGCACCATACACGGATGTACGCTTGCCTCTGCCGTAATAAGCACCAAGTACCACAAGATCAAGCGAATCACCAACTCCTGATAGGTAGTCTTTCTTGATCTATTCTCCTGTTAGTAACGGTTACGGGTCGATTTGAAGCTGGATTCTCACCTTCAGCCAATTGCGACTTCGTTTGCTGGGCTCGTATCCACTCTCCGAACCATCAAGCATCTTGACCATCAAGCCCTCACAAGAAGCTTTGACACTTTCTTCCAAGAATGTCTGAATCTCCTCGAGCTCTCTGCCATTCATGTGGGTTGCGAAAGCAAACTCGCCTTCTACTGGTTGGAAAGCTTCATGAAGCAATTCGCGGCGTTCTCGGAGTGACTTCTCGACCACTGGCTCGCCATTCAAAAATAGCAAGTCAAAAGCGAAGACACAAACCTTGACTTTGACGTCCTCTAATTTGACGTCCTTCTTTTTCCTAGTCATTAGTTGTTGGAAAGGAAGCACCTTCTTCTCGGTAACATCCCAAGCGACAGTCTCGCAGTCTAGAACGAAACTCTTGGTGCCCTCTTTGACCCATGTATGAAGTTTTGCGAGAATATCGGGATATTTCTTGGATAAATCCTCCGAGTTTCGCGAGAAGATGGATGCAACACCCTTGGCAGCTTCCTTAGTAGCGCCAGGGAGAGCATCAATATACTCGTCTGAATGATCCTTGGCAACGTAATGAATTTGCGCCCTCTCACCATCATACTTGTATTCGCAGGTAAAAGTTTGATCCTCGAATCGATCCAAGACTTCTGTAATGGCTTTCGTTGGTTTCGCAAGCATAGGCTTTAGAGGTACTCCCGGGCGAAGTTTGCAAGTCTCCTTAAGTCTCATGATGCCATTCTTGACCATTGCTGGAACAATCACATCCCAGCTAGGAAGTTCACTACTATACGTTAGAATCGCAAATTAGAGGAATTGGATATCTCAACTGACCTGTATACTGTCTTCAACATGGCCTCCGCTTCTTCCATCTCCTTGGTGCTAGGTACTTTCCCTTTCTGGTCTGCTTCATGACATATCATAGCCTGTGCTATGGAGACGAGGACGGTCCTCTCTGCCAGGCCTAGTCTAAGCTTCCCCTCGAGGAATCGGATCAGGTATTTGGCTTCACTTGGGCCACCTTTATCCTTATGGATGTCGGCCTTGCCGGTGGAGTGAGCATCGGCAGAAGATAGTAGCTTTTTGATCCCATCAACTTTCCTGCCTTGAGCGCCGTTTCCAGTTACGGTTGCAATATCCATAAGACCTTTGTGTACGGCTCTGATAGTCAATGGCTTAGGCTTGAACATGGTTGGTTGGGTAGATCTGCTCTTGATAGCAACAAGACCCAAATCACCAATCTCTTTTTGATCTGCTTTGATAACTTGGAGACTACGCCCCGTAGTCTCGCCTATGGCCTTCATGATCAACGATTCGCCAATGCCTAGCTCAATACCGGCATAGTCTGGAGCCAATTTATTGATCATTAATAATACCGTGGGAAGGAAATCTTCGGGAGTAAGACGTAGGACTTGTCGGAGGAACAAGGAACAGTATTCTGTGATTTGAAGTCGTTTCGTTGTAAGTTCAACGAGAGAGAAGGTTGTACACAATGCGGCGTAGGGTACTGGTGCGCCGGGTTTCCAGTCAGGGTATGCGTCCTTTGGCTTGCTCTGTAGCTTAGTTTGAATCTTTTCTCGAGCTTTTGCTGCAACCTCTGGCTTCTCTTCCTCTTCATCCTCTTCCTCTGCCTCAGATGCTGATTCCGATGCTTCCTCCTTGATGTCATCCTCTTCTTCTTCTTGCTTAGGCGTTGGTTTTACCTTTTTCGTAGCGGCAGGCTTAGAAGGAGATTTCTTAGCTGTCGTCTTCTTATTGATAGACTGTGGCTTCGGTTTCGTTTGCTCGGCATCGGCCATAACCTCGTCTTCGTCATCTTCTTCTTCAACTCGAGGACGTCGACTCTTCCTTTGTCTTTTTACTACTGGTGCCTCCTCTTCGAGCTCTTCTTCAGATTCCTTAGCCTCGACCTTAACCTTTGTAGAGGATTGTTTCGCTTTGCTCTTTGGAGAGGCACCGGATCGAGTTCGCTTCTTCGTGTCTGATTATATCAAAAAAATCAGCACCATGATCGGGACCAGGGAATGCATTGTTCAGCGATTGATACCTTTCGTGGCATCACCATTTTCCTCCGCTTCAAAATCGGACTTCACTTTCGGCGAGGATGGTGCTTGAGCAGCTGGCTCTGGTTCTGGCTCTGTCTTTGGCTTTTTCGATTTCGTATTAAACGACAGCTTCGATTGCTGTGGTGCGGGCTTGGGGCCATTCGGCTGGCCGAAGAATTTTCTAAATGATCGTCAGCGATGTGCACGATATATATAACATCATATGCTAGGAAGCCCCACCCTAAGGTGGTCTGCGAAGATTTCACATACCCCAAGGTAGCTTGCTTGGGTGCCATTTTGAGTAATCGAATTGTCGTTCTCGCTGTGAATTGAAAGAAGAAACGACAAGAAGGCAAATTGGCAAACATCAATGTTCGGGGGAAGAAATGTGAAACTCTCAATTAAGTGTAACTTTCAATCCTATAGGCAACCACGTGCTATATCGACTTCGGGGGTGTGAATTAAATTGGCAGGCAGAAAAGCACGACCAGTGGCTAGCCATCGACGTGACGCGATTTCCTTAACTTTAACCGCGTTAAATGGAATAGTGACGCGAAAGTTGCAGGCATCCATACAGTGCGAACTTAAGCATCTCCAACTCCCATACGGTGACACAAGCTTTATCGATAAGAGGTAGGTACTTACACCTCGGCTTATAATCTACCGGCTTCGGCTTAAGCCCTCCTCTCTTGAGAAACTCCGTACTCCGGAAACTTGGAGTATCTCAATATGTATCTGGATATGTTAGATTCTACGACGACAATATGAATGTTCCTCGAGCGTCATTACGCCAATGGCAAAGACTCTCATGTCTACGCCCCTCGGCGCCCCGGGTTCACTTACCGGTGTGCCGTCGGAGCTATAGTGAATCCAAGGGCAGTCTCGCTTTCGATACCATAAGGTCTGAGATGTTGGGACGTAATAAGCAGTATAGTTGGGATGTTATGTCACCGACCAACTCATCGCTTCTCAATATTTCCCTAGCAGACTTTATACCAGAAAGCTGCCAAGCCCCTACATATCGGGCGGGTGCTAAGAGTATTGAGAAAGTCGACGCCACAGTCAAGTTACCGCAGGGCCACCATCTGGTATACTTCCCGCTGCAGAAACCGGTCTCGGAGTTATGTCCCGATATGACAGATCCTCTCCACAGCCCCGGCGGCCCATTTGAGCGGCGCATGTGGGCTGGTGGTTCCATTGAGTTTAACGATGACTTCCAGCTAGACTCAACGCCAGTCGTATGCGAAGAAGCTATCAACGATGTCACTATCAAAGGCATTGAAGGCCAAGAGAAGATATTCGTAGACGTGTTACGCGACTATATGAAGAAGCAAGACTTCGAGAGTTCCAAGTCCAAGAGGATAAGGGAACACCGAACCTTGGTCTTCATGCGTGGCGTGAATCCGGAGCAAGCTCGTGCCAGCCTACTCAAGGCGTCGGAAAAAAGGGGCAGGATTGTCAAGGGTAAGTCAGTATCGTATACACCCGTTATATTATGCATTTCTCGTACTTGGTTTTTTGGACTATGTGATTATGGCTGAGACTAGCAAAGTTCCCAATGCGCCCGACTTCTCTATCACCCTCACGCCAACGCCAACGCTTCTCTTCAACTACAGCGCATTAACCTTCAACGCGCACCTAATCCATCTAGACCCAGAATTCTGCCGCGAAGAAGAAGGTCATCCTAACCTACTAGTTCACGGTCCCCTGTCACTCACTCTAATGCTTTCCGTGCTTCGCTCACGTCTCGGAGCGGACGAGAAAGTGCACAGGATTGACTATCGCAACTTAGCTCCCCTTTACGTCAATAATCCCATGCGTGTCTGTGTTCGGCTCATTGGCGACGGGGATAGGTCAACAGGAGAAAAGACCCGAAAATGGGAGGTTTGGGCGGAGGGATATGACGGAGGCCTTAGTGTAAGGGGAACCGCCGTGACTGGGCCCAGCGCATAGAATAGGCGACGAGATCCTTTGCAGATCACATATGGTAAACCAATGATATCAAGCAGATAGCCCGATATTGAGAGCTCTTCCTTCAGAAGGCAAAGTATCACGTATAAGAAGCCGAGGATGAGGATTCAAAACATTCGACCTACGGTAACCCTCCGCCGTAACACGGCACACTCTGCGAAAACCCTCCGGCGCATTAATCGCGCAGCTTTGGGTATGACGGTTAGGACCACGATACTGTCTCATATTTGTACATACTGTAAAAAATAACTATGAGGTACATAGATCACATTCATTGCCAATTAGAAGTTGTTTTAAAAAATACCAGTAATAATATTGCTATTTTTTCTTATATCCCGATGTCCTCATAAGAGGTTATGCGATGCTTGGTGGTATACGCCTTCACGATACGGGGAATTCATAATAGTAGTAGGGTAATCGTGCCAGTTCATTTCCTCTCATGCCATGCATCTATCACCCTTTATCCCGTTGCAAGTGCGCTTCAAATGCCGCCCCGAAAAAGTTTTGCGTTTAACACAAGTTTAGAAAGTAGAAAAAGCAAGTAAAATATAGCAAAGCCCAGATACCTATTCCCCTTTTCGCCTCATTAATGCATCGGTATATATTCTCATGTCTGACCACGTGCGCAACTATAAAACTCCCATCACGGGTCATTATCCGATCATCTTTCAACTCATCCCTAGTGCTGAATTTTCTGAAAATTTTGGCTGCGGCTGTAGGCCTATCAGTAGCACTGCAGTAGATGCAAGGAACCTTGCGACACCATACAAGCGATAACAACCAGCAGTAAAAATATAAAGTCGGGTTGGTTGCCATTGATTAATCCTATTACCACGCGGACCGAATCCGACAATTTAGCAATGCATCGCCGATAACAGTGGTAGTAGTAAGTATTTTTAGGCTTAGGTGTCGATTTCGTGATGTTGAAAAGATGAATCGTTACAAAAAGGGGTATCGAGAAACAATTCTTTTGGACGATTTTAGAATCATGCTTGAAAAATCAAGTAATAGGGGCCAGGAAGGGACTGAGCATAAGTTCGTCTGCACTAGGACGCAAATTATGGTCAATCTCAAAGGTTTGGCTCAAGAACTTAATCGCCTCGGGGCTGGCATTCTCTGGGATGGTAGGAGCAGCTCTGCCTCCTCCAATCTTGAAGATAGCCTGCAACTGACTGCAGTCTGGGAAAGGATGGGTACCTGTCATCATTTCGACAACAAGGCAGCCAAGAGACCAAATATCAGCTTTGCGTGTGTAAGAAGTTTGCTTGACGACCTCAGGGGCCATCCAAAAGACAGAGCCTTGTAGTGACGGTCTATGCCTACTATTACCGGCACCACTTAGGATGTTGGAGGCCTCAAGCTTCTTGCTGATACCAAAATCAGAGATCTTGATCGTACCCTTGTTATCAACAAGGATATTGGCACCCTTGATATCACGATGGATGATATCTCGGTTGTGTAAGTACGAAAGCCCATTCAGAATTTGTCTGACAAAACTGCGGACTAGAGGCTCGGGGAGAGCACCATACGAGTTAAGCATCGTCTGGACAGAGCCGCCGGGAACGTATTCAAGGAAAATATTTAGGTGCTCGGTCGAGGAACTGCAGCCGAGATACTGCACAATGTTTGCGTGTCGAAGATCTCGAAGTAGACCAATTTCACGCTTCAGGGCCTCGATCATACTCTTCTTTCGGGCGTCGTTCGGGCTGTTGGCACCAGGCGATGGGGCCTCGACTTGCTTAACGGCAAGGAGTTCTCCTGTCACAGCATGAAGGGCAAGGTACACGCTACCAAACGATCCCTGGCCGATCAGAGCACCCTTCATCCACTTGTTATCATCCCACGATTCTCCTGCTAGGAAGCTCTGCAGTTCTTCATCGGCATCTTCGCCATCTTCACTAAGAGCTTGGCTGATCTCCTTCAGAGAACCAGAACCTTGAGTGCTGGTTTCGTCAAAGTAGCTGTGACGAACGTGTCCTTCAGGATCCGTGATACTAATAGGGTTACTATCAGAGCCGCTGTCCGCAAACGAGACGTAAGACTTGCGGTTAGGCTCGATAGGAGACTCCTCTTGAAGTGTATCTAGGACTGATGAGGCGACGGAATCACGGAATGAATGTGGCAGTCGGCTCTCGCGAGCTTTGACCTTGGCAAGCTGGCCGCTGTTCAACCATGAATCCGCAATTGTTGGGATAGGCGGTGCGTCTTGGATGCTGGATGCAAAGCTTAGATTGCTAGCAACACTAAGCCGGCTGTTCACTTTGCTCAAACGGGTGGATCTACGCATGGATAGTCGAGCTGTTCGGTCGATGTCTTCCCTTGGATGGTCGGGGAAGTAAGAGGTGAGATCCGAGGCAATCAATTCACTAGGCGGTCTCAAGCCACCAAACTGTCTCAAAATGCCCTTTCGTCTCGGGAAGGCTTTGGCCTCGTTAGAAGCAGGTCGTTCCAAGTCCCTGGCGGCATTGTGGAGATTCCTCTCACGATCTTGGAAGGATATCGGCGATAACGGCTGCTGGAGTCCTTCATTCCAGCTTTCACCTAGCAACTTCTGTACCTTCATCTGGCTTCTCTTGTCTTGCACGTTCTCGAGCGCACGTGCGTGGGTTTGTTGCGCTTCTTCCATCGCAATGGAGGCGGCTCGTTGCAATTCGGCTTCTCCCGGTTCTCCGGTAGGGACTCTTCGTAGGATGAGGCGGTTCCTCTCCGGTCGCTTTTGGTCCTTGATTATGCGCCATAATTCGGTATCGCCGAGACGCCGACACTGCTTAGGATCGGGGTCAATACCGGCTAATACCCAAAAACAGTAGTTGCGGTCATGGTCCTCTCGTAGGGCAAACTTTCGTAGGGTTACTCGCATAACTTCTTCGCAGGTGTTGCAGTCTGCGATCTTAACAACTTTCGTAACGCCGCCGGTGGAGATTACGCGGATGACATCTTGACCCTGTGGTAAAGCAGCCATCAGCGAACCATCCTGACTCGAGGTATTTCTCGTGTGGGTCATTACCAGACGACCCGACATAGTTGGTGAACTAGGTGCTCGACCGGTTGGGTTAGGCGTCGTGTTGCTCATATAAGGCTGGGCCGGTTGGTATCTCTGCTGTCTAGCAGTCCGGATATCAGGATTGGGTGGCAGGGGGGAACTAGGCCGCGAGGAGGGCTTTGCGATCTCAGTCATTGGGTTCATAGCTAGGCTCGACATGTCAATCTGCCTAGAATATCTCTTATTCGAGGACGAGGCAACAATACCACGACCCCCCGAGTTGAGAGGTCGTGGTGAGCCTGTCGAGGGTGGGGTGTATTGAGCATCCAATCCTCCAAATGAATCCTGTGGCTAAGTTAGAAGGCATTCTTAGCTAAGATCCCAAGAATTAATTCTCGAGACAATTTACATGCAAGCCGCATGTATCACTCGATGTGAACTCACTCGATTGCGCCTCTTCTGGTTAGCATACGCCTTCGTCCTCAATTTCTTGATGCCAAGAAATAATCGCACTCGGTCGCCGACTTTCTCAATACCCATCTCCTTCAGAACCTCCTTGTCCATCTCTAACAGGTTCTCACCGTTGACATTGTTCTTTCGGAATATCTTCTCGTACTCGCCGCACTTGACACTTCTCAGGTAATCGCAGACTTGGTCCTCAGTCCAATTCTTGACTGCGTCAGGGCCGTCGACGTCGGAAAATTCGGATTCAGTCGGGCTGGCGAAGGCTTGACCCGCAGCCAGGACGGCGGGGGCTCTTCTCGTTGGCGGCATATTTGACGACTGTGCGTTCGGAACCAATGTAGAATTCGACGAGGCCAGCGAAGCCGGGAAAGACGACTTCGAAGCTAGCATTGCCATTGTGAAATAAATGTGGAATTAAAAAAAAAAATGTCACGTACGCATTGGGGAAAGAATTGGAGGGGGGTGTGTGCGTAAGTGGAAGAGAAGACTGTTTCTTTACTCTCGACCTAATAAAAATGGCAGGTAGAATTGAACAAAGAAACGAAGGGTTCCCAACGGACAGCGTCGAAACCGAATAATAAATTAGGGGATGTTTCGCAAGTCTACCAGACTGCCAGAGTGTGCGTCGACGACAGAATAGAAAAGAAGTGGAGGGCGGATTTTTGAGAGGATTGGGATTGGGGAATTAACTGCAGGAGAGAGACGATTTACAGGTACATCTACCTATGTATGTACCTGAGCTTAGGTAGCGGGTTTAGAGTTCAAGGAGTTCAAGTGTTCGTCGGTGTTGGTGTAACTGGGCAAGGGTCTTTCTTAGTTGCAGGCTGACCCGCCCCACCTCCTTATAATAGGTACTTCCATCCATGGTACTGCACAGGGCACTATAGGTGTGTTGTAAGATGGAGCTGCCGCATGTACAGTAGGCATTCCATCCCATGTACTATGAAGCTGCGCCTACCTTTTTTACCATCTTTTGCCATTTAGAGATATTAGAGTTTGACAAGTTTGACAAGATTGACGGGCCCCGCCGAAGTTATTTTTCTTTTTTCTTCTTTTCTTTCCAACAATCTCATATGAATTATATTGGATGGAATGGATACAACAGCAGCTTGCTTGGTTGTAAATGTTTGTACAGTGATACTACTGTGTCGTACCAATTGTCTATATCTTCTTCTCGAATCATAATTGGCCCAAAAATAGTCTGGACGGCGGTAGCTGAAGTTGATAGTTTGAAACTCGTCAAGGAGTGCACGGCCTCTTGGATCATCAGAAAAAGTCCCGTCATCAACTCACCCACTATACTATTTACTATGATAGTATCGGTCTATGGGACGAGATTCGAGAACAATTCGTGTCGATTAGATACGTAATGTCGAATTTAACACGCCAGTGCGCACGATGCGTCGTGGATCCTCACATGATGATCAGTACAAACTAAACTGCCTCTCCATTTTGATGTCAACCCTATGATGCGAGATCAGGAAAACATTCCTTCGGGACGATGATTAGTGTACTCTATTGATTGCAACCACCTATTAATGGCCCGGATATACCTACCTAGGTACTACACAGCTACAATAGGCATAAGTGACATACAGCAGGTAGCAGGTGTTGGTATGTACTAGGCATGGTATGTTTGGGCGGCTACTCGTCTGTCATCACCCTCCGCCCCCATTTAGAAACGGCGTGCGTACCCCTTTTGGGTACATCCATACAGCTAATTTCCATTCAAGCAGCTGACAAAACCACCCGTGTCGGTGCTGCCATAAGCTACCTCCTACATACGGAGTAGTAATAAGGCAGCCGAGAAATGCCGCTCATGGGTACTCACAAGACATAAAAAACAAGGACATGAATTCGAGAGATCGTCATCCTTTCTTCGAGACGGTTTTAATCTGAGTGACTAGTGTTACGGGTGGCTTAACCCTATGATAAGCTATCACCAATCTTGACCGTTGAAGAAGATAGAAATAGCGGACAATATGAGACAAGGCGTCGGGGCGCCAGCAACGGCGTCGCGATTGATTGGACTACTAGGCTCTCACGCTACCATTAGCTACCATAGTATTCGCCATTCCCTCCGCCGCTCCAGCAGGCCAAATCCCCAAATCCCACCTAAAGCGTACAGGGGTAATATATTTTGGGGGTGGATTTACAGGGGGGCCAGGCTATGATCTCCAACCTGAAACCCTCCAAGTTTCGACCAGCCCGGATAAGCTGTGTACATCGCGGCGTCAAGCGGGCTTGGAAGCATTATTCTATCCTTCACCCGTCTCTTACCGGCAGTACGGTTTACGTATGTACCTATCTGCGTCCTTATGCTGCTGTGTAGAGTTAACAACGTCGCTTAATCCGAAAGAGTCATCCATTTTCTTGTTTCTTGTTTCCCGCTCTCTTGCCCTTCGGCCCTTACAGCGAGCGAGGCTACGTACATGTGATTCAATGATTTATGGCATTGAACGATCATCTTACTCCGTGCCGATCGGAGAAGAAAGCTGACTGCCATCGGTAAGGCATCCATCTCGGAATACTCCACCATAACATAGGCGTTGGTAGGACCAAATTACTACACTTAAGATATCGCAATCAGGAACAACATCAATAGCGACATAGCCATCCCATATCATAAACTTTTTTTTTTCTCAAGCATTAACTATATCGAACGAGCCATCGGCGCGTCCTGGGACGCGATCCTTCAGACATCACAACATCGCATTGAAAATTTGCCGCCAATACTACCAATCTTACTAAGTACCGGAGATAACGTGAGCTGACGAATTCGGTTGATTCGCCCGCTTCAGCCCACCGCGATAGTGTTTCTCCGTGAGATCGGGGTTCATGTACTAGATCATCAAAGAGATTAAGCTCATTGGACATTCAGGGCTCTCTTGCATAGTATGCCGAGTCCTTTTTTTTCAAGCAAGGGGTCAAATCCGATATCTAAGTCGATCTGGAACTTGGAAGCTATAGAAGTTTGCTAGTGTAGACCCGGGACCGAGTAACCAGCCCGTCCAGTGTATGATTTAAGGGATTCCGTGCTTAGTTCTGCATCTCTAGTGGACACAAAAGTCGTATTATGCTGTCGTCCGGGTCCCTTTGCTAGTTGCGGCTACTCATAACTTAGCCAGTTCTGGGCGTGGCAGCGTGGGTAGGACGAAGCAATTAGCGGTTCATTTAAATTGCATGGTACACAGCAACGAATTCCGAGATCCTCAAGGATGCGACTAGGATTGTCGTGATGAGTTGCTCGGATTCGTAAGATTATTCTCAGGCCTTAAAGACCTTACTTACTATATCACGCATATACTGTATGGAGTATATCAGCAGGTTCACGATGTTGAACCTAAGGTAAAACATCAAGTGTCATGTTACGCGCTCGAAGCCAAGGTATAGTTATTAAATTCAGGCTCACCGCACCAAGCTTCATCAAACTTTCTGTTCGTCAATACAGGGAGACCCCGACCAATGGACAGGGCGAAAGAGCTCCAAGCTTGTGGTTGGAGGATTGTTTACTTTTGAGAAACACGTGTGATGCCGGGCTGCCCTAGCTGTCCTGGATTGTTAGATGCATGAATAACATGGTATTTCCTAGTTTAGCACTGCAACAGCTAGCTGTAGGTGAACAAGAAGGATGGAAGCCAAGCCTATAGATCTTGAAATCGATCAACAATAATTAAAAGCCTCAAAACAAACTCGGGGTTTAAAAAACCTCACCGAAGGAATTCCTTATAATATATGAATTAAAATGAGTTTTTCGTATTGGTTCCATTGGCAGGTATAGAGTCATTTAAACCCCCAATTAACTAGACCGAATTGTCCGTCTATTATATTCTTCCCACTCATCGTCCCCCACGTAGAGGGCGCATGCTAGGTATTCTCCGATACGAGCCACCTCCACGTTTAAATACCTGACAATGGTTTCATCATAGGGGTGAATTTCCAACTATCGAATGAAGACCTAAGGAAGTTGATGAATTCCAGTTTAATAGTATATACCGAATTCAGTCAATTGCCGATATCCCTCTTCTTTGCTGAGTCGGCAATTCGTCTCTTTTCGATGTAATGCGTATAAACTAGAAAGATTATGACAACGAAACATCATCATCTATCGGGGTGTTACATAGTACCACAGGCAAAAACACTTTGATATTTACAAGGAAATCAATAAGTTGTGGTAATTCATTTAAATTCTCTCCATCAGAATGAGCACACGACAGCGCCATGCAGGTAACATGGGAGGGACAAGAGGTGTAGAAGTACTAATGGCTTTGGTTTATTGCTTGGTTTCCTTGCTGTCTCCTTCCACGTACGTAGTACGTGTAGGGAGAAAATAGAATACGTCACCGTTACAAAACCTGAATGGTCGCGGCTACAATTTAATTGGACGAGCCGGACCTTCCAACCCGGTTCGTAGCATCATCAGGCTTGTCAGGGCTTGTAAATAAGTATGCGTTAGCGGGTGGTTAGCAAGGGGTAGATCGCTGCAATACGCCTGCCTTTAGATGCCCGTAGATGTGCCTTACGGGGGGTAACTTAGGGCGGTTTAGAGGGGTACAGCATTGCGACAGAGCGAAACAAAATGGCCTAAAGTGCCCCAAAATGCGCCAAAATGCAGATAGCGAGGTGATACGGCGCCGTACCTTACCTTATCAGGCTTTGTTTCCAACTCCGGCACTGAACCCAACCGACGCTAAATTCTACGCCATCGATTTCTTGAAAGCTGATCGCGATACGTTTTAGGAACTTGGGGACGCACGGTTCCTACATGTCTAGCTAGCTGGCTTGACTTGCTAGACACTTGCCTCGGAACCTCCGCCGTGAACCAATTCTCTTTCTTTTTTTTCTTCTTGTATATTTGGTTCTAATATGATTTCCCGTCGACCTATATTCGACGGGAGAAGTTCGTTTTAATCAGTGATTGGTTTAGTTTAGGCCCTTTGGAACAATGGACGCGGCCCCTTGAAGTCCGTCCCGCTTCGTACCCATGCTTCCCGTCCCGTCGCTCCCGTCTTTTCCGATTTTCTCGCCGTCTCTGAGACCTCATACATAGCTTTACTTGCCTAGGTCTTAGGTACCTAGATAACACGGCATTGCTCCAATCTTTTACTTAGCTCTCATCCTGTTATGAGCCGACGGAAACCCACTGCCGACGTTGAGTCTTCTGATATTATTTTTGTTGTTGATGGAATGACGCTTTAGCGGGTGTTTACATCGTATTCTACGTGGCTGGGCCTCGGGTTTCACAAATTCAAAGCATGGATTTTAAGTCCGGTACTCCGAGAATGATTGAAGCGAGGGAACCACAGAAAGCTCAAAGACGCACATCATTCTCCGCTGTAAAGGCATTGCGATTAAGATCTCTTAGCATTAGCTCTCAGATCTCGAGCTCTTCCGAAACGGATATCTCTTCGCCCGTCACGACTCGCAGGAGGACTTTAACTAAGAATCGCACATTTGAGACGTTGAAGGAAGACCTAATTCGAAGACCATCCAAGTCATCTACTGAGGATAACACCGAACGGGCTTCTACTTCTACAAGACCCACAAGTCCGTCGGGCACTGGCAGTCAATGCGCTAGCATTTCCGGTGACTCCTTGACTGTTGTTAAGTCCGGTCCCCTCCAACCTGAGACATCTCTCCTCAAATCTAGAAAGGAATTTCTAGTATTAACGCCCTTAGCTTTGGTCAAATTCAAGGGCCGTTCCTCTGCGGTTGAACGATTCCCTCAAATTTCTCCCTTGGGTGGTGCCGTTGAAGCCCTATCTCCTGTTGACTCATCTAGCTCATTGAGAGAGTTGGGTAGCGGCGGGGAGCTACATGTTCCACTGGAGAAAATCGTGTCCGTTTTTAACAATGAGGGGACACGGCCATCGTTCGGCATCGAAGTATGGTGGAGCGATCAAAAGGGAGCTGCATTTGCATGTCTCCAATTGGACTTCAGCCTGCCAGATGATCGCGATGAATGGCTAAAGCAGATCCGTCATGCCATCAAAATACGGACCAAGTCAACTCTGGAGGATTCAGTCCCATCTGATACTGAAATCGTGTTAAGGCAAACGCTGGAGGCCCAAACCGGCAATACGCAAGTGGAAATATTTCCAGTGATTCCTCGGCGACCCTATGTGAAGCCAAGGGCAAACTCGGGCGAGATCAAGAAAGGGTGGCGGGATAATTCATCTTTTTATGTGGCATTTACGAAAAATTCATGTTATCTTGCTCAATTCACCAAATCCTCGGCTGGACAGAAAGTCAACCCAAGCCTAGTTAAATTTGGGTTAGTGACGCTTTCAAAAGTCAACGTCATTCTCAACGATGAGAGGTTTGACCTCGTATTTCGGTAAGGATACCTTGGGCCACTCTACCTCGCCTAGCAATCTCATGACTAGGGATACATTTCTAACAGACGCAGATTACCGTTGGAGAAGCCAAGGAAACTCGAACTTTCCAGCCGGCATCATCGAAGCATTTCGTCAAAATTATACAAGGCAGATACTTATCTGAAACCAGCTTGGCCATTATGGACTCGCCGTGAAGTATTCTTCATTGATGGTGAGGCCCCGCAAATGCCTCTTCCCAACGGGGAGGACTATGGTGGCTTCAGGACTACCTTGGAAGCGTTCATTCATGGCTACAACTGCTCCCCGGTCAACTGGACAGTCAAGTGGAAGGATGTGCGACATCCTCCTCAATTCTGCCTCCTTGCACCGAAGGAGAAGTCAAAATACACTGCATATCAACTATTGGCCGTCTTCCGAGCATTGCGCTTCAATGATTACTTCAAGTCGTTGTCATTCAAGGATGTCGATTTCTCTAGTCTCTCCGGCGTTTCTGATAACTCCGCGCGACTTGAGTCAACAGTGTGGCTCTCTCGAACAGGTTGGTGAACTAGATGTGGTATACAATTATTACGACCCCTTCGAACTAACCAAATTACAGGCAAACGTAGCCTTACGAAGGTTGAATTCGAACTTGTGGAAAATTCTTCCGTCTTATTTCAAGAAATGGTAGCTCTTCTACTCGGATCTGAGTCGATTCGAGATATCGATCTCAGTAACGTCTTGGCCAAAGAACCCACGGCACCAATAGAGAACGGACAAGCTCTTCCATCCCTTACTAACAGGGTATGTGAAGTTGTACCACCTGTTGTACTACTCTGGAAATCCTTACAGACTCGATGCAATTCGATAAATCTTAGCGGTAACCGTTTAGGTGTGCCTGACATTGCAGGTCTCTGTGAGTTCAACCTAAAGAAAGTAGCAACGAGTTTTAGCTAATGGACATATATAGCGCGAGTTCTGCAGAATAGACCAGATTTCCTGAAGGCATTCTCTATATCACGGTGTCATCTCGACGAGAATGCACTTGTACTCCTTTGGGAAGGGCTACACGAACAACGCTCATCTCTCGAAGTTCTTGATGTATCACATAACTCGGGCCGTATAGAGGCAGCAAAGGCCTCGGAAACGCTCAACGATGCGAAAAGACTGCGCCGCTTGAACCTCGCATATTCAATCAAGGGAAATCTAAGCTGCGCTTTGTTCCGACCTTGGAGTGCAACAGCAAGCTTCGAGCCGTGGCATCTGGAGGAACTAGATCTCTCCGGTTGGAAGGTAATGTTATACGCGAACCTTGCCAGAATCGTATTGACAATTTTGATAGGTTAACTTTGATACTCTCTGTGGCATCATGAAATTTGTTGAGCTCGATGAGTCTCGCAATCTACGTCGTCTCGCGCTCGTCAACTGCGGACTCTCAGGTGAAATGGCCACCGGAATTCTTTGCCGACTTGGTGCAGGTCGAGACATGCATTTACTATTGAGCGAGAATCCACTGGAGCTCGGCTCAACTGACTGGATCGATTTGATCCATGGGAACGAAGCGCCTAGAATGCTTCACCTTGATATGGTCGAGTTTCAGCACGAATCTAATTTTAATCGGCTACTAAAAGCACTTGTTCATAATAAGACGATCGAATTCTTGAGTATGGTGGGAACTGCACCACCAGATCGCGCAAGCTCTAAAACGTCAGAGCTACTTTCTCTTTTCTTTGAGCTAAACGATACATTGCGCTATCTAGATCTATCTGGGTATAGTGGCAAGCTGGAAGATGCTCACCTGGGTTGGGGACTAACCGGAGCGTTGGGCGGATTAACCAAAAATACCACACTACGCCAGCTTCGCGTTCGGAACCACGATATAGGCACGGCTGAGGATCTAAGCGAACTATGCCGCGTTCTTGCTTCGAACAAAGGACTCACCATGTTCGATTGCCAGCAAAATAGTTTCAACCACCATCAATTTGCGAAGCTAGTCCATGCGCTCAGCTTCAATCAACAAATCATATCATTTCCATTTTCCGATGCTGACAGGCAATATGCAGTCCAAAAAGAAAGGAACATGTTCCTTCGACAGCAAGCTCAGCCTAGTAAATCGTTTCAAGCCAAAATGCTGAAATCGGCCGAGGGCCGTCTGGATGGGCTGTTGAAATGGGTAGAAGAGTTCTGGAACTCCGAAGCTAAGAAGGCTCGTGAGATCTTAGAGAGGAATCGATTGAATCCTACCAACAAGTCATTCGAACTCGAAAGTCAATTTGTTGAAGCCTGGGAGGATGATACTCTTCCTTCGTGGTTCTATCCGATCTCCAAGAATCGTGATAAGAGAAAAGAAACATCTCATGCGACGTGATGGATCGAATGAGGAACATCTTTCAAACAAACTGCATAAACATACGCGCTGGCTTTAGCGCCGCGATCAGTCTTCAAACTGCTGATATGACATCTGTCGACACTTGACGGATTTACCCCAGGTGCTATCACTGCATACGGGAAGGATCTAAGTAGATCCCAACAGACTTCCGGGGTATGGTTGAGGATTCCCAATGGCCAAACGGGGCTCTCCTTCGTTTATCGGACATCTTGACACCTGTCTTTGCTTTGTAGAATTACTGTTGATAGACATGAGTTGGGTTGGTTTAGGGCGGGCGTTTTGTCAGGCGAACCGATTTAGTATACAAGAGATACCCAGCGGAAAATACGCGGAACTTTTTCGAAATTTACATACAATTTAAACACTCGTCAGGTGTGCTTCCTTCGCGTTATGCATGGTGCGATAGTGGCTAGATTAGATGGCATTCCATACATATATGTCATAACTTATTTAGCGCTCTCGTGAGACTGTCTAGAAAATTACTTCAATGGGACAGTTAGAAAGGTTGTAGAATGATGCATTTTCTAGTTAGTTGATCGTAGGGAATGGAGGATGCTGGAGTTGGCGCACGGTTGTAGCGCAGTGAACCATTCTGGATCGAGTAACCCGGAGTTGACAAGCCACCGCCCTCCTTCCATCGTCTATGGGGTTATGGAGATAGAAGCCCATGAGATAGATTCCTGGACCTCCGGATGAGGATCCAATCGCGGAATTTACAATAGTGATGGTCTAACATGCCTTATACGCCTTTAACGTCTGTTCTAATTCCGGCTTTGGAATGTTGCGGGAACTACCTAGGTAGTTACCTAAAGATCACATACCGATGATAAAGTGGCGTTTTTGGGCTTCGAATCCCCGCCTCTCCGGGTGCCTTTTCCAGGTGCTGTATGCGGTATGGCTCGGCGGCAAGGGATTCGCTGATCGCAACACCGATCAAGCTTCATTATTCATACGAACGACCTAACCAACAACAGTATATCAATCGCGGCGTGATTTTTCACATTCCATGCCTTCGATGGCGTAGTTAGCAGTGCGATGAACTAACACCAGCGCCTACGAAGAGCCGGGATGCGCATCCCTGGCTAGCATCCCTTTTCCCACGTGCGCACGCACAAACTTGCCTGCCTGGTTTTTCGAGTTCAGCTGAGGCGAGCCGAACCGGTGCGAATCAGGCATGGATATGTTCAGCTATGTATGGTTGGTACTTTTGTATGTTTAATGAGCGATGAGCTGGCAAGTTTGAGAGATACTGGGATACGGGGCGTTGATGATGAGGGAACTATTACTTTAGGTATCTTCGGTTTTTACAAACCCACTCACTGCCGACCGAGGTTATTCAGCGCATCATATGCCCGGCGCAAACCGCAAACCGTTCACATGTCTGCAGCAACACCGCTAGTCTCGATGCTTTAGACGCATAACATAGAGAGTCCACACTTATCCACGTTTGAAACGAATCTTCAAACAAGCGGTCATAATAAGACTACCTAAGCAAAAAGACTCATACACACTATCGTGAGGATTAGCCCAAGGCGTCATATAGCGAGGAACACGTGTTCGGTGGGACAAAACCAACTTCGCCCGTTTCGCGTGCGTGTCATAAGCCTTTAGTTCTCGACAAAATAACAAGAAATCTCCGCCACACATTCGCCTATACTGGGCCACAAGAGCACATTAGTCAAGCGCAAGTTAAATAACGTCGAATTAAATAAAAACAAATATAACAAAAATCCTGTATATTAGCCACGCACTTGCATACCCGCGACGCATGACTTGGGTAGGATCACCTCGGTTCCCTATACTGGGAACCGAGAACAGGAAATAGTTAACAGGGGAGAGAGGGCCTTCTTTCGTGTCGTAAGTGGCTATACTGCACGCGCTGGTATACCTATATCATGGGTACCTACGTACGTGTTCATAGCCGGATATCCACATGCGTAGGTGGGTTCGTAGAGTTCGTATGGCGTCCGCATAGAATAACAACATGGAAGCCTATAAAGAACCGAAAATACGTTCGTTTGTACCTGTCAGCATTTCCGGGGTGCAGGAAGGGAAGTCATACATTAGGAATGGTCATATGCAAATTTGACAGGCAGCTTACCTGATATAGCATGAAGACACATTCCAGCGTAGTATTTTAAAATCTAGCAAAGTCCAAATCTGGTGAAGATGAGTCAGATATTAAAAGCAGGACATATCCGAGTTGGAAAATGTTGGCGCTGTACCTGCATGAATGGGTCCTCGTTTCAATCCTACGTAAACACGGGAACGAATGTCACAGTAAGATCATTGGTTCAAAGATCAACAATTGTTGAAGAATCAAAGACGTCTGAAGCGTCGTATTTCGCATTTCTCGCTAACTTTTTCCCTGTCTCCCGTCTCTCGTAAAGTAACCCATCCCGCCAGTCTATCCTCTAAAGTGGTATATCCTCCCGTAAACTGCGCCCCGTGATAGTATCATGGGGTGGTTTTGATGACAAGAAAAAAACGTTGTACATAGTCTATCCGACAAATCATCGTGTCCCATTAGATCCTCCAGTCCACCCATAATACATGTAAAGCCTCGAAAACACGCAACCAGTGCCTTTTTGTTTTTTCGCTCTCGAAAACTTGTAGACCGTCTCCCGCGTAAATAAACAAGGGTATTTAAAAACGACGCAAACTTTTGTGTTTTTCTTCTTCTCCCTCAATAAGCGCCCAAGATACCGCAGTAAGAATGGCTGTGTGAAATGTGTGAAAAATCGTAAACTCCAAACTTTTTGAGGCCGTTTGCCTATTAACTCGTTGGTGACAACATGTAGCCGAAATTCTATACCCATTCTATATATCCGTAAAAAGAAAACAAACTAATGGCAGAAAACAAGGTGGGAAGTGAACAATGTGAACATATGAGAAAAATATATAATTTTTTAAATATACTTGGGTGAAATAGCTGAAGCCATCCAGCCCATATCGTTGACGAAGTCGTCAAAGCCTGCATCGAGTTCTGGACGACCGAGAAGGTGGCTGTTGCTAAGAGCGACACCGCTGTCCAATCTGGCGACCAGGTCTGGTGAACCAATTGCTGGCGGTTGCTTCTCAATGTGTGTCGCAGGTTGAGGTAGGCTGTAACCGGTGATTGGTGAGTTGACTTTCTTTCGGATGCTGCAAGCAGCTGCGCTTCCTCGCCTTAGTACCTCGGGGATATTTGCTTCATCGTCATCGTCCGTCTCATCGAAAAAGGACAGTTGGTTGAAGTCACGAGGCCCGGCCGATCGGGGAGACGCTGTAGGAGGCAAACTCGAGGCTGTCGAAATGGAAAAGTGTGATCGAGGAATGTCTCCTAACATGAGTGGTACATCAAGAGTGTCTGGTGACACCACTTCATCTTGCATAGTGTAAGAAGGAATCACAGCAGCTGTAGAAATTTTGTTATCGGCCTTCCCCGAGAAGGACATAGCGCTTCGTTGAATTGGCGGGGGCGATAGCATTGTGAATGGTGCATTTTCGGAGACCGCCGACGCCACAAAATCGTCATCATCCTCATTCTCCTCAATGATCTCATCAGGTATTATTAGTTTCGGTGATGGTTCCACGACAGGAGGCGTCTGGGGTAGGTCGTCGCACAGAAACCTCCTGAGCGACTCCGGCGACATGTCACGAGACCGTATGCTGCCAGACGGTGTAGTGCTTCTTACTTCGTCAAAGCGTCTGTTCTCTTCGGCGGTGTGGCTCTCAATTTCAATCTCGCTGCCGGCATCACTGTCTGGGCCGTATGACTTCTTGTGTTTGAAAAATCGCTTGGCAGCACAAGTCCAACTGGGTGCAGGTGAAAGAGAACGAGCTGATCGCTTGTGAACAAGCGACATGGCTGACGATGGGATAGGTGCTGGTGCCGGTGAAGATCCAACGCGGTGGTCAAGACCGTTGGGTACTGGTGGAGCTGGCCGAGGAGCCATGAACCTGTCCTTGGGATTCATCGTCTTGTAATCTGTTATTCGTAAAGAGTTCTCTGAAGCACTGCGAAATCTTGAGAGACGTTGTAGTGAAGGAACGTCTAAAGTATTGACGGTTTGGCCCGGAAGATAAGGGCACGCATTTGTCGTTGGCATGGAAGGGTCATGTGTCTCCGTGGAGCCGTCCAGCTCATACTTTTGAGTCCATTAGCAAAGAAAAATGTGATGTCTAAGACTCGTGACCCTAGACTTACATAGTAATAATAGCTCTGACCCATCTTTAATCCTCCGCTTCGTTCAAGGTTCCCCACTTGATCCCCATCGCAGATGATGTTGTCGAATGTGTGAACACCTCGCCACTGACTTCGGTCTCTTCGAATATCGCGCTCCATTATGTAGTAATTTGAGAAGTTGTCCCACGATCCAAGAAGGTGGACTGAAGATACGGAAGGATGTGTTTGACTATAAAGCTGGTAAGCTCCCCTGCAAGATCGAGTTGCACGGTAGGAAGGGAGATCGACAGATGATAAATAAACGAGGTAAACGAAAAAGGGAAGCTGACAACAGACTTAGATATATGTAACTACCACTTGGGAGATATACGTAGTATGTATTATGTAGTATGTAGTATGTGATGAGGCAGGGTGTGAAATGATCTCACTCAGTGACAACTCGTTTACTTTTGGAACGAGGACATGGGTGTAAGCGGATCAAAGGCCACTAGAGCACGTTGCTTTTGGAGGGATCTGACAGGAATAGTGGCTGGCTGCCCTCTTTTCAGGCACCCATAAAAAAATCCATAGCCTGAGGGTGGTGCTTCGTCTCCAACTATTCGGGTAAGCTCCATTGACAGGGCTGACAGGGTGTGTAATGTGTTTGTGTGTACAAATACGGGAATGTGTAGGGTGTGTAAAATAATGCAAATCCTCAGCCACGTATTTGTTGGCGGGCAATAATATCTGACCTTCACGTTGTACCCCTGTTCGGAGATGTGGTGCCGGATTTGGCAATCCTCCTCCCAATCCTAGTGCGGGTCAGGGGATTCTAGAATGATTAACGAATGTTGGCTGTTTCTTCTTTCTGGGTACGCCCAAAAGAATCGATCGAAATCGGTATTAACACCGATAAATATAGAAGCCGTAGATATAATGAAGAATAAATATAATGAATGCTCTAATGCGGGTGGAGTTTAATGTGGGAATATAGCAGCAACGAAAGCAACCAGACTCGGGTATTGGATATGTATAATGAATAATAATATAATAAAAGAATGCTAATGTTTCAATGCAATGCGATGCGATAGTATAATGTAAAAAACTCACAGCATAAATGTAAAGAGAGTCGTGGTTGGGTCCATGATGGAATTTTAAATGATGGTATTGTGCTGGACGCAGTGGAGATAGAGGAAGAGAGGGTCGAGAGGAATATTATACACCGGGTTTACACGGTGTAGTAATAGTCAAACACCAGAATACTAGCATCCAGTATCCAGTATCTAGTATTCTTGCCGCCGGTTTGAGTCGGGGTGTTTCTTAAGTTAGAATCGCACCACTGTGATCAACTGAAACGATTTCTAACTTGGTCTATAATGTTTCGATAGACGCAGGAACGCTGCAATTGTGCCAATGCGACTCTTCCACCTTGGGTAGGTGAAGGGAAATCCGCCAATGGTATTGGGCAGTTGGGGCTCACGGAAGCGCCGCAAAATGTGGAAACTGTTGAGTGACGGCGCCTAATAAAAGTAGACGAGCAAGAAAATGCGGGATCCAACGGTCCAGGGTCTGCCTGTCTCTTACAGCCAGCTTAGCTGCTTAGGTACAACGGGAGCAAGCGAACTGCAACGCAACAATGTAACGAATGTAAAAATGCGACTCAATAAGAACGAGTGTATGGTATGTAGTAGTGTAATAGTAGTGTAGTAGAAGTTTTACACAGATAGAAGTTGAATGCGTCGCTTGTCATATAGTTGGCGCTGTAGCAAAAAGCATCAGGGGACGATAAGGGGCTATTGAAAACTGAGACCCAATCACGATGATTTAACGGGGGGCGTACTCCAGGCCTGGGAATGGCGCTGTAAAAACTGCATTGATAAATTCAATTCATAGAGACTTGAAGCGGTCCTGATCTTCCTTATTCAATACGAAGAGGGTGGGACCTTTGTTTGAGAATTGCGACTCGAAGCACAATGAAAGAGTTGAACACTATTTACACTTATACTCTACATATACATGCATCCATCTACGTAGCAAGCAAACACTCACATACCTAGTGCTCAAGTGTTGTGCAATTATGCTGTGTGATGAAATACAGCAGATAGATTTGGCATAAAAACAGGATATAGAGCGAGTTATGATACTTGTAAGAGACAATTCGACCTTCTATGAGATCACTAGAACGCGGAGAAGTACAAGCATTAAGGGAGAAAAAAAAGAAAAGAAATAAAATGACGACAGTCTGATGAGATGACGAGATGTAGATCAATTCCCTAAATAAGGCATTGGGGGCATTAATTGAGGACGAAAAGGGGAAAAGGGGCACCCCGGGGATGGATATGATTGGTCAATGGCTCTGCGGTAGGTACGTACCTCCAATGCCCGCATGCGAATTGGATGTCTCTTTAATAACACGCCCGAAACCGTACAACGGGAAACCCCTAATCAATCTGAAATAGTAACATTGTTATCGTTACATTGTCTATTATTTTTGACTCTGTCAAGTTGAATATATCACAATTAGAAGAGAGGGATGCTTATATCTTGCGCAAGTATATATGTACCTCGGTAGATGTATGTGTGTATTGGTGTAGATATATACAGTACTTAAATACCTAGGTACATACATATATGTATGTATGTTTCGGCGTTATGCACTCGAATCACCGCTTGGCGGCATGAACACACCTCTATGGAAAGTTCGTTCTACCATCTAAAGATTTAATAAGACGGCAGTGGCTTGCATGAGAGTGTTACGGGCGAGCCGTACGAATGGTATGCCGCTAAATCAACCTAGCAGCCTAGTTAAATCTAGTTATGTTCGGCTGCGTAAAATATATGTAAGTAATTATTTCTCCAAGTCCAAAGAATTTTCTTTCTTTACCATCCAGCCCATCCCGTCTTTTCTCAGCCAATTAATGAAACCCAACCGACCACCTTCCAGACCAGACCATGTACACTATGTCTCAGACTGATGATGAACAACGAATGAGGCTTTTGAATGGACTTCTAAACCCTTATTATTTTCACCCAATTGGATTGTCCGCCTGCACCTGGACTGACAAGTCATCGGTGGATAATAATACTACTCGGCATTTTGAAGTTGCCTTGCTTTTCTTTTCTCATGAGCAGTAAACGTAAACAGATCAACTCGACCTGGTGCAACCTAGCATGATGAAACAATAGACCGGTAAAGCAATTAACCAAGCTCGGCTCAAGTCGTTCCAAATATTAAGAAACCACGTTTTCTATACAAGGCTACATCTCTTCGACAGAACTATTGGTCGAAAAAAGCAACTTGGATTGATTCTCCAGGGACAATTTCCCTACCGAAATCGTTGCGTTGTTCAATAATATTCCAATGTCGTACACGTTCATACAACACACTTTACGCGTAACATCCCTACATCCTTACATCCCTACCTTGGCGATAATTTAGAGATGAGAATTATGCGAGTGTGAACAGGGAAGCATAAAATGAATAATTCCGGCAATTCCGAGGATTTGAGGTAATAACCAAGAGATTGGTTCGCTGCTAGCAGCCGTGTGGCTTGCATTTCAAGCTTCAACCAGCAGCTAAAATTACAAAATTCTCAAAGGAAAAGCAACAATAAGATCATGAAGGGCTGAACTACTGACATGACGAAATTTTCATCTGTTTCGACGTCTACGCTATTCTCTACATAGTAGAGCATAGACCAAGCCAGCTGGTCCTTTAGTTATCTCCAGTGAAACATGACGATCTACAAGGGCGTATTTCAGCTTGGTCTGGAAGCCTATTGAGTCAATGAGCTTCCCAAGTTGCCGGGCCAGCGGGGTGATGCATATACTATCGTCACAAAACACTTCATCCCAGTCATGAAGGTACCGACGCGAATGTGACGAGGTTTCTCAAGGAACTGTATTACCATCGCCGATTACTGCAGTGAATATGTCACACCGAGTCATTTGATACCAAGACAATGCCATTAGCCCAGCCAGGTCTCAACTTCATCGACGTCTCCGTCGTTCCCTTTACAGCTCAAGAATCATAAATGTAGTAACCCAGGTCCCTTGCGAAGATTATTCTGCTTGGCATGGGGTAGGCTTCCGGCTGCTTCGGTACGGAAAAGCAATCTGCTCTTCCATCATGATTCATCATCATTATGGGTGAGCCACATTTCATCTTTCCCTGGAAGGAACGCGCTATGGTTGACGAAGCGAAGTCTATCGTTACGGCCTTAGCTGACCAACACTAGCTGATTACAAAATCTGGTTCATTGCTTTTTCAGGTACACGAGGCGTCGTGTCAACGGCAGTTCATTGTTGGCCCAGAATCTCGGGTCTAGGAATTGGGACATTTCCGACGCGATGCAAGCCTCATCCATCGTCCCAACTGTTTGGGTCAACGCCTTACTATGGACTATAGTCTGACAGACCCATCGCAGCTGAAAGATAGCCCTATCTCTAACTCATTTGTGATGTGGATATTCCAAGAAAAAAGCTCATTGTACGGAAGAAGTCTACTGCTGATGGCCTAAAGTGTCTTCCTTCTATCCAAGTTCGCGTTGGAGCGATGTTCACCGAACCATCTCGCCTCTACACAATGTCCACACTAGACCAAAAACCCTTCGGATCCGAATACGGTCTTCCAGCTCTGACAGGATGGTTTTGCTTTGGTGTAATAGTCGAAAAGCTTGATAATCTTACTTCCGGGATAGCTAATCCCCATGTGTCTTACCATTCGTCGTGCATCCGCGTAAACACGTCTATTGTGCCACTCACTCGCATTTTCGTGTCTTCGGACAGCTAGTCTTGTCCAAGTATGACACCCTGCGTTTGTACTATTGTTTAATAATCCTTCATGATGCAACGAAGTGTCTAATCCGCTAGGACGACGCCCATCATACACATGCTGATAAGTATTCTTTCTCGGATCTAAGATTGTCCCAGCTCGGAAGCATTGACGACGCCCATCAGGCGTTAGTTGGGTAGTCAAAAGTCCCAGACATACTTCTTCGGACATGCGGGCTAGAACATCAGCTGACTGGTATCAGGCGCAACTGCTTGTGCGTTCCGGTTTGAGCTGGTTTAGGCTTCCAGAATTTTTCCGTTCATGTGTTATGACTAGAGATTCCGGTATTGCAATGCTATACTAGCGATATTGATATTCAGCTTATGCTTTCACCACCAGAGGACGCCGCGGTCCAACATCGATTTACTATCGTTGGTTTGAATCCCCTTGCACCCGCTGCTTATCCGTCTGATATGCTCCGCGTTGTCCGCACGACAGCCGCGCAACTACCGCACGTTCCCCGCAAAGTCGCCCCTTAAAACAAGGCCTCAGTCGCCATGCTAAGTAATACCGGGTGATCCGCACCGGGGCTGTACGCCTGCTGTCATCTTGGGGTGCATGAAGGCCCGGCTCTTATAACCAATTGAGCTGTATAGACGGGTTGTTTCTCCTACTATCCGTACCAGACGATACTCGCTTGAGGTTTAGGCATTGTACGCCTATAGGGGGAAAGTTTACACGGATTAATTACCTCGATCCAAACCGAGTTCCGAACATACGAATACGTCTAGGACAAATCCCATCCCTTTCTCAACCGAACCAATTCCTGACTGGAACGTAGAACGGACCATGATTTACTACGGAGTAAGATCTCACGTGAGGTTTTAAGCCCAAACGACGGTGAGACTCCTGGCTCACCGAGAGATTAATCTTGTATCATACAATATGCAGGGTCTAATTGTCTTTAGTAATCTTTGACGTGTTGCTATCTTGGTCGTAGAGATCTACCCCTTACAACTTCTCATTAGTTACGGGTGGAATCGACAATAGGTCTGAAATAGCCATCTCCATAATCTATGAAACCAATATCACATTCCTTAGCTAATAATGCTCTAGGATATTTTCTTCTATCAGTGATACTCGGGTACCATATACTCTCGAACCTGGATCTCGAAGCAAGGCGAGACTAGCCACATTCTCGAGCAGCTTCCCCGAGACTTGTTGGGCATTGGTAGCATTATATTCTCCCCTGCGTACAAAATAGCGACAGTGCAGGGAGTGTCTATTGAGTATATTCGTGTTACTTGATCTACAGAGCTCAATGGTTCATATCTCATTTTAGCCTCGAACACCATGGAAGTCCTAGGATATGGAGTTACGAGCAGTTACAATGGTAACCAAAATGTAACTAGGTGGACCAGGTATTGTCACACGCACGTTTAGGCGTAATTTCCTACGGTACACATACGTCTCGTAGGGCAAGACCCTTACTTCAATGATGCCAACACCAACATTGTATCCAAAATCGATAGCACGGGGTTTCAAAGGCGCTCGTTTACCATCCGGTATCCCCTTACTTCCAGTTATTTTGAATATCCTAAGTATAGGTAGGAGATTAGATGTGCAGGCGATTTGATTTCCAGCATTCTAATCTTAATATATTACCTCACAGCCATAACATCTAGTCATTCTAACCTCCCCGCGTCTCGATTATCGACATATCTCAAGAGATACCGTGTATACAAGCATGGATTTAAATATAGTTACCTACTGTAGATTCTCAAATAACCATACCTACTTCTGGACTCGGAATCGGAGTATCTTGTTGGGACTTAATATCTTTAATATATGATATTATCAACCTATAATTAATATAGCTTCACTCGAATTCTGCATAATACATCCCCATTGTCTTCGACCCGGGGTAGGATGGTCGTTTAATTGAATTGTGAAGCGCTTTCCCGGATACGACTTAACGTCACCCTTACATGGAGTCGGAGCGGCGCGGATCCGAGTAGGGGAATATACCTAAGTAAACATCATTTCGTAAACAATATTTGATCTCATATCACGAGCATCATCTTCATTTCTTAAGTAATAGCATCAATTCATAATTATCGTGATTATATTGGTGTATACAATTGGATTGGAAATGGCGATAAGCAACCTCCCTACCATCCCCCTCGTCGTCTTCGGCGTCTTGGAGCCCGCGATGCTGTGTGTCCCCTTGTCCCCAATCCCAAACCCATCCCCGCCCTCATCTCTCTCACTCACACAATACTAACCTCTCCCAGGATATGGGCATACATAGTAGCCCTCCGGGACACACCATCCTTCTACATCGCCCAAGCACCCAACTTCCCCCTCCCCGCCGACGCGGAAGTCCCGCCTCACGGCCTGGTTCTCCTACTCCAGCTTGTGAACGTGTACGTCCTGCTCGCCGCGATCGCAGTCGTGTGTAGTTTCACGCCGCATGCTAGCGTGTCGCGGGGGTATCTAATTGCGGTCGCGTTTGCGGATTATGGGCATATTTGGGCGGTTTATAAGGCCCTGGGCGCGGAATTGTTTTGGGATGTGGGGAGTTGGAATGATAGTGAGTTTTTGTTTTGTCCTACCTTTTTTCTTGCGATGTTTTGTTTTTCTGCCTTTAGACTCAGGTTGTGGGTGGGGGGATTCTTATGCCTCTTAAGATGTGTTTAGTTTTGCGTATCCCCTGCTCGAGAAGTAGTCAATACTTCAAAGTACGCCAATATTTACCTAGGTACTAACTCAATTTAATAGTGATCTGGGGAAGCATCGCCGTGAGCGCGGTACTAAACGTACTCCGCTGGCTCACGGTCGCCGGCGCCTTCGGGGCGCTTCGGGATGCGCGGGACCCGACGGCGGCCGCGGCGGGGGTTACCAAGAAGAGGGCTTGAATTGGGATGCGCGGAACGCGTGCTTGGACTTTCGGGTCCGATCTTTGTGTTTGTGATTCGGATGTCCGAGCTCGGTGGTATGTTGATCTTCTCACCTCAATCTCATGTATGGTCGTATGTCAAGTTTTAGTTCTGTGTATGGAGCGTTTTGCCCCTTAGAAGCTATAATGTTTTGGTTACAAATTGAGTAAATTGAAATTAGTGTCGTGTGAGTTGATTGATCAGAATTCACGTGGAGAAGCGAGGGAAAATTGCTAGAGAAGGAGTCATGATATCATTGCTATGTAGTTGTATGATCTATCGTTCACCGCGCGATTTTCCATGCCACTATGGCTGTCAAGGACTTATGTCGCTATATTCCCCATAGGAACCTAAGTACATGGGAGCTATTGAAGCTTCTGAGATGTCGAGGCGGTAGCTGGAAGGATAGCGCTTCGCAACTGCTTCGTATTTTCGAGTCTTTCGTTCTATGTAGTCGAAATGGCCGGCTAGCGGTCTCACTCATAGCACTGTCTCATGTAGTTTGTTATAGCCTCATCAGAGCATACACGAAAGAGGTCCCATCCAGATGAAAAGCTTGCTAGATGTGAGATGAAGCGAACGTTGTTTGATCCAAAGTAGATATTTCCTTTAGCATTGTATCTTCTTATCTTGAATCTAATCTGCATATTTTCAAGATATAGCAGTATATAGGGTATAAACGACCGAGGTTGAGTGGTATTATGATTAATTATGGACTGTGACACTCGACTATCTCGAGTCAGGCTGCCAAGTACCTAGATTTTTGACCAGCATCCAACGCCATTACTCTCTCATCTGCACCACCTTGAGCTAGCTCTTTCGTTTGACCGCATTACTCATGTCTAATGCGCAAAGAGCCGGGTGCAACATTCAACGACATTACGCAACTTGAATGTTGGTACATGGGGGCCGGAAGCACGTTGCCCGAGCACCCCTTAGAAAAACACTTGTCGATTCGCAAAGTTCATCGACTTGAAGAAACGCCCATCCTATGCCTCCCTGGTGTATAGATCTCATGCCATCTCAACCCGATTCAATCCAGAATAACCTGATCGCGCCTTGGAAAAATAAATCAACGAACGTCCCTAGGATGATACAACGAATGTGTGCATGAAACAGGTGCGAGTATAACGGTGGCCTATTGGGCCTTTGTAGAGGCTTTCTTAGTTTCCGATTCCAAGGCTTCCTTCTCCTCAGCCTTGGTTCTCGATCGTTCGTACTTTAGTGTGGTGTCACCGTGCCACATGGTTCCCAATAGTCTATCCCAGAAAGTGAAGAACGGCTGGGCAAAGTTGGTCTTGATACCCCAGTTTTGGTGGTGGATATCGTGGTAGGCGGCGTTGTTCGAGGTAATGTGCTGGAGAGGGTCCCATGGTAGGGCGTATCCGCAGTGGTCGTCGACAGTCTTGATCGAAGACATAACCCAGAAAACCATTCCTTGTCGAGGAGTCATGAACGCGACCTTATACGCGAGACCCGCACCAGCTGTATCAAGAAGGAAACCTTCAACGGGGTGGTTGTACAGAGCGCCATAAGCATAGGGAACGTAGAGTCGGTGATGTCTCGCGTGGAAGGTGTCTAAAAGCTTGTTAGATATTATTATTCGTTAGGATGGGATGGGTTCAGGGTCACGAACTATAGAGCCACTTGTTCTGGTGCATCAATCGGTGGAGGAAATATTGCCATGTGTCTAGAACAGTAACACCGACGAAGAACTGGATGGCTGGGATGATAAGGTGGTAGATAGCTTTAGCGACTATAAGCTCCCAAGTGGCAAAAGCCGGTACAGGAATTCCGTCCGGTCCGGCAAGCTCGGAGGTGAGGAAGGGGTAGTGTCCTCCAGAGAGAGCGCCAGCTAGGAGTGGATGCGAAACAGCCATGTTCTTAGAAATGGTTGCAGCATTCAGTCCGAGCACACCTAACAAGGCAGGTAGAGCTCTTTGTGCCAAGCGAACCCTCGTCGCCCAGACGGCAACATCATATTCCTCCATTCCCATATATTGCGGCGGATCGGTCATACCCAGAACACCGGCCATGACGCCCTGGATGATCTGTTGAAAGATAACATCGCGTAAAACTTCGTATCGCGTGACCTTGTTGCGTTGAGAGATTTCGGCGGGCGTGTGGAGACGGTACTGGGGGAAGAAATCGTAGGTGTCGATTATATGGAAGAAGATGGATACAACCCAATAGGCGAGTGTAGGCGCGATAATTGATAAGTAGAAGTCGGGGAACCATGAGATTAGGTCTGGCGCAACGACGACCTCATAGGCCGGGAGCGGCGGGAGGTCCGTGGTGGATGTCATGTTATCAGCCATGACGGTGGACGTCATGCGCAGTATTAAGAGTTGAGAGTAAACCTCAGAATTACAGTAATAGTGAAGTATGTATAAGTTACTTAGTGGGGGGAAGAGATAGTGAGATAGAGAAGAAGGATCGTCACGAAGAGATAAAAAGGAGTGTAAGTAGTTAGATAATCTATCAAGAAGAAAAAGAAAAAAGGTAGTCGGTTGTTGTAGTTGTAGTGGTTGTAAGTGTTAGATGTAACGGTAGGGGGCGGGTTGAGGTCAATTAATTATTTTAATGCGAGTTCCCCCGAAAAAGGCGGATATAAAGTTTTTGGCGCGTTTTTTAGAGCTCTTGAGGGCGCAAAAATATGGGCAATTAAGGTCAATTTAGGTCCCTCAGTGGTCCGTCATCATTCCATTGTCAGTGCACTTTTTCTTTGGGCGAGGCGGGACCCCCTTTTTTATCAATTTTATCAATCTCGGTTGTATCCCATCCCGTCAAGTCCGAGATCACCTGTTTTTTTTCGGTCTCTCGGGAAGTACTATTGTACCTTCGTGTCATACAGAAAGATGCATCGAGTCCCTTATTTTCTTATTTCTTAATTAGGACTTTTGATTTATGTGAATGTGTTTGGTATTCCTTTAGTATTATATACATGCATGCTTGATAGCTACAGGTTTGTACCCTCCATACTTCTTAAGTTAAGCTCCCGTGTAGCTTAAGACATAGTGCAGAATGCATGCTGAACAAAAGTGGCAAGGTGGATATTTGCTGTATCAGTAGCCTACAATTTGCTGCTCGATTTCGGATTCATGCAGGTGAAAAGATTCGGGAACGGGATTGCCGTGGTACAAACATTTTGAACCTCCGGAAATACGATATCATCGAGGTACGTACATGTATTTAAGATGCGATGCTTTAAGATGTGAAGCAGGTGCTCACTCATACAAAGAACTTTAAGAAACATTTGGATTGAATTTGATACGATACTAAACTGATTCGTGAAGGAGCTCTGTGGCAAATACAGTATTTTCAAGGGTTAATGCCTTAAGATCTAGCCTATAGTGACTTAGTAAACTTAGTGACCTTACATATGTGGGTTCAGACAGAAACTTTACTCTATTCACTGTATTACCTTACATAATATTTGCATTAGATAATACACACATCTCATCCAGCCCATTTAAACTGTACATTTGTACCCACAGATCCCATCTAACAGGAAAAAAAAATACGGAGCAAAAAATTCTAGATCTAATCAACAACCTAAATTGGGCTTAGCGTGGTCGCCCCTCCATTTGACTTCTCACTTTTCCTCCTGCCCAAAATTTTAGAGGGTCTCCGCCAGTGGAAAATCTGCCCCTCATTATCTTCTGTCGCAAAAAGCCGTCCTCTTCTTCCTTTCGATTTCTTCTTTTTTTTCCATCGCCGATTCTCTCGACGACCACATCTCTTCCTATTCCTCCATCACTCACTCAAAGTCTTTACCTCTACCGTCAACATGATTATTTTCAGGGTAAGTCGTTATTTGCGACATCATCAAGCTGTCGGAACCCATTTCGCAAACATCTAGGTACTGACAACCCCTCCTCATGTAGGACGCTCTTACCGAGTCCAAGGACGAACTCCTGTCCGACTCCTTCAAGCTAAAGGAGGTCGACGGAGTCGCCTACGAGGCTGACTGCTCTATGATTGAGATCGGCGCTGTTTCTGTTGGTACGTATTCATCATCGGCCTCTTAGGCCATGTTTCGTTCAAGCAAAGATGTACCCAAATGCTGACGAAAATGCGTAGACACCGGTGCCAACGCTTCCGCCGAGGAGGCTGACGAGGGCATTGACGACTCTGCCCAGAAGGTGAACAACATCATTCACTCTTTCCGCCTGCAGCCGACCAGCTTCGACAAGGCCTCGTATCTCTCGTACCTCAAGGGTAAGATAAGACATTTCATTCCCATGCCAAGGCCTAAAGGAGCTTCAACTAATATTTGAATATAGGATACATGAAGAAGCTCGCCAAGCACCTTAAGGACAAGGGTGCTTCCGATGAGGAGGTCAAGGATTTCCAAACCAAGGCCTCAGGTTTCGCTAAGAAGATCGTGTCCAACTTCAAGGACTACGAGTTCTACACTGGCGAGTCCATGGATGTTGACGGAATGTGAGTACCTATACACTGTCTCTCCTCTCTTCGAACAAACCCATACTAAAAGTTATATCCTAGGGTTGTTCTCCTCAACTACCGTGAGGATGGTGTGACACCTTATGTCACCATCTGGAAGCACGGTTTGGATGAGATGAAGGTTTAAGGGCCTATTAATTAGGACACGAAAACCCATAATGAATACCACAAAACACGATCCATACCAAACGAGTCCACGTTTTTCTTTGTTTATAAAATGCGAATTTTAGGCTTTTTTACATAGATTCGTCTTTCTACGAACAGTACCCGGCGCATTAAGCAGCCGAAGCCTAAACAAAATGCGAATTTCTTGAGATACTCTTAGGAACAGACCCTTTTGATGGTATTGATATCCGATTTAACACTCTATGCTATTCCCAACGCCAGTGACCATGCAAACAATAAGTGGTACTTCGTAATTCTCACTAGTTAAACCTCGGTTTCGAAGCCATTGGTACAGGAGGCGGGCCGCTCGCCCCATTACTCGCCGTAGACAACTGAGGCTTCTTCGATGGCGGTGGAGGTGCAGGTTTCTTCTTCCCTATAACACCAGAGATTTGACTCATTGGCGACGTTGCCGTTGCCGGTCCCTGTCCGCCATCTCCCGCATCATTAAACCGCTGATTCAACCTATTCGCTGTACTTAATCCCGAAGCTACCTGATCCCCATGTCTCTGTTGGAAGTTATGTGCTGTCCCAGCAGCAGCCTTCGCGTCCGCAAATGAGACCGACGAAGGGTCTTTCTTGAAATTCGACGCCGTTCGTAGTGCTGCTTGCTTATCCGCCCATGACGTTCCCTGCATTGGCGTAGCCGTAGATTCTTGCTGTGAAGTTCCAGTGCCCAATTTAGAGAAACGACTCTGTAGCCCGCCAAGTCCATTCGATGGTTTCGGAGGCGATGCTGGGCGAGCCGGTGGTGGTGGTGGTGGACCTCCTCCTCCGATTCCGAATTCTGGGACTGATATTCCGGCTGCTCCTAGTCGGTCGACGGCGCCTTGGTTCAAGTAGCTTGGGGGTTGGCTACCGCCGGTTGAGATGGGGCTTTGTGTTTGTGCTGGAGAGGAGGTTCCGCTTCGTGGTGGGAGGCGAGGGGGTAGGGAGGGTGGACTGGCGGGTTTGATGGGGGATCGTGGGGGAGGGAGTGGTTCGCGTTTGTTGGGGCTGCTGTGTCGGAGGGGTGGGGGTGGGAGGTGGGTGGTTGATAGGCCTGTTGTGTTGAGGCGGTAGGGTTTTGGTTCGGTTGGTTGTTCTACTTGTGATTGATGTTGTTCCTGGATGCCGTAGGTTTGCCCGGCGTGGGATTGGTATTGTTGAGTAGTTGGGCTTGAAGTTTGGACGCTAGGACTTCCGCTTCCGCCGGTTGCAACATGCTTCGGTGGTGGGCCGAAGGACGAGGGATCGCGTAGTGAGGAGATCGGAGGGGCGGAATGGTTTGATGTCGAAGGTGATGAGGATTTGTCTCCTCTGCCGACGAGACCTTTCTAATGATAGCGTTAGCATACACTTAATAGTGGTTATTCCGGCGCGTCGTCAGTGTCTTACCACTTGGCCCTTTAACGAGGTCCCTTCTTTCTCGGGATGCCAGCCTTTCTTGACGATACCCTTCCAATCCGTCATCCTGGAGCTTCTTTTTCGCCTATGAGATTTGTTGACAGATAATCGTATGCATTGCCGTGTAGGACAAGATTGGAACTAGAATGGATCGACATCGTTTGTTGCACGATTCGTAATTGAAGTAGTCCACTTGTACTTGGATACATACGTGTAGAAGTGGTTCTAGGGATGACGTATGTGGGTTTGCAAAGCCACAGTATTTAGCTATAGGGGTAATCGTAGTTCCGGTGATTTTATTTATGAGAATCATGCATCTACCGTACATCATCAGAACTCCGTGACTCCGGGAGAGAAACTCCGGACGAAGATGCTTTCCTTTTCCTTTCCCACACAGGATTTCATAGAGCAACTCATTTTTCTAAGGAATTTATTTGGAAATATTTTTGATCGATGCGGGCCCATCACTCCACAGCCCCTCCAGTTTCCTAAATCGTCATGCCAGTGATATCTGCCTCTATCGGGCAGTGACATGCAGAGGAGTATCTCATCATAGTATTAGACTTCTCGGTTAATTGCAGAGATATGTTCGGTTGAGAGAACATATTCGCTATTGTGGGTGTTGGGAAATTCCTATACCCAGAAATGTCAGCTTACCAAGAGATCAATAGCGTCTACCTAGGTAATGGTCGTACTTATTGTCTTTGTACATATGCGTGAGGGAAAGACTGAAGTTGGATAAATCGAATATATCCACGAATTTGAACTGGAACATTCCGAATCTATTATCCTTGCACACCAAGTATTCTGTGCTATAGTTGTTCGTGGGCCCCTGTGTTCGTGTGATGCCGTCCCATTGCCAGTAATCCTGACAAGTGCAGGATTGGTTCGCATTGGGGTCGTCCCAGTTGACTAGAATAGGAGTTGAAGTCAGAAAGGATAAAATCAGAACTATCTATATGCAACTCACAGTTGATCGAACATCCAAACATTGGAGGACTCTTGTTTCCCTTATTGCATTCGACATGCATATTTGTGAGGTTGAAAGGTTCGAGTTGGAATTGGGCTAACTCTACGGGTTTATCAATTACGGCTCGATCGCTAATAGCGTCTTGAAGAAATGAGGGCCTGGCAACTGCATAGCTAATAGCGAGAGAAATGATGAGTAGGGCTTGCATCGTGGGTTGTGTGGGCTAGCGATGAGCTCTGGGGAGGCGGAGACAGGCCTTCAAGTTGTACCTAAGAGATTCAATAACTTCCCAGGCAGAACGATACAGACTATTTTAATGTATATTCAGTGGACGCCATGATAGAGCACCCGTCGAAGATATATATACTATCATTTCACCACTGCTTGGCTCATCAACTCTTGGTGGCAGTGCCAACGGTAGAAATCGCACGTATGCCTCGTATAACGGTTAAAATTACACAAAGTTTTCGGCCTTGAGAACCACGAGGTTGGCATGCGAGTAGCCGGCATCTTGCCTGGATAATTTGTACACGCATGAAAGAGACATTGATTCAATTTAGATCCCTCCTTGGTATTGGTTCTAGACCTGTGCTTGTACAACAAAAGCATACTATTCAACCAAGATAACTATCTCGATGTTCACTTCGGCTATCGAAAAAGCTAGATACCATAAATTTATAGGTGACGGATCTCGCTTCTGCGGTGTGTTGTTTGGAGGAGCACTCATCGTGGAACTGTGCAGGACCATAGCAAAGGGGGATTAAGTTACTCAAGTATGTGAAGTGAGATAGAACTGTGTGAAGAGTCCCAAAACTAGATCGAAAACGAAGAAAATAGAAGAGAGGCATCGCCTCTTTTGAACAAAGCACGTCACCGCAGCCTAGCATATGGAGTTACACGAATCCTCGGCTAACCGCCGTTGGATGTCATTTTTGTCATCCGAGATCTCCTTTTCATACTGAAGCGGTCAACTACTCCATGTTCATTCCTGGCTTATGCTAATTTGGGAACGAGGACAATTTGACCGCTTCATGTCGTGTCCCCCTTCGGCCTGCGGCTACACTCTACATCACGCGGGACGAATGTAGGCAACCTTTCAATATCGCCTACTCCGAGGTCAGATGCATGCGGAAGTTCTCCGATACTAGGAAAAATTCCCCGTTAGGGGTATCTTGAGCTACCTATCACTAACCCCCATATTGTGTCTCCAGCTCCCTCTTGTGCTAGACTATTCGGCGTAACTCGTAGGTCCCAGGCATAATCACATCTTCATTGGTACTTCTAGGCTTCTCTAGGCATGTTTGTATGTCGCTCCGGTAAACGTTGCACAAATCTAGGCATTCGATCGTTTGTCATGAGTTGAATCCCGTTTCGATTCGCTGCTAGTAGTAAGACAACCTTTCTTGTATCATATGATTCGATTCGCAAGAGCAAACATATAATTTGCTAACAATAAGTTAATCGTCGGGGGTTGTTCGATGCTCTACTCAAGAATTGATACCTCCAACGTTATTGTTTGAAGAGACCGATAGACCTAAGCCACCACGACATAGGTCGCGCGAGAAATTCGTTTAGAAAGTTTTTCCTCGTCTGAGTTAGACCCCAGGAAAATGACCAAATGTGACGTATGATTATACGGTAGCTACCGACGTCTATTGATAGTATTGACTTCAATACACGGATGCTAACTGGAGGTAATAGCACCGAAACATATTCAAGGCACGGTGGTCAGAATAATTAGAGATGGCTCGGTGAGGATAGATGCTGTCTGCGCTCAATTCGAGTATCCCCATATAGCTACTGACGCCTCATCTAATATGATCGTAATTGAGTACCGAGGAAGGAATCTTCTTCACATGCGATTAAATAACACGAACTATGACCGAAAACCGCAAATTAGCACAAGCTCTTCTTTGGATATCGGTAATGGGGGCTATTGGAATTCAATTTGGGAGTGGGTGTATAGTGGCAGTGTAAAGAGTTGTGGGTTATATACCGTAATTTTGGCCTAAGAGCTAGCCGGAGTTATTTCAGCACCGAGGGAGATCTGCGGATGTACAAAAGCCTATTTTGCTGTAGGTAGTCTCGTGTTGAGAGATTTGAACATATGATTGGTGGAGGCTTTGAAGAGACGCCTCACGCCTTTTTTTCATTGTGAAGGGGCTCTTGTCTCGGTGGTTAAGATAGACTCAAGTAACGTTAAGTTCTCCTACCCATGGGGGCCTTAGACGGGCCGAAGCGAAGAAAGAAGATCCATGGTTAATGATTACATTTTTATTATAACAGAGTGCAATATTCTAACAACCAATCCATCGTAGGCAAAGACCCAATGACGTATTTTAGATGGGTGAGCAAAGAATTTAAACGACCCCTGGATCAAATCTTACAAGTCAGATCTATAAATAGAACAATGCAGAGGGGAAGACTGGGACTAGCGCCTAATGAACCCCACTCACATTGTCCTACCCGAGTACCCTTAGACTTCCCCCATTGCTCCCCCAATTGCTCTGTAGTAGGATTTCTTACACGTAAATTACAAAAGTAAATACTTCTTTTTATTACCTATTAGTCAGCAAATGGTAGATGGGGGCTATATGCAGAGAACAAGCTACAGAAGAAGCGAATTGAATGTATAGTCGTAGGCAATGTAACTCGAAGTTAACTTAGAAGCCTTGATGCTTGTTTCTTTGCTAATGCGACTATACAAAGTACTAAACTATTACCGTCTTCAAGAGTGGATCGGCGACTTGGAAAAAAAACAAGAATAAGATATGCAAATGCGGTCTGATGTGAGAGGGATGTATCCCGAGGAGACCAATCAACTGTTGATTGGGGTTTCTCATCTTACACCTGTTCTTATCGGAATAGTTTAGAAATGATGTTGTGGCTGATACTGTCTGCTTTTGCTCTATGCGGTCTTTTCTCGCGCTGGGTAGAGCGTGGATCGACAGAGGGGTTAGTTTATAGAGATTTTCAAAGTCGCTTAACTCAACAAAAGCAAAAGTAAGAGAAGGTAGTAAGTAAGTACTTAAATGTACCTCCCTACCTAGGTGAATAGGCTTCTAATTACCGTACTTAATTAGGTAATATTCGTATATAAACACACCTTTAACTCATCCATGGCTTAGATAATTACATTGATGGTAAGGCATTTCCACTTATAGTTAGGCTGGGTAGGGCTGGGTAGGGTGCTTATAATGTAGTAATTTTTGATTAGGTAGGTACCTAAGCTACTAGGCAATTACTACCAACGTGTATAGGGAAAGAAGGACTCAGAGACGGGAAGGATAAGGAGAGAGAGTTTGGTAGAACGAGTGGAAACTGCCTATTGTAGAAAGCGCTATCACCAATCTGCCTTTCTTTTTCCCTTTAGGCATTTAGGATTAGAATTTGAGTTTCTAGTTTGATTACTACTGGCTACATGATACGATTTCTTATTTTTTTTTCTTCCCTCACGAATTTTCAAATTCCACGCTACTTATGCTACATATTTACATACTAAGGATTCTTTTGTTGTCAGCCTCTTCTCTAGACCCTCTTGGCGCTTTGTATATGTCGGTCTGCCCCATTTAGGTTATTTACCTCTTATTAATCTACTAATCCACTGTCTATCATCTGTTTGCTCTTTGTATGCTATCAGGGTTAGCAACGTTGAAATCTCTTTCTTTTAGCCCTATACCTAGTAACCCTGTCCTGGGCGCCCAAAGCAAGCTCCTTGTCAATTTTATGTCAGGTCAGGTCAGGTCGGGTCTTTTTCTTAACGCGCAGGTTTCGACGCCGATCGCGATTCGCGCAACCTATTGGGACTCGCGATAGCTCCGTCATCTGAGCCTGTCCTAGTCGAGAGGGGAGAAACGGCTGAACTCGATTATATTCTGAAACCTTACCCGTTTTAATATCTACATGAACGACCGCGGTATCATACCAAGTTCATCTTATCTTTTACGACGACCGCAGTTTACTTACGCTATAATTCATTCCCTTCCCCCCTGCTTCTTAGCTGTTAGCCGTTCGCCAAGCCAAGAAGCGGCAGCGGTAGCAGCAGTACGACCGAAGTAACTAGAGCAAAAAGCGGGAGAAGAAACATCGTCAGCACAGCCCCCCCACAAAGCGGGAATCCCTGCAACTGTAGGTAGCTTAGAGGGGTGCATAGTGTGAGGGCGCGCGAATCCAATCCCCCGGTGGTGCCCAGTAGTTTCAATCAGAATCAGCATAGGACGGGACGGGACGGTACATACCTGTCTACACCTCGAGCGCCAGAAATAAGCCAGATCGTTCTAATCTATCAAATCCTAATTTCCTGCACAAACTGTACAAGCCGGTCAACGTTGGCCATTCCTGTGCCCTTGCCTCGCGCTCTTGGGTTACCTAACCTACCTACTTGTCCGGACTCGCGGCTGTGCGAAAGACAAAAAAAGGCACTGAGTGAGAGAGCGCGCGCCTGAGATTATAGCGCCCAATTCCGTTAGGTTAGGGAAAAGAAAACTGACAATAGTACCATTATGCCCTCCTTCGGTCGCATTGGCAAGCATAGCAATCGTTCCCAGCATAACCTGGTCGAGCAACAGCAACAGCAGCAACTACAACAACAACAACAACATCACCACCTTCTTCAGCAGCAGCAACAACAACAGCAGCAGCATCATCAACAGCAAATTTCGGCTCATCAACAGCAGGCGGCGGGGAGTGGAGCTCCTGCACCGCCCCAGCGTCCTCGTCAACAGCAAGTCAGTACTACTGCTACTACTACTTCCACTGCTACTCCTATCTCTTCACCTGCACCCGGACCTGCAATAGCATCTGGCGGCCCCTTAAACCTTGGAGGTCGTCGACCATCAGGTGCTGGTATTCCCGTTTCCGCGACTGGTCCCGTATCTGTGCCTATACCGGTCCCGGAGTCTAACACCACACCACCATCAGCCTCAACAATCGGCCTCGGCTCTACTGAGTCTTTTCACCAGCAAACATCACCAGCTCAACACCAAGCCGATACTAGGACCACCCAACCACAACTACAACAACAAACTTCGCATAGCTCATCGCATCAGCATCATCACCCAAATCAGAATTCGCACGCACACCACCATCAATTAAGTGGGCAGCAACAAAGCCAGCACGGACAGCCCTTAGAGGCGTTCGCAAACAATCCCAATAATTTACCCACTAATACTTTACCCCTCAATCAAGCTGCTTACAGTGCGCGACAGCAACAACAGCAGCAGCAGCAGCAGCAACAACAACCCCACGATAATTTTGCCGAATTAGTCTCCCGCTCTCAATCTGCAAGACATTCCCAATTAAATCCTTTGCAGACACACCAAATATTTGGTCTCGCTTCTAACTCGGTCGACAACTTACCTCAGACCGTTTCTTCTCCCGTTGCCCCTCCAAACCAGCCATCCGTACCACCAGTTCCCGCCCCCACTGAGACTAAACGATCTGCTCGGAAGCTGATCAAGAATTTCATTGCTGGATCTTCTTCGTCTGCTAGTCGGCCCACCTCGGACCATTACCAGGACGCCGCCTACGACAACGGCTCTGGCTTGAGCCGCCGACCATCCAAGAGGGCGAGCAACACGCCTGTTGTTAGAGGGGTTCCTTTGTTGGCGCGGACTATCGACCATCCCGATTGGGTTCCTCCTCAAAGTACAAGCTCGCGCAGCCACCACTCGCCAGTCCAACCTGTATGCGATCTTGACGACCCCTACTATAATACCGCCCCTTCTAACCAAGAAATGTTTTTACAGAACCACACAGATCCAGTCCAGACTACTATAAGACAAGTCCCCACCGACGCCGACGCCGACGCCGACAACTCGCCCTACGCCCGTGAAGACCTCGCCTTCCATCAACAGCAGGCTATCGTCCAGCACCAAGCTCATCTACAAGCCCAAGCCCAGGCTCAAGCCCAAGCCCAAGCGGAGCAGCAGCAGCTATACGGAGGTCAGATCGTTGTCGACCCTTCCCAGAACCAGTACCAGTACGCACCCGGCTACGAGCAATATCAGGCAGGAACTCGTCGGCCATCTCTATTCACTAGCGGACATCTTAGTGCGGCAAGCTCGCAGCCGCCTAACCCAGAAACCGTTTCGCAGGTGTCACATGAGTCGCCTGAGCCCGATACGGATCAACACCAGCAACAACAACCACCTGTCGGCTCGCAGTCTGCACAGGATTCACCCGCCGTGAGTTTCGCGCAAGAGCTACAGAACTCACAGAACCAGCAGCAAGCTCCGACGTCAACGGGCCAGAACCAAAATATGGCACCGCCGCCGCCTGGAGGAACTGTACAAAGTCGTAGATCGGGTGATCACGAAAAACAGATGCGATCCGTTGAACCTCCTCCAGGCCCTCCACCTGGTTATAGGCACAGCCAAGGACCTATGAACGCAATGAACCCCCTACCGCCCACACCAGGTGCATCTGGTACACCACAGAATTACCGTGCCAGTGGTGTACAAGAAGGGCCCCGATTTGATGGACCTCCCCCCGAGGGCGGTCGAAATAGTCCCCAACAACCAGCAAATGCAGAGAGGGAGGCTGAGCCGGATAAGCAGTTTAAAGACCTATGTAGGAGACCCTCCCATGTCTAATGAGCAGGTTACTAACCCCGTCCCTAGTAACTAAGTATAAGAATGTCAAGAGACTCTACTTCGACGGCAAGGCCCAGATCGAACAGTTAACTTCCCAAGTTGAGCAATTGCAAAATGCGGTTGCAAACCAGAGAATGTCGCAGTCGCGAACGGCCCTTGACGATAACGAATATTCCACCAGATTTAACCGACTCAATGGCGCGATAAACAACTTGTCTTTCAACATTCGTAAAGACTGGAAAACGCTACCTGGTTGGATCGAGAGGTATGTTAGCCCGGAAGCGATCAAAACGGGCAAGCAAGAGATGACTGCAGTTGGACGGGCCGTCATCGTCCGGTGGATAGTAGAAGAAATCTTTAACAAGTGCTTCCATCCCTCGCTCGACTTTCATCTAAGCTCCCATTTGAAGCAAATAGAGCAGAACATTCGCAGATTTTCATACACGCTAAACAGCCAGGAAGAATACGATGCATTGACGGCAAAGGTTGTAAACTGGCGAATGGCTACTCTAGAAGGTCTCCAGCATATGCTTCAGGCACCCGAAAGCGGCGATTATCGGGTTGAATTTACCAAAATGGCTACTAATAATCTCACGGCGACTTTGTACCAGTATCTTACAGACCCGCCTCCGGCCGGCGTTGACGGTAGCGCATCGATGATTGTTGAATTGGCAGTGGGTATTGCGGCTAACCTTCCCTTGGAAAGCCGAGACGTAGCTATTACGTATCCCTTGCCTGGAGATCCTATACAACCCGACATCATGGAACCGGAAAAATCGGGATTACCCCCGCTACCAGACCCAGCGGAGGATACCGAGGAAGGGACCGACAAAGAAAGCGACAAGGCTTCGGCGTCGACATCAACAAAACGAGAGAAGACAAAAAGCGGTATGTTAACAATGCTCGCCGGGACCTACCCCGCGAGTAGGAAAGGTAGCGCGGCTTCAGTTCTTACTGACACGACAACATCGGCAGCAGCGGCGGCGCCGCCACCCCCAAAAGATGCCAGCAAGGTCCGGTTTGCGGGTTTCGTAGCAGTCGAAGTGCGAGGACGCCAGGTCTTGATGAAGGCTCCGGTATGGACTTTAGGTTGAAGGTGCTGCTCCTAAGTATTAGATGCTTAGTAGGGCTCGTGGCTCCGTTGCTTCATGGATAACATACCTAATTCGTTTCTCTTTTCCGCTTATAAAAAGGTTCGATGATTTAAAATATTACCCCTGAAGGAAGTGGGATAGGAGGAATAGGAGGCTTTGGGCTTTGAACGTTGTAGTCGATACCCCCCCAGCATAGAGGAGAATCGATTGCGTATTGTGGACGAGCTAAGCATCTAGTTAGTGAGGTATGAGATGAATTATGACGGGGTTGTACGTGGGGGAGATAGTTGACCTTCTCGTTGAACATATTTTAAAATACCTACCTATATATCCCCAAGAATTCTGCTTCCCGAACTCATAACGATTACCTATGCTGTTAACATTTCACTTGTGCAAGTCACGATTAAACACTAAGACATAATAGCTTAAAACTTGACTTGACCTAGTAAGTTACGAAGTAGGCGATGGAAGCGGTAGAAAAAGGCAGGGCAAATTTATTATGGTACAACCTCCAGCGCGCACGACGATGAAAAAAAGACTCCCTGATCAAACACAATCCCGGAAAAAAAAAACTCCTCTCGCCCTCCCCCCGCCGGGACCTGTTATGCACGCACGCCTTCACTCCTTGGGGCCAAACCTCAGACTTTCTTTCCAATGCTTCAGGCTTCCTGTCCTTATTGCAATGTTGTTTGAAGGGTTTTCAATCTTTTCTTTCGCCACTTTTAATCTGTGGATCGTATCGCCGATTAATTCAGCTACTAGCTAAGACTTGCTTTGCTTGCTGCTGTCGGGTATAGACGGAAGAATGTTGCGATTAGTAGACCTTGTACGACCAACGAGGCCTTGGAAAAAAGAAAAGCCAAGGCGGTCTGTTTAACCCCGCAAAACTTCTGTAGCCTGACTCGAAGAACTTTGTAATCGCAGAAGAAGACGCAATTGGAATGGATTTCACCAAGATACCAAGGCAAGAATGTCTTCATCGGACGAAAAAAAAAACTAGCGATGCGTGCGATAGGGAGGAAAAGTGCGAACTTTACTGATTGCCGCAGTACTGATCGTGAACTCATTAGCAGATCTGTTGATCTAGGATCGTACCAGGCGTGACATTCGTTTCCTCGTTTTCTGTTGCCAGATTTTCAAAATTTCAATCATGAAGGCTTCTGGTGTTGCCAATTTAGACGATCATACTCTTAGTTCTGGAATGAACGCGTCTGGACTCGGCACGCTTGCGAAGCATCTCCTCTCTCTTAAGGATGAGATCGCACCACTTGCGGCGACCGTTGGGCGCGCTGCCGTCGTCATCAACGCCGGCTCGACCGATAACGTCACCTAAAGCCTTCATCCATCCGTGCTTGTCCTCACGAGTATCGGCATAGAAGTCGATAATTTCACCGTTATTGAATCGAATGCGGAAGCCTTCTTCAACGAACATGTAACCTTCCTCTTCTTCGGCGAAAGCAGAGCGACGTCTCTTGCCATTACGACCGGTAGTCTCGGGATCGGTCAGTTGACGCCTGTCATCGATGAGTCGCTTGGCATTGGAAAGATTGATAGTGGCACGAGGCTGGCGTGTTGTCTCGTGGTACGCAGTGAGCTTGGTGCCGACTAGCTTAAAGTAGCGACGACGCCAGTACTGTTAATTCCTCAGGTTAGCATTTGAACGGTCTCTTTAGTAATCAATGATGGAATAGGCACTTACTGGGCAGTCACCGCCTTGCTGGCTTAGATGTCCCTCCCAGTTTTTGCTGAGTCTCTCTTCAGCTGCCTTCAACTCTCGGATACAGCTGCCCATGCTCTTAGGCATATCATCATCGGTAGATCCTCGAGGACGCGGTACGAAGAGCAGCTGTACCTCGAGTTTGCCAATCTTGTAAGGAGCCTTACGAACCACCGTGTTGCTAGAGATTCCAGTGCGCTTGCTCTTGACGCTACTGGCAAAGGCAGCTTCCTCAGCAGCCCACTCGTTGAAAGCCGCGATTTCAACCATGTACGGGCGTCCATAGCAGCGAGATTCGTGCTCCTTAAGGCACACATATGAGCGTGCGAAGGTTCCGTTCTCTGCGGTGAGAGGGGATAGTAGATCCCATGCGCTGGGTGGAGCGTTTCGTTGTTTGGTAGCGTCTCGCTGGGCTTGAGCGTATGCTTCTTCCTCTGCGCGTTGACGAGCTTCCATCTCCTTTCGCTTCTTCGGGCTAGCAAATACGCGAGAAAAGGCAGAAGTCTTAGGTTTTGATGCCTTAGCTACAGCAACTGGTGCTTGTTGAGGTGCGGGAGGTTCCAGCTTGACATTAAGAGTGAGTTGGAACTCTAGCTCATTAGGAACAACGAGCTCGAACTCTTGGCCGATAGGCGCGTTACGAGCTAACTCCAGCCAAGATGTAGTAACACAATGTACACCATTGTCGAGAGTCAAGCTGAACCAAGTTCGTTCATCTGGAAAAAATTAGCATCTGAGTTGAAGGGAGAATATATCACAGGAAAAGGAGACAAAAAGTAAGAAATGAATTGTCGAATAAGACTTACTCTTAGGTAGAGGTAGATCGAGATCCTTTACTCCCATCACCTTTACAAATAGTCGACCACGCTCACCGCACTCCTCAGTTGCCAATTCGGGGCCATCCTCCTCGGGTAGCGAGCTCATGGCTGTTGCGTTACTCTCTCGACCAGGCATAGGAGGTACTTGACCACCTATGCTCGGGCCATGTCGTTTTTTAATACTTCGCCTGTGCTTACCATTCCAAGGTTCGACAGTCCAAGATTGCGGTCGTTGTTGTTTGACAGGTGAATTACCAGCAGAACGTGTGCCAGGTCGGGCTTCCTCAGTGTCTTTGTCACTTGCAGTTACAAGCTTTGTATTTTGGCGCATAAGGTAACCTCGCTGTTGAGTAGTTTTAAAGTTAGTCTCGTAAGATGGTCGGGGGTAAGTGGGTTGTGTGTTTATTTTTTCACGAGTCAAGCCGGACACTTGTCTTGTCGGCCCAGCACCCGAACGGGGTTGATTTTGCGCAAGGGGGAGGGGTCCAACCTTTTGTGCCTCGATTACCCGCTCAAAATCCTGATCAAGGCTGAGGCCTAAGTCGAGATCTAATGTTAGGCTGCGTTGTTTAAAGCTTGGGTGGCGTTCTAAAAATTCATCACCAGTAGGGACGTCAAGGTTGTCAGGTGCAAGGTCGCGAGAGAGGCGGTTGCGATGTCGCTCAGGAATGGGCGGAACTTCAGGTGCCACTTCTCGGCTGACTTGTCTACGGGCCTCGCGCATAGCAATAATGTCTGACGGGGTCGCCGACGCGCGGGTCTTTAACTTAGAGCCGGACGCTCTAATGGTTGCTTCCCGCTCTGGAATTGCTGGGGATTCAATTAGTTGCTCCTCAACTTCTTCCTCCTCTAGTTCCTCTAGTTCCTCTTCGAATTCTTCCTCCTCCTCCTCTATGTCATCGTCAGAGACGGGGTGGTGGATTACAGATTCTGGGGTGCCAGGTTCATCGTCATATTCTTCTTCTGGTTCGCCCCACCCAGATCCGTCATACTCCGGTTTCGACATTGGTTTTTCTGGAGTGTACAGCCTCTGCATGTAAGCCTGGGCATCCGACATTTTGTGACTTTCAGAGTATGTCAACGCATCTACATCTTTAGGCTTTGGAAGCATGTGCGACTGCAAGCTTCGTGTGAAATCCGCATCCTTAGACGGATTGTTCACTTGAGGAAGCGTGGCACTAAAGTTTGTAATGGCACTGTCAGGTACCGGGCTAGCAGCTCGAGGAGTTGTGATGGACTCTTCTTCGGGCTGTGTTTCTGTTGACTCGATCTTGTCAATTTCGTCAGAGTAATGGCTGTCTGTGTCATCATCGTGATCATCCTTCTGAGAAGCGGTATCGCCATCTTCGTCATCCTCAGAACGCTGGTAAAGGTCATAGACATCAGCCTTGTCATCTTCACTCTCATGCGCGACATCGTGGACAATAACGCTGTCCTCGTTCGCCTCAGTAGCATCATCAAGAATAGAGTCCTCGATACTAGCGATAGGGACATCCGGATCATAAGGAGTGCTACGAGCAGGTCCCAATTCTGGACCTGGTGAGCTGAACGTCAAGTCGGCTTCCTGATCGAGCGCCTTATTGCCATTAACACGACGCAAGATGGACTGTCTGGAGATGCTGGGTAGCTGATAATCCATGTCAAGTCCTGACAGATCACCGACCGTGTCATCCTCTTCATTGGCTATAACGTCTGGGTCCTCGCGTTCTGGAGTAGGGCTCATAACTCTATCGCGAGCACCTGCTCGTCGCATGCGACGCTCTCGTTGTTGTTCAGCGAAAGTCTTAGCAGAGCTATCGGCTTTAGGGCTTGTCTCGTCGGAAAGCATCATGAGCTTCAATCGCTCCTCTAGAGACATATTGCCATTACCAATATTGTGGATCTCGGACTTGCTTACGGAAGCAGGGGGTGGGGAAGGGAGACTTCGAGGAGAGCCTAGCATGCGCTCTGCTGTAGCGGACAGTCCATTTGAGGACGAAGACTGAGATCGGGCATGGCCCATAGCACCGGGGAGGGGAGGGAGAGGTCGGTGATCTGTACTAGAAGCGGACGAATCTGTTCGAGAGTGCTGGGGGCGAGCGGCAGTTGGCGAAGACGGGAAGCCCTCAGGCATGGGGCTACTGTCGAAGCGAGCATCTCGATCTTGACGCCAATCATCCGGTCCAACAACGGGTGTCTTGTCCGTATCTTCTAGCGTCGCATCGAAGCTGTCATCCTGTCCTTCACCATCATCTCCTGGATAATGGTCGTAGACGTAGTCGTCCTCATCCTCGTCTTCAAAACTACCTTCACGAGAGTTGGTGCCAATGGAGGACAGGTCGGGAGTAGCCATTTCATATTCGTTGACTTGAGGAGGTGCAGCATCAAAGGTGACGGACTTAGCGTGGCGATGAAGAGATCTACCGCTAGGAAGCTCATGATCCTCAAATGATGGGTCCGAGAAGACATCAATACTCTGTGATTCTTGGCTGCTCTTAAGGCGTGTCGAAGAAAGTGACGACTTAATTGGAGAGGATTGCTCCTTGCTGGGTGATTGAGAACCAGCAGGACCTGGGGTCGGACGAGAGCTACCTTTTGTAGGGGTGTATAACGATATGCTGGTCTGACTTTCCGTGCGGCCGTGGCTCGATCGAAAGCCGGACACGCCAGTGCCGGCATAGGCATTGCCTTGAACTTTTGCGAGAGGGCGCTCGAGTGTCGGTACACGGGTCGGGTCGTATTCTTGCTTTTGTTCTCTGGCAAACATGGTACTGTTCTTTACGCGCGACGCTTTTTGCAGTCGCTCGATAGAGGAACGCCTGTTAGGCGACGGAGAACCGGTGCGACCACCATACAAGTCGTTCTCAGCGCGGCTGTGAACATTGCGATTTTGCCAAAATAGGCGGGGAGAAGCAGTACCGTCCAAAGGTGAGGATTGGAATGGAGATGAATCAGTGTTTAGAGCCATCTTCTGCGCCACGAGTGTTAGTAAACGATAGGGACTGAATCAACTTGAGTCTAGGGTTGGATTACCTTAGGGGATTGATTCCAGCTAGGTGAGTTTCTTCGCTGTTCGGTAGCTGAAATCTCAGACAACGGCCGAGGAATGCCACTCTTGGTGGGCGATGAAATAGGAGTACTGTTCTTGGAGATACGCAGAGGCTGCGTCACCTGGAGATCGACTGTGTTAATTCTTCGATGTTCATTTATTTCTTCATTCCTCCGATCCCTCGACTTTAAGAATTACTTACTGGCTGCTCGTCAGAAGCCATGTTGGCAGATAAATTTGCTAATGGTTTCCCAATTATCGCAAATTCATGTCTCCCCGAAGGAGAAATACAAAAGGAGTATTAAGACGATACGAATGGAATTGCGCGGTAGGAGCGCGGCGCACGGTGTACGATGCAAGACGCAAAGTATGGTTATGCAGAATAGAGAGTGAAAAAAGAGGCGTTCAAGAAATGTTTTGGTTGGCAGGTTATAGGGTTGGTACGGCGACGGACTGATTGGTCGAGTCGCAAATGGCACTGTTTACACGCGACGGTGGGAGCCGTGTGTGTGAAGTGTGAGACACAATTGGCCAAGTTCAGTTCAGAGAAGCGATGTTTGGAAAAGGTCAGATGCAAGAATGAATAAGGGATGCCAATGATATCGTCGCCGATCCAAAGCGGTCACCCTTTTGCGAGAAGAAAGATGAACAATGAAGGTATGTTGACGATGGCATTGGTCAACTTTCTAGATCATAGGTGCAAGGCCAGGAGGTTATTTGGTTATTTGGTTCCAAGGTTATTTGGATGGCAGCGGATGTAAACAAGACAAGGAAGAAGTGGGGAGTGAGGAGTGGGGGATAACAGCCAAGTCCTAATCCCCCCTCCACTAACTGTCACAAGCGCCCGCTGTTGTCCGCCGCTAAACCACCTAAAATACAGGGAATTGAGCCTAGTTAGGTTGTTCCTTCCAGGCTTGTTCCCGGTCGCCGTTGCCTGGTCAACGCTCCGGCGCACGAGCCAGTTAGAAGCCTGGGATCTTCTCGCTTGTCTCAAGTTGAATTAGTACATGTACACTGCATTATGCAATCCTTAGGTACCTGGCTGGAAAGAGCAAATCATCACCAAAGTTGTTCTTGCTATTGACTATCAAAGTAGTAAATAGATGTTGAGGTATAATATTCTTGCTTTTCCCCCTGTCATTTTGTTCTACTATCTACGTGGTTAAAAATGCGAGTAGGATAATGCATTGCGGTGTTACCAGTATGTACCTAGGTAGCTTATAGACGTATACAGAAGATGGTTAATTGTAAAGGTACTTGCCTCCTTAGTGCCTAGGTAGCTGAGCTTACCAAGATTAGTGGAAAAATAGAGGGCACTCAACAGCACTAACGGAAGTCAAACCTGCCTCTATTTAACCACCCAACCATGGAAAAGTGCGAAAGCTTAGACCACCCGAGCAAGTTGAATGATATGTCACTTCCCGTCTATGATTGGGTACATAAAACAATGTGCTTACTAGGACAATTAAACCGGTGTTACACAGCAGATATTATGTCTTAAAACTTACGAGAAATGGCGCGATAATAGCTGCGAGAACCTACTCTACTTCTGCACCACACAAGCACAATTGATCACATCATGTAATATAAAAGCAAAATTGTTGAACAAAGGAAGTCAATTTGATTATCTTCTCTTCCTGTAAGGACTGGTTGGTATCATGCACCCGCAGAGACGCCCAAAAATAGTTAAAAACACAAGATATCAAAAGAATAATAACCACCATTTTGTAACACCAAACCCCATAGCTCCTATATACTTGTCATCCATGATCCCTTATTCTTCTTCCTCAACAACCTGCTTCTGAGCAAGGTAGAAGCGGTCGCCGCCTTTGTCATCACGCTCGTGTTCAAGAGCGACCTTGCTCAAGTGAGTGAGGATGTTCTCCATCATCGTGTCCTGAGCGGACCTCTTCTTGCGGCCGAGGTCGTTTAGGCTCTTCATGCGTGTCATGGTCTGGTAGATAATAGCAATGACGATTACGCAGGCAATTGAGTACACCCAAACAACAACGATAGTTAGGATATCGGTAGCACCATTCTCAGATAACTTGGAAGAGATCGAAGCTGGGCTGGAGGGTTCACCGAATCCACCAGAAAACCAACCGAAACCGGCGAAGAGAGAGGCAAGGATATCGACACCGAAGATAGCACTGACTAATTGCCAAGATGGTCTAGTCTCGAAACCACGAGTGACAAAAATAAGCCAGTTCTCAGTGAGCGATACTTGTAAGAAGATAATCTCCTGGATGGATCCATAGTCTTGAACGACACCACCCTGAGGAAGCCAGAGCGTACCGCGGAGGATCCAAGTTCCAAGAGATAGCAGAGCACCCAAGACGATGCTAATGATCCAGATCTTAGGGAGTTGCCACTCTACGGGGCGCTTCTCGTAATGTGCAGTGTCATAAGCGACGGCAATAGTGGCCAAGTCAGCAAATAGGGCTAGGAAGACGATAAGATCGGCACGAATGGTCTCGTTGATGATAATCATTGAAGTAACCAAGTAGATCTCAAGGTGCAAGCAAAGAGCGATACGATATTGGATGTAGGCCTTCATTCGCTGGAAAATCTGGCGGGAAATCTTGATGGCGGAGACGATAGTGCTAAGACCTGGGGCGAGGAACACGATGTCGGCAGCGGCCTGGGCGGCTTCAGTAGCGCCTTCCACAGCAATACCGCAGTCAGACTTCTTTAATGACGGAGCGTCGTTGACACCATCACCAGTCATGGCCGTCAGGTGACCACGTTGCTGAAGCATTTCAACAACCTGGTATTTGTGTTCAGGGAACACCTCAGCAAATCCGTCAGCTCTCTCGCAAAGATCATGGATAGCAGTTCCAGCCATATCGCTATGAAGTAGCTTGTCCGAGTTGTACACCTTAGTTCCCAAGGCCAGCATACGGCACGTCTCCTTAGCAATAGCGATAGCATCACCAGTCAACATCTTGACAGACAAGCCAAGGGCCTGGGCCTCAGCAATAGTTTGAGCAGTATCAGCACGGGGAGGGTCAAAAAGAGAGATCATCCCAAGCATTTCCCATGGGCCATCTTCTTCCTGGACGGCGACAGCAAGAGAACGGAAACCGCGGCGCGCAAATTCGGTAGCCTTCTCTTTGAAGAGTGCGGATTGTTCCTCGCTGCAGTCGGTCAGAGCCAACACAGCCTTAGGGGCACCCTTAGCACATGTGTATTTTACACCGTTGTGGGTGCATACAGCAGTGATTCGCTTAGAGACGGGGTCAAAGGGGGTGAACTTCTCGGTCTTCCATCCTTCGCTGATCATTTCCTTTGCCTTAGGGTAACGCTTGAGAGTGAGAATGGTGATTTTGTCGATAGGGTCGAGGGCCTTGATGTTGTGCGATGAAGCTAGGGCAGCAACAGCCATCATCCAGTTGATGTCCACACCTTCCATAACGAAGGGCTCGCGAACGGAAAGTTGGTTGGCCGTTAGGGTACCAGTCTTATCAGAGCAAAGAATATCAACACCAGCGAGCGATTCGATAGCCGTCAGCTTTTGTACGATGGCTTTCTCCTTAGCGAGGTAGGCAGCACCAACAGCCAAAGTAGTGGTAGTAACGACAGGCAAACCAACGGGGACACCGATGATAAGAAGGATCAGAGCATAAGTCAGTAAGTTGTTGGAACTCTCCTCGGGTGCAACAATGTGGAGGTTGCGGTAGAAACCACCAACCCACGCAGCAAGAATCCAGAAAACGACGAGGACTAAAAGAGTAGTACCGATAGAGTCCATGATAGCCTTGAAGTGACCCGAATCCTTAGCACCCTGAACAAGGCTAGCAGTCTTGCCGACAAATGAAGCCTGAGCACCGGAAGTAACAACACCATAAGCCTTGCCACGTTTGCAGCCAGTCGTATAGTAAACGGTATCGGTCATGTACTTGTCGACCGCAAGAGATTCACCAGTGATAGCGCTCTGGTCGATGGCGACGATCGCGTGACCGATGTGAGGCGTTCCTTCATCATCACCCTCCTCAAATTTCTCCTGGCGTGGCGAAGTGACGTCTTGAGCCGAAAGCTCTGCCTGGTACTGAGCCTGTCCGTTGGGGTTATCATACTCGCAAATAAGACGAGCATCACCAGCAACAACGTAGCCTTCCTCAATAATAATCTGGTATAATTAGCACCTTGGGAAATTTTGCAAAACATTCGTTGATACTTACGATATCACCAGGCACAAGCTCCCTGGCCTTGATCTCCGTCTCCTTGCCATCTCGGACGACACGAGCCTTCATGGCAATATCTCCCTTCAAGCTGGCAACGACATCGGCAGCTTGCTTTTCTTGGTACCAACCGACGATAGCATTGAGCAACAGGATACCAATGATAATACCAGCGTCCAGCCAGTCTTGCATGCCCAAAGCTATGATCACGGCAACTTCCATGACTACCAAGGACGTTAGAATACGAGCATGCCGATATAGGAGAGCAGGTGAGACAAACCGTAGAGAACAGGCCCACGGAAGAAGCCGATGAACTTGAGAATCATGTTCTCCTTCTCAGTCGACAGCTCGTTCCATCCGGAGAATTTCCGTCTCCGTTCGACTTCCATCGATGAAAGACCATCTCTGATATCTGTGTTGAGCCAGTCACTCGGCGTCTCGAAATCGCTCAAAGCAGCACGAGCATAACCGCTTTTACCACCACGCCAGAATGCCCACCATGGCCTCTTCTGGTCCTGTTGTGAGAAGTCCTCCTCCCCCACTTCCGCATTAGGATCCCTATACGTATCAACATAACGAACCAAGCTAGCATATAAGTTAGTCGATGTCAGATACATATGTTCTGATAGAACTCACGCTCTGTACTCATCCAAGTACGGGTTGTCGCCATGGTTGTTAGTATCGACCGAGTTATTTCTCTGGGTCTCCGTCAAAAAACTACCCGCTTCTAGATCTTGGTTGGACGCCTCTTCGATGGTAGTATCGATATAGTTGGGCGGCGCCGCACCCCTTTGGTGGCTGCTAAAAACCTTGACCTTCTTGAAATTGGGTGCCATTGTGACCCTGAATACAGCCCAGCTGTAGAAAGAATTGAAAAGAAGGAGACGGGAAAAGGGGAAAAGAAAGCTGCGGAAGACGAGGGAGGAGGGGAGGATGGTGGAAGCGACGAGATAACACAAACTTCAACTGTGAAGGCTCGAGGACATAGTCGCTACTTATACGAAATCCTCGCGAGCAAGATAAGAAAATACGCGATGCTATCCATCACGAAACTCTTGGCTAGATACCCTGAAGCACCCCGGGAGAAGTCAATTTACCAGGAAGATTGCCCCACAGACGACTAGCTAAACAATAAAACTGCTTTTTTCGGTTCAAGGCGCCAATCTGAAGCTCGATGAGAAAGTAGCTACTAAGATTTTCATCCACCATGAAGCCTGGATATCAGACGAATTGGCCTATCACAGGCCTCGGAAATGTGGTATTAGAGTTAGGGGTCCCTCCGACGAAAAGGCCCGTGATATTATGTCGATCCGTTTCGAGTTGACCATTGCGGCTACTTCGAAAAGTCTCGACAGTGGTATTTAGCCAAGATGCGGCCAAAGACCGCGGCAATGAAAATGCCTCACCCGGTGCGGTTTACTGGAAATGATCGATCTAACTGACAGAAAGGTCTGGGTTTATCATTGAAGCGTACGTAGTCCCTGACTATAGTTTCAGCACTGATCAATATGAAACCGCCGCCCGTTGGACACGGAAGTATGGCACGTGACCAACAATATACTATATTTGATCCCAGCACTGAGGAAACAAACAAGAAGGCGTTGAAACGGAAACAATCTGTAGCCAAGCTGCCCGGTGGGTCTCCTCCAGAACGAATTGAAGCTTGAATTGCTCGTCTGGAACCTCGAGAAGACACAAGTGCCAAGGAGAATTCTATCAGCGATCATCGTCTCTAAAATAGATAAGACAAGATAGAAACGGCAACAAACAATATGCTATTAATAACCTGAGCTTGGCTTTCACAATAAATGTTTTGAATACCTGCGAAACTCCACGGACCGTCTGTTTTGATCCGAATTGTGAAGTTATTTGTTACCTACCGTAGGTTGGCATGAAGCTGTCTGTATCTATCAATAGCCACGACGAGCTTGGCAAGAAACGGCGATGCACTAAGCAAGCCATGATGAAGCCAAGTCTCGGGACATTTTCGAGCCTATCTTTTCGGTTATGCCGTCTCCAGCAAAGAAAAACTCCACTATAGCAATCAGAATAACCTACCTATATAGCCAACGATACTTCGATTATTGTCATTATTATAAGCCTATATGACGAAGATGCCAATAGGTAAACAGCTCGCATCGTCAAGGCTGCCCTAGACCGTCATAGAGGGTCTGAGAAATTGCTGTGGCTCCGTTGAATGCTCGAGCGTAGCAACTCAAAATTGGTTGCCCCAACAAGATTGCTACGACGATGGTAGTGTTTATCATATCGGCCTAACCGCATTACGACAGTGACCCGGACCTGGGGTAAGATAGATAGATCACTTTGCGGTTCGCGATATAGTTCGTTCTTGAGCTGGGTTGGTGAAACTCAATAGGATCAAATGGCTAGCTACTCTGCAACCTCACAAAGAGATAAAGAGGTCAATGTTTGGCTTCACTCGTGTGCAAATATTTGTGCTGCAGAATAAGAGGGAAATAAAACCTGGGGGAGAAGAGATCGTCGCACCAGTTATATCGAAGTAGACGTTGTAGGGGCATTCTTGGCCAAAACTCTTGGCTTTAGTAGTGCGGCGTCGCGGTATTGACCAATTGATTAAGCTAGTCGCCTACCAAAGCCAAGAGTACTAAGAGTGTCGACAGCCTCAGCAAGAAAAGCTTCATTATACATCGATACAGGCATGTTGGAATTGCCCGTGGGGGTAATCTAAACTGCCGGCTTGTCGATGGGGAATGGATGGAGAAATCATCTCATCACGCACTGCCGACCGAAAGTGAATAAAAGCACATTGTCATACATTATGTAAGCATATTAAGACATGTGATGATAAGATAACATACAGTGCGCATCCATGTACTCGCGCAGGAAGAGACACCGTAGATGGCCCATAGTAAATCGTAGCTTATTCGGCGAAATAGTTATTCCATACTCTACGTACATTACTGTATGAATGAATGATAAGATAAGGAATTATTTTTCCAGGTCTGTCGCTCTAAACATTTTACTGGCGAATCTTGGTGGGTGGTTATCGCCAAGGAAGCAGACATTTTCAATACCATTTATCTCTTCTTTTGCCACTACAATCATACGCCATGAAGCGCAAGTTGGACGAAAATAATGCGCCGGTATTAACTGCCGATACAGAAACAACAAGTGCAGGAGCGACATCCAGCACTTTCGCGAATCTCGGCTTAGACAGTAGACTCCTTCAAGCCACAGCAAGCCAGGATTGGCATACACCTACTTTGGTTCAGAGCAGAGCCATCCCCTTAGCCATTGATGGTTGCGATGTGTTAGCAAAGGCGAAAACGGGATCGGGGAAAACCGCCGCCTATACATTGCCTATACTCCAGGCCATCCTCAAGCGAAAGCAGGTATGCGACGACCCCGGCCAAAATATTTCTACATGTCGATAGCGTACTAAGATAGCAACTAACACCGGTGTAGACATCATCAGATTCCTATACAGCAGCCCTCATCCTGGTCCCTACAAACGAACTAGTGACCCAAGTTGCCAAAGTGCTTGAATCTCTCACCTCTTTCTGTTCTAGAGAGATCAAAATCTCTAAGCTATCCGACAAACTCTCCGATGCCGCACAACGAGCAGTCCTCTCCGATTCGCCGGACGTCGTAGTCGCAACCCCTGCAAGAGCATGGCATAACGTCAAGAACTCTACTCTGTCTTTGGAAAAACTCACACATTTGGTCCTAGACGAGGCAGATCTTGTGCTGTCATACGGCTATGATGAAGACCTACAAAACGTCGCATCATCGCTGCCGAAGGGACTACAAACAACTCTCATGAGTGCGACATTGACCCCCGAAGTCGATACCCTAAAAGGACTCTTCTGTCGGAATCCAACAATTCTAGACCTAGAAGAGCCTGACGAGGACGGAGGAGGAGTATCGCAATACGTAGTAAAGTATGCCAGTGTGTCTCCAAATTGAAATAGCAGTGCTAATAGGCGTATAGGTGCGGCGAGGATGAGAAATTTCTTCTCATCTATTGCATGGTTAAACTTGAATTGGTGAAAGGAAAGGCGATTATATTTGTTAGCGATGTCGATCGATGCTATCGGCTTAAGCTGTTTTTCGAGCAATTTGGCATCCGAAGCTGTCTATTAAATTCCGAGCTACCGGTCAATTGTCGAATACATGCTGTCGAAGAGTTCAACAGAGGTGTCTACAACATCATCATCGCCTCTGACGAAAACGAAGTGGTGGGCGATGAGAAAGATCAACCGAAACCGGACAGCGGAGAAGTTGCAAATGACGGCGAAACCTTAGAAACTAATGGGCAAGACACCACCCTTGCCCCGCGAACGAAGAAGCGCAAGTCCTCGCGGCGTGACAAGAATTACGGAGTGTCACGAGGAATTGACTTCAAGAATGTTGCAGTGGTCATCAATTTTGACCTTCCGTTATCTTCTCGCTCGTACTTACACAGAATTGGGCGGACGGCGCGCGCCGGGCAAACAGGCATGGCGTTGTCTTTCGTTGTTCCGAAAGAAAAATTCCGGAAACACATGCCTACAAGCATCGAAACAGCAGAAAACGATGAGAAGGTGTTAACTAAGATTATCAAGCAGCAAGCCAAGAAAGGACATGAGGTTAAGCCTTATAGCTTTGACATGAAGGCAGTTGAGGCATTCCGATATCGAATGAACGATGCCCTAAGGGCTGTTACGAAAGTCGCTGTTCGAGAAGCTCGACTACGAGAACTCAAACAAGAACTACTCAAAAGCGAAAGCCTGAAGCGCCATTTTGAGGAAAACCCCTTGGAGGTGCGACATCTCCGACACGATGTCGAACTCCGAACAACAAGGAGTCAACCTCATCTCAAGCACGTACCTGATTACCTGTTGCCAAAAGACGGAAAGAAGGCCATCACGCCGAACGAAGTCGGATTTGTGCCGTTCAAGAAGGTCCTTGATGGTAAGGGTAAGAGAAGCAAAATTTTCAAGAGCAAGGGCAGGAGGACAGGTGGTCGCAGGAGTGACCCCTTAAGATCATTCAAGGCAAGGTCTAAGACTAAGTAAGCTGATGTTAGTTCAGTTTAGGTGAGATATATCTTGCCATTATTCTCTCTTAGCTAGGCTCATAACCGCAGATACCCATCAATACAGAAAAACATTCTAACAATATTGGCGCGTATATGCGTTGCAAAAATTTTACAGCCTCTAGTACTTCTTTCTTCACAAGTGTCGCCGTTATCCCCCGTCTCTATATACAACCCATCTTGGACATACTTTCCTCAGCACTGTGCGTTACGTTCTAAGTGCTTATTAACTACTTAGATATCTAATTTGAAATGTTGCGAGGATATGTCGTCGGCTTCGCTTTTACTGCCCGTTCTTTCTACGTCGTCCGCATAGAATCCTTCGTTTTAAACGGACTACGTCGTACCCGCTGCCGGTCATCTTACGCCGATTTAGGGAGGCGGCGATTGCTAGGGAAGGAGCCCCTGTTGATCGTGTAATGCATCGTGTAACTCACCCAGTCTCTCTCATTAGTCTGGGCTATCCGCCCCTTTTCATCACGATATTACTCCCCAACTTCCTCGATTAACATAATAAGCATTAAATAACCCCGGCGGATTATAGTAACTCTTCTACACACAATACACATCCGAGGCACAACCGCAGCTCCTCACATCGTGGGTTATTATACCAAGCCCGCTGGGTTGTACGTAGTCGTTACGTATGTCCTTGAGGATATCAACGCCTACGGTCGGTTCTCTGAGGCGACTTCCTTTTGATGTAGAACTACTATCCCACGGCGAAGTAACGAGCCTATTGCTTCATCAGCCAGCTATCAAACAGAGTAGTCGTTACCCGCCGACTACCTCACGGCGAAGTAACGAGTCCATTGCTTCCTTGGCCAAATAGAGCAGTCGTTACTCGCCGACCAGTCCACACCTCCGCCTATTTAAATGGAGTCCTCGGCTGCTAATCGTAACAATCCTCCTTTGTTCCTCATTCACATGAATCTTCAAACCTGTCCCAATATCAATCAAAGCCAAACAACTCCTCATTAAGGCTTGGGGTCTTACCTCCAACCCGCCTCTTGGTCTCACCAACCTCAACGACGCTGCCCACCAATCGGCGTATGAGACCTTAAGCATAGGTCCTAGGCACGACGACATCAAACCCAACATCTCCGTCTGACGGTTCGCAACCTCTTCTACTATAAGCTAGGAGAACCGGTCCTCCCTAGATCTAGCGATTAGTAGCGACACTCCGCCAGTAAGTTGATTGTGCAACTCCTGTTGCTTTGTTACTCCCCTGTACATCCTCTTTCACATCCATACTCTCTCCAGTAATCCGCTTCCTCGATCGACAAGTCCTCTCCCCCTTTCTCACACAACATCTCATCCCGAATCGCGTATGCTAACACACATTAGCATGAAGAATGGGCCTTTTTTCTTTCTAAGGGGACCTCAATTTCTCTCTCCGAGGCGTATTGTAGGGCACTTTAACATATGAGCCCCTATTCGCTCGTTTCATTTAGGAAGCGCGCACTGTTGCCTGGTTGGCGATACTGGAGCTATTTCTAGAAGTATGCCAGTCAGAAGAGGTGGCTTGGGTGAGGAGATAATGGGGGCTAGTCAATCCATGCCGGCCATGGACGGGCGGTTTGGAGAAAGGCGTGCGTCACCGTCTGCTCAAGAGCTTCTTTGCTCTGTGGGCGGCGTAGAGAGAACTGAACAAGCTCACGACGGCCGACTTTGCGCATCTTCTGTAGACGCATATGGCGCCGGGATAGAAGGCGGTACGAGAGGGGAAAAGGGCGCGAGGGGTAACGTCTGTGCCGAGCTAGGCTACGATGGCAGCTCCTGCGGTAACAGCCAGTTAGACGAGAGTCTGACACCCCGGTCACACGACCTAGGCAGTCACAACAGTACATCGCGAGCATTCCCTGCGCAGGTAGTGTCTAAGGCTATGCCCCAAGACAATAAAGAAAGGCAAGAGCAGGTCTACACACAAAACCCTAACCATTCCACTTTTGCCCCAGAGGTCTGCCTACAAAAACCCAGTCTCTCTCTTCCACCAAGGTTTTGCACACCCAACCATAAACATTATCCCCTCTCCCCAGAAGTCTGCCCACCAAATTCCCACACTTCTAACCCTTTAGGAGATTCTACACATAACACCATCTCTTCTTCTACTCACCTAGAAGTCTACAACCAGAAGTCTTCCCTTCCACTCTCCCTGAAGCCTTACCCACAACATTCTCCTTCTGTTCTTGTAGACAAAAATTTCCTCCCCCCTTCACCATATTTTTTTTCTGAAGATAAAAATATCGGTGACTTTATTAATCCCCGTTTCATTCATACTAAACGACTCTATTGTTTATTACAACAAACACGCAAGCTCCCCATCATAACAAAACTACTAGAAAGACACGCTATCGACTTTGATAATCATCGTATCATCATGTCTGATATGCAGACTAACGTCGAGGCCGAGGCCATGGCCGAGGCTGAGGGTTCTCCCATGACCCAGGCTGTTTCCCGCAAGCGAGCGTCCTCAGTACCGGCCTCATGCCGCTACTTGCTCGCGGTCCCGGTCGTGCTCCCGGTTACAGTCCCAGCTGCACTCCCGGTCGCAGCCCCGGTCGCGGTTCCGGCTACGGCAGGGCGACCTGCCAAGAAAATCGGTAAGTATCACTCATATCCTAACCTTCTAGTTGAATATTCAGACTTGGATCTATACTTACTCTGGAGATATTTAGCCATTGAGAAGCTGAGCGGCATGGACGTTGCTGGAGACAACCCTGGCCAGGACGACAACGTCGACGACTACGTCGACGATGGCGACGAGGATGACGACGAGGTACGTAATCAGTCAATAATTTTATTATTTTGTTATGCGAAGCGCGTCTAACCAAAGGGATTGACTAGCAAGATCCTGTCCCCTTGGACCGCAAGCGTAAGCGTCCCGCTACCGCTACCGGCTCGGCCACCGCTCCTGGTGGTGATGCAGTCGACCAGACTACCGAGCCCGAGCAGCCCAAGTGCAAGAAGGGTGGTCCTCGTTTCCGTAAGTACTCCTAACACCCGGCCATAGTACGAAGACATCTTAAGCTTACACGCTGCTCATTTAGGCAAGCTCGTCATCAGTTCAAATGACAGAAAAAAGGTATGTACTATTTGCATAGAACGATGCCAGAAACAACCATGGTCCTCAGTGCTAATCATATATATTTGAGTAGGAGGAGAAGCCAGGTACCACGGCCGACAGATTTAACACCAAGGCCCGAAAGATCAAGATGCAGGCCATCAAGGAAGCTGTCAAGGCATCAACCACTCCCGCCCAGCAGGCGCAGATCGCTGAGCTAGCTACGACTAAGTATATCAGCCTAATGACTGCTGACATGCATGACGATCGCAACACCCAAGGCATGAAGGAGTACTGGAACGAGACCGCTACTCACCCGGATTTCGCACTTTGTAAGACGTCACATAATACTATTAGACAAAATCATCAGCATACTGACAATCCTAGAAATATCTCGCCCTCGCCGGCGTATTCTCACGCGGAAAGTTACCAGGCACATGAGTCTTTGGCACAAACAGAACCGACAGAATGTATTTTTGACGGATGGAAGTGGTCATACGGGATATGGTCACTAGTCAATAGCCACGCGGCAGACATCGGAAACGGAAATGAAATGATTAAAAAATACTTGACCGGCCCCTTCGCAACTCGTGAAACAGCCAACGCAAAACTTCATGAACTAACTAACTACGACCAGTTTGATGGCGGCCTAGCCGCAGTGGCTCGTAGACATGCCTATGAACAACCCGGCTCCAAGCTACTCAAGGTAGAGCTTACTCTCGCCACCGGTGAGGATCGTGTACTGTGGGTGGAACGCCGTCTCGTGAACGTCCAAACTGATTTCACCAAAAGGGAGCGCCGGCTGAAGAAGTGGTCAGCGGAACGGCCTAAACTGCCACATTACATAGTAGAGTGCGAATTTGTGATCCATGGAACTGGAGGGACGCCGCAGAAAGTGCCATCGTCACCTATCCACTGCGATGCCGCCATCGCCGACGAAGTCATCGGTACCCATAATGGCGAAATTGAACTCAATAGGCTGCCACTTATAACTTTTACGGATCGTGGACTCGCTAACGAGCACGCTGGTGAATTATTTCTACGCCACTCCGCTGTGAATGAAGCCATTCGCAAACCTCTCGATGATTTCTGGTGGGCGAACAACGCAGTTACGCTGCATACTGAAATTCAAAAAACCATCCGAGAACCTGGCAGATTGTACACTGTCGAGCTGTACACCGGCGATATGAATGTGCGCTTAGGATTCGATTTGATTAGAGTCGCCGTCCACGCTGTCGACGATGTTACTGGGCCACTCAACATTTAATACTACTTCCAAATTGTGATACTTAGGCTTTTCGCCTAGCTACGCTACATGGCTACAAGATGGTATGGGTGGGTGGTATGCTGCATTACTGTGTTTAGGACACATATGGTGTTCACGATATTTTCGCCGATGGGTTTCACGATGCATTGCAAAATAGTTTACTTTCGGAATTGGGGCACCGCAATTAGAGGCGTATCAATTCAAAATTGCGACTGACTAAAATTGTGATATGCGTTGATCTACAAAAGGCGACTACAATGGAATTGTTTCGAGGAATGGGTGTCCTCGATTGAGATACTATTTACATGATGGTGGCGAGGGGCGCGATTTGGCGCCTTTGCGGCCTCGTGCTGGCCTGAACGTGACGAGATGCGGCAGTGGCGCGAAAACGATTGATTGTGGGTAGTCAGAAAATGCGCATTGGGAGGGGGGGGCAGGTGCGGACCGGCAAGACCATAACAGAAGAAGACGGAAGGGTGCGGGGGACCTCGGAGGTGCCGACCGGAATATTTTCCTAATTGGGAAATACGGACCGGAGGTGAATGCCGGTCGCTGCCGGAATTCGGCCGGGTGAAGTAGGATGTGACTACTTCCGGCTTGCGGAAAGCGGAGGGAAGGAGCGTGAAAACTCGGAGGGGAAACTTCGACTCGTGGTTTCAGGGTCGTTCTAGCTTTCACTGTTGTTCTGTTGAAAAGGAAGGTGCACTTAGAGCGGAAAGTACGTGTTTACCTAGGTACCTACCAATACAACCAAGTCCACACACATCACTAAAATATAGGTTATCAAGAGTAAAATTATTCCCCGAAAATATTAACACAGTGACATGAAAGTACACAGACGCTTTAAGAGTTTGTACTTGTAAGTACCTTGGTACCTATTTAGGCAACGCCATCAACACAACATTTTAAACTTTCAGTACGCGTGAAAAGTTTTTTTCTCCCCCAAGTATATATGTATCTTAGGTGTGACTTGTTATGCTTTACAGAACCAGTATTTTCTTTGCTCTACAGTAATACATGTATGTCTCAACTCGGAATGCCTCTATCTACTGGGTTACACAAGTACATGTAGGTGTCATTTAGATATCTAGGTACTTAGGTACATAGGAGGTGCGCAGGATGTATCAGTGATTTAGACACTGTAAAAAATACCCAGGTACTTCTCCAACCCACCGCATTATATTACTGCCTAGCAGATGGGCAGGTACAGCTTATCACCATTATCGGCACACTGTATCAAGTATTTAAACCCTGCACTCTAGCTTTTACACGTTTACACCTAAAAAATACAACATCGAATACTCCAAACTTTTCTCTAGCCTACCTAGGTAGTAGGTACAAGCTGTCCTGCCTTCATAACCCTAACATATTAATTCGCACGCAAATTTAACACCAAGGTAATTGTCATAAGATAGATCAAAAAAATAGAATGTTGGCTAATCTGCCCTTCAATTGAGAATAGACTGGCAATGCAAGGTGTAAAATTTCAAAGATACATATGTACCACCTAACACCAAACACTGCCCTGCCCTCCAGACCGTACGTAAAAATTTCACCTTCGTCGAACGCCAAATATATTTAGCCAAGTCCTGTCGGGAGGACATTAATGCATCGTTTCGCCAGCTCCATCCTTTTATAATACAATTATACACAATGCAAGGCTACCTAGTGTGTATCATGCGAGGGCATTTCGTAAGTGCCCGTGATTCATTCCTATCGATGCCAACCCTTTGTCATGGCTCGTCAGTCTTTTGGCTTTTGGTTTTTATTGCATCGTTTTGAGAAAGCCATCTAAATCGAAGCTTTCCTCATACTGACGATTATCCCACAACTCCCCTAAATCATCTGCCCAGGCTCTCTTGCCTGGAGCCCTCACGTCGCCGGTTTCGACATCCACCATATCCTCCTCTCGTCCCTCAATATTGTTTTGAGGCTTATCGGAGATCAAGTTTGGTCCTGCATCGCCTAAATTGAAGAGATCTAATATTTGATCCGTGTCCATGGTACCCTTTGTGTAACGAATTAGTAATCACGCTTTATATGGTGAAAATGGAGACGGGAAAAGACTTACCAAGCCAGCGTTTTGTTGGTTCACTACGGTAGATGCTACATCTATCTTGAAGGCTTGAAGGCTGTATCGAATATTAGTAATAGTTGAGTTGACGTAGGAATTGGACTTACCTTAGAATCTTCTCCTCTAATGTACCTCTAGTAATTAGTCGATACACGTTGACGACCTTCTTTTGTCCTATTCGATGAGCACGGTCCATAGCTTGAAGGTCTCGTTGGGGATTCCAGTCGTGCTCGACGAAAATGACAGTATCTGCTCCTGTAAGATTGAGACCTAAACCACCGACGCTTGTGGTCAAGAGCAGACAGTCGTAGGATGGATCTTTATTGAATTTATTCACGATATCTTGTCTCTTGCCCGCTTCAACTGAGCCATCGAGTCGTAGGTATGAAACAGAAGGAAGCATATGCTTCAGTACCGTATTTTGGACCATGTCAAGCATCTCCTTCATCTGGCAGAAGATCAGGGCGCGATGCGGTTTGATTGGTTGATATAGTGGGTCATTCGAATCAGCGCCTTCAACACCGATACCGCAATCAACCAATAGATCTTTGAGGGCTGTCAACTTGGGCGCATGTACGGGATCTTCTATGCTGGTTCCTTTTTTCGAGAGGAAACGCTGTGTGTCTTCGTAGAGCTTATTACTAGGTGTCATAACCAGCGCCGGTGAGTTGCATAATTTTCGCATATATTGTAAGGCTTGGAAAATATGCTGCTTGGAGTCCTTATCTTCTTTTGCAGCATCCTCCGTAATCTTCTTGCCTTGCCTCTTTGTGAAATCTTCAAATAGTTTTCTTTGCAAATCGCTAAGATCGCAATAATAGTTCTGAAGAATCTTGGGAGGAAGATCATCGAGAACCTCTTCTTTCAGACGACGAAGCAAGAATGGTAAGACCTGTTTGTGTAAAGCCTCGATCGCCAACGCCCCGGCTTCCTGCTCCTTCGACGAGGCTTTACTGAATCGACTAGCTGCAATTGGCTTCGCGAATCGATCCAGGAATACCTTCTCAGCTCCGAGGAATCCTGGCATCAAGAAATCGAAGAGCGACCAGAGTTCCAGAACATTGTTTTGGATCGGAGTACCAGTGAGGATCAATCGGTGATTGCTGGCGAGCTTTTTGACGGATAGAGTAATCTTCGCCTTAGGGTTCTTAATCAAATGGCCTTCGTCAAGCACAATATAGTTCCAATTTTGCTTTTCGAGGTATTCGGTGTCATTGCGGCAGACTTCATACGAGGTAATGACGATGTCAGTAGATCCGAATCGAGCAGCTTTAGCTCTTCTCTCCGGGGGAGGGCCAACGAAAGCGGTGACATCCAAAAATGGAGCAAACGTCTTTAACTCTTGTTGCCAATGTCCCGAAAGTGTTGGCGGACAGACAATAAGAGATGGAAGTTTTCGGAAGTCTGGGGCGCCTGTTCTTTTGAATTCCTCCTCTCTGTTATAATGGTCACTTGCTACGATGCAAAGGGTTTGTAGCGTCTTTCCCAGACCCATATCATCGCAAAGAATACCGTGGAGATGGTACTTATTCAAGAAGTGAAGCCAATTTACACCTTCCTGTTGGTATGAGCGCAATTCGGCATTGATAGCGACGGGAATTTTGAAAGGCTCAACCTTCTTCGGGTCGAGAAGCTGCGCAATGAAGGTTCGTTCGCGGTCTCTTCCTTTTAGCAATTCCTCAGAGAGACCTGGTGGGTCTGGGATACCGGCTTCGAGGGGCACAAGCTTAACCAAAGTGGCAAAGGATGTAGTTGCAATAAGACGGATGTCATTGTCTGAGTCGCTCATGCGTCCTAGTACGGGTACAATGAGGAAAATAACATACGGTAGGATGCTATCGCCCATAACAGCAATTAGATGGTATATGGCCTCTATTGCACCTTGGCGGAACTGCAAGTCAATCGGGTTGTTGATAGAAGGCAGTACTTGCTCCACAAGGGCTGTCATACCCTCAACGGTAATGACGCTGCAGATAGTCGCTAAGCATTTCGCAGCCATGTACCTAAATACGGATAATTCCGAATGGAGAGACTTGATAATAAGCGGAACTTGTTGCATGACGAATGGGTGAAGTGCTGTGTTCAATGTCGGTGCCATGGTTCGAATGACTGACATAGCATCCACGATTTCTTGCCCAAAAACATCCTCAGGGTCTTTGGCTTCGGCAGGAAGCTCACCCGAGAAAGCTTTCACCAGGGGTTCTTCCATGAATGATCTTAACCTTGGGACTGTAGTAAATAGATCGGCGCCAAATGTGCAAGAGAGTATCTCAAGAGCTTCCTTCGCTCCTCGCCGAGTTATGCGAGCACCTTTGGCCTCCCGTGCGAACTTGGCAGCATCAGATCCGTGATCAACTCGGTCCTCTTCTTTTTGCATTGATAAGATGATGTTAGTCTTTGTTGCGTGGACTGGAAACTCGGGCGTCTCGGCAACTTCAACGCAAGAGAATTTGACAAGATTGGAAACAACTTTGTCTACAGGAGGCTGGCGGCCTTCCTCGGTGAGTTGTAGTATTAATCGGCCAATTGTGTCAGCGGAGCGCGTCTGGAGTTGTTGGTTCTCTTCCAATTTAATGCTATCCATGATCGCCTTGATTAAAGGATTCGCTTTCCTAGGAAGCACCTTCATTGCTATTAATGCGCAAGCTGCCGCGGCTTTGATACGAACGTCGCGCGTATCTTTGATAGCTTTAGCTTCTTCGATGGTCGTCAACGTACTTGCGCGAATTTCACTAAGCTGTTGGCTTGTAATCAAGCGCTGAGCTGGCGCCATGGCCCTCTTGAGACGGTCATAATCTTCGTTGATGCATTTGTCGGCTGTGGCCAAAGAGAAAGCCCCTGGTCCTGCCTCTGCCTCGCCTTGTACGACAACAGCGAGAGCCGGAAGCTTGTGTTGAGGTACCTTCCCATGATCCCTGAAGAGGTTCATGAGTTGTTGGCATTGCGATCGGACCCGTTGGATGTAACTAACTAGATCGCGATATTGGGAAGGACGATCGACTTTAATGATCTTTTGTAGTTCTTCAGTGTATCTTGATGACTCGACTTGGGTATTAGTGCAATTTCTAGCATATTCATCAATCACTATGCACGCCGCGAGTTGAGTCGAGGAAAACGATGATGTAAGACCCGGGATGAGTGTGGCATCATAGGACTCTAGATACTTCGGAGGCACGAGCGACATGATTAAGCCCATTGCCGCAGCAGCAGAAACACGGGAACGGATTAAGGTGTCCATGCCGACTAAGTCCACATCTCCTTGCATCATGTGACCATCGAGATCATGGGAATGGGTAGCGGGGACCGGATCGTCGACTTTGGTAGACTTCTTTCGCCTTTTCATAGCTCGTTCGCCATCGGGTTCGGAGCCCTTACGCGCGACCGCGGGGGCGAAGCCGGGTACTGAATAAGTACCACCTGAGGGTTTAACAAATAAAGCTCCACTCATGGGTATAGGGTGCCGAGATACTCCTACTGGATGTAGAGTAAGTTGCATAAGAGCATCGATATGAAGGGCAAATTCTTGAGCAAGATTGTCCGGGGTCTTGGCTAAGCATTTTACTAAAGCGGACCATAGCTCCATAGACATGCTTAGAGTCTCTTGGTCACGTTCCACAAGGATATTCTGGAACACCAATCGAAGGATTTTACCATCAAGCCAGCCTTGAGACTCTACACCAAGATTGACAAAAGTCATCAGCGCTTTTAGAACAGCGAGACGAACCGAAGTAATGGTATGTCGTAGGAATGGATATAGTCGTGGTACTAGGAGAGTGAAGGATCTTTCTTCGTCTTGCTCGGCGGAGTACTTCATTGCCTCTAGCACCTCTGGGAAGCCGCATAAAATAGCCAGAAGATCCATGATCTTACCGGTGCTAGCGCTCAGATCGTCACCCAGACTGGATAAGCTTTCCCATACTATGTTAATCAGCTCGTTAAGTGCCGCCGGCCGGAGTTGGACAAACTCCTGGGCCATGGGAATTAATGTTGCCGCACTAACAGATCGGACATCATCATCGCTATCTCCGAGCCCCTTCATTACTGCTTGGACTACGCCATCAATCATATCATTGTGCTGTAGCAATAAATCCTTCCTCACTGCGACAATATATCGAAGGCCGACCATGCCACCATGGCAGACGGCCCAGATTGGCCTATCCAGGCCGAGGTCCTGCTGTACCACCATCCTTAATAAGATCCGATATATGCTGTATACGGATTGCGGTGGCACATGTTTCAAGAATGAACCCAATGTCTGGCCAACTGTTTCTCGAATCGGTGCAACAGATGTATCCGAGGCATAATCGGTAAATCTGTCTAGCATGAGCACACAACAAAGTCGGCAAGCCATATCGTCAAGCCATTTCCTATTTAGCTTGTCGTTCTCGGCTCTTGACTTTCCTCTTAATCGACCGGCTCCGGCACCGTGCACTCGAAGGATTTCTCGCAGGCCCAATGAAGCACCATGACGTGTCTCCCACTGCGCATCGAATATATCGATTTTGAGAAACTCACATAGACGTTCGTACGGCCATTCTGATCCTTGAAGTTCGTCTTCTGCCTCGATTTCTGTTTTGATTGGGACCACGGGACCCTTGAACTCCGAGACAATTTTGGTATCTTCGTCAACGTCTGCTGGTCGTTCGAGGCTAAAGTAGTCGGTCTTCCCATTCTTCTTAGATTCTGCGTCCGGCATAGGGGTATCGTCGAATCCTTCTGACCCGGCGGTATAGGATCGACGTATAGATAAATCACCAAAACCACCTTTGCCCTGTGCCGCCTTTTGCGCATCCCGCTTACGTTTTCGTTTAAGCTGGTTGAGCTGTCGGGCACTGAGACCCGATTCCTCGGTCGGTTGGTTAGGTGCAGAGTTAGTGGTACTATCCCGACGAGACAAGCCATTGTTAGAGTTAGGATCTTGCGGTGTGAAAGGACTGGCCGACTTTTCAGTAGCTATCGGGATCTCTTCATCTTCGAATCTTCTGCCTAGAAGCCCGAGGCGACCTATGAGAGTCTTCTTCTGATGAGCTAGTCGTGCCTGAGGTTCAAGACTTGCAAGTCCGTAATCTACATTGCCAGTCCTCAATAAATCTCGACCGTACTTAAGGATCGTCGAGACGTCTAACGCCTCTGGCTTGAAGCACTCATCTGATGAGAAAGAGGACACATCGTCTTCCTCTTTCTTCACAAAGCCGTCCCCTCCAAAAGGTTCTTCCTTCTTAGCTGTCGTAGGATCCTCATCTTCGTTGGGATCGTAGAAAGGGGCATTTTCAATAATCCTGCCAAGGGCCTTGGCTGCGGTAGCTCGGGTATCCCAGTCCTTGTGGCGCAGATAAGGTACGACTCTGGATAGCAAATTGAATAATTCCTCAGGGTGCGTTTTTTGCCAATCAGCTAGTTGGCTAACAGCAGTATCCTTGATTAGTTTTGTGCTACCTGTCTCGAGGATCCTATAAAGGGTTAGTGATAAGATTATAAAATGAAAGTCGGTGAAAGTCGATGTGTCATAGTCTGGTCAACTCTTGGCTGCACAGAATCTGCGCCACCAAAGCCCCAATAAGCAAGGGTTGTGGTAGTAGTCATTCTTCCTCGATAATAGTAAATGAGAACTTACGTGACTAGACGATCGAGCCTGTGGTACAATACATGGGTTAGTTCATCTCCTTGATCTACTTTTTGAAAAGATAGGTAAGAACTCACCTAGACGTCATTTTCGCAAATCACACCGAGGCTAGAGGCCTAATACCCGGCAGAAATTCATCTCATAATAGTATTCTATAAGTGTTGGTCAGTACTGTGAATTCTATAAGCATACAATTTACTAATGCTGGTACATAAGAGAGCGACTTGGATTATAATTGGATGGGCGATATTCAACGCAAACCTTTGTGTCTTGTCTTGAACACACATGTCTATTGTAATCTGATTACAAGTAGAAAGGCTATTGTGATTGGATGGACGCTACTTGTGTAGTCTTTAACCAATGCGACATTAGTCGGCCTACGTGACTAAGCCTCCCAAAAGAAATCTATGTGTCTTTGGGGAAGTTGAATTAATGAAAAACACTTGTTCCTAATGGCGGTAGATACGTTGGGTGGGGGTAATCTTTATACAATGGAATCGTGTTCTATCATCCACGTTGGCCATTGTGAAGAATAGATATGTGATTGATAGATTGATAGACATTGGTAGGTTGAAAGGGTATGTGCAACATTGGGCGGCAAGATAGTGCTAAATCAGTTCAAATGGAAGGCGTAGAGATAAAAAAAAAAAAAAAAAAATCAAGTAGATAATGAATGGGCCAAAAAAGGAAAAGTAGATACATACCCTGCAGGTAATATCGCGATGCTAACGATCAGCGATGCGGCAAACTGTGTAAGTCCCGTTGTAACGGAACGGGCGTACGTAGGCGATCGGCTTATGTATGAAAGGAAAAAGATCAAACAAAGTATGTAGTAGCAACCATCAAACCAATGGAATAATGGATAATGACGTCGGAAAAGGCTTAGGCGAGAATGGATTGACAGATGGATTTGTCTGTCGGGTCGCAGGGCTTATTGAGATGTATTTATAGAAAAGCGAGGTTAGAGGTCAGAGGTGTAGATAGAGCTGATGGAGTTGTTTTTTCGCCGACGCGGCTGTCGAGTTTGTCGCATCTATTATTTGAATACGGTAGTTACCTAAAAAAGAGGCCCTAGCGATTGGAACTGCCTTCAACTTATTCAATCAATCATAGGCGGAAAGGTGGATGCAGAATTATTAACTATTTGCCGTTTTAACACAGTAGGAACAGTAGGGAGATAGTAAGTAATTGCGACCTTTTTGGTGGTACGTGCACTGGGTTGATTGATTGATTGACCTTTCCTTGATTGCTTTTAGGTTGGCAGGTTGGGGGTTGGGGGCCGGGGGGGTCTCTGTTGTGCCTGTCAGAAAGAAAAATGACGGGATGTGCAGCAGCAGGTCGGTCGTCGCAGATGAGGGCACCGGCTTCCTTAATATTTCTGTACCTATGGATACTTTTATACACGTTTGGATCCGCCTTGGGGGGCCCCTGTTGGCCTAAGCTCCGACAGTCAGATAGCTACCTTTCCTAATTGGGTAAGCACCACCAGCTGGCAGCAACTGTGTAGGGCTTGAGTCAGGCCTGTCGGTCTTGAATAAGCTCAGATCCACGCGTTGAAGCTTTTCACATTGAAGAGAGAACCTGTAACCTTACCAGCAACAGTTTTTGGATTACAGCATCATGATGGCTATAAGCACCTGATTTTACGGAGAACATCCTCTCAGAAAATCAAATTAAAACTACTTGCCGCACATACCATTACTTCAGCCTTCTACTCATAGATGCCACGCAGGAAAATAATAACGACAAGGCAATGTCTGATAAGTAGGGAGGTCAATTTCGGTCGCTGCAATCAAGGTGTTTTCCTCCCTTGTATCTTTGTACTTGCATCCTTTGCCTTTCCGAGTGCGTACTCTCTCGCTTAATTCCCTAGCGTCTCCAGACTCCACGCTAAAGGCTAAAGCCGTAAAAGACCCACTCTTTGAGAAAATATGGTGGCTTGTTGGAATGACGAGTTTTCGCAGATTCCCTTACGGAGGGTGATAGGTTGGTCCTACCTGCATTTGTATTGATTCAATGTTCTTGGAGGTATACACTTACGTCCTATGTATTTAGGTAGGTATGTGTTCGAATGATGGAAACGATGATTTTAATTCAAGAATGCATTTATTATTAGCACATATTATTGGATGATTTATCTTCTCCGAAGTTTTTTCTATTTCTGTGGTCGTCATCACCTTAAACCATATCTAGCATTGAAAGTATCCATGAGTTTCTCCCTCATCTCAGACCCTAGCACCTTATAGTTTGTACGGATACCTAGGTATGTACCTAGATAGGCGTGAATTGGTCTGGTAGGTACAAATGAAAGCCTGCGGTTTCTGTGCCGCAAGCTTGGCGCGATCGACTAAATTGCCCGGGGGTAGCAACGGGGCCGATCAAGACACCAATATGGAAAACCACCTGTACGTTTTGGTCCTAGTCATCCGCACATCACGATATCCATCTAACCAGCCAGAGGATCGCAACGGCTTAATGAAACGTTCAATCGGTGAGTGCAGAAAGACGCCATACCTGCTCCAATTAGGTATTTTCGAAATCCAAACCAAGGTGTAGGGGTACGCGCTGTAGATATTACTGTGCCTACCTAGATACCCTAGGTTAGGTGGGTAGGCAGCTAATTTATGAAGAATATCCACGTTCCCTGTTTAATCGGAGTTTTCCAGCCTCTACTTCGTACTTAGGTACATATTCATTTAGGTAATGCATGTTCCCGTGGATAAAATTTCTTTGATTCCAGGGATTAGGTATACACGCCGTATCGACGATGCAAAAGGGCTACAAAGAACGTGATGCTACGGACTATTGGAGAAAAAAAGGAAGAAGGACGAAAAAAAGAACTCAATGCTCCCTGTTAATGCAAGTGTGTGATGTGATGCTAAAAATGTCTCAAAGTGCATGAGAATCGCTAGCAATAAGGCTCCGAGGACAGCCGTGTATGACATCCAAAGATGTGTTCAACATGTCAATGCAAGGTTGTTAGGTAATCACCTACTACCGTGTATCCGGGCAGCCGGCTTCCAGACTTCCTGATGACCATCGAAAACGAATGGATTGGGTCGCTTCATTGATGCTGGGTAGTATCTGTCCGGGGCAGGACTGGGCTCCATATCATCCAATACGTGTAACATATACTGTACTTACATGTGCACCCAGGCAGGCATACATAGATGCCTAGCAATAGCCTGACAAGATATAAGTATGCCTATAGAAATCCTATCTACCTAGGTAGAGAACTCGCAATAAGTATAGTTTACAAAAGGTGAATGTTATATGTAGATACCTGGGAACATGTAAGTGATGTCTAGAGGGATACGGGTAACGACAAAAAGAATCCCGAGTCGATTTAAATAGGCATTATCCGAGTCAATAGTGTCGAAGTATAGCCAGGTATGAAACAGACAGGGGAGAATTAGATTGAAAAAAATAATAAAATAAAAGAGCTTTGAGATGTACCAAGGTATCCGAGTCTGTGAAACCTCAAAACATGTGACCATAGCCACAGATCAATCAAGCCACAGCATTTCACACCAATAATCGTGGCTTGACTCTTGCCTAAGATCCCACCTAAGACCTAACTAAATCAAATCCCCCACCCCCGAAATCAGCGCGCCTCGAAACGCGTCGGCAATACAATTTACGTGACGCTTTGGAGATTTGACGAACATTTTCTCCTTCACGTAGTCGTCGCAACATCCCCAAATTCCCATTCCCCAATCTGCGACTCTTCCGCGACTAATATTTTGATATTGGATTCGAGCTGCCCGACCGGCAGCGCCCATCGTGACCATGTATATCAAGCAGATCATCATTCAAGGCTTTAAGAGGTACGCGCTGATGAGACCCCAAAATTTCAGGAGGAATTCCCACAAAGCGATGCTAACACCTGGATAGCTACAAGGACCAGACGGTCATGGAGCCCTTTTCGCCCGGTACGAATGTTATTGTCGGTCGCAATGGTTCTGGGAAAAGTAATTTCTTCGCTGCGATACGATTCGTTCTCAGCGATGCCTACACCCAAATGAGTCGCGAGGAACGACAAGCATTACTGCACGAAGGCTCGGGCTCCGCCGTCATGTCCGCCTACGTTGAAGTCATTTTCGACAATAGCGACGATCGATTCCCGACCGGAAACAAAGAAGTTATTCTGCGACGTACGATCGGTTTAAAGAAGGATGAATACTCGGTCGATAAAAAAGTTTCCACCAAAGCAGATGTTGCAAACTTACTAGAGGCTGCTGGGTTCTCGAGGTCAAATCCTTACTACATTGTCCCGCAAGGTCGCGTCACGGCTCTTACCAACATGAAAGAGTCTGAACGGTTAAACCTATTAAAGGAGGTTGCCGGAACCCAAGTCTACGAGTCTCGCCGAGCTGAATCGCTCAAGATTATGACGGAAACCAACAACAAGAGAGAGAAGATTGACGAACTCCTAGATTATATCAAGGAACGCCTTAATGAGCTAGAGGAAGAGAAGGAGGAGCTACGGGGTTACCAGGATAAGGACCGTGAGCGGAGATGCTTAGAATACGCGTATTATCACAAGGATCAAGTCGCTACCCAAGAAGCCCTCGAAGAACTAGAGGAATCACGTCAAGGCGGCATTGAAGATACGGATGATAACCGCGAGGCTTATAACGAGGGTGTGAAAGTCATCGCTACGTTGGATGCCGAAATACACAAACTTCAGCAACAAATGGAACTACTCCGTATAGACCGTCGACAGCTAGATGAGGATCGTCGAGAGAGTGCTAAAGCAATAGCGAACGCCGAATTAATTTCTAAGAGTCTGAACGATGGCCAGTCGGCCCAGGAGCAAGCCAGACAACAGCACGATGCGGAGCTAGAGGAAGTGAAAGCAGCAATAGCGAAGAGGGAAGCCGAACTCAAGAAAATAATGCCCGACTTCGAGAAGGCGAAACGAAACGAAGACCAGACCAAACAAGCTCTAGAAACAGCAGAGGCTAGCCGACAACGTCTCTTTACAAAGCAGACTCGAGGAAGCCAATTCAAAAGCAAAGCAGAGCGAGATGCATGGTTACGGAAAGAAATAGACGAGCTTAACGTGACGTTAAGTCAACAAAGAGCAAATCGGCTCGATGCTGACGAAGAAGTAAAAGACATCCAGAATGGAATTCAACAGCTTGAGGACGAGATCACGACGCTGCGACAGAGAAATGAAGGGTTTGGTGGTGACCGACTTGCTCTCGCCGAAGAAGTTACCAGCGCGAAAGATGTTCTCGACAGATTGAATGAGGAGAGGAAGTCACTCCGCAGAGAAGACGACAAACTCGACACTATAATTTCAAATGCTCGAGGCGAACTAGATAATGCTGAACGAGAATTGTCCTATACCATGGACCGAGTCACTGCTCGAGGTTTAGCGACTATACAACAATTGAAGCGCAAAGAGGATATTCCCGGTGCATATGGCACATTAGCTGAGCTCCTGGACGTTAGCGAAGCATATCGGTTACCCGTAGAACAGGTTGCTGGGGCCAGCTTGTTCCATTACGTGGTTGATAACGATGATACTGCAACATACCTGGCCAATACGCTTCAGAAGTCATATGGAGGTAGACTCACATTCATGCCTCTATCCAAATTAAGACCACGGAATCCGAACCTTCCTAGAGCCAACGATGCTGTTCCTTTACTTAGCAAGATCAAGTTTAACCCTGAATACGAAAAAGCTTTCCAGCAAGTCTTCGGCAACACGATTATTTGCCCTAATCTGACTATCGCCGGGCAATACGCGCGAAGCCATGGCGTACATGGTGTAACCCCAGATGGAGACACCTCTAACAAACGTGGTGCCATGACGGGTGGTTATATCGATACCCGCAAATCGCGCTTGGAGGCCGTTCGGGCTGTCAATAAGTGGAGAGGAGAACACGAACAATTGAGATCCCAAGCAGCCGATATTCGAAGGAAAATAGAACAGAAGGACCAAGAGATCACCAAGGCGCTAGGCGAGGAGCGTAGACTAGCCCAGCGACTCCGACAGATGGAGGACGGCTACGGACCACTTCGCGCAGAACTAAATGCTAAGAATAGCCAAGTGGGTCGTGGAAGGGATCGACTCGAAGCTGCGATCAAGCGGCGAGAAATCGTCGAAAGAAACATGAAGCAGTTCCAAGATAACCTAAGTGCACACGAGGCCGAATTAGCTTCAGACTTTAAGAAGACTTTGACAGCCAATGAGGAGAAACAACTCGAGAGCTTAGGGGCCAGCGTACAAGAGCTGCAGAAAGAATGGAACAAGATCAGTAACAAGAGGAGAGAGTTTGAAAGCCGTAAGAGGAAAATAGAGCTGGATCTTCGTACGAATCTTCAACTCAAACTTGATCAACTCACCAGCCAAGCATTCGAGACTGCTTCTAGTGGTAGCAGCAGTTTAGCAGAAGCTAGGAGGGAACTTAAGAAGGCCAAAGCTACCGCGGATTCGGTTAAGCAAAAAATCAAGGCAAACGACGCACAAATCGATAAGGCTGAATCCAGAATCAGTGAGCTAGAACAGCAGAAAACAGACAAAGAGACGCAACTGCAAGAGATCGCAAGAGAAATTAAGAAACAGGAGAAGAGAATGGATAAGAATAGACAGATGAAGGCTCTGTTGACGACAAGAGCGACAGAGTTAGCCAAGAACATCCGCGACCTTGGTGTCTTGCCGGAAGAAGCCTTCGAGAAATATGAGAGACTAGAACACCCAACCGTAAGTCCAATCCCGGATAGCATACGTATAATTACCTGCTAACATTGCATCATAGGTCGTCTCACGTCTGAAGAAAGTCAACGACGCGCTGAAGAAGTACAAGCACGTCAACAAGAAGGCCTTCGAGCAATACAATAGCTTCACCAATCAACAGGATCAACTGCTAAAGCGTCGCAAGGAACTCGACCAATCCCAAGCTTCTATCGAGGACCTAGTGGCTCATCTCGATCAGCGTAAGGATGAAGCCATTGAGCGAACATTCAAGCAGGTATCCAAGGAATTTGCCACTATCTTCCAACGCCTAGTACCTGCCGGTCATGGTCGTCTAGTGATCCAGCGCAGAGCTGATCGGAGAGTCGACCCAGTGGACGACTCCGACGAGGAACAACGTAGTAGCGTTGAGAACTACACTGGTGTCGGTATCAGTGTCTCTTTCAACTCCAAAACCGCAGACGAGCAGCAGCGCATCCAACAGCTTTCTGGTGGTCAAAAGAGTGAGTATATTAATCCTCAATTTTGTTTCTGTTCCAGGCTAACCGGTATACTTAGGTCTATGCGCTCTCTGTCTGATTTTCGCTCTCCAACAGACAGAATCCAGTCCTATGGTTATTTTCGACGAGGTCGATGCCAATCTAGATGCCCAGTACAGAACCGCAGTCGCGGGACTTCTCCAGTCCATTTCGTCCGAAGCCGGCACCCAATTCATTTGCACCACTTTCCGACCGGAGATTGTGCACGTCGCTGATAGGTGCTACGGTGTCTTGTTTAGGAACAAGAACAGTACCATCAATTGCGTTACCACGGAGCAGGCTTTAGATTTCGTCGAGGGACAAGCACCTAGGTAAACGGTTGTTACACAACAGTGCGGGGTAGAAAAGAGGGAGGCTGGACGACATGGGTATTTCGTGTGTATATGATTCCCGGTGAAGGAGTTTTATAGCTTAGGTATACCATAGGAGGCTAGAGAGACAGTCGGAGTCGCTAGATGATGGCCTCATTACTACTACTGTACGATGTACGAGGGAAGGCTTATGTGTATGTTGTGAAAGGTTTATTGCTAATGAATGTTGCCCATACCAAACCAGACTTTTCTTTGATACGGGTGTTCCTAATGTGATATTGATGTGATAGCGGAAATTATTGAGTCTCACGCTACGAGACGTTGCCAATCATGGACATTTGACATCTAATACGTATCCTATTATTCCCAACCTCCTCTCCATTTTAGATCAACCGCCTGCGGGTGGAAATTTGTGGCGCCTTGGGTTACTCAAAACATCATCGGTTAGTTTCGGTTCACCGGAGTATCATTTCGCTATCTACCTAAGTACCTAAACATCGATGTACCCAAGCGAACGAAGATAATAATTTACCAACCCGCCTACGAAGATCTTATATCATATCAATATCCAACATATCACAAACCAATCAAGCCTCAGAGCTCAAACTCATCGCCACAAGCTGTCCCGTCCAACCAACATCCTCACCACCAATCTTCTGAATCGGCGCCTCGATAGCAATAGGCGCCCACACGAACGATACGCCGTTGATCCCCAAGACAGCCAGGAACTCCTGTTCTTCAGCAGCAGCACTTGACAGGGGCGCGTCCAGAGTCGTCTCCTGGATACTTGCGAAAGTCCGGTTGCCGCGTCCGATAACGTTCAAGTTAACCCACGTGCCCACAGGGATTGTAGAGTTCAGTCTATAGTAATTTCCTGATGCGAGTAAGGTAAGGTTCGGGGTTAGTAGAAGCGAGGAGTCGCCGCCGGATATGATGGTAGCGTCTTGGCTTGCCTCGTCAATGCGTAATTTTAGTGAGAGCGTATAATCGCGGCCCTTAGACAAGAGGGGTGTTTCTACAGAGCACGAGGAGCTGATATTTAAGGTCGACTCTGCGGTAAGCGGGCAGTTCGTCGTGGCGTCGTATCCGTTACCAGAATGATCGAGGACGGCAAGGTCGTTCCACACAGCTATTGGTGTGAACAGGTCTCTGTTAACCATAGATCCTGCGGTATAGTTGAATATAATCGAGCCAGTGGATGGGATTGCCCGGTCTAAGTTCTGGCCGGGTATGTTTGGGTGCAGAGTCGCAAACGCCGAAGAGAATTCAGATTCTGAGAGATCGCCTCCCCATTGCTTGTCCGCTAGTGCGGGAATTCCATCTCTCCAGGCATAATAAGCCTCGGAGTATACGGATGCGTTCGCGCCGTAGTCATTCCACAGAGGTGTCACGGCTCCCAGGACTAGAGAATTGTTTTTCTCCGGGTTATTGGCGGCGACCTTGGCATCAAAGACGAAGGGTTGCCATATTCCACCAGTTGCCGGATTTCCGTTGAATGTCCGAGCTACGTTGATAACTTGCGGGTAGCTTGCGGAGTATTTATTAACAGTATAATAAGTATCATCGGAGTTTAAAACGGAGTAATTGTTCAATATGTAGTCGCGGTACGGGTTATCGGCAGAGAAAGTCCAATGTTGTACCGAAACGTTCTGGTAGATGTTGCTGTATTCAGGTTTAGGTGGAAAAGTGCCCCAGATACGAATAGATTTTCCAGACACTTCGTCGATATAAGCGGACATTTCGTTCACGAATCGATTATACTCATTGGGGTCGCCAGTATACTCATCTGCGCCAATTGAAACTGTTTTTGAATGGAACCAGTCAAGAAAGGTACTCCAGATAGTCTTCATCGTAGGTATGGTCTCCGGATGTGAGATATTTAATAACGATAAGTCATTGCTAAGTCCAAGTTCCGGCTTCCATTGTACTATCACCAGTGAGTGCCCGGGCGCCTCTATCTCGGGAATGACGGTCACTCCACGGGAGGCACAGCTTGATTGGATATCTTCAAACTGGTCCTTCGTATAAGACTCGTTCTTGTATTTGCTCAGGCCAGCAAGATCCTCTGAATCGGACCATAAACGAAACCAAGCATCCAGTTGCAAAGATTGCTCTCTTGAGTAGAGGTTGACGTTATTGTATAGATTATCGCTTAAGTGTATGTGAAAGGTATTTTGCTTGAAAAAGCTCATATAAGAGCACAATTCAATAATAAACTATTTATTCTTGGTTAGCCCCGAAAATTCGCATTTATATCATCTGGGCATGTCTGAACTCGACATCAATGAGACGGAGTGGGAGCTAGTTAATTGTATAGAAGCTTTGCTAGACCTTGTCGCAACGATATGTATCACAGAGTTTACATACCTCCGATGGGTAATAATGACGAGCGGCATCAAGCATCATGCCTCGGATTTTCCACCCAGGCGCACCGTCTGCTTGGCCATACGGTAGTGAGCCATTTGACAGTATTGCCTGTTGCAAGACAGTCCTTGTACCCCACCAGGCACCTAAAGGACTGGCTCCAGAGATGATGATGCTTGAAGAATTGATCGAGAGTGTGTATCCTTCGGAAGTTTGAGCACCAGCCACATCAGTATACTTAATAGGATCACCGAGGGTGAGAAATATGGCGTCTGATGTTGGCTCATCGCCAGTTGAGACGTCAATATCTAAGTTCAAGGTGTTGTGTAAGTCATCCGCAAACGTTTCGGCGAAGTCTTTCAGAGTTGGTGGGATTAGAGTCTCGCCAGTCTCATCACGGTTTTCCGAGAACTTTGAGTCTACCACTAGGGACTTAAGGGATGATATCGAGTAAGATCCATCACTAGACGTGGTGAAAGGAATCGTAGGTATCCCTACGATCCTTGAAGCTACGAGACTAGCTTATGAGAAGTCAGTCTATGAGGCGGTCTGAACAGTTACATGGTATATACGAACCATTATAATATGTAATCCACCACACAAGACACGAAAAAAGTGACATCGTTATACCGGTTAAATACTATTGGTGATTATGTCTCATTAAGAATGTAGGTTATGATTCAATAGGTATTGTAGGGGATAAGATAGCTTCTACCTGATCGGCTCTGTATCGTGACAGACTTGTTATTATATCTAGGTTATCTATGATCACAGACTGCAGCATTCCATGCAGGGAGATCTGTTTCCCTGTTCCTCGTCATCTTGGAGGCAAGGCGAATCATATTGTTCTCAGGGTATTGAAGTTACCCAGCTGGATGATCGCTTGAAGGGTCATGTAACCTTGGAGAGCGGGGCTGATAAGGGCTTGTAAATAGTCGGCGATATTAAAGCCTTGATGATATTGATTGTTGTCAACTCATGGAGTAGGTAGGGTAGCAATGAGAACGGTAGATGTCAATCTATTGCCCAACCTGTTCTTGGATGTTCGAGTTGAGAAGCCCTGAGAGATGTACCTAGGTACCTGGTGCAGAAAAGAGGAGATCCAGCCACACACGTAGTATGACACCAAGATTACCTAAGCTAACGAGGGGCGCTGCCCTAAAATTTGCGATAAGATAAGATGGTGGGGGTACTTGAGTATTTCGCGTGTGTAACTTTGTATCTCTTCTTCGCAATTGACTTTACCATCTTCATCGGTCCGTCATAATTGTACATACACTTGAATAACCTCTATCGAGTCGCCAGAGAAGCCTTTGATAACAGAAAATAATAATTTCCGATCGTATTCTCCAGAAACACGCGCATTATGGAGTCCGACACGTCCGCGGCGGTACCTCCCAAATCGAATGAGGATGTCCATGATGAGTCACTCAATCAGGCTCCAGAACATGAGGACAGCGACTTGGACTCTGTCTTCGACGATGACGACGACTTAGACGGCGAGCTTGGCCCCGACGGAGAGCCCGACATATCAAGAAACTACAATCGACAACGACCTTTACATACCAACCAACAAAAACCTACTGCCAACACCGCTGCCAATGTCGATGACCAGATCGCCGCCCTTTCGAAACATGCCGCTAAGATCCGACTTGACGATGTCAAAGAAGGTCAAGATCGTGACAAGGACAAGGCCGACAGGGCTACTAGCGAGCAGGTCCTCGATCAGAGAACTCGTATGATCCTCTACCAGATGATCAACCGCGGAGTAGTCAGCGAAATACATGGTGCCATCAGTACAGGAAAGGAAGCCAATGTATATGGCGCTGTCGCGTATCCCGATCTCAATGGCCCATCCGTCCAGCGAGCCGTCAAGGTTTACAAGACGGCCATTCTAAGCTTTAAGGACCGAGAGAGGTACATCACCGGCGAACACCGATTCAAGTCTGGCGTAGACAAGGGAAATAATAGGAAGATGGTCAAGTTATGGGCGGAGAAAGAGTTCCGCAATCTAAGGAGAATTCACTCTGCTTCTATTCCTTGTCCCGAACCCATACAACTCAAGCTTCACGTCCTTGTGATGAGTTTCCTTGGAGATAGAAAGGGCTATGCTTACCCGAGATTACGAGACGCTGCTATCGCCGAAGATGACGCCGATCAAGTATGGAGGCAACTTTACATTCAACTACTTGGCATCATGCGACGAATGTACCAGATTTGCAGATTGGTACACGCGGATTTAAGTGAATACAATATTCTATACAACGACAGACAACTCTACATCATCGATGTTTCACAAAGTGTTGAGCATGACCACCCTCGGTCGCTTGAATTCTTACGAATGGATATCAAGAATACGGGTGATTTCTTCCGCAGAAAAGGAATTGATACATTATCCGACCGAACTGTCTTTGATTTTATCATAAAGTCTGAGGGTGCGGTAGAAGAGCCTAGTCTCTCAGAAGCAATTGAACAATTGTACACATCAAGGGAACCATCTACAAACGACGAGACGGCAACAGCCGAGCAAGAAGTTGATAACGAGGTGTTCCGGAACCAATACATCCCTCAAACCCTAGAGCAAGTGTATGATATCGAAAAGGATGCGGAGGCGATCGGTGAGGGCGAGGGAGGGAAGCTCGTCTATCGAAATCTTCTAGCAGACCAAGTAGTAATGAAGCCAGTTGCGGAAGACATAAGTTCGGGAGATGAATCGGATGACGAAGGGGCGGCTCTTGATGACGAGTCTGGGAGTGACGATGAAAGCAAATTCTCGAAGGGAACACCTCGGGGTAAACGGTTCGAGGATAAGGAGGAGAAGAAGGTATGTTACATCCCGATACGATACAAACTGTTTCACTCTCCTAGCTGTTTGTATCGTCACATCCTATCCCTTCTAGAGTCACATGTGCTAACGGCAGGCAGCAACGCAAACATGCTGTCAAGGAAGCAAAGGCCGAGAAGCGGAAGGAAAAGATGCCAAAGCATATCAAGAAACGCCTCGTGGCTACAAGCTCTAGAAAGAACAGGTAGACTTGAAGCTAAAACTGGAATATAAAAAAAAGGCATCGCGCTAAATCTCTCCGCGTGTGCAAACGACGACGTGACACATCATCGTGCTACCTCTTAACCTCCCTTTCTATAGCAATCTCACCGAATCAAGCAGGATTCACGATAGGAGGTAAGTTTGCCAGTTCCTTCAAAACCGCCCCAGCAATCAAATGATGAAATCTTGACGCGCACGGCCTGGACTAGGCTTACTGTGTTTTTGCCGCTTTCCTGGTAATAACCGTGGCTCGGTCCTCGCCCCCAACGCACGCCCTGAGCTAGCCCTTTACAGAAGGGTTGAATGCGGATCAAAGAGAGCCCTGATGATTGCCTTTTATTGTTTGTATTTTTTTACGTCTGATCCTTTGTATCTTCGGTGAAATACCCCTTAAGATCACCAGGACTGTTCCCGGGGTAAGATGGGGTGAGGTTGGGATGGATGAGATTTGCAAAACTATCTACCTAGTAGGTTTCTAGTCAAATTTGATGAAGATAAATGAGGCTGTAGTTAAGGGCGTTCTAGCTCTGCATGTCTTGTTCTAGTAGACTCTAGCTTCGGTAGAACGAGATTGCTCTCAAAGGAAATGCGGTGTCTATCTAGATCATAGCTAGTGCTATCCAACTGGGCGGGTCTAAGGGGTACCCTTAATTTTCTTAGCCCTATGTTTTACCAGGGCTTCTTTGAAGCAAGTTGTAGTTCAAATTAGCTAGCTATACACGGAGCTTATCTTCCTCAACGGGACAAAAGCAAAAAGGTGTGTACTGTATAGCTAACACGGGCTTAACTGTATCAATGTGAGACACAGTATCAAAATGTATAATGTATGACTATTCGTACAGTGGTCACTTTCTTTTTGTGCCACCGTGATAGGCGGTTAGGTACCTAGATAAGTACACATCTCAGTAGGCTTCAAGCACTATCATCATTGTAAAACTCGTATGATATGTTCGGTATATAATAAATTTCGCCCATCGTTACCCAAGTCGCAATTACATAACAAAGTAGTCTATCTAGAATTCAAACGAAGGGGGTATGTACGAAATAAGTCTATGTGATATCCAACACCCTAATTCAACCCATCTATCGTACCTACGTAGTCATCCTCCCGTTCCTCCTTGGCCTGTGTTGCCAATCCGAATGTACCATCTCTCCTCCCACTCTCCTATGCACCACTGTAGTTGATACTGCCGACTCGAAAAAACGACGACAGATGCTGTACTGTAGTCTTAATATGTCCATAAAAATTCCTCGCAAGCTGTAGAATATGATTGATTGTAATCATCCCTAAGCAACCGCATCTTATAAACAACGCTTTGCGCTCTACTCCTTTTGATTCCCCGCACTATAAGCAACTTCGTGACACGTTCCACATGACGTAGCGTCATCCTCATCTCGCTATACCGACACTCCCTCTCCTACCCATCAACATTTCCATCTCAATTAAATCAACAGCATATTCGGGTTCACCTTCTAATGTCTCTCGTATCAAGTCCACCGCTGCTGTTGTTGCTGTAGACTGGTTCTCGGATGATCCGGACGAGACTTGAATTTCGACATGCGGATCCGCGCCATGTTGAAGTAGCGTTTTAATGGCCGCAACCCATCTCTCTCGGTTTAGCATCAATCTTGCGCTCGACGACGTCTCTAACAAATGTGTCATAGTTACACTTCCTCTTGAGAAGTAATGTCGTCCTGCCTTTAGTGCTTTCACCCACATCTTATCATCGTCTTTGGGCGATGCACCCGCATCGAACAGGATGTCTAGGAACCGCGAGTCCGGCATATCGCGGTGGAAGTCCCAATAATCGCCACCAGTACCCGCGCAAGCACTAAAACCATCGGCCTTAGGGCTGACAACAAAAGGTAACAGTTCTTGGGCTTTCTTCTTCCTTGCCTCCTTGTCCAAGGCTTTCAATTTCGCAGCAGTATATCGGACTAAGTTGGCCTGGAGGGTAAGTGTTAGGAAATCCTTTCGCTTTGGCGGCTTGCCAGCATCCATTGGTTCGTAGCTTGCCCAATGTTTTCGACAATAGTTGGGAAGCCTCGTTTCGTACCAATCGGGGTCCTCGTGGAGTGGTTTATGGCTTTGCAAAGCTGACACCCAAGCTCGCTGGCATGTAATATCTAGTTCGTCTAGTAGCTCGCAGTATTTTCGTAGGTCGGGAACGTCGCTATCGATCCTCTCGGCGTATCGCAATGCGTTCGCAATGAGTAACCAGGCGTCGGGTCGGAATCGCCAGCTAGGCCACGCCAATATCGGAGGTCGAATAGCTTCGAATGCCTTCATATGTCTAGCACATCCACTAAGCAGCGAAAAATCAAGCTCCATGCTGTCGTGAGGTATGCATCCTGGGAGTCGCTGCCAGATATCTTTTCGGCGGACCCATTCCTTAGCGGTTTGATGAACAAAAACCACCCGTTGGCTCGTCTCAGAAGTGTTAGAGTTGGAAGATGGACCTGTCTCAGCAACTAGAAGGCCGGCGCAGCAGGTGTGTAAACGTCGTTGCATGTGATCGGATAAGTGTTGAATCGATGCTTTGTCGTATGGGTGCCGGTCATCGAAAATAATCCTTAGATCCCTAGCTGTTGGGTGTAGGTAACCTTCCTCGGAGAAAGCAAGTGTGACTAAAGTGGGAGGCTGTTGTGCCTTAAGAACAAGATGAAAGATCCTAGACGCGTAGTGCTGGTATTCGGGACTCAGGTTTTCGAGCATACGCATATACAAGCCGTCAGGCCCTCCAAGGTGTGCTGGTAAAGAATTTAACATGCCTCTTAAAGTACGCAAACTGCAACCGACCACCATGTCTATCGCCAACCTAGCCCAGAGGATGTCGCCCTGGCTTTTTTGTGCTAACTCCTTGCAGAGATTCTTAGTATCGGGTAAACCGGGCGCTTCGTCTTCTAGTCGACCGGCCACGTACTGTGCGATCGAGCGCTCGGTGTGTTCTTGGAGTTTGATTCTTGGGAAGTCGACAAAAGCTTCTTCGAACGCGGGGAGCTCGCGGGATGTTACGACGAATTTGATAACGTCTTTATTAGCCATACTGCCAACCAATTTCGCTATTTCCACATGCGAATCTTTAGCCCATTTACTTTGCCCCCATGACTCGTCGCCGGTATCCTTGTCGTAAGTAATATCGAGGTCCTCTGGTTCATAGTGATCCTTCCGCTCCATGATGCGGTATTCGTCGAGGCCATCAATGAAAATGAAAAGGCGCAGGGTTTCCGACATGTGAGCGAAGAGAGAGTAGAAGCCCTGGTTAAGATTGCTGATGCTTGTAAATAATACAGGCGGCGGCCAAGAGCAGTCGTAGAAACTGGGGAATGCGATTCTAATAAGGTCGCGCCTCGTGGATAAAATCTGGTATAGAATGCTGCGCAAGAAACCTTCGTACGACTTTTGAATTCGGTTACCTCCTTCGAACATAAAGAAGCAAGCCATGTACAAGTCTCCATCACTGGCCCAGCCATCAAGGAGTCGTTGCTTCACCTTTTCAGATTGCCATACGTATTTTAACAGCGTCGACTTGCCGGACCCTGCATTTCCACTAATCCACTGAATATTGATGTTAACATTTATCCTAGCAAACATTTTGCACGAAGGCTACTATGTTCATTGCAATCTCCGTACATAGGAATCTAAGGGGTAATAAAACTTACCAAAACGGGATCCTTAGACTTGAGGAAATTAGTAAATGGAGATAAGTTGGGTTGAAGAATCCATTCGCACGTCTGGCCGTAAGCAGGATCTATTCGGGATTCACGCTCGTTCATCGTGTCGTAATAAAGCGAATTAAGGATTTCTAAAGATTCGAATGTTAGTGGTGACTGAACCATATATATACTAATATTGAGCTGAAGTACCTTGGTTTCGGGGTTCTCTCGCTTCAACTTCTGCGGGCGTTGGGCCGGATGATACTTTAGAAATCCACGACATCATCTGCCCATAGCCTGGTTCGTCTCGACTCTTGAATCTTGCAAGATCTAAATGGTTCACAATCAGATCGTGCCTCGTCACGTTGAAACTCTCGTATCCCGCCGAATCCCTTGGGACAATCATTTGTATTGTTCCTTTCCCAAGTTCCATTCCATCGGCATCCTTTGCGAGCTCAGCTGAAGCTGTTATCGTTGACGGTAACTTCTCTCTGATACACACCACCCTTATATCTCTCGAGATCATCAGAAATGTGCTGTGCAGATTCTCAAAGGCTTTGTCGCTTTCTCTGAATGCACGCTGGAGTTGGGTAGTCGGCATAGTTGGCGATAAGAGTGCGGTTGCGGCTATACATTCGCCTAAGGAACGCTTTCCACCCCTTACATGAGGCGTACCGAGAAAAACACACCCAATAGTCCGCGGATACACATTTCCTAGCTCGACGTGCGCGCCGTAGATTCGTGACATTGCCGCTGTGACTAGAGCTTCTTTGATGACAATTCCGCCCAAACCGTGACCTATGAAGATAATAGGTCGGGTTATACCGCTTCGAAGGCGCGAAATATCCGCCAGAAGGCTCTCAGCTTGGTCAGAAAAGGTGCCATTGCTACTTAGTGCACCACCCCATCCCCAAGCAATGACTCTCGAGTCCGACATATCCTGCCCGAGGAGATCGCGCGGGTAACAAACACCTCCTTTCGTCCATGTCCCCGTTCGTGAGCCAAATAATCCATGGACGAAGACGATATCCAGCCCTTCTTCGCCATTGTGGGTTCCATCGTAGAGGACAAGAGGCCCTCGCCCATCCGCTCGTACTAGAACTTTTTCGCGCGAGTCCAAAGTCGAACTGCTCGACCGCCCCACACGATCCAGGCGCAGACTAGACGTCGACGATGACTCTTTCGACGATCCACGGGCGGCGCGAGCTATCCTAGCCAACGTCTCTTTGATCCTGTTCATTGTTCATTGACATTTATCCCCCTCTCTCTCAACATGGCGGAAGAGTATGTTTTGGGGACCAAATCGTGCAAATAGTGGAAGAAAAGAGAAAGAAAAAAAACTTTTCTTTCAAGTCATAGAGTTCTGGTGTTTCGAAACATGCCCGATCAGACTTTACCCATGAACATTGGCCAGGGTAAACGACAGCAACCCACGCCCGGGAGTTCATTCGCCTTGCTAGTCGACGGAAGCTTGCCGTTGGAGCCGTTTACTAATTGACTGGCCTGCCTGGTTGAGGATAGCCAGACAAAGGCAAGGGAAATGGTTCTGCGGAGCTCGCTGAGGCCAGGCAGCCTATACCGGTATGCAGGTTTCCCATATCCCTGTCAGGTCTCTTTCCTGTTGAGCCCTGTTTCTGTTTCTGGACCCAGTTCTAGCCCTGGTTTTTGACACCACCTCTTGGCGCACATGGGCGCAGGTGCAGATGTTGGAACAGGCCATGGAAATGATACATAGTATACTGCATGTCATTTTCTACCCGTTTTCTACCCGTTTGCCCGTCATTGTGACTTTAAGGATTTTTTCCCCCTTCTCTTTCCGTTTGCCACCCAACGAAAGGGAGGATCAATGAAGATCGGGGGCCAGGGTTGTATACATGAAGGATAAAAGTCCTTAGTGAGGGAATAAAAACGAAAAGTCGGGAAAAAGTGTCGGGGGGCTGAAAAGGGGCCAAAATTAACATTCTCTTTATTTTCATATTGCTATCTAACCTGAATAAGCTTATGTCCTTGAAGTGCATATAGCTCTATATATACATATGCAGACGAAAGCTACCCCCTCCGTATGTCTAAGGAAGTATACATTAAGCACGTTCGGTGTGTGTGACCAATTAGACTAGATTGCATCATGTACAAAAAACAGGGGTCTTCTTCTATACCTAATCGGGTAATTTCAACGGTCAAATGTATTACTCATTGACTCCGCTCTTTCGGGTGATACAGAAGGTCTCCGTGGCATTCGGAACGTCAGCTGACCACCCGAGACCCCGGAACGAACCGTTGCGTTCTGTTCAGTGTCTCGCATAAAAAAAACCTGGATTAAGCGGATATCACTCGCATCCTCGTCCGGAGGCATGGAGCGGCTCGAAATTCAACGTAACCCATCCTTCCTAAGAGCTGACAGGTAAACCCCCACGAAGGACGAAAGAAGAAAGAAGAGACTCCTAATCAAAGTAAAACATTCTAAATTAGGTCAACTTCCCTGGTACAGTATGGGACATACGATATCGTACTGTCTCATGGCTCAATAAAGCAAAAACTCCACGCGAAGCTCCTAAATACCAGAGTGGACCCTTGAACTGACGTGCCCCCCTGCTGAAGCCCCGGTTATCATCAAACTTTTATCAAGGTTGTTCGAATGTGGTGTAGAACAATCCCGAGTTCACATTCGCCAGCAAGAACTAACTACAAACACTATCTAATTGTACTTACATTAGTACTCACCTTCGGATCCGTCCCAGTTCCGCAATCATGTGTTGGCATATACTAAACCCAACGTACATGAGCATCCGCATAGGTTATGCACCAAGAAATATGCATACCAGGCTTAATTGCCCCTTACTTGGTAATTGGAACTATTATATTCGATTATTGTTCTTTACTGGGTTTACCAGATGCCCACTAGTTAAGGCAGTCTAACGTGGTATTCATCTAGTCCGATTTCTCACCTCTAGTAATGCCCTCATTTCCGTCACGAAGGAAGCGCCCAGCCAACTCGACACCCTTGCGGGCAACAGGATCAGAACCATTCTAGGTGGAGGTTTTTTGCCTCCTTCTATACTACTTAGCGGGTGGTAAACCAGGTATCGAACGGTCGAAAACTGGTTGTCTATGTCACATAGAGTTAGCAGATTTGCCGGGCCGTTATTTACTCGCAGCCGGTTATTGTTTGTGTGGTCCGAATTATCGTAGCATTGGATAGTCTACGGAGCCGTGTAACCCAACTCACATTATCTCTCGCAATGTTGCAGTGTTAGGTCGTAAGATAATTGATCGCTTACCTTTGTTAGCCATTAGCCATACCTAGTTTGACGCCGTACGAAGGGATCCGTCCAATATTGGTTGCAACTAGGTAGAGACGGGTAGATTGCGAACAAATAGCTTCGGGTCGTCCCATGGGACAACACATACCAAGAGCCCTTACCTACAGTCCGGTCACGCAGGATCGACCTGCGTTTGTCTCCTCATGCGTGTCTTATATTCACCTCACTAGACCTCTTCGACTATCGTGCCTGAGAAGTGTCACACCTTCTTGCCGTTTCTGGACATCAACCCGCGTTGGACTGGCCGATAGGTTGCCGTCGCTGACCAGAGTTGCAGAAGATTGTCAGTTATTGGATATCGATACCTTCGAATGTGCAGCCGGTTCTCATCACATGCAACCTACCTAAGTTGGGTGAGACTTAGACCATCGGTTGGAACTGGGCGGATCGCCATCGTCTTCTCACACATTTATAGGAGAGGAACCCCGAGTTATTCGCAATATGTTCGTCAAACACCAAAGAACAATTCTCTCCTAAACTCAAGAAGCAGAATATCAGAAAAAACATGACTTCCAAGAAGATGACGACTCTTATTAGACTTGCGCGGCGGACGCGTACAAAGTTTTTATCTTTATTGTTCCCCTGCCCCTTCCCCTGGACGCAAAATGATCTCCAATACATTCCCGATGATTCTAGTTCCCAGCAAGGTCTTTGCGGTGAAGCTTTGGTCCTAGCTTCGCAGCTTGATAGCAAGACCTTCCGCCTGCCAAACCTATGGGAGGTCTTCTCTGAATGGCCACTCAAAGAGAACCCACACGTAAAGAGGCTCGAGGGTCTCGTTAATTCAATGCTCGAGCGCATCGTCACCAATGAGAGGAAACTCAAGGCCTTGAAGCAGGCTAACTTCGCTCGTCTCATTTCCCTGTAAGTCCTAAGCCACCCTTGTCTATACTCCCAAACTATTCATCTAATCTCATGGCTCGATATAGATGGTATCCTGACGCGGAATGGCCCGAGCTTGAGATTGCTACAGCTTATTCTGTCTGGATATTCGTGTGGGACGATGAAGTCGACGCTGGTGACACTGACGTGTCACACGATGAGGAGTTGTCGAGAGCCTACTACCAAAAGTCCCTCGATACCATCCACCACCTCTTAGGTCTTGACACCCAAGGACAAAAATTCGTGGATGAAAAACAGGCTTTACATCCTAACATGGTTTTATTTACCGATGCCGCTCGCGGTATACGTAGCGCAGCAGATCGAATTCAGCGAGAACGGTTTTATCATGAGTTAGAGCATTTCATGATTCAAGTGGGTGTGGAGCATAGCCATCGAATGAGAGGTTCCATCCCAACGGTAGAAAAGTACCTGGAGATACGCTCCGGCTCTGTCGGTTGTGCCCCTCAAATAGCCATTACCGAGTAAGTGAAAAGACACATGCAATATTATAGGTCTTATTACTTACAACCTGCCTAGTTTGATGCTTAAGGTTAGACTACCCGAGTCCATCATGGAGTCCGCACCCATGAAAGGACTTTGGAAGGAAACAGTTATTATATGTCTTATTCTTAACGATATTTATTCAGCACAAAAAGAAATAGTAAGTTTATGCCGTAATAACCGATTTCGAGCTGTAAATACTGACAATCCCTTTAGGCACAAGCATCGCTCTTGAACCTCGTGCCGGTCATGTTCAAGAACTGCAATCCAGAAAAACAAAGTCTCGATTTAGTAACTCATGGTATTGAAGAGACTTTACGTACGACCATGAGGAGATTCGAAGAAGCAGCAACGGCCCTCAGCGGGATGGCGTCTCATGATGTGCAACTAGACAAGGATGTACAGGCTTTCATAAAGTGGTGCCGCTATTTTATCACCGGGGTATTACAATGGAGTCTAGAATCCAAACGATATGGTATGGCGGAATGTTTACACGATGATGGATCTCTCAGCATAGTACTTTAGACAAATCTAACTAGATACACGATATACACGTTCATTCAATGAAAGCACAAATTTCATTATCATCTAAGTAGGCATACATAAAGAATATATAAAAATAAATCATCTACATTGGATCATCTTAGTAGATTCCTCATAAGTTGTGACTTGCGAGAATACCCTAGTTGAAGAGGCAAGGGGTTAGGGTTCACGAGACTTGACGGACCCCATTTTGCGGATACACTAGAAGATGAACATGAAGCTAAAAATTACTCTAGTACGAAGACAACGTAGACTCCGCTTGCGTAGTCGTTAGTCCTATCTAACCGAAGGCTGACGCCGTCCCACACGTTGGCACGGTTCTATTCCTTGCTGCATGTGAGAGGACCGCAATTACAGGGCCCCCTTTCCTGGACTTCGGGCTGGTCCCGCAGCCCAGCACCCAGCCACGGACGCAGAAGGCTTGTCAGCCGGGTAGACCAGCTCAGCTAAGAGAGGAAGGGATTAGAATGTGATGTGTCGCGACGATTTGTTTGCAAGAATCACGTTGAAATTGGTGGGATCAGCGTCACCGCCATTGTTGGGTCTGGTATGAAGCACCCTGGTCCTTGAAATCCTTACCGAGCTGCTAGCCGCCGACGCTATGGTCCGAAGCTGAAGTGAAAATGGTGCGGCCCGGGCCGGGTTCTTCGAGAAAAACATACGTACCGTCAGACCCGATGAAATGCACGAAGAACGCGAACGGGACGCTGCACAAGTGGTTGATCAAAGAGGTTGCAGTGTCAGTGCGCTGCCCCCTTGCAAAATGCCGTATTATATACGGTATTATTGCAGATGTAACTAATCCCCGTAACTTGTGACTGCAACGATATGTTGGATACAAAAGCGGTTGAGCCTCCCCGCGGAGTGCCACCCGATTAGTTCTGCTCACGTCATCCTGGGGGTCGCTGAACCATCTCTACGGTACTGGAAAAGGATGTCCGACATCGTCGTACCAATTACTAAAAAGGGGGGAAGTAGTCAGCATTATAACCTCAGCAACTATTATACACCAGGATCTTATCAAATCATTAATCCACACAGTTACGACTCTATACAACGTAGTAATGGTCTTTATAGTCGCATAGTCGCAGGACCAACATTTCTACTATTCCTAACAATTGTAACTCTTAATGTCTATTGCGGGTTCATACAGTGGTTGGAAGAGCCTACCTACGTGATAGGTAGCACTGTTGGGAAAAGAAACGAAAAAAAATTATGCGACTTGATCCTTCAAGATATTTTCATAGCAACATTAATATATTCAATTCTCACCAATGCATTACTTTTATTTCCCAGGACATCTCTCGAATGTGACTTTAAAGTAACAATTCGTGTAAAAATTATGCGAGACAACTGGCGAGACTTGAGGGCTTCGAAATGAATGGACACGCAGCTTGAGTTCAGAGAAAGGATTAACGGGAGCTTACACGACCTTGAGTAACCCATACCGAAGAGCCTACGCAGAAGTCCGTCTTAATTTCGTATAGCGGAGACTTACAGCCCCGTTGATGGAATCGTTCCATTCGAACCGCCATAACACGTAATAAAGAAAGACTTCAGGGTTCCACCAGCTTACAACACTGCACCTAACCTTTCAAAATTCGTATATTCGTTATCGTCCACGTGGTAGTAGCAATGAGAATAGTCCTGCGCTTCACCGAATTGCTTAGGTGTCAGCCAAGGCTGTTCCTCACAACACTATAGTCTCATGAGTTCTAGCTTACGACAGACGCTCCTTTGGGGGTGTTATACTACTGATGGGATGTCTATCCTGGAACTCCACTATACTTGGTAGAAGAATGGGTTGTCATGGTCCCCTCCCCCTTTCCTGCCTTGTCGATGTTTGAGCACCGTGCCTTGATTTTTCCCTTGTCTTTTCGTTCTCATCGACAAGGGAACCACTAACTTGGGTTATCTTGGGCTAGCCTTGACTATCAAGAGTGTCCGTTTTAGACTATCCTCTACACCGAGTTAATCTCATGGACTGATAGAAGGACATGCGCGAAATTTAATTGATACTTTTGTAACTTTTTGCCTGTAAAAATGTAAAATAAGAAACTTATAATATTATAATCATGCTTACGCTATCAGGAATCCTAATTGTTATGCACGGCTGAGGTAATGCGCTGAATTATTTTGTTGTAGTCATGCCTGTTATTTCAATTGAAAAGAATATTGTCGATCATTTAGTATACGGTCGGGACTATAATGTAGAAAATTAGTATACTATCCTTAGGTAACCTCGGAGTGTTACCCTATTCAGGTCCGAATCCTTCGAGTCCCTGTGTTTCGAATAGCACCCCCTAGAATGACTATAGGGCCACGGCGGGGTAGAAGAGAAAGTGGTATTGCGTTGTGATCAACTGTTATGTTGCGAGGCACCTAACAACGGGTCCAAACGCAGAAAAGAAGTCTTTCGGGTATTCAGTAAAACTAGTTAATACGTATATACGAATTGAGGAGGGAATGGAGGGTAAAACTCTTGTACTCGTTCAACCTTCAATCCAGTCTGGACGCCACAAAACCATTTTCCATTCTACATCTCTCTTCCCTTTTTCCTATCCATCAGTCATTCATCGAGACGACAAAAGAACGAATTGAAATGGCATGCCGGCTTTAATTCAATTGTGCTTCCCCAAACGCCATCCTATGCTTTAAAGAAATAGACCCATTCTCATGCGATGCTCATGCCATTGGTTCCTTGAGGATGCGCATCGAGATCTATATCCTCAACTAAGGTACGTTGGTGGGCACTCTCCCTCACTAAATTTCCGAAGTATTTGAGCGCCACCTCACTTTCCCCGCGGACCTTTACAGTTTCTTCACGGCGTGTCCCGAGCTCCTCAACAGACCGCGTCAAGTTAACCCGAAGATTGTCCGCAGGGATTCGGAGAACCTTGCGCACAGAACCCACGATACGGGTACTGTTTGTATGGACATAATCAGTTGCGGCGATTTGTGTTGAAATCTTCTCGGATAGACGATGGGGTAGCGAATGTGGAACTTGCTGGACGACGTACGCAGCAGCGGAGACGACTGTAGGATTTCATAGTAAGTATCAATTCAAGATGAATGTGGCAAAATAGAACGTACCTGCAAGGACTAAGCCGGGGATAATCAGCTTTCGGAGATTGTCATTTCCAATAATTTTCATCGCAGTCACAGTGTGGTCCATCCACCCCATACCACCAATCATACGTCCACCAAGAGTAGTAGCGACGGTCAACGCCAAACCAGTACCGGCGAATTTCTCCTGGCGTTGTAAAAGAGTAGACCAGTCGACGAAATCCCACAGCTCAATGGAAACGTCAATTTCCTTAGCTGTCGCATCACGTCTCCTTTGGAACATGACGTTAGGGCGGAAGTTGAGATCGTGAAAGTCGTTGCCGAGATGCATTAAACCAAGCTGCTTAATAACATTGACCCCACCGACAGCCTTCGTTCTCGCATAATCTTCGCAGGACGTGACCGAAGACGAGATTTGAGATAGCATAGCTTCTTTCAAGTCTTCGGCATACTGGAAAGCAAAGAAGGGGCCTGGATACGGCACACCGAGGTTGTCCTCACCGGCGTGGGTAATAACCGAGTTAAGAGTTGTCCGAGTATGGTCGTAGACGTCCTTGCAAGTTTCCTCGATGGTTTGGTCCACTTCGTCGCCAACCTCGGCATTCGCTTTCTTAGAAGACTCAAGCAGAGGTTCGATCTCCTCCAAGTCCCTTGTGACTCGTTCCAATTCCGATTGAGCTACGTCGGAATTGACCGTAGCAAGTACATTCACATCGTTGAGGATGTTGAGGAGATATGTCTTGGCAGGTGCAAGCTTAGATCGTGCTCGCTTTTCCAGTACAAACCGTCTTAGGGACTGTTCTAACTTCTCGAAGTCCTGGATCTTTTCTTTCTCCTTGCCCTTCCCCTTGGGGTCGTCACTAGGATCATCTCCGCCTCCGCTTGCGCTACCACTTCCTCCTCCGTCAGGACCGCCAGGGGGCGACGGGACTGTCGGAATAGCATTGCTAGATACGAAGTGGACGAGCTCGGTGGACTCCTTGAATGTACGAGGGCTTAGACCGTAAACCTGGTCTAATATCATCTTCTGGCACCGTTCCTTGTCCCGAATCAGATCGTAACCATTGACAACCATAAAGATGTAGGCTTTCTCCGCGGCCGCGGCCCAGATGAACTCCTTTGCGGACTGGGTGAAGTGATTCGCAGCAGAGACCACAAAAACAACAACGTCAATTTCTTCCTGTCGTGCAAACACAGCAGTTGTTTTAGTCGTGTCGGAATTGAGGCCTGGTGCGTCAATCAATGCAATGTCGACCACGCCGTTATTCAGCAATGATTCATCGATCGTTCGCACATCCTTAATGTAGACTTTGCATTGCATGTAGGTGGCATTGTCGATAACAATATTCTCTAGCTCACGCAGGGGAAAAACGTCATAGGTTGATTCGTCATGTCGGTTGTAAACTGTATCCATATGGACTGCATGTACTTCCTCAACACCGGCGTTCTCTCTCGCATCCAGAACCTCGCAGAAAATGCTTGTGCAAGGTTGTTGGTCCTCTGGAAGGACCTTGCGGCGCAATAGCGCATTGCAAAATGTTGACTTTCCAGCGTTTAGATCTCCAGTAATCAGAACCTTGCTGGAGGTATCCTCAATTCTTTCGCGAAGCAAGCGTAAATGCTTGATACTAGACCGAATCTTCCCGTCAAGGAGTGCAGCGATAGATCCTTTCTCGAGAGAGTGGACCAATTCAGTTTGGTGCATAGAACCTAATTTGAGGTCTAACTTCAAGACGGAAAATTCCTGAGCAATCTGTGGTGTAAACAGTCTGGGGCTGTCTGCTACATTCTTGTCCTCGGCGTCTCTGCTAGATTCAGCTGATTCGTGGTCTTCGACGGTGGTCATAGATCGTCGCAAAGGTCGAGCATGTTGGGGAGAAGATGGCTCTCCAGCCATAGAGAAGGCATGTTGTAACCCAGGACGAGACGAGGGTCGTTCGGACGAAGATATTTCGGGTCGCTGAACAGAAGGATAGTGCGCAGGCCAAGTAACATTGGTTTCTTGAAGGGTTTCGAGTAGCTCAACAACTCTGCTGATGGAACGATTAAGGGCGGCTCGGTGTTGGTTATACCATAGCTGAGAAATAGCAGCGACTTGGGTTCGGTGATCAGTCTCCGGGTTGCCGGTTGATCGTCGTGATAGCGGCATATCCCTCGATACGGCCGGATCGGATCGGGGGGAACCAAGAGGTCGTCTCGAAGATCCAACATCATCTCCTGCGACACTTCCACCATAACCAGAATCATCATCTATAAGTGACTGTAGTCGCGCGGCATGTTGTGATGTCGAACCGCTGCCGACGGTCATATAACCAGGCCTTCCGGAAGCAGACGGAGATGGTGCATTTTCTTGCTCACGATCCCATCCGCGTCCACTAGGGGACTTGCCTTTCGAGGCAAAATAATCTTGACTCATTGCTATCGTTAAATATCTTTTATTTTTAATTCATAAACATTACGGGCACCGAAAATCGTGGGCGGAGCTCGATTGACTAGTGCGCGTCCAGTTGTTGGGTCGTAAGGTAGTTAAATGAGTTAAATGATCTGGAGATTCCTTAGGTTTAGTGTGGTGGGTGATGATACTTTTTTTCCAGTGAATGAAGAGGCGAAATTAGCGGTATGCTTGGTAATAGACGCGGGCTTGTGATTGGATAAAAATTCCGTGAATTGTATGGGCAATGCAATTCTGTGTAACAACAATTCATCATATGTGCATAAAACTAGTATAACTTGTACCTAGGTAGTGAATCCCCACCTGCTTTGCAGCATCTGCGTTTGCGTTTGAGGTCATTATGCCTGAGTCCCCAGTGAAAGTTGATAACGCGACCAGGAAATGTACCTAGGTACCTACTGTACGTACTTCTTTTATCGTCACTTATCGATCCGCTCAAGGTTGCCATTTGGTGCTTCGGCTTGGCAACTTTGGAACTTACTTACATATACCAACCAATACGTTACCTACCACTACGAATAACTACGAACCGAGGCGGACGCGTAACCATAAGGCTTCTATTGGCATAAGATCTCCTCAAACTTCCTAACCCGACAGCACATTCGTTGACAACGCTCATTCCCGCTATCGCAAACCATCCGCCTCTTTACTACTCAACACAAACCACTCTATTTACAAAGTGTTTCGCTTTCCACAGCCATGAATGTAAGCCGCTGTCTCGTCCCAACTCTTGAAATAGCTGGTTACGCGATATCCGATGGCTAATTATCCACGATTAGATCCTAGAATGGGCCTTCGGCAAACGCATAACGCCCGCCGAGCGTCTGCGCAAGAACCAGCGAATGATCGACAAGGCAATCCGAGAACTAGATCAAGTACGAGTCAAACTAGAGAAACAAGAGAAAACTCTGGTCGGTCAGATTAAACAGAGCGCGCAGAAGGGGCAGATGGGAGCAGCTAAGATCCAGGCAAAGGATCTCGTACGTACGAGAAGGTGAGAAATCCGTTGCGATCACGGGAGAGTAGATTTGGGACATAGCTAACCTGGTCTTCTGTCCGTTTATAGATACATCGAGAAGTTTTACGGAATGAGAAGTCAACTACAAAAGATATCCTTACGATTACAGGTTCGTCATTCCCAGCAACCTATCCATACTACTATACTCACAAGAATGCAACATTAGACCCACCGAACCAACGAGCAGATGATGCAAGCCATGAAAGGAGCTACGGTCGCTTTAGGCAGCATGAACCGGTCGATGAACTTACCCGCATTACAACGCATCGCTATGGAATTCGAACGAGAGACTGCAATCATGGACGAGCGACAAGAAATGATGGATGATGCGATCGACGATGCTATGGACGTGGGTATTGAAGAGGAAGGCGACGAAGTCGTAGAACAAGTCCTGGAGGAGATCGGTGTTGACCTTAACCAAGCTGTAAGAACCCTATCAAAATTATACTACAAGCCCCAGGATCTAACAAGGAGTAGTTCGGCGAGACACCGACGGGTCTTCAATCCGAAAAAGTTGCCGACGGTCGGGTTGCCCAAGCCATTGGTGGCCCTAGTGGCGGCGGTGGGGGAGACCCGGGAGACGATGATCTTCAAGCCCGCCTCGATAGCCTAAGGAAGTAGGCTTGGGTTATAACTAGAGTTGCGACTGCGTTGACAAGGGGTTTGCTAAGACTGGATTGAAATCATTACAGAACAATTGCGTGTAATTCTGAGCATGGAGCGAGGAACTTTGGGGGTTTATTTGCTTTACTAATACTATGATACAGTATCTTGCCTTGGAATAAGTAATGCAGATTATGAACATAGATCACCCGAGTACCATACGCAGTATCTCAAGCACACCCTCTTTATCTAGGGGGGCTGGGTTGCTTTTAACCCATCGGTCCTTTAGACTATGTTCAGCAATGTTTTCGAGCTTGTCTTCTCCGATACCAAACTCTTTCAGCGTCCGCGGCATATCAAGGGTACGGATGATAGCGTCCATCAGGTCACCAAGATCAGCTATCTCTCTTTTTAAACCCCTCTGGCTGAATATTTCCCGAGCTTTGGGGTCTTCCCAGAGGAGCTTGATAATAGCGTTTTGTCGCTCAACGTTGGCGCCCTTCTTGTAGTTGTATTTGCATACAGCAGGGTTAAGAATGCAGCTGGTCTCGCCGTGACCTACGCCCGCTGGTCCTAGCTGATGACCAATACCGTCTACAACGCATCGAGTCAGTGGCTACTCTTTCCCATAATCTCAGATTTTGTATGTAGAAGTATGTCTCATAGAGGTGGGGGTAAAGGAGGGGGTCAAAGAGGCTTGTAATTCACATACGACTCGCTCCTAATGGCACACCTCTACTAGATGCGCTCATAGCATCTCGAGCCCCCAATTGGCATTCTAGCCTCGCCTCGAGATCCTTGGGGTTTTGTTTGCTTTTTATCAGACCGGGTATCAGTTTAGCTAACCCGTTTTTAGCGTCTCGGTCTGCATCGTCATCACTCTTCAGAGAGCAAAGCGTTTCCACGCAATGATCTACAGCCTTAACGCCGGTACTCAGCCAAACTTTCTCAGGGGTTGTCGTAGTGAGCTCCGGGTCGAGGATGATCAAGGCGGGTCCCTGCAAGGCTCCCGAAAAGGAGAATTTCTGTCCTGTTTCGTCGTTTGTGGCGCCTGCAAATGGGGAGTATTCGCCACCCGATAGCGACGTAGGAATGCAAACAACCGGAACCTTCGATGACTCAATGCCGTCACGCTTCCGCGAGCTCGTAGGACAGAGGGTGTCCAGCTCAGCATGAGTCGACACATCATTCGCCAGCGCCTTATAGGTATTTAGCAACAAATCGACCTTGCCCATACTGCTAGTAGCTGGGCGTATACATACAAATGATACCATCTTGGCCGCATCTGTGAGACTCCCTGCGCCTAGTGTAACGATCAAATCCGCACCACAATTCTTTGTGCCGGCCACAATTTCAAGTATCTCGGACCAAAGAGAATGGGGCTTCATGCCAATCCTGACACCAGCGAATTTACTACCCAAGGCCCGTTTAAGCCCATCGTAGTATGCCGTGTTATTCGCTAGGGACCTAGAGCAAATAACATAAATCCTAGACGCATGGAAAGTATCATCCGCATGCTTAAGAAGTGAATCGGCGAATGGCGACCCGTAGCTTAGAAGCGGTCGGTCCCGACCCGCGAAAGCCGGTCCAAATGTCTCGGACATGCTAGACAGTGCTAAATGTTCCGTGTACAGGGTATAACAAAAGTAACAAGATAGTAGTGAAGTGAACAGATTCTCGTATACTTCCAGGGACGTAGCCAGGCTTTTAAAAGAATACTATAAAGTATATACATCAGAGCATTGGTATGAGTATTATTAATATAGTATGCGGATATTTCTCATTCCCAGGTTACTGACAATACCATATTGGCCGTACAGCGCACTTCCGGTTATACTAAGTACATATGTATTCCACTTGGTGAGTTAGTGTGCCTCGGCATTTGTGTTTGTTATTCAATGGCATCCCTCTTTTTTAATATAGTCTTCTTTAAGTCAGAGTGTGACGAGCCTGTATGAGGTAGGAGAGTCGTCATCGTAAGATTTTGAAGTGGATTCCGACTATATAGACACAGATACCTACCTGCATCGATAGTATATTCAAAAGAAGAATAAGCATATTCGATGGATTGGAGAAGACGATGCGCACCCATTTCTGATTCTATATATATGTAATCCGTTGTGTAACCATGTACGTCTTTATTCTGATAGGCTATTTAGTATTGGAGAAGCGTTGAAGGTGCTACTTTTATGGTAGTAGTGGTAGTAACTAGCAAGTTGTCGGGTACACCTACCTGTATTTAGACCCGGATCTTGCCAAATCGTAGCTCCGAAGCGTCGCCGCGGCTTCCATTATATGGGTCAGATGCACAGGCCAACAGACCTAGCGCATTTCCAGGTAGGGGTCGGGCAGGTAGATTCTCCCCCCCTCGTTCTTCTAATTCCGTTACATCACACCCCACGATTTATCAGCCAAGTCCAACCTTACAACACAACGCAATCATCATAAGTCGCTATTCAAATTTTGCGACTAACCTTGGAAATCCTGTGATATCCCTCTCAGCATTTTATGTACATGCCAGATACACGCTTGGTTCAGGTTAGTGAAGACTGAAATCCTACGTATTCCCAGTATTCCTAGCATTCATCCGTCTACATAATCCACCCATCCATTCTCTCTTCAGTGACAAGTACAGTACAATACAGTAACATACACAACTTTGCTGGTTGTCCTCTCTACCACCTTACCACCTTCTCAAACACCGTACCCGCCTCTACCTACCTACTTAATCTATTTCTATCCTACCTTACCTTACTCGACGTACCTAATCACATCCGCGCTTGTTTTGCGACAGCCCAATCACCTCTCGCTGTCCTACTGTCACCCTCTTGGTCTCCCCATCTCTATCTGTACCTATTTTATATTTGTACCATTGCCAATTCTAGTGGTCCTTAGACATTCCCATCTTCCTTTGGCTCTGGTACTTTTTTACGGCTAAACCCTCTACATCCGCCCGACCACAGGATTTCCTATGAGCATCAACACTATTGTATTCTGACTAAAGTACCCAACCTAGGTCTCTAGCCTCTCTTAGCGTCCCACCTCGTCCCAAGAACTCCGGTTTGAATACTTTGTATATGACGACAGCTTTGTACTTGCTTCACCATCCCGTCTGCCCACTTCTTTGACGCTACTTTATACAGACGCTTTGTTCTGTATCTCATCCGCCGCCCCCTCAATCGATCGATATCTCAAAGACAAGGGAGGATCTACATCTCTCTCCGCATCCGCTTAAAAACTTCGGCGCATCCTCTCATATTGACCAAGTAGCACCCTTTCTGCCATCGACGAAACCCAACCTTCGAAAACCTGGCAGGAAACAAGCGACGCAGTCTCTCTTCGCAGGGAGGTCTGCTTAATAGAATGTTTGGCGGCGGTTCTAGTTCCTCTGCGGCGAAATCTGAGCCCGCCGTCGCCGATTCAGGAAAAACAGACAAGAAATCACCATCACCAGATCGAAAACCCGACTCTACTTCGGCCGGTGGTACCCCAACGAAGTCACCCGATCAAGCTGCTAGCGGCGAGAAACGTAGTGGAAATGGTAGCCCTCCTGGGCGACAAAACCCGGATACGGGCAATTCAGAGAAGAAGCGCAGAAGTTCTGGTGTTGGAAGCAAAGCGAGCAGTCTTATAGCCAGCGCCAAGAACAGTTTGAATTTTTCACAAGTTGGCCGATCGAACAGTGATGTTAGCAACCATACACCTCTACAGAAGCTAGGAAAACAAGATCAGTCACTTGCAGTGCCTCAAGGCCAGCATAACAACTCAGCTGGCGAATCTCTTCCAGGCCCGCGATCCACCTTCCGTGTTGGCGTTTGGGAAGATAGGAACAAAAAATGTCGCCGAACAATGGAAGATACGCATGCCTTCCTCTACAACTTTTTACATACCCCAGCTCCCCTTCTCGTCGCAGATTCGGGCAACAAGAGCCTGAAATCCCAAAAATCTACATCCGAGGATGCCGACCCACCAGCTGAGTCTAGCTCACAGGACGTGATTGAAACCGACAACGGTTACTTCGCGATATTCGACGGGCATGCTGGTACTTTCGCCGCGGATTGGTGCGGCAAAAAGTTGCATCTAATTCTTGAAGATATTATAAGGCGAAATCCTAATGTCCCTATTCCCGAGCTTTTAGACCAGACCTTTACCAATGTTGATCAACAACTCGAGAAGCTGCCTCTTAAGAATAGTGGCTGTACCGCGGCGATTGCCGTCTTGCGCTGGGAAGATCGAGTTCCTAGTACTAACTCTGCAACTGGTTCCCAGGCTATCGCTCCAGCAGCTGCTGCTGCTTCCAAGGCAACAGATGCTTCAAAACCCAAAGAAGCTAGACCTGAAAACGATGGTCCTAACAATGCGATAGTTGAATCAGCCCATGCAAGACTGAAAGGTACTGCGGTGCGGCAGCGGGTACTTTACACCGCAAACGTAGGTGACGCTAGGATCATTTTATGTAGAGCTGGTAAAGCATTGCGTCTCTCATATGACCACAAGGGTAGTGATGAGAACGAAGGAAAGCGTATTGCAAATGCTGGAGGTCTCATCCTCAATAACCGAGTCAATGGAGTATTGGCTGTTACCCGAGCGCTTGGAGATACGTACATGAAAGATCTCGTGACAGGACACCCGTACACCACCGAGACTGTCATCCAGCCCGAAGTAGATGAGTTTATCATCATCGCTTGCGATGGAGTAAGTTTTCAAAATACCCAACCTATTTATAGAAATATCGCTAACAGATGCCAAGCTCTGGGATGTTTGCAACGACCAAGATGCGGTTGACCTCATTCGTGACGAGCAAGACCCCGCGACAGCTTCTAAGAAGCTCGTGGACCATGCTTTGGCCCGTTTTAGTACGGATAATTTGTCATGTATGATTGTTCGATTTGACAAGGCGGCCCTACTAGAACATCACAACAACAAAGATAACCCTATCGGCGTGGAAGGGGACAGTACTGGTACGAGTGGTAAAGTCAGCGAAGCCGACAGGATCGTAAGCTCTACTAAACAGAAGATTGCTGAAGGTGACACCCCAGCCATTGGCATTTCGGCTAGTAACAGCGGCCGCGGTCACGATCTTATACCTATTGATGACGGTAGCGATACCTTCAAACCGACTATCATCGAAGGCCCAGTTGAAGAGGAGCCTCCTTCCTTGGAAGATAGCGATGCGCCAGAGGTTACCACGGATGCCATACCGAATCCGAGTGGCCTTGTTACGCCGGAATCCACGTCTCCGAACACCGCCGAGCCTCCATCAAAATCCTGATCACGGATTTTCTTATCGGGGAATTAGTATATCGCTGCGCCATACCTACCAACAACCGCGAGCTCACTTCCTGAAGCTACTAACCAATTTCTACGCACACAATACGTTGGCACTTTCGTTATTAGGGTGGTAAATTGTAATCACGCTTTACGTCTCTAGCGTGATGTACGATATCGGAGGTGAAGCGAGGGAATACACAGTGGCAATGTTGTCGGTTGAGACGGCAGTGAGGTCATGGCTATGGTCGGGTCGGGTTCTTGTATGAGAAACAATCTAAGGAGTAGACGGAATCCCAATCATGACAGGCTATGGTGGGGGATGAGCCGCAAAGCTCGCCGGGGATACTTGGTGCGCGTTGCATTGCCTTATGGGGGGTGGTTGGTGTACGGTACCAGGCTAGCAAGTACAACATGCAAATGAATTTTCTAGGCGATATGAAACGAAAAATCAATCTTACGACGTACATGAAAGAATACAATAAAAGGAAATTCAGTGAAAACGGTCAAGATACAACTAGTCTTAGAGGCAGGCCGTCTGTGTTCCTTCCGTACTCCTATTAAAATTTTGATATTTCTTTGTTACTGACCTCCTAGCTATTTCCCTGTTATGCTGATGGGTGCATTCTGGCATTGGGCTTGCTCTTGTTAATTGATGTCTCGGGTGATGACTGTACATGTAGATTGCGCTTTTTTAGGTAGGGCGATTAGTCCGTGGCTTATTTTATGACTGGGCGTCGGCACGGAGTGTGATACATCGGATATCGAAACCCAAGGAAACAAGATGATCGAGGTCGATAGGATCAAGAAGATGGGAAGATATATATTGTTTCTATGATCACTTTAAAGCTATTCGAATCACATGTCTGTATCTCGACAGAAATTTACGGTTCATGTAAGGTTCTTACATCATGCCCGTAAAGATAGAACATACATGTATGTCGTGATGTATCGAACTATTATATACCTAGGTAAGGTATTACCTTGATGGTAATACCTATAAAAGCCTTGTTAAACCCACCCCCCTGGTAAATAACGTCAGTATCCTTTCTGTGCGTAGATTTCCGTTGACCCAACCCCCATCCTTGTCGTTCCGCTTCTACGCCACTATGGACGGCCAAATATTGCTGGGTTTGGTATAGCTATGTGACGCTTTGACACAGATGCACAATTGGATGCGCTCTGAAATCCTACTACGTAGAGCTAACTTGGCAAATGTGTGTTGACCTGCCAGTTCTGATCGCGAAGGAAGATGCAGGCCAAAGGTCAGAGGTTGGAAGCTTTTGAAGTTATTGAGGACTAACTTATAAGAGAATCCATGTCTTACGAATTCCGTCGATGTCTTTTCGTGTAGGAGAGACATGACGTTACGACTGCATGCCGACGAAGTTACACTTATGTCGGTGGTATGGATTGCCGATCTTGCAGCATCGCGATCCCGGGTACAAGCAGGCTGGAAGGTACAAGCCTGGTTTTTCAGGTTCAATCATTTTTTGTAGAAGAATTTATTTATCGTCATATTTTACGGGCGATTTTGACTACCGGAATTCCTAGTGCACATGGAAGGGTTGCAATCTACGTGCCGGGCCTGCATATGCTATATGCAGGAGGAGGGTTCGCCAATTATATTGCGAACGGGTTCACTGGTCTACTACGTAAAGAGAGCCGTTGTCTCAGAGGATGAAGAAGAATTTGAACTGCCTAATACTTCTATGGACAAGCTTGCTTTTAAACAGGAACTCGACGTGTAAGGCTGTGGTTCATGTCGACCGATATCGATGACTTGCAGACAGACACGAGAGTCTCTGACTATCCGACTATCCGAATCGAATATAATATGCAAGACATTTCATCTATCGAGACGAAGCCATATGATGATGATGTACGACAGCGCGGGTTGTTCCGAGTCGCGACGATGTTACCCTCCTGCCATAGTATACATTTGGAATAGTATTCTGGATGTCCTTCTACGGACTTGGTTATCTTTTGTTGGCTGGCTGACGGATGTAGGAAAACGGAACGATAAATTACCATCACTTGGAAGGCTTGAGAAGGAAGACCAATAGAGGAAAGGTTCGAAATCTTACCCCTGAATGACAGTATGCGCATCCCGTCCATAGACTGTATTTTTCATTTAATGGTAAGAGTAGATTGGCTACACATTACTTACGTACAGCTTCAAGGTTCCAGTGCATGGCCTATGCGCTCCAGTGCGGGGCCCCCTTAGCGGCGGGCTGCAGTGAAGATGTCCAGTTCCGTTGCTCAGTTGAAACCTACAACTAGAATCCCGCTAATGCAAGGTGCTGAAGAGATTTGGTGATTTGGTGATTTGGTGCCTCTTCCGTTGTTCGTCAATTTTGTTTGCCCAATTGTTATGTACCTAAAAACTTAAATGCTTCCTACAACAAGGATCATTAATGAATCCATCCAAGGCAATCCTATTCTAGCTTTACCCTAACTCCAAATACGGGAAAGCTTAGAAAACGTTCGACCTTCAATTGGAATGGACTGAAAATAGTAAGGTGCGTTAAGAAAGTGTACTATCCGACTTCTGTAAAGGAGGTTGCAAGTACCGTAATAAGGTATCCTTATTTGAAAGTTCCTAATAGCCTCTACCATATAGCACCTACTTTGGATGGGCTAATCTCCTGCTAGGGTGCCCAGATGCCTACTTGTAGGTACATATGTAGGTACATATTCAGGTACCTAACACCTGAGATAGGTGCATAATTCCGATAGGTATCCCCTATTTTCTTTCCCCGACCACCAATCATCATTAGTTTGCCTTTAACCTTACCACTACAACATTTCCTCTCACTCGATCCTTTTCTAAACCTGCAACACCTATCCCATATTTCGTCTTGTTTTTCGATTCTCGTCAACCCCCCTTGTTGGTGTATACTTCGTATATCACTCACTCATAAACTACGGAAAGTAGGGTTATCTTTTCCGATTTTGCTTTTCACTTTTACCGTCACTCTTTTTAATATAATTCATTTCTTGCTTGACCATCTCGTGTGTTATAAGCTGCTCACTCATTACTTTTCTGTGTCTCTTGTCCTACCTAAAGTGTATATTCATCTTCTAACGCTCGGGCTTCTGGGCCGCTCACCCCCTGATCCCTGAATCTCTCGACATACCTACTAGCGTGTAGTTAGGTTAGTACGGTATTATTATCCTTTCAACCCCTATCGAAATTTCCCGCCCCCTGGTCGAACCCCATACTGTTATCCCGCCTTTTTCGTTTCAACCGATTCAACTCTCCTTCATCCAGTGTGTCGTGTGTCGTGCTAGCTATGCGAAATCGTTTTCGGCATCAACAATTCTAATCGATATTCTGTAAACCATTCATAGACTGCGAATGGTGGTGATGTCTCAATGTCGAACCAGATTGCCGGTCCCTTGAATTGGCTCTGGTTCTGGACCACCATTCTGATCCTTCCGATATCTAAACTACCAATAAGGGCGCTGTAAGCCGGCAAGATCTTTCTCGACGTATACGAATCTTGCGAAATCCGATTTTTTCTAGCGCAACCTTCCAGATCTTGCTCGGTCAGCCGTCGCCGAGGACGACATTTCTCCAGTAGATATGTCGTTGAATGGGCTGGACGATGCGAAGGTTAAAGAGGCCTACGAAGTCGCTGTTATCGAGCCAGGAGGATGGTACGAGAATTTCTTTCTTTTTTCCCACCCTTGAGTAAATTTTGTTCCTATATACATCAATTGCGACAACGCTATACTCAATTATAGTGTCCCTCTTTGCTGGGTTACCTCTGTTTGCGCCACTAACTTAAACGTAATTGCGAATAGGTTTCTTCTCAAGTATACCAACCGTGATGAGGTCGAATTGTATGAACGTGGGAATGGCGGTATCGTCGATGTCCGAGGTGCAATCGCAAAATATGAGGAACCATCGCCCCTGTATGGCTTATTAAGATACAGACGAAGAAGCGTTATATTGAAATACCAACCCGATGATTGCTCTAGGCTTATTCAAGGTAAGAAGCTACCCCATATCCTTGGTAATATTTTATGTGTGGGATTGGATGAAGATCACTGGACCGTGAGATATAAGACAAAACAAGGGAAACTTGCTAATTTGATACCCATTTTACCATATACAGTTCGCGCAGCGGTGCATTTTAATGCGGTCTGTGAACGATTTTCGCCTTACGATACGACTTTTGAGATTTCGGTAGCCAAAGATCTAAAGGACAGTAAACTTTCTGCGGCCTGCTCACTGCATGCCGCCTCCGGCTCAGCTTCATCATCTTCGAGTTCCTTGCGCCGACGGCGATTGAATGAAATTGCAGAGGAAGAAGAGGAGGAGGAAAGAGAAAGAAAAAGGCAATCGACAGTCAAAGAGGAGGGAAATCGTGCATCATCTGTATATTCGTTACCCGTTCGCCCAACGTCCTCAGAACAGCCCGCGGTTTTCGACCGTCAACAAATTGGTGCCGCTCAAGACGCGAACTTTGCCTCGACAACCAATGTTCCCGAATTCACTGGAGTAAACAGACCCGTTTCGCCTAGCAAATCAGAATCCGCCCCTCGTCTATCATCCCAATCCACAAGACCCGATTTATACAGCTATTCAACATACACTTATGGCAAACCCAAAGTAAAACTTGGGCCCCGACCATCCTTAGATGTAAACAAGAGACCATCAACGGCTGGAAACTTTCGTCCCACAGCGGCTTTGCCAGCAGGTTTCAAGTTTTTCTCCAAAGGAAACAAGAAAAGACATTCTCAAGATCTGAGTCAGATCGAGAAAGCCCAAGAAACTGCGCCAGAGACTGTTGACACCACTGTGACAAAATCTATCCCAATCCCGGAAGTTCCTAAAGACACGAATCTTCAGCTTCCACCGCGACCCGCGACAAGCTCTGGGGCATCTATAAAATCTACCACACAGCCCTTAGCTCCATTATCAACCAAAGAAGTAAAAATGACACCTGAAAAGGCCCGCCTTATGAAGGCGATGAAGCTGAGGGAAAAGAAAAAGATGCAGAATTCCACAGCTCTGGAACAGACCTCAGCTTTAGATAAAGCACCCACAAATGAAGAAAAGGAGGAGACCCATACCGAACCCAAAGATTCTTTACACATTAGCGATAATGTCAGCCACCGAACCATATCACATGCAGATTCTGGCATTGCGATCGACCCGCCCACACCAATGACGATCAACACGGAAGACACATCAGACTCGCATCCAAATTCACCCACAGCCGCAACATTGTCGGAGATAGGGGCATCTACAAAAGCATCTTCTTTGTCCGAATCGACAGACGAAACTGTCCTAGAAGCAAAAGAAACGACTCAAGAGTCTGAACGAATGGGTCATAAAGAGGAATCCAAAAGTTTTCTAGGGAATGAGGGTCTACCAATTAGCGCTGTGGAGACAGCAGTGGATGAAGGGTCACAGGCTGAGACGCAGATCACCCTTGTCTCAGATACAACAAATATCAAAGACATTGAGGAATCTTCCAACATTCCAGAACCTATCCACTCTACACAAACAACAGAATCTGCGATCCGAGAATCTATAGAGATAGATGATTCAACCGACTTTATCTCGCAGACTCACCCTGCGAGTGAAGAGAATCCAATTAAGTCGCCTTGGGGGCTACCCGTTTCAAAGTTCTCTTCCAACGAACCGAAGACACCTACTTCGACAAGGTCACCAACAACATCGCCGACAACTCCTAGCCTAAGGTCGAAATTCTCCGTACCCGACATTACTATCCCTATCGGGCCCATTCCTCCTCTACCAGACACTTCCTCTACGTTACTGGAAGAAGACCACCAGCAAATAAGAGCCGAATACTCTCCCAAATCGGACCCGAACATTGGGCTGTCTACTCAGAAACACGCCAAGCGCAAGACCGTCGTCGGACCCATTCGAACCGATCTGACAAAGACCACTCCTCTCTCTGAGGTTTCCGACCCTCTCCTTGACGATGACCTAATGGATGAGCTACAATCAGCGACGTTACAGGAGGCCAAACCTATGCTTGTTTCGAAGTCACCTATTACGCCTGTCTTCCCCAACTCCAGTCCCCTCAAACCAGCTGCACAATTATCTCGTACAGTCTCGAACCCAATGCGTGGGCCGCTCCTAGTACCTGGCGATGTATCACAAAGTAGTGCTAGAAGTGTATCCGCAGGTGGCGCGGCCTACCTACACACAATTACTCGACAGTCATCAAATGCCGGCCTGCAAGCTAAGAAGAGTAATCTCGGATCGAGCATTTCACAAAGGATAAAAGCCTTGGAAAAGCTTTCGGGTAGCACTAGTACCGAGGATCTTCGTCCTAAAACTGCGACTCCCTCTTCAACTTTCTTTAGTGTTCGAAAGCAGAGCGTAAGGGATCCTTCAAGATCTCCTTCGATAGTAGATCGTGCAAGTACTTTAGCTGGGCATACACCCACTACACCCGAACAGTCGAGAGAAGTTACTCCCGAAACTCCAAATGGCAGCGGTCGCGAAAGGCGCGAAAGGTCTTTGTCGGTAGCTAGCCGACTAAGCATGTTCGAAAGCCAATCCCAGACCCTACACCGAGGGCGCCCAGAATCAATACAAGTTACTGCGAGGATAATTCGCGATCCGAGTCAAAGCCTACCGAGGAAACCCGATGCGAACGCGAACGTCGGCGATTACCCTCAGCTTGAATTGAAGCAATCGCCATTAGTGGTTGATCTACAAAGAACAGAAGCATCTCAGCCAGTGCCTGGGCCCGAGCCCATCAAAGCATCAAAGGAGACAATACAAGAGAGACGCGATAGAAAGAGTATATCAGATGATGGCGAGAAGGCGCGTAGACGGTCATCCTTGAGTATTGTTAAGGATTTCATCAAGGATCGCCGGGCATCAATTGCAAGCAAATCAACTGATAATCTGACAATCATGTCACCTAACGGAGCTAAGTCTCCTAATAGGCCACCCTCTACTCACCAAAATGCCGGTGGTATCGCGCGACGCCTGTCAATTTCAAGCCGCCGCTCATCATTTACTCGTGACCGAGACAATTCGTCGCTCGCTTCACCCGCCGTCTTCAGTGATAGTGGTTCTGGGGACGATGATAAGAACTCGAGCGACAAGAAGTCTAAGAAGCGAGCGTCTCGCTTTATCAGACGCCTCTCGAACTCGCTTAGCGGGAACCGCAAAGCTGCTAGTCCTAGCATCTCTCCGACCGTTGCCGAAGAAGATGCCGACCAGCTTGCTGCCGCGTCAATGACCGATGTCTCTCTTTCCCAGCCCGCTGTTGTGGCATATATGGGAGATGTCAATGTGCAGTTCCCGGACAATTTACTGTGGAAGCGCCGCAGCATGTGCCTAGATACACAAGGATTCCTTTTCTTGAGCGCCGTCCAAGGTGTCTCAACAAGCGTTAAAGATAAGGCTGGCGCAGGCGTTAAGCGCTACCACCTAAGCGACTTCCGCTTACCTTATATCCCTGACGTTGAAATTCAAGAGCTGCCCAACAGCGTCGTCTTAGATCTACTAGAAGGCTCTTGCCTGCAGATTGCCTGCGAAGACCGAGCCGGTCAAATGAGTATATTACATGGTAAGTTCTACGAAATTCGCGACTTTTTCCTGTTATACGTTGAATCATGCACTAACATCCATCCGCAGCTCTACAAGATGCACACCGAAGCCACAGCTCCTTCGGACAATAAGCTTTCGAGATCTCTACTACGACTGCAATTCACCTTCTTTCAAACCTCCCCTAAAACTTTTCCTTGATTACGACAGATACCCAAGCCTCTTTACAACATTGTGCCAGTAAAACGCATTCACTATTTTCCTTTTGTGTACCTGGATTCGTACAGTCTGACGACGACCGCCGTTTCATTCCGGCAGTAATTGCCATACATGTTTCCACATTCGACAAAAATTTATACGTCCTAGGAGGACATACCGTTGTTTAGTAACCTTGCTCTTCAATTTTTTTGTACTTTGAAGATTTCTTTTCTCGCGGTGTGAGAAAATGATACCAGCTATTGGGAGATATATTGAGGAGGAAGGCTGTCGTGTTTTCTTGCATCTCGCCACTGGTGGGAAAGGTGTTGTTGATGCTTACTCTTGAAAAAAGGGGAGGTTCGTGGAGAATGACGGGCCAGAGACTGTAAAACAAACAAGGGTTGTTTAGTATTATGTATGGTGTACATAGCACACACAGTATTGGCGTGCGTCAATAAGCATCACAATGTGTATTTGTTAATGTTAAGAATAAATACATAAATAAAATAACTAATGAAGTGTACCTGCCGTAACCTAAACTTGTGAAGGTTTTCTTCTAATTAGCCAAAGTTCGTCAAAGTTGAGTCAACTTCCTAAGGTTTTCTGACAATGGCGCCACAATGTGTTATCGTGACTTCCCCGACTGAGCCGGGGTAGCCTTTATTGGAAACTCAACCATAAACAAGACAAACCATAATTCATTGTCTATTGAACTCACTCAACAATAAACTTCATAAGAAATTATATAAAACAATCCTTTATTCCCCAATCTCAACTTTTCCCAATGAACAATCAATTCGTTTGCCAACGTAGCAGATCGTATCTTTCTGATGCCCAATTGGATAAGTACCTCACTCGAGGCCCAATTCCATGACAGCCGAACATTCCTTGACAATACACACTACACAACACTCATCACCATAATTGCCTACCCAATCGCTCTATTTAATACCTCGTAAATAATTCCATCCAAATCAATTCACTCTACACCAATCTCATCCCCACACAAATCATTATGCCGAATCACAACACACAGGAGGGCATGAACCGCCCAAATATCACACATCTTAAGAGCATTCTCCGAAATCGAATAGGAGACGATAGCAGCGAAATGGTGTCGTGCACGGAAGACAGACACCGATGCCGCGCCCTGACTGTCACATTCAACGACGCGAAGCTCGCCAGCGATGCCGAGACGGGCTTTCACTACTTCCCTAGCGCTAGATCGCGCAAGGAGTACGTAGCTGATGTCCAGACACGCAAAGCTGCAGAGCTACTCGAGTTTTTCAGGAACCTACGGAATTCTCAAGTTAGAGGGCCTGCAGACGAAGAGGACGAGAGCGACAGGGGCGACAGTAGTGAAGATGAGGACACCGAGGACGAAGGTGACGACTATGATGATGACTACAAGGACGAGGACGAGGACGAGGACGCGGACGAGGGCCAAGATACGGACGATCCCGACACAGATGATGATGATCTCGAAATTGTCTTCGAAGATGATCCTAACCCGAGCCTTGGAAAAGGCCTCGAGAGTCTCATAGAAAAGATAAGATCTAATGAGTAAAACAGCCTTTTCCCGTGATTACTTTATCCCTATGGTGAGTGACTAGTGATATTCTCTTTTGGCTGCTGTTGGACTTCGTTGAGTAACAAGTGATACAGATGACTCCTCGACCACACATGCAACATACGACCTGTCTTTGGCGTGACACCAATCGTCCTTAGGTACGATGCTTCCATCCTTCTTTGCCTGTATAGCTTTACTTGTATCCCTGGGCCATCTACACCCTATCTAACACAAAGAACAACACTATAGGAATAGACGAGCGTCATAATTCATTAGATAGTGTTTGCACATACAGATGGGCTATAGCCTAATCTCAAACGCAAAAGGTACTTCCGGCCACGGTCCTGTTTGACTGCCATTTTACGAAGGCATCTACAGGAAACAAACCGCCAGTTTCGCCCCCTCAACTCCTTGTCGTTATGTCTGTGCATGAAAAAGCGCAGGATTAAGAAGTTATATCTGGAGAGTGAAAGAGGTGGGGGCACATCAAACCCCCGAGATGGTTTCCCCCTTCCCCGTCAATTCACCACATATGAGTCTCATGAGCTCATCCATTTCTGGATTATCTAGATGAGATGAGCCAGTACTAGATATCTTTGACTCGACTGCTACGAGTTTCCAAGTTGAACCCTAAAAAGAATTGTTTCTCGAGCTAGTCAGCTTTGCGTCCAGTCTCACGTCTCAGGAGACTTGTTGGGGGTCCGGTTTATCATGGCATTGGCCGAATGAAGGCGGATGCCTATGAGGACGCGAAGATACCCTATGCCCCAACCATAGTATTGACTTCGACAATCAGAGCCGATCTGGGATCAACTTCGTATCTTGTAGCGCTCAATGCGTAGTTCTCTAACAAGATGCGATCACTCAGAGCAATAACTTTACGGCGGTTGTGGAAACAATCACGTCAGCTTCAGGAACTGGCGAGTTGGTTCGTACGAGGACGTTGTATCGGAGTTGCTCGTCTACGGCCTCATCTGTGGAAGGGACTTTCGTTCTTGGGAAAATGTTTACCTTGGTCATACTTGGTATGGGTTGTATCAGAGTTGGCTTGATATTGGTTAAGTGTTGAATAAAGGTTTTGGTTCAATTCTCGTTAGGCCTATTGGGTATCCCCCATTCTTCACTTTTTCTATTGCCAATTCTCATATAATAGCCTGCCTAATTACATGAACCTAATAGACACCGTCATGAAGCGGATTGATAAGCATGCATAATATATACGACTTCCATTCCGTGGCTTCAAGTTATTTGCATGTCCTATTTACAACGTGGCAAGGCAAGTGAAAAAAGTGCTCTTCTATGAATGCCACGTAACACCACTCGTCACTTTAGAGCCGAGGGCTCAGGGACCAGCCTCAGTAGATCCTATCGAATCTTACTCAGGTCATAGTCTGCGGGGTACATCATCGAGGGTGTTACACAAGCCCCTCGTAAAATCCTGGTTGAACAAATACGTGTAGATGACGTCGCTACATAGAGGGTACATAAGCGAATAAATAGAAATATATAGGAAATGAGTAGTATATCCAACTCTAATAGACATAGATATAGTCTTTCAAGTAAACTAACTCACGTCTTTGTCTCTCCGTCTAAATATATCCTTAACCAAGAGATGGTTACACAACCAATTCATTGAACCTCATTGGTTAAGGCAGGTTGGGTATCCTCTAAACACCTTAGCTTTGAGCTCTTGCACGGTGATTAGTAGATAGATAATCTTGACTCTCTTTTAGATAGTAGCTCCGTCTCTATTCGAGACGTCTTCAACCGAACTGTCTCGACACCCACCCTAGAAGTATAGAAGAAGCAAAATGGGGAGAGCTTTTAGCACAATCCACAATACCCCTCTTAACCGACGCCACCATTTCTAATAGATACTCCGTACTCCATCGCGAGGCTCCGAATTCACAATGCTCAGCTACTTAAGCAAGTACCTAAATAGAGTAGTATTCCCAGATGCGGCTCTCCCCGGAAGCTGAGGATTGCGTATGACGCCACAACCCCGCTGCTCGCAAAAAGAAAAAAAGCCGCGGCGAAATATGAGGATTACGTGATACAGGTAGAAATGTTAGGTAGACACACAGACACAGTACCTCGAAGCTGACCGCATCTTATTTCGATGGAGCTTGTTCGTATTGCCCTAGCAAACCCCCCCAATAACAAAGCGAGATTGCATCTAGTCAGCATGCAATGCTACAGTACATCACCTTCCTATCCAACCGTCGGCTTGCTTTTTCGACAAGTTTATTACCCTATTCAGCAAGTAGTTTGATTAGAACCAGGCGCGCAATGCTTATTCCAATGACATCCTTGACATACCCGAGCTGATGTTCTCTTTATGCCTGGTGATTGCATCAGCACCCGATAGTCGGGTTTCCCAATCACTTTTTGTTCTTCATGATGCGTGATTGCCAACAATTATTTCCTACTTTCTGTTTATCGGTGCTCTGATCGGTATCAGTTTGTTCCACAGACAACATGAAGCTGCGTTGGTTGTCAATTGGCCTCTTGGCTCTCCTCTCGCAGGATGCCAAGGCATTACAAATAAGGCGAGATACGCCTCGAGATCAGCTCGATTACGATGTCCACTATTTCGACCAGAAAATTAACCATTTTCTTAACTCGGAGCAGTTCACCAAGTCCGATCTAAGCCATGGCACCTTTAAGCAACGATACTATTTCGATAGTTCGTATTACAAGCCAGGTTAATATCCTATATAATTCGCACTCTTGATGTAGCAATACTAACGCTTTTATAGGTGGTCCCGTGTATCTTTACATATCTGGAGAGACGAGCGGACCTAGCAGGTTCTCTAACTTACAAACCGGTATCATCCAGATTTTGATGGAAGCTACCAATGGCTTAGGTATGCAACATAAAGATAAGAGAACAAGAAAAGGACAAGCACTGATTTAACTTGAAGGTGTTATTCTTGAGAACCGTTACTATGGAGAATCATACCCTTTCAACACCAGCACCACAGATGAGCTATTGTTTCTCACAACAAACCAAACAATAGCTGACAACGCCAACTTCGCTCAAAATGCCGTATTTCCTGGAGTCCCTGGTAACCTGACCGCCCCCAGCACCCCGTGGATCGTGTATGGTGGTAGCTTGGCGGGACTTCAGACAGCTTTGACCATCAAGGTGCATGGAGACGTCCTCTATGGAGGCATTGCTGCTTCGGCCCCGATCAAGGTGAATGTGGGCTACCCCGAGTGGTATAACCCGATTCAGAAATACGCACCTCAGGACTGTGTCACTCGAATCAATGGGATTATCGAGAAATTCGATTCGCTCATCGCTAGCAACAATACCAAAGCGATCAACAAGTTCAAGGCTCTGTTCGGACTTGAGGTGCTAACAGATAACCGCGATTTTGCAGCAGCCATTGCGGTACGTTTTGCATCCCGACGCCTGTTTTCGGTAGGTATGGCTTTTCCTTGGTCTGTGACTAATTAGATGTATAGGATCCTATCGGAAACCCAGGATTCTATCACTCGAATACTTGGCAAGAACTGAACTGGAACTCTACTTACGGATCCAGAGATTTCTTCTACTTCTGCGGAAATGTCTCTGACATCGACGCCCCGGCGGAGATCTCTCATGTAGACTGGACGTTGGCAGATTACACCAATGGAGAGCCTTGGGTGTAAGTTTTACCTTCACTTGAGTGGCTCTTCGAGGAGACTATAGTGTCTATTGATTGTCTCTCATATTGAGTTCTTGGCTGACTCTAGTTTTCCCTATAGCGGTCTTGGTGGTTACGCCAACTACATCAAGACGTACACTCTTCCCCTGTGCCCTTTTGGGGACTACAACAGCAACGACTGTTGGGTGAGTAACTGGGGCAAATTGTTTAACGCGAGTAGTGACTGACATTCTCTTTACAGGGAACCCAGAACGAAACGGCTTGGGCCAGTGTGGAGAACACTGCTACACGCTCATATCTGTACACTAGCTGCATAGAACAGGTGAGACCCCCGTAGCGTGGCTTCGTACTTCAGCACGAGTTAACATATGATAATCTTAGGGCGCATACATCGAAGGGCCAAAGGAGGGACCAGCTCTATTGTCTAGTGTCATAGATACCAGTTATGAGCAACAGGTATGTACCACTGAGTCCTTTTTCTGGGAGTCTCCTCAAGCCCTTAAAGATATTTCACTCAATAAAATAAGCAATACTAACTTTTTATTGCAGTGGTGCACTTGGGCTTTCCCCGAAGGAATTTACAACGCGATCCCGTCAAGCCCGAACGTAGGCGTTTACGATGACTATGGTGGATTCAACTTCAGCGCCGACAGGCTGGCATTCATCGATGGTGATCAAGTACGTATTCCCAAATACAAAACGCCCGTATTTGTCTGATATACTAATGGATACCCTAGGATGTGTGGAATGATCTATGCTATCACTCCAACTTCGCACCAGCGCGAACAGTGTCGTCCGACCTACACCCGGAGTACTTGATTACCGGAGCAGGTCACCACTGGGATTCCTATGGTATCTTGGATGTCGATGCTGAGCCTCAGTTCATCCGCGAGGCGCACTTATGGCAGATTAAAACTGTGAAGAAGTGGCTTAAGACTTTTGATGACTGGAAGAAGTCGAAGGGGATCTAATAGCAAAGGCTTATTTATGCCACTGCCTTCGAGATAATGATTATATCTAATGGGTTGGATATAGACGTCTGAGACGGCGAATATTACGCTTAATGTGTATAACTAATAGCGGATAGAAAAAGTAGTCTATACAGACGCCATTTGGGTTATAGGTATAGAATGAACATTGGCCAAGAGAACCTTCTCAGGACTCCGAATGTGAGAAATACGAGCATGGCAAAAGGGGCTTGAAGCTAATCGACCTCATGAGCTCCATCTGATGCGTAACAAATTAGTTGAGAGATACTTGCTTACTGGCATCTTAAATGTTTTCAGCACGGCGCTTTCAGCTTGGCATGTCATCACACGAGCTCAGGTTCTGAAACTGTTGAGAGGAATGTTGATGAGGTAATGATGATAAATATAGCGTCTAGGCTGTTGGGTAATCTAGGAATCTGAGAAACGGGGCTCGTCGATTTGACCAAAACTGCGACTAGCAATGAATCAACCATGTAGAAGATTGTCTATTATATCAGAAATCCCTAGGTAGATCTAGAGTTGAAGCAATTCGTGCTATGCGATTGATTGGATGGTCAGACCCAATTTTTGTGGAGATACAGTAGCACCACATAAAGCCGTTATATACCCTAATAAAACCTATTCAGTCAATCAACAATGGGTGCATGGCCTAATGGTAAGGCGTCAGATTTCGGTATTCAGGTCTTTGATCTGTGAATGCAATCTCTGAAGATTGCAGGTTCGATCCCTGCTGTGCTCGATTCACTTTTTGTCATTTTTCATTATTTCTCCTGGCTAATCTTGCCAAATTCGGTAATCATAAATCTCCGTGTCTGCATGCACATTTCTTTTTTATCTTTATTCGAGTACATCTGTACTTTGTCTACCCATTTTAATTTTTTTTCGACGTATCAACTTAAAGATTGAGAGGAGAGAACCAAGGTGTTCGTGATGTAGTTTGCAGTTTCCAATTCAATTCCATGCCACTTCACTGCAGGAACTATTCTTCGCTAATGTGCGCATTTAAAATGAACCTACGACAACCGCAAGTTCCTTCCCTTTGTCTTCCTTCCGTGAGTGTCGCCCCGCTTTGTATCGGTATTTATGATGACCGAGATCGGCCCACTAATCTTTTTTTCATTTTCATTTTCATTTTCGTGGGTTTATCAATATGATAATCAATCAACCAACCATTCCTGACTTACAAAGACTTTTTCATTTGTGCTTTGGTTACAAGACCTTAGGTACCTACACACCGCCGGGAGAGACCCACGACGGCGGATCAAGGACAAGTACGTAGGCGTCCCTTGAGTCACGCAGCTAGTGTATCGACAATTGCTGCCATCCGTGTGCTACCAGGTTACTGCCGTTTTATTACTCGTGCCACCTTGGCTGGATAGTTCTCTCTAAGCTGCTGGTTGATATAACCAGCTATCCACTCCTTTCATACACACTTTCTAGGTTTGTGTTGTTGTAGCTTGGCAATTCGAATAGAGCCTCGTCTTTCAGCATGTCTGCCTCTTTACCTGGCAATCGAGAGTTGCCCGAGTCGCAATATGACTTAAGCACATATTGGGGCCGTGTCAAGCAGACGGCTACCATCACCGACCCGAGGTATGATAAGAATTGATTATTACCTCGTGCTGTGTTCCATTGGTTATTGTATAGAACATTCTAACGTGGATTCGTTATCGTAGAACTCTTCTTGCCGGAAAACATGGCCTCGAGCACGCCAAGAAGTTGATAGTGGCGTACAAGCAGGGCGAAATCAAAGACATGACGCCTGATTTATGGAAGGCCAAGAAGATTGTTGACTCTACATTACATCCTGGTATGATAGCTCGAATTTGGAGTGTCTCGTAACTTTGCGCAGTCGAGTTAACACAATTGGATAGATACCGGAGAGCCAGTTCTCTTGCCTTTCCGCATGTCCTGCTTTGCGCTGTCGAACTTAGTCGTCACGGTGGGAATGCTCACACCGGGATTAAAGGTATACAACTCACCTCTACCATAGCTAGCTTGAAGGAAAGCATGCTCACACGATTCGCGATAATAGACAACCGGAACAGTGCTATGGCAGATCACCAACCAATCCCTCAACGTCGCCATCAATTACGCGAACGCGAATAAGTCCACCCCGCTTTCATATTCGAAAATCACACAATCCTACTTCCTCGCAGTCGGCGCATCTTGCTCTGTAGCCATTGGCTTGAATTCGCTAGTACCCCGCTTGAAGCGATTCTCGCCGTCCACAAAGCTTATTCTTGGCCGTCTCGTCCCGTTCGCGGCTGTGGCGTCTGCGGGTGTGTTGAACGTGTTCCTCATGCGTGGGGAGGAAATACGGACTGGAATTGACGTATTCCCCGTGCTTTCGGAGGCGGATAAGACGAAGTTGGCTGAGGAGGGTAAGGCTGAGAGTAGTGTGCCGAGTCTAGGGAAGAGTAAGAAGGCGGCGACATTGGCGGTTGGCGAGACGGCGTTGAGTCGTGTTTTCAATTGCACTCCGATTATGGTGGTGCCGCCGTTGTTGTTGGTGCGATTGCAGCGCACTAAGTGGTTAAAGAAGAATCCGCGCTTCACGATGCCGGTTAACCTAGGTCTAATTCTAGGTATGAGTTATCTTGCGCTACCGTTCGCGCTCGCAGCGTTCCCCCAGCGCCAGAGGATTAGCGCGGAGAGCTTGGAGGAGGAATTCCATGGTCGGGGAGGCGAGAGGGGATTGGTCGTGTTTAATCGTGGAATCTAAGAATGCCTGGGTATCTATGTATGCATCGTTCGCGGCGTTAATGGTTAGGCAGAGCTCCTCGTATGGCGGGCTAGGTATACTAGGCGTTTCTGTGAGGAACTTCACGATCACACCTACTCCTGGCAATTTGGTCTAAGGGGAAGGAAGATAAGTTTTGCGGGTAGACATAAAACGAGTCGCAACTCGTTGAAGCGCTATTGCGCATCAAATGTAAGATTTAGACTAGTACTTGACTCGATGGGCGACGTGAGAGTTTCTTGCGACCTACCTGCCTCCTTGAGTTTCACTATGCGAAAGAACGTAGAAGAAAATGCATGGAATGGAAACGGATATCGAAACCAAATTGTAGTCAGTAACATCTGCCTTTAAAAGATGCGAGGGGAATGTCGCGTTTCCGGGTCTCAGCTTGGATCACCAAACCGTCTGAACATTCGCTGCTGCGGCTTCGCGCGTCTGGTTACAAGTTAGGGGTCCTTGCACCCCTGGCTGTGACGATCGGGGATGACAGCTGGGGTTCTATTTCTTCTCTTTTAAAGGAGGGGCATGATTCCTTGGATGGGTTTGGAGACCCTGTAACAACGTGCTGCCTAACGTGTAGGGGTCTAGATATATAGGTACCTGATAGAGATAGTGATGCTGCTACAGGAACGTATTACACCATACTTTAGTTGGCAAATCCTTTTGATATCTTGGTCATTCGGTTGATGGGGGGTACTTTTGTGGTGGGACGCTGGCCCCGTTTTGCATCCTATTTACGCGAAAATAAAAGGACCGGAAGTGCTGGGAAACAGGGATGAGATCATTGTACTGGTTTCTTGGTAATTAATATTCAGCCCATCGGATCTTTGGAAGCGTCAGACATACATAGTAAGTTTAAGTGAGGGGTGAAATAAAAAGAAAAATAAGAAAAAAGGAAGTTCTAGCTGAAGTTAGGTACTGACACGAAAAGGATTCAACGGCGAAGGCTGACTGTTTAGGGGGCTATCTAACCGCTGTAGGTAGGTACATCGTTGTTAGTAATCTGTAATATTCCTGGGAGTCCTGTTATTTTACGATGCTATTTTGAATTTCTACCTATCCAATGCATTTCAATGTAATAGATTCGATGTGTTCCCTAATTCATGTGATCAGGAGAGGGTGTAGTACTTCGCTATAAGCCGATTTATCCAGGCGAAGCCGCTGGAGGAGCTGTGCACATTACATGCGTGCCCAGGCACAATACCTACATGTTCGACTCGGTCTAATAAATATGTACCGTCAGATAACACCACTTTGAAGTGGGGTTCATGGGAATAGTTGTGACATACTTTAGAATATCGATTCGTTCCTAACATTCATTATTCACCTATTTTTATAGATTGGTTATTGCTCTACTGTTAGATAGGTAGACGGGATTCCCGCTTGATCGCTATGTCATCATACGGGACAACCCATGGTTCTCAAGAAACAGATGACGGATAAAAATGTCTCAAATCGAGAACGTTTTATAAAAAGTCAAATGACACACGGTCCAATAGGGGTTTCCTTTCGGGAAAAGGAGGGTGATTTCATGAAGACGTGGACATACTCGACTACGTAAAAAAAGGAATGTATAATAAGAAAGTATCGATCAATAGAAAAATATAAGAAGAATGACATTGCTAAAAATTTAAGTTTATAAGTCACGGTGTTATGGCATGTTCTTGATCTTTTTTTCGCCACGCCAATAAAACTGTACATATGTATCTATCATCTGAACCATTAAACTATCTTCCCTCAAGGTTGACAGGTCATAGGTCTTAGTTTCTTGTCAAAGACTATAGGACAACAAGCCGCGAGGCAGAAGGCAGAGTTTTTGAATATGTCTCTGCCTGAAAAGGCTATGAGCCCAACTACAACAACAACAGGAAATAGGAAAATGTAAATGTTCGTTGTATTATAATCCCGTACAGTATAACCCAGGAATATACCTAGGTACGTACCTATACGGGCAAGTATCTGCTGTATCTACTGCACCTGTAAGTCAACATGGAAATTTTGTCAGCCGAATGTTGGCCCGTAGTTCCGCCTCTCCCTTGAATGCAGCTATACATGCAATATGCAGAGTCCGGAAAAAATGACTCTGTGTCCAGTTAAACTAGGCGTATTTTGACATCAATGCCTATGATGTTATGAAAGCCTTGCAATGCAGGTTGTAGACAAGTATTAAATTTTTATGTAACTTGTATGAAATGTGACTTAGTATTCGTTTTTTTATTAAGTCGATAAAATCAACGATTAGTTATTGTGAAATGTGAACTAGCACCACTTTCGAAATCGAGAAGGGTTGGCTGTTGATCGTTGGTAAATTCGGTTTGCTCAAATTATAGGAGCCGAAAAACTCCTACGAGTTAGACTGAAATTTGTAAGAATAGCCAGACATTCCCACGCTTGTTGTAGACATGCCCACTAGGATCGCGGACTGCCACGCGGCACGAAATCCCCTCGCTTACCTACCTAGGTACCTATTACGAAGGGTACTTTTTGATTCTCATCTTCTTAATAGTCAGCTAAGGACCCAACTTCGTCCTCGCTCGTCGAACAGAAAATAATAATAAGGCTGCAAGCAAGATCCATGATGATAGGTGCATACTTCTTCTACGATACTTGGGTACCTAGGCGACCACTTCGAAGTGAGAACGAGGGATAATGGATGAGGGGAACAAAAACTAGTGCTGCACAGTTGCTGCAAGAGATGCATAGGCGACACTAGAGAAGGCAACGTAGATTTGGGCGAGCCGAACCATTAGTACCAATAGTAGTGTGGCGATATTTGCCGTCTGCGCCTCGGGAGTCGTGTTGACGATAGCGATCAGTAGGAAGTATATAGTATATAAGGGTCCCTAAATGGGTCTGGCGGAATTCTCATGTAATGTAGTATTCCAGAAAAGGGCTCCACCGACCGACCAATCAATCGTCTTATGTTATTTGTACCATCCCTTTCCATCTAGAAGGGACTCTGTTGATGTAAGAGAAGAAATCGGAATGCAAGTAGAGGGATGGATAATATTTGGTAGCTGATTTCGAATAGACAATTTAAACATTAAAGGACTGTAGTTGGTAAATGAGTATTGTGATAGTATCTTGGCCATGATTAAATTGGGTGGAGAGGAAGATATTTATATGAAGGGATAACTTTGAAATGATTCAGCAGTCGATATAGGATTGTATGACAGTACATATGTATGACTGTATGACATGAATGAGGATGCACAAGTTCGCTGCTGTGGTCTTCTGTGGTTGCCGTATCGACAAGACAAGAATTAAAGTGATAGCAAATACCCTAGAAATAATATCCGTTGCCATGATACGTGAAATTGGGGCTAGTACCATCTTAAGTAAGTTAGAACTCGGAGTTGGAGAGAGAGGAAACTGAAAAAAAGGGTCCGTGTGTGTATGAGATCATACTGTATTAGATCCGGAAACGTCACACCTATTTTACCCCAGTTTTATTATACTTTACGTCTAAAATGTCTAAAATGTCAAGCCGTCGTCTCCTTCCCCATACCGTGTGGAGAATGTTGATTAGGTTGGTTTAATCGTTTGGATTGCTGCATATCTTCATTATGTATGTTTGGTAATAATACGCTTCAGCGCTAGTAATAAAAGGTAATTCCTAAGGTTCCTCTAGTTCGAAATAGGCGAATTGGTAGAGGAATTGGCCCACCTATTACTTCATTCTCACCACACAGAGAAGCGGCGGGCGAAGTCCGAAACAAGCGGTAGACCCGTGAATCCGCGAGTACGTACTACACTATGAAATACACTTCAATACATCCTACCAGCCTAAGAAACCTAGGTACGCACTGCGCAGTAGCTGGCTGCACAGTATATCTCTAATTCACACAGCTGTCATCACACAGCCCGGTGCGTTGTGAGAACCGATAGTTGAACTACCACCACCACCTCATCCTGCATTTGCGGCAATGTAAGAGTTCATTCACGTTTCTCTTTCGTCTTTACTTTCTCCCACTGCTTTGGATTTGCTCGAACGATCCGAATAATACCAAAGGACAATACCATTATTCCTCGTTTCTTCTTCCCTTTTCGGAAGTAAATAACCATACTTTTTGCCAAATTCCCTGGAAGTTGTTGCTGTCGACGCAATGCCCTGCAGCTGTTGCATGTAGCAGCAAAATTGCACTTTCGTTCGAAGGTACACCCTCAAATCGACCGTGAAAACGAAACTACGAGTACTCGACCGAAGTAATCAACCCCTCTCATCATTACCTTCCTCGATTCTCGCTCGATTCGAACAAGCAAGACGAGTTTGTGCAAACCTTTACGATTATTGATTAATTCTAGACATTGCATTGCGTTTTGTCTACGGAATATTCTTCGATCCGAACTACATACAAACCGAACCCTATCCCGCGTACCTCCAATACATCTCTCTACCTCTACATACTTCCAATACAGTACGAGGTCTAGCCCGTGTACTTTTCCCTTTAGATAGTCCACTGTCTATTTCCCACGCATTGCATCAACTAAAGAAAGCCACCATAAATTATTTCCCCTATGCCACAATCATATCGGAGTTTTTAATCAAGGAGGAGACAAGAAGAAAAAAAAGCAAAGTGCAGAAAAAAAAAAAAGGATTATTCAACCAAGCCACCCTCTAACCTCGGAATTACAACAGGTTGTGGTAGTGATATTTCACTTTGGTACTGCCACCATTTTATGCTTGGTTCCAGCCTACAACCTTTGAACCATTAGTGGTCTGTGGAACCACCCCTAGTGGTCGCTTCCAGCACTGGTTAATGGTTTTAAGGGTAAAGGTGCCCCCCCTAACCTATCTAACTTATAGCGTCAGCGGGAACGTTTTATCCTGTCGAATCACCCTTCCATACCCTTAAGGGAGGCGCAATTGGCCCTAAAAACCCGCTGCGACCGCGACAGTAATTAGGTACCTCCCCAACTATCCCAACCGCTACGAGGAACCGCCACAGCACCACAAGCACCATAAAAACCACTACAGGCTCTGAAAAGTACCTGCTATCGTACGCTATCGTACACTGGGAAGGTGCACGAAATCAATTCCATCCATTCCTATCCCCATCCCAAAACTCCACGGGCTGGGCGCTCTCTTTCACCTCCTCTTCCCTCTACTCTTACAATTTCTTGTCACTACAGTAAGATGTCAACGCCGACCACTGCGACGGCTACGCTTCTTCCTCACTATCGTCACCATCACCACTCTACACACCATTATCCGCCTTACCCAAACCTGCAAAGTAGCACTTCAACCTATCGATCTGTTGCCGGTGCTGCGTCTTCCACAAACCCTATCCTCCCCACTTCAACTTCGACGGCTTCGACAGCGACGGGTTCCAATCGGCACCACGCTTCTTCCAACCATTCGTCTTCATCATATACTACGAATTCGAGTTACGCCACCAGTCAAACTCTTCAAAATTCTACAAATGGAGTAACCGCGTCCGTGGCTACTGCTAGACCAACCCAAGACTCCTCTAGAACCAATTCAACTCCTAGATTAGACGCCAATTCAGTTAACGGCAACAACAACAACAATAACAGCACTATGCCTCCCTCCACCGCTTCATCCGCTACACAGGCCTTTAGCGACGGCCAACCGAGAAAACGTCGGAGATCCAAGGAACCGGATTGGAAGAATTTTTATAAGAATGGTCTACCCAAGGAAGTGATTGTAATACACGACGATACCCCCGAACCCGACTCGAAATATTCTGCCACTTCTTCACGAACATATGTTAATGGTGTAAATGATTCTAATGGTCGTCCTGCCAATAAACGACGGAGGAAGGACGATGGTGTTCGCGCCGAAGACACCTACGACGGCAGCGTGAATGGCTCTACCTACCAACAAACTTCTGATAGCGGCTCTACATCAACCGACCGTACCACCTCAGCTCATAATACCACGGCCGCTACATCTTTAGGTTCTTTATCTTCAAATGGCCAGTATGATTACGAGTCAAGTCACGCCGGTCAGAAGAGAAAGAGGACCCGACAGCAGATCGCACAAGAAGCAAAGCGCAGAGAGGTCGAAGTACTCGGCGATGCTTTTGTCAGTTACCGCCCACCTCAAAAGCCTGTCAAGAAGTCTGGTGATGTAACCGTTCGAGTTGTCAATGATGTAAGTGACATGGTCGACATTATTTCATGGCTATGACTAACCACCATATTTTAGCGTTCTCACCAAAGCGGTGTAAGAGTAGACGACGACGATGGTCACTATATCGTTGTCCCCGACGCCGACCTTACATCACAATGTACGTTTGACACTTACCTCCCCTCTCATCCCAACCCAGGATTAACATTTTGGCAGATCAAATGATCAAGTTGCTCGGACAAGGCACTTTCGGTAAAGTTGTTCAGGCCCGTGATCGCAAAAAGGGTGGCTTGGTCGCCATCAAAATTATCCGAGCGGTGCAAAAATATCGAGATGCCTCCCGAATCGAATTACGTGTTCTTCAGACTTTGAAGGCCAACGACGAAGAGAATAGAAACAGATGTATACACCTTCGAGATTGTTTCGATTTCCGCGGTCATATCTGTATTGTCATGGATCTTCTCGGCTCGAGCGTCTTTGACTTCCTAAAGAGCAACAACTTCGTACCGTTCCCGAACAGCCAGATTCAGAGCTTCGCACGCCAGCTCTTCACTAGTGTAGCCTGTAAGTTTTACAATTGTTTCCCTAAGTATGTGTCAGCAAATCCTAACGTCTTTGACAGTTCTCCATGATCTAAACCTGATCCACACCGATCTAAAGCCAGAGAATATTCTACTCTGCGATAGCGCTTATCAAACGTTTACGTACAACCGGAGAATACCGTCCTCGTCGACTGGTGTGAGTCGACAGGCCACCCAACGCAAGGTCCTTCTCGATACCGAAATAAGGCTCATCGATTTCGGTTCCGCAACGTTTCAGGATGAATACCACTCGTCCGTTGTATCAACCCGGCATTACAGAGCCCCTGAGATTATCCTCGGCCTCGGCTGGTCTTATCCTTGCGATATATGGAGTATTGGCTGTATATTGGTCGAATTCTTCACTGGAGATGCTCTTTTCCAAACGCACGATAACCTCGAACACCTGGCCATGATGGAGAATGTTTGCGACGCCCGTATAGATACCCATCTCGTACAAACTGTCAACAAGATGAATAATAGGAATGCTGGCAACGCTGCATCTAAGTATGTCCACCCTCCCTTTTGTGAGAGGGTCATCTTTCTAACCTACAATACAGGTACTTCAAACGATTGAAGTTGGATTATCCTACTGCCGAGACGACACGGGCATCAAGGCGTTTCGTTAAAAATATGAAGCGATTACCCGTAAGTAGTTACGATTTACCGATATTGACTGATAACCACTAACGGCAGTATAGGATATCATACCAAGCTCTAGTCCTTTTCTTAGATCCTTCCTAGATCTTTTACAGAAGATCTTTGTATACGACCCTAGTAAACGAATCACGGCTCGACAGGCCCTTGAACACGAGTGGTTCCGAGAGCCAGCCATTCCTGATGATGGCACCGAGGCGGCGAAGATTCGGTTGGAACGCATGAGGGATCACGAGTATCCTGCTTCTCGAGGTTTAGCGGTGGGTTAATAGGGTAAATAAATTCCACTCAGATACCAAAGGACACGATATTGCTACCGAAGCAAAAACTGTATATTCGGAATGGGTTCAGGCCTAACGTACAGAACGTTGCCATCATGGCTCGCAACGGCTTTGGGTTTGCGTAGGGGGTTAGGGAGGAATCAGGTGTTCCAGGCAGCATTGTGTTCCATTAGTTTTCCATGGCATTGAGCATGCGTTACATAAAATGTCTACAACCTCTACGCTTTCGTAGATGGAACGACTTGCGACGTTTTCTCAATATATAGCCCGTCACTTAGGGCAGCGTTCCATGCTGATGGACAGATGACACTCACTCGATATTCTCTTTTGGTTACTGGCCGTGAGTCACCCCTAGGCATTTGAAGGTCGCGAGTAGGCTGCTGTGAATAACGCCAAGTTCGGCACGATGACAACTACTCTTGTGAGTTTTCTACCCAGTTTCTTAGAATGATAAAGTTAACTACGTCGAGACTAAGGGCAACGTCATACATTTCTTTCGACTAAGAACAGTATCGAGCACTATCGAGAACAATGTGTTGTAACGGGCGAAGATGGCACCAAAACGATGTGACAAAGAGATCTCGTTGTTCGCGGATTTCAGTCAAAATCAGCCAAATTGTACACACATCTCGAGTGTTCGGTCACACCTCTTTCGATTCCTCAAATTTCTCGTGTTCACGAATGGCCTTCTAAGTTTCTGCGAATACTTGAGATGCTGCTTCGACGGCAATCTAGTCGTGATGGGTTGGCATCAACTTTGGTTTTTACTTACGTACCGTTATCAGATACAATACTCACCTAGTTTTGGAATTACATCTAACTTTAGCACCCACGCATAATCAGTTCTAATACCCAGACAACATAAGAAAATAATTTAGTCAACATGAGTATCGATATTCGAGATTTGTCAAAGGACGGCGTTAGTCAGCTTATGAGGTTTCTCTACCGACGACCCGAGTATGGCATCGCCCGTCCTTCGCAAAGATGGCACGTCCGGCAAGAAGAGAAGATGGAGCAATTACCTAGCGAGATTCTCCGCACATCAAATCTGTTGAAGCGCCTGGTCATCAGAATCGTTGATAAGATCAATCCAGATATGATTGACCCAAGGGCCGTCCTATGCAAAACTCACACACCACTTAACCCATTCCTAATTCGCCATATTTTCCTAGCCGTTGCCTACGAGGTAACGGTACATACGGACTTGTACCATTCGTGGAAGAATATAACAGAATACCCTTCACTAGCAGCCTTCCTCGCACGAGTAGATTCTATCGCCGCTTTGTGGACCGAGAAAGAATTCTTTGAGGAGTGCTACGGAACGCCTCCCTTCGAGCACCACCACATCTTCGTTCAGTCTAGATGTGAGGCTTGCATTCTCGGTGCGATCGGTGGGAACGCCCGTGCCCTTGCGGACCTACGAGCTGTTATTACCGACCGCATGGAGCGACTTGAACATATCCGCAAGGGCCGCACCCCCGCGAAGCCTAGATTCTCCCGCTTCCTCGAGAAATGGATTGACCATCTTGGGGACGATAGGGCAACGAAGTGTAGAGATATGGGCGCGAACGTACTCTTCGCACTCAGGGCTACACGACCTGAGCTCTTGAAGTGGCGAGAACAGCGGAAGAAAGATAGGAAGACGAATGGACCGACAGTGTATAGGGAGCTGAAAAACACACCTTTGGGCTCCCAGTTGAGCCGAGTTCCAGAGGAATATCGAGCTGACAGGAGGTCAAAGCATGGTATCCCGGTGGCTGTGACTAACCTTGACGGCGCAGCGGAGCAAAGAAGGGGTGCTAGTAACTACGTCCCTCCTCTGTCGGAGGTCAGTGTGTTCAGGCCTGACAGTATGTGTGCTTTCTCACAAGTTTATGCTAGAGCTGCTGCTTATGGTGATCCAGATGATCCCGCTCTAGGTATCGACCCGTACAACGATGACGAGGAGGAGTTCGAGGGGTATGCAGAGGGTGAGGTTGACCCTGAAAAGATACTCGAGTACGAGGAAATCAGCCGTCGTAAGGTGGCTGATTGGTACGCCTCGCAACTTAAATCCCGGGTTGACTTGTCATTTGACGATACTAAATCGATCATGACGGGGATTCACCCGGCCTTCCAGCCCGCTGCTAGCCAAGCGTCGTTTCGCCGGGACCCGCTTAAATTCAAGAAAGATCGGTACCCTGCTCCACCGAAGTCTATGGCTGATAGCGTATGGACGGATGCTACGGTGTATACTATAGATCCGTCTTCCTCCACCACCGACTTTCGCCCGGATCTAGGCCGCGATGGTATCCCGGCCGTCCCTCGCGTTCCCCCAATGTACCGAGAGAGTAGCGCGCGACACAGCCGTCGACACAGCATAAACGCAAACGACGAGCGCCCGAGCTCACACCGACCCTCCGCATCTCGCACAAACACGGAAATCCCGCATCCGCGCCCAAAATCTATGGCCCCATCTACTAGTCTCCCCACCCGTCCCCCTATAGTACACCCCCCTAAACTCCAAGTTCCGACTCCGAACTCGAAACCTAATCCCAGGAATTTCATGTTCGCGGATTCGGATGCAGGGTCTACGGCTGCGTTGTCTATGCATGAGAAGCGCTGGATTAGAGATCGTAAGGGCATGAAGGATGTGCCGAGGACGGAGAACCCGTTTGTTACGCGGGTGAGGGAGAGGGAGAGGGAGTCGGGGTCTTCGGGGACTAGGACTAGTGGGAGTAGGGGCAGTAGGTCGAGTAAATCGAGTCGCTCGACGGAGATTACGTTGCCGGATGAGGAGCTTACTCCCGATGACTCGTTTAGTAGTGCGGGTGGGTATGGGGGTGCGAGGGGGGATTGGAGGAGGTAGGGGGTGGGATATAAAAGAAAATAAGGAAAATAGGAAAAAATAAATACTATGTGGAGTTAGGGGATGCGGCTTAGCATCTTATTCTTGGATATATGGGAAAGGACGGGACGGGAAGTTAGTAGCGGTTATATTATTTAATCCTGATTATGATACTTGCACATGAATATACACGGATATGCTTGCGATTTTATGTTTCTATGGTGTGGCCTTGGGCCGCGTAAAGTGATATGGTGCCCATTGTGATATGAAAGGAAAGGACTCCGCCGAAAGGGACTTTCTCCGATCAGAGCTCTCTAGATCATCGGCCCGGGCAGTGATATTGCATGGCGATGTCTGGCTTATATGCTTTTTAGTGATTTTGCCTCAATTTTCAGTAGACCTTTTTTGTTTGTGTGGATATTAAAGAATTACGCTGGTTGTGTTTTCTTTATGATTTTTTGACAAAGGGAATGTCACCCACGTTTTTAGGGCTAAACCATGAGGGGAAAGTAAAACCTATACGTATGGTGATGTAGACTGACATGTCACTTTCTGTGATAATGTTTTTGTTTCTTTCAATGGTGATTGTGTATCAACTATCTTGCCAGACATACGGCAAAACAACACAAAGTAGCGACAAAGGAGATCTTAAATACTGTTTTGGATCAATGTAGTTGAGTTGAATTGTTTGTGAACTACTCCTTTGAAAGGTGGCTTGGATATGTGATCTCTCGTATTGAGATTTGGCTATATATACCCGACGCAATTCCGCCGCTGGAGAAGATGATGGAGAGGCATGGCATTTCTAATGTCATCAAGGGGGATTCAACATGGTTCCTTGCCTTACTATTTAAGAGGACGGGTTCCATGGTTGAAGTCGGCTAGAGGTTGTTTTCGTCTATTGAGGTATGTACCTACCGAGGTGGGTAACTTTGTGCGGCATATTGCTGTTTTATAGATCCTCGTTTAATAGCTTCGGATACAATTCAACGGTCGACAGCACGATTGCGTCTCAAAGCTTGTTATATAGGAGGATAAAATATGGGTATCGTACGGGTTGTCGTTTAAATCACCGGTTGACCGTGGCACGATGGCTACCCAACGTAGGTGCAATGATTTTTGACTGTATAAGAAGTCAGGGGACGTCGTCAGGGCAAGAGACAAGAGAGGATCGAACGGATACGAGTTCGTCCGGTGGGTGAGGGGAATCGCTGACAATATACGCCGCCGGGTTAGAACCACTAACTATCTAGGCACGTAACTCTGCAGATTAGCTGGATGCGATATTATCCGTGCGAGAACGCGATGGGGGCTTTAATTCTTCCCATCTACCTAATATAGGTAGAACTAGGCTTAATTATACCGTTGAGCCCAAAAGTGAGCTCTGAGGTGGGGCGTCGTCGACGTAGCTCTGGATTGCTTCCTAATGGCTAAGCTGGATATTAGTAGAGAGCACTTGGGTATAAGTAGAACTAGTCCTGGTGGTAGATTAATACAAAAGCGTTTCCCTGTAATTTCAACTGAAATCTGATGTTAATGTTTTTTCTTTTTCCTTGGATGTAAACTGCGGCTGTGACATATCTGATTCTTAAAGTCTCACGCCGCTGCTGCTGACTGTGTAGAAACCCTAGGGTTTGTTAGATGATATACTGAAGTGCTCATAGGCATTGAGTCGGCGGGCTCGCGATAGTCGAAGAAGAAATACCAATATTCGGGTGATGACTTAGATAGCCCCTGGTCTAATACCAAATCACAAACTAATCGTTGTCTTCATAATCATTGTACAGTTCATTTTTTAGGGGAGTTATACTTAGGTATATACACTAACCTCTGATCCACCCCTGAGGTCTGTAATTAATCATCCCGCACATCCTCGAAGAGCTTCTGTAGCGCCGGCAAGAAGGCCTGTGCTTTTCTGAACTCTCCAAGCTTGACGCGCATATAGTCGAATGCTACGAGTATGACTTCGTCTAGTTGCGCCTTATCCCCATCTTCTGCATCGGCCCGGATCTCTAGATTTTCCTCTATGATAGGCACTTTTTGGTATCGTTGAGAGAAATGTGTCAATAGGATTCTCCTCGCTCCCATCCGTCGCCCAATGTCGATAGCTTCTGACATAGTCGAATGCTTTTTCGCGATAGCATCACCTTGTAACTCATCATCAAACGTACTCTCGTGGATTAGTAACGTCGTACGCTGTCCGATCTTAACGAAATCATCGCTCGGTCTACAATCACCCGAGTACGCGATCTTAAGTCCTGTGGGGAAAATAAAAACAGTCGCAAGAGCGCCGAAACAATGCTGTACATAGCAAGCATCAATCCTCTCAAGACCAAGAGCATTGGTTTCTTCGTGTGTGAAGACTCGCGGTCTGCAAATTTTCGTTCCACGCTGGACGGGATCTAAACTGTTGAAGCTGACGGTTATAAGTCGCTCATGTCCGAAATTCTCGATATCGGCGTATTCTCGTAGCCAATCTAGCATATGTATATGTGACGCGACAAGAAGCTTGGCTTCGGGATGTGATTTGCTTGTTTCCTCATGCCAGGCTTTAATGACGGAAGCCGTGCCCAAGTGATGATCCGCATGTAGGTGGCTGATCCATATACCTTTCAGATCTCTCAAGATTTCGGGGGTTTCATCGCCGAAGACTCGGCGTAATTGACCAAGAGTATTCTCACCGGCATCGAATAAGTAATTTCCACATCCTGGGACACGGACGAGCGTAGCGGAGACATTGCGATACTTGGACGGTAGGGCAGAACCAGTTCCTAATGGTATTACCTCCGCGTCTCGGTTGGGAATATCCGATTCTACCTTCTCGATCTTAGCGAGGAAGTCGGGATCCGAAATTCTCTCTTTTGCTTGTTTAGCCATTTCTAAAACTTCCTCGTTTAGATCAGCCCGAGCCATCTTCTCGAGGTCCGGGAACGGGACAATTTTGTTATCCTGATGCAAGTACTCTGGAGCAAATTGGACCAATTTCCCAAGCCGGCCGGCCTCAAAGATAGAAGAGGATTCCATTATCGGAGTGTTTGAAAGTGAAACTTCGTTGTTATAAGCCGGTATAGCGAATCGGTCGGGATCAATACATCGCAGCTTGAATGACTGAGCCGCAACAGACTCTAACGCGATCCTATTTGGGCAGCTGTCTTCCGACGAAACAACATGTTTTATCGTAGACATTTTTTGCACGAACTCTTGTAGCCGAGAATCGTTTGCAACCCCCCGACCCAAGATCCAAAAGATAACATGGATACCTTTCATTATCTCCTCATTTGACCACTCTGTACGATTGACCAGTGCATCGATATAAGAGGAATCTTGTAAATCGACGACGGCGAATCCGCTTCCAAGGACGGTTTCTCCTAAAACCATGGCAGGGGTAATCACTGCCCCATCTTTACCCACAGCGTTTTGCCCAGCTGCGAGTTTTCCATAGTCTCTCTTAGTCACACCAAGCCTTTCGGCCTCTTTGGGGTTAAATTTTCCTCTCCGGTCGTGGCCCTTGACTATGTAACACATAGATTGGTTTGATGGTTTTGTCCGCGGTAGTTTATCAACCATAGCTCCAGGCCATGGTTGGCGCACCAATACAGGTATATCGGGTACTTCTCTTCCGTCCCCTGGCATAGGACCTGTGTACACTTGAATGTGGCCGTTATTGTCCCGGATGAATAGCTTGGCGGGCAGCTTCGCTTGGTGTAAAGTTGTTTCTACCAAGGCATCCATCTTCCAATCCGAGTTGAACATCTGAGTAACTATAGTATTAACTAACTTTTTGCTATCCTCATTATCTGAGGCAATCGGCGAAGGTGTAGATGAGCTATCCGCATTGCTTCCTTCTGTAAATTCATCGTGGGTCCGCTTTCGAGGACTGTTTGATGCTTGTGTTGTTGATTGGACGGGCATATACCACACTTTGATGTTGAAATCTTCGTAATCGGGCTTGAAGGCTTGTTGGTCTGCTAGGCGCGGGTCGTCGCATATTTCTTGGGGGTTGATAGGTAATCCCTTTCGGAAGATGAATCGCCGAGCAGTAGCTAAAAGCTGCGACAAATTCTTTCCTCCGTGAATCCTCAGCCGTGGTATTTCCGTATCGTCCTCTGTACGAGATTTTCTGCCTTTCTTCTTGCGCTCCTCAACATTGGTCTTAATACTCTCTATTTTATTAGCAAGCGTGTCAGCTAGGACGAGGATAAGGCCAAGGAGGCCGCCCGCATTATGCCAATTCACCACGCCTGTTACGAAGACATCTTCCACCTTCTGTATACCTAAAGCTCTTTGGACCACGGCGCGTTGCACACCTTCGGCAATATTTCCGAGGAGGTAGCGCTTGTTATCGAAGTGAAGGAGCAAGCATGTGCCATTGGTGTCGGCCGTGGGAGTTGTGATAAGTTGAACATAGTTCAACATCTTGGCACTGAACGTATTGGCACGCAATGCGGCCGGGGATAGCTTTGGTTGTTTGGGTTTTTTGAAGAGTAAGAATCTCGCGTCGAAACGATAGTCTTTGTCGGATGCTCGTAGCACGGTGGTATTATCATTGAAGAGGTGTGTCGGAAGAGGTGCACGAACGAAGGCAGACTTCAGAAGATGACGAGGACTAATCGGCCAAAGAATGAGGTGCGGGTTCGCAGTCGGTGCAAAAGGAGGAGGCCAATTCAGCGTCCCAGGACGTAGTTTTCTCATGGAGAAAACATCAGATTCGCCGTATGACTCTTATGCCGTATACTTCTTTGCGTAGGATGTAAATGTTAAGAAATTATTATCGATAGCGAAACATCCCGCGGCGCTCAAAATAATTCTTTATCTTATCAGTGTGTACAACCTTGGAACCCACCTATGCGATTGTCAGCTGGCCATCTAAGCTAGCAGCTGTCAACTAGTTCTTGCAGTGATCAATTGTATTAATTTTATGCTGAAATTATGCACACGTATAAGTATTCAATCCTATCACCAACAACTCAGAATACAGCTGCTCTTCTCATACGAATTGTCCCAATCGACATTCTTTTACTTCGGTTTATTATATACAATTCATCTAGCATATAGCTATTATATTTCAATACATGAAGTATAGCAACCAAAATAATTCGGTCGCGTCAGAAGGTCAGGAAGAATCCTATAGTCGACGATATGCTGTATACACTGTATCAGCAGCTCATCCAAACGCCTCATGAAAAGCCAACTCCGGAGATCCGTCAATTTTTCAGGCAGTCTCATTATCCCAAGCCAATCTACTGGGGTACCGGACTCGCGACCACAATGCCAGGCTTCGCTGTGACTTTAATGCTATTACCACCTTTACACCAGCATGTACCAGCAGTTTGGCCAACTACGCCCTGCTCGTTCCAGACCGATCCCACGTCTTTACGCTTCTGCGTCCAATTCAATGAGTCGCAGACCGTAAGACACTCTTCAAGTGAGTTGACTACTAATGACGCGAGGTCGCTTCCCGTCAGGTCGCTGTTGCAATACACGTTGTAAGTTATCGATGACTGCGATTGCGTGAGTGTGCTTCCGTTCGTGCCAGGACAGCCAGAGTCTATTAGTGACGTCGGTGTGGCTTCGGCGGCGGATTGTGTGCTGCTGCTTGTGCTCGTACTCGTACTGCTAGCTGTGGTACTTGTCGCTCCGTCGGTTGTGGATGAGGATGTCGTGGAGGCGGCGGCTGGTGCTGAAGTCGACCCGGATACGCTTTCTACAGCTGTGCCTAAGTGAAGTATTAGAACCGCTTAGTCTACTAAATGATCTCTTCCCATAGATAGTCCTACCTGTGCTTTTCTGGCTGTTATTATTCCTTAACCCCAATCCCAACCCCGTACCTAACCCAAGCGCTAGCGCCATCACAGCTATCAACGCCACCAACAACCAAAACGTCGTCCTCTTCAACCGACTAATCTCAGTTCCCTGCGTTGTACCTCCATTATGCGCCGCCAATTGAGCCTGTTGTATATGCTGCGACTCCTCGTAGGGTTTATACTGGGGGTACTGCTGGTAATAAACCTCAGGCAGGGTACGGTCCGGAGCGACCTCCATCCCGTGGTTGACAGGACTGGCTTCCAGCATCGAATGCATCGCACCGCACCGCTCGGCAAATCGACGGACCTGGAAGGAAAAAGCGAGGTCCTAGGACCTTAAAGATATTTATTTGTATTTAGGGGTAAGGTCGTATACCCGTTACCAAGCGAAAGAAAAAAAACTGTGCCACTTTCGTTCATGGTATAGCTTCTCTCCTGCGATACTACCCAAACTGCATACTACTTCAGATCCCGGCGAGAGCTCTGCTCAGTAAAGATATCTACATTTTTGGATTATGAGAATTCTAAACACTACGGTAATTATTAATTCAGCACCCATGTCTATTTCACACCTCGAAATAAATATACGAATGGAGAACTACTCTATAAAAGCTATGTAAGTAATCAACACTGCTCGCATACTACAGTAAACATCAACAACCCGCACTCCCCTAAGATAGCATCATTCTTCAAATCAAGATTAGGTTATTATTCTAAGGATCTAGCGTGTGATATTCAGCTATTAATAGGTAATCCACAACATAAATGGTCTGTCTCAAAGCTTCGTTTAAATAGCAATGGTACTCTGCGCTGCTACCTTGCTTACTCCCTATATACCGATGGAGATTAGCACGCACATGGCGCCTTCGACGGGATCCTGCCCTCACGTTCCTCCGTCGGAGAACTAGCCTCTTCGGACATGGGCCTGCAAGTGTCATGACGTCTAATCCGTATTCTGTATAGAATGATCGCATTCTCCTACCCGTCGTTATGTTAGATGTATTAAGTAGAGGCTGGTGTTATTATATATGAATTGGTATATATTGATTCAGAATAAATCCCGATGATTTGAACGCCTATTTACGGTTCCCTAAAGCAAGTAGAACAAACGCCTTAAATCCCAACCATTCCGTTCAAAACATGCTAGGGTATATTATGAACCCGTCTCATATCCTCATTTCTCATTCAACTCATATGAAACCAATTGGTGTTTTCGGTCAAAGGCTCCTTCATATTGCCAACATATCCGCCTGTGACTCCCATCATGGAGTAGCCAGCCCACTAGGTGACTCAATGGACATTCTAGACACGAAAAACTTCCTAAATCTTCGTAGCCTGTGTCGCTCGGCAATAGTAAGCAGTACCAAGCCACCACTAGGAGCCGATTAATACATCGCTCTCACTGCCCACTTGTCGATGAACTCTTCACAAGCCCCTGGACTTCAATCCACTTGGAGAAAGTCGACCAAAGGTCCTTGTTCACCCTCTGACAAGCCTGGATGAAATACTGAATACCCGGGACTTTATGAAACTCGTCAAGCGTCTGAGGTAGTGTCGTAACAAGGCAATGAAGCGTGTCCTCAGAAACTATCGGCTGTGTATGTTTTGGATTCGTCGCCCATATAACACTCTTGACACAAGCGTCAAGCTTCCTCCGCAACAATTGTTGCTGCCAACTCAATCGCTGGGGCGGGGGCGCCACTTCTATAGGTGGATCAGTTGGCGTAGGAGTAGTGATTGAGTTCAAGATGGGGTTCGGGGAGGGAGATGAAGGTGAAGTATGTATTGCCTTGGAAGGAGATGTTGCGTCATCAGTTCGTTTACGTTTCAGCGATATGGAAGCGGTCATTGATACTTCCAGTGTCGACTCGTAGCTGTCGTCATGCTCAACCCTATCCTTCTCAATAGATGCTTCGCCGGCCTTAAATAGAGCATCTGCGAGTTCTAGAGATGGATTACTGCTTAGAAGGGGCTTTGTTAGGATAATTTCTTTCGAGCGGCCAATATTCCTAACCCGCATACGCTTTGAGGGGTGTTCGCTTGGCTGGTGCTCGAATTCGGGTTCGGAATCTGACTCTGACTGGATCTGATATTGAGGGTGAGTTAATGGCGTATTCCTAGCGAGATGGGAACTCTCAGGCTGAAGGTCATGCTTGGCCTCAAATTCCGAAATTATTCGAAGCCAATCGGGGCCATATAGGGATGCCTTGTGCTTTCCTATGCCTTCAACACGCAGGAGCTCTTCTTCGTTCGACGGACGACTTTGAACGAGATCATTAAGAGTTGAGTTGGAAGCAACTCGAAAAGCCGCCCACTTATTAGTAGCAGCACAGGCCTTGCGGTGTTCTGATAATCGTTGAAAAAGTTCCTGGGTTAGGGTAGGATCCATCGGCTTGTGGTTATTTCGTTTTTCTCTGACGCGTCGATTCGGGGTGATAGGCTGTAATGGCGACCGAGTCTCCTCGGGATGTTCAGCGAGGTCTTTCGCGATGATTTGTAGCCACTCGTCACCATATTCTTCAACTTCACGTGCACCAATCCCGCGTATCTTTGCCAGTTCACTCCTGTTTGACGGGCGGTATGTAGCCAGAGCTTCTAGCATCTTATTTGTTGCTATAATGTAAGGCGCATAATTCAAGGTTTTAGCCAACTCCTTGCGATGTGAAACCAGTTCGCTATAAATCCTGGGTGATGGCTCTGGCACTGGGTTTCTCACAGGGCTCTTCCCATACTCTGTTTTCTCTTGTACGTGATGCTGCCTTTCTTTCGGTGTGGTAGGTGTTTTTATTTTTGTTTCCTCAACGTGTGTATCCTTGCGCGGCTTTAGTTTTTGGGCTTCTAATAACTTCCTAAGAGCTAGTGCAGCATCATCTCCTGAAGATTCAGGTTGCACAGAAGCGGCAGGCTCCATTGCTGAAGATGACTGTGACTCAGCTAGTTTCGGTAAGGGTGGAATTGGATCCATCTGCAAACGCTTCGCATTCATGCAATGGAAAAGCATATAACACGCATAAGCATCATCAGCGGCATATGCTCTTTGATTGTCATCTAATGGTGCACTCCAATTGCTCGACCGAACACTTCCCTTGTAGAGAGGTAAACCAAGGTGGCACTCAGTCTGTTTCGAAAGAGAGCAAAGTTGAGATCTGTGCGACTCGAAGGTGAGCACACGATGCAAATGGCTTAGTTCAAAAGCGCCTCGAGGTTGTAGGTGGAAATGTTCCTTGAGCCTTCTAAAATCTGCATTCAGTATAGCTACACCGGTCTTGAGGATATTTTCGGATTCGATAATGTGGCGTAACGAAGGGGCAATAAGTTCTTCGGTTGTCTGCCCATCATGCAATGCAATATGAAACAATGCTACTTTCCGTTCACATGCAATCTGTATCAATGCAACCTTATCTTCTGTAAAGGTTAGTCAGTAAATAGCCGTCTAGGCACATCTATCAAACGGGCTCGATTAGGAAATCCGAGCTGCCAGACGGGACGGCGCCGAAGGACAAGGAAATAAGAAGAGCCAGTCGTAGATACTGGGTACATAGGTACGTACTGAGTCGAGTGTACTTGTCCTTATTCTTAGGATCCCAAGGCCATTCCATATCGAAACCTAAGACAGGCTCGTTGAGAAAGCCTTGTGCAATAACCTCGGAATGAGGCCTAGAGCTACTGTATAATATTCGGATAGGTTGGTTGTTAGGTCCACGGTAATGAGAAAGACTCCACCATCGACGTGGGGGAACACCTGTCAGAGGTGGCGTCAAGGAAAAGGATAGAGGCCACTGTATTTTGTTTGAGTCGAACGAGACTTCCGTCTTCTCAATTCCATCGCAGTCACCCGTCATCGCAAACGAACAACTTTATCGAACATTGGAGGCGAACAATTGGTGGTGTGGTAGTGCAAAGCTAGTTTCAGCGGGTTAGTGAACAAGGATGGAGCCAGTAATTAGCAGCCAGTGATACTCGCGCGGGAGGAAGCAGGAAAGCAGGATGTCACCTATTGATGCGCCTACCCGTCAATTAAGTACATGTATTTCCCCCACACATCTACACAGCCCACCTACCTCATTCAGCTTTAACCAAAATAAAAACCCCTCCATCACAATTAATCTACAAGAACATGATAGTCGTGCATATGACAAGATTCAGCCCGCAGGAAGTACTCATGATGAAAATACATTTACATTTGTGCATGTGCTCGGTCCTTCCGCAAATACCCAAGTATCGCCCTGGTCCTTGTACGCGGCTTCGTTATCCTACATAATGAACAACTTTATGCTAGTAACTGTTCATTTTATCATAAATTTCACAATTTTTGCTTTTATATAACTTCATCCACACCCCTACACACCCCCACACTCCACTACTGTACAAGCAGAAGCAAAACTACAATCTCCAGTTACATGAGAAATCCCTCCACACCGGTCAACGCCTTATTTTCCTCTCGCTGCCAACTAGGGGAAAAACCTCAGATCGCAGTCTAATAACCGCCATCCAAGTAAAAACCTGTCGGACTAGCGCAAGTACCCTTACTCACCCAATCAAGGGTTGTAGCTTACAGCCTGCAGGTTGCGTACCTGGTACTGAGTGTCTAATCATTCATATCATTAGTCAAGAGTTCCAGGATTATGTACCCAAGTTTGGAAATAAGTACTTACTACCAGTGGGACCTGGTGACCCAGAGGAGCCTTCCATCTGCAAGTTGATGATGCTATATGCCGACGACCTTGTTAGCAACACTCTATCTTTAAGGACAACTTGGGGGGTGTGGGGGCGTACAGGTACTGCGCTTTTCCGATATAGTCACCTCCGTATTGAGTCGTAACTAGGGAACCGTCCAGGTAAAACTTGACGGAAATATCTTTCCCATTGACATCACGAATCTCGCACTTGATAGAGTGGAAATTTCCCGGGCTGGGATAGTTCACATCCTTAGCAGTGACGGATGATGAAGTGTTGAACGTGTTGAATGAGATCTTTCCTGAGCCCTTCCACTCAGCCATGTCGATCTCTGGGGGCCAGCCTGAGGCCGCGTTCAGCCAGAATGCCGGCCAAGTACCCTTGGTTGTTGTTGCCTTGAACTCGCCAGTAAAGTCATAACCGCCACCTTTAGCGACGGTGAATTTATCCTTGCTGTGGATTGCACCAGACAAGTACTTGAGGCTACCCCCAAGCCCAGATTTCGGGGTAGCGGTTAAGGTCAACACTCCACCAGATAACCCGACTTGACTCTGATCCATGCGGGCGGCACCATTGTGGTCGGTTCCCCACGGATAGTTGTAGCTCCACTCAGCATCGAAGGCGGACTGAGAGTTGAAGCTCGTGTTGGGAATGATTGTTGTCGCAGCCTCGGCGCAAGTTGCGGCCACAAGGAACAACGAAGATGCTTTTGACAAACGCATGATGACGAGAGGCTATTTTGTTGCTATTGAGAACTTGAGTCGAGAACCTGTGTTGAGCACGGCGAACAACAAAACAGAAGCCATGGGATAAACTCCAGAATATATAGGCCGTTGGTTGATTCTAGTTCCCCAGAGAATCATCCGCGTTAAATTGGATCTCGGGCGGTACGACAACGGTATACGGGGCCCACCTACTCCCCGTACATATCGGGGGTAGTATTAGCCGCAACCTTTGTTAACATTCCGCCGGATAAATGCGGTGCACCAGTAACCACTTAAGAATCCGCCAGCGTTGTGGTAGGATTTGTGGTTCTCAATGCTCCCCTAAAAAGGCACCAATGCCGTAGTGGCATCCAACGTCGCATCAGGGGTAACATAAAACCAGATGCCTACCTAGGTATTGAACGACACTCCTCCACAACAAGGCATTTGAACTTTGAGCTAACAAAGCTCAAAATAAAGCAGAGACAAAGATAGCCACCATGATATCATTGCTGGAACAATGAAAAGAAAGATCAAATTGGCGTTTTTCCACCTGGGAATATCGCCGTGTCTCAAATCCTAGCAATATGTACCTACGCGTTGCTACCTACCTACTTGGACCAAATCGCTTGGCCAAACCCATACACATGGGCAATGAGCAGCATGGCCGCAAATTCTTAGATGTTATGCGGATGCGAAACCATCCCTTTCAGTCGATCGATTTAGATCCGATAAGGAAAGGCCGACGATTTCTCAAACCCACGACCTATCGCCAACAATAAACCATACAATAGTCTTATTCGCGTACCGCATCCTTTCATATCTACGACGATGCGATGGAACAGTTAACACAATCGCATTGTTTTGAACAAGGTAATATGTACAAGGGAAACCTTCCTAGAATAACAGTGTCTACTCGCCTATATTAACCCGACCAAAAGACCAAATTTATGGGAGTGGTAGCGTCAAGAGAATAATTCAACATCCACCAATACGACGATCTAATACCTACTACAAGGCATATTAGCAATCCGCCTAAGCAACTTTACGTAAACGTTCAAGCGTCTCAAGTTATAATGGCTTCCTATACCTTCGGGAGTACCGGCCTTCGCGACCATAGGAATCTCATGTATAAATGTGCTTGCAATCATCGTGAGTGCTATTGCGCCGTCATGGTAGCCTCCGCAGGCAGCATCTGTGGTCAATGCACCTTACACCACCAGAATCGCTCCAACGGTCGTAGGTAAAATGTAGAAGAATAAGAGTTGAGTTATTTTGTTAATTAAAGATACATACTGACCTTAATGCGTTCTGCAAAGTTGGAAACTGTGAAGCCCGAGTTATATTACCCCTATTTGTGAGCTGATAAGTAATAGATCCCTTACCTAACAGACGGCCGGCCGATATAAATGAGCTCTACCATCCCTTTGAACTCTTATTCAAGTGAAACTAACCTCAAATTACAAGCAACTAAACCACCTGGTGGCTCGTGGGGCAGCTTGGCGCATTGTGACTTTGATCCAGACGTCCTGACTTACATCGGCCCAAACAATGTACGATACGCGGCGCTGATACTAGCTGCGCAAGTGGATTGAAGAGTGGACTAAGATACGAGATAAGTGATTAAGGTTTTAGCGATGAATCTGGGGGCGGCGTAAGTTACTACCTGAGTGGGTGTTACCCCTATTTATGAACGGACCCGGATCGTACTTAAGGGGCTGATCCTCGAAGCCGCATCTACCGCACCCATAGCAAATATGCAACATGTTTAACAAATAACGCTCTCCTATCCTTGTGAAGTATCCCGATTCTCATCAGATTCCGCGATACAGGTGAGTTTCAATAGATCGTTTTCCATGTTCCTGCACTCGTATACGGGTGGCTCCCCGCTAGGTACCTTGACTGTGATGTTTTCCACTCTGATATTATTGCATCGCTAGTACCAAATAATTTTTAGCATTTTTCTTATGTGCATGTTTGGGGCCCTTGTGCTTACGTCTGGGGCGCTGCAAACAAGTGTGCCCGCTTCTGGATCTAATTTTGCGGATGTCGTTCCGTAAATATTCTTCATGGTAACATCTTCGATAGTCAAGTTGGCCTACACTTAGCGTTAGAAACAGTCTTAACGTATTAACTAGATAGTATTTGACTTACCGGATACTCGTTACATAACGTCTTGTTGCTCTGACCATAGCACTGCGTGATAGTGATCGCTCTGTCGTTATTGATGCTATGCAAGAGATCGTATGTGACATTTCGAACGTAACCAGTTCCTCCTCCACCAGCGAGGTTGGTCTGAAAGTTAGTCTGTACACCAGGCCATACTTTTATTCTAGCGAAATCGCTAGCGTTAGTCATGGAGATGTTGTAGATATATAAGTTCTCAACAATGTCCGTTTCATTTGGGTATTGGCCGATAGAACCAATGCTGATGCCGTGTGAGCCAATGCACTCGAGGTTTTGGATGACGATGTTGGTGCTATTTGGCTTGAAAGAAACGCAATCTTCGAATATTAGCAAGTTTCGAGACACTTAATGGATGAATCCTTCGTACCATCTGTGTTGTGGATATATGAATCTTGGATAACCACTCGGTCTGAACGATAGGTGTCCCAGCCATCCGAATTGGCAATTTTCGTGCCATTCAATGACTACACACATGTTAATGGCTATCCAGCTCTTCTCGACATGGGGGATCTACCTCTGCACGGAGGTCCATATTGCTGATGATTATATCAGAGCTATTCGCAATGACGTTGAACCACTACAGGTGCGATGATTAGAGGTCTTCAGAAGCTAGGGGTTCATAAGGGGGTAAGTCACATTCGGTGGGTTGCGCATTCGCAAGTTCGACATAGTACCTCCTTTCAATCCATCGATCGCGAAGAGCATAGGTCGCAATAGCTGTAATTTATTAATGTTAACATAAACCCTTGATTTAATGTACCAAACAGATGCACTTAGAATTAACTTACGGCTTTGTCTGTCTGAATCGCTTTCCAGTATGCCTCGCCTCTCCCGTCAATGACACTCTTACCCTCCTCTAGGGTCAGATCGCCATAAATATTCACATCTTCTCCGCCTATCTTCCAAAACACACTTTGGTTCTGAAATGTGTACTTGAAGCTGTTGTTTTGCCAGTAGTACACATCCGAGTCGTCGAAGGAGATATCACCGGTGATGACAAGGTCAATGTGCTTAAGAAACCTAAGATCTAGGGGTGACCCGATCTGGTACGACTTATCGAACACGACAGTGCCACCGTTATTACACTCTTGCAGAGCCTTGAGGATGTATGGCGCATCATCGCGACCCGCATGGCATCCTTGCTTCACGTGGCAATATCGGTCCTTGTCGCGTGGTGGTGAAGGTAGCGATGCGTTGCCAGCATTGTAGGGACCGGGAACCACATTCGGACGAGAGGGGATCTTGTCATGCTTCGTCGCGAGCGCTGGATGAAGGAGTGCAAGAGCTGCAAGGAGGGAGCTGACTGAGGTAACCCACATCTTGACAATACCGTATGATGATGACTGAATTAGGTATGTCAATGTGACCTAGACCCAACAGCTGAAGCTGCGTGCACCTATCAAGTGGACAGTAGATGAGGTTTTCCTTACTAACTGGGTATATACATAATTCTTATATTAAATTTGGAGATCCTTTAAGTTCGGGATGGTAACATCACGAAGCCAAGAACCGAACCAAGATACCGGGTAGTAACTCATGGCGATAGGTGGATGATCTGTGGGGTTCCCCTATAAACCCCTGAATATCCCGGTAAGTCGGTTGATATTATAGCGGTGCTAAGTATTTGAATTGTCCAAATGTGAACTAAATAATACTTGGCATACACCTGGGTAATCAAAATCTTGCAATGTAATAAGCCCCAAAGCTTCATTAGGAGTTAGAGGCAAGCTCTAAGAAGCTCTAACCCCATTCCCCCACAACTAACTTCTATGACCCCGGATGATCCCCCGCATAATCCGAAATAGCGGCTGGGTTTGTGCCTAGGTAGTTCTATTATAGACCTAGCTTAGTCCAATCGCCTCGCTTGGTATTGTATAGCCATACGTCAGGTATACACGGTAATTCCTCTCACGGCGAGACGCGATCATTCCTTGAAAGCAAGAAGAGCGATGTCCTCGAAGAAGCATCTAGACTAATGTGGAACATACTGTCACGCTGTTGAGATTAGGTCGACCTTTTCATGCACCCGTAGCTGTCCTACTTGATACGTCATCTTCCTTACACTCCGTGTAACACATACGTACAGATGGAATATCGAGCCACAGTTCTAGTCTTTAAGTATATTCCTCAAGTTCTGGTCTAGTATTGTCTCTTCTAGTATATAGAATGGGCGAAGTGCGCCATAAATAACCCCACGGGGCCATTGGCCCTGGAGGCAATCCATCACTTCATTTCGAAGCATCACCTCTCTTTTTCTTCAACTCCTCATACCCCTCAGGTCCACCAACATCCTCCTTAAACCTTGGCCTAGGGATCTCAAGAGCCTCGGTCAGCCGCCCATACGTAATACCTCCCAACCTACTAACAGGCTTCAACACCGCAGGGTCGATCAAGTTACGCTCCTCATTAATAGCATCCTCACGAACCCAAAACTTAGTGCCTTCAAGCACAACCATACACCCAGTCTTCTTCCCCGGCGTAGCCCTACTCTCCCACTCACGCGCGCTCTCCAATTTACACTCCACACTAAACACAGCCTCGGCCACGCGCGGGGCCTTAACATCCTCACAGTCAAAAACCGGGGTTAAGCCCGAAACAGCCCATTCCGAAGCGCCGGGCGGTGCATCCACACTTGTCGCGTTCGCGGCTTCGATGAAGTCCTCGCCGATGATGTTAACCACACCTTCACGTCGCGCGAGTAGATTACGCAGGGAATCCTTTGGGTTCGCGGGGTCGGACGAGAAACCGATGACGAAAAGCGGAGGGTCGTGATTGACCATATTGAAATATGAGAACGGTGCTAAGTTCAAATCGTCTATTTTTTGGGATGCTGGGTCGCTGGCTTCGGATGATACCGTGGATAGGAAACCAATGGGCCGCGGCACGATGCCGCTGATTAGTAGCTTGTAGTTGAACGGCGCGGGACGCCCTGGTGCGTATGGGTCGATGGTGATGTGTTTTTTACTCGCCGCGGTTGGGTCGCTCAGGGTGTTGGCGCCGGAGCCGAAGGCCCATGATGGTTCTGCGGTTTTTGTGTAGTGGAATTGTGAGGATTTGTCCCAGTCCGGGCGCGAGGCTTCAACTTTCTTGAAGTCTGGGTGCGGGTTCCGCTTGATCTCAGCCTCTTGCTTGGTTGAGACGGACATTTTGGCGAGGCGAGTTCTAGTATCGGTACTATTATAACGAGTGGTGGTGCTGCGGAGTGCTGTTGTTATTGTTGCTGGTCTTAAAGAGAGGCGGATTGGTAAGTTTAAGTAGTTGAGACAGGACGGGGGCATGAGTGAATAGTGATTATAAAGCCGGGAGAATAATGATTATAAAGCTGGAATAGCGGCAGAATAAATACACTTTCCCCCTTAACAAGGCTGGTGACTTCGTTTGATACGATTTCGGCGTATATCGGAGCGAAATTCTCCAATTTTTTCAAAAGAGATAATTAACGTTGAGATTTGTTATCATACATTTCCCTCTTAGATTTTGAACACTTTCTTATATGAGGCGAATTATTATAAAATAATTGGTTGTTAAGAAAGGCTTCGTTTCCTCTGACCGGTTACACACGGATGCATTCATCAATGAGTGTCCCGGTTGAGTCCGATAAGAGTATGCGGTCTGCAAGTCGACAGTAAAGCCGAGCACCGGAATTAATTACTAAGTCGCGGCGCGGAGTAGCAGGGTCCTCCCGCTCTAGCCATCTGTAGTAACCGGTCTAGAGGAGCCTGCATACATTTAAAAAGAAAGTCAAATGCAGATATCATATCATATATGTACATTTCGATAGCCACGTAATGACGTAGTGGATTGGGGCCTCGTAATATAGCGCTTCACATGCTAGTATTTAGGACATATTGGGTGGCATAGGACTAAGAAATGTCGCCGAATTCAAATACTCCGGGGAGAAAATAAAAGCTCCGAGCTGGAGGATATTAGCACCCAAGATAATAAGTAGATGATTACAAACATTAGGAACTTTAAAAACTTTCAAGATGTCCGATGACGAAACATAAATAAGTAACTGACGGTATTTTCATGCCGCCTAATTGTATTGTTGCGCCTCAAATTATCGTGCTCCGAGCATCCTCATCTAAGACCTAGGTATTCGAGACCTTGACGCCTGACAAAAGTACATGGGTAGAGATTACCTCTTGCTCTGCTCACAGAAAATCCTCAAAACGCCGTTGCCTCATGTCTAACCAGATAGAAAAAAAGAAGAAACAAACGAGGCCCTTATTTCACACAAGTCGCACAGAACTCATACATACAAACACCACGCGCCACATGCCCTCGTGCTATATCGTATCGATAAGAAACATCCCCTAGTCGTATATGCAATAGAAACAGAAATCAAAACATGAGACTTTGTCCCATTTTCGATACGATGAAGTCGCAACCCAGTTCAGCGTCCCTTTCGTGCGCTAGGAGTTCGTTCAATATCGTATCTCTCGCCGGTTCGTCATCATTAAGCTTCTCCTTGACGTGGATGATAACCACCTTCAGGCCCCTGAGAGGATGGGTTGCCTTCTGAGGACTAGTGAAAGATGCCGGTGTCATATTCGATTCATACTCTTTGAAATCAATCTCTGTGGCTGGGGTTCCGGTGTGCGGTGAGTCAAAACCATTCTCACTAGGGACTGACGCCGAGCCTGAACCTCCTCGCGGTCGAATCGACTTCGGCGAAACGGGACCGTCGTCTCCACCAGCTCTAGCAGTGGCTCGGTTCGTCCTTCTATTCGCCTCTTCCAGTTCCCTCTTGCGTTTCTTATTCGGTTTGAGCTTAACTAGAATCTGCCGAGCCGTTTCAACCTCTTCAGCGAGAGCCTTCAATTCCTGGATGATGTAGCGCGGTGTCAAATGGCCGAATAATCGGTCGTCGGTCTGGCTATCGTCATAAGAACACTCGATGAAGATCGCCGCAAGATTTCCCTTAGCTATTCTCGGGGCAGCTTCTTGCCAGACTCCAATGTTTCTTGGTGATAGTGAGATACTATCGGGTTCCACGTCACCGAACATCAGAACTTCACGGCCACTGATTGAATCTCGGATGAAGTATGCACTCGAATCATAAACGCATATCGACTCTCGTTCTTGGACCCCCGATGTGTGTCCGACACTGGACGGTCGGAAAATAGACGACGGTCCTGAAGCAGCGTTACTACCCTGGACACCTCTTGGGGACGGCATAGCTGAGATGTCCATGCTACCAAAGCGAGAAGAAGACGTAGAACCTCGATGGGTATGTCTTTCCATACAATGCCCATGGCTGACGCTGAAAACCTTGACTGTAAGGTCATCACTGACCTCAAGGTATCCCTTGCCGGCTCCTTCGCCAAGAGCCGGGCTACCTCCCTCGACGAGGCGCGTGTAGGTTACTAACCCGGCGCCATTGTTTTCATCTGACAAATTAGGCCAGATAACGTTGTTGAAGATATGGGTCTTGAATGCGGAGATGGTGGAGGGTAATCCTGCGAGTCGCTTCGGCCTCGTTCCCGGTAGACCTGCAGTGTTGATGACGAATCCACTGATATGGTCAAGATGGGGGTGTGTGATTAGATATGCGTCGATGAGATGTTTCGTTACATGTGCTGCGTTGGTAGAGGCGGATGGCGAGTGAATTTCCATACCCTTAAAAGGACCTGATTCTAGGACATGTGGCAACGCAATTTCGGCGCCGAGTCCTGATGGTTGCGTCTCCTCGAGAATTCGAGTGATCGCGGATAGATGAACACCAGCATCGAGGGCAACTATAGAGCCCCGACCCCAACCAGATCTTATTGATCTTACCAGAAGAGCGGTAACATTATGTTCTTGCGGTCCGCCGCCAGAGCCCTAAGATTCAAATAAATGTTAGTCATATTTTGATGCGATTTTTGAAAATGCTCGATAAGAAAAATCATGGGTAGGCGAGGCTCCAATGGTACCTATGTACCTAATAAGTAACTCAATAAATCGCATTGTTAACCCGCGGAATCCGAGTTAGGTCGCACAATGCAGACCTGCAGGTCGGATAAAGTCGGCTCATGTGACGTCACTGTCTCCGAGAAGATACTCCGTAAATGATCTATCAACAGATGATATCCACGTGACCTCTTCTTTTCTCTTAGACCATCTGCAGGCTGCGCTGCTTTGCTTCTTCTGATCCAATTTTGACCCTTGCTCTTGAAATAAAATCTACTTTTTGTCTTATTTCTTCATCGGAAACAAACAATGGGGAACCCAAGTATTCCGAGACTCGAGTTCCAGAAATAGATTCTTTTTCGCGACCGAAGGATGTCAATGGATTGTGCAGAAATACCCTGTCCTTTTGCGATCGGCTGCGGAAATGTTGAATGAATTGAGAACGAGCTCGCTCATCATCCGTCCATTCGCTTAACCACTTTGTCCAACCTCAGAAAGATCTTGGGAGCCTAGATCGGAGATCTTGCGCGCACCCGTCCAAATGGTCGCGGCCCATGATGCAAGTATGTGTATATGTAATGCAAAGCAACGATGCTGACATGGAGGGCGAATTAAACGTCGTTGCCACACCTGGGCGCATCTCGAAACGGAAGATTGTAATGAAACAGATTGACTTACCAACACAATGACCTGCAAGGCAGGCTGACTTGCATTTCTCGTACCATCTTGCTTTGCCATGATCCGCGACCGTGGTTGGTGGTGAGTGCGACAATTGCCTTTTCGTCTCATTCAGCTGTTTAGAAACAGATTGGTTTCTTTAATATTGTTTGTCGTTGTCGCATGTGTTGAATAAATTGAAAAAGGCGTGAAACGATTCCTTTTCTTGCGAAATTGGGTGGATTGGATTTCCTTCTTTTTTTTTCCCTTGTATTTTTTTCTTTTCTTTTGGGAATGTTTGACTTGGGAGGCGATGCGTAATTGTCGAGGCCGTTTATTTTCGTCCTTCTCCCTAGACACCTTAACACGGCGCTACAAGTATCGAAACCTTTTTTTCGTCAGGCTATTATCTCCAAGCAACCAACTAACAAACCCTTGGAAAACCTTAGAGCCCTCCCGTATCGCACACGTGACGTTCCGACTCAAACGTTTTCTTCCCCTTGCGCATCTCTTTTTTCTTTTTGCCGGAAATTTTCTGGATAAAAAAGGAAGAAGGGTCTAAGGGGGATAGGAATAGTTCAAGATTTGTCGCGAATCGAAGGTTAATAAAAGTAGGGACTCTTAGGAATCCGGGGAACGTCTTGGTCTTTTAGGTTGATCGCAGGATAACCAAAAAGCCTGGGGTATATGTGCAACGCAAACCATAAACCAAGTAAGTCCACTAGCTGTAATGTACCTAGCAGCCTAGATACATATGTACCTTCCGGCGTAGTCACTAAAACTCGACAAGTATGTACCTAGGTACGCTAAAGACCGCTATGACCCAGTAGGTTTTGTAGGTTTGTAGGAATAGGTATTCCAATTTAGCTCTAGTGGTATAGTGGGTACCTCGCTAACGTGGCGCAGCTAATCAAAATCAACTCCACCCAAACGGCAACGTGCATCGAATTCTATCCTCCTATTACTTCTTCTGGCCAAGCTAAAATCGATCCTAGAACCCTTCTAAGCATTCAGCTACAGAAATTTTGGAGCTCTGTCGCCCTGTTATCTATGTCTCTTTCGGACACGCCGGCCGGCTCGTCACCAACCCTTCCTTTTCTTTATCTTTATCTAACTATTTCACTAATTATTACATATGGATCATATGGATGAGGTTTCAAAATCTCGGCCTTCCCACCGCAATCCTCCCCCGTTCCGGTCTTTCATTCTGCATTCCTTTGTCTGACACCTTAGCCAATTCTTTATTGTCATTTCTACATTGCCTTTGTTTTTTTATTAGACTACATACATACATATATCATTATCTAACCGGGGTTGATTTGGTCACACATAATTTAAGTAACTACGTCAACCTACATAGTATTTCTACGTACGTCGTATCATATCTTAAAGCGACGTACACAAGTCACCTCTCATATTTGAACACCTAGAAAAAAAAATATTAACAAATTTTTTATTGAGCTATCATAGTCTCACAATGTAAATAGATAACCCCTATGATAGGGGTAACTACGTGTTGACGTCGGGTTTATGTAGTTAAGACTTGGCTCAATCTCAATTGATAAAAAAACAAAACGTACGTTGAATGGCAAATGGTATTTTGTTGCCAGTCGCTTAAAACAAAACAAACACTCACTCTACAACGCCATTAACCCTTGATGGCGCTGTCATACGTCCTACAGGTTATTTATCTAGGGCTTCTAGACCACTCCCTCCCGGATCTAAGCCGGGAACGGTTTTCGCTGGAGTTATCGCTTTTGTCATTGTCAGAAGCGCTGCCGAAGAGATCCTCACAATCGCTAACTTCTACGTCACCTACAGTCTCGGTTTGAGGCTTAGGCTCTTGACTTGTGATTTCAGGTTCCTGCTTTGGCTCTGGTTCAGGTCCAGGTTGAGGTTGTGGCTCTAGTTCTGGCTCAGGTTCAGGCTTAAGCTCGGGCTCGGGCTCTAGCAGAGTCTCCAGTTCTGGGTCTGTAGACTCTGCATTTACATATAGTAATGGATCATCAAACAGCCCAGGCCCATCCGCACCAAACTCACCGATATCCCCAAGAAGCTCGGTAAACGACATGTGGGAATCTTGCAGAAACCCGTCTTCTAGAGGTTCACTTACCTCGGGCATTGCATCCGCCTGGTCCCCAGCTGCGGGATACTGCTCCTCGGTGGTCTCGACGACGAGTGTCTCCTCAATTACAAGCATCGGATCAATCGGGATCTCCGGCTCTTGCCGTTGCCGCTTGCGTGAGTTCCCTTGGTTTGGTGCTTGGTAGTGGTTGTATGCCGCGTTGTTCTGCTCTTCAGCTATTACCTCATCCCGGCCCCGCTTGCGCGGTTGTATTGGCTGGTACTGGATTGCCATCTGTGGTTGCTGGTAGCTCGGATTCCTCACAGGTACCACGGGACGGTTTACAGGTGGGCTCATAGACTGGTTTACTGGCTGGTACCTTGGCTGAGGAGGCTGTTGGTACATTGACGGATGCATCGATGACTGCATTGGTGGGAGCATTTGCTGTTGCATTGGCTGTTGCATCGACGGATGTACCTGATAGTTCATCGGAGGTGCCGTGTGATGAGTCACTTGGGGGCTTGCATAATAGGTTACCTGTTGGTTCATCTGGGGACTCATGTGGGGGTTCACTGGTTGGTTTATCGGATAGTTATAGACCTGCATCCCCTGATTTTGATAGTCAATGCCATACTGTTGCGCTTGTGACGGGTGCATCTGCATATTCGTCTCGGGATACGTCAGAATTTGGGGTGTTCGCTGGTTCTCTGAAGTTGGTGTTGGGGTCCACTGTGTGCTGAGACCTGGCGATGTATCCTCATTGTGATGCAATTCCGCATGTCCTCTTGTCGAAATCGGGCTGGGTTTATTACGTCTCTTCATCCCAGTTTTCCCAGTTGGCCCTTTCTTAGCGCCGTAGCCTCCCCTACAACCTTTCAATTCCTCCTCGGCATTAGGAACCGGGTCGCCGTGTTCGTCCAAAAGATCCCACATCTTACAGTCCTTGAGGAATTTCTGCACAATCAAGTTACCCATGTGCTTCGAGACGTCGGCGCCTGCCCTATCTTCGCGCATTTTAGCTCGAACATCAGTACCGTAATCGACTGTGTGCTTGACCATCTTATAACCTAAGGAGGTCTCGTATGGGCGATCCCTACGCCTACTGCGTCTGGGATCATCTATGTACTCATGCCATCTCTGACTTTCCGCCTGCCACCAGCGTTCCCATTCGAGAGTGAGTTGGGGGAATTGTCTCGAAAAGTTAAAAAGGTTCGGCTCACGTTTGAAACGTCTGTCATCGAGACGTATGTCGAGATGAAGCATCGCGCTGTAGATGTCAAAGTGTTGCTCGAAGCAGAATAGATGGACGTACCCAGCGTTGTGGTAGGGGTCGACAGCCTCAGCATCCTCATTCATCCGCTCGTCAAAAATGATGCGAGGGAATCCGGTCCTGATCGTGTTGTGAGGATCAACACAGGACGCGAATCGGCACCTTTGGGATTGAGTCCCGAGGGGATACCGACTGTTGGCCTGTGGTGCCACCCAACCAATCCAGAGCGTGAGACCCTGACGAACCTTGTCCTCTACTTTAGGCACGCCGGGTAACCGTTCGGGCAACTCAAATTCCTCGTGTATTTTGGGACCATAAACGTACCAGCGCATCTCCTGTTGCGAGTATGTTCTGGCCCTCTCAAGCTCACCATATTCCGTGTAGTTGAACATATGGCGTCCACTTTCGTCTAACGGTCCCCAACTCTTAGGTGGAGGTTGCGGAGGCCCGTACCACTGAGTAACGTCCGGCTTAGCTTGGTTCTTCCGTGTGACACGAGGTATCTTATCGTTTCTGAGGTTTTCGCCGTTGGGGCCCTTCGTAGGTCGTTTTAGCCGCTCTGTACCAGGTACAATCTTCGGAGAGGGCCACCTGCTCCTGTAATGTACAGGTGTTGATGTTGCTAGATTATTCTCTGGAATTTCAGGTTCTTCTACCACTCTGGGTTGGGGTGGCATTGGCTGCGCCATCGAGTACGGGACGTGTTGGTGGTGAAGAACTTGGGGCGCGACAACCATCGGCTGCATTTGCTGCTGTTGGGCATAACCCTGTTGGTAGCCAGCAGGAACGTGTTGGACAGGCGTAGGAGGAGGAGGATAAGGGACATAGGGTGGATTTGGGGGGTATTGATTAGGATATGGCATGCCATTGTAGTTGGGGTTATACGCTTGGCTGTGTACAGGGGTATTGGCGCCGTCGTTCCGTTGTGGTACCGCTTGAACCATGTTTGGATCATAATTCTTATCTAGAAATTGCGGATTTATAAATTGCTGGGGAGCTGCCTGCATCGGCTCTGTTGCTTGTCCTTGAATATTATATTGGTGGGCTACATCATCCGGTGGAGCGGGCTGGACAGGTTGGACAGGTCTAGAGGGCGGGTCAGGTACTGTAAAGAAGTCTGCATCTAGGTTGACATCACCGAAGTTAGCATCGCCGATAAATTCCGTCGAGTCGAAATATTGGCCCGAAGGCTCTACGATAGGGTCCTGGTAATCCATGGTGGACTGAAGCGAGAAAAACAATAGAAAAAAGGGAAGTCGACGCCGAACTCAAGATCCTCACTTTCTTATAGACTATGACCGCTTTGAGGAGGCTAGCCCTGCTAAACTGCCTCGAAACGACTCAGTCTGCGATGTACAAGCACTAGAGTCCGAATTACCAAGGATATGTTTGCAGAAGCAAACAGCACGATTGCCCGGTCGAAGGAGTCGTATACCTATATACCATCGAGCAACCATGATTCTTTGCTCTCTTGTTTTATATCAAAGGACATTGTTCGCACACAATCGAGAGGCAGGCATACCAAAAGATTCGTCTCATAACAACACCATTGTCTACCATAAAGGGATTAAATAGATACAAGTAGAGGAGTAAATGTAAGAGGCCCAATGAGGAAATTATATTACTATATAGTAGCGCCACCTTGTCTAGATCTTGGCTACTTTGGTAGCTTGAAAATAGCTGGAAGGATTGTTACCTGGGCGGTCTGTTAGTCAAAGCAACATATAATAAGATAGTAAATTGTATTTCGAGAGGACATAATCAGTAGAGCTCAATGCATTTTCTCAACAAGGAGGTTCAGAACAGGTCTGTGAATGCGTTGATTTCATCAGGTAAATAGACATGAGAGATGCTTGAATAGAGATTTAGACACTTACTGGATAGCTTCACATTGCGGAAGTCCTCGATCGCGGCGAGGAGCGGAAATAAATATTCAAATTCAATAAAGGAAATAGAGTATAGTTTTCGTATCGTTCCCTGTCATAACTTTCGTTTACTGATTGCAAGAAGTTGACATCCAACAGTGTTTTCCAACCGTCGGAATTGACTATAGGTTAATAGGCTCGGAGTACTGCGGGTTAGTAGACATTGTAATCATTACAATAGACATTGACGGATACAGTCCGCTAATGAACGGTGTTGTTCGACCTTGTAAGTGAGACATGTCTCATTCGAGTAAAGCATCTGTAGGGTATATTCACCAATTGGGAGGGAATATGACGGGTTTAGTCATTTGTGCGACGACATTGTGGGTCTTCAATTATGGTGTTGAGATTGGGAAGAAATAAAGAAAGAGTATTGAATTTCGTAGCTTGAGAATAGAATTTTTTCGGTCACGGCTAGGGAGTTTCGCCGTACTCCGTACCTGCTAGCCCCGCCTAGGGTAAAGGTGGATACTAAACTGGATGTAAGGGCCGTCCCACTATGAACCACAGCGGAAAGAAGCTGGGGCATTAGGAGGGTGGAAAGGGAAAGTTCGTATTGCCCTCGTGCCTGCGCTTTGCACCTTATTATTGGCGGTACTGACCAATCGCCGGAGCTTAACGCCTTAACGCCTGCGTGGTTTTGCAGTTCATTCTCCGTATAGAGCAGGTACGAGGTACATTGAATAGTAGCCTATTTTGTTATTTTGTACCTATCTATTCCTATTTTCAGTTAACTGCACTGCTGTGCCAGTGTACTATACGTACTGAACGGTGGACAGTCTGACAGTGGACAGGACAGCACCTGCATCAGGGTTCACTTTCAGATCCAGAGTTATCGAATTATTCCATGTTTCCCATTCCCATTTAACCTTTCTAATGAATCTTTTCCAAATACATACATTTCTACTACCATTTGCAGTGAGACTGCGCTGCATTGCTATGATACCCTATTTTTATATCTAATCGGGATATTATTGGTTGGTTTATTTTGCTGTTGCGACAGAGAAGGGTATATCGCCTTTCCCCGAAACCGTTTGACGTCACGGGCCTCCTTGTGCCTGGTTGGGTAGGGTTCTTCTCGAATCGGTTGAGCCGGTAAACGGTTGATTACCGACCCTTCGCGCTGCTTCCCTCCTGTGCGTCCGCCGACGAGAAGACAAGATGGCGCAATTGAGTCCGGATTTACAGCAGAAATTAAACGAATTGGAGAGGGAGTTGCAGGTAAGCTTATATTCATACATTCTATGTTTTCTCACGATGCCTATCATGTCCGTGTCCATGTCCATGTTCATACCGCCAACAACCGCGGGGTACAAGACAGACACAATGCCGCACAAGACCCGATCGAGGCTACCAACTGGTCAGTCCATTGAAAGCAAACTAACCACCATTCTCCTTGTAGGAAGGCGATATTACGGAAAAGGGGTAAGTTTTTATCTTTAATACCACGATATACAACACTAGTTCCTCCCCTCGAATTACTATCGCATCCGATCATCGCACTCGACCGTGCTAACGCATATCCGTTACCTACAGCTTTCAAAAACGACGAACCCAACTCCTCTCGCAATATATCGAGCCCAGTTCTTTAACTAGCGCGACCGGAGGTCTACGAATACATACGGTCGATGATAGCCCCCCCAATACAAGCGGTGGGCACAGGAATGCCGCATACACTGCTTTAAATACCGCCAACCCCGACCCCGACGATACATATTCCCCTTCCACGATTACATCCCCCGTAGATTGGCGGCCCCAATCATCCGGTCCCTCCCATGGCATTGAGCATCCAGCCGGCTTGATGCGGCCAGGTGGCCCTTTGGCCGAATCTCGTCCGACATTAACCCAACGTGATTCACTATTCCTAAATCCCACCGCTGGCTATGCACAAAATGTAGGATCTGACCCCCCTACAAGGTCCGGGACGATGGTGTCAGGGGACTATGCTTTCAAGCCAGAGAATCAAGGAGGATATGGGCCGCAGCCACCACAGCAACATGCCTATGATAGCCGGACTGGGACTATGCTAGATTCTCAGGTTTATTTCTCTGATTTCGCTGGTCAACAGTCTTATGAACAAGGTCCCAGCGGTGAGTATGGAGGAGGAGCTCACAGATACTCCTCTAGCGATGCGTTCTCACCTACTGCTGCTATGGCTCCGCCTATGCTTACCGCAAACGATCTTCCTCCCCCAGAGGCGCTAGAATACCAGATGCCCCTAGAACCGCGAGAAGTACCCTTTGCCATCCACGATCCGCACGACGAACATACGGCTATGTCCACATTTGACAATATTGCCGCCGTGCTGAGACACAGGGGACGCACTACCGGAAAACTTCCGGCCTACTGGGTGCTTGATAGTAAAGGCAAGGAGATAGCGTCTATTACCTGGGACAAGCTAGCAGCCCGAGCTGAGAAAGTAGCTCAGGTCATTCGAGACAAGAGCTCGCTATATCGTGGCGATCGCGTTGCTCTCATTTATAGGGATACTGAGATTATTGACTTCGCGATAGCACTATTAGGCTGCTTCATTGCGGGCGTTGTGGCTGTTCCTATCAATGACTTGCAAGACTATGCGAAACTCAACCTCATCTTAACTTCCACGCAGGCGCATCTAGCACTCACTACCGACAACAATTTGAAGTCTTTCCAACGTGATATTACCACGCAAAAATTAAACTGGCCCAAAGGAGTCGAGTGGTGGAAGACTAATGAATTTGGAAGCTACCATCCCAAGAAGAAGGATGACGTGCCTCCATTATCCGTCCCAGACCTGGCGTATATCGAATTCTCTAGGGCGCCAACGGGAGATGTTCGGGGTGTAGTGTTAAGCCATCGCACGATAATGCACCAGATGGCTTGTCTCAGCGCTATAGTTCAGGGCGTTCCTAGTGGACAAGGCGACACATTCAATCGCGCTCTTCGCGACAAGAATGGACGTCTGATAGGAGGAGGCGCTAGCAGCGAAATCCTTCTGTCATACCTCGACCCCCGCCAAGGCATCGGAATGATCTTGGGCGTCCTTCTTAACGTCTATAGTGGCCATACAACTGTGTGGGTAGAGAATAAAGCGGTGAACTCGCCTGGTCTTTACGCTCATCTAATCACTAAATACAAGGCTACGCTAATGATCGCCGACTATCCTGGTCTGAGAACCGCGGCCTTTAATTACCAGCAAGACCCCATGACGACACGAAATTTCAAAAAGGGCATGGAGCCGAATTTCCAACATGTTAAGCTTTGTCTTATCGACACATTAACGGTCGATAGCGAGTTTCACGAGGTGCTAGCTGATCGATGGTTGCGCCCCTTACGAAACCCCAGAGCTAGAGAAGTCGTTGCACCCATGCTTTGCTTGCCTGAGCATGGTGGCATGGTTATTAGTGTCCGAGATTGGCTAGGTGGCGAAGAGCGCATGGGATGTCCCCTGAAACTCGATATTGATGCCGAATCAGGCTCAGAAACCGGCAAGGAGGACGAAAAGGACAAAGATAAAGACAAGGAGAAGACGACTCCTTCAAATGGCTTCGGAAGTCTTCTCGGGGGTGGCACGACCACGACAAAAGAGCAGGATGCTAAGGTCGAACTCGGTGAAGTCTTGCTAGACCGAGAGGCGCTGAAGATAAATGAAGTGGTTGTAGTTGCTATCGGCGACGAAGCTCGAAAGAGAGCGAGCACCGAGCAGGGAACTGTTCGAGTCGGTGCTTTTGGATACCCTATTCCTGATGCCACACTCGCTATTGTTGACCCCGAAACGGGACTGCTTTCAACACCCCATTCGATAGGAGAGATATGGGTCGATTCGCCGTCTCTATCCGGAGGTTTCTGGGCGCTGCCCAAGCACACAGAGCAAATATTCCATGCCAGACCCTACAAATTCGACCCAGGAGACCCAACACCCACACCTGTCGAACCAGAGTTTCTCAGGACTGGTCTTCTCGGGACGATTATTGAAGGCAAAATATTTGTGCTCGGGTTGTACGAAGATCGGATACGACAGAAAGTTGAGTGGGTCGAACATGGCCACGAAATCGCAGAGCACCGATATTTCTTTGTGCAACATATTGTTGTCAGCATTCTGCGGAACCTGAATAAGCAGGTATTTGACTGTTCCGCATTTGATGTCTTCGTCAACGATGAGCATTTGCCGATAGTGGTGTTGGAATCATCGGCAGCTTCAACAGCTCCAGCAACGTCAGGTGGTCCGCCTAGGCAGCTAGACACCGCGTTGTTAGATACGCTCTCCGAACGGTGTATGGATGTCCTCATGCAAGAGCATCATCTCAGAGTATACTGCGTTATGATTACAGCGCCAAATTCCTTACCGCGTGTGACCAAGAACGGTCGACGAGAAATAGGGAACATGTTGTGCCGTAGAGAATTCGACCTTGGTAACTTGCCTTGTGTCCATGTTAAATTTGGCGTGGAGCATGCTGTCTTGAATCTGCCTATCGGTGTGGACCCCATGGGCGGCATATGGTCAAATACGGCATCCGACGCCCGGGCCGATTTCCTTGGTCCCGCGGACAAGCAGTATTCTGGTATCGACAGACGCGAAGTTGTCATCGACGACCGTACATCTACACCACTAAATAATTTTTCCAGCATCACAGATCTTATACAATGGCGAGTGGCACGACAGCCGGAAGAGCTAGCCATCTGCACCATAGATGGAAGAGGCAAAGAAGGGAAAGGCATTACATGGAAGAAGTTTGATACAAAAGTGGCTGCGGTAGCTGTGTATCTCCGTAACAAGGCAAAGATACGGCCCCGCGATCACGTCATGCTCATGTATACACACTCCGAAGAGTACGTATTTGCTGTTCACGCATGCATAAACCTCGGTGCTGTGATCATCCCCACTGCGCCCATGGATGAGCGACGACTAAACGAGGATGTGCCTGCCTTCCTTCATCTCATCAACGATTATGGCGTTAAGGCTGTTCTGGTCAACAGTGAGGTAGATCACCTGCTCAAGTCAAAAGCCGTCTCCCAGCACGTCAAACAATCAGCTCAATTCCTCAAGATTAGCGTCCCCAACGTATACAACACCACCAAACCCCCGAAGCAAAACAATGGACTTCGTGACCTCGGTATCACTATAGATCCTGCCTGGATCCAGCCTGGATATCCGGTAATTATATGGGCGTACTGGACACCAGACCAACGCAGGATATCTGTGCAGCTTGGCCACGACACAATACTGGGGATGTGCAAGGTTCAAAAGGAAACCTGTCAGATGACAAGCTCCAGACCAGTCCTCGGCTGCGTCAGAAGCACTTCGGGCTTGGGTTTTATTCATTCATGTCTAATGGGTATCTACATAGGTACACCTACCTACTTACTCTCGCCCGTAGAATTTGCCCAAAGTCCTATGTCACTCTTCTTAACCCTTAGTCGATACAAGATAAAGGATACATACGCGACACCACAGATGCTCGACCATGCCATAAATTCAATGATTGGCAAAGGTTTCACGATGCATGAGTTAAAGAACATGATGATATCAGCCGAGTCTAGGCCACGTGTCGACGTATTCCAAAGGGTCAGAGTTCATTTCGCGGCTACTGGCCTCGACAGGACGGCTATAAATACGGTTTACTCACATGTACTAAACCCGATGATTGCATCGCGATCATATATGTGTATCGAGCCAATTGAGCTTTACCTCGACCAGCGAGCTCTTCGTAGGGGGTTAATTGTTCCTGTCGACCCCGAAGCAGAACCAAAAGGCCTATGCCTCCAAGACTCCGGCATGGTCCCTGTCTCGACACAAATCGCCATCGTCAACCCCGAAAGTCGACTTCTTTGCACCGATGGGGAGTACGGTGAAATCTGGGTCGACTCAGAAGCGTGCGTGAAAGCGTTCTATGGGTCCAGAGATCCCTTTGACGCTGAACGTTTTGATGGCCGTACTATCGATGGCGACCCCAACATCAGCTACGTCCGGACCGGTGATCTAGGATTCCTGCATAACGTCAGTCGTCCAATAGGACCGGGTGGGGCTCAAGTGGACATGCAAGTCCTTTTCGTATTAGGAAATATTGGCGAGACTTTCGAGATTAACGGTTTAAGCCACTTCCCTATGGATATAGAGGCCTCAGTTGAGAAATCTCACCGAAACATCGTACCCGGTGGCTGGTAAGTTTTAAATCTGCCAAAGATATTGGTTCCTACTAACATAATGTTTAGCGCTGTCTTCCAAGCGGGTGGTCTCGTCGTCGTCCTTGTCGAAGTATCACGCAAGGCGTATCTCGCGTCTATCGTTCCAGTTATCGTGAACGCTATCCTAAATGAACACCAGATAGTTATTGACATAGTTGCCTTTGTGAACAAGGGTGACTTCCCTCGCAGCCGTCTCGGCGAGAAGCAACGTGGCAAGATCCTAGCTAGTTGGGTTACTAGGAAAATGCGCACAGTTGCTCAATTCGCGATCCGCGATGCAGATTCCGGTAGTGTGGAAGGTGGTGACGGCACAGGCGAAAACCACCGTGCTAGTGTGGGTAGTGTACGAAGCAGCAACGCACCGGGCGCTAGTTCGTTGAGGAACGTGGAACATGCGCCACAGATACTGGAACAGGAAGAGTTGGATCACCAAATGAATAAGATGTCAGCTCTTCCTCAACCAGCCGAACTTGCCGCTTATAATGAGAGATATATGACTGCGACGCCGACCATGGACAACTCTATACCTCGACTAGGTACAAACAGTGGCCGCGAGTACGCCAACATTAACCAATACGGCGTCGGCGTTGCTGGGCCTTCAAGACAACAACAACCTCTTCCCCCACAGATCCGCCTTCCCAGTGTTGACGGGCGCGAAATGCCGAGTGACGATATGTGGGCTCACGAGGTCGGAGGCATGGGTCACGGACAACCTTCGGTTGAGGAGGACGAATGGCAACGCGATGCCCTCATGCACATGAACTTAGCAGGTCAAATGCCGAGGCAGGACTAGTGGTCTACTGCTTTGGAGCGGAGGGCTTTTTATATAGGGGTAAGAGGCAACGCCGCGCGAGACCATACCTCGGTTCGACAGCCTCGATGATTTGATGTGTGACTTAGGTAATTAAACAGGCGTTGGAGTCGTACTTGGTATATTTTAAATGGGCTGCTTGTTCAGTTTTTATTGTTGTTATTGTTATCGTTACTTGATTCCAATCATGGGGTCAGGATAATTATGCTTTGTGTTTTTTAAAAACAGCGTCGAGTCAAAATGTCTTTTTTTTTTCCCTGTGCTGTGTTGAGATTTGTGGTGTGGAAGCGTTTTAAATAGCGCATTTCGTGTGTACCGCGAAAAGTTGAGAGGAGGCTGTGGTGGTTGAAATATTGATATCCTGATTAAGTCATTTATGATGCATTGCATTGGGTTTAGTTTGTATTTACGTGATAAGATCGCAAGTATTGTTTGATATTCGTATTTTGAGTATTCATCTGACTTCATTGCCTTATTTTGCGAAGCATTTTCGTTGCTAGAACTCTTGCAAAACTGATTCTCTTTACTCAAAGATGAGTGCATTAAAATACGTTTAGAGCGGACATAGACCAATCACTTACTGATCCTGTTTTACTTTCATAGACATAGATAGAATATAGAACAATTCACTTAGAATAGAGCACGATAAGAAATTGTAGATGAGTTGGGTGATTATTTAACCCCTCATTATATTGACTTGGTAGATTTTGCGATACTAAGTAGAGCAAGTTCTTTTTACCGTCATACATACATATCGTTTTAATCCTCAGTTCAATTATTAATTTGCCTGATATCTCGTTATCATAGCTTGACGTTCTTCTCAGTCGCGGCCTTGATAGCGGAGCCCAGTTCGGGGTTGACTTTGGTAAACATGTCGTAGGTTCGTGCTCGGGTGTCCTTGTGCGCGCCAGATAGGTGGACTGAAACGTTGTGGACGAAGTTCTCCTGTTGACCGGGAGTTCGCCCGAGGACCTTCCAGAGACCGTTGGCCTGCTCGTAGTCATGGGTTTGGACTTGGTCGAACAGGTCGCTTACAGCGGCACCAGTCCACTGCTCGTGAGGGTTTGTGGGCTTGATGTCCCTGTAAGTCAAGGGGCGGTAGCTGCTTGGGTAGTTGGGGTTGGCGCCGTAGTTTCCATTTACGGACATGGCACCATCACGCTGGAAGGGGTTGAAGGCATTGAGGGGTGCGTTTACAGGGATTTGTTGGTAGTTGACGCCAAGTCTGTGTCGGTGGGTATCTGGGTAGGAGAACAGACGAGACTGTAGCACTGGGTCTGCCGACGGCTCAACACCAGGGACAAGGTGAGATGGGGAGAAGGCTACTTGCTCGATCTCAGCGAAGTAGTTCTCGGGATTCTTGTTGAGGGTCAACTTTCCGAAGCGTCGGAGAGGTACCTCAGCCTGTGGCCAAACCTTGGTCAAGTCAAAGATATTCCACTTGAACTTTTCAGCTTGTTCTGGCGTCAGGGTCTGGACGTAGACTGTCCAGCTTGGGAAGTCGCCCCTCTGGATAGCCTCAAATAGGTCCTGAGTGGCATGGTCGGGGTTTTCAGAAGCTAACTTGCCAGCTTCCTCATTGTTCAAAGTCTTGCTACCTTGGTCGGTCTTTAGGTGTACCTGGACGTAGACATAGGAGCCGTCAGGCTTAACCCATTTGTGGGTGTGGCCAGAGTATCCGTTCATATGCCTGAAAGAGAACGGTGTTCCTCTGTCGGAGAAGAGGTGCATGACCTGGTGGATGGATTCTTGGTGGGTAGACTGTGGCAGTAAGTGTTAGTTCCCTTTCTATGAGACATTTGGTGGGGTATGATGTATAAGACATGTTTGATAATCCTATAATCGAGGATCCGATTCACAAGGTTTCTGAATAAGTTGGAAAAGTCCAATATACACTTACCAAGTAATCCCAGAACATAGTGGCATCCTTTAGGTTGGTCTGAGGGTTACGCTTCTGAGTGTGAATGAACAATGGGAAGTTGGAGGGATCTCGAAGGAAGAAGATGGGGGTGTTGTTGTAGACCCAATCCCAGTTACCTTCTTGTGTGTAGAACTTGATAGCAAATCCTACAATCACCAATTAATATTCATATTTGAATACTTCAAGGGGTAGATTTCATACCTCGAGGATCTCTGGCGCTATCGGCTGAACCCTTCTCACCACCGACAGTAGAGAAGCGAAGAACAAGAGGTGTCTTCTTGCCAACGCCAGTTAACATGTTAATAGTGGTGATATCACTGATATCGTCAGTGACCTCGAACTCTCCATAGGCACCAGCTCCCTTGGCGTGGACAACACGCTCGGGGATTCGCTCGCGGTCGAAGTGGGCGAGGAGGTCAATTAGGTGGAAGTCCTGAAGCAGGAGGGGACCGTGTGTGCCCACTCGCTGCCAGGCAGAGGGGTGCTGGATAGGGTATCCATTGGAGGTGGTATACACAGGCTTCTCATTGTACCTAAAGGTAGAAGCGGGCTTGTCGTTGGCAACCATGGTGGCGACTTAAGAGTAAATTAGAATGGGTGGCTTAGTTACACAGAAGCAACGACAATATGCTATTTGATATGGGTATCCAAGAAAGGATGACGAGGCAATCCAAGTTCACGGAATTGGAATTGCCTAGGCTCTGAAAAAGTAAACTAATGGTTTACCTAAGACAATAGATATTCCTTCGGGAAAGTATAGAGCTTCCACGAAGGTAGAGGAACAAATAAGGTATCTCAGATGTGCAACCGGAGGAAACGGAAGACTGAAATGGAGTTGGAAAGGGGGAGGGAGAAGAAGCTATATAAATACCATAAAAATGCATCTCACTCCAAGTTCTGATCTACCTGACCTAGGTACTGTACCTTGTCTCACCGGAGCCTTTGTTAGCATAATACAGCGCGTGGGCCATGGGTTCCATAGGTTATGGGAAGGGTTTCAACGTTCTTGTACGAAACCCCCTCTCCTCTCTCTCGTTCGCCGCTTGCACGACCCCGACTATCAATACCATCTGACCAGTTATATACCGGCTACGCGGTTGTCGTGCTCGGTTCTGCACTATAACTGCAAATGGGAGTTTTGAGGAGAGCAGGGGAGCGAGAGGTGGGGTGAGAGCATAGGAAGAAGGGAAGAAGGCCAGGCTCGAGTGGAGAACTAGGAGAACTAGGAAAGTCGATGGGTGACGGGAGTTATTCAAGTCTGGTAAGACACTACGTAAGTGCAGAAAGTGGGGTAAATCTCTATACTGCATCAACCAATCATATAATTTCTAATTGTGAGCTTTGAACTTGCCCCGCCATTTGCCGGCATCTCTCCGATCATGCTTTCCAATTCTGACCTCTTCTTTCCGCTAACAACCCTAACAAATCTTATCCACTTACAACTGTTCAAACTGCCTCTTCTTTATTAAACTTTCAAGCTATGAGTTAGCAATTACATATGTATACCAATGATATCAACCAACTGACACTCTAAACAAAATAGTAATGGAACCTAAGAATAATTCGGTCTTCTTCGGTCTACTTCGGTCTTTGCGTGCTTTAAAAAATTTCCTTCATCTTGCCAAGACTGGAAATGAACTCGTAGGGCGGGACGCGACGCGTATCAGAAACTATTGCCTGCTTCCGCTGCTGTACCGCTCGAGGATTGCGGAGAAACTTACAAACGCCACCACTTGCATATCTTATGCTAGGTATGTTATTAGGTAGGTACCTATACTTGACGTACATACAAAGACTTTGCCTGTCAGATGCTCTCTAATTAATAATAGGAGCTTCTTGATTATTCAAGGGAACTTTCCCCAATGCATCCGAGGATCAAAAAAAGCTAAGGGGACCCTTGTGGCAACATTTTTGAGGCCGCCTCTCCTTATTCCCATCTAGGGGAAGCAAAAGCAATTACCGCCCAGAAAACAACAATGTGGGATTTTTAAGTGCTTTTTTATGTCACTTTAGTACATTTTGCCGGCATATAACAAGTACCTAGGTAGTTTGAGTGAGTTGTCAAGTATACATGTATGGGATGTATCATCTCCTATCGAACCATTGAGCCCACACCCGAACACCTGCAAATATCTTAATCGACCCCTCCATTACACACAGTACATGCCACAATGGAAAGCTTCGGCAATCCGAACCGCCTCGGTGTTACATATACTCCTAAAGTGTCGCTTACTACTGTTACTACTTCCTTACCTCTTCTTCCTTTTGGGGTAGAACTAGAAAAGAAGGAAAAAAAACCCGTGCGGAATTACGAGCAAATCCCACCGTCTCGAACCCGAATAAGGTCATGACATCATATGGCGTCTTCCCTTCTACTTTGTCATTTCCTACACAAATACAGACTAATCGGAATCGCGCAATGAGTCTAACGAACAACTATATGCATGCTTCCGGAAGAGGAGGGTCGTTTTCCTATAACACGTCAAGTAGTCTTCTTTTTCTATCGACTCGCTCATTTTTCTCACTGTGTTATATTCCATTTTTACCCTCCACCCAGTTTGCTATAATTATGTCCCAAGAAAACTGGTCCATTCCCAGATTCCAAATACCAATTCCGGGGAATTATACCATTTTTGTATAACATAGTAGCAAATAAAAGGGTAAATCCTAGTTTTTCTTCTGTCCGACTTATCGCCGTAGCTTTCCTCTTTTGTCGCTCGGGGCTATCACCAAGGTGCGTCTTGGACGCTTCCTTCCCCACAACCACAGGAGACCGGGTGTCGCGGGGTCTCGTGGCAGCGTGTACAATTACCTAAGTGGGTCTTCCTATCTTTAGGAATAACTAACGCTCAACCCAAAAGTTCCATTACCTAAGCCCCTTGACACTAGCGTAACAAGTATATCCCGACCAACTATTTCCAACATCAAGAAGCAATACAAGACTAGAACTCCTATATCGGCGCTGTTGCTCATTCGCTAGGATCTAAATGGAGCTCCTCTTCGAATGTGTTTTGCAACTTCCATATATAGAATCAGATATCCAACTACGACGCTCGGCGCGGTCATTATTCTTTAGCAGTTCTCGGACCAACGCCATCGGGATTAGTTGATTCCCCTTGTTACAATACGCGCCTAGCAGTAGTTTCTATTGGCTTATCATCAATTCTCTGCTGATGCTGTTTCGCTCTATTTTGTTAAGAGTTTATAGCCGGGGGTTTATATCACTGTAGGTTACTTGCTAGTCATTGAAAACTTCATGGAAGAACCGCGGTAGCATCGATTTGGTCATTAAACCCGAATAAGGTGTGTCTATAATAATTATAATATATCTAATGTAACGACTGAATAGGGGCCGACCCGTAACCTAATTATTACTTGATCCATGATCTAGGGACTGCCTACCAGATCATCAGGTCCCTCCTTTCTATATTGCGAGAGTAAGGCAACGGAAAAGCATCAGGCCTTCATTGCCTATATATAACCTGATATTTATATACCAGGTTTAGTCAGGAACCCGCATTGCGAACGAATGCCTGACTAAGTCGATGATGCACACATGACTGTTGTCTTGAGGAAAATTTCTTCGTCGATCTTGATATTCATCGTTCTCGCCTGTTCTGCCTCCTTTCCTTCCCCTTCGGCCGTCCCCCATTGAAGAAAAAAAAAAGTCCAGTAGAACGCCTTTTGCTTCCAATCATACCGGCCACGGCATTTAATGCTCCTATGATACGACCTACTTTGCCAGAGCCGTCTACCCAAAATCGTAGGTACGTATATGATATCAATAAAACGGTTGAGATGCCAAGATAGGAACTGTCGGTAACGGTCATGCTTGATACGGTTGGTGAGTGTTATACATGTAGACGCCTTGTGCGGGGAAAACCGAGTTTAATCCTGTGATACGGTTTGCTATGTGATGGGTTAGCCAGATCTGTACAACCCCGAGATTCGAGTCGAGTAGGTGCTCGGTCGAACGTTGACCGTGTAAAATCGTAATAAGAATAGATAGGTAGATATAGTACTTACCACCAGCCAATCCATTCCTTCGTTAACACCGCTTCCATCAACCGCTGAACACGCCATAATACTCCAGTTGCGATCCCTCAGCTCACCTAATCGCAGCGCCTCGGATATCTCGCCAGCACCTTTGGCGCCAGGTTGATCCTGCTTATTGGCAAAAACTAAGAGGGCAGCATCCTTCAACTCATCTTCGTTGAGCATGGCAGCCAATTCTTCGGCGGCTGTCTGTAGACGCTCGATATCCGTGCTGTCGACGACGAAGATAACGGCCGCCGTATTCGCATAGTAGCATCGCCAGTAGGGTCGAATCGAAGTCTGACCACCCAAATCCCACACGTTGAAGTTTAGGTTTTTATAGGTTACCGATTCGACATTGAACCCGATCGTAGGAATCGTCGTTACTACCTCGCCTATCTGTAGGTCTTGGCTATTAGTCCCTTATACTTTAAGATCCCGGATAATCCATCAAAGGGGCTAACGGGAGCCATGGGGAAGCAAGTGTGAGACTAGTGTCAATAGTAAAATAAATGACCGACCTTTAATCTGTAGAGTAACGTCGTCTTTCCTGCGTTATCCTGCGCGAGACTTATGTATCAGCTCTGCTTGCTAAACCCCTAGCCAGTGAGAAGCTTCGAAACAGGGGGGGTTGTCAGCTCATACGAGACCTAGGATTAAAATTCGTATCTCTTTCTTCGCCCACAGCAGACTGGACAACCATGACACGCTCTGACCCATCTTGTGCTCGTATGTCTCGTCCACGCAGGAGCTCGGCGCTCTATCGTTTCCAGGGGTAATAGGATAATGACCACGCGATCGTATGCGGTTGTTACTTTAAAAGGTGTTCAACTAAGGAAGTTCGATAGAGTCGGGTTTCTAGAATATTTGTTTAGGTCATCACAAGGAAAGGGATGTCGTAAACGCATAGAAAGATGTATTATTCGTCGAAAAAGGGAGATCGTTATTTTCAATACAATAGAAAAAAGGCGTGTCAAGCTTTCAAGTTGGCTTTGAAATGTTGCGCGGTCTTAAGGCACATGGGTTTAACTAAGATTGGCTTTCTAATCTTTCTAATAAAGCAAGGGTCTCTTCTGTTCAAGGTTTAGGGAGGCCGCCACAAGCATACGCCAATTAGCTTGGCGCTCTCTTTTTCTCGACTCAGTAAAAAAACCAGCTGGCAAGCTCTTATCTTATCGGGACTCCAATTCAGGTCACATGATTAAATCCACTATTTTATGATTTTGAAAGTATCTAGGTACTGCGCCAAGACTTCGGAACAAGCGCACACAATTTGCATTGGGGCTGTAAAACCCTCGCGGCAACCCAAAATTTCTAATCCGCTTCTTGATTTGACCTACTACTCCACCCTCCTTCAATCAACCACGAAAGATCACGAACAATCTCGACATTTAGATCAGCACAAGCAGTCAAAATGCCGGTATGTATTAAATTATTTCTTTGGATAGTATCGCAGTTGATGAGACGTTCGACGAGTCATCCTTCGCCGGTAGTCTACATGTGCGATGGGACTCGTATTTCCATTTGAAGGATTGTGTACGCTCTTAGGGACAACACAAGACTGACAATATTTTCAACCACAGAGCCACAAGTCTTTCCGAACGAAGCAGAAGCTTGCCAAAGCGCAGAAGCAAAACCGACCTATCCCCCAATGGATTCGTCTCCGCACCGGTAACACCATCAGGTACGAAGAAACCCTCGCGAACGAAAGCATCTCGATCCCGATGCGACGAGCAACCCAAATATTATATCACAAGATAATAGCAGAAATGCTGACCAGATTTACAGATACAATGCTAAGCGGAGGCACTGGCGCAAGACCCGTATCGGTATCTAAATGCCCATTCATATCCCCGACTTCATCGGCTACCTCTGTACTCGGGAGGAACCCACCGAATGCGACATGTCACCTTCACGAATTTGGCGAATAGGCGATCTTTAGGGGATGCATGGAGTCTGGCAGTGGATGATCAAAACCTCGGTTGGCAATGCTTCGGTGGACTTCCTTTCGGACAGGAATATGGTATTCATGCTAGGGAAGGGGAAAGCATAATGTTCCGGGCGATTCGCTTTTTCTTCAGGGCTCGTCTTTCAAGATTTGCATGGTACTGGTCATAGGGAATGAATCAACACGTTTGCGAAAAGAACAAAAAAGTAACCACAATATCTTGATGCCATGATCGAGTTTCCGTGCATGTGATTAACACTTTAGAGCACCCGAATATTCACAGAACGATACACAAGCTTTCTAGCACGGGACGAATCCCGTGCTCATTCTCGTCATTCCCACCATTCTCCATCCCCGTATGCCCAGAATCCTCAAACCAAAGGGGAATAAACACCCTGTGGTCATCGTAGCATAATTACCCCTTTTCAATAGCATTACTAGGTGTCATCGAGGAATCATCATGCGACGTGTAGTGTAGATAATCCAAGAATCGGGCTCAACATTCACTCATCTTCCCTTCAGTGTATACGCGTAGCCGCTCCATTCCGTCAGCTCTTTCCTCGTACGGGGACCGTCGTCATGAGTGCCTACTCAAGTCGTGTATTGGAAACTTGGGTTGAGAAACTACCATATGCTGGTAATCTCGCCCTTAGCAACACGCTCTTTATAAGATAAATCAAGGGAAGTAGGAGCTATCGTCGAGTAGCAGAGAGCCAACATGTAGGAAGCAGCTCCCATGTCTTCGACCCATCCTCCTTCCCAATTCCCAAGCCAGGGTGTTATCAGGATACCTACCTATTTACTTCGGTAATTATCATCAAGTCGCTATAGTGTAGTAGTTGGATGGACCTCGGCGAAAATGAGTCACAAACAAGGGACGCCATCCCCAAGCTACATGTTCCAAATCTAGCGAGATGCATATCGGGTAGGTACGTCGGATAGTGAGTAGAACTAGTAAAAGCAGTATGATGTCTGCCTAAAAGTTAGTAGGGGAAAGCTCTATGAGGGACTGCGAGCTATTAAATCGTTGTTACACCACCTAGGTAGATTTTAAAGGGGTCACAATAACGTCAATGATATCGCTAATCTACAACCTCGAAGAGGTCCATTCCAGGCACGCATGGTACAGCACAGAGTTTAATTAGGTAGATTCAATATCAAGCAAGCGATAACATATCACAGGAAAAACTAGTTTCGTTTAAAAAGCAATGTCTATTGCTATCAAATGCGACCTTAAAACGCCTAAAACATATGTGCAAGTCCTCAAGCTGTTCGGCGTTTCGTATGGATACTGGTACCGGCTCCTTCGCTGGTTTTGGTAGCAGACTAGCGTGATGAATCATGTACCGAGTATGATTTCCATGATCCCACGCCAATGATTGGCCTATTTAGCCAGCTACCAAGGGAAAGTACCCTCGAATTCTATCACGAGCCGCAGTGAACCAATCTCATAAAAATCACTCCGCCGCAAACTGCAGTCCGCCTAAACCCTAAATAAAGCCGGATGTGTGCCGAACGAGGACGAAATATGGAAGGGGACGCTGGTAAAATATGGATGTTGGGCAAGGTGTTTATCGGTCCTCGGCCCACTCGTTCTCCCGGCGGATCTGCTCCTCTTCCTCGGGAGTGAAGTCGTTCGTAATGTTGAACGTCTTTCGGATCTCCTCCGGGGACTTGCCCTTGATCATGTTGGCAACGGTCTTGCAGCCAACGTCGAGAAGAGCCTTGATGTCCAAGTAGTTGGACGCCTGCAGTGAAGAATCGGGTTAGTGATAAAGTGGCAAATATGGGGAGTCGGAGATATGAGGGTACAACATACAAGGATGATCTCGAACAACATTTCCTGGTCAACCTGCATGAACTTTTGGTCCCACTCGTCGATGTCGGTGGTCTTCTTGCGGTTGTCGGACTCGTCCTCGTTCGTGGCGGGGGGGTCGTTGCGGTGGTGCTCGCACCACTCAATCACCTTGCGAAGGACAGGCTCGGTAACCTACAGGAGAAGTTAGAATCACGGAGAAGGCCACCACAATAAATAATATAGATTTAATTAGAATAACCTACGTTCGGGATAGGGATAGTTTGTCCCTCAGCGTTGGGACCAAGATCCTCGAGCATGTTCTTGATTAGAAGGGATCGCTCGGCAACGGCCTTCTCTGTGGCGTATGTCAGTAACCCTTCAAGGCGCAAACCGGTGGAAATTAAAACTTACCAACATCGATCTTGATGTTGTCGTTGGATTGTAGGCGGATGTAATCCGCGGCGGGAGGGGCTTCAGTCTCAACCATGATGTCGGATTTGATTATGGGTGAGTTCTGCGAATGGTGAGTATGCGTTCGTTAGAGATCCGTCGCGCAATGTACGGAGGTAGAAAATCTGATATTTCGTAAAATGTGATGGCTTGTTGATGTGGTTGGTATCGTCTGCTTGTGGGAAGGGAAAAAGATGTAAAGTAGAAGTTGAATGACGGATGATGAATGAAGTTTAGTGAAGTTTGGTTGGATGCGGTGGGTTCGGGCAAGCCTAGCAGAAAGAGCTAGGAACATTGAAGTTTGGAGGGGCAGGTACTTAAATAATTAGGTACCGGTAGGTGCAGCGGGCACTTGGGTATGTAGATTAGGTATCTACATACAACTTTGAAAGGTGAATGTCAGGGGTGTGAATGACGCGATAATACAATGTCTAAGTCACATACATACCTAGAAAAGAATCGAGTGTTAGTTAAAGAATCCTTTATACGATGATAAAGGTTCTAGATGAAATAATGTGAAAGGAGATGTGATAAGTTGTTTGGTGTTCAGGAACTCGAGGTTTTACGTGTGTTGGTTGGCGATTCTGTATTGCAGAATTAAAGTCCCTAGGATGGTAAAAGAGAACCATAAAAAAGAACTATGGAAGTTTACTCACACCGCAAATAATAGTGCCATCTTTAGGTACCTCAGGCAGGCACTTGTAGCTGCCTATAACAAACCTTGCTGGAGCCCTGGAGATTTACAGGCAGAGGGACCCACCAACCTTCCAATTGATTCCAGCTATTTTAGGCAGCCCTGGAGCACAGGGCACAGCTAACGTGCGCTTTTAGCAGTAGCTAACTCCACAACAGCGAAGGGACCGCCTACCTATTATGATCATGCGTGACTTTGACTTGTACTTATCGTTCGTTCCTGCCGTGCACATACCAACAAGTACCTACTCAAGCACCTAGGCAGGTACCTTCCGTCCGATACTCTCTCACTTAAGACATTGACCACCTTAAGTACCATTGTGAGTGGGGGTTGCAAACGCCCGTCTGTCTGTGCTTAACTTCATCGCCACGCACTAAAGTCAATATCATACATGTATTAAAGTAAGAGGGAAAACATCTAAGGACTGATACCTAGATGCATCCACGATATCAAACAATATATATATTAAGCATGTGTCGTGCCTAAGTATGTAGTTTCTACCTAGGTATTTAACTTAATATAGGTAGGCACGCTTCGAATCAGATGTCATAATCGAATGTGACGATGTTTCTCCACTAAGGTAGGTACTTTGGTAACACAGCCAACAATCAGATATACTAAGGTTAGACCAGATCTTTTCAATAAAATAACATCAAATATTTGTGTCCAATCATTTGAACTTGCAAAATTTACTGTATCCGAGTATTGCTAGCAATTTTTTTTTTTTTTAGGTTACGTAGACATCCGAGTGCCCACACGAATGTAAGGAAAGGAAGACATTCATATATAGAATTTTGAGTTGTATAAATAATGGCTGTATACATACCTAGGATCTATAGAAAAAATAGCTCACACCGTATACACCTACGTACGTAGCTACAGTTATATTGATCTTTATATTTTACTTCTCCCCTCAGTAGACATCGCAATTCCTAGCTAAACCCCTTCCACTATGTTGCATGTTTTGTGTTCCCATTATATGCACCTTGCCGAAGCCACCACCCCCCTTTATCAACACTAGATACTTTAACTCCGTAGATTACATATTAGAAAATAAGAGGTTGGTCAACAAGTACCAAAAGTGATTTGTGTGTATGTGCTGTAAAAGATGTGGCGTGTATGGTTGCGTAGTTTGTGTAGCAACAACATCGTCATCATGTGCCGATGGCTGCTTAACACGAGAAAAGCAAGGGGTAAAAGTAAAAACGAGGGAAAGAAAGGGTATCAAGTTCCACCGGCCCCAAACCAACCTGACGATAAAATAAATCCTGTATATCTCTCAATCACCGCATATTCATTCACACGCGTACACTCATGACTTCCGAAATGTTGGTCCTAGTTCATCACCGATCCTTGACCGCGCCTTGCATTCTACGCATGGCTTCCCGATGTGCATCCATTAGATCGCCGCGACGCATCAGCTCTTCGAACGTACGTTCATTTTGCTCCTTCTCCTGGCGTTCTAGCTGTTTTCGTTGAGCTTCTTGCTCTCGCTGCGAGAGAAGTGCGTTTCGTTGCTGGTCAATATTATGTTCGACCTCGTGAATTCCGTTTCGTGGGCCCATACCTCCTAGCAAACCACCCGAAGATGCAGATAAGAACGGTGTCTCGCGACCATTATTAGCGGGAGGCGAGACTGGGGTACCCGCTCGTAGCTCCGCAGCGACAGATTGTCGGAAGTTAGCAAGCTGGGCTTCGCGATGTACCTGGGATGGAAGTGTGGAACGTCGTTGGGGTTGATGGGAATCGAATTGCGAGGCTTCAGCGGCGATTGGGGAAACGGGAGCTGGGCTTGGAATAGGTGTGGAGGCCATTCTCATGGTACTATTCGGCCTAGGGTTACCGTGGGCTGGTTTGACCGAAAGCATGCTACTCTGACGCATAAGCTCCTTCCGCTGACTGAGCGGGATATCGTCAGCGTCTTGCCCGACGAAAGGCGAATGTGTCGGGTGATTGTAAGAAAAGTCCATTTGGCTGACTGATCTGGGGACGTATTGCTGGCCCTCGGGAATTGGTGTTGTTAAGAGTAACGTTGACTGGGATTTGCTTCGCAGGAACATATCTCGTTGACCGATAAGTGTTTGCGGGCTATTGTACGAAACGAGACCTGGAACGGAAGTGCGATATGCTCCCTGTGGTTCGGATTCTGTCGGCGAAGGGGGATTTGGCTTCAAAGCAGGTTCATCAGCCTCTTGAGGAATATTAGCTCGGATGCTGTTCTCGTCGCCGCGCTCTTCCAAAATTGGCTGAATAATTACATCGCCCGATTGCCGACGGCTTTTTATTCGCATATTATGGCCCGTATGAAGAGTATGTGGTTGGGTGTGTTTAACGAAGTTTGACTTGTCGTTAGAGTCTTGTACCTGGCCTGCCGTAGACATTAGGGGCGGCATGGCTTGCACAGAGTTTGCTGCAGAGGCTGTCGACAGAGAACGGTAAACCGGCACAGCGGACTGAGCGTTCGACATCGTAGAGGGTGATCTCACAATGGAAGTCGCTGGTATCCCATCTTCAGGCGTACGTTGAAGTTCCTCGACGTCGATGGGTGCGGGGATTTCTGGTTGTTTCGAATGTCCATCTTGTGCGGGATATTCATTCAACTGCAACTCTTCCGGATCAGGCTTTTCTGCATGGCTCAAATGCTTTGCCCATTCATTCGTACGATATGACAGCGCAACGCGTGACAGACTAGAAGGGAGACGTTCTTTGGTAAGGCTTGCAGAGGATGCGGCCGAAGGAGATACAGATTTGCCCGCTCTCGATGTCTCAGAAGCGGCTTTCGTCTCTGGTGCGTTAGCAGAGTTATCGGCTTCGCTTATTCCAGCCATCTTTCCGGTGGCATTTGTTGCGCTGCTCCGTTTCGACTTGCTTCCAATAATTTCTTCGGCAAGCGACGGGTTCAAGATGCCTGTAGCGATTGTCTCCGTCGTTGAATACGGTCGGGTTGCATTGAGATGTGCTTCGGAGTCGTCTAATTTCGGTTCCGTTGGCTTCTTATCTTCGGCGTGGAATTCACCGTTCGGTAATCTATCCGCCAGCTCTGCCTTGATTTCCATGGTCCATCTCGATTCTCCTTCAGGCTGCTCAAAGTCATCCTCGTCACCACTCATGCCGTCAATTGTGGCAGCAACTGATCTGTTATCTTCTTGAGGCCGTCGATCCTGAAGTGTCAATTCCTCGTGACTTCCCCTAGGCCTTGGCGACGGTTGCGGCGATTCAAACTCCCCAGTCTGTCGCTTGGGTTTCTGGGATCGCTGAGATAAACTTCGCAGTAGATTACCCGAACCCACCGATAACCTATGCGATAAAGAGGCTCTCGACGCTCTCTTACTTAGAGTAATAGAGCGTTCATCTTCATCCGCAAAAGTTGCAAATGACGAGCGATCGTCATCATTTACACCTTCATGTAGCTCAGGAACCCTGAACGGCAGCGGAACAACATCAGGGCCAGTTACGTTCGAATATCTTTGCGAACTGCGGGGCAGTACAGCAGAAGCCGGCCGTGCTTTATCAACTCCAGCCATCCACGCCTTTTCATCCGGTTCGGGGATTGGCGATGATGCATCGACACCATCGGGTCCCTCATCTCGTGAAACCCTTATGGTTACCCCGTGATCTTCATCTGGGTTCGCGATGACAACTCCATCGTCCACCTGTTTTGCTACCTCGGAAGACGTGGTATCTCCAGATGCCGAGAGATCCGCCATCTCGATTGCGTTTTCGGCCTCGGTCTCGCTAGGCGATACTGGTTGGACCGTCGTCTGACTAAGGCGTCCTTTTTTCTCATTTTCCATTTCTCCAACGCCCGAGTCGCGAGAAGCGGTGGGGCTCATCGGAGGGTCCCCATATGTTGTTTCCCATTGTCTTCTTTCGCGGTCATTATCCTGCTCAACTCGTCGTCCAACATCTGCTTCCTCTTCATCACGCATCCTTTGAAATTCCGCTCGCTCTTCGGCTCGTTTCACACGGTGTTCTTGAATCACGCGCCAAAGCTTGAGCTGAGATATTAAGCCCAGAATTGTTAGTACAATTGTTACCGCAATTTCCACCCTTATGCCTTTAGTTAAGGGGAATGTGGTAGCTTCAAGCGGGAAGAGCTTGTCGTTCAGATTCCATATGTAAACCCAAAATTCTTTCAAACCCGCTCTGCTGAAACAATCGATACCCAAAACTGTAACCGTCGCGCCAGCAAAAGACATAAGCCCGATGAGAGCATACGGTCTGGTGTATCGACTAAAATAGGATGCAAAACCCGCAAGTGTGAAGGCGACGATGAATATGACTTTGCCGGTAGTCGAAGGAAGCAATCCTCCTTCATGCAGGGTTAACAACCACATGGCCAAGCAAAACCCGCCAAGCAAACACCCGAGGCCTTCTGTGAGTTCCCTGAAAGCTGTCGCAGCCCCGCCTAGGATGATACCAGTGCATACACCTGCTACAACATATGCACCTTGGATGGCGTCCGATACGGGCGGGTTCATAACGTAGACAATCAAAACCGTTACACATAAGCTGGCCAGATATGCCGAGGAGAAAAACGTATGCAGCCATTCATTTTTTATACCAATCAAAGTGTATATGACACCACTGATAAGCATTATTGCGCCGGCGACACCCCATCCTGGCGTAAGCCGAGGCTGCAAAGGCAATTCTCCCTCTACAATTGCTGCTAGAAAATCGAGGTCAGGATGGGCACCGGCGAGTTAAACAAAGAGGAATGAGGAATGACGTACGGGTTTCAGAGTAGCTATCATTACTCGGATTATTCCCATTTATGGCAGAGGGGATCGCAGTTATTGCTGGCTCGCTTGTCGCAGTAGTTGTTACTTCGATTGAAGAAGTTATTGACGGCGAATCAGAGGATTTCGAGGCGTCCGGCGGAGCTGTTGTTGTTCCCTTGTCTCCATCTTGTGTCGTCTTTGTGGCCTCAGTTGTCGCAGAAGTATCTTGTCTTGGATAGGGACCTAATAGGCCTGCGACTACTACATTGAAGCAAAGGCTCAAGTAGAGCAAAGTATAAATGTTCGGCAACCTTGGAAGCATCGTGAGAGCTACAAGGTATCTCGGTGTCGAATACTACTATCAATTATACAGCACTCTGAAAAGTACTTCTCTTGTTAAATCCCACCATCAATTAAGAGGCATGACTAATAATCGAAGACAGTTAAGACAGTACCGGCCATAAGACGAGGGGCCAAATGCGAATCCGTGTATAAGGAATTCTAACAGCATTAACACAAATAATTAGTTTTAATAATCACCTTAAGAAGCAGTTAAGAACTTACAGCAATGGCACGGATAAGCGCTGTAGGCCGAGAACGACGTTTGTCGACTGGCTGTTCTAATTTCTGGAATGAGAACAGAAGGCTGATAAACCAGGGATGAAAGCCGAAAGCGTCCCGGTCGAGGGGCACGTACCAGCAGATCAAACTTATCAAGGAGCCCTCGATCACACCAAAACCACTGATAGTAACCCTCTGAGCCTCCTTCTCGTTCATGCAACGGTATCCGGCATGAACCGTAAGAAAAAGAAGGAAACTATTGGGGGTCTAACGATCTGATGGGACAGGAGACAAAGAAAGAGGAAGAAGAAAAAATTGATAGCTTCGATACTATGTAAAAGTTACCTACAACTTGGGACTACTCATCCACTCAACCCACCAGGACGATCGCGTACTGTACCTTGGTCGCATTTTAGCCAGCCCGCCCAGCTGAAGTCCATGTCTCTGAAATTGCTTTTCGCGCCCAGCAGGCCAGTCCTTGGCAGCACAGTTCCCCGGGGGCAGCTCTTCACTCATGGAACAGTGGGAGAAAAAGACTGGGCTAGTTTTACTTGCTGGGCCACTGCTGGGGCATATGCTGTGTGATTGATGCGCGGATGACGATGACATGACCATCCAATGGTGCATGTGGAAATGGGCGCGGGAGATTGCACAGACGTCGACTGGATGAGTGGATATGAGGTTAAGCAGGTCGAGGCAGCAAAAAGATTCCTAGCTCGGACTCCAGGAAGAAAATTGAATTGAGCTTGTGCAGGCTCTACAGGCTTTGCAGGCTTGTAACTTCCAACCAAACTCGCCTGCTTCGCAAGCAAGGACGACTAGAAGAGCACAGACATACTAGGCCCAGTCAACCAGGAACGCGACGGGAGCTTATTCCATATCGGGAAAGAAAAGCTCTGGACTGGACACCGATTGGCCGATACGAAATGTGATTGGCGGCCTAGTACTGTAACCCCCTGGCTACCGGTAAACCTTAGTAAAGTCAAAGTCTCCTTTTTTTCTTTACTCTATTATTTCTATCCACTTCATTATGCTTAATAGGTATGCTTAGTTCTTGTTACTACTCTATTTCAGCCTTTTTAGTGTATTCCATATCATTAAATAAGGCCCGTTTTCGGGCACGAGGCTCACACTAACCTACCGAGGTATTTTAACGACACGTCGTAAAACAGTATACTACCTGCCTAGGTAATACCTCGTCCATCACGCGCGTTTATACTGATAGATGGGTAATTAAAGCCAGCATAGAAATTCTGTCTCCGACCCCGGATGTCTTATGAAAAGTCTCGGGAACGAGAGTCTATGTTGCACGTGCGTAATTCAATAGTTTGAATCGGATTTGTCAAATTTGCCAAATTTTCAGCCACTCTTTAGTCTAGATACGGTATCAAATTGTATTTTCCTTCTTAGAGCACAAGCGGGGAAAAAGCAATATGTTCCTGGATCTTAGGGTGCCGAACTCACTGAGAAGAACTCATCGATCCACTGAATCCACCTGGGCCACCTTGTTCACGATCTTTCATCTGGCATTGGCTGCTGATCCCGCGTCCAGCCAACGCCGCGTACGACGCTGCAACCGCAAGGATAAGTACTGTACAGCGCATAAGTAACAAGCATAACAGCAGAATAGGTCACACTTTAACACGACCTTGAGCGTGTTTCGGACCCAGCGGAATTATAGCCCAACTGACGATCGCCAACTCACCGACTTCGACATATCGATTCGCTAGTTTGAAGAATCAGCGGCATGCTTTAGCCATCAGTAGGAAAAATCAGCGGTTGAGAATTCTTCATCAATCGTCTTCAGCATTCATAAGAAAAGTGCTGCACAGTACAGTACATCTACGTAACGCACTGAAAACGGTGATAATTTTAAGATGACGCGGATCGATGAACTAGAGTCCAATGTTAAATTACACTCAAGGGTCCGGTCTACAAGCTAAAAAGTACATAGGAGAAAAAAAATCAAAGGCCAACAATCTTGCAGTAGCGAGACGCCTTGCCCGTCTTGGCGCGATTCGTCCCGCGTCGTAAAGGAGGGTGGCAGCGGCGGGATCTTGCTCACCTTCGTTCATAGGTAAATCTCTTTCGACCTGCGCCGATGGAACCGTTAACCGTCCCCTCCATTACGAGATTAATTACTTGCCTTTTCTTGCCATACGTGGTTTGCTTCGTGGGACAGTCCTAGTACCACTCCGGATGCGCGCATCGAAAATACCAACGTCCGGGTAGGTATGGAATACGATTGTACGCGAGTTGTACACGTGAAAAGAGTGCGAAAATGCGGGAAATACACCCACATTCACTTGCTCGTCTGACATGAAAATGTATCCTTGCAGTCTCAAGTTCCATGAGATCTAGACACAGGCACCATTTTGAGATACATGATGTATGTATAATTAGAGAGGCTGACTATCGAATGTATGTCAGATATATTACCGTCCATTTGTCCTACACATGCGTATCTCAATACGGTATAAGGGCAAGAGAAAGCGAAAAAGCCGATAGAATCCTAATTCGAACCAGGCTGCCATGCTCTCGATCTGGTCTGCCGAGCCCATGGGTCTCCATCTACCTGGACAGTCAGCCCAGGAACCAGTGGACCCAACACCCACCCATCTACCTAAACCGCATGCGTAGGACTAACGGGTATAACAACCGTGCGGGTCAAGATGGGATTGCAGCTTTTTAGTCAGCCTAAGCAAACGCTTAAATGCTTGGCCATGTGTTCATCTGCACGACCAAAAGATTGGGAATATTGCGATAGACAGAGCCATTCCAGTTCCCTCTTGGTCATGAAAGAAGCTCTAAAGCCGACCCAGCCGAACCCCCCGCATTATGACGTTCAGTTGGGGTGATCTGATGTGTTTTTGTCCAATATTTCAGCCAGGTGTAAAATATCGAGATGCACAGACACGCAGACCGACCTCAGCGAAAAAATGCGATTCGACGGCTTTCCCCATACCCGCAAGCCATTTTTTGACCCGGTCTATGCACGGTCGTTCACGTCGTAAATTGCGATAAAATGAAAAGATTCATTCGTAATTGAAATTTACGATGCTATCGCCAGTATTCCTATTTCTTGTTGCAATTTGAAGAGAGGCTGGTCTCCTTTAAGAGACAACTACTATAATACATGCTTCTCGCGGTAGACGCAACTGAGCTGTGACTGGCTGCGGTACAACGCCATTCCAAGTGATACCGCTTTCTCGTGACCGCTACCTGCGCCATCCTCACCGACCAGCCCGTGCTTATTACCTAGTTCCTAATCCTCATCCCTACCTACATAGTAATATTCTTCATCTCAACCCGTAATTTCGTGACACATCTAACCAACCCTACCTCCTGGACATGCGTGTAGGTACACGATCCGAGCCGCTCCTGTTTCGAGCGGGTAATTTCCCATTTCGTATACTCTTCTGTGTCTTTTCGGGAGAGGACCTGCTCTTGCGACTAAAGAGATTCGATAACGATCGGAAAGGAAAGGTGAAAACAGCCACTACCGCTTGAACCGGAAATAAAATCAGTGCGACGCACTTCTCGATGAACCAACTGCCCAAGCCCCATTGCGCATTGCTATTCTTAGCAGCGACGGCGGCTAGTGCAATGGCATCGTTGAGTCTGTAATCCACATACTCGATCCGATTATCCGTCTGGCAGGCCAGTAAAGTAAGTTTCTTTTCATATCGGCGCATAGCGCGGTTCAAAGCATCCAGCTCCGGTTGTATGTTGCTGCGAACTTCCTTCGATACCGCTGCTTCGATGGATTTCGATTGAGGAGCATCAAATCCACCATTAGGATTCGACGTCGTATTGGTAGAAAGTCCACGTGTTTCCAGTTCGTCTAGTCTAGCTGACAGCTCTTGAAACTGTTCCGCTGTGACACGTTGTCGCTCGTAAGGGTTCCTCGTGACCTTTTGTTGGACGCGTAGAGTTCGCGCTTGGAGCATCTTAATTAAGTGCGAAACAGGCCGAATCTCGGCAGCACAAAGGAAAATCGTAAGGTTGTAATCAGACACTAGATTTACAGAACGTTCCGTCAAACGGGATCGTATCGTATGTAAAAGATAGGCTCCAAGCATGGGAAAGATGAAACACCAAGCCAAAGCGGCTATTTCATGGAAGTATAGTTCTTTCAGTGCCGCGGCCTGCCGCTCTTTCCACTGCTGATTTCGTCGATCGGACGGCTGTTCATTTCTAGCAGATGCCTTGTTTTCATCTTGTTCTTGTGTCTCCTCTGGGACGTTCTCGAGGGTCGCGCCATCGGCGGCTGGTGACAGGGGCTCAGAATCACTGTCAGATTCGAAAACCGACTCAGACATGATCTCGTCCTTCACGACACGGACCTCCTGCGCAGACTGGTACCAATCCCATGGTTGCGTGACCGACCAGTGGAGAAAAATAGCGGCTAGACTCAGCAGTATCAAGTCGGTGAAGAAAGCACTCCCATTTTCGAAGAAGACGCCTGCTACGGCGGGTAACAGTGCTAATGTGAGCGGGATGTACGCGAACGAAGTTTTATCCGTCTTTGGAATACCAGATCTACTTGGATTAAGGAGGTCGTCGGCACTCGCTTCCAAGTCCTTCCTTGCATCGTTTATACTGAAGTCGGAGTATGTGGAGCTACGCCTTCGAAAGTCTCCAAAGCCATTCTCGGCGGTGGGAGAGGTAGCGTTCGCAGTGGAGCGACGACGTATAGGAGCAGTTTGACCGACTGTTGCGGCTCGACGCAAGCCGAAACCCGGGGACGCGTTACCGGCGGTGGAGGATGATGACCGACCGGTGGTGTTGGCTGCCGGCGGTACCTCGACGTAGCTTTCATCCATGATGGAGAAGCCAGGGATAATACATGGGGATCATAATAAATCCCCAGCAAGATATTACAAAAGCAGATTTTCGAAACCGAGCAAAAGTGAGATTAAGTTGATCCCTCTCAGCCCATAGGGCTATGCGATGAATGACCTCGATGATGGCAAGAACCACAATGAAGATGGAGAAATGCAATATACGCCTCCATCGAGTATGCGACGAGTAGGGATATTGGAATCGGGGTGATGCCTAGTTTGGCCAGATGAGGTCACTCTTTGGGTAAATACATGCTTAGTAGGTACAAGGTAGATAGATACCTAGGTACATAGGGCGCGCACGGACTTTCTATGTCCAAATCCAGTGGAGATTTCCTAGATGTTTAGCTCTCCACTTCCCTGCATAGCACTTATTACGTCACCAATTGTATTATAGACAGTTAGTTGTCTTAGCTGTACTTTTAGGACTCTTCTGTCTATTAAACAGCGACTTCTACATGTGTAGCATTATTATACCTCAGATATACTGCCCAATACTACTTAACGTGCATACAAAGACTCTAAAAGGGAAGTATAACCCTAGATGACAGGTGTAACTTTGACATGTAAAGTGCGGAGTTAGGCAGGTATGCGAAGTGTAAGTTTCCCGAATCGGTGATGGCATAGCCTGTCATCATAGCGGAAAATTCATGCGATAATATCGTCAAAATCCTACCTACCACATTGACGCCTCCCACGTTCGGCGAAACTAGAGACTAAGTTTATGCCGACATTAATAACGAGATTTCTTCTAGAATGTTTTCTAGTCTCGAGACCTGGCGTGACTTGATGGTAATAACGGTCCAACGGAGAAACTTCAAGTCATGCCACTTCTTCTACCGAGTCAGTTACCAGCGTCTTTTTCTCTCAACCCCATACCGATCTAATTGGATACAAACCAAGACTTGAGAATCTGGGGAGAAACCAAGATCTAACACCGACTAATGATGTCGCCCCTTCGTTTTCTCGATCGCGCAGATACATCCGCACTCGGAACCGTTATTTTAAGGATTCATGCAAAACCGGTCGAACCCTTTCCCGTAGACACGAACTCATCTCTAAAGCTGACACAGAACAAGAGACGAGAAGAATAAGGTATAGTTAGCGAGCCGCAAGGACACGTCAAAGCGGTTGCGCATGCGATGGACGATGATTGGAGGTTTTCTAGAAAAGAAACATCCCCGGATGCCACGGGCTTGCCAATGTTTAAGCGCTCATGAGAATATGAGGAATGTGCATTATTATCCTCGTGTTAATGCTATTTCGAGTCGGTATCAAAGGGCGTATCCACTCTGCCAAAATGGTGCCTTGCCGGGGGTGGTGGAGATTGAATATAATGCTAGGTATTTGAATTTCTTTTTCCATCCTCAGTCCTGGTAGCCTGGTAGATTATGTAGGACGGCTGGACAGCAATGAGCAATGACCACCTCTGCCTAATACACCATAACACTAGATGTAACGGCGGTGCGGCAATCCCGACTTATCCTGCAGCAGAGGGTAAAATTACCAGACATCAGACGACGACCTCAGTTCATAGTCATCGCACTGCCACGTCATTGGTAGGCCTCCTTCTACTTAGGTACTTTTCCAACGTTAAATTTTTGAAGTCCTTGAGTGGCTGGTAGATATGTCAAGAACGAGCTGCTTATGTGAGAGGCGAGTAAACGTAAGAGCTGGGAATGTAATGCTATCCTGGAAAAACAAGGCTGAAAACAAAAAGACAAGAAAAAAAAAAAATCTCGACCCATTCATTCCAGCCCGTACGTTCGGGTCCTAAGCAATACCCCCGGGCCAAACCAGGTTCAGCAATATGTGACACGCCGCTCATGAGTGGGGACAAAATAGGTGACGAGGATGCCCCTGAATAACTTCCAACCGTAACACTTTAGCTGAGCCAGGCCTTGATAGGCAATGACAGATTCGAGAAGAAAAAAAAGGTCCGCAAAATAAAGCAATTTAAAGCCTTGTTCTTTTCTTAGCATCTGACTCGCTGGTAACTCGGGGACTACGCAAGGATGGGTATGAAGGCGGATGACGAAAAGAAACACATCTTCTCGCAAATATGTTTTTTTCATTTGAAGTTTACCTAGAATTCTCCCTTTGCTATAACCAGAATAATCTATCTGAATTTACGTTTGCCGATATTCGCTGATACATCTTTTTCCTGTTGGCAATCTATACCAAACACTATATTACGAACTCCAAGGCAGAATTTGCTGCCTGCTCACATACATCCCACATCCTGAAGGCAAACTCAGCGCGGCGTAGACAGCAACTTTTGCTGTTTCGATAGCCAAAATTAACATCAGTCAGCCAAAGAATGCCACCATCTCAAAGATATTAAAAGAAAAAGCACGCAGCTCAAGTGGCGGCCCCCAAGAGAGGGGGTCCTCCAGTGTCGATATATATATAATATTGGATCAAAGCAAGTCCGAAGCGAAGAATTAAAACTTTTGTTATTAGCGACCAAAAAATCTCGAGAATTTGATGAACGTTGTCGGTTGCTAGAGAGATTAAAGAAAGAAGAGCGAAGCTTTCAAAGCTACACCAATACGACTAACCACTAGGTACAAAAGGCACTAGCACCATCCTGCTATTGGTGTATCCATGCAATAATACGACATTCCGATACATTAGTACACCTGTCAAAGGGCCGTTTACCAGCTGGTAACACGGGATTTACCTTTCCTTTTAGGCCTGGGCAGGCGGCAGGAGCCTAGGCCAGCATGAACATCCCACTGTGGTTTCCTTCTTTAGCGTCTCTAGTGCTGGAGGTCCCGAACTATTACCAGTCCCAGCGCTTTATTCAGCACCTGCATCCGCACCAGCCACTTACAACGCACGTCTCCCCTTCTAAATCCTCCATTCCAATTTTACCCCGTCGCGTCCATCTTTGTCATACACGACAATCGAATCGACGACCGCAACGGCGACCTTTATCGCAGACATCGCGAAAATTGTCTACCGAGGTCCCGCACAATAAGGTTAAAGTTAAAGCGGAGGGAGAAGGGGAGGAAACTTTATTGGAAGTCAATTTCAATTGGCGCCGTTGGCCTCGACCTTCTCCAATTACTAGTCCTACTAGTCCTGCCGTTGAGGCGGCTTTTCTTCATTCGTTTCACAAACGGCTTCTCACGCAAATAATCCATCTACGAACTTGTCACAGACCGCCCTAGATGCGCAACAACAGACGAATGCTCCCATCGACTCGACTCCTCAGCAGCCTGAGCATCCGTCTGTTGCGACTCCAGTGCCAGCAGTAGTTACCTCTCATCGGCGACAACCTTCTGGTACTCGTAGAAATTTGCAAGCTGCACGCCCCCCCGGTCCTTACGATTTTGCCCCCCAATCACCCTTTCGCAATCGTGCTGCCGCCGACCCTGCCACTACTTCCTTTTATCGTTTACCACGTCGATTTGGTCCTGGTCGCCTTTGGAATCCAACTAATTCGACTCCAAGAGTTCCACCACAAACACCTCGAGCACCGCGACCCGCTCAATCATCTCGACGACGTCGTTTATCCACCCCTCCGCCTCCCGCCGTTCCTGTCAACCACCCTACCATTGAAGTCTCATCAGATCCACCAGAACCTATAGGAGGTTTTGGTGCTGGCGACTTTCCACTCCTCCCACTCCCGGAGCACTCAGCTCGAGGTAGTGTGCATATTGAGGGGAGGGTAAGCGGAGATAGAAGAAGAATAAGCCTTCCCGCCTCAATCCGACATTCCTACGATAGCAAGCGTTTTTCCAATCCTCCGCCTCCGCAAGAGGCTGAAGCTGGTCCGTCGGAACCTAGGCCCAAGCCTGAAAAACCTATAATTACTGGTCTGAGACGACGTGGTCAAAGCGTTACTAAGCGGGCGAGGGCGATAAGCTTCGGACTTGTTCGAGTTGAGACATCCGACAATTCGCCCAGGAAATCTGATAAAGGAAAGGGAAAGGCCGTTATGTCGCCAGACATGGGGAATGATGATCCAACACGATCCTTCTCTAAAGATCTCGAGAGAGGACCCTCCGCCTTAGGTAATCAACACAATGGATCGAATTTATCGCTTCCAGGAGGCATTGGTTCGGCCATATCCTCGAGTAACTCATCTATCATGGGTGATCCAGATCAACCGGACATAGGTGAAGAATGGGGACCTCAACATCCATGTTACCCTCATCTAAATCCTCACGTCCCTATGAACTCTCTAGAATACACGAATACGCGAATCATACGCATTAGGAGGGATTGGTTGATAGAGGGTGATTTGGCGCCTACCTTTTCCAACCTGTATCCTGAGATTCTTGATCCAGCTGGTATATCTGAGCAAGAATTCCGTCGGGTCATTGAAAAGCTTAATGGAGAACTGGTACCTATATTTAACCCTTATAACTGGAGGAATATTCTCGATGGGATATTAGGCCTTCTTACTGGTTGGATATGGGATGACTTAGGTCTCACCTATGCCAAGACGAGGTTGCGCAATTTGGAAGATTGGATCGATAAATGGAACACAGAGATGGAGAAAACGGCAGGCTCAGACGAGAATGTTATTCCCCCCAGGATCGTTCCATTGAGGCGTACGGGTTATATGAATGTGAGTTGTATCCCCTCTATCTGTAACATTTAGAAGTACTAACCGTTCTCTAGCTCGATTTTCAGATCCCGGATCCAGAGATAGCACCTGCTACCAATAGCGAACCATCGGGTTCAAGATCAGGTCCAAACATGCCAAGCGAACCTAAGCCTGTCGTGTTACCAGACTCTCCCATCGCGGCATAACATCTCGCTGTAACCACCACCCACCTGTCTTTTCTACTTCACTGTTTTATTCCTTTCATAACTTATTTTTAATCGGACTCGACCGTCACCCCGGGCTGTACGAATTACGAAGATACCCAAGCATAACTTAGTACATACACTGTCGTTATTTACCCTAATCATGTATCTACTAGCAGGGCTGTGCCTCTGTTCCTTTTCTTTAAATCGTCGACTTCATGGCTTGGCGTTTGAGGCGTACCAAATCTAGTTGATTTTTCGTCCCTGGCTGGCTTGAATATCAGCCAAGAAGATTATAGCCCTCAAGGGACTCAAGATTGACAGATCGAACATTACTTGTATGTTGCTACATGGAAGGGTTAGCACCGAGACATCCCGCCTGCAAGGGCACTCATTGTATAAGTGATACGCGTGGATTTAGATAGAACCATCGTCAACCGTCATTAGTAATTCTACTAGATCCTTTTTTTGTTACCATGAATTTTTATTGTGCCCGTTCCATCTGCCTATCTTGGGGACTAACTGAAGAATCGGGCTGTAATTAATCAACAGAAAAGGGCATATGGGAGTGACTTCCCAAAGCCGTACATGAATGAATTCTCGCAAAGTAAAGGGTATTGCCATTCGCCGACTACCTGACGCCGTACGTACCCCTCTTTTCGCGTAACACCGCAACGCCACCGATCAACCTAACTCCGCCTCCGATTTTTCCACCCACCACATCATCCTCATCATCGTCAACCAGCGTAACGAACAAACTAATGAGGAAAAAAAGGAAAGGGAAATGGTCATCGTTTCCTTCTTTTTATCGCATAACTTCCTTTCCCTTGCCCTTCTTATCCTTGCCATTGTCCTCCTTCTCCTGTTCCTGTTCCTGGCTCTCGTTTCCACTTCCACCGCGGATAGTCGACGAATCAGTCTCGGACCAATCAAAGAATTCATACGTTTCGACTAGAGAACGGGGAACGCTTCGACCTCGTCGTCGCTCGCTTGTGTGGCGTAAGGCACGGGGAGGAGGGGGCGAGCCGATGAGCGGGACGCGCACGAAGCCGTGGTCTGTCGCGTAGGCGGTGTATGCTTCACTGCGGGTGCTGGTTACGGAACCGGTTACTGAGCGAAGAGCGCGGGGGGCCGAGGTTGAGGTGCGCGCTGTGCCGGCGTCGGTGTGGGTTCGGCCTCGGGACGCGACTTCGTTTACTAGGGTGCCCGGGTGGACGGGGGTGGTGATTGCGGCGCCGGCTGGGAAGGGCCAGAGGGAGCCCGGGGACTCGATGTCTTCGCGGAGTTCGAGTCGTTGTTGTTCGCGCGCTAGGTGCAGGAGTTCTTGACGCTCGCGGTAGGAGAGTTGGCGGGTTGGGGGTTGGGAGATTCGGAGTTGTACTTGTGCTTCGCTGCCGTGGGTGCTGATGTTGTTGTCGGTGCTGGTGCCGTGGAACATTTCGCGAGGCTTGACTGCTTCTTCGCTTTGCACTGAGTTGATGGTTGTGGGCGTGTCGTCCATGCGCTCGAGTCGTTGGATCAAGGGAGCCGTAAGACTGAGGTCCGTAACTGTAGGAGTCATGCGGTTCTGCTGTCTCGATCCACGGGGTTGAGACTGGGACGCTGATTGACCCTGAGACTGCGATTGCGAACGTGAGGGACCTGCGACTGCAGCGTCGCCTGCGTGGTTTCCACTACGCACGATGGAGCGTCGCTGGCTCGGAACTGAGCTGAGCGTGACGCGGGAACTCTCTCCGCCGGATGCCTGGTTGGCAGACGGACCCTGTGCCTCGGGCATGCTCTGAATAGAGGAAGAGCGAGGCGGGATTAGTGGTGCAATAGCGCGGTCTAAGGGACTGCCGGATTGTGCGATGTCCTCGTTCGTAATGGGTCGGCGGGGAGGGGGGCCAACGGTCAACGGTGACAAAGGCGAGAGCGGCTCGAATTCTTTGCCTGAATCTGGAGAGATTGGGTATGGGTCTGGAGCCTGTCTGTTCGTGGGACTGTGAGTTGGTTAGTTGGTTACGCCGATCTGAAGGGGGGAAGGAGTGGCTTACTATATGACACTCGGTCCAGCAGTATCGGATCCACCGCGGTTTCCCTGGCTCGTAAGCTCTATCCAGCCTGCCTGCGTCTCATCGGGGTCAAGAGCTGGATGGGGATCAACAGGATCGCAAGAGTCTCGAAGGATGCGGAACCAACGAGCTAAACCCATATCCGCGAAGTATCGACGGTACATCTCAAGACCTTCTTTGGTCGTGCCGAAGAAGATCATAATCGCAGCTGTAGTGGAGATCGAGATCCACGGCTGGTTCATGACTGGCGTAGGAATACGCCATGACGGTACGAACAAAGTCGCATCCCAGGGATAGGGAGACGGCTCCCAGTGGATTCGGTGATAGCTATACGGCTTCAGGACCGAGTCCAGGGCGCTCTGGATGTTGTACGCCATGAAGTAAATGGATACGGGCACATAGACGACTATGATTGCCAGCATCAGGTAGTACAGACGGTATCGCGCTCGGTTCATGCGACCGGCGTTCGTCGAGTTGTTTTGCAACAACGTTCGGTTGGTCTTCGAGATGGCTCGGAAGCGCTTCCAGGTCAGGTCTATAAGACATGTTAGTGATTATCCCCTCCTGCTCATGCATGAAAGTTACGATTCGAGGGTTATACTTACAAGCGAAAGGCACAGATCCCACAACGAAAATAGGACTAGGCGCATCATAAATGATGAATCGCGGCCAGCTGTTATCGAAAACAGCCATGCAACCGATGAGTGTTCCGATGTTGTATCGCTGCGCGAGATCAAACCAGGTGAACAGCAGCTGTAGGACGGGAATAGTGAAAATGATCAGAGCCTGGATCAAGTTTCGTCGCTTCTTCTCCTGGCGGTTGAGAAGGGTAGCGCGAGCGATCTTGACATGCTCTGAGAGGTGACGAACCACGGCGAAAATGGCAGCGGCGTAAATAGTCTGCAAGGGGGTCGAAATATAGACCTCAATATCGCAGAGACCGCGACCGTCAAACCAGGTGTCATAGTTATCAGAGCGCCAGATGAGGGCGTTGATGACGGTGATGAAATTCATGAGGGTTACGTCCGCGATCAGAACTACTACCGCAAAATCTCCATGCTTCCAAAGGATGCGAAGAGGTACCCAGTTGAAGCCCGTACCGAGAATCGTGAGGATGATACGGAATGCGAGATTAGCTTGGAGAGTAGGGTTTGGCGCATAGCGCGGATCAGGGAGAGGCTCAGAGTACTCTTGGCCAGGATCAGGAGGAATAGGGATGGGAAGGGCGGCGGCCATGGTAGTCATAATGGCCATGGCGATCGCGATTAAAAACTTTCCCATCTTGGGCGTCGCGATAGGATCATGAGGCTTACTATCGATGATGATACGATGGTGTAATGATGTGAGGGAACCCGTGGTCAGAGGGTAATGTGCTTCTTGTAAAAAACTTCTAGCTCACTCTCAATCTAGTATTAAGATAATGAGTAGAAGGTTTCAAAAGGGAGGACGAAAATCAGCATCAAATACCTGTATGCCAGATGGATACAGGAACTTGAAGGCTGATGGATAAGGTGTGCAGATAGATGGTCAAGGGTTGGTTGTGTAGGAGGGGAAGGGAAAAAGTACGTGGCTGCATTTACTTTTTTCGTTTACCCTTGGGAAGAAGAATAAGGGAACTGCTATTAGGTCCTTGCACTCTTCTACATGCGTGGGACCGACGACATAATCCACGAACTATGTCTTATCTACGAATAAGATGATGGCAGTTGGCTCCGCAAAACGAGGGGCGTGTCTAAACCTAGCAACTGTCGCCGGTCGATTTACGGGGGTGCTCGCCTATGTTTGTCCATAGTCGAGTGGTCAGGTGGTACAAGGCTCGTCGACGATAGTTTCTTCACAATGGGTGAACGCCGGTGTCTCATATACTTGTCCATTCAGTGGTAGTCTACCCTTTTTCCTCCACCTCCTTGGCCGGGGACGTGATGATACTAACTAAGCTTGTAAGGGACAAACACGAGAGCACCCCTTCACCATAGTCAGCAGTATAAAGGGTCCTATGCTGTTCCGGTGTATTTTGAGCCCGCATACCGCCGATGTGCCACATATATGAACCATCAGATACTATTTAGTTTCATAAGAACTGATAGAGCTTCCCCATATGAACTAAGAATTGGAGCGAGGAGTCAAGGTGAAGTCCAGTTTACTAATCGGTGAATCTCCCATGTCTGCTGGAAATGTAGTCTTACTGATATAAATACTTATGAAAAGGGGGTAAAGTATGTACCTGCTTAGGTAAACAGGATACAGGTTTACCCGTTGAGAAAGATGTTTATATATTTTGAGTATGCTGAGTATCTATAGCCCCTCAGCAGATTGTAACCCCATGAGAGGTTACCAAACTACCTCACTAGGTTATGAAAGGGCTGGTTTACTCTATATGATACTGTACATATGTCATCACCGAAACCCTGGCTAAATCGAAAGCCGAACTTTGACGTGAGTTGGCTAATAGAGTTATAAGTAATTCTTGGTGTTAATTGTTTCGGGCAGATACGTATGAGTCCCTTTAGTTCATATATACATGGATGCTCCCTTGTGAGGGTTAAGTTCTTGTCTAAGTCTAAGTAGGTCAAATTGCTTGTGTAAGTTCCCTAGGTAGTATATGATCATCTATATCAGCCTTGAGACCTGACAGCACATCTTAACAGAATAAGAATGAAAGAAGACTCTTTTGCCTGTTCCATAACAAAGTTAGTATGATAAAAATCTCGATAAGAGTACCCAAGTTGTACGTAGAAATTGGAAATCATTTCATGCCGTTGACGTCTTTGGCGCCTTTTACACCCAGACACTTGTAATTTTCTTAGCGAATTACCTAACTAAGGCAAACAGCAATAGAATAGCTGATCAGCACAAGGAAGGGCTTATACGAAATCTGAAAGTAGGTAGACAACAGTATATTGTGTGCGTTAGACTTGGGGGTAATAGAAGAAAAAGGAGAAAGAGGATGTGCTCGAGAATTGCTTAAAGGCCTTAAAGCATTATATTCACGGACTAAGTATATGTACTTACTAAGATACCCCTCGAACGACTTAGCAGATTAGTAATCTAGTATAGCGGCAGTTTCGAAGTTTAAGCAGGGAACCCCACGATAGAGCGGGCCAATTAGGGCTAGGCAAATAGGTGACCTAATTTCCGTCGCGTCGAATTGTATGCAACGGCCCGCGATTGCTATTAAGACATTTCTCGACCAACGCGCAGCTTTCCAAACCCAATTCACCTTCCAATTACTCGAAAATCCCATTTCCGAACCATACCTCACATACACAACAATATGTCCTTCCTAGCCCGCCGCGCCACGGCCGCCGTCCCGAGCCTTGCCCGCTCCTTCAGTGCTTCTGCTCGTCGAGATATTGCCAAGATCACACTCGTCGGTAACTTAGCTGCGACTCCCGAGCTCAAGGCGACCAGCACCGGCCGTGAGCTCGTTGAATACGCCGTCGCCAGCAACCGCGGTCCCCAAGATAACCGTCAAACTAGCTGGTTCCGAGTTACTGCTTTTGTCGAGGAGGGACCCCGTCGAGATTTCTTGACTAGCTTGCCTAAGGGGTATGTTTTGCTTTTATATTCCCAAAAACTCGTTGTTGGGCTTAGGTGGAGGCTAGAAGCAGGCTTGCTTTTCTTACCTATTCCTCGGGGTGGAATATGAACCTACATTGGGCATTAAAACTACTGTGTGGGAATTCGATTAAATAAGAAGCTAACTTGAGGTGTACAGAGCTACGGTCTATGTGGATGGAGATGCCGCCATAAACCTTTACACTGACTCTGAGGGCAAAACACGATCCGCCTTGAATATTACCCAAAGTAAGATGAACCCACCACTGCCTTACCTAGACAATCGCTCTGACACACTCACACTAGGGAATATCGAGGTCCTCCGCCGACCAAGCCAAGCCCCCAGCGAGTAAACGGACGGATATATACTATGTATGCGGAACCGGCGGCCGAAGCTATGTTGACCTGACCAACACATATAAACGCTTTGGATCAGAGCTCTCCACTATTGCAAATCTCTTATGTATACCTAGGTAATGAGGGGACTGTTCTTGGGGGACGATACTGTATGATATTATGTTGAGACTTGATACCAATACCGCTTCTTTACTTCCACTGGAAATCTGCTTCAAAGTGTTGGCTATTGTGTGATTTAGACTCCTCGGGGCTTGAAAGCAAAGTTAATACTTTGCGAGGTTAGTTGCTCACATATTCAGGAGAGGGGAATCAAGAGCATTGCTAATGGCGGTGAATAAAAAATCAATATGCAGATTTATGTCGAATTAGACACCCAAACCTCATGCATCCAACACGGTTATCCCCTTCTAAATGCACGTCCATATCAAACCAAGCTACAGCTGTCCATACATCCAAACCCGGCAGCAACACCACCCTCTTCACTCTTGTCTCCCTTTGTACGTAGCAGATAGCCCGCCTGCTCATTATGAAGTATGGTCTTCGATTGTTGGTCCCAGATGCACGTCCCATATATTCCGAGCTCGCAGATTACACCGCCGTGCTCCAGCTTACCATTGCGCAAAATTGTATTCTTGACGGGTGGTGGAGTGATCAACTCCATCAAGATATAGGATGGCCAGTGTGACTCGGCAACGGACTTGAGAAATGGCGGAATAGAGGAGCGATAAATATTATTGCCGCCCCCTTCTCTTTGTGGTTTCAGGACGTAACCTTTGCAGAGCTCAGGGTCAGCGGCGATCTTTCGAGCCTTGAGACCAGCTTCAGTTTCATCCAAAGGGTAAATGTTGGTAAATGTGTTCATTAGATTAGATATAGATGCAGAGTCTTTAGATATGTAGTGGGGTAGTATAGATGGGTTGGATGGTGTCTCCGGCGTCGCTAGAACTTGCTGGACCTTCTTCGTACCGGCAACTTGGGTTAGTACGGTCGGACACTTTATGGCTGCTGATCTCTCCAGATGATAGCGGGCTTCCCAAGCAGATTGGTCGGGGTAGTCTGATGGACCGTAACCCGATCGCATATATATAACGGCGACCTCAAACGTGTGGGAAGCTAGTTGCGGTGGTCGATATAGCAATTGGCGTCCCGAGTCCTTAGTAACAGTTGTGTGTTGTAGGATCTCTGAGAAGGGTAGTCGGAAGACGGGAATTTGCGGCTCTTCGGATTTTTGGAGTTCGTATTCGAGATGGCGTTGGTCGAAGATATTCCTTTCCCCACCTTGGACGAGGAATATAACGCATTTTTCGTGGCCAGTCATCGAGGGTCCATACTCGACGAAGGTGTGTTTTATACCTGCTGCTAATCCAGCAGCGCTGTCATTTTCAGGTAATATTAAACCGTTCCTTTTTATGGAGTTCTCAAGTAATGGATACTCCGTCAAAGATAGGTATCTGATTGCGCTTAGTAATACGGTCTTCGGAGTCAATGAGGGACATTTACTTGTGAAGTAGTGAGGTTTGCGATGAGAGCCCGCCGAACGATGACGCGATCGTATTGAACTCAACTTGTTTGACTTGTGGAATAGATCCGGTACCGTCTTGATGAACCATATAATCAGATCTGAATAGGCCAAGGCTTTTGTGCTACAAGAAGGGTGAGCCTGGATCTTACTTAAGAGGAAACGTCAAAGGGTGTCATGATTTACTTACCTGGACATAGCCCTCCTCTTTGACCTTGAGATGTACTTTCCATAGTTCTGTTATGAAATCGTCGCTATCTCCAATTCTATGATTTGTCAATTTATGAGGCTGGAAGTTCCTTTAGCGTGACGGACATACTCTTTTACAACTTGAGCGAGAAAGTCTTCGTCTTGACTGATCGATGCATACAACTCATTGTAGGCCTTCTGTACTCCGATTGCTTGATCGAAGCAGATTCGAGGAAAGGGGCTAGGGAATAGAGTAACGGGGACTGCAGTAGCAAGGATTCCAACGGGATCGGCCTCAACAGGGAGCACGGCCGGAGGTGGCCGGACAGTCAAGCCATGTGCTAATGCCCAATCCTTGATAACTTCTATCAACCCTTCGCCCTCGCTAGGTGTGACCTCAGGCGGGTAGCTAGACATGCTTGAATCGCGACGACTATTAATGCCGAACTAGAATCCCGGGAGAGCACGATAAGTCGTGATTGAAATTTATGCCAAGTCTACCCTTGATTAGCCACGGAGTAAGTATGGTATATTTTCTTAGAAATTTTACATTACTAATGAATATAAATCCACTTCTAGAAATAATTAATATTAATTTACATCATGGAACTTCTCTCAGTAGTGTATTTGTCAGTATATTCGATTTTGAGCCGATTACCTCGCCGGAGGCTAATAGGTACCCCACTAAGAATATTAGACTAACCTTAGAATTCAATCTGAGTGACGTGATTGGGGAGCTGCAGGAAAGATTGAGTTCGTCTTGCAGCGTACAGTACCCGAGTACGTACCCAGGTATCTCTGCATATAGGGGATTTTCTGCGTCGGGAGCGAGGAGGTCCTTCCCCGGCTAGGAACCCTTGGATGTATTACAATGGATTTTGCTCCTTCCCGTTAACTTTGAAATTGTTAACAGTTCTTTTTACTTCGCAAGATTTTGTAGACAACTGGTTACCAACGAAGACACTTTGAATCAAAACAATATCAGAATTTACTCATAAATTCCCGGTTAAAATAATGATTATTTATATATGAAGATGGACAGTACTTGGTATTTACAATAACCACCTAGGTACTTGGGTAGGTATTCTAGGACGTTTGTGAATCACGTGCCATCGGATCGAAGCGGGGATAAACTCTGTGTCGCGATGCAGCTAATAACTTACCTGAAATCTGATACGCGTAAATGTTGTAAGGATTACCCTAGACCGACCACCATCTCGCATTTCTTTCCAGGTACTTGTGCCATTAACTTAAGGTGAGAATATGTGCACATTCGATACTTAGTTCTGTACTAATATTTGCTACTTAGCTATACCTATTTTACCGCTTATTGTTTAGTATCAAGAAGTAACCTAAGTTCTTGTATGAATTTGACCATTCTTATGTTAAGTATCTACCATATTGGAAAAAGCAAGTACGGCCCAATGACAAGTAACCTTCTGCCGCCCGCTGCCTATCACTATTCTTCTAGGTGACGACCTTCCAAACTTACAGGAAGCATCCAATCCTTATTTACAACGCCGTACCTTCCCAAGCCTCGAAACGTGGCCGAGGCCACTTCCATTATTATATGCTTTAGCAACCAACGTCGACCCGTAGGCGTTTCTGGGAGTTAGGTTTCGACCTTGATAATTCTTTCCTTCTATCATCCGATGTTTCTTATGGTTCAAGGCACAAAATCAATGTATTGATCTGTTCTCTGGTCTTTTTCTTCCCTGCATGTCAACTTTCTACCCTTCTAACATTTAGTTATCAAATTGTTACTCGAACGTTTCTATTCTATTTGCATTCCCATACCCATAACTAATTCAATCCAATCTCTGGTGGCCTTTTAAGGGATATTTCGACACGCCCGTCTCTTGATTGCCTGGGATCTCTCGCCACGTTACTGCAGGTGTTTACCTAAAGACTGTAAATTGCCATCTCGTTCTCGCCACAATACATTACTGGTCTTCAGTACGTTTTACACGTCGTAAACAGCAAACCTACGAATTATTCCAGAACAAGCTACATGGTGCTCAAGGTGCCTGAAATTCTTCATTTTCGGGTATGTGCGCCAACATCATATACTATTTTCCTTCCTTTTTCCCTCTTTTTCCTGTCGCATCGCAACTTGTATGCCGGTGATTTGTTACGCAGCCACCGTAACAAGTCTCTTCATGTTCCCCACGAGTCCTTGGTTTCCCCTTCCTTATCACCAACACCGATTTTTCTCGTTTTGTCAAGTTATCTAATTCAGCATCCCCCAAACCAAATTTTATGCTTTCAAATTTCACAAGCGGTACCAGTGTGCCTGTATGTTGATAAGGAGATTATTTTCATCTTTTGTTTGTTCTTAGTCACGTCTATACGAGTTATTATATTCGTATAGACAGTCAATGAACTCCTTAGGTACCTACATGTAGGCACCTGCGAGGTAGATACAAGGCGAAACTTCCATGTTATTTTCGTCGCTCTTGCCCACATAGACGCCTCAGGAAGTCGCTTCGGACCATCACTACATACATATGTACTGCTAGATTTGTCTTAGGATCCTAGTCTCCCTCGAACATTGTTCAAGCTGAATTTTTTTTTTTTCATCGTCCTAATACACGTCCACGTCCACACCTACACCTGCAATCCCCAGTAATAACGTCTCCCGACCATACCTGACGTACTGATCACAGCTGGTTTCCAGATCCTTTCACTATCGGTTTAGCCGTCATTTTTATTCAATGATATGGATTGAATGACCATAATGGAAGACCCTTGGGATTGGGACATTGACAGGGTCATTCAAGAGCTTTGCTCGGAGAATCGATCCTGGGAACCTCCTAATTTACCAGCAAACTTCCCTCCCGAACAGTTGAAGGCTTCATTGCAGGAGCACGACGTTGTTGGGAGTGTATTGATTACGTACGACCAAGAGATACTCTTTAGTGAACTTGGTGTCAAGTCCTTGAGACACAGGTTCATTTTGAAACAAGCCATTACCCAGTTTCGCACTCGCAGCCAGAAATATAAACTCGACCAAAAGCGACAACACTCGGAATCAATTGAAGAATATGATGTAAATCAGGCTAGTGAAGATGTTGGTCAGAAGAAGCCGACAAATGGATTCTCATCCCACACTCTAACCACGCCCGCGGCAGAGAAAGAGGAAGCATCGCACTCTTTACTTCAACTCACTCACAATACCCAGCTAGGAACCATAGACACCCCTACCCTACTCCCACCTGACCAATCCGGCTCTCTCCACGAGCCTCCTTCACCTGAGCAGCAACCTAGTCAGAAAAGGCGACGAGTTGCCCCCCTTCTGGTGTCGGCAGACATTGACACCAATGTCACACGAAATATTCCGACTGAAGCGGACGTCATCATGGCATCAAGGCCAACCGGCTTCGACATACCTCGAGACAACGGCGACATAATCAATTCAACGAGGGCTTACCTTGGTGAAGATGCTTTTACGAGAGTTGATATATTTGATGACGACCAACCTTCTCGGGAGGCAGGGAAAGAAAAAGAGATGCTGATGGAACCATTAACGGGCGGCCGGATACCACCTGGGCGGCGATTGCAGATCCACCAGTTGTACAAACGCCAATTGCTATTGGACCGAATGCCCCCCAAGCCTCACGTTCCCAAGTCCGATATGGTGTGGGAGAGCAATAATCCGGACCATGACGAAGTCTTACCCTTATATGGGGACTCGGACGAAGACGGAGGATATGATTCGGACACCTGGGCTGAAATCCAGGCTGAGAAGGACGAGCAATCTCAACTCGATAATGATTTCCTAAGCCTTGATCAAATGCAAAAAGTCATCGATGACTCCATCCAGCAATTTGTATCTGACTGGAAAGATCGCAAAATGGCCAAGTTAACGCGCAAAGCTAACCAAATTTGGAGGGAAGCTCGAAGAAATGGCCTAAAGTGGTCAATCGACAAAAATCGCCGTATCATTGAGACACGTGAAGCCCGCATCGCGAAGTATCGCGAGGGATTTGTCACTCAACAGTGGCGCAATATCAACGAGCTGAAGGCAAATACCTTAATCTTGCAACAAACTATCGAAGACAAGGAGTATTCTTCATGGGTTCTCTCTGTTATCACAGACGACGCTGAACCTAAGAAACACCCACACCTCGTTCAAACAGGGACGAGGAAAGCTCGTATAGCTCGGCCAATTGCGTCAGATGGCGAAGAGATCTTGACGAGCGAATCTGAAGAGGAGCTTGATGATTTTATTGTCGAAGACGAGCCTCCTCCCATGTTACCTGACATGACCCTTGAAGGGTCACCTATGGATATTGTCGAAGATGGTGGTGCATCTCCCATACGACAACAATCTATCCCTATTGACCATCCCGAAGAGACAATCGTGGATCCGGAAGATACAAACACAATTGATCTCACGCAGGTAGAGGACGCTGAAAAGGGCGATGTCAAGACATCATTCAAGACACCAACTAAGTCTCAGAAGCATCATGTTATAGATCTTGTCACGCCCAATAAGTCCGCCTCTACACCTAGTGGATCGCCCAGTACCAAGCGTAATCATAAACCAGGAAAGTCGAAGGTCGACAGACAAGGTTCGGATAAGCAAGAGAACCGGTCGTCAGCACTAATAATGGATATTGATGATCTAGATTCCCTAGAGAGAATGGTCGCTGAAGAGCTTAGAAAGCTCTACCCCATTTATCTCTCGTTTGTCGCATCGATGGCTATAGGCCTCCGGCCAAAAGATATCCGACATGAAGGCATTCGGCTGGAGGATACCTGGTTGGACATGGCACTTCATAAATTGCACGGACAGGAATACCCAAAGCCTCCTCTAGACACTCGTGAGAAGAGGGATACTTTCGCTGTCTACACCCTCCTACGTCTATTCGAGATATACAAAGATGGTAATTTGGTCTCAGTAGGTCGGTTTAAGAAACTAAGCTACAAGGAGATAACGGTGAAATGTCAAAACTGGGGAAAAAACGGGGATCTCAGTAAAGCCGACAGCTACGTGGACTTCCTCTGTCGCCTGTTCGATCGTTTCGAAATTGAGTACGAGAAGTCTGATCCGAAGTCTGATCTGAAGCCTAACTCACAGACGATCGAAAAGTCCCCCTCCCCCAAGCGCGGTCGACGTAGGAAACACAATCGTAATCGGGAGGCGGAAGACCTCCGGCTAGCAGATCGAGCAAGGGTTAAGGAACAAGCTCATCGCCGGCAAGTACTGCGTGCGAAGCTCCTGCGACTCGAGGCGACCGGCTCAATAGACCTTGAGAACCGTATGGATATGATCATCAATGAAAGCAAAGAAGATGACAAAGGTTTCATATATGTCCATCCTGAGATTGCAGCACGAATCAAGGAACACCAGGTAGCTGGGGTTAGATTTATGTGGGACCAGGTTGTCGAATCCGGGGCAAAACAGGGCTGCTTGCTAGCTCATACTATGGGTCTCGGAAAGACTATGCAGATAATCACTCTTCTGGTAGCCATCGCCCAAGCCGCATCATCTGAAGACCCAGCCATTTCGTCACAGATACCAGATGATCTAAAAGAGTCCAAAACACTTATGCTTTGCCCTCCCTCCCTCGTCGATAACTGGATGGATGAGCTGCTCTTCTGGGCCCCTGAAGACCATAAGCTTGGCGAGTTTTTTAAAGTCGACCAGACGACCCCTAGGGAAGAGCGCACAGGGCATATTACTTCCTGGGATGATCGGGGCGGTATACTCCTCTTTGGCTACAGCCTCTTCAAAGAATTTATCGACAACCAGGAGACCCGTGAAATCCTGTGTGACGGTCCTAATATTGTGGTAGCGGATGAAGCACATATAATGAAAAACCCAAGCTCTCAAATTCACATGGCTACCGCAAATTTCCGAACCCAGAGCCGAATCGCGCTTACAGGCTCCCCTTTGGCCAACAAAGTTGAAGAGTACCATGCCATGGTTAATTGGGTTGCCCCCAACTATCTCTCTGACATTCGTGAATTCAAAGCAGAGTATGCTACGCCAATTTCCGAAGGACTTAAACCAGAAAGCACCCGAAGTCAGTACAAACGCGGTTTAAAGATGCTTAAAGTTCTCAAGGAGGTGGTGGCGCCGAAAGTACAGCGAATAACGATCACTGTGCTAAAGCAGGACATACCTGTAAAGCAGGAATTCCTGCTGACTGTACCCCTCACAGATATCCAACATGAAGCGTACGAAACCTTCATACGCTACCAGCTTGAACATCCGGGGTCGAATTTATTGTCTGCCATGGATACATTAGGCGTTATCTGTGCTCATCCCGCAATATTCCATGCGAAATTGCAGGGTCGCGAGTCGGGTTCTAAAATTAGTCTCCCTAGTGAACTCATCAGTATGGAAAAGCAGCTATTGACGAAAATAAAGGATATAAATGATATTTCGTTATCCTGGAAGATACAGATCCTCCTCTCCATCCTTGAGGGGTGCAAACGTATAGGTGACGCAGTGCTTATTTTTAGCCAGTCTATCCTTACGCTTGACTATCTGGAGCATACCCTCCGTAAGAGGAAATTCTTGTTAGAGAGGTTGGATGGATCAACTCCCACGAATATACGGCAAGGGAAAGTGAAGCAGTTTAATAATGGAGAAATCGAGGTTTTTCTAATTTCTACCCGGGCCGGTGGTCTTGGACTGAATATGATTGGAGCCAACCGTGTTATTATCTTCGACGTAAAATTCAATCCCCAGCATGAGCAGCAGGCGGTTGGCCGCGCATATCGTCTCGGCCAGAAAAAACCAGTTTATGTGTATCGGTTGTACACTGGTGGCACTGTTGAGGAGAAAATGCTCAATATGGCTATATTTAAGACACAGCTATCTTCTCGAGTGATTGACAAAAAGAACCCCATTCCTAAAGCCGAACAGTTTGGCCATAAGTTTGAACTGCCAAGGAGGCTCAAAGACACTGACGAAAACGCAATCAAAAAACATCGCGGCAAAGATAGCGTCCTTGACCAGGTCTTTGACGAATTGAAATCGGGTGTTAATACTATTACGATGATGGATACTTTTGAGGAGGAAGCGCTTGAGGATTATATTCTGACGGATGAGGACAATGCAGAAGCTGCCCAACTAATCGCTCAAGAGGAGGCTCGTAGATTAGGCAAACCTCTCCCACCTCCTCTCCCGTCCACAAGTCTAAATAACGCCTACAATTCCTTATATAAGCAAACTAACGGTGAAGTATTCGGAGCGCTGAAGACCGGGGAATCTTCCCTGGGGGGCGCCACACCCCAACATGACCATGTGCAACCTATCCCAGGCGCCACGACACACCTCGGAAGATCACCACCTTCTCCGGGCAATATCTCGGCCGAAGACGTTAAGATCTGGGAAAATCAACCAGCTTTTAAGGGAGAATTGGTTCGGGCCTTTATAGGACATGATATCCCATATCTTGATGAGAAAGGGAGACGAGATTGCGTTCAACTTATCACAACAGCAGTCTGGAGCGAACAGCGATCGCCTGAACAGCAAGGCCTACTAAAATCAGCTATCATGATGGCGGCATCTTCCAAACGATTTGTTGAGGCCATCTGTTCGGAATTACTTACTCCAACTCAGCTTGCCAGCATGGAACCATCTGACATCACAGCAAAGCGCACGGATTGGGATAGAATGACCGAAGACGACTGGGCACAGCGCAAAAATGACAATCACCAGTCCACTCAGTCTAGGGTCGATCCTGAAGTAGGAAACCCCGTTCACCCCAACAATAATATACTCTAACTAATGTCCAACTTCTGACAATAGCATCTCCGATATGCTCTCCGCAAGATGCCCTCCACCCCTAAGAGGGAGAACTCTGGATCGGGACAGCGTAAACCAAATAGGATTGACGACCAGGAGGCGTTGAAGGCCGTTATGGAACGCAGGAAGCTGAAGACATCTTCCCGTGGGAAAAACCCGCATTTACCTAGTTGGGCAATTGATGCAGTCGCCAAGCAAGGACGTACGGGCCCATCTCCGACACCAGATTCCACAACGCCCTCAACTTCTACATCTCAACTTTTACCCAAATCTCCATTCACTTGAGCTTCTGGGGGCTCGGTTTTCACATTAATTTCACACAGGGCAAACGGCGTTTACGGATGAGTTTTCCTCGTTGCATCGGTAGTTCGATACCCATACGGTTGATACGATTGTTAGGATTTTCATCATTCATACGAAATCTTCGATGAATGTTAAGAGGATAATGGTGGTATCTGCGCGGTAGACGTAGGCATAGGGGAGGAGATCTGGAAATAAAAACCTGGCCTTGCCGTTGGCGGAGCTTTCTGTTGATGTCCTGGAGAGAGGAACAGCACTCAGAAAAAGGATTTTGCTCGGGTAAATAAAAGAGAATGCTTCCTAATCCATACTATTTTCATTACCAATGCCTTTTCATTGATTGATCTTCCCAGAATGACTTGCTTTAATATTCAAGGAACGTAAGACATCAACCTGTCCTATTGAATTAATTTCTGTTTTCTTCTGTAGAGGGCAAATCTATACTAAACGATAAGATTATTCGGCCTTCCGCATCACGATTTTATGGGGTAGAAAGATGCTTTTATGTCTTTTGTTTTTGCTACCTAATCTTCCTAGACCTAAGCTGAAAGTATAAACCCACCGCCAACGCCTTACAGACCAGACCGACCCTTAGGAGTGAATATTGTAGCATCACGATACTCCGATTTTTGACACCACTTCTCGCTAGCTCAACTTAGCCCTGAAAAGGCGCATAGCTTGCTAGTAGATTGATTGATTAATAAACCCACGCGCATATTAGATACGTCCGATTAAAGACGTCCTCCTAACCCATCTTCGTCCTCGAGACGCATCTCCTCAATTGCTGCAGCCCCTCTTTCTTTACCAAGCCCATAGCACCTTATGATGCAACACCCTAGCGCCCAACCTCTCGAATTCAAACGGCGTGATCCAAGAATCATTCGCGGGTAACTTGGCAAACACACTAGCGCCCTTCCAAACGACGACTTGTTCATCCATATCACGCGCGGAACGCGTAATCAGGATTCTATCCGCGAGTTCGGGTCTGCGCGTGCGAAGTTTTTCCTCGAGAGCCGGTGTGAAAGCCGGGGTTTTGGATCCGCCGCCTACGACCATGATGCTGCCGAGGTAATCGCGGAGTTTCTTGTCGTCGCCTTTAGCGGCGTTTTGGATACTGGTTAGGATCGCGATGTCGAGGGGTGCGACGGGGAGGACGGCGTCGCGTTCCGCGGCTAAAGCTTTGGCTGTGCGTGCTGCGGAATCGATGAACATGCCTGCGGGCGGCATGGGAGGGGCGGGGGAGAGTCCGTTGCGCGCCGTGGATGTCCCGTTGGGGGCGGGACTACCGGTTCCTGTTACAGTGCCGTTGGCGCCGAAGTGGAAGGCGGGAGGGACGGGTGTAGCTGCTCCTTCGGGGGCGGGTGAGGCGGCGTTGGAGCCGGCCGGGGTACCGTTGTTGAGGTCGCCCCGCAGGAAGTTGGAGAAAGGTTGGGACTTCTCCTTAACGGGCGTAGCGAAGTTGGGGTCGGATGACAGAGCCTGGAAACCGTTGGCGTTGGATACCACGGAAGGTTTAGTGAGAGCGAGGATCGCGGTCTGGGCCGCGGGGGCCGGGTCGTCGGGTACTTCGACGTCGTATGCGTTATATGAGCGGTCGATCAACTTCCGACGACTACGTATTTTGGTTGAGTTATCGAAGATGGTGGGGTCGTAAAAGCCCATCGGGGCGAGGATGACTTCATCGTATGTCTTGAAGCCATATAAACGTGTAGACTGATTAGGGGCGCGGAGGTGGAATTGGTGATTCGATACTGATACGTCATTTGGATGAAGAGTGCAATGCTTAATCTTCAGTTCCTCAGCCAAAAGAAAATCGTATCGTCTCCTAAGATTGATCTCTTGGTAAGGAAAGTTGTCGTACAGCATCATCTTGATAAATGTCTCGGTAATGTCGTAGCCGCCGTATTTGAGGTTAATACGAGAATCCTCAATACATAGTCCATCTTCGACACATGCGATCGAAGTCTTCTGAGCACCAACGTCGACGACGCAGGCCTGGGTATAGCCAGCACCAAACGTCGCCGCCATGCTCTCTTGTATGAAACATATTCTGCTGAACTCGAACCATGTCATACATGACTTCAGAATGTGTTCTACGTATTTCTTGTCGTATAGATCGGGAATCACAAATACGCAGCTGTAGTTCCTCCACGCGCTGTTTCTAGTTAATCCAAGCTCTTGTCTGATAGCTTTATCTAGAAGGGTCTCAAAATCGTCATATAGATGCTCAGCGGTCGTATAATCGTCTTCATTCATCCAGCCGTTCTGTAGAGGCCACCATAATTTGAACTTGGGGTTCGAATCGTCGGGGATACGTTGGGCAGCTTGGCCAATGAAACATGACGCTATCGACTTGGGATCCTCTAGAGTTTCGACGTCGGTCCATTCAATTTGGAGAGGGTCGTTGTGTAATGGGATCTCTTCCGACTCTGATCGTCTGTTGTAGTTTACGACCAATTCTTTCGAATTTGGAAGTACCTTAAGCTTCTTGGCACGCATTTCTACCTTGAGATCGTTACACATCTTTTGGTATTTCTTTGACCATTCTTCGCCATATTGTTGATCTATAGTCTTGGCTTCGAACTGGCGGCGGGGAAGAGCCTCGTACATTTCGGACTCGGTCTGGGGGAACTTGGTCGCGATCGTCATGGGTATAGTCTTAGGTAAGGCATCGCTGGCGAAACCTATTCTGAGGTTCTGGCTTCCAGGATGTATGACGATGACCTTGGATGGGTCTAGATTCTCGTTGGGGGTTGGGGCGCCATCTTCGGGTTGGATGTCGGTGACTGGCAAAGGTACCTCGGCGTGTCCGTTGCGCGCAAGAGCACGGTCGCGATCCTTGGCAGATTGGACGAGTCTATCTCTATTCGCCTCGGCCTGTAATCGGAGTGCTAATACCTGATCATCGCGTTTCATATAATCGCTATAGAATAGAAGATGTCAGTCACCATCGCGATCTCGACATGATTCGCTTTCTTTATTATATAGGCGCGGGGAGATTGCGTACGTATAATAGTTCTTTTGGTTAATTGGTGTGACATCAGGCCAACTCGTCTGTTTCATGCCATTGTCGGTTCGTTCGAGTCCTACGATAATGATAGCATATTAGCGCTATATATTCATTGAGACGCGCATGGTCATTAATCACTAACCTTCCCGTAGGAGGACCTTCTCACTGACTTTACCAACCATATTTGCGGCTTAGATATGATGGTTGGTGTCGGTGTTATGATGGATGCATTTAGAGGTATTCTTGTTCGGGGTATGGGTTCATTTGTAGTTGTTACCTAGGTAGTTGTTAGGTTGTTTAGGTAGGTTGGGTCGATTACGGATACATGTTGAGAAAATTTATTATTATTCTGAATTTTTTTACGTCTAAGTGAATTTGTTCTTCGAGCTTTCCCACACCTTCTTCTCCCTGCGAATGGGGCCGTATCAAATCAATCAATCGCAGCTGCGCCCAGATACAAGTACAAACCCGCCTAGCTATTTGATCTGGAACCAGTAAACCCCCTAAGCCCTATTCGCTTTAGGGCGGCGGAGTATCGGCACCTAGGTAGCTCCATTCTCCTATCGTGATCGTGCCCTGATAAGAATTCATCCAATAAAAGTCAGTGTTTAATAGAAGTCACTTAAAAGTACAGAAAGCGTTCATTATTTATACAAAGCATCGAATATACATCCTCAAATAGATCCTACATATTTCATACCAATTATATATACTGACCCGTGTATCGATGGATGTAGGTTTTGAGTCATACCAAGTACCTATATGTAGATACCTAGGTATGAATTAGGTATCTAAATGTTTGGATGGTGCACTAAAATTCAATGTTGGTACCGATCGGAAAGGGCCTCAAATCAGCTCGCAAGACACCAGCGAAGTTAAAAGTGGCGTGTTGTAACTCTCCTTTCAGACTTACAAAAGCTCTTTCCAGACGAAACTCACAAGTGTTAATTTGATTTTCATACTAGGTAGCTCCAATCTGAAATGATATGAATTGCAATTGTCTTTTACCTTTTTAATTTCAAGGCTAAATCCCTTGCTGAGTCACCTGACAACCAGACACCTATGACGTCGCTTTTCTATCTTAGCTGTTCTCCCTCATCTCTCAAGTCGTACAAAGTCTCACTTGTCCTATCGTAGGTGCCTAAACAAGACAACACGTAACAAAAACAAATTATACCTTCACATACATAAATTCGGAGATCCGGAGTAATTTACCATCAAATCACCTTACACGTCTAGTCCGGTTGTCTTGAGCTCACAATCATTCATTATGGCTCCTATTCCAGTCTATACGGACAGCCCCATCGCTTCGAAGCCTTCGGGAGTAACACCCCAGACTGCTGCAGCGCCATCTACGTCAACACCGACTGCAACCAGATCATCACCTACCTCGGCCAACCAGGTTTCTTATCCATCGGCACAACCAGGTGCTGCACCCTCTCTTCCAACTCCTACGACGGCCGCATCTCAGGCATATACCCCACCTCAGCCAACCCAAACCCATGGCCATGATGGTCCTCCGCCACCACAGCCGGGCGCCGTCCCTGTCCCATCTGGAGCCGCTGGGTCAAATATCCCGCCACCACCAAAGGCAGGTGAGAAGTATCAACCACCTCAACAGGCACCGGTAACTCAGCCAGCGAGCATACCATACCCTCCCCAGATGTCTATTCCGCCGCCTACAACACCTTATGCAACTCAGCAGCGCGGTACGTCAACAGCCACAGCGCCTATTGCAACACATAGTGGCCAAGGCCCTACGGCCCCAGACGGCTCTTCAATTCATAGCTTAGCGCATCCACCAGGGTATCATCAAAACACCAATGCTTCTGAACTTGACAGATACCAAAGATCGGCTATCCAACAGAGTGAGTTAGAAAACCAGACAGGTGAATCGGGTGGGGTTTGGGACGCAGCGAAGAAATGGGCTCAGCAAACTGGAGAGAAACTCGCAGCAGCGGAAAATGAAGTATGGAAAAAGATCAACAAGGAATAATGGTGCCACAAAGCCCCAAATATTCATCACGCCCTCCCACCAAAACCGGACCACCGTGGTTCATGTCCCGATGTGAGAGCTAACTAGTCCATATATAAGAAATCCCAGTACTATAGTAAACGATACGAATAAAAATTTTCTACCCACTCGGTTGTTCAATGATAGACAACCTTGGAAAGAGATTTATGATTTACCGCACACTAGTCAATCTGAAGTACTGTGGCGAATTCCCCTTAAACTCAGACAGCTAGATACAATACAGACGTAGCGAAAACGACATGACGATTCAATCACCAAAACTGCGCTTATAGAAAATTACGAGGCGTGATCAATGCAAGCCGAGTTGCGCTCGGAAGTATGTGGAGATCAAAATCCGGGCTCGGCCAGGCTCTACCAGGCTCTTCGCCATCAATTGCCGTTTTAATGGTTAGAACGCATGATAGATCTTCCAATGGGTCTACGCTAGGTATCTGGGGAAGTGATCTCATCATCGTTCTCCCGCGATCTTCATGATAAGAGGCAGCAGCAGTTACTAAATTTAAGAACGGGTAAAAAGTCGAAGCATTGAATAATTTCCCAAAGGAGGCAGTAATATTATGCGAAGGACCGGGCCTATCCCGGTAGCCTAGCCCGGGGTGGGGTACGCAAGCGGCCCCATAGAACGATTCGTAGAACAAGTGGAAAGACTAGAAGGCCAGCAGCTGCCCATTTTCAATCTTCTTGCCCACTCCTTCCCACTTTACACGACACGATCTGACAGGAACCGACCTATAAAGATGTACCTGAGTACGTATCGATGCTACGTATCTACGTACATGCAATTAAGATGACGCTTCCCAGCTTAATGTTCCCAGATACGGGCTGGCAATTAACGTCCGAGATCAGGTTCTCGGTGTAATTCCTACAAGTACATCTCTTGGTATAACGCGTTGGATACCAATTACGACGGACCCCCACTAATCTGGAAGATAGATTTTTTTCTTTTCTTTTTCCTTACTTCCCGTCTATTAGGTACGTGCAAATACTAAAGACATATACTGTACTCGGGAGCGGGATTATATGCATATCTGTACGTAATATACGCTACCCGTCGAACATTGGTGGAGTGGGAAAAAAGCAAGTCGTGCCGCACCGTGTAAGCCCGTGTTTCCATACATGTAAGCCGACCCTTCCGAAGGATAAGGCACCCAAATCGAAGAGGAAAAAAAAGTACTGCCCTCCATCACGCATCAAACCTTTTCGGGACAACGCTCATGATAGCGGAATCCAACGCAGGTACATCTCACAATTTACATTTTTAGGGTCCATCAAGCCGCAGGTGCTTACATAGTTACGTTTAGCGAACGCTCAGGCCGCGGGCTCAACCGAGATCGCTACCTTTCCAAGGCGCAGCGGGCTACCAGATGCAGGAGAACTAGCAGGAAGGACTCCTGCAGTGCGCAGCGTTTATGCTTGCCTGAGCACTCACGCACACGTACCTAGGTATGTAAGCACTATAACTTACATGTACAGTATCCGTAGACATGGGAGTCCCTTACCATGTAACAGAACAAAAAGATACGACGGCAGTTTATTGTATCGATAAGATCCTCGAAGAGCCCTACAGCATCTCCTACCTACTACAAGTAACAAAGACGTCTTGGGACCCGATCAAGGATCTGACGATCCCCCCGCGTAATAATACCACGACGGCTATTACAAAGTTGACAAGGCCGTAAGGCGGGTATCCTTCCGACACAATGGATTGTACCAAGATATTGTCAGATAATTCCTAACCGAAGCTATTAGATGATGACATTCTTCCAACCCGAAAGGATGGTTCAATTGGCCATCTAGCTGACAAGCGAAACGGAATTTCAGCAGAATAAAACAACCACATTATTCTTAGTTTGAGCACGTTGGACCTTTGCAACCTCCGTATGAGTAATATCCGTGACACCTCCAATGGTGTCAACAAAAATATCACTTTTCTCAAAATGATACACATCCACTGTTGGATGTTCTATTAAAACTTCGAACCGTGGGGCTACTAACCTCGGCGATTTATTACTCTCTGACAATACAAAACAAATGAATAAGATGAAGGATTTATGAGAGCACTACGGTACCAACACAAATTCACACGCACAACATCGGCACAACCGTGTTTCTCGAAGTTTTATCGAAACAAGGAGGGGTGGTTCGAAAGCAACGTTGATTGATTACACGGGAGGGAATGGAGAAGGACAGGGCCTCGAGGGTACATTGTAGCCCTGCTGCCCTGTAGCTAAGCCCAGCCGTTTCTCGCTTTTGGGGCACGATGCACTGAACCGGTCCTTAGGTAATCTGGTAATCTGGGACAACCGGTACGGTATCTTTGGTATGTTGTACGTACCCCAGACGCCCCAGTAAAATGTTTCTAAAAATGAAATACAGTCACTTAAATTTGCGTAACAACACCTATACATGCATCGGTGGTAAGTACCTTTTTGACCGGCCTCTTCTACCAATATGTCTTAGAAAGCCGCGGCTAATTTGCTAGTGGCTCGTTCGCATTTTCCATCAATTTTCCGGCTATACCAAAGATACCTAGGTATTTTAGTACCATAGTAACTAATGTGTGTCTGTCCATGTGTGTGCCTTTTCTATTAGTCTTACTGGTTTTTTATCCCAGATGGTTGGAAAAGGGCTAAGAAACGTTAGAAAGTAAAGGCACGGAAGTGGGTCTGGACCTTTTACCTTTTTGACATTCGGGACGGAGGGAAGTGGGGCTTACAAGGATCAGCCCTTCTGTTACAGATCCTGAGACGCGTTAAGGAGAAAAACCCCTGACCCTGACACCCCCTGCCTGCATACTATTTTCCGTCGGACCAATCACGAATTGGCCCCAAGCAACTGAAATTCAACATCAAACGCGCTCCGCTGACGAACGAGACGACAACTCCTAATCTTGGTCGGGAATCATCTGAGTCCAGAGCCTGTCCAAAGCCTGTCGTCCTCCTTAGTCCTTCCAACCACCAATCGCCGAGCCAACAGCGATGTCGAACACAGCCCTCGCAGCCTGCATTCTCCATTTTCCACTCTGCATTTCTGCATTCTGCAGGTATGTACAGTATTTTCCCTTCTATCTCCATCTCCACGTCCCCTATCTGCAAACCAGATGGCGCGAATTCCCTTCCTATTGTACCACTTCCTCGAATATACCCTCCTAGATCGCGCCAGAGTTTTATCTCGATGCCCTAGCTACACCATCTCACAACACCAGAGGTCCAAGTATCGTGCTGCCCACCATATCTCATCCTCCACTTTACCACGTCGCTCCGCCTCCCCACCCATCCGTCCTTTTATTCTGTTGCCAATTGGTTATCATTAGTAGATATTTCGGAGCCATCCCATATAGTGGCTTCGTCACTCTATTCCCTGTTCCTAGCCAGGTAAGTACCTCGAAGTTCTTGGCCATCCCGTCTCTAGATGAGCTCACCTACGCTTCCTTATCAAGCCATCGTCTCACTGCCTCAGCCTCCAACTGTCAAAGCGACGCACCAACTCGGCTAAACTCGTGGGCCTAACTCGCTGCAACTTTTGGAGCATCTCCTGGAGCCCTCAATAATAATGACTTCTATTATTTCCCCTCGTTAGTCAAGTTAATTGACACTGTTGCGCGCGTTATACATGTTACGCGACATATCCCTTGGTAAATTTTCATAAGGAAAAAAAAAAAAAAAAAAAATTTACTCGACAAATAAGTGTCAATAAGCTCGATACGAACATAACTCAACCAAACAGCCTCATAAAGTCACCGTACCATTAAATGTTGCCTCGTCAAACAAATAATTTACGATTATCACATTACATGGTATGTATTCGGCAGCAAGATTTATTAGCGGACCGGCTCTACTAGCCCGCGTGACTCCACGAGACCCTGGAACGTGTTTCCAAAAAACCACCCCCCTGGTTAGGTAGTAGTAGGGTATTACCTCTTATTTTTTTCAGAAACCTGTCTTCTCCAGATCGACGTATCCGGTCGACGAAAGTGTCATGGTCGTGTCATACGACCCTACGGCACTAGAATGTTGTTGTTGTCGCGCATCTTGGCCCTACATAGACGAGCTACAATCCTCCGAGGTCCATTTACGCGGCTCTCGTAGTTCGTAAGTCGTCCCGTCGTTCCAGCCTTCCTCTCGGCCTGCATAGGTCCCAAAACCTGAGCCTAAAAAGAAAGAATAGAATCTTTCGCGCCTTGCCACATGGTCGTGCCAAAATATGAGGCCAAACCGCCCCATGAGGCTCAACGGGACTATCTAAATATAGTGAGTGACGTCTAACTAGAACTTATCTTAGTTTTTCTTTTTCCAAACAGACTTCTTTCATCTAGTCTGATGAAAGTAGCAATTTCTCATTCAATATCAAATTACGTCCGTCCTGTTATATCACGATCCCTGCTGAACCATTCCAAAAGAGTTGGAGTGTCCATGGATCTCTGGGACTGGGGCAGTCCCTAGTCATTCAGTCTAATCGGTTTATGGCTACTTCTGACATGCTATGTACCCGAGACCCATCCAGCTCTCCGCCGCTCCCCCATACGCTCACCACTCTCCCCTGCCTCGAAGGCTTGACTATTCCTCGCAACACATCATCGACGAACAGATGTAACCCTCCAAACCCTTGCACTGTAAATCCTTGCAGAGCCTGCCCGCCGGTTCCCTGTCTGCCCTGTCTTGCTTGTCTCTTTCCAGCAAAAGCCAAGCAGAATCTCGCACACGCAGACCCTCCTGTTAAGCTCACAGACGTGGCCAGGTTTGTATCAAGAAGTCCCGGCCCAGCTCCTACCGATGTTCCGGCCCTGACCGTGTTGGATTATACTCGAACTGTCCACGGATACTTTTGGAGAGCTTCTTTATATCTCTCGGTGTCCTGCACCGCCCCTCCACTGACCTGCCCTTTTACTCCTCTTCTCGCCTCGCCGCGCCGCTCTCCCTCACACACCATTTACCAAAACCAGTCCACTACTTGTCGCTCCTTTTTTTCCTGCTCTTAACCAAATACTCTATTATTGCCACTCTAGTCTATAACACTGGGAGCTGGCTCTCTTCCCACCTAGACAACCCGGTCTATGTGAGCAAGCAAACCCTCTAGCTTATCTAACGAGTTGTTCTGTTCCTAGACAGCTCATTCCATTCCTTAACAACCAAACCACTTATACCAACCACTGTCAGCTCAACGCTATACATCGACTTACACACTCGCTTCCTTCCATCCTCAAACTTGAAACGTCCGCTTTCTTCGTCATTTGGCATAAGTCAAAATTGCCAGCATTCCTTCTTAGATCCAAGTTCTCCTTAGCAAGTCGGGGATTATAACCTATACTATTATTACAAAGTATGTCAATGGAAAGGCCGCCTCGCTGTGCCGTATCACCCCTCAGATAGGCCTGCGCCTACTCTACCAATCCATCCATCCATCAACTAATATCGTCTTGCTATGTCATTCATTAACTAACCCATATATGTGTATAGCATACAATCTATAATCGAACCATTTTTATTTCTTTTAGTCACATCACTATGGACTCAAGTCAGGCACAACTGTATGGAATATTCGGCTCAGCTATATCAGGTAGAAGCTCACACAACGATAGGAGACAACAAATCCAAGCACCTACTTTCACTCTCGGCTCTAACGACAAGTTCATTCGAGAGGTTCCGCCGCCGCGCCCACCTCCACTCACCACGATGAATAGGAACGATATGTCTGCTAAGGTGGAGAGTCAGGGAGCGCCAACAGGAGTATGGACGACGCCTACATCTCAAGAAGCGCGACCAAGACCCGCTACTATTCACGAAGGCTTTTCATTTTGCGCTGGGGAAGAGTTCGGGACAATGCCCTCATGGGCGACACCATCTGGCTTGACAATTCATACACCAAGTGATACCATGTCGCGACCCGTTTCGATGCATCAAGATTTCTACCCCGTGACAACGATGGACAGCAGTGAGTTTCACTCAATTCAGCTTAGGTCTCATCGCTGACCATAATTATAGGCCCATGGGGACCCAAACCGTGCGAAGATCATCTAGAAATTCCCAATTTCGATATGGATATGAATATCGGTCAGGCGTACACAACAGATGAAGCAATCCCGATTATAGATTTGAGGTACTCTGGTCCACAAATTGACAATGACTCGATGGGATTCGAATCAACTCCCAATCCTCGCCGCATGTCTGGTTCTTCATTCACCGTATCGACGACTGGTGGTCTTTCTGATATGCCTTCGTATGAAGATTTCTCTGCTGCGCTATCTGAGGCGCCCTCGTTCACTTCAGATTATCCGCCGCCTTCGAACCGAAACTCACTCATGTCTTCGACTCAGTTGTCTCCCGTGGCATCTCCTCGCATGACACCACAGACTCGTTCTGATCTTGTCCGAACTCAGAGCCGTGGCCGCGGCGCATCCCCTTCACCCCGACCAGGCATGAGATCTGCTCCGTATAGTGTTGATAGCAGCGCGAGGAACAAGAGGTGGTCTACTGGATCTTATGGCACCGCGAACCGCCGCCCATCTCCTTTTGTCTATCATCATACTCATGATGCTTTTGGTCCCCGAATGTCGTCGCGACACTCTTCGCCCACGATGCCAAACCACCCGCTCCCGTTGAACTTTGGCAACCTTCAAGCCGCACAGCAACATCCGTTCCTTATGTCGCACCCACCGGCTTTCCGTAACAGTATGCTCCTTCCAACGCAGTTGCCGTCTCAATTGCCGTCTCAGGCTTTCCATCCCGAAGCGCATCACCATTTTGAAAATCCGCCACCACTATTATCTCATGGGTTGTTCAGAATGCTGCAAAGCAATGCGGATCCTCATGCGTTGCACGGCCACTACACGGATTTATCCGACCCACCTGATTTATACGCCTCCCTGCAGGAAGAGCAGGTTCCGCCACCTCCCGAGGATATGAATCCTTCAGACCCGGACCTGGTCCCTCACGAACAGGAATTGCGATTTGAAGGTGATTTGTATACTCCCAGATGGGTTCGTGGCCATGGAAATAAGCGAGAAGGATGGTGTGGTATTTGCAAGCCTGGTCGATGGCTAGTATTGAAGAACTCCGCTTTCTGGTACGACAAGAGTTTCACTCACGGCATCAGCGCGGCTACTGGCAATCCATTCCAAGAACCTCAAGAGACTAGGCGAATGGACGGAAACCCAGATGTTTGGGAAGGTCTATGTGGAAGCTGCAATGATTGGATCGCATTGGTGAGCAGCAAAAAGAAGGGGACGACATGGTTTAGGCATGCGTACAAGGTAAGAACCGCACTTATAAGCATATTCCTACGATTATACTAATTCGGTACAGTGCCACACGCATCCCAAAATTAAGGACGCTCCTAAAAGGCGACGTGAAAGCAGCAACTCCAGAGCCGTCGCCGCGTCTCAAATCACGAAACCTAAGATTGAGCCTCAGTTACCTACTACACCTCAATCAAAGGGTACAGCAGGCTCATTAGCTACGACACCAACTCCCACACCAATACCCTCATCAATTTCACGTGGTCAAGTCGTTCAACCAGAGCAACCTCAACCACAAAAGACATTCCATCCTCTTGATGGATTAACCAACATGATTTAAAGCTCATTATCTCACGAAAGCCACACCTTTCCAAACCGATATTTCCTTATATACACGGAAAAATATATCTCAGATGAGCAATGAAAAATTTCCTTGAAATACCCTCCTGTCGGTATGGGACGGGTTATAGACGGACAGCAGTCCTTCAGTTGGCGCCCTACACGCCCCTTACACATTTCTCCTCTCTTTTTATCAATCATTGAACCAATTTCATTTACTACAAACACTATACCCAGACACGAACAAAATTCTCTACCTAAGATGCTATGATGAATTGAGCATCGCCAGTTGGTTTTACGACGGATGGGATAGACTGGAACCGGGGAGGACGTCGCGGCGGTTTACGACAACAAAACAAGATTGCTTCGCTTCGTTGTGCGCTATTTTCCAACATATTGCGTTTACACATACACGGCCGCTGATCTAGCTCGCTTAACAATTCGCTGTTCATATGCACCATAAAACTTTTTTCCTTTTATTCTTTCCTTATTAATAATGTAGATAGCTTCATAGGTGATACCCTCGACATATTTGGGGCTGAACGGAGGGTGGTAAGAGGAGGAAGGATTTCCATTTAGGGTAGGATGGTGTTGGTTCTCGATCTATATAGCCCTGCTGGGCAGCGGTAGAAATTCAGGGAGGGAGGTTGGAACAACGTTTGATACCACGGGATGGTTCCCAATTGCGATACCGTAGACTTAGCTAGATGATGAATGATTTCTTATTTCTCATACTACCGGTTTTTTACGTGATCTACGGTATGACTTGACTCCTAGCGATTTCAAATAATCTACTAGAAGATCTATCCGAAGTACTTACGACTTCTTACTTCACTTAGACGTCAATTATCAGCTTCTCAGATTTGCTTAGTATCAGTGTACCCAAAGAGGCAGCCCAGCAACAACTGGATGAATCATCAGATCAGACAGTCAGCCCAGCCCTAAATCCATCCGCGGGGGGTAGTTTCTCAGCAACTAGGGTTTCTATTCGGCTACCGCCTCATTGGAGAATCCTTCCAACTGGCGACACACCATCTTCGCATTATTTCACCTGTGTACTACTTCTTCCCGAGCCGCAGAGCCGAGTGTCGGGTCCAGACGAGGCAAAAGCTGGAACGGAAACGAAACGCATAAAGATGACCTACAGGTACGTGTTGCTAAACATAGCTAGGCCCTGACACAAGCCCTCTTTTTTTTCTTTCTCAGATCGATAAAACGTCGCACTCGATTTCCTAATTATTGTATTCCAAATGGTATGTATGGGCTTACGAGTGAGGCTTTATTTTGTGTAGCCTAGGACCGTTATCTGCTTTCGGACTTGGGCTGAGATGGACCTTCTATGAATAGGATCATTCGGAAAATATCCCGCGTCGGTAGGGTGCGTTGGGAAGGCCATTCTTCTACCCTTCCCCCTCCTCCCAAAACAAGTTTCTTCATAAATGCTCCACCTCGGAGACAGACCCCTGGGCTTTAGCCGTGTGTACACGTACACCTTTGTTCTTCTTCTTCCCTCTATTCGCTCCGTTTGATCCGTATATAGGTGTAGAGGTATATGTGCTTGTCCGGCTTCCTCTACGTGGGGTTTAACGGGTTGTCGTATAGAACCGGGTTTATGTGCGAAGTGTTTGCTTGGTCGTGGCTGGCCTTTTTTGCTGCAGGGGCCTTTGTGGGCTGCTGCCCTTGCATCGGGCCAAGGATTCGAGGGGAGGAGAAAGTAGGGCTGAATTGCCCGTGGAAGATGCTTATTGGGTGTGGTATTTCTTTCGATGACCCCCTGGTTCTTGGTAGGGAGGGAATTAGGGTGAGTGTAGTAGGGATTATGGTAGGTACAGCACACGCCGATACAGTGCCTCGCGTCTTGGTACCTTTCTGGATGGTGAAGACGTGGTTTTGGCTTTAGTAGGTACCTCTTCAGCTCGTCATATTAAATGTTCAGCGACCTAAACTGATCTGCGATAGGGGATTGCGAGGTTCGATTCGACCTGAAGTGACTGACATTGGCCACTAGATTGTCAGCAAATAACATCAAGGGGGATCTAGAGATTGGGCTCTGTGCCCAGCATAAGTGGCTACAGTGATTGACTTGACAAAATAAATATGTGACCTTACTTCATTCTTACTTCCCTAATCCACCATTTTCTCTTTCTGGGATATAGCGATAGCACACCGGCTGTGGTTCCCAAGTAGTTGATATAAGATAGGTGCAATCTATGGGGCAACTTCTTCAATTAGGTACTCAAAAGACCATCGACCATCAATCCTCGCCCTTGACGCTGCTGAGGCAGGCTATGATACTGCGGCAACGGCGTCGTCTCTCTATACAAGCCTACCTATAATGCCAAGAACATTCTGGAATCGGGGCGATTGCGTTATCACGATCCCTTTTACGATATGTGATTGTGGCTTGCATTCAGCACGCTATGGTAACGCCTCGCTAGCCGTCATTTGCGGAGGAAGGCCGATCGCTCCCCTGTGGCGCCACTACCGCCAATAAGGGGTTGTCAATGACAGATATCTTCTTAGTGGCGATTTATAATCTCCTAAAGAAAAAGGGGGGTTGGGTTTGTGCGATGCGGAATCTACCCCTACGTGAGTAGACCGGATGCACTATGTAGATGCGAGATGAGGCTGCCAAGCTGCGTGGCGTACGATATGGATAGTTTCTCCGGAATGAGCTTTATGTGCTGCTATCAGCGGTACTATATTAGGTGTCTTGTAGGAAGCTTGTAGCCCGCCGTTTGTCCTTCCGTGGGCTTATGTCGAGGAAATGCACCATTCGACTTGTCAAAGACGATCGAGACCGGCTGTTAGTGTTATAAGTATGACAGTCTAGCATAATTGTACGAGTCTTCTTCCATTGATGCTTATACGATGCTATAAAAGGATGGTCCTTGGTTCAATCTAGGAGAGGGTTACCTTTAGCTATCCTAGATATGACTCCATAGTATGTAGGTACCGATCTTTAGGAGCGTAAAATGCCGCGGAAGGTTATCGGAGTTTTCCACGAGCCTATACACAATCTACTCGGAAATTAAATACTTTCCGTATAGTCAAGTTTTGTTGATTCGCGAGCTACTCCATGCCTCCAGGCCTATGCGATAGAAGTTGATAACCGTCAGTCTACCTTCAAGATAGTTTAAGCTTGATCACGCAAAAGGCACTTATCCGTGTGTAACCAATCTAGCTACCTCCGTAATGTATGACAGGCGCCTTCGACAATGGTATCGCTATTTGACGACTTCCCGCAAGTTTACTGCGGCTGCGCGTCGGCTACGACGCCCGTATGTTGTTCTAACGTTTGAGTATAGTAAGAGGTTGGATTCGTAGCGTCCACACTCTGACTCCTATTAACATGACCCGTATGGCTAATTGGCTAGAACTACGGTATAGTCACATGCTTCATGTTTGATACCTCTAGATGTGAATTGTAGAAGGGGTAGGGGCTTGTAGAAAGAGACCTGTCGACAACAATGGCGAATAGAATAATGACTGAGGCTTCATCGGACCTTTTGATATTTTGAAGAAAGTACATTGGGGGAAATGAAAGTCGCCTCTGGCGCCGCCTGTTGCTAGATACCTGTTGGTGTTCTTTAAGATATGACTAATTTCGATAGCCAAATTGGTGCTCCCTCTTGCCCCCTTTGAAACTGGATACTTGAGCACTGGTACGAATATTTTACTGAGTAGAAGTCATTGAGAATGAAGCTTGCGAAATAGGGTAGTAGGACGCATTTATGCTAAATTTTGGTGTCGTTTCCATCACCTACTCATTTGATATCCTTTGAATTTGGGGCTAAAATAGAACCATGCCTACGTAGATACCTTTCAAATGCGAAAGTATTGACCTAGCTAACATTCCCCAGCCAAATGTGCCGTAATTGGGAAGATGTAGTTATAACGCATTCGATAAAGCACTACGTTGTAGTCTCTCGCTTAAGATATCATTTTCCTAGGTTCGTATGTGCTAGCTAGTTATCATCAAGCTTCTAGACGTCTTCGTAGTCTACTCCTATGAAGAAAGATATGGAGTTAGCAGTCCACGAGAGAATCAATCTCCGAAGGGTGCTCGGCGCGTGCTCATTACTACCTAGATTGTCATGGACCGTCTAAACTTAGCATAGTGCATGAAATTATATATGAATTAAGTAGTAAGAACGAATGGTACGTTGAACGATGACGTTATATAGCCGCTTATGGTAGCTCAAAGGAAAGAAGATAACGAGGTAACTGCCTAGGTAGCTTTTGAAGGGTTAGTTCAGGGGGGAAAAAGGACAAATCTCGGAGCGACGCTACGCTATGTACTACCTGAAAATGCGGAGGTTTAATGAGCACGTTTTGGGAAATAGCATAAATCGATCTGACCAATCATTGGCCTTAATCCAATTAGGCCATTGAGAAGTACGTACCTTAGTACCTACAATTTTTAAGTTTTTCCTTCACATGCTTAATGGCGTATTAATAAGATCTTAGACTTAAACCGATTCCAATTATTTCAACTACAGCACTCATCTCTCAGACTCACACAACCCTGAGACACATGGACTTTTGCGGAGTTTATATCTCTGTGTTACGACAACGAACCAATAGAGAGCTAAGAAACCCAATGGTCTGCAGGGGGTTTGCTATTTAAAATTACATTGTCCAGCCATAAGGCTATCCCAAGGTGCGGTGTAGATCCGACGTCACCGTCTCTCTTCCACAATAGGAAACCAGTCGTTCATACCTAGTCGAATATGTTGGAAATACTCACCGGGACGATTCGTTGTCACCAATACGAACGACGAAGGAATAGATACGCGCTCCTACGTAACGGTCCGAGTCCTTCGGCTATCTTAACTTAGACATTCATGGTGCGAGTGTCACAACGTCGTTTTGACTAACCAACCCGCGACATCATAAGGCGTCTAATTCTATATCTAAACCTGTGTTGCCATTTAATCGCTAACCACCTGCCAACATTATGCCGTTTCAATGCAAGAAGACTTGCGACGACGTATAAGATCGATGCTTTAATGGTGAGCTACGGCGGCTGTTGAGGCAAACAAGCAGCATGGTGGCGCCAATCCACCCAAGCAAAAAGCAGCTTTAGGGCTAGCGGTTCTATTTCGTCCTGCAGCAAGCCACCAGCCATCGGACAATAAATCAAATAATTAATTCTCTCGGCGGTCAACCTACCTATCAACTGCGTTACCTAGTTCGATAGGATGAAGATTTTGGCTTTCGCGGGATGACGATTGACATTATTCGTATCATTCGTCTCATGGGCAAATATACCTTAGCATGATCTGATTGACAGGCGAGTAAATGCAGAGATCAATTGAATTCCATTCCAAGCATTGGGGGTAGATAGGTCTAGTCAATGCCCCTCATCCGGATTTCCGCCCTCACCTCATCCAACGGTCTATACTGTTTGTCTTATAGCCAATGACCTTGCACAACTCGACGGTATCTGCCACCCATGGAGAAAGGACCCTTCTGACATTGACTCCTTACCCATGAACTATAGCTTCTATACTATTTGCGTATCCTGCGTATGCAGGTGTTCACCAACCCGGGGCAAGATAGGCATAATAGGCAGCTATGTGGACTATGTGGAGACAGTTCGTCCTCTGTTGACTCATTTTCCGCATTTAACAAGCATCCTAATGCAGGTCCTAAATCTAACAATGTTATAGTGCGATCCATTACTCGATACCTTCTGGACGGAATCTTCCTCGTCCTCTTTTTCTATAGGCCAAACCGGCTCTGAAGCCTAGCGGGGGATCCACAGTGATCCGACTGGGACAGCTGGGAGATCCGGATGTCAGATTACCGTACGCCTACGTTATGTCTCGTCGCTATCGTCACGTTACTGGGAAACTCAGCCATCTAATTTGCTCCTGCATAACACAATTGACAACTCACTGCTCGAGCGGCAGCAATTGGAAGTATTGGGACATTCCTCCGAATTGGTAGTACGGTAGTAAGCCAAATAGTTCGTTCGCTTGACGGAAATGGGGGGATGGGACATGCGCAATTCTGCAGGTCCGAATCCCTTTAAGCTGCAAGTAACCGTGTTATCTATTATATGTTTCGCTATAATCATATCAGAAAGAAGAAGGGAGGGTCGAAATACGACGATACCATGATTATTGTGGCCGTCACTGGAAGGAATTAAAAAGAAAATCAGAAGAAAAAAACTGATAGGTGCTCTATACCCGGTATGAATGGTACCTAACCCTAGAATAGATAATGGTGTCCGGTATCTTTGCTATGTTACATATCTACCTGCCAACCTTACGTATACATATAACGCCAACGATACAGATATCACTAATGATTATAGCCACTGCGGGGATAATCCTTGGTTTGTCTCCTTATGAAATCTTTTTGATGTCAGGTTATATAAGAATTCTGCTGCAAAAGTACGAGGTGTCTTACGCGCCGCTCGTCCACCTTAGCTTAGTCTCCTTGTCGGAAAGCTCACGCCCAATTGATGTTTTTTTAATTCATAATTCATGAGCGCTAGGTCATAATGCGGATACATCCTCGGCAGTGTTTTTTTTCTTTAGTGTTAACCTGCCTAAGTAATCGGTAGAGGGTTGTTGAATACATACATCTTCACCAAGTATAATTCTATGGTGCGTATTTGTACAATATAGACCTGGGCACATATCGCCTTATGCTCCTCTTGTTACACTTAGTACATATACTAGTTGGAAAAAAAAGAACCAATACTTGACCTAAATGCGATTCAATTTTAAGGGAAGAAAAAAGAAAGTAAAATAAAAAGTTATTACCAATTTAGTAACTCGCACATGCACAGGCCCGTACCTTACCTTGTAAACCACCTGTGGTGTCTAACCTGGTATGTACAATTTTGGTACAATTGTAATGTATGTAGGTAGCTCTTTACCTACTCTAAAAATTTACCCGACAAACCTAACCTTCCTTAAACTTGAAGGCACCCGCTTCTACCTGGAACCTTTACCCACTTACATCTTTCCTCACCACGACAACCACTTAGCTGCATGATTTCTTCTCTTTTCTCTCTCTTACACTTATACACTCTCTTCAGCTTCTAGACCAGCTACATATTAATGATTATTCTTATTACATATTTCCGAACCACCTTTCCTTATTGGTTCATGTTTGCTTCGACTTAAGAGAAAAAAAAGTTCCTGGCTTGGCTGACGATAAAAAAACGTTTCGATCCGTAGTTGTGCCTAAACTTGCAAACGACTTTCTTTTCATCCCTCGTGCTCACGCTTCGACCAACGACCTCTTTCTCCCCCTATAGTTATGATAATGTGCAATGATATACGAATCTGAAGAACTCCAGCACCACCAGCACCTACTCAAGGGAAGCAACCATCTTTTCGTACTAGTGACCGAGACTTTGCTATGAGTGGAGACCAACAGACCTCCAGGCAAGACAACCTTAGGATTCTCCCTTCTAACTTGTCTTGATACTGATACCTGGCCCGACTATAGCTTTGGTGATCCAAACGCTCAACCTCCTACCCCAAAGCAAACCCCGACCTCCGCCGTCTTCCCTAGTTCTGTCTTCGAAACCCCTAAGAACAACCGAGCTTCGTTTGACGAGTCCTCCGGCTGGACACCCCAGTTCGCCGAAGAATATTCCGTCTTCAATTCTACTCCTGGCAATTTGAAGGCCTCCCACGGTTCCTTTACCGACTTCTCCGTCTCTACGCCGTATCACTCCTTGGGTCACAAGAGACCCCTGTCTACCGATAGTATCGCTGCCGGAATTGCAACTCATGCTACTCATTTCTCGCCGAACCCGAACTTACCTCTACCGCCCGTTGATCCGTCCAGGCGGCTCCCCTCTTCTCCGGGACCTTTAGCGACCGGCCAAAGCCCGACCGAAACGGGCTTCCGACCCAGTTCACAACCACCTAAAAAGATCTGCCGAGACGCCGTGCAGGGAAGTAAGGCTCAGACGGCTACACCGCCGCCGTCTGCTCACAAGGGAAAACGGAGACTTGCACCGAAGCTGCAAACAGACAACATGCAGAATGATGGATTCGATCCGGAGTTCGTAACTAGTACGCCGCAGCAGCAACACATGGCCAACTTTATGACAACCCCAACCGATCTTTTTGGGTATCCAATGTCGGCGCCCGCGGCCGCTGGTGGCTTTGGGGATTCGCATACGTTTTGGGATCCTAATATGGATGGTATGGATCTTGACTTTACGACTGGCGGTGGAAATATGTTTCAAACTCCTGGTCATCGACCCATGAATTCTTTAGACTGGGGCAAGTCAAATGAAATCTTTCAAGAAACCGGTGCTGCCCCAACCCCGATTCAGGAGAATAGCCAACCAGCAAAGAAGGAACGGGCGCTTGCGCCAAAACCTCTCCCGCCAACATTGGATACGAGTGCCGCCGACACTTCTATGTTTAGCTCGTCTTTTCCTGCTTCGGCCGATGATTCCTTTGCTATGATGAACTCGGGCGGTGGCGTTGATCCTGGCCTTCTGTTCACTCGGCCGCCGTCTTCAGGCATGGAGCCTGCTCCGTTTGATCCCATGTCGCAACCTCCTTTAATGCAATCCTTTTCCCAACCTGAACCAGAACCCGTCATATTAACTGCAAAGGCGCCCAAACGTGCAGGAGTTCGTCGCTCGGCTAGTACTAGAGAGATGGACACTGGTAAGAAGGTGAATCGTGCCTCAGCAAGCTCGCCAGTTAAACCGTCGGACCGTCCTGGTCTATCGCGTAGCTTTAGTGAGAAGCTAAGCCGAAAACCCGTCGGTAAAACGGCCAGTCTCCCTAATCTCGCACCGGCCACACGGCCTATGTCACAGAACAGCGGAAGACCTGGAGCTCAGGGGTCCCGATCTAATGGGCGAGTATCACCCCTAAAGAACCATCACCATCGGCTCCCAAGTTTGAGCTCCATCCCCGAAATGCCAGTTCCTCGAACACAAACATCGGTGAAATTCACCATTGACTCGAGGGGTCGCGCTAGGGCGGAGACAACGACGGTCGTCATAGACGATGATGATTCGACACCCACAGCGATACGTCGTAGAGTGGATCCGCCCAGAAGAGAAAGAAGTTGGGCCTCTTCTGAGGATGACGATTCGTCGACAGACGACGAGCCCATCATTATTCCCAGTAGAAATTCGTCGTTCACATTACCGAACCCACGAAAACCGTCGGCAGCCTCTCTTCACTCTTCCCAACGAAGCGTTAGCGACCAGAGCGCGAGTAGTCTTGGGATCTATTATAATGAACCCGATCCAGTTGATAATGGTGCCGAGAGCGAGGCTGAGACGGTTATGAATGTGACGCCCGGTAGAAACCGCGGTGACGCAGCTAGTGAGCTACGTAAGGTTGTCGAGAGCCGCCAAAAGAGGAACCTGAACGTGAATGAAAGCTTCTCGGGGCGCCCAACATATAGTGGCAGTTCGACTGTAACACCCGCCTCCGCAAAGACCACCGATCTCCGTACCCCCTCAAGCAGCCGAGGCCACCAGATTCGATGCGTTTGCAACACAAATAATGGCCACAACAATGGCAATAATTATATGGTTCAATGGTATATCTACCTTTTCCTTGTCAAGTGTAGTTGGGGTCATCATGACTAATCCATATCATTGTAGCGAATCCTGTGAGATGTGGCTCCATGGCAAATGCATTAATATCAACCGCCAGACCCATCCTCGGGTCTATATCTGTGCGTTTTGCGCGAATACGCCGAACGCCCATGGAATGCGAGGCCGCGAAGTACGCAGGAGCACGGGAGGACCGAATCCTCGAGCGCCTATTACGTCTCCGCTAGCGCATAAATCTTTCAAGTCATTTAGGTGATGATGGGACTACTTAGCAAGCATGGCGAAGCAAAACCTAATGTGTGATACTTTCTGTCCATCCTGAATAGGGGTATATATGTGTCAATGGCGCTCACTGGGTATAGATGGGAATAGAGCAGTTTAGTCAGATCTAAGCTGGAGGACCTTCGCGTACACATGATACCCTGTCCTATACAGTTTACTTAGTAGACAAAGAACAGCAATGAGAGGCGCTTATTTATGAATTGTAAAATGAAGGGGGCTGGCGTTCCAGTACCGAGGTGCAGATATTTTATATTGTTTTTTTGTGACTGATCTACTACGTTCTTGCATATGCAGAGATGATGTGTATTATGGGGCTTACTGTTTACCTGGGTGTCCAGCCAAAGGTAAAATTGGTTAAACTATATGCGAAGCTATCGATGATATATTTAGACGCAAATGTTTATATGTAACAATTAAGGCAGGATCCTGCATTTACATGTGGAGGTTGTAATTGAAAGTTGAAGTTTTTGTTTATTGGTTGGACATTCGATGATGCCAATCAACATAGGTACTAACTTACTTATACCAACCATACATAATTGTGTAGTATTCAATACAGCTGGGCAACGACGACCCGAAGAATCAGATTGGGCAATATTTTCTGTCTAGATCGTGACTGCTAAATTCCGGACTCTTGCCGGTGTAACGCAACACCGAAGACAAAGAGCTACCTAGGTAAGGTACCAAGGGATGGTGGCGGCCGATCTCGGCACCGCGGGGTTCATTTCGGAGATCGTAGCAATTAGACGCGGGGCAGCTCCGGTCAACTTTTTCGTTTGTTTGCTAATTAATTCAAGGCAAGAACAACGAAGAGAACTAACTAATCTTTTCATTTCAATTTCAATACAAATAACTTTAACTTGCCTACCTCTAAACTCTATTGTTCTTTACAATTCAACTTGCAAATACTCTCAATTCATACAATTCCCCTGTCAATTGATTCTTAAAGATGGCAACCCATAACATTGTAGTCTTCGGCGGAGATCACAGCGGACCCGAGGTTGTCGCCGAGGCTGTCAAGGTACGTCACGAGACAAGCTCAAGTCTATACAGACAGAAATAAATAGTTCGATAGCTGTTACTACAATTATAAAGAAGGAACTGCTAATGTATCATTATTTGTTGCGTGCATATAGGTCATCAAAGCAGTCGAATCCTCCAGACCCTCCGCCGGCAAGTTCAACCTGCAGGAACACCTATTAGGCGGCGTACGTACTCCTAAGTCCGAGTTCTTCCCTCCCCTTTCCACTGCTTACTAGCTCCCGTCCTAGACGGAAGAGGAAACAACATTCTATCTATCTCCGAACCTATCCGAGCTTACCTCCGCTAACAAACCCACCTTCCCTCTAAACAGTGCTCCATCAACGCCCACGGCACCCCTCTAACCGACGCCGCCCTCGAAGCCGCCAAATCCGCCGATGCCGTCCTCCTCGGCGCAATCGGTGGTCCCGAATGGGGCACCGGCGCCGTGCGTCCGGAACAAGGTATCCTGAAGCTCCGCAAGGAAATGCAAACCTACGGTAACCTACGTCCGTGTTTCTTCCCCTCGGACTCGCTCGTCGACTACTCCCCCCTAAAATCCGAAGTCTGCCGTGGTACCAATTTTACCGTCGTTCGTGAATTGACTGGTGGTATATACTTTGGCGAGAGGAAGGAAGCAGATGGTAGTGGGAAGGAGAGTGAAGCGGCTTGGGATACGGAGTTATACTCTCGACCGGAGATTGAGAGGATTACGAGATTGGCGGCGCATTTGGCGCTTGCTAGTGACCCGCCCGCGCCGGTTTGGAGTCTGGATAAGGCGAATGTGCTTGCGTCGAGTCGGTTGTGGAGAAGGGTTGTTACCGAGACGATGCAGAAGGAGTTTCCCCAGTTGAAGTTGCAGCACCAGCTCATTGATAGCGCGGCTATGATTATGGTGAAGAATCCCCGTGGTTTGAATGGTGTGGTTGTGACTAGCAATTTGTTTGGCGATATTGTTAGTGATGAGGCGAGTGTTATCCCTGGAAGTATTGGGTTGAGTCCTAGTGCTAGTTTGAGTGGGATTCCGGATGGGAAGTCCAGGTGCAATGGTATCTATGAGCCTATTCACGGTAAGCGATTCCCCTCTTATTACCTGGTTTCTCGGTTTGCTAATAGCGTGGCATGTAGGCTCGGCACCTGATATCTCGGGTAAGGGTATCGTTAACCCTATCGGAACTATCCTTTCCGTCGCTATGATGTTCCGATACTCGCTTGCGTTGCCGAAGGAGGCTGATGCTATCGAGGCCGCGGTGAAGAACGTCATTGACGGTGGTGTCCGGACAAAGGACCTCGGTGGTGATGTCGGTACCAAGGAAGTCGGTGATGCTATCGTTGCGGAGTTGACAAAAATCCTTAAGCAGTAGATAGCTTCTCGCTTCGGGATACTAGGTACCTAGAAATCCTAGGGTGAGGCTAAGGGGTTAAAATGGCGTGGGTTAACTGGCTACGTTTGAGGAAAATCTGGTAGGGCATATAAAAAAGGTCCACACGAATGATCTCGCTATAGTGAGCAATTCAAATGAGAAATGATTTCCAAGTTTTTCATATTAAACCAGATGCGCACTGCGTTTTGCTATATGTGATGGCCTCAAGTAATCGTAGTTGATGGCAGGCAACCCAGCTACTCGCGAAGTCTAGGTCTCTCTATAGTTTGATTCCGTTTCTCATGGGTATAATCAGGTTTGCGGAAACTCCTAACCCTTCCATGCGCTGAGTGTCCTATCAAGTGCCTCACTCCTAAAAAAGACAACCAGAACGCCAATTCAGCATGCAATAAATCCGCTCCTATCCGATCGAACTCCGTAAGTCCCAAGCGTACTTCTGCTTAGACGCGCAGTCCAGTCATCCGCAAATTGGCAGTCCTTCTCTTGTCAACCACTTTTTGTATTCATTCATCCCATGCGACCAATCATCTCCTCGTACCCCTAGTATTAACAAGCACCTTCGCCGTATCCTCCCTAAGCTCCGGCATAGCGCGATCCATCTCCGCAGCCAACACATCACGAAACGACGCAAAAGCGCTCTGCTTCCCGCGCATTAACTGATTCCCACGTCGCACCAGCTCCACGAACTCACGCGTGTAGATATCGGGGTTACGTCCGTTATCCACGTATTGGATTAGCTCGGGAGGTACTTGTGGGAGCCCGGCTTGGGAGGAATCAGTGCTTGTGGCGCGGGTGTGGACGGCTTGGAGGTTGGCGGAGAGGGCGCGGAGTTCGGATGAGATTACGTCGCGCGAGGTCCGGCCGGAGGGGGAGGAGGTTGTGTTGGAGGGGGTTCCCGGGTTGGTGCTGGTTGCGTCGTAGTTGGTTACTTGGACCATTAGGTTCGTTAGGGTTTGGATTGTGTCTTTGAGTTGTTCTGTTGGGGGTGGGTTAGCTGTTTGTATAATATTGCTTGATTGAAGATGGAAGGGTGGCTTACGCTCAAGGGCATCGTGGTCTACGCGTGTCATGGGCGCCATGGTGGATATTTATTGTGGTCGAAGTTAGATATTTAGTGAAGAATGGCGCTCCAAAGTACGTGAGAGATGTTGTTCGATTTCTGAGCTTGAGATGCTCTGAAGATGTATATGGCAAATGGAAGTATGAAGCTAACGGTCGGCGAATTTGGAGGGGACCAGGGCGTTACGGTTATGGACCAATCAACAGCCCGAAATTTACCCCGGATTTCGTGCCCCGCTAAACGGACTGCTACAACGGATACGGTTGGTACGTACCTCAATCCGAAGATACGCGCTCAACCGTCACGAATGATTAGGGAAGCTACATATGTTCTCCAAATAGAGTACGTTATGTACCTGGGTATGTATAATGCTCGTATAATTGTTGCAGCCATATTCTACGATTGTTATCCGTAACAATTCTTTTTACACAACTCTCTTATCTAGCTTGAACTAGAAGAGAGCAAATAGTAGGGATATAACAATTACGGGAAATTTCGTAGTTATGTAATATATTCTCTACGAAACCCAGTATGCTACTCTTCCGTTAAGTGACCTTGCTATACATCTTATAACTCACATCGCCTGTACCTATCGCCTAGAAGTGATCAAATGCCTCTAGTAAACGCCACCATCTCGTGGGGGTTGAGATCTACTGGACGAGGCGTCAATATTTATTACGCAGTAATTAATGGTAATATTTTATGATGTATAGCAACGATACTGATAACACGTTGTTACACACCGGTCTGCACGGACACGGGATTAAACGCCTCTGAAGTATGTCTTATGTGACTCATCTTGTTACGCGTAGGATTGCTTATGCCTTGTCCCTTTGATACGTCCAACCTCCCTAATTCTCACAGAAAGTCCGGGTTCCTATATCGCCAGGGGCTGTAATGTCGATCTAGATGCACTAGATCGAAGGCGTTGGTTGACCCCCATCTTCTCCTGAAACAAATATTAAGCCATGCGCATGTATCAGAGAACCGTGGCAGGTATCAGCGAGATGTCTCTACCGAGCTAGGCCGTTTGTTTTTGGCTTGCTGAATTTCTCCAACTAGCCCTTACGGTTGTGTACTTTCTCATATTGAGAACTCTCACCGTTTGGCTTTGTTGATACGGTAATATATGATGTTCTATCTCTAGGACCTTAGCACAACTTGGGGCAGAGAGTAATTAGTTACTCCGGCGATATATTCATGCAATTTAATTAAAGTCCGGTCAACTCCCATTCCATACGATACATGGTGATTTTGGTGTGAGGAGAGATTGGCCAATTAGAAGGAGTGCCACATTCCAAATCGGGAAGCCTGACGTAATGGTAGCATCGCTATATTAGCTGCTTCATCATAGGTAGTTGTTGAATTGGGGTTTATGCTATACCAAGTGGGTGTCTATTCCGTGTTTTTGGCTGGGTTTGTTCAGTATAGGAGGCACCGGAGTACTGGATGTCGTACGAATAAGGAGAAAATCAAACATCGCCAACCAACTAAAGACATCCAATCGCCTAAGAATAACTCACCTGTTTGTTCAACTCATAATTCATTACAATCTAACAATACCCATTCTAAACCTTGCCTTCTACCTATACACTTTCAAATACTGCTAACTCTCTTCATAATAATCATGCTATCACTCCCGTGCCCTTCCACTCAAGAGCTTCTTGATCTCACTCTGCAAGCTCGACCTCTTCCTCACGGTCCTTAGATCCACCACCTCTCCAGTCCCGACAACAGTCTGTCCCGTGCCTTCCATACCTGGAGTACTCGCAACAATTGCTCCGCCCAGAGGCGACGGCGTACGATCCCGACTCAGTGCGTCTCGGACTGGCCTCCCGTCTCCTACCACTCTGCCCAACTTTCGACCAGGTACCGCGGTGCTTGGGCCTGGATTCAATATCTGCTTGGAACCGTATATGTTGAGGAATTCCTTGGACTGGGCTGGTGGTGTTCGTGTCCGATTCACGTATCGATGGAGATGAGCTGTAACCTGCTCGGCAAGCGGCGACGAAGGACGTCGGTGTAGACGCGCTTTCCATGATATTTCCTTCCTGTTGCTATTGTTGTTATCGTCGGGTTTCTCTTCATGTATGGTAAGAGGAGAGGGGCGACGGGGTGAATATGGCGAACGAATACGAGGGGGTAGTGATTCTCCTGGGATGGGTGAGATAGATGGCTCTTGTATTGCGGTTTTAGGGCTAGTTGCCAACGACTGTGCGATTCGCGAGGAGGGCCGCATAAGGGGTTCGTCGACGATAAAAGAAGGCCCCTTTAGGGGATTGATGGTGGTATCGGCAAAGCTACCGAGTTCTCCCCCTGGAGGCGTAGGATGACGTATGAAGGGTGGAACTGGCGTGGAGTCTGTCGGGCAGACGGTTTGAGATCTAGACATAGAACCAGGAGGGAAGTATTCGTCAAGAACGGAGTGAGGTTGAGGCCCATTTTGGCTACGTCCTCGCTGGTTTGGAAGCCATTGCATCCATGTAGGAATTGGTTTCGTAGGGCTTGGCTTGAAAGCTGCTTCGCCGAGAGGATCAAATATTGACACGTATATGGTAGAGTCTAGGGGAACAATGCAGCCCATATCATCTTTAGTCGATTCGCCTGAACCGCTTAGAGCGCCATCGTATGGGAGACGAGAGGTATTCGAAGTGCGTATCTGACCCTGAGTGAAATGTTGAGCATGGTTCGGGGGTGGTGATTTGCTCTATGCCTATTAGCCTTCGTCACGAATTCGATAGCAATGACTCCTCACTTGAATAGCTCTTGGCTTCGCAGTCGACACCCTTTTGATACCACCCACAGCCTTTACGCTAAACTTCCCATCTTTCCTCTCCCACCTCTTCCTCGCCATGCCCCCATCCGCTCTATCCACTCTCCTCAACGCACTCTGCACAACAGCCCCTTGATCTGCCGAATCAACATCATACTGCACCACACAATTAGCACAAGCCGGGACCTGATCAATCTCCTTCGCCGACGTCACCCCCTCCCCCTCCCCATCCTCCTCTTTACTCCCCCTACCAACACCAGCCTTCTTACCCCAATCATCATCCGCAAACAACAACCCCACCGTCGGCGCAGTAACCACCAATCTACTCCCACACATCAAACACCCATAACACCCCCGATGCCAAAAACACCATCCCAGACTCACGCACTCATCCCCACGGTACACAATCTCGCCGCATACCTAACAAATAGCTAGATCGATTAGCCCGCGGAAACATGAGTCGCAGGTGAGACGCGCGGAGCGGCCTAGGATGTGTGGAGGACCGCGGGAGAGGTGCCAGCAGAATGTGCAGGTGAAGAGTTGTTCGTGTTGTTGGTTGGATAGTTTACGTGGGATTTGGATTGAGGGCGGTGACATATCGGCTCTTGGGAGGATCGTGGGATATAAATGGAGGATATTTAGTGGATGCGGAATCGGTGGTGGGAGTTATTGGAAACAATGGTCTTGAAAAAACGAGTGGCGATTTTGACAATATTATAAAGGATTGCCTGATAAGTATGACATTAAAACGGAGTGATGAGTGTAATGTTAACTTAGGTACGAGTTAGGAAGTATGTCTCAACACTAGGATGGGGGATAAACTAGCAGCCATTCCTAGAATCGACCAGGGCCAGTTACTTAGCTGCGGATAGAAACTCAGACACAGTCACAAGGCAGCTACAACAAGCCACCGGGCCTCAGTCAAGTATTAACATTCACGGTTATTATGTAAGTACACCAACTGCAAGTAATCATGATCATCATTAGCCCTAGAACCTATGTACCTTCCGAATTATATCGGTCGAAACCCAACCAACACCTCTTATTCAGGAGAGAACCACCAAGCCTCCTATGACGTTTCCGAATTTTCTTATTGGTACATGACCGTTCGTAACTCCTTATGCAGTGCGGAAATCAATTAATGCGAATGGGGTCACACCAGCGAGGTGCTCCCAAAAAGAAACGGGTACACTGCACTAGTGTAAACCTGTAGAAATCTCAAGTCTTTTGAGATGAAAACCTATTGCGCCGTCATGCCTCTGCCAACAATCTAGATGCAGACGCCATGTGCTCCAAACAACGAATAAGCAGGAGTCGTTCCATCGAGCAAAAAATCGAAACGCGTTCTCTTATGCCGATCGTAGGGCAATCGACCGCCTGAGGGTGTCGTTGATTACTTCCTAACCTTAGGTCGAGCGAGCATGTTGAGTCTGCTCATGCTAAGGCCTCCCTTCTTCTTCTTTTGAGGGCTAGGAGTGCCATTAATAGCAGTACCTGCTTTCTTGGCGGGGGAGTCTAGTTTCATGAGTCGAGGCGCAACGAGGGCATGTCCCTCAACGGTCGGATTCTTGCGCAACTTCTTCGCAGTACGCTTGTTAGCCTCGTCCTCTTCCTCTTCATCCCAACTAGCTCTATGTCTCTTCTTGTTGGTCATTCCGTGGGGAATACCAGATCCAGGTGCTGGAGGGTTGTTCTCTTTGTTAGGAGATGCATCAGACGGCCGCGGGAAACTACCAGGCATTCGGCTCGTTGGTAAAATTGATTCGCGAATGTGACGAAGACTGGCTTGGCCAGCAGCACCGCCAAATCCCTTAGGGGAGGAACTGTCAAAACGGATCGTGTGGTCGCTACGGAATGTGAAAGTACCAGGGACCGACGCAGGGAATTGGTCTTTGCTGGGTTTCTCTGGCTCCTCGCTTACATCGCGGCAATAGGCCGAGAGATCAGGATACGCCACTTCATCCTTAGTGGCCTCTTCACCCGCAGGCTTGTTGATAGCGGTAATACCAAGGTTAAGTTGAGAAACGGTCTTCGATCGTGGTATGCTTGACTTGACGGGCGATGGAGAGTTCAATAACTGCGTGGCCCGCTTAGCCATGGGGGTGAAATTCATACGTCGCTCAACCTTCCGTCCGGGTGTGGTAAGTGGAGCAGAAGGCAGCTCCTCATCGATGCTCTCGTGAAGGGTGGTCTTGGAGGGAGACGCGGTAAGCTGAGGAATGCTAGACTTCGACTTGGATCCGCTAATCTGTCGCTTCAAGATCGACTTGACTCTATCAAATCGACCGGGTGTTTCAACATGACCGGGAATCTTATTCACACTTAGGTTGCTAGTGGTCATAGACTTCTTCAGGTTGCTAAAGCTTGTCTTGCTCGAGGTTCTAGTTAGGCCGAGTTCTGGTTTGCTTGGGGATTTGGCAAGACCGGAAAGATCAGGCTTGCTAGAAGATTTAACCAATGTGACAGTAGGAGTCTTGGTGCTGCTTGCGCGCGCGATCGATGACTTAGTCGGGGTCATAAGGTTGGCAAGAGCTTGCGAGCGGGGAATGTTACTTTGCATTGAATCATTGCCGCTGCTCTTGGGTCGAGGAAGAAAGCTTCCATCTCGAGAAACGGGGCGCAGGGAAGAAACATCGTCGCCAAGGCCCTGCTTGACACGCTTAACAGGAGACTCGGTTTCCTCCTGTTGTTTCGTAGAAGATGTAGGCACTGGGCGGGTAGAAGATTTCTTGGATCGTATAGACTCGGGCTCATCAAGGTTGGCCTTCGACTGTGTTCTTTTGAGGTTCTTCACAGGCGTTTGGCGACTAGGGGCAGCGCGGAAGGCTGAAGGATGATTCTCAATAGAATCCATCTTCTTAAACTCGGCCATATGGACGGCGCTAAAGCGACCGGCTCTTCCCTTGGCCTGGCGAATCTTGCGCCCGTCGCCAGATGTACCGTCTTCCAACTTCTCTTGCTCGCGCTGAGCTCTAAGCTCCGCCTTGATCTTCTCGGCATCTCCATGGTTGCGCAGTTCATCCATCATCGATTTAGCGGCAGGGCTCAGTCCTTTATCACCATCATCCCCGAGCCTGGTATAGCGGAAGGTAAAGTCTGTAGACGGCATTTTGATTTGATAAGGGGTTTTAGAAGGGGTAGATTGGGTCACGCCATTAGCTTGGTCTTTGGTGTAGTCAATATCGACAAAGCCAAGCTTAAGACCAGATGAGGGCGCGGCAGTAGTGGGGTGAACTTTGCTAGGATGCATTTCTGACATCGGCAGCTTAACCGGCGTGGCTACAGCTGGTGTTGCAGGGTGAGGCATCGGAGAAGAGGCAAGAGTGTCGAGACGTTGTGCGGATTGCCCTCCGAATGCTGGGGAACCTTCATCTTGTTCGACGACGGATCCCAATCGGGGCGCTGGTGAAGCAGTAACCGTCTATCATCGAAGCGCATGTTAGTATGGGGGGATCTTGTGTCGGGTTGTGTATGCGATGCATCGCGGCACTCGAGGCGGTGTAGAAAATAAGATGGGTCGGGATTGTGTTTACTTACCTTCGAAGAACTCGCGATGCGAGCTGAGCGACGCGCCATGGTCGGATGATATCGTATAAACTTCAGTACGGATTAGATTAGATGGTGATGCTTGAGTAGATTATCTTTCAAGCAAGAGCAAGGTGGGCTATGGAGCCAATATGTCGGTGTTTTAATGTGATGATGAAATTAAAGGGAGTTGTGGGGAGAGAAGGGACAGAACTGACATCAGAATTGTTTACTTGAGCGAAAGTCAACAAATTCTTTATTTAGCGAAGATTAGCACCTGGTCTGATTCGCGTACTGGCCAGTTTATATGGAGACATGATAATTCTAGCCATTTTGGTGGTCTGTGCTTAGGGTTCCAGTGACGTATCCCGTACTTACCCAGCAACTAAAAGCTTCATGCAAACTCTATTACACTGTGCTGTGCAACATATGACATAACTAGCGAATTATCCCTTGGGTAATGACCTTTTTATGGTATGTTTATCAAACATTATCAAACCATAGCAACGAGAGTTTATCTCACGATGTCCTGATTTATAGTTTAGGTAAGGTCTAATCACGTGGGGGTGTGTTCTGGGTTCCGGCCTTTTTACTATGCATAAAATTATGCAGCTTCGGCAAGGGACGTTCATGTTACACCTATCCCATTTCGTCGCTAATCAATTGAAAATGGCGGTTTAGTCTCCGACAACTGCCCCAGGATCTCTCCCATATCCATTTACCACTAACGAATCAATCATACCCCTAGACCGACCCAGAACCCTCATTCCCATGCCATACTCCTGCAGAGTGGTCGTTGGTGCCTGTGCACCAAATCGAGATAATTGTCCTCGACGGATAGGTCCCGGTGCTGAAGCGCGATCGCGATAAACTATCATCGGAATTCCGACATGGCGAGGCCGGAACTTGCGGACATCATAGACATTTCAACCCTTTGTTGAACTTGGTCTGAGTCTACAATTAGGGTATCAGGTTTTAATAGAATATTTTATCAATTAACTGCCATAGCCAATCATCATTGCCAATTCTATCAGTTTTTAGGTCGTTGTCCAGGTGAAGTCAACCGTGCGGATCATGCAATGCAGCAGGGAATTCGGGGTAGCAATTGAAGTTGTCTTTACGCCCTTCACAACGTCACCAACACGCCCAATAGGACGCCTTTAATGAGTCAATTCACCCACCCCAGCAGCATCATATGGTTGAACTTTGATAACTAGACATTTACTGATGCTGACATATACGATATATAAAGTGTAGTTTAAAAATATAAAAGGCTTCGAAGCCGCATATCATGATGTATTCTAGCATAGGCACAAGTCGTTCCCCTGTACTATATTTAATTTCATAGGCTCAGCACAAGCGATCATCTTACCTTGGGAGTTTTCCATGATGGCAGACATCAAACCGTATACGATCGCGGTCGATGACCAGCGCTTAAAAGATTTAAAAACTCGGTTATCTCTTGCCAAATTCCCTGATGAACTTGACGACTCTGGTTGGGACAGTAAGTACAGACCTAACTCCCTAGCCCTAGATCGGCCTCTCTTACTTTTCAGAAACTTCGCGACGAGCTTGGTATTTTGTTGGATTTATGAAAATCTTGTTGATAACTACCATGTATCGCGATCACTGACTGTTGCTATTATAGTGGGGTCCCCTCTTGCCGACGTCAAGAGATTGTCAAAATATTGGTTAGAGACATACGACTGGAGAAAAGCAGAAAAGGAACTGAATAAACTGCCGCACTTCGTCACTGATATTCAATGTGATGGGTTTGAGCCTCTAGCGATCCATTTCATTCATGTTCGTAGTGAGGTCAAGGGTGCTATCCCGTTACTTTTCATCCACGGCTGGCCAGGTCACTTTGAGGAGGTTCTGAAGGTCTTAAGACCCCTCACTGAAGGTGGTGATGGGGTCAAATATCCAGCATTCGATGTCGTCGCGCCGTCATTGCCGAACTTTGGCTTTTCCGAGGGCCCCAAGAAGCGAGGCTTTGCTTTGGAGCAGTACGCCGAAACCGTGAATAAGCTCATGTTGAAACTAGGATACAACGAATACGTCACACAGGGGGGTATGCGACTTGCACTCGCTGATACTTCTCATGTACATGCTAACATGAACATGAAGGTGATTGGGGTTGGGGTATTAGCAGAACACTCGCGCATCTCTTCTCCAAGCATTGCAAAGCGACACATCTCAACATGGATTCCGCCAATCCACCTGAATTCCTCAAAAACCCACTCCTTGCTATACAACATGCTCTGACACCATACAACGCCCGAGAGAAACACGGTGTCACTCGTTGTGCATGGTTTGATAAAGAAGGGAGAGGCTACAACTGTATGTAACCCGGACTGTGCATTTTCTTGCTTCATTTTTATCGGAGTTCTTCGGAATTGTTATCACTAATGTATTATTGCAGTAGAACAATGCACAAAACCTCAGACGATCGGATATGCGCTTGCGGATAGTCCAGTGGCTCTTCTAGGCTGGATTTACGAGAAGCTTCATGACTGGACGGACTCGTACCCCTGGACTGACGACGAAGTCTGTACTTGGATTAGTATATATTGGTTCAGCACGGCAGGGCCTGCCGCCAGCTCACGGATTTATTACGAGTCGAACCACAATGTCGATGGTCGGATGGATAAGATGGACAAGGAGAGAATGAGGACCTGGTCACCGGGCGTCAAGCTTGGTTTCAGCCACTTCCCTATGGATATCTATGTCTTGCCTAGCACGTGGGTGCGGACATTGGGCAATGTGGTTTTCGAAAAGGAGCACGATGGTGGTGGCCACTTCGCCACCTGGGAACGACCTGACGATATTGTCACCGACGTCAGGGAGATGTTTGGAAAGGGTGGGGGTGCCTTTGGTGTTGTAAAGGGGGCCACGGGATATACTTCGTAACTGGCTAGCTGACTTGATGTTGCATGAAGTTGCTATTTGAGACTTGGCGCTAGGTTTCTCAGCTGGATTTAGTTCATTGTTGGTTGGCAAGTTGTGAGATGATCATCGGTTAACATCAACAATTCTAGGATAGTTTAAAGACAGTTACACGTATAGTCATTTAAGGATTGTTAAGCTAAAGTTATAGTGATATGATGAGTTGATGAATAAAACAAGGAAGAGCACTCATGGTAAGTTAGTATATCTTATTTGAGTATGAATTAATTACGTAGCCGCCATAATAAACCATTTTAATAACTATTCTGAGCCAGCATGTTGGAAGACCTAAAGTCCTCATTGAAGGTTAGTGCTCATTTCTCCGTGGGGGAATCCTAATGCCTGTCAAGGGATGAGGTTTAAAATGCTAATACGTTAAATCGGTTCTTCCGTAGTGTAATTAAATCTTTTATATCTCGTCTATATTTTGTCTCATACTGGTCTACTATAACCACTACATAATAGACCTATAAGAAGAATCGTATGTTACGAATAAATGATCTATCACAACTATGGATATATGAACCTCGAGAAGACTTAATAATATCGTCTAATTGGGTACTCTCACATGCGCAAGGGTTAATGCGTCCATCCCCGAACCAGCTCTCTGGGCGTGGGGGTAATTGGTTCCCAGCAACGTAGTTGATGATCTGATAACGTTAATTCGACAAAACTTGAAACTAATTCCAACTTTTCCGGAGAAATGCACGTTTATGATCATCGGTGTGCTAAATCCGAGCTGTGACATCGTACAGCATCAATATTATCCAGAGGATTACTTCTGAGGATGCGTGCGCGAATTACTGAGACTCGAACTTATGTCGAATTTGAGCATCTCCGAAATGACGATACGTTGTTCTCCGGCCATTTTCCATAATAAAGTAAGGCTGTCTCAGCTTGGAGTATTGGTAGAAAAAAGCCACAATCCTCGAACGACGTCAGCGAGACGAGACAATTAAGAGTAGTAAGTGCTTAGTATTTAGAGAGTGTCTCAGTCAGAAAACTTCGTTTCCGTAGGGCTGGGACAGAACAGCGAAATCGGCGACTAACGAGCGGCGGATTTTTGAGCTTACCCCGGTGCATCTGTGTGACATTTTAATGCGCCAGTTCCAAGCTAAGAATTTTATAGCTTGGCAGACAGAGACGACGATCTAGAAGCGCACTAGAAGCTTTCTAGAAGGTGTCAGTCTGACGCTTCAAAAATGTGGTGTGGCCAATGGAAATTTCATGATGTTGAAAAGACCATTTCTAATTTTCAGTAATCAATCAACTAACAAATGAATTTTAGGTAGGCGAAGAATAAGAGCCGTTTTTGAAGCCGTGTATAAATAAAATCTGCCGGCAGCGGTTGAAGCTCATATTTTGTTAGGATAAAAAGCGAACGATCCCTATTCTTGAATTGAGAAAACGGTAGAAGGGGACCATGTACCTACATTTTCGAAGTACATATGTACTTACTTGTACGTACCGTTATTCGATTCGAAAGCTTTCTTTTTTCTGACTTAAAAAGCTAAGCTAATGGAGGTGGTAGGTGCGCTCAACTTCCTTGTCCTTGGCTCGAGAAAAATTCCTAATGCGGAATTGGCCGCCTTGGAAAAGAATCTCATTGGTCCGCAATTCGCCTGGACCTACCCAGCCCAAGCTTATTCTCCACCTTTTCTTCCATTTAGTCTTCTAGAACCCCTGTTCTCCTCGGAGATGCGAGCATACAAATTACATAGAATCGATCTTCGTTCCCCCACATTTCTACCGTCCCTCTTTATTTCTCGAGGAGAAAAGGGTTAATGATCTGTTCTGTGCTCGCCAAAAATTGTACCAGGGTTCGCATCCTAAAATGTCTGCCGACCTACGCGCGGTGCTACGCTCTGAGCTGTACTTGGTAATTTACCTGCGAAAGTATCCAAGTATCCAACCACGCCGCCTCACTTCAATGCTGGATACTACGTAATGCCCTGCGTTTCTTCGGAACACCACAGCTTTGCGCGTTCATACTAACGTAGGTGTGAAGCCTACGGCAAGATCAGACTATCAGCCTTATAGTTATGCAAATAGAGCAGGAAGGAGACGTCAACTCGGTTGTTCCAGGGTCCGAATGAGCCCCGTCACAGATCAGTGTGTAGGAACAGGCTAGCTTAGCTTATTTCGTGGAGGTCTCAAGTCTCCAAAGCTTCACATTCGACCCTGTGTTCGCTGTGGGAGTACCTACCCGCCGGATTCTCAGCCTTCTCATTGTTCGATGCAAGATGGGATTAGAAGCGTGTTGCTGACGAATCGGCAGGGGAAACGAACACGGAAAGCACATTTAGATGCTCAGGTGACTAAGAAGAAAAAATTCTAGTTAAAGCGGAGCCACCAGATGCTCTGTGAAGAAATTCTAGATATGGCTAACTCTTCTAGTCATTGGCTCTGATGTCTTGGTACCACTTGTCGACAGGCCGCTCTCGGCTTACAGAACGACATCCTTGGCCTCCTCCACCGGGGTCACCGACATTTTCACAACACTCGTGATGTTCAAATTGACTACAATATTATCCTCATCTGCTGTTATTGGCGATTCATCCACGATTTTGCTCATAGTTCAGCTGCTTGGATGCCAGCCATCGGCGCAAATTATTACACGAACTCGGTTCAGAAACCAAGCGGCAGAGGCTTATTGGGGTACTTCGTGTCATTCATCGATCTCAATAAGCTTCTCGCAGCACGTCTCACCTGTCAGCTTATCCTCTCTTGCCATGATGTAGTATTGCAGACTCTTTCCCCAGATTCCCAGACAATTTATGCAAGTAGCCCGGGACATAACGATAGCTATTACATATGTACGCCATCAGGGGTTTTGAGATACTTGCCTCTGCTCGGTAACTGTTTTGAGCTGCGAGAATAATTTTCAGTGAGGCTATGTTAAAGACAACCCAGCGCGAAGCTTGCATCTCCGCAACAGCCAACCCTCGAAGTATGCTCTCAAGAGCCAAGACCGCGTAAGCCATCGTACAAGAGACAGACGAATCTTACATGGTTACCAGGTCTGAATATGACGTTGAATATGTACGTATTCCCATTCCCCCTTTAGCTGGGATTATCATAAGCTACCCATGTAACTAGCTATAAGGTATCATTTATATCGTCAGGGAGATAGATCTATTAGATTTGCGAGTGTGATAGGTTCGTAACGATTAATAAACCTGCTGACTTATGCGTTCCTAGTTGTCTTGTCTGCTTGTTCATAGTATCAAGGGTATTGGTGTATGATTGACCCGTCCCATCATGGACTTACTTTTTGGTATAATACGTATTTCAATATTACTAACTACTTGTACTATTGAGTTAGTAGAGGAGCTATCCAATAGAAACTAAGTCTTTAAACTCTGTCGCCTCTATTTCATCAATCTCATATGCCGAACAATTAAAAGAACCCACTCTCTCAAAGACAGGGGCGGTAATCTTCTTACCACGTAGATGGTTAGATTTGAGCTGAAAGAACCCGGTGACTAAAAGAGTTAACAGGCAAATAGAATAGCATTCGTTCATGGATGTTAGAAAAAAAAAAAGCAGTACATAGGCAAAACCAATCAAGCCACTCGGATATTGACTTGCGGACCGGGTCGACTAGGTATCGGAAGGGTCCGATTTAGGTCCACACTTTAAGGTACTTCGTACTTTCAAGTTTCCTCGTCCCGTTTCAAAACCGTGAAACTGGGATGCTCGTAATATTTGCATGAGGTGACTTGACCGAAAGTACCTATACATATTTGCCTTAGCTCGTCCGTTAGTTAGTACGGAGTACCTTGTACTTAAAATGACAGGCATTCATCCCACCTGCACTTAGCTGCTAGAGCTCGAGCTCACCTACCAAGCTAAGTACCTCGTACCTTCCTACGGGAGCACCACCTAGCACCACAGCACCAGCAGAGTGGGCGAAACCCGGCCTCGCTCTTGAATGAAAAAGCTACCACTACCCTCATCCACTACAACTTTCTTACTGCCTACTGCCTGCTGCCCGCTGTTCGCTGTTCGCTGTCCGCTTGCCCACTGCCTAACTTCCAAGGTTGCTACCATACTGTTCTCCACTTGGATCAACTTTTCTATTTCTACTTTCGATAGTCCGGCAGTAATCTGAAGAGAAAATTATCTTGACATATCTGCATATTTATACAATTTATTCTTGTATTGCCTGTTTTGCCGCAGTTTAATAGTCGTGGACCATTAGGCGGCCTTCTGTTTGAACGACCCGGTTACATAGTGGAGGCTTACACCCGTTTTCTCTTGACGGTCCAGTCTCTAATACATACCTCGATACGTCTAGTCTCAGTAGTACAGTGGGATTCGTCTAGCCGCACACTATCCTCTCGACGCTTGCGCTCTGTCCCGCAGCACCTACAGCACCTACTGCATTATACCTACCTACTTTACGGATCTTGGGTTGTATTGGCGTCGTACTGGACTGGGAGTGGACTGCAGTGCTATACTCAAGGCAGCACAAGCTTTCTTTCCATAAATCGCCTAGAGCGTACACCCCCCGGAGGTGACCCAAACATCCCAATCCAACACTTGCCTTCACTAATCTAAAAGGTCCTGTCGTGTTCTTGACCAGGGGGTTACGTGGGTAGCACATTGAGTTTTAACAGTACCGACACGGCACGCATGACGACTAAATAGGAGCAGTCCTAACTGGAAAACTCGCCGACCATTGGACCATTTGGACCTAAGTGACGGTAATAAGTCCTCCATCAACCATCAGACGACTAGCTCTTTGCTAGTAAGACTCCCGTACGGTAGGGGAAAAAGAGGAAAAGAAAAAAAAAAAGTCTTCCCACCTTCCAAGAGTTTTGGTGTGCCTCTTTTGCCATCTCAGCTGGATCTCCTCTAAACCGGGTAGGCCACCGAAGCCAGCCAACCCAGTCGTCTTCCGATTTCAATTACATAAAACCAAGCGACGATTTCTTCTTACCTTTACTTCACCACAATTTGTCACCCCTCTATACTACTCGTTATCCTTGTGTATCCTTACTGTTACTCTACCCTAACTGCTTCCCTTAGAGCCGCCTGGATCGTCCTTATCTGTTTAAATTTTGTCAGAGATTCATATCCCCATCTGTCGGATCCCGTTTCCCCGGATTATGTACTGATTAGCGCTGCATGCGCGCGCCTCACTGCCGAACGACGTTGCTTTACTTTTCCCTTTCTCAGGAAGTTCGGCAATATCTTAGGAGCCACACATACTAAACAATATACGACATCTACCCCCCCGAGAAGCTACGGGTACTTACACCAGACAAGCTTACTAGGGAAGACTAGCCACCAATATCCTTAGGGAATTTTCTTTGCCAACAACGACGTCGTCTGAGAGGCGTTTGCCGCCGAGCGGCAATCGTCTCCTTTACTTGATATTGTCATGTCAGACAAGATGTCTATCGACAAGAAAGACCATTCGAAAGACGATTCCGACGAGTCCATTGGTTCAAGTCCTGAAAATGAGCCTGGCCCATCGGTCCCACCAGAAAACCAACCGGCAAAACGCAAAGGAGGGCGTAAACCTGTAAGTTTATTCATACATGACATTCTGTCTATGCTCGTAGTCCATTTCGTCCGATGTCAGTGGCTGGTTACTGTACCTAAGGCGTAATGGATGTTAGAGTCAGCTTGTAGGCTGACTGAGAAACGAAGATCTATGCCACTTCAGAGGAGCGGAAGCAAAGAAACCGCCAGGCGCAAGCCGCATTTAGAGAACGTCGAACAGAATACATCAAGCAGCTCGAGGAAACCATCAAGGCTCATGAGTCGAACTTGGCAAGCCTACAAGCTGCTCACCGCAGTGCCGCGGACGAATGCTTAATGCTCCGATACAAGAACTCCTTGCTTGAACGAATCCTCCTTGAAAAAGGTAATTCCTTAACACGCCAGTTACTTACAAATAACACGGACTCATGCTATCTAGGTATTGACGTACAAGCTGAGCTTCATGCCAAAACTGGCAGTCCAAACCTTGGTCCAACTCATATGCCCCAGAACATGGTGCAACCACCACCGATGCCGCGAGCAATCCTCAACAGACATCATCATTCGCGCAGGTCTGGTTCTAGTATCGCGCCGAAGCTCGAGCCGGGCATCACCTCCCTACCTCAACCTGGGGGTGTGCAACAGTCTATAGCGTCACCAAAGAACCGGCCAACACCTCCTTCCCACGCTGCGTCTCCTACTAACCCTACGCCATCTTTTGGCACACAAGCAACAGCCTCCCCTGCTTCCTCAGAGCATACGAACCTGCGTACGACGATTCCCCCACCTATGAAGCCGCAATTAGCGCCGATGCCTGGAATGGCGGTCGCAGCGCGGCAACAGATGATGCAGCAACATGCTGCTGGTTCTAGGGCGCAGGCATTCTATCCGACGTCGTCGTTTCAGAATCATTTCCAACAACTCGGCAAGCTGACCCGTTCCTTCTGTGTCTAATAGAACTCTGGCGTCCTAGGATTAACCCGTGAGTACAGAACAAGAGTACGACGCGCCGACCGATATGATGGACGAACCGGAACCGGACACGCCGGGTCCAGGTCCATACCCTTCGACTTTTCAAGTTCCACAACAGCATAGTATGTCTATGCAACCAGCGACGACAGGGGCGCCAGGTCAGCCATCAATGGCTGCTGGAGGGCAGGGTAATCAAGCGCAAAGCCAGACGCAAGGTCAAGGATATCCGAGTATGACCCAACTGCTAGACCCCGCTTTAGACTGGGATCCGTTTGGTCTCAGTGCATCAATGGCCTTTCCGACGCAGTTTTCCTTCGACACGAGCAACATGAGGTAGTGTAAATTACGAGATGGGATATTCGCGAAAGGCTTCGAAAACTAGGCAAGGGGAAGGGGAAGGAGAAGGGGGGCGAGGAGATATTAACGAGCCAATACAGGTTATACTGACGGTAGTGGGAGGTACAGCAAACTGACCGAGACTACAAAATTACGTCTGGCAGCTATTGGTATCGGATAGGACGGAGTTTCGCGCGAGATGATGGCGGTGGTCGAGACCAGCAAAGAGGATGAGCATTATATTCCGGGAAGATTTATTGCGAAGCATTCAATAGGAAGGCAACCGGCATTATACCCAAGGCAGGCGGTCGACTTTCGGTCTCGGTGACCTTGATATATCGAGTTACTACGTCAATTGCGGCATTTCGGCGGGCGAAGGAAAAGTTATTGATTTGGTACGACAATTCATTCAGACGACTATACTACGGGTATGCGGGATTCAAATGTCTATGACGATGGGCGTTTAGGGAGTTAAAAAGCCTTGATGTTTGGGTCTACGGGCCCTGACAGTACTCGAGACTGAGGAAGCGCGGTTCGACGGCCTTTAGAAAGGCGGCACGATTCTTTCTCGCCTCGAAGCGTACTCCAACTTTACATGAGCATACGATATAAAGAAACGAATTACCCCGTATATACCCGTATATATATTGTTGGTATGTGAAGGTGTGTTATATGTATCCGCGCATTGCGATTGCAAGTTTGCGGTTATTACACGTTCCCTTGCGTTGGTTACTAAGCTCCTCTCGATCTTGTATATACCGCGAAACGAATAGGAAGACATCCGAGCGAAGGAGTTGTGATGTAGGACAATAAAATAACATTTTGACGATTTATCACATGAAGTTGGTATCTACCTAGGTACGCTTCGTTGGAATGGTTTCAGGGACCGATCCGATATTTCCTCGGGGTCGGGATTTCATACGTAAGGCAGCTGGGCATGATCGCAAATGACGTTGGATTGACGAAATAAGATGATAACATGCATTAGTTGATTGTTGGTATTTTATCCTCAGTTTCACGACAGGGCCTGGCAAATGAATCCTGGGCGTTCTCCCCCTCTTCATTTCTTGGGCCTTGCATACTATCACGGGCATTTAAGAAACCACGAGATGGGTAATCTGTTGGTCGAACGAATTTTTTTGCGTGGTCCGTAATGTGCCGTTTGAATATTTTATCAAAGACGCACCAACTAATCCCGGGCAAGCAACCGAGGGGTATATCCGCAATCGGAGGCGGGTTTCTCCAAAAACCCCCAAGTACCCAAAAGTATTTTATTTCAAAACGGTTTGTTCCCTTTTACGGTATTTAGTCCGCCCACCCTAAAAGTACAGTACTTTGAGGTCCTATGTACACATGTACATACCCTACCTGTACGTACTCACATAAAAGTAGGAGGAACATTGAACGAAACGAAGGCGCAATGCATCTGAGGGGAAAAGAAGGAGGGGTTGCTGTATGATCGATCCACTGCAACGCTTGGGACTACCAAGGCAGGAAGTTCCGCGTGCACTGTTCGTAGGATGATTAAAGGGTCAGAGCGGTCGATTCCGTTCGTATGTGCCGCTTGTGCCGGTCGGTTGTCGGTCAGCTTTTCTCGGAGACCTAGATCAGATTAGATGGTACTATTGGTCCGAACTAGCAGGCACCTTGGTCAAGGATTCCCTCATTTCCTCTCCTAGGCTAGAGCGGTCTTCGTGGGTCACTACTCGCTATCGTGGGGGTTCGTAGTAGGCTCGACCTTTTAGACTAGTTCGGCTAGAGGAATCATCACGAGGGACCATCATCAAATCCCGAATGGGATCAACCCCGAAGAGTATTGTCTCGCTCGCAATGAAAATCGGGCCTTAGCGAAAAAAAAGGATACCAAGAGGTGTACCGTATACCGTTTTTGTGGTGGGTTCACAAGAGAATGTTGCCAAGAAAAAAAAAAAAAAAAAAAGAAAGGATTAAGTTGTTCGGTGGGGTTGGTGGTTCGGTGAAAGTGCGGTGGCTGGTCGGTCGGTCCTGGTGGATTCTATGATTGTTACACCGCGTATGAAGAACGAGAAGGCGGAGTCGAGTTCGTCGTTCGTACCTTCCTTATTGTTGTAAAGTTTCAAAGTGGAGTCATCGGCCATCACAGCTTATGCCACTTATGCCACTTTGTCCATCATCAATCCATCAATCCACCATCCAACTCATCCACTATCCACCATTCATCCTGTCCATCACAACACAACAACAAGCATCAAAAGGTCCCTAAGCCTTGCCCAGCCTAAAACCCCTTATCCGATACTACTACTATAGCATCCGATATTGAGACCCGCACAGGTTCTAGGCAGGTAGGCTGGCAAGGCATGACAAGGTCGAGATCCATCCTAGGTCAATCTTCCCGCATGAAAGAGATTGGCCGCCAAGTGGTTCCAGAGAGTGTCCCCTGCAACAGGTGGGATATGTCGCGTGATACCAAACAATTGCATTTCTTGCCCCGGAAAGAGTCCAACACGAAAAGATGCGACCCATGTTCCCGTCTCCTTAGCTATGCATCCTTTTGCTGACCCGGATAGAAATGGAACTTGTGTATGTGTGTGGGTGACGACGCCTGGAACATCGAGATCGTCAACGTTGAAGATTGTCGGGCGACATGATCATTCATCCTTCTTGGTAGATCCTCTTCAGTAATGTTGTAAAATAATATTGACCTGTCCGAAAAGCACGGTGACCGTGGCCATTAAGAGTCGACGGAATTCTGTCTCCGGGTCCCCTTTCCGTCCTGTGCGACCCATCCCTCAATCTTTTGACTCGCCCCTCTCATCGTTGGGTTGTACTGCTTCATTTCTCCAATTCTTCATTCCCAACCGATCCGATGGCATCTCGGGTTTGGCCCCCTATGTCGCTGTGTAAAGCCCTCGTCCTAGGCTACAGTTGGTTATGGGTCTCTTTCCGTTGGGCTCGAGACCTCGTATAACCGATGGGTAGTTTGCTCCATAAGAGTAAAGTCATATAGGTTTGACTCTCATATCAAACGCAGCAAGTTTGATTTATGACAAACATCTCACTCGAGGCACGGCACAAGATCATTTAGGTCTCAAGCAGCTCAGAACATCGGCATCTTGTCGACATCCGAAGGATGATAGCCAAGTATAATAAGGAAAGGACAATTGGTTGTCACGACTATAAGGGACACTTGTCCTAGTCACGGTTCGAATAAAAGAAAAAGAAAGACAAAAAGGAATTGACGCATCATAAATGCCCTTTTTTTCCTTACTGCAAATTGATATAGTAGATCTAAAGCAAGCCAAGTGGGAATGCTGACAGATCTCCTTAACAACATGCACTGTTTTTCTTCAGCAGAAGAACTGGCGAAAGTTCCCAAGGATGGCCGACGAACTAATAAGAAATAGGGAAAACGTTCTCAGGTTCTCTGAGATTCCGTCGCAGAGTATTTATTTGGATGGGTGGTGACCTGTGGCTGGCTTATCTCTGGCGTCCGTGTATTGTCGGTATGATAGGTGAACCAGAGATAAGGAAGCCATTATTAACAGAATCAAAATCCCTCCCACGATACCCCACGATCTAACGTGTTACGAGGTATCTTTTTTTCTATTTACAGACGTCTACAGACGTAGCGACGCCTCTCCCGCCGTCTTGTCTTGCAAATAACGTCATTCCGCTACCCGAATGCCGTGGTCAAAAATGGTCGAAAAGAAAACCAGTTACCTAAAGGTTAAGTAAGACATAGCTCTTAGTCCCTGCCCGAGGCTGGGTACCAACATATGAACCCCGTCTATTTTCTACTAAGGAGCCTATCAAGTCCTTTCTATTAGGACTCGTTTTGCGGTGTCGATCGCTCGTGCTTGCGGACCCTGCGTGCCTGCGTGCTTTTCCCCTGCGGTCTGCCGATGTTCTCGTTCGCCTACGGGAATTGCAATATATCTCTCCTAAATCACGGCATATTGCCGCCTGGTCGTCGACAAAATTCCCACTTTTGGGGCCGAGTACAAACAATACACATAATCTTGGAAGATATACTCAGAGTGGCATAGAGTGGTAGCTGTACGACGGGTGTCCTTAATTTTTGATAACCGAATACCACGCTCCCGTCGTCGGTTCCAACAGCGCTTCTTATCTCCGCCTCCTATCTTTATCCAAGTATGGCTCGTACCAGCGTTCGAGTCCCATATGCTTTGTCATGATATCTCGTCTCCTTATCTTAAATTTCCACACCGCCGTATTCCTTCGTCATCCTATCCAACAGATTGATATTATTTTTAGGTATTCGAATTGGGGGTCAGGATTGATAACCATCTTCTTCGGATCTTCTTAAATACCATGATTCTCTTATCATGAGAGGTATCTCATCGTTCTTGTCATGTTCTATAAGTCTAGTCGACTGCCCATATAGGTACCTCTTTCTAAGCATGGTATCGCGTTTTGTCGACTTAACCCGAATCTCATGACGCTTCACCTCTATGGATGGTATGTGCTATATCTACCTATGGGTCAAATCATCAAGTGGCGATGTCTCAATCTATGTTATCTAATAAACAGATACGACATAACAGTCTCGAGTGCTTCTATTTGAAACGCACACAATTTCACGCCCTTCTGATAAGACCTCGGCTACTAGACCTGGCTGGTACCAGAATATTTATACCGGGCCTTGTCCAAATATCTTCACCTTCCTAGCTGATCTTGCTATGCCTTAGTCAAACACCCAGATACTGAGGTAAATAGGACACTGTACGCTCTAAGAGACTTATTGAGACAGATAGGCAGCGGGACTCATGGGTTTCTCAGTTCCTAATCATTGGCCTCACATTTCTATGCAGAGGAAAAGTCAATATAAGAAGTCGTATCAAGAAGGACAGCTGCCTATGGCTACAACCACGTGTACCTAGGTACTTAGATTTGCCCGTCGCATAGGAAAATGGTAGGATTACCTGGGATTCATATTTTCTACTCATATACGCACTATACCGTTTTTAAGGCGATGGAGAACTTGTCACATACGAATTTTGAACACCCGTGAATATCGTGTAACATAGACGTAGCAACCATTAGATAAGATTGTCGACTGAATAGCATCAATAAATAGACAGAATGACGCCAGATTGTTCTGAAAGAGGAAGTACGATAACGATATAATACTAATAATGATATCGAATTGGTTTCAAGGCACGGTTTTAGGAACCGGATCCAATGAGAACCCATGTTACAGTCGTGACGATTTGTCACAGGTAGGTGGATTCGATAGGGACCTCGGGACCCGATAACTGACGATAAAGCTCATGATATACCTAGGTAACCTTGGTGGAAAAGAGGTACCCATCGAACCCGCCGCCGCATGGTCCAAGTTGAAGTAAGATGTAAGCAATGCCGTCAGGAAGGTACGATCATCTAAGTACATATGCGGGTGATGCAAGTGATGCAATTGTGGGATCCGGGGAGAAACCTTGGCTGACTGGATCGTGACATAAGCTGGAGAGCTACCCCTACGCAAATCCCATTGCTGTTGGAACGGAATTTGGTAACGACGTTGAAGATTTAACTGGCTAGATAGTACTTAAAATAAATATGTAGGTAGGTGCGCGTAGAAGGTAGTTGTAGGATCAGAGTAACATTAATTGCTTTCACCTAACCCATAGAATTTACTCAATTCGAAAGTGACATGTAAGGTGGGAGACACTTACGTCAATATATGCAGGTAGCAGGATTGCCGGGTAATGGCATACATTCCAGACGCTAATTGGGAAGCTAATGGAATCTCGAACCCTACCTCTAAGCAGGCAGTCGCTGAGTCATCGACGCACTAAAAGCTTCCAATTGCGTAGTAAAAATTCAAGTGAATAAATTTTCCCGTTCCGCCTAAGCGAGTCTGGGCGTCACTGCGCAAGGGCTACAGGGCTACAAGGAAGCAAAAAAAAAAAAGAGTTAGGTGGTTTTTAGCGCCAAGGGAAACTTTGTTCCACCTCACAAAACAAGCCCACACTAGGCCTGTCTTTCCTGCTCTCTCTCACACACACACGCACATTACCAGCACCACCACTTTCTTAAACCTAACCTAACCTAATCAACATCCCCATCATCGACGAGGATATTGACGAGATATTTTGAGATTGAGGATATGACCTGCTAGGCCATATCCTTTTACCCCCTCGTTGCATTCTCTCCTATTGATCCGATTGTCGTTTCCAAAGCTCCGCCTTGCTGAAAGGCGAATAAATCGGCGACATCATGTCGGTCGCCTCGAAGGTACGTTACTAATTTAATCTGGACATCGCCAATTTATTTGCTTCTTCCTCAACCAACTTGCGATCATTATTGTCATAAGATAGTATTTGTCTACATACACAAATTTATTTGCGCTTTCTTCAATAATGTAAAGCTAATTATCAACTCGAATAGAACATTTTCGACGCCCTCGGTATGACCTCCCCGTGTCGCCTATCCGCGGTGAAAATTTTGCAACGCCGAAACCGCTGTTTGCTAATTTTAATCATCAATTGACAGGTAACGATGTCGAAGGAGACGAAGCGCCGTCCGGCCCTGTGAAGACGGTCGACAAGACCACGATGCGATCTACTAAGCGCAACGTCGAGCCCCAAGCCCCCGCAAAGCCTGCTACCAACACCGGAGCTCGTCGTCCTGGTCCTGGAGGCAACGAGGGAGGTAAGTCATATATGCATATAGCGGGGTTTGATTCCAAGCTATGTTTTCGAATTTTCGCTTCTTATTGTGGGATTATCGTACTAATTAATCCCCTCCAATTAGCTTTCCGCGACCGCAATGCTGGTGCTGCAAACAACCACCGCAAGCCCACTGACGAGGCTTCGCGAGGCGGTCCCCGAGGTGGCCGTGACGCCCGTGTACGGGGAGGTAAGACTCCAAATTTTGAACGGTTATTCGATAAGAGCACATGCTAATTAAACGACCTAGGCCGTGGCGGTCGACACCCTCGTGACCGTGATGACAGGCATACTAAGGGACCTGCAAGGTTAGCTCTTCAAAGGCATCTCTTCATTGACATATTCTAATTATTCTACTAGTGGATCCGAGAAGCAAGCTGCCCAATCCTGGGGTGCTACTGAAGGCGATGCCGAGCAGAAGGATGAGCAGGCTGGAGAAGAGATCGCTCAGTCAGAATTGAAGGACTCCACTGCTGAAGATGCCCAAGAGGCACCCGCTACCCCAGCTGAGCCCGAGGACAAGCATGTTTCCTACGCCGACTACCTCGCCCAACAGGCTGAGAGGAAGCTCGCTCTTGCCGAGAACCTTGACATTCGCAAGGCTAACGAGGGCAGCAAACTCGATAAGAAGTGGGCCAACGCTAAGGCCCTGACCAAGGACGACGACGATAACTACGTCGCCGGTTCCGGCGGTAAGGTCAAGCGCGAGCGTGAGCGTAAGGCTAAGCAACTGGTTGACATTGACCAACGATATGTTGAGCCTGAACGTCCCCGAGGCGGACGGGGTGGACGTGGTGGCGGACGTGGCGGCGCCCCCCGAGGTGAAGGTCGTGAGGGCCGTGGTCGCGGCGGTGGACGTGGCCGAGGTGAGGGACGTGGTGAAGGACGTGGTGAGTTCCGTGGTAACCGCGGAGGTGCCCGTGATAACGCCTCATTCGCTCTCAACTCCGACGCCTTCCCTAGCCTGGGCGCTTAGGTTCACAACCTATTTTACGAGACTTGCACTAGAAAGTACATCACGTCTATTACGCAGGTTAGGTTTTCCACGGTCTAGGTATTCTCAGGGGATCCGACATAGCCAATATGGCTGCATTAGTCGGGCGTTCGCGGCCTTCTAGCTATGAACGAACATCCTGAGTAGCAGATGATTTTTTTTACTATTCCGAATTAACAAAAGTTTCTTCTATGTTCCGAACAATGTTTTGTGTGATACAAATAATCGTCCAGTGTGGTTATATCGGTCTATACAGCGATTATCGACATGGTTTACATTGGTAGATGTCTTGGCCGCTTTTCGATTGCATCCCCCTTCGTTCCTATTTGTGCTTACGGTGATTTCTTACAAACTTGTACTAGCTCTTCCATCGCAACTGAAAACACGATACCTACCTAGGTAGGTAGCAAGGGAGGTATTGTGCTGAGTAAGCTCTTTACTTTAAACCAACGTCGAACGATACCCCCCTATCTCCTTTTCTTTGTACATGAGTTTTTTTTTCAAAGCTATTGTATTCCTAACAATGCCTCTGTTCGAAGACAATAGAATGGTTCGTGAACTATCATCATGTTCTCAGCAATTTCTCCGCATATATCAAGGTGTCCCGATCCCAGTTATTCCGTCAGAAGCATCATCCGATATTCTACCATATATCAAATACTCATTAGTATCACCTATTATTCTTACATTCTATTTTTCAAGCTTACGTATTCTTAACAGTTTGATACCTTCGGTTCGTATCTCAACTTTACTTAAGGCACAATGTCTTCCAACAAGGGCAACAACTCCGACTTGAGCGACTCCTGGGTCGACCTAGGTGCCAAGGATAAGGAGGTGAGTAAGACGTCGAATGCTGGCGCTAACACCGCAGCTAGCGACAAGAAGGGTCTCAGCGACTCAGACGAATGGGTTCACGTCAAGGACCCTATGGACGGCATTAACTTCAAGCCAACGTTCAAGAGCCACCGCGACACCATGGCTTCCCTTGGTGCTCGTATCTCCCCGTCTTCCTCCGAGGCTGGGAACGATAAGGGTAAGTCCGATTCATCCTCTGAGGAGATGGCCACCTTGCCTTCCGCGCGTGACCGTTACCTTCGGCGTAACGCAATGACTTCCATGGCTGAGTTAGATCGTGTTAGGACACTAGCTCTTACCCCCGAGCCGGAGAACGAGGAGATGAAGGGTACTACTGGCCAGACTTCCGCGTACGCCCCTAAGGGTACGAGGACTGGGTTAAGGAACGGTTGGCTGTCCCGGCTCCTGCTCAGACGGCGTTCCAGGCTTCCCCGTTTGTCCCCCAGGGTACGCCTGAGAAGGTTCATGGTGAGGATAGCGAGGATCAGGACTGGGAGATGGTAGGTAAGCCTGAGACTCGTGATGGGGAGGAGAAGGAGCAGGAGGAGTGGGTCCCTAAGACTCGTGATTAAATGGAGGCTTTGTGGCGTTTTTTGTGCTATACACCGTTTCGTCTAGCCTTCGGGTTTCCCCCATCTACTTGCTAGATGGGTTTTCCGTCCTGTCTACTGTTTTCATGACTTTTGAGTCTTAGTCTCTCGTTTGCTTTTTCTCGTTTTTGTTATGTTGTGAATTACTTGGGGTTCGTAACACTCGATCTTTTCCTACTTTCCTCTCCTCCCAAAACTTCGCCCCCTGGTAGACCACTTTCATAGCGGAGTGCTAGGCCTTGTAAGCTGTTAAGTATTTAAGGTAACAACTGCTTTACTGGTGCGATATCGTGGCCATGGGGTTGATGGAGGGTTTAATTTCCTATTGTAGTCAAGCTTAGAAAAAAATTGAAAATAAAAAAAAAAGTAAATGAGTTATACTTATGCCGGTGAAGCTACACAGTGATCCCCGTCATGGATTTGTCCAGAGGTTGATTAGTAAGATGCTGACGATGATAAGACAGCCCACGGAGAAAATTGTCCAAAACTTGGCATAGCCAGCCACCTCATGCAGGCTGGCTATGATTGTCCAATTGGTGATAGTGGCTATACACCTTCCCCTTCCTGTAATATTGCTTTCACCACCGTTCCACAGCTGCGATATACCTTCAGCTGGTTCTACTTTATGAACTGGTCGCTCGAAAAATTGCCTACATGAAAAGAGAAGAACAATGCAACTCTAAACCCGCATCCTTAATCAAATGTTTTCGAAGTTGAAGGTACCGGATTTAAAACTGAAGGGCCGAGCTGCAAGCACAGCTACTCCTATAACTTCGCAGATAATACCTCAACCAGGTCTCTCTGAATTTCAAGTCTCTGGCGCATCAAATCCAAATATCGAGTAAGCTCACCCATATTAATGTGTACTGCGTTACACTAACAGCTTTGCAGTATCGTTTTTGTTCATGGGTTAAACGGCAGTAGCGCAGAAACATGGAAGCACCATGATACGGGCTTTTGGTGGCCGGAACAACTCGGAAATGACTTACCAGACGCGCACATCCTTCTTTTCAATTATGATACTTTCTTCGACCCTACTTTAAGAGGGACCAATCTTATTCGAATCCCCGACATAGCCCGCAACCTCTGCTACCAACTTTCCGAGAACCGTTTCGAGAATGGAGCCAAGCGCAGGCCTCTTGTTATGATAGGACACAGCCTTGGCGGATTAATTATAAAAAAGGTGGCGCCTAGATACTCACCGATTGGGAAATGGGTTCTGAAATGCTAAACAATGAACAGGCGCTAATAGAGTGCAATGAAGATCTCACGCCCGAGCCCGAAGATATCCTATGGTCGACAATCTCTATTTTGCTTTTCGGCACCCCGAATGCCGGAAGTTTCGCTAGTGACCAGAAGAGAGTACAGATTGTCAAATGGATAGGCGAATCAGTTGGGTATCAAGTGCCACCAAGAATCTTCGAGGCTTTAAGAGCTCACTCCCTTGAATTATACGAACTATCTGCGTCTTTTCAAAGGCTAAAGATATGGAATACCCCAATGGATGCCAACCCCTCTATGCTGACTTTCTACGAGACCGTAACCCAAGATAAACTTGGTATTCAAGTATGTATTACAGTCCCCATTAATGATTCCACCCGCCAATATACTATCTAGGTTGTCGACGAAACGTCCGCGAAGGTTGGCGTAAGGGGTGAGAAGGCTCGTGGCGTACAAGCAAATCATACTCAGATGGTGAGGTTCTATAACGAGAATGATCCAACGTACAAATCTGTAAGGGCGTCTATTATAATGGCTCTAGAACGCCCAACACCAACCACGAGTATGTACTCTACATTACACAATAGCTACCCATTTTCTCATGCAACGAACAATCTTCTAATGGTGTCAAAAACAGCTGGAAACGAAATCCGCTCTCGTCCAACCAATGCAGCTTTTACATTTTCACCTGTTGCGCCACATCCAGCAATAGTATCCTCAGCCATATTTAGACAGCAATCAAGCCACCTAGCTACTGATGAAAGCGGCTTTACGGGTACGCAAATCACATAGCAAGTGCGCATCTTACGTAGCGACCGCCTATTTAACTTATTCTAGGCCATGATCTGCATATAACTATCCCCGGAGCTCGAGGCAATCAAATAGTCCATGTTGACCATGGAATACCCCGGGAGGAAAAAAACTTCATGGGGCGGCAAGAAATCCTAGACAGCATGGACAGAAGCTTCGTCCTATATTACAAGGAGGGTCTAGAAAGCCTCACATAATTGGTGTTCTTGGACTCGGTGGAGTTGGGAAGACACAGCTTGCCTTGAGATACTTTCGCGATGCAACGAGCCGCCAAGTTGATCCCTACACAACGGCTTTCTGGCTGGATGCTTCTTCAGATACCGCCATACAAGCAGAAATTTCTAGAAGTAGGTATTTAATTGGCCCTCAAAACCGTCGCCTTGCCGTCCCCGAGACTGAGCAACCTGCCAGGGTTATCTTGTCTCGGGTCATGGATACTTTAGAAGCTTGGACCAAACCATACTTATTGATTTTCGATAACGTTGAGTTCAGTGGCATCCTAGATTACGTTCCAAGGGCGGGTCCGGCGGCAATCGTCATAACTTCTCGAATATTACAACACGATTCCAATGTCCTTGACACCCAGGTTCTACTTCGTGACCTTCCCCTAGACACAGCAATACCTCTTCTATTACATTTACTTGGGTTTAATGACCCTCGGGACCATAGATACAAGAATAGCATTTCAGAGGCAAAGAACGTGGTTCAACGCCTTGGAGCATTGCCTCTAACTATTCATGCGGTAGCATCGTATATGAAGGCACAACACTTGACTGGGCATATGTCCCAGTTCCTACAGCAGTATGAGCAAAAGAAGCTCTATATGCTCCGCAAATCTTCTCATTCATGGGGCTATGCTAGAAAAAACCAAGATGGTATGTATAGATCATGTTGTATTCATACTTTTACCCCTATTGTTGTCCCTTGACTAGTCATCTTAATAAAATACGAAGAGGCTTCATTTGGTTCCCCTTTAAGAATGCAGGGGATTTAACATTTCTAACATTCATCCTTTGGCACATATAGTTTTTACCACCTGGGAACTGTCGCTCCAGGCCCTCAGATCCGACGAGCTAAGCCGAGAGAGGATGTCTCATTTTCTCGCTGTATGCTCTTTTCTCAGTCCCCGCCGTATCTCATGTGTGCTTTTCGAGCAACATTATCGGCGTCGCGTTTTAGAGAAGTGTATATGTTGTCCACTACACAATTATTGGATGAGGATGTTCCTTGATGCTAAAGGCAAATTTGATAGATCTCGCTTTCGCGAGGTTGTCGTCGAACTTGAGGCCATTTCTCTTGTAGAGTCATGTTCAGTGGACTCTTTCGGCTTTGTTTCTTTTTCCCTGCACCCTCTGGTAAGAGATTGGGCTATGGTGAGACCGGGCTGCTGCCATGGGCAAATACACTTTGCCGAAGCGCTCGCCTGCTTGGCCGCAACTTATGATACGTCTGGTTCTTTAGACAGTATCTTGTAGCCCGCATACCTTTTTGGCGGAGTCACCCAGCTGGTGGAAGGCACTAGCCCCGAGACACGGAGAAAGATACAAAGAATGACCCTCGAGCTGCGCGCTCATCGTGATATTTGCTTGAAGAACCTTGGTGGATATAATTGGGATCCTGAGTACCTGGAAACCCTAGAGCCGAATCTACGAAAGGAAAAGGACTGGCTACTACGTTCAATCAATACGCTATGCCATTATTCCATTGGAAAAGACGTGAACCTCGAGCAGATTAAAGGATTATTCATATGGGTTGACGACAGGGTCTGGCCTATTTCGGGACATAAATAACCAACATCTCCACGAAATACTCTTTGGTGCCTTTAGTGGTTCACTTGGCGGCCTTCTTGGAAATATTGAGCCTCATATTCAAAAAGGGTGTGATTTTTGGTTCAGTAACCATAACGATGCCAACGTCACATACGACGAACTGCTCCTGACGTTCTTAAGGGTAAAGTGGTTGGAGGCATTAAATGAACGGGGAAAATTCTTACACAACCCTCCATATCTAGCAGAGCTAGTAAGAACCGCGAAAGAAAATCGGCCCATGTCAATAATTAACACTTGGAAGGATTGGGATAAATACCAACAGGACCAAGCACGTCGCCCTAGAGACTACAGAAGACATATCGAGGGGTTATGGTATCTATCACTTCCGCAGCTTGCGAGGATTTACCGACATGATATCCAATCACTTCATGACAACTACACGGAAGAGTACGAAATGGTTATGGCGTGGTTCGGCGGCCAGTGGTTGCCCACAAGTATCAAGATCTACACGGATATTTACGGGGATAACGGGTGGGCGACTTGCTTGTTTATCCGTGGTTTACGGCGGCTAGCAGGTCTACGGTATGAGCTAGGCCGTTTCGATGATGTGCTCAAGACTATTAGCTTCTACGATATATTCACAGCGGAACGTGACTGGCGCTTTACTCGTAGCATGAACACGGTTGCATTTTGGGACATGAAAAATTGGGATGACGCTGCGGCCACCACAGAGGAATTTTTATCTCGTTTCGAGAAATATGATAAACGCGATATTCCCACGTGTTCTCTGAGGCTCGTCGATGGCTATCTGAATGCGACACCACCAGAAAAAACGCGTGCCAAGGCACTTTTGTCGGGTATCGTACAAGGTATGGCGACACTAGACGGTCCACTTTCTGAATATGATATAGACATCAGAAGGCAGATCATCTCAGCATATTGCGTGTTAGAATCATTCGACGAAGCATATGGAATGGCGAGTCAATTGCTGCAGTACGTATGGGGCAGCGATATCGTTTCTCGCAACCTGCATCGGATTGAGGAGACTACTGGGCTTGTGATACTTGAAACGTACCATCGGGATGAGCGATTAGGCGGGCATTCCAAGGAGCAACGTCTCGAGTTACTCAAGCGCCTAATGGAATCGTTGCTCATTTGGTGGGAAAGGTCGACGCCCGAAACAGGTCTCCTATCCCGCGTAATCGAATTCTACGTGATACGGGAAGCATGGGATGAAGCACACTAGATAATAACACAATATCTACAACTCGCCCACTGCCATGAATGCTGCCAAGAGCGATGCGTTTTTGACGATACCCATATAAATATACGTCACCACTTAGCTGACTTACTTCGCGTGTATGGAACGATAGGTTCTTGCCCTATAAAGGAATATCAAATGCTTTTCAATAAAATCCTTGAAATATTTCGGGCACTCAATGACATGCAGGAATTCGTGTTTTGGTGCCTTTCAGCAATATCTGTTTATACTATTGGGGGTAAACTGGGCCTTGCAGAAATACATTACGATTGGCTCTATACATCAGATAACAGGAACGCGGACATTGTCCGCTTCCACGGTATGATCATAAAATTCGGACTCGGAAAGTGGCAGGATGCAGACGAAATCTTGATTGACTGTCTAAACGAAGCCACGCCTGGCATGTCGGGCGATACCTACGTACAAGGGTCGCGACCGCATACACGGAACCTACCACAACTCTTTGCTATAAACGACCAAATATTTAAACACGTCGAAGTTGTCTACCTAGCAATAGATTTCGTGGGAAAATTCGAGGAGCTGGAAGATTCATTCGACCCCTCTTCATGGTTATGGTCACTTCATCTGACTATCTTAACATCTGCCATCAAATATAGCTCTAATTGTCAAATATGCTCTTCTATACTTGGAACTCTGTTAGCGTCTACATTCGAAGCCGTAGGCGATATAAACAGGTCGAAGCAATGGACCCTGCGGAGCTTCCTAGATCTCATGGGCTTTGAAGACGGGCGGATACCACATGACCACAGTTTTGTCGACAACTACGGTGGTCTTATCTTCAATTCTATTTTGAGGCATAGAGGGATAGATAATAGAGGTGATGATGATTTACAGGATGATGACTTAAGTGAAGACACGGAAACCGTTGTGAACAATGATTTTGCGCGCCCTGAAGTGTGGAGTTTCGGTGAAGCGGATGGAGGTATTGAGCTTACGCCCAGCTTACCCGATGTACATGATTACACTTCCACGTATCACAGGTATACTTTTTTATTTTCTCACGGATACTGGGACAGGGGGGTTTGATTGAACCATTCCTTTATTCGTGCGTTAACAGCGATAAACCTGAGACATTTTTAATGTGGATGGCGAAGGGTAGCGGCACCGCGGATCTAAGCCCCGGAAGGGTTATGTGGCGTTTGTTTCCTTATCTAACCATCGGATTCCCCTACCTGCTTGTCCTGTCTTCTGTTCTTCTCAGTTCGTTTCTAATCCTACTTCATTATGGAACCAACTTGGTTGCCAACACTTGTCGAGAGTCTCGTGAGCATCATTGAACTTGTAGACAGTTGAGCTCGATGGATAGTTCAAGCAATAAGAGCAATAAGGTGCGGGTTAGGAAGACGACTTAAATAACATCGTCATTGTCTCGAGCCTTTTCAGAAATGCACTCTTGCGTTAAGGCTCCGAGGCTTAGCTGGCAACGCCACCATCGCTGGCCGCCACTGACCAAATGCCATATTACTCCGGCCGCCGATATTCGACAGTTTCGAGTTTCCCCCCTTCCTTTCTACCTAGGCATATCGCCTTTGGTATAAGACTGACCATTCCTTTTCTTCAATATTTACCGATGGGATAGTAAATGTTATGTCGCGACCCACGAGCGATCATTCTATCGAAAGATCATAAAACCTTAAGAACCAGACGACTCGAAATCCGTTCTAAATACCCAGCCAACTATTATCTGATTCATTACTCTTTCAGTGTGGTCTCATAACCCATGCTTTGAACACCGCGGTGGCTATATTTGGGATGTCAGAGTCAATGATAGGATGGCAGGCCGGACCAACAGAACGCGGTACCCTCACTCTGGTTTATAGTTGCCTAATCACCATGTTCACTTGTACCTGGTCGGTTCTGCACCTCAATGTCCCTGAGCTCGACGATGGGCCGTGGAAAGTGGCTGGGCGAAAAGCGAAATGGATGGCGATTACTATCCTATTCCCCGAATTCATCTTTGCTAAGGCAATTTGCGACCTGCGTGAGCTTGGAAATGAAATGGTTGAATTAGAAAAGAAGGACCCGAAAAGTTTCGCGTGGACTGATGCATATGACGACTATGATCACACCTATAGCTGGCGGGTGGATTATGGCCCTCGAGCGAAACTCCTCTATCGGATTCTAGGGCTCGTCGAGCCAACAATTGGCGAAGAAAAGCCCGTTAAGACGATACTAGAGCGCCGGTCCCTTCAAGCCCCAGACAAATCATCATACCACTCGCGTCAAGTTTGGACAATAACACATGCCTACTTTGCCAATATGGGTGGCTTGTTATATCCAGCATACCGGTCACCGGAGTGGGTCGCTGCGGTCGGTAGCGGTAACTATTTATATTATCGAGCGCTTTCGGGTTCCATCCTTAGCCATCGTAATGAGTGGGATAGGGGCCATCCGCTACATGGTTTAGTCCTTGGAAAAAGAGATATAGAAGATAAAAGCAAAGTAGATTGGCTCCTCAGGTGTCTTACTGTCTTGCAGGTTGCATGGCTTGTCTTAACAGTTCTCGTTCGGGGTGTGGAGGGCCTTCCAGTTACTCAGCTAGAAATTGCCACTATGGCATTCTCCATACTTGCAATCGCCACATATGGAGCTAATTGGTGGAAACCAAAAGACGTCTCGCGACCAATACTCATAAGGAAGCCGAGCAATATGATTCCTAAAGAAATGATGCATGACCCCGCCCGGAGCTTAACATTGCGCTTAACGAACCTGGGGATGACGCAAGACGATGCTGTACAGATCAGTGAACAATATCGTGTCCCAAATGACGTTACTCAAATGGAAGAAGGCGTACCGTTGATTTTCAGTATAATGGCAGTCTCCTCAGTTGTATTCGGGGGCCTACACCTCATCGCGTGGGATTTCGAGTTCCCGTCACATGCAGAACTCATCCTATGGAGAGCCAGCAGCCTCACTTCCACAATACTTCCCCTAATTTCGCTAGGGTTGGACCTTCATCTGAACTATTTAGTGACTACCTATACGAACAATAAGGTAGCATCCTCTTTCTTAAAGATGTTAAAGCCCCTAGATGGATTCCCAGTAGACTTCTGGAATACATTGAAGAACCCTATTTGGGATTCCTGGGATGACACCAGGAAATTGGTTACTCGGGCTCGGTCATCTAAATGTCAAGGTGCTAGAATTTTGGGACGAATTTGAAGATTACATTTGTGGGAATCTCGAGGTTTCTGACGACTCGCTCCCTCAAATTAAGGTTGTTCGCCATATCAACGATAAAATAAACTGCTTGCAAAAAAAGTTGCAAGGACTCATGATTCGGAGGGACGTTTATGCTCGAAATTCTCGATTTCTTATGATCAGCACCAGCATAATCTACACTGTCTCCCGTCTGATTATCCTTGTACTTTTATTTACTTCCCTTATGTCTGTTCCAGAAGGTGTCTACGAAAATACCCCTTAGACTCGGTTCCTCCCTAGCTTTTCCTAATTTGTTATATCGGGATTTTCCCGCTTGATTGTTGCGTGTATTCTAGCTTAACTAGGGTTAACTGAAGGGGAAGGGGAAGGATTTTAGGGGGTTCAGTATCTGGTCTTGCTTTGTATTGCTAGAAATTATTGATTGCGTTGTTAACATCACTAATGCTCGATAGGATTTTCTTAATTATTGAATGGGCGTGCGGCTTATCATAGGGGCTCTTTATTTTCTTTAAGATCTTAATTTACTTGGATCTTTTGTGCAAGTTCTTACTGTGACATATTCGAGGCAATTCATCATGGGACGTTAAAGAGAGTAATGGAGTAAAGGTGTTCACATCTGTCATATCGCCGACATCATAGTCGGGTCTGAATCAAGGCCATACCAGTCAGATTTCTTATTTAAAGCAAAGGGTATCATTGTAGTTTTTATCTAAACCGTTCGTCCAATCATGCGTTCATACCATCCAACGCCGGATCAATCAAGCCCTCCAACTGGCTAGGCTGATCAATGAGTCGACTCATCTCAGCTTCATCGTGAATCCACTCATCATCGAGTCCTCCTTGTTCCAAAGCGCCCTCATTAGCATCATCAGCGCCAACCCAGAACTTGCCATTTCCCTCGCCACCCCAATGCATCGTCATCGTCTGGTCCAACGCCTCGAACTCATCCTGTGTCATCGGGTCACGCTCCATTATTGCCTGTTCGAATCGATTCTGGCGGATGTGTTCGCTATCCAAGTGAGCCTCAAGCTCGCCATTATGGACGAACTTAGCAGTGCAGCCCTTAACTGTACAGCGAAGTGTCTTTCTGGTCTTACCTTTGACACCTGTAAGCTCCTGTAGGGGGTCGGTCGGCGGTTGCGGCTTAGGCTTCGGTGGTCCCTGGGGAGGCTCTGGACGTTCGTGCTTCAAGTGAACATAACGAACGTGGTTCTCCAAGCCAGCCTTGCTTGCGAAACTCTCGCCACAGCCCTCTTGCATCGACCAAGACGCCAACTCAGCTACACCACTAACATCGACGGAACCACAGACAAAGCGCACGCCTTCGTGGAAGCTGCGGATATGTGCGTTCAGGTTCGACTTCTTAGTGAACGTCTTCGTACAGTCCGGCCAGGTGCAAGCAACCGTCTTTCGCTCCTCCAGACTCTTAGTTCTCGTGTGCTCTGACTCGATATGCTGCTCAAGTTCCGATCGGCCGTTGCACTTAAAACCGCAGAACATGCAGCTAGCATGGCATTGCTTTATGTGAGCGTGTAGGAGAGCTATTGTAGTAAAACCTGCTCGGTTCTGCTCGGATCCATCGTCGTTACCCTGCTGCTCGCTGCACTCGTCGCAAAAGAAGCGAATTTCGCCGTGATCTCGTTCCTTGTGGCGTCTCAGAGCTCCACCGCTGTCAAATCCTTCCTTGCAAATTTCTCCGGTCTCGTTATCTTTAAAGTCGCAGGGGAAGGCCGATATTTTGAGATGCTCGGCGCGAATGTGGCGTTGTAGAGTCTGATGCTTGCGGAAGGATTGCTCGCAGGGCGGGTATCCTCGGCACTTGAATCGCTCTTTGCCTTCGTGGACGGCTTGGTGTCGTCGGAGTCGAGTGGATGTTAAGAAGCTCTTGCCGCAGCCAGGTTCAGTGCAGGCGTATTCTCGTTCGTTGGTGTGAGAACCTTTAATGTGCTGCTTCAAATGCTTTTCTTCAAAATAGTCCTTATCGCAACCAGGAAAGTTACATTTGTAAGGTCGCTCGCTGTTGTGAGATCGCAAATGGGCGGCGAGACGGACGGGACGGTTGAAGGTCTTGGTACAATCCGGGTATGTGCATTTGATTGTCTTGAATTCGGAGGGGGCTTTGCGCGCCGGGGAGACGGGTGTTAACGGAGTATCGTTGGTTGGAACAATAGATGTAGTTCCAGTGTAGAGAGACTCGTTGTCAGAAATATTCTCTTCAGCGACGTTGTAATCATCATCGGCGGCATCATCTGAAGACGGCGCAATTAGCTTTGAATTGTGAGATTGGAATTAATTATCTTACCATTACTGGAATAAACATCAGAAACATCCTTGGCACCTTCAATTCGATTTTTTTGAGACGCGGGAGCGCCGAGGCTCTCTGCCTCATCAATCGCCTTCCTCTTCATGATGTGACGGGTTCGATAGGTTGCGATTGAACATGTCGCGACGGTAAAGCGTCCGCCGTAGTTGTTGAAAGTTTCGAGGCTAGGTCGCCGCAAACCTTGGAGGAAGCGATTAAAGAAAAAGTTGTGCCGAGCTCTTATCGATAAAGAATATGGATTGAATTTCTTGTGGGGAGTTGCTAGCGCCAATGGGTAGGTACTGCAGTACATAGGGATGCTTGCATGTACATATCCACATAGTGCACAATGCTTCGGTACATCGCGGTCTTTTAAGGTTATTGCTAGCCACACGGCGGAGGTGCACTAATCAAATAATCCTTGCAGGGACCTCGATTTCTTTCAGCTCTCCATCTCTTCTAAATTTTTTTTGCATCGCATTCAGCCAAGTCGCGTTCTCGTCTGCCATTTGTCAATCAACATCAACATCACAACCAAACCGATCCTTCAACCCGCCCGTGCACGAAACCTTCCATTCCGAGCATTTCAGCACTTCGAGTGATCGCATTTTAAATCAAAATGTCTGATTACGGTGATGATGGAGACATCGGTGGAGGGTGAGTTTAGCCTTAGCGCATCTGGGGTAATCAACCTCTAACGTGCTGTAGAGATGAGCCTATGTACGAGGACGAGGAACCCATCGACGAGGAGCTAGATCCCGAAGTTCCTGACGACGACGAGGCCAATACTAGAGGCGCCGAAGAGGAGGAAAATGTCATTCTCTCAGGCGATCCATCTGCGGCGGCCAACCGAACCAAGACCACTACCAAGTCCAACAAAGACAAGAAGGTCCCTAACGAAGAGCGAACGACGACTCCCTACATGACGAAGTACGAGCGCGCTCGCGTATTGGGTACCAGGGCACTACAGATTAGGTAGGATAATTGATGGGTATACCAAGAATGCGGAATAGCTAACTATGCGTCTAGCATGAATGCCCCTGTTCTTGTTGACTTGGAGGGCGAGTCGGATCCTCTTCAAATAGCTATAAAGGAACTGCGCGAGAAGAAGATCCCTCTAATCATCCGACGCTACCTTCCCGATGGCTAGTATGTTTTGAACTTTCCTTTTCTTCTGGTATATGATAGTTGGTGCTAATCATTAAATAGCTACGAGGATTGGTCATGCGAAGAGCTCCTCCAATGAACGGGTTTTTTGGTATCAGCCTCAACCATGGCAGCCTGGATATCTGACCACCTTAAATCGCCTAGAGCCATATTAAATTGGTCACAGATGGGGTTGGCGCGTAGGACTGCGTGGGAAAAAGATTCGTTCAGTGGTTTTGAGAAATGTGCACGAGCGCGGAGTTAGTTGGTTGCTTTTCGGAATATACCAGAATTTTCCATAAGCATTATGCCTCCAAGTGTACCGCAATCATGGAACGAAGTCCTATTTGGTTGACTGCGTGCGCGTAATTGCCTCGTTTATTAGCCAGTGGCTAGGTTGCCATGTTATCTGCAGTTTGGCTTTGCCGTCTGACTTGGAGGAGAGGTGAGCGTCTCATGACTATCATGTGCGCGCTGATAAAGAAGGATTTTGCCGGATACGGTCAAGATTCCTCACCGAGCTCACCGACAATTTTGCGGTTTGCTACGGATTGATTGGTCGTGTTACCACGTCTGACTGGTGAAGGCAAAAGAACGGATAATGCATTTTGATATCCTTCTCAGTCAAGACCAACACATATATGTAATCTCCATTACAGTTCCTCAATCAATTCCATCTCTAAGCAGGCTATCGCGCTTATACTAAGTAATAAGTGCGTTCTATTCTAGACTTTAGTAGGTTTGCCAGCACATTCAAAGTGGCTTGAAATAGCGGTGATCAGTTCGTATTCGTTCGTATTAACGGGGTACTTTTTGTTGCAATATCCAATGCGGTGTAACCTTTTAGCTTGAGGCTGTTGAGGGTATTCTGATTCTTAAACTCCGCCAAGCCGACAAACCAATCAATATTATGTAAAAAGAGCAATTAGGCATGGGGACGGCAACGCCTTACCAACAGTGCAAGCTTATGACGTCGTATGACTATTAAGCGATGCATGGGTAGGTCAGCTACTGCAGCCGCAGTTCCTTACGTAGATTATGTACCCAGGCATTCCAAACAATAAATTGCATTGCTTAAAGATAAAGTAGAATAATTTGTAAAAATACATTCTGTAAGTATCGATTCTATGATATTTATTATGTTATGAATGTGATCTAATTTATAATTTATAGGTTCAGTATATCGTGTAGCATCGTACCTAATCTTCAAAGTCGTGTAATCCTGAGGAGAGGATCACCAGAGCTAATTGTTAATGTTCCTGAGGGGGCTGGAAGTCCTTGGCCAATGTGATATGTAGTATTTCCTGCAGGGTTGATATGTTGTCTCATCTGATCTCGTTATGTCTGTTATGTATATGTGAGGTACAATACGCAATCATAGATTCCCATATAAATAGATGCGATGTTTGCTGTTGACAAACACTACCTCATAGCTTATGTAGATTAATTACCAGTCATCAAATTACGTAGGACGGAAATTCACTACGCTTTATTTCTTAAGTATAAAAGCTTAGGACCTCGATCTGCATAACATTCGTCGGAGAGAAGCTGCGTTGTCGATCAATATTACCTCTTTGTTCCTTCCTACCCACTTTCCCGCCGGTCCCGTATTGTCAAGTACGACTGCAGCTAGAACATACCGAACTAGGTACTTTCTTCGATTGACCATCTTTGTTTCCGACTTAACAGAACTCTCTTCTCTTTCCTTCTTCAACTTCTCGCCCAAGAAGCCTCTTACCAAAACACATCGTCAAGCAAGACCATTTATTCGACCGCAACTATGCAGCTCGTCACAATTATCACTAGTTTAGTTGCAGCTGCAACATGCGTCTCTGGTCGCGGAAGACCACCTCTAGCTAAGAGAGAAGTTGGTGGTGTAAGTCACATACCCTCTCCAGAGCTGTGCCATAAGGTTGTGGATAACTGATACTTATAACCCTTTAGATCCTGATCTGCAATGGTGCAAATGCTACGGGCCCTTGTCACTATGAAGTGTATTCTATGGTAGATTGCCACGACTTGCCTGAGAGCTTCGTCGGCAACACCAAGACATTCGCTCCCGATGGCGACGGATTCTACTGCTGGCCTAGAGCGTAAGTTCCTATGTTATGCCTTTTTCATATTATTGTTAATAGCAAGTACTGATGTGTTTGATACTATAGAGGCTCATGCGCAGATATCTGCACGTCGCCTACGGGTTGCACATTCGGTACCCTCTCCTTCGACAATCCCAATAAATGGGATTTGTCTAAGATAAAATGGGACACCATTCTTGGATCTTTCGACTGTCAACAAAACAGAACAACAACAGCATAAAAACGCCACAACAAAATTAGAGGAGTCGAGAAAATAGAAAATCGGCGTAGAAAAAAAATCGAAAAGAAAATAAACGTTTAATCGAGTTTCTCGTTTATTAACGAGTTATCAAACAGCGGAGTCCACTCGGGATTCGGAGTTTCTTGGTATTTCGAAATCGCCAATGACGTCGGTCTAGACGCTTAAGATGTGGGGTAGATAAAGCAAGTGGCTGCTCAATGTACGACCCGATGGCGGGGTTCAATTGGCCCTTTTGTCATTTTTTGTTTCCCCTCGTCTCGAAGAAGCGAAGCGAAAGGTTGAAACTGCCGGGAAGAGAGAGGAGCTTGAGGGGCACATCGGGAAGACGGTTGATGGTTGATGCAGCTCTCACATCATCAAGAAGCACTAATTGTTATTACTATCCAAGTAATTTTCACTACGTTTGTACATATTGGAAGTATAATCATATTAGAACTTAATCAAACATCTTGTCATCTTAATTCCCTTTCTCTTTTCTTTATCTTCTCCAACTTACTTACATCATATAGCAAAGTGGCCATCCCGACTAGACGAACAGCCTTCTACCTTGCTAATCTAGTCAAACAACGCTACCAAGCACGAAGCTATTCACACACCCCAATCCCATATAAGACAAACACAACAAGAACCATGGCATTCGAAACTAAAGCCACCATCGCCAACTTCGGCGGCAAGCTTCTCAAGCTTCAACACCAATCCAGTGGCACCAACACACCTATGGACGTAAACCTCTTCCTCCCACCCGCCGCCCTAATCAACGGCGGCCACAAAGTCCCCGTACTAATCTACCTATCCGGTCTAACCTGCACACCCCAAAACTGCACCGAGAAAGGCTTTTTCCAAGCCCACGCCGCGGCAAAGGGAATCGCATTAGTATGGCCCGACACCTCCCCACGCGGCGCCAACATCGCCGGCGAGACCGAGAGTTGGGACTTTGGCGCCGGCGCGGGATTCTACGTGGACGCGACACAAGACCCGTGGAAAGGATTCTACCGTATGGAATCCTACATCTCCACCGAACTCCCCTCTGCGCTCTTCGCTGCGTTCCCGGAGCAATTAGACGCGGAGCGGGTTAGTATCACAGGCCATAGTATGGGCGGGCACGGCGCCTTAACTCTCTACTTGAAAAACCCCGGGAAATACCGCAGTGTAAGCGCCTTTGCGCCCATCGCGAACCCGTCGGAATGTGCGTGGGGGAAGAAGGCGTTTACGGGATACTTGGGCGAGGATACGGCACAGTGGAAGAAACATGACGCTACTGAGCTTGTGAAGGGGTGGAAGGGTGATTTAAAGGCGCTGGTGGATGTGGGGACGGGCGATAACTTTTATAAGCAGGGACAGTTACTGCCGGAGAATTTTGAGAAGGCGGTTAAGGAGGCGGGTGTGCAGGGTTTGACGTTGCGGTACCAGCCGGTGAGTTTCTATTCTATCCACCTTTTACTTATTTATTTTTTCCTTTACGGAGAGACTAACTTGGATGCAGGACTACGACCACTCGTACTTCTTCATGTCTAGTTTTGCTGGCGACCACGTCGAGCACGCCGCAAAATACTTGTTCGCCTAGGAAAATCCAATTAGGCGCAACCATTTGTCTATTGGTGGCTCCGACCTGAGATTGGCTAGCATGCTCTAAGATGGGACGCCAGAAACCCTGGATATTGGGATATACGAAGGGACATGTGCCCTATTGTAGGAATCATGGTTGATGTAACATTCGCCAAGGGTTTGAGATGCGATATAATTCACGACTCATGAGAGTAAAACGAAGCCTGAGAGCATTCGAAAGTGATTCTTTGTTCAGATTACGTGGTATATATAAACATTCGAAGTCGCGGATATCTTCAGAAAATAAACGAGCACATCTCTTTAGCAACATTGTAGCAGCAACAACAGCAGGTCCTATTTAGACCTCTTGGCTCTTTCGACATATGTTTCTCCAACCATTATGCTCTTCTAGCTAATCCTCTTCTCTACCTCGGGACTAAATCCCTCCTTCTCGAGCTTATTCTTCGTCTCTGCATCCGCCTCTCGTCTTATGCGGTGGTAAGCTAATTTCTCGAACCGGCTCATTCCCTTCCACCAATGTTGACCGGCTTCGTGTTCACTGATACGCTCGATGAGCTCTGATGTCTTAATTCGGACGTCCTTGTCCTTATGGAATAGTCCCAGGGCTAGGTAGAAAAGTCCTGCGTGGGAATCTGGCGCTACCGATAATAATAGGCAGGTTTCGCCGTACGAATGCACATACTTTGAGATTGTTAGGTAAATTTCCCGACTTTGTATCGGGCTGAGCCTCTGTGATCGTAGGCGGTCGTGCATGTGATGTAAGTCGAGCCCTTTTAGGGGTCGAATTGTATATAATTTCGCGAGGTCCTAAGATCATTGTTAGTTATCAAGACTAGACGTCTTGATGTGGGTATTTTCTTACCTGTATGTAACTGTAGTAGCTTCGGGTATTCCTCCAGCCCTCGATCCTGCATACGTTGCCAGCCAACTCCTTTTGCTTGGCATTTTCGTCCGGCCATACATACCCATGTCCGCCTGCGAGGGTTTCGAATTCATCACCCCCAATATACAAGGCACTGGCACCATAAACAGCTTCCTCGAAAGCTGCAGCTATCCGAGTAAATCTGACAACCCAATCTCGCCACCTGGCTCGAATGACTTGCTCACCACGTCTCGCTGTTATGCTCTTGAGGATATCGTTCATAAACACCACGTCTCCGGTAAAGTCCGCGGTGGCGTTGGGCGACCCACCAAGCATGTTTGCGAAAGACGGATGCTGTTGTTGGAAATACACAAGCCCTTCCGTAATCGGCGCAGGTTCAATCTTCTCACTAATCTTCATTCGTCCGGTCTGCAGGTCACATAATAGGTCCCACCACTCGGGATGGAGTTCAAAGGTAGGGTTTGTAACACCCGCTATAAATCCAGGAACCTTCAACAGATCGTCGACTTTAGTAAGGTCTGTGTACGGGAATGCATGTCTAGTGAATCCTCGCAACACACCACCAGACGCAAGCGCACATGCTGCTAACACGGCTTCGGCAACTTCGCCTGATGGCATGGTATGTCCGAGGAAAATTACCCTTTTCTGGGTAAGGAGTGCATTCGCAAGCACTATTATAGGATGGGTCCCTGGGCCGTTTGTCGTTAGATGAGTATGTATCGAAAATTGCTGTACGGACTTTGCGTGAGGTTCGGAAAAGGTTTGGATTAGTTTAATAAGAGAGAAATCCCCCACGGTCTCCGGCATGATCGCTGTTGGAATCTTGACAGGGATTGGTATGCCCTTGTACATGACTTTGCTTTCAAATTCGTGCGTATCTCGTGGAACAGAATATGCGGATTGACCTTCAAGATGAGCTTTTGTTCCTGCTCGGGAAATGCCTTGTACTTGCTTAGGGGGGCTTTTGCTGGCGTCGAATGGTTCGCCAAGTCCTTCGGTTTTATCTTCCGCTATTCGCATCTGCACCATTCGCTCGAATTTCTCAACAAACAGGTCCTTATTAACGCTTGATTGTAGTAGATATCTTTCGAGGAGACTGAGCTTCGGCATTAGAGACAAGTCCATGTTATTGACGGCCTCGTAAAGTAACGCCAACGTCTCAGGAACTGGCGATTTATAATATTCTTCCAGCGCAAGTAATAGGAGAGGCTACATTCGTTAGAAATGCGCAATAATGGCAGCGGAATAAAATTATAACTAACCTTATAGATATGTAAGAAGGGGTGTCGCGTACATATAGCCATTGCCTTGACTATTGCACCTCTCTTCACTGATTTGTCGTGTCGGGTATAAACTAAGTTCAATACGTATATTAATGGAGGTCCTTCTCCTCCTTCGGGTTCCGAATCGGTTGTAGAATCATCATCCCAATCATCATCTTCATCGTCCTCTTCATTTTCGTCTTCTTCGTCAATCGTTTCGTCGTCCTCATTAATTATTCCTGCGGCCCTATCCCTTCTACGTTTCCTGCGTCTTCGCCTTTCTTCCCTCTCCTTTTTCTCATCATCGTCATCTTCTTGACTCGTATCTTTATGTAAGAAAAATATGGTCCAATCTTGAGTGCGCGAATGAACTTGATCCGGTAACATGAGTTCTGCCAACATATGCTCATCTCCGGTAATTGCGACCGGATATTGATGCTCCATTACAGGCCCACGGTCAATATCGAAGGATGCGACCAGAATATATTCGACATGGTTCTCATCCGACTCTCGAGGATATTGCGAGCGCAATTTTCGCGGCGACTGGCTATTGGGGCTAGGTCGTTTTGGTGGGGAAAGAGAAGAATGTTGCGAAGATTCGGCGGTTTGGCTTCCCAGCGACGAAGTCTTAGACTTCGAACTGGGATCGGATGTGCGATCGTTGGTCATTATGGGCGGCTGCGGGGATCGTGGAGGTCGTGAAGCATGAGACATCTGTGAGGCTGAGCGCGAAGATAAGAAGGAGGAGAGAGATGCGCGGTGGCCGTTCGCAGTAACGCCATTGGAAAGCGATTGGTTGGTATTTGTTCGCGAAAGATAGGGGAACGCCATTTGAGTCGATGCCATTAGTAGAGGGATATTCTCATTTGGTATGATCGTCGCGGTAAACGGGTCCGCCGCGAGTGGACTCTTTTCCGCCGGAGTGTTGATCGAGCGATGATCTCCACGAGACCGGAGCTGCTAAGCCGACCAACGTATGACTTTTAGAATATCAAAGCGCTCGCAGAAAATACGTATAGCCTTCGCGCGCTTTACTTTTACGACACTAAGGCGTTAGTTTGAGGCCGATTGCGACTGGATAGCCCGTTGCAGCGGGTTTTGGATCAGCGCAGCTGTGCCATTCGCAACTCAGGGGTTCCAAGGAATTAGGTATTAAGTAGGGTACAGGTATAGATGCGTTCGATATCGCGATAGTCCGTACCACCGAACAAATTCAGAATTCGGACCAGATGACAAACAATACCAACGGCAACAGAAGTGAGAAGTTGGAGTTAGAGAAATCAATGGCCGAGACATGATCTGCTACAAGGCCATCTCTTCGGTATTGTTTGAACTCAAAAGGTGGTACTTTTTCACCCTGACTAAGGGGGTTCTACTGGGGGAAACGAGTGGGAAAAAAAAGGTACGAGACGAGAGCGAAAAGAGGTTTCGTATCAAATCAGACCCTTGACTTTGAGATTTAGGACCCCTGCTATTGTCTCGTAGCCAATCATTAGCTCGGTAGATGTCCAGGGATACACTAGCGCCGTTAGTGTGCCTTCCCTTTTTGTAGTGCCTTCTTTTCCGGGCTCCTCTTCGGCGCTCAAATAGTAAGGTACAATTTACATGTACAATGATTTTGTGGCGTTTCCCATCCCGCCAGGGCTCCACCTTTTACAACTAATTTTACAATCGCAACCTCCAATTCGAATTCATCATGGTTCAATTACGTACCTTCTTCTGCAACATGCACACTACTTACTTAGGTACAAAGGGGGGAGACGGGGAGAACGGATTTGTTTTACCCGGTACTGAACTGCGACAACTGTAGGAAAGGCATGGTTCGTTCAATTTGTGATAGATCATTCTGTTCGCCGTTATAGTTTAAGCCACAGATAGTCATAAAAATCAAGGATTATCCGTGTATCTCGACCAAATACCTGACTCTCTTCTTTCACTTGGTAAGGGAATATCATCATTATCAAGTATTTTGTCGTTCAATGAGGCGATTGGGCTATTGCTATGAGTCTCACATCCACTTAGGTACGCTATGGTATTGCAACCCTAAATTACGCTATCACTATGGTCTTTTCGTTAAGTCAAAGCGACAGACATGCTACTTGGATGTTCGTTAGTAAAAATGATTTCAATTTAAAACAACACCACAGACCTTTATTCGAGTCTGTCTAGGCAATTACCCTAGTTGGGTTTATAAAGATGCATGTCTAGCTAAGTCAAGTCCATTTGAAAACCTCATACCTTGAGATTTCAATTGAATTTTTAATCTGAACAGGCAATGGATGCGAGCGCCACATGACATCAAAGATACTACTTTCTCCATCGCCTAACGAAAGCTTTTCCTGGAAATACCCCATACAATTTTGTATTTCTTAGTTGGATGTCGATTGGATTGCTGTTCTTACCTAAGGTAGTGCTCGTATGTGTTGAACATTCCATGATCTGTTCTACTTTGGAAAGCTCTCAATTTTCCCGATTTAACAAAAAAAAGAGAAATTGTTAGATTTTGGAAGCTGTTGCATTTTTGGCTAATGGATGTAATTGATGTTATCACAGGCCGCTTGCCAATATAATATTGTCGTTGTAGGTTTGTTAAGAAGACGCGAGTAAAGAACAGAGTATGTCGATACCACTTATACCGTATTTAAAGAACAAAGGCTACCTACTGCTCTGTACTGCCAGAGAATGCCAGGACAAAGTCTGCAACTTGGAGATCAGTAAGTTCATAAATGGCTAGGCACATCGTTATAGAACCTACCCCATTTACAACATATGTAATATAAATATTTTTTCAGACAGATATTAAGTAGAGATACTGTTTGTCTTTTGCGAGGAGCACGTGAGAGTCGCTGGCGATTGAAAGTTAAGTGACGTTATATACCAAATTGGGAAGGTGGGTTGTATGGTTGCTCCGCAACGGCCTATGCACCAATACAACGGTACATCATCAGAAATTCAAGAAATAGCATCCCACCTAACGAAGTTGAACCTAATGCGATGCTACTAAAATAGGATAAGCAATTTTTACTCTTTTACTCTTTCATGATAACCTCAGTCACAACCATCATAAAATCTTATTTCTAGAGGGAATTCATCGCGCCAATTCCTACGACCATTGCCTTTCTAAATTAGCACTTCCTACATTGTTTACTCTGGTACTTATCCGAACCCTGTGACACGGCCCTGGAATTTAGTCGCGACCATGGTGAGTAATCAAATCCACTTTCCGATGGACCTCCCTGCATCGATCGGCTCCTGTGGATAGATGATCTGTTGAAACATATTCTTACCGTCTGAACCAGGCCATGCCAGCTGGATATAAACCATCACCTTTGGGTTACGGTTCTCCTCGAAGCTCTCCTTTCCGACGACCTGAATCGCCTGCTTCACCGACAGCACCTCGACATACAACACCGACGCCGTCACCGACGAAAGTCAGCGCTCTTCATACTCCTTCAAGATTCGCCCCTACGACAGAATCACCTACGAGTAGTGTGGAGAGCCAGACACCTCGTCGATACGACCAGACCACCAACATGCCATTCACCCAACCGCTTGGTTCTCCCGTGCACATGTCACGGTCGCAACCGCCGTTACAATCCGCAGCTCAGGGGAATGCACTTTCACAACTACAGCCGGCACAGGTTAGGGTGCTCAGAGATGGATTCCAGATCTTGGATAGAGACAGTGATGGAGTCGTAAATAGGGAAGACGTTGCAGATATGCTCAACCAACTCGGTGTGTTGTCCTAACTCTACCTAGCCTCACGAGTATCAATACTAATATGAACGAACCTTAGGATTACCATCTAGTCCATCCGATGTATCACAGTTCTTCCCGCCGGCGGGACCACAAACGACGACTCTTGCGGTGTTCCTAAATTCGATAGCTACGACATTGGCCGCGATGTCGCCGAGCGCAGAACTCTTATCGGCATTCTCTGCTTTCGATGATGACGATAGTGGACAAGTAGACCTTAACGAGTTGCGTGATGCATTGCTTCATACTGCACCAGAACCAGACGAGAGGGCATTGACGTCGATGGAGGTAGAGAAGATCATGAGTGGATTCAGCGGAAGGAGAGCATTCAGCAAGAGTATGGCCGGGGGGTTGGGGAAACGCGGTGAGGTCTTCAAGTATCAGGAGTTCGTGAATTCTATCGTGGGCGGAAATAATTCGTCGGAACCCAGTTCTCATGAAACCTCGGAAGAATGAGGTCCTCGAAATGATGATTCTCTGCGCACTCTATACGTGGGGAATAATATGGCTGGGCTGAGTATTGAGGTGTTAAGAGGTCTCAAACGAATGCTTCCCCATACCGAGTTATGGATGGGTACATACGTTATCGTTGTCTGGATGCATTAAATACGATATTCTCGTGTTGTAGAGTAGATGGCCCTTAAACAACCCGAATGGGATTGCTTCCCTAATATATAGCCTTTATCATGCTACGTATCTCGGAATAGAGACCGAGGTATAAGATAACCTAATTTCTTACCGTCATTTGGGAATGACCGAGGAGCGATTGTCATATAATGGGATTGTCCAGTGGGTATTGTATACTTGGGTACGTCTCTGCCTAAGTATACCTAGGTATTTGTAGTATCCATTCATTAGGGCCTGATGATGCGACAATTGCTATAGAAATATAGGAACCAACATGTTTAGACCCTCTTTCATGTGGTTTGCCGTAATACAACAGCATAAACGTGACCAACCTCCGGACCAACGTTGTGACGATGATTTCTGTTTTGATTGGGTTCCTCCTATTAGAGTAAACCGTTTACTTCCCGAGACCATGCGAACAACTCAAACTCACCCACCGACAATCTCGATTTTTTGACAACACAATTGAACAACGTGACAAGTCACGTAGCTGGCAAACCCGGTTGCGTGCCATGTGCTTGATAACCATAAATCTGATAATTATTAGCGTCAAAGAGCTGGAGTTGAAACAAATCCACCTTATCAGTGTGGGAACAATATGGATTAAGAACTTCGGTTACAGTCACAAATTGGCAGCTTGGCAAATCAAGTCGTTAGGACTTCCCCTCGGCTCCCTCGCGCACAGCATCTTCCCGCTGGTCCAAGCGTCTGGATACCTTGGACCCTTACATCAGATTTGTCGCTGCCCCATAGAACCTTCGAGAATCGGTCCAAGGAAAAGGGGGGCCATTGGCTGGAGAGAAGCGGGCAGGCGGGCTGGTGTTTGAATTTCAGGGTCCCTTTGCCGCTTCTCGGAACGATCCTTGCGACCCCTGTCCATCTTCTCATCTCGGCTTGCTAGGGTCAATGGCTCCGCGTACCGCCTGAACGAGCCACTAATGATGATATCAATTTGTTGTTTGATGAGACTTAGATGAGAAGAGGGAGGGAACCAGAGGGTAAGAGAGACGAAACCAGATACCGGGATAGGGAGGTTGAGATAGTTACGGGAAGATGGCATAGCATAGAATGTCAATCTGTTGCTGGAGTGAACGTTGCAAAGACAACACTACGTCAGCCTCTCTAATTCTGAAGGTGATAATGGGATTGGCCTGTTAGAATGCTACGTGAACAAGCGTCACGGGGAATATTACAACCACTCAGAGCATTACCCCTAAGTGGTAGACGCTGAAGATTTGTAAACAAAGCCATGTCTCCAACTTTGGCTATTGGTTGACCGCACACGCAGGCGATGAGTATCAAACAATATGAATGGATATTAAGAGTAGATTATAGGATGGTGGGTGATAGTGTTGTAATGTAGCAATGTAGCAGCCCTGAAGGTTATATGCGTTAGCGGGCGGTAGATAGCGGTTAGTGGGGAGGCTGGACGGATGATTACACTTCTAGTACATAATGTATCTTGCTTTAGGTACCTACGTATGTGCGTAACCTGCGACTTGCATACGTAGGTACCTAAACCTAATGTCCCTACCGTCCCTGCTCGCCTGCCTGCTAAGAATTTAGGTGCCCATTAGTGGGAGTGCTTAGTCGAGTTAAAAGTGAAAGAAAGGTACCTATGATGTACCAATAACTTCTGGTCAATGCAGTGACCCGCTACGTGACCAAGTACTCGGGACTTGTGTTTTCCTGGGGTGGGCTTTGGGGGGCTTTCTCCAAAATTATTTCACAAAATTTCCAAATCCCAGCCTGACGATTTTTTATTATCATTCCCTCAGCCAATTCAGCCATTCAGCACATCACTATCTGCTTTTGTGCATTGTTGGCTGTGTACAGTGCCCGCCTGTGCTGTGCTTGGCTTTGTGCATGCGAACTTTCTCTTCAAGCTGATAAATCGCATCTCCTTGTTGTCAGCTTTCACAATTCTTCAAACTAAAAACATTTACTTGCTTCGCCGTCTCTCACCAAACCCTCATCCTTTTTTCCCTTCCCTTCCCACCTTAGCTGTGCTTTATCGCAACGGCGTCTTTTAGTACCACCTTGAAAGATACCCGGGGTTGTTTTATTTGCCTACCTCTCTACAAGGTACTTACCTAGCTATTTATTGCCAGCGCCGCCGTTTTCCAAAGTCTGACCGTAAAGCATCAGCGAAAAGAAAAAAAAGGGGAAATCGACAGAACCCTTTGTCAATACATATAACTAAGTAGCTTGCGAACCGACCAAAGCTGTTGGAATTTTTGAAGGGAAGGCTGGCGCGGTCGTTCATTGTATAAGTCGGGATCGCAGTTGTAAGTTGATTTTGTCCCTCTTTGCCTGGTCTTGCCTACCTACCAGCTTAGGCAGCATTACCCATTACCTATACGCCAATTGTCGTCCCCTGGTCGGATAACGAACGAAGGCTACCGATTAAAAAAAAATCTATTTGCTTCTTTTGCAGATTTTAACCCCAATGAAATCTTACATGGTGTAAATTTTTGCGCAACAATCAGCATTTAACTTATATATATTATATACTTTTGACGGTTTTCGTCTTCGTGGAACTCAACTAATTTTTTTTTTTTTTCGCACTAGGGCCGACCGGGATCCAGCATCAAAGCAGAAGGCTGTAGAAGGAATTTGAGGCGGAAGGGTCTTAATCCTATTAATTGCCTTGTCTTAGGTAATAGTAGAGGTGTGGAAACTTCGACTACGTACCACACTTTGATTAAGCCCCGAATCTTCTATTCCAAATGAAGGGCTTATTCAACTCCAAAAAATCCCCCAAGAAGCAGACGCCTGGGGATAATAGTAGTAGCAGCGAATCTGCTCATAGCCCTCATCCCCAAGAAAAACTGCAACCTCAAGTCCCTCGTTCCGAACCGACTTCGCCTGTTAAACCGAATTCCAGTTCCTCCCGATCTTCTCCCACCAAGAAATCCTCAACCCGCCCCGCATCTCCTGCTCAGCGGGAGCAGCCTAAATCGCGAAGCTCTCGCTCCTACGCGAGACACTCTTCTTCCGACCAGGGCTCTTCGTCCCGCCGCAATAAGATTGATCCTAATACACATCCTCTCAATTTGCACCCGGACGAAATTAAACGCTTATCTGCTCAGTATAACATGAGCAATAGAAACTCCCTCGACAAGATGGATGTCGATAAAGAAACTCCGGCGGTACCCCCCTCTTCGCCACCCCCTGCGCAGACGCAAGCCTCCTTCACCGTACCGGTCAATTCACCCCCAACAAATGGAGTGAAGAATGGTGCCACAGAAGAGACAGAGGGACCGGCCCCTCCGCCACACCGATCCAACCCCTCCAGCCCAGTGCCTACTGATGCTGAAGCAGCTGAGGCTAATAAGGCTAGCGGAAATAAGTTCTTTAAACAAAAGGATTATGCTCGAGCAATTGCTGAATACACAAGCGGTACGTTGTTACAACCTAAACATTCGAAGTTCCCCTTTCACTTAAATAGAAATTTGCTCACATTATTACTAGCTATCCAACTTATGCCCAATGAACCAACATACCTCAGTAACCGTGCTGCAGCTTTCATGTCCGATGGCCAATACGAATCAGCCTTAGAAGATTGCACGCGAGCTGTCGACTTAGACCCCCAAAATGCCAAGTATTTGCTCCGTTTGGCACGAATTTACACCAGTCTGGGACGTGCCGATGAAGCAATGACAACTTTTGGGCGAATTCAACCACCTGCCTCTGCCAAGGATCAGGCTGCCGCTAAGGAAATGCAGCAACATGTCAGAGCAGCCCAGGACGCTCTTGACCGTGGCACAAGTGGCTCCATGGTTTTGCATGCTTTGGACCAGGCTGAGAAGTTACTTGGACCCGGTGCGGTTAGGCCTAGAAAATGGCAACTGATGCGTGGAAATGCTTACCTGAAAATGGGAGGTGTTAATTCCCTAGGAGAGGCGCAGAACGTGGCTATGGCCCTTCTAAGACAAAATAGTCAGGATCCAGAAGCGCTGGTATTACGTGGTCGTTCCCTGTATGCCCAAGGGGAGAACGATAAGGCTATTCAACATTTCCGAAAGGCATTGAGTTGCGATCCCGACTTCAAGGACGCTGTAAAATGGCTTAGAACTGTACAAAAGCTAGACCGAATGAAGGAGGAAGGCAATGCTGATTACAAGGCTGGCAGATGGCAAGCCGCCTTCGACAAATATTCATCCGCCCTAGAAGTGGATCCTTCCAACAGAGGCACAAACTCAAAGCTTTACCAGAACCGAGCTTTGTGTCGTCTGAAGCTTAAGCAATTCTCCGAGGCCATCGCTGATTGCGACCGAGCTATTAGTCTGGATTCTACCTATGTAAAGGCTAGAAAGACAAAGGCGAATGCGCTGGGTCAGGCCGAGAGATGGGAAGATGCTGTTCGTGAATGGAAGTCCATCCAGGAACTAGACCCCGAAGATCGGACTATTCCTAAAGAGATCCGTAAAGCCGAATTGGAACTTAAGAAGAGCCAGCGAAAAGATTATTACAAGATCCTCAACGTTGGCAAGGATGCCGATGAAAATGCCATCAAGAAGGCTTACCGCAAGCTGGCTATTATTCACCACCCGGACAAGAACCCTAATGACGAAGAAGCCGCTGAACGATTCAAGGATATTGGTGAAGCCTATGAAACCTTGAGCGATCCTCAGTACGTATTTACATAATACTGCGTCCGATTGTATGATAGCTAATCAGTCACAGGAAACGCGCCCGATACGATAGTGGTGAGGATTTGATGGACCCATCCGATATGTTCGGCGGTGGTATGGGTGGTGGAATGGGCGGCGGCATCGACCCAGAGATTCTGTTCAGCATGATGAATGGCGGTGCATCTTTTGGTGGAGCCCAGGGTTTTGGTGGTGGCGGCTATGGTGGTCGCACACGCGCACAGGGATTTCCAAGTGGATTCCACTTTGGTTGACAATCCGAGTCCGACGAGGAAGTTTTCCATGGCGAGTCTGATTGCAACCAAGATGCTGGCTCTGAGGATAGACGGGCACCGTGGGAACAGTTTGAGCGTGGGACTTCTCATTATGCAACAATAGATGAGAAGATTGCACAATTCCGTTGGTCATTGATGGCGATGGCTGGGGCATTTGTGTTTCTCCCGATTGAGCTGGCCACGACGTTGCTTGTCTTGTATATCTGTGGAGTGTTGGCGAAGTCATCGGGTATCACGCGAGGGATCCTGTAAAGACTACGAATTTGGGGTATAGACGCTTCATCATCGCCGGCGTTAAGGATCATTGGAAGCCCATTTGTGTTGGTGGTCTGTTCTGCCTTTTGAGAATGGGCAATTAAGGACGACTGCATAGGAGCGAGCAAGGGTTATGCTCGTCTAAAAACTAATGGTAGACATTTCTTCAATGACAGGCATGAACTTCTGTTCACTATTATTTAAGGCCACACATTCGTTGTATTCCCTCCTCCCTTGTGTGTACATATATCCAAGACCAATGCCAACGTTTGACGATTCATGCATGCACCTATAGCGACTAAATACATGTAGTGCCACAACATAGGGGTATTTACCAAGTGTAAGTTAGTGCGTCAAAACTATTTGATAACTTCCAATATTTCAAGTTCCACTGCTGTGGTAAATGAGAAGATTTATTATAATTGGACTTTGTTGAGGTTCCAGTTCCACGGTACCTAATAAATGTGACACGTGTGATATCATCGTAAGGTTGATCGTAGCCCATCCCTGCGGCCGGTACCCGAACCATATTTTCCAAGAAGCACCGGCTTCCGGGACTAAAATAAGGATGTTACCTCATTGAGACTGATACATATAACATTAAACTTAATCTGACATATAGATGCAGATGTACGTATCACCCGAGACCGGGAACCTTCCTACCCTTTCTAAGGTACTTACCCGATCTCAACCAACTCAAATCAACTCAACCTAAACCACAAGCTGGAAACGACCAGCAACCTCTTCTTCAATTCCTTAACATTTTCATAGAAAGATGTGACTTCATTCGTTTCTAGTATATTATAGGCTACTGTAGTATACCGATCCATATAACAATTCGAATTACTTTTGACAAAGTCCGGACTTTCCGAAGCCTGTCTACCTCCCTTCCGACGTCCTCGAGCGCGTAAACCCCAACCATCCGACCCCTCCATACAAATCGAACATACCTCCGAAAACGCCACCAACACACCTTCACCACAACTTGTCCGAAGCATTGCCAATATACATACGCACATCATGGCGCGATACCGTTTCCTCTCGCGTATCCTGCCCTTTAGTCGATCAGCGACGCCGTTGCAAGCTGCGACATACCTCCTCGGCATCGCGCTATTTAGCATCTCGTTCCTCGTATTCCTAAACTCGGCCGTATCGTTCGTCATCACCGATCTACTAGGCGTTAAGACTGGTGTCGGCAACATCGTCGGAACTCTCGGCTTCGTTGACGAGATCGTCGCATTGATAGCTTGTCCAGCATGGGGTTTAATCAGCGATCGATTGGGCGTGCGCTGGGTCGCGGTCTTGGGCTACGGTATTATTGCTATTAGCTTATTTGCCTTCGTTCAGGCTCGCGATGTATACCCCAGTTTGATTATTGCGCGGATCGCGTTCGCGCTTGGGGCTACGGCTGCTGCGACGATGGTTACTGCTATACTGCCCGTGCTTACGGATAATGACGAGGGAACTGGATATGATAGGGATGAGGCTGTGGAAGATGAAGATGCGAGGAGTGTGGGGAGTAGAGGCTCAAGCCGAAAGTCCAATGGTCACCATCAGAGGGATAGTGTGGCCATGAGTCTTGAGAGCGATGCTACGATTACACCGGAGCGGTTTACTGCGCATTTGTCGCGGGATCCAGGGGATAGGAGGTATAGTAGTACCAATTCGGATGATTCGTCCGATGCATATGGTAGCGTCGAGGGGAGCGGCCGCAGACCGGCTGCTTTAGCTGGATATGTAGGTCTATTCACAGGTTGTGGAGCTCTAGTCGCCTTGATCCTCTTCCTACCGCTTCCAGCGCAGTTCTCCAAGAAAGAAGGTGTTACGCCCGCGGAAGCTATTTCCGATAGTTTCTATGTTGTCGGCGCCGTCGCAGTCTTTGTGGCTATCTTCGTTTTCTTCGGTCTTCGCGGTCTTAAAGGAGAGGAAGGAAAGGGCTGGCGCATGCTCCTCGGCCTACGCAAACCGCAGCGCTCTTCTAATAACGGCTCCGCCGCTGAAGCTTCTTCATCGTCGCCTGCGACAACGGGAACGGCTCGCGGTCCGCTTCCATATCACCGCCTCCTACTTTCCTCGCTTCGTCTCGGAGCTACGGACCCGCACATCGCGCTAGGCTACCTAGGCGGATTCGTAGCGCGCGCGAGCACCGTCGCCATTTCGCTTTTTGTCCCATTATATGTCAATTCGTTCTTTATTCACAATGGCTTCTGCCGCGGTGACCCTAACGACCCATCGCCCGACCTCAAGAAAGAGTGCCGCGCGGCGTACGTTCTGGCCTCTATATTGACGGGCGCTGCGCAACTCGCTGCTCTTCTATGCGCGCCTTTGTTTGGGTACGCTAGTCGACGGAGCGGCGGTGTTGATATCCCGCTTGTTATCGCGGCGTTATTGGGTGTAGTCGGGTATAGCGTATTCCCGAAACTAGATAGCCCCGAGTATAAGAATGTCGATGGACGAGGCGGTAGTCCAGCTGTTTTCTTAGTCGCGGTACTCATTGGGGTTAGCCAGATCGGGGCTATTGTGTGCAGTCTCGGATCCCTAGGACGTGGGGTTTTGACTGCGGACACAAGGATTGTGTCCGTGGTTGATGAGGAAGAGAATGGAGTTGATGGCCACACAGGGGATGAGACGGATGCGCTACTTGGTCATGAAATCGAGAGAAAAGAAGAGCCGGCTACCCGTGTCCAGTTGAAGGGGTCAATCGCTGGCGTTTACTCGCTATGCGGTGGTGCGGCGATCTTGCTGCTTACCAAACTTGGTGGTTACCTATTCGACGTAGTAGCACCCGGCGCTCCGTTCTACATGATGGCTGGTTTCAACGGCGCGTTGCTAGTCGCTGCTTTGGCTATTGGACTCTTGAGTGAGAATCAGAGGCCTGGAACGAGTAGGAGTAGGGCTTCGAGTATGTAAGATTGAATCTGATTGGGGAAATAAAGGATAGGAGTATAGGGGATGGTGAAATTGAAATGGCATCGGGAAGGGCTAAGGTTCAAGGTTATGGTCAAGGTATGGGGTGGCTAACTACCTTTTTATCGTGTAATACTATTTATTGTATATAGTCTGCAACCAAATGAGATGAGATGATGAATCTAATACTAAGGGCAATCACCTCATAGTCCGTGTTCACGATGAGAATAGGAGGTTTCTATCAGATAAGCCAAGAGAGGAAGAATCTTTATTACGAGAGCGATCGAGTATCCGTTGGCCTCGAGACTGCTCATCTATATTCTATAAAATAACCACTCTATTCCCGGAAACCCCATTATCCAAAGGAATAGTCATGAACACGTTTTAAAACAGCAACGCCCTTTTTGCCCCCATTCACAATCTACATGGTTTGGTTCGTAATCCATCCACATCAGTACAGTCTAACCCATAACCGGCGGCTTATCCATCGCCATTCTCTTAGCAACGGAACCGTATTTGGCCTGCCAGGCGTAAAAGTAGATGAGCGCAGCAAAGGGCTGCCCGAGCACGGTAAATGAAACCCAGAAGATACAATTGCCGATTAGTCGGCCATTAGGGCCCTTCATCTTCTCGAATATTCGCGTGATCCAGATCAAGGGGATCTGGATGAGCATACCCATGAAAGCAACACCTAATATTGAATAAGTTAAATTGATCCAGGGGGTGATACGAAGGGGAGCAAGTGGCATACCTATGATATTCTTCGTTGGAATTCCGACAAGTAGCTCGTGCAGCACGGCCGAGACGAAGAACACAGCAATACTAGCAGATGTCATATTCCAGCCCCTACCTATCAAAGGCGAAAATATGTGTCGCTTCATAAATTGGTAGACGGGTTTATTCCACAATCGCCAATAATCACCAAGGCCTGCTGAATTCCACCAATCGTCATAAAATGCGCGGTCGCCAAATCTCATTATTTCGGCAAGTGCATTCAGTGCCGATTGAAATAGAGCGAAGAAACCCGCTAGCCAGATGATAAGTGAAATTGTAGACAGCTTCAGCAATCGCTCGACAATCGAAACCAGATCTAAATGATCTATTTTGTCTAGTGAATTCCATAGTACCGGCGCGGCGTATTGGGCGCTACAGAACCATATGAAAACACTTAGACAAACAACTTCGCCAAGTCTCTTAAGGACGAAGATCCATCTAATATTTTCCGACCGGGGATAAACAGGTTGGTATACCAGCGTCGGCGCCCACCAAAAATAAGTCAGATTACCCATCGTAATATTTAGGGGATAAGGACATTGCGCATAAATCTCGGGCAATATGGCCAACTCGCTCTTAACCGGGTGGAGATACGCATGTCGCAAGTCTCTGTTCGTGAGGGCGTATGATAGAACCTTCATATAAACGATAATGACGTGGAGTTCGGTTATAGTACCGATTAAGGGGTGGTGAATGTGGAAATAAACGACCCAACTGTGGATGGCTAGAGCCAAGCTCGCATTGCAAAGATGAGCGAATCGTATATTTCGCCAAGTTGATTCAAATTTGGCCTGCTGGTCTTCCGTTGGGCTCGAAGACCCTCCTTTAGTAATAGATTGAGCTCGTGAAATCCGAGCCTGCTTCGCAGCGTACCATTCGAACGAATATGCAATAAATAGATGGCAAGGGACTAGTATATAAAGGAGAAACCCAAGAAGGACATCTTGGCGGCGAAAGTCGTGACATGTTATACATATAAGGTTTCCGTACTGTCTGTAGTGTGAGTATGTCCGACCTGCTGATGGATTATGGCTCTTGACCAACCTTTTGCATGTTTTCTATGACCAATCGCAAGTTTCCCACAACTAGGAAGCGTCAGTGCACCCTAAAACCCACTACCACACAGCTGCGGAACCGTACCTAACACAATAACCATAAGATTCCGAAACCCCAAGAAACTGGGAGGAGCCGTTGCGTCATGGCTCAAGGTGGAAGGTCTCGACTGAGAGTGGACCGCAGTAACATGTTTATATTTCCTCAGCGCAAATGTCTTTTTCTCTCCACCTGTATTTCCGTTCGTGACTGTGACCGTAGCTTTAGGCTCGCTCGTACCATCGGTTCGTCGCAAGACTGACGTCCCCTCGGACGTCTCGATGCTCGTGGTAGTGGCCGAATCCATGACGAACTTCGTATAGTCGAACAATTACCTCGCCTAGCAATGCAATTGAATCGTTCGACACATTTGGGACTTCGCGAAGGCAAGACAGGAAGATAGTTCGGGATATACCGGAAGGCAATGACTACAGCACTGTCAGCAAGTGTCTCATGGAGGCGATTTCCTTTCACCGGTTTCGAGCTCGCGACGCCACTTTTGCACAAGCGCAATCCTTCAACCACCGAGGGAAGAGATAGCGAAGAGATAGCTAAGACATGGATTACGCTGAGGTTCGTGCTGCGGAGTCGGTTTAATCGGCGAGGAAGGGTGATGATGGTTATGATATATACCTACATAGGCAATTATGGGAATCCTATATAAGAAGAAATTGAGCTGTCACAATGTATACCCTAGATATCTAAGTGACGTAGTATCACCATCCTCTGTTTTTCATATATAAGTATTGTTATCTAATTAGTGTGATATGTTCGTGGTTATCGATTGAGGTCAATTGGAATGCAGACGCCGGTAGCAACGCAATCAGAAATAGTAGGATAGTAGTATGGGAAGAAGAAAGAGAAAGAGAGGTTTTATTCGAGGAATGGTTTAATAAAAAAAAAAAAAAGGTAAAGCACCCTTGGTCGTTCCCAAACTTAACCTTAAGCCTATTTTAGTATTTTAGTCTTCGCAGGTAAACTGCAACAATAGGTATCGCCATTATTGCATCAGAGACGACCCAGACCCTGTCGATCGAGAACGGTGGAGACAAGGGAGCTTCCTTCCCCTCCGTTGTATTGGAAGGAGATGCATCGACTTAGTGGGGCGAAAGAATGCGGGATACTTTGTTATCAGACTTTGATGATGCTTGTTTATCTTTTACATTTACGAATAACTCCGGAATTTTTGGTGGTGAGGCCGACCGGAGTTGGGATTGCACTATGCACCTCGCATCGTGATTGGATCTTGTCTTTGTACGGCATTCTCAAGCATGATACCTAGATAATGACTTGGTACAAATGTACATAAAATGAGAAAAATAGAAAAAAAAAAAAAAATAGATGGACCGAGAGCAAGCTAGTCACTGCATACGAGTAGCAACATTAAACCTCGATGTAACCTTAAATTAACATGTGAAGAAACGCTTGGCCATGAGAATTGTCGGCTCGCCTTTGAAGAACAAATAAATACCTAGGTAGGTATGGGTCTAGCCTGACTCCAGCTTTTAAAATTGAGAAGACCGAGGACGCTATCGTTGCAGATACCCCACCTAGATGTGGCTTGTTCATTTAATCACTAAGTGGGGATAAATGGCTTAACTATTAGCTTCAGCCGCAGCCTTCCATTGTGGCTAGAATAGTACATAGGTACAAATTTCATTGGGAAGCTCCCTGGTCAAAATTACTTGCAGCCATTCTTTAATTGATCGCGTCGCTATCTATCCTTTCTCATTCCAAGCTCACCCATCACCCAATCATCTACAAACTCAACCAACAATACAATATCTCTCTCCGAACAAATTTACGTATTTTATTTGATAATATTGTTCGCGACCTTGCATTTTCTACGCGAATGCTGTTATAGTCAATCATGGCTTACGATCCACGCGGGGATCATGGCGCGTCAGGTGGACATGAGTCTGGTGGCTTCGTGAGAGCTAGGGGTCGACGTGAGTCTATCTTAATTTATTCCTTTTGCGCAGCCCTGAGGTTGTCGGGGTGTTGGTGTTCCTTGTGTTGCGAACTCTTGCCAAAATCCTATGAGGAGTTCGACTAAACCTCCTATCGCTTAATAAATTTCTACCATGTCTCTCCTGTGGAATCTCATATGTTAACATTATTTAGGCCCTGTTACCGATTATGGCTCTACACTTGCGCATTGGATGCGCGATCGTCAACCGCGATTCAAGGGCGCATCTAGGGGCGAAGCTGAACGCCCTAGCGCCAGCTATATCGTTGATGTGAGTCTACCGATATGAGATTTCTGCAGTATACTGAACAAAACCCAGATGCTACCACCACTAGCAAGAGTCACTAATCCCGCGGACACAGTTCCTACAAAGCATCTTCATTCATCTTTGAACAAGATTAAGCATCCAGTTAACGTTGTGCGATGGACACCGGAAGGACGCCGACTACTAACCGCATCAAGCAGCGGTGAATTTACACTATGGAACGGTACTGGGTTTAACTTTGAAACCATTATGCAGGCTCACGATGTCGCGATCCGGGCCTTGGCTTATTCCCACAGCGACGATTGGTTGATATCGGCTGATCACGATGGTATCATCAAGTACTGGCAACCGAATTTTAACAATGTACAGGTCATACAAGGCCATACCGATCCCATCCGAGACCTTGCATTTAGCCCTAACGACTCCAAATTCGTAACGGCATCTGATGATTCCTCCCTCAAAATCTTCGATTTCGCTGGAGGTGTCGCTGAGTCAACTTTGCAAGGCCATGGCTGGGATGCTAAGAGTTGTGACTGGCATCCTACGAAGGGATTGATAGTTTCTGGATCAAAGGACCACTTAGTAAAACTTTGGGATCCTCGAACTCAGCGGTGTCTAACCACACTTCATGGACATAAAAATACTATCACTAAAACTTCGTTTGAGCGTGTTATGGGATGGTGTCTTGCGACCTCCGCGCGAGACCAGACAGCTAGGATATTCGATATTCGAATGATGCGAGATATATGTCTTCTGAGAGGACATGAAAAGGACATCTCGACTCTTGCCTGGCATCCAATTCACCCGAACCTTCTCAGTACTGGAGGTAGCGAAGGCTCTTTATTCCACTATATTCTAGATGAGCCAAACACCCCGGCCGGACAGGCCATCAGCACGGCTGTCTACGAAAGCCCCGACCCCTTAACAGCACCCGCTCAATCCATATATCCAACTCACAAAATCCCGTTCGCTCATGATTTTGCTATCTGGTCTCTTGATTGGCATCCTCTTGGTCATATTTTGGCGTCTGGTTCCAACGACCGTATCACAAGGTTTTGGTCCCGTGGTCGACCAGGTGAAACTGATATCTTCCAAGACAGGTATCATATTGGTGAGGCAGCTGCTGAAGCTCAAGGTACCTGGGATCGACGTGGCGGCCGTCGTCAACGTCAAGAAGAGGAAGAACAAGAACTTGAAGATGAAGCGGAAGGTTTGGTGGATCAGAAAATGCCACTCAGGCAACCAGCGTCTGCGTTTCCAGGTCTTCCAGGTCTTTCTCTACCGGTTAACGGCATTCCTCCACCACCGCCTCAAATTCCCGGAGTTGGTGCTGCCTCATTACCAATTGCAGCGCCGCCCCCTCTACCATTCCCACTCCCTGGTGCTGCTGGTGGACCACCTTTGCCTCTACCAGGTGGTTTGGATCCTAATAATCCAGCCGACTTTGCCAAGATAGCAGAGATGATGCAGAAAGCCGGATTACCCCCTCCGCCTCCTCCCAACATGCTTCCGCCAGGTTTAATTCCGCCTCCGAATTTTACGGTCCCTCCCGGATTTCCGCCACCACCTCCATTCGCGCAAGGAGGTGTCGAGATGCAAGCTGATGGTAGTAATGGTGGTAGGAGGAGGATACCCCTCCCTAGTCAAGAGGAAAGTTTACGAATGGAACAGAAGAAAGGGAATTATACTCGGGTGCGTTAGGAGCCTTGAGGCTTCACCCCGTTTCAACCGTATTGAAACCGGAATGCATCCTCTCTATCGAACGAAACAATCAGCCCGAAGAAGCCGGCAATTATGGTCCCAGATATTCGGATATTTCCAATCCAACTGCATCAGAAATAAGTCTAGGAAACGGAAACAAAGTGGTTCGCACAAGCAACGACTAATCCCCTAGTCCAATACCCTCGCCTGGTCGGGTTGTGTTGACGGCGGTACCTCCCAATTGTGGGAAGGTGAATCCCTGGTTTCGGTCTGTCCCAAACCCGTGGGTATTAAACAAAGTCAGCTGAAGAAATCCTGGGTTAATACCAGAGTCAGTTTTGCTTGAGTTGGGACCAGGACAGTGTATAACAAAATGGGTTTTGCTTGCATAGTTCAGAGGGCTGAGCATGTGCGATGAGCACAGATGATGCTCTTCAGCCATAAGGGTAGATACCCCGGGCGTTGAAGGTGTTGTTAAAGGAGAATTTGGTCATAGCTAGTGAATGAAGTACAACGAATTTTGCGCCACTATATGCCATCTATTAATCATGATCTAAATCGCTTCGAGTGGTAATCTTGCTAAAGACACTAGACATATCACTTTGTGAGCACGCAACTTATGACTATCTACAAATGATATTATGCTATGTAATGCTATGCTATGTCCCCATCCGTTATGCTCGCCATATACCGATGATAATAATAACAAATACGTGTACATAGAGGTGTCGGTAGGTAATTTAGGTGTAAACAAGGGGCAGATAAGTATGCGAATGAATATTTCAATTTGTCTTGGGATCGAAATCAGACGATGTATACCGCAAAATTCGCCAAGTCCCATAAGGGAAGAAAACGCAATGCAAGAACCGTGTACGAACGCCGTGACCAAATAGATTCACACTGGTTTGGTATGGTAGATATTAATCCTATCGAGTTGCTACCTTCGCGTCGACGAAAACGCCTTCTAATCTTCTATCCGTAGATACATCATGAGTCGTTTCCTTGGACAGTAGTAGAAATAGTAGAAACAATAGAGATATCATAAAATCGTGATCCGTAATATGAATAACGTGATGATAACTAAATTGTCTCAAGTTGACTAGCGCTTGGCAACAGCTGTAGAAGACGGGCTAGGTGGTTTTGCGAAGGCCTTTTGTCTATCGGCGTAATCCCTGATGACTAACGCACACGAGGTATCCGCGCAAAGTCTTCGGCGGCGCTGCGCGGGTAGTTTCGTAGCGAATTCTAGACCACTCGCGCGCTCGACTGCTTCAACCGGGACCTCGAAATCGGCAAGTGGTTTCTCATTCGGGATCGGCGCATTCGGGAGGACGAAAGCGCCAATCGCCACATTCCCACCGACGGCACCATCTTCCGCGAAAATAACTTTGTAGAAGTGCGTAGGCACAGCGACGTTTGGCGGGTTGCCGATGACTTCGTAGCGCACGTACCACTTATTATCCGCGGGGTCGCGCTTGGGTAGATATAACGGTCCGGTTACGACGCGAACGCTGGGATACCGTCTTGTTAACCCGCGGCAGAAGTCCTCGAAATGCGCCCAGTAGTCACGGTTAAACCCCTCGCCGACCTGCGGACACATGTTCGTCAGGAAGAACGTCTCATCCATGGCGGTTTGACTCCATTTCGCGTCCGCGGCAGGGACTTGGTGGCCTCGGTCGTAGCCGGATCGGAAGTAGTCTTTTAGCTTCGCTCGGAATTTCTCGGGGACGCCTTCGTCTTCGATGAATACGCTGTGCTTGCGATCGCCGTCGCGGAGGGCTAGGGAGGCCGGGGTTATGTGCTCGACGACCCAGTGTGGGTTGCGGAGGCGACGGTCAAAGGATGATATTAGGGCTTGCCGTGTTGCTATGTCGGAGATGGGGCCTGGGAAGCCGTATTCGAAAAGCCCGGAAGGATCGACAGGTGCGAGGCCTAAGGCTGCGGGCGCTGATGTCGATAGCCCGGTTTGTTGCTGTGTCTGTTGTTGTTGCGTAAATATTTGTTTAGCTGGTATGGGGATTGGTGCTGATGTCGTTGTAGTTGTGGTAGTCGTAGATAATGTGTCGAGCTTGCGCTCAGATTGCGATCGTAACGAATACATGGTTGCTGTAATAGCGGCACCGGCTCCTGCGCTTGCCGCTGCGATAACTGCTAACGTAGTTTTTGACATGACGGGCAAACGGGAGGGCTCCCTCTGGGAGCTCGTTCTGCTGTATGGGTTTTATACGAGGACGTAGAAAACAGGCAGAAGAAAAGGGAAAATGGCAGTGATAATGTCAGGCGCAGGATGTATGAGCAATATGAGGCTCACGAGGGGTGTGTTGCGGTCGCCCTCGTGGTGGTTGGGCGTGCTGCAGATGTCTCAGACGAGATCTTGGAAAGAGATTTTGAGCCTCGCGGGTTAGTGGACTTAGTGCCCTGAGATAAGATGGAAGAACGCTATCTATTGGCTGTAATTGGGTAAGGAGGCCCTAGCTTCCTGTAAGGTACAGGGGCTTACAGGCCAATGATTTATTTCGGTCAAATCCGTCCGCGTGGTACCTGTCAACTCTCAGCTATTTTAACTCAGCCCTAAAACCTTGGAACCAGAGATGGACTTTCCTTGCGTCACATGGGAAAGTACTTCGAAACTACCAGATTTGCTTATAATTCTACGATTCCCATCTGTACATGTGTATTTAGACTTTAGACTCATTTCGGTCATCAGTTCCTCGGTACCCGGGTTGACTTATGACGTCAATAGGTTTAACGGTCGAATACCTTAGGTAATACATCTACTTGCCTACAGCCTATCCGCGTGTTAGTAAATCAAATGACCTTCTCTAATAAATACGGATAACTTGACTTACACCAGTACTCACAAAGGCTCACTTGAGTTGTACTTGAAAGATATGTCAAAAAGCAATATGGGTATCAGTATATTCATCCCATCATCTTATAGATATATACAAACTCGTCTAATCCTAACATGAAGAGACAATCAAGACACCAACTAACATATTCGTATATAACCTAACTATTTAGGTCAACCTTTTCATCCCGTCATAAATGCTGGTGTTGGAATCTAGTATAAATATCAAATACGTCGACAACGAAGTCCAGGACACTCCCCGAGTAATGGCGTCACCGATGCCCCTCCTAATCAGAGTTGCGGTATGCCCTACTCTCGGGGTTCCTCATTAGCTCGTAGCTTTCCTCATGTCGTTCTATGCTACTCCCTCTCTCTGGGCGAGGACTGGCCGAGCCCTGTTTCGCCTCTTCAATAGCCCGGAGTCCTGCCTCCATTAATGAAGTCGGTTCGCCATGTTCATCTTTTTGAGTCAACGCATATTCGGGTCCATGCTTCTGTAGGGTTCGTTCGAACTTCATGAAGTTTACACCCTGGTGTATCAGTTGAGCTATCGCGAGGCCAAGCAATATGGTTGCTGTTGTCTGGCCGAAATCCCACTCGTTCTCGTTCTCGTGTTCCTCGAGGGAGTCTTGGTTTGCACTTCGTAGGGCAATCATCATGTACAAGTGGACGGGGAATTGTAAAAAGCTGAGAATCAACAGGGGTTTCCGGAACTTGGCCGAGGCGAAGAGAGCTCCGAACATGACTAACAATAGCCATATTGCTGTGACCGCCACGTACGATTTGTCGGTCAGGGGGTGGGCTGCTCCTGCAGTTGCGATACCGGTCGTCACATAACAGTAGCCGACTTCTTCGGAGGTTAACGACCATTGATCGAGACGAATTTCGAGAAGGATGGTTAGGACTAGAAATAGTATTGCAAAGACGTATGATACTCGGAAACGTCCAGTCCAGTGAGCCGGGATCACTCTGCGATGTCGCTTAGCGGGCTCCTTAGCTTGCATGAAGGTCCAGCAGACGAGTGCTGCCGCGTTCGAAATACTAAATTCGGAACAGAGTTAGAAGATAGATTCACTAAACCATCTCAAATAACGGGGTATCAAGCACTTACCCGACGAAGCTTACGGTGTCGAAGACTAAGTGTAGATGATACAAGTCGATCTCAGTGCCCTTCGATAGCGCCGTGATGATGAGTGCGACTCCTACAAATCAAATGTGAGCCAAGATATCATCTAAAGCAATGTATGGGTGAAAACCCGTAGGTTGGTGGACGTACCAGTAATCATCTGTAAGTCATTTCCGACCATAAGAATATCAGACACGAAGCCAAGTCGTTTCTTCTGACTTGCATGTTCCCAAGTACCCTCAGGGTGCGAAACATCGAGCCGGCCGAGTTTCGTCAAGAAAAACACCCAGAAAGCTAACACTAACGAGATGAGAGCTTGTACGCTGAGACCTATTAAAACCTTTACGCGTAAATATTGTTAGCATCAGTCGAATCTATATAGAATAGAGTGTAATGAACTTACACCATAACCCGCAATGTCGGGCATGGCCTCGCCGACTTTCTCGCATTTTAACTCCTCAACACCCGTCTCGGGCGCCTCAGATGCCTCCATCTTGATTACCTAATTATCAGGTTTCGACTTTTTGATACTCGGCAGACGTAAGAAGCTTATTCTGTAGGGCTAGGGAAATCGAATCGCCAAGTTGCCAAGGGAGCACACAATTGGTGATGTATCACGCAGCCAAGATGAATCCAGGCGTCCCAAGCCTTTTAACTTTCTCAGCTTCTACATTTTTCTCTGTATCTTTGTATCCACGCCAGCGGGTCATATCTTGGCATTGCTTTGCGCTGAAACATTTTGCATAGAACTTGCGTTAGCATGTCTATAGAGGAACGTGGATGAAGATCCTGAGAATGAGTTGGCAGGGTCTAGTGGATTTTGGGTAAATACCGTGCCGCAGAGTTGCGGGGGCACTATCTATATTTGGACGAATAGTCCCAGCCGAATATGAGCTAATCTCCTCGAACCGCTGTAAGCTGAATACAAACGGTGGTGGCTTTGTGGAACTGCTTTATATAAGTGGCTTGTTGATCTCCACGCATTACCCAGCTATGTAGAATTTCTCTTCGCAAACTCCGGTATTGTTACCAGCCACCCCGTCCCTACGCAGTTTGAGATGTCCTAGCACTGCTACTCTAGTAGGGATGGGGCCTCGCCAGCCTTACCGCCTTGTACATTTAACTCCGCGATTACTGATTAAAACCGGTACTACTTATGTAATGCCTCAACGTAGATAGGAATAATTCCGCGCGATGGAGCTGTGTAGATCAACGCTTGATGTCTGGTGCCTCAGGAATTTCTGGGTCAGCCACAAGCATCCCGAGGCCCCCGATCGGCGCAGAGCGAGGTTTCCGATCGCCACACTGCGCCATGCTGCCCGCATTCGCAATCGCATAGTTATGTATGTAAGAATATAGAACCAAAGATCCAGAAGATTTAGCGAGAGAGGGCTTATAGTGGCAAACACGTTGAATAATTGATATGAGAGGGACGCATGTCACCCAATGATGACGGGAAACGGTAAGCGATATTAAACATGAGCAATAAATCATCTCACAGCATCGGTGTACAGTCATAACTAGGAGTTGGAGTAAATAGATCGGATCGCGGCAGCGAGTGAAACTCGGATACATGTGTTACTAGTCACGTCGGATGTGGACAACTCGATGAGGCCGCTTGGTGGCTGGCCCTGAAAAAGCAAATGTGTACCAGGCAAATATGAGTGGGGGTCAACACCTTATTCAAACTCATCTTACAGATGAGTATATTATCGTTTACACACCTACCTCAGTAACAAGTCACTACTTCATAGTATCCGTTTATGTAGGACTTGGACGTTATGGTGATGAACGCAACACACTATGCTACTCCCCAAAGCATTCTAAACTAGATCAAATACGGCTGCGTCGTTGAGCAACGTATAACTTGCACATAACCTGGTGGTGTGTCGGTAGTACGAAACGCCCCTCGTACAACGAAAATCGGGGGAAGCTTTCCGGTCAGAGTAGGACAAACCACGCATGTCTGATCAAATTACCCAAAGCCACTGCATGATGTGTAATTGACCGCGACCTAATAAGCTATGGCTCTTAGTCGTAGAGATTCGATCGCTTTTCGGGGACGTAAGCAGGACTGCATGGCTCGCAGCATAATCCCCGTTTTCGTAACGTTTGAGGAAATCCCATATAAGCAAAGTGTAAAAATCCGGGTAGGACTTGAGGTCATTGACGAACTTTCTTTTCATCAGGAATGATGATATAATACAGACCACGGCATAGAGTTGAGTGGACCATGATATACATATATAATTGTTGAAGACCGGAGGTCCGTGTGGACTTCGTATGATATATAACGTACACCGCTTGAAACGCTTGTCACATGTCGGTCCATCAAGGTTCTCATATCGTGTATGCTGTCTCAATCACCTGTTTGTTGCGGCTTGACAAATAAACCAATGAGCATGGTTAAATCGCTACGAGTGACCTTTCTCTTGACCATCTAACTAGGAAAAGCAAAGGTCAGCGATTCCAACAAGGTACTCAAAATCCAGGTCGGTGAGTTAGGTGTATCGAGTTGGCCGCTAATATGACCTTCTGACTGTGTGCACGTTGATCTTTGAAACGTTGTCACCTAGGTAGTAACTTATAGGTCAGGTATAACTCTTTGAGGCTCATCTCTGAATCGGGAAATAGAGTTGTCTGTTTGTTAAGTAGAAGGGTATGGTGGATATGTTAGAAGCCAAAAGAGATTGGCGCATCTGAAGTTGAGGCGCTAAAACAGAGATACCACCCTATAAAGGCACGGGTAGCATTTACACATGCCTTACGGTAGTTCTATACCACCCACTGCGGGAACTAATATTGCTTCGTGTGATGTTTAGTGCGAGGGCCCTGACGATCAACCCCTACCTTGAGTGGAGATCATGAAGATGTGGTAGAGCTGACATTGGTGAATCTAAAGTCTGTACAAGGCTGCATGTAGGACATTGCCAACAAACAACCTACTAAGAAGCCATCGCATGTAGTGATTTGAAAGACGAAAGGACAACTTTAGGATAAAGATAGGTTTAATAAATGGTGGATTTATCTTTAATGTTTCATTCAATTAATGTAAGGCGGATTTCGACTCTCAGCTCCAGAGCCTCATCTTTAAAATAGAAGGTAAAAGGAGAACTATTCAGAGAAAGGCATCTGTAGATTTAACCTTGATGGCTACAGCAGCGGGTTTCTGTGGAGCCTCGAGAGTTTCCTAATTACTAAGTGCCTTAGCAAGATTGGCCATCAAGGTACCCGTCGCGGAACGGCTGGGCGAAGCTTGGCATAGCATCATAGGTCAGCCGACCAATCAAAAATCAGATATACAAACAGCTCCTGTCGCTACCCGCCCTAACATATAGGCAGTAGGTACCTGTGTAGCCACCAAACCCAGATCGGCATTCAAGCTAAATAGGTAGAACCTTCCGTCTACATCGCCTTTAGAAATTACCATCACCAACATTTTATCCTTTAGGTGTTGTTCCTTCTCTTCGCTTTTGTCTTCACTTACATCTTTTTTTTTTTTTCACTCCTATGGTTCTATCCATATACCATCTCCATATCCTCACGGCCGCATCCTTTGTCGGGGAATTTGCATGTCTTGTCACCTCGAAACGGAAACTTGACAACTGCCAAAAGCGTCTTGGCCTACAAATTAATCCCACGTGGAGGTTCTCTAACAATACGTATTCTTCTATATCGTCGATAGAACCACACCAAAATTTCAACTCTATGATCCCTTAGTTCATTCTTAAAATTGCTCGAGGGAGGACGGGCTACTGCAGGTACAAGGCAACGGGGTATTGCAAGATTTAAGTCAAAAAAGGGGCCCACCATGGAGGTCCTCGAACTCGACAATGACACCAGAGGGTGGATCATGTGCCTGGTGAGCGGTGTTGGTGGGTGACCTTAACCGTATGGACTATGCGAAATTCGCCTGATATACTAACTGACCAACTGTATCATTATAGCGTGTGTGATAGGATCCTCAATCATCTGTGTCGATGTGTTCGTACGGTTGCTTCCCGGTAAAAAGAACTTTCGAATACAGGATAGCAATACCTTTCTCGCCTGCTCATTGAGTTTGAGTTTTGGTGTCATGGTGGGTCTAAGCATATGCTCATTCTTAATAGAACATACTGATATTGTTATTCTAGCTGTTCATGTCATTATATAGCATGTTACCTGAGGCGAAGGGTTACCTTCAAAAGGGAGGCTTTTCAGATCAGAATGCGGGCTTTATTATGATGGGCTCTTTTGTGGGTGGTTTTGTTGGGATACAAATACTCTCGAGATTGTTTCACCAATTCATACCATCACATGTTGTCGATTGCGATCACAGCCACGATGATCACCCCTTAGATATCCATCACCATTCGAATGGTTTTCCTCGAAGGTTATCCTCCCATGCTCGAAGTATACGTCATCATTCTTTACATTCCCACTCTCACGGGCCAAAGCCCCATACGAGCGAGAACGGACACGCTAGTGAAACCACGCCGTTACTCCCCACAAGTCCTTCGCACGAAACTCATCGTATACGACCGCTTAGGAGAGCGGAGACTGAGAGTCTCCCCGGTACCGCCCCTCCTGCTTCTCTACGCGGAGCTCGCAGCCGGGCTGCGACGTCGGATAGACGGCCTTCGATGTTGCAAAAGCGGGTATTGTCATTTGTGAAAGATACCAAGCCAAATTGTGACGAGGCTGGCCCGTGCTATGGATATTCGGATCCATGTGGTCAAGAATGCTTCAAGCACTTGAGCAACAGGTCCGGACTTCTATCTCGAGCACCAACTAGTCTTATTCGCAATGCTACAACTGGACTCGGTGAAACATATATAGAAACGGTGGATGAAAATGATGATCATGATGATGATCATTCAACTGCAGTGAGCCCCACATGTCGAATGAGCCGCGTGCATTCGCACGATACTCACCACGAACATGAAGATGATTGTCATTCCGAAAATTCCGAGGATCCTGAGGCTCAACATCACCACCACGTCGCCGAGAACGCCTTCTTATCCATTGGCCTTCAAACCTCAGTCGCTATTGCGTTACATAAATTCCCCGAAGGCTTCATTACCTACGCCACGAACCATGCTAACCCCTCGCTTGGTTTCAATGTATTTCTAGCATTATTCGTCCACAATATCTCCGAAGGCTTTGCCCTTGCCCTACCATTATATATGGCATTAAATAGCAGGCCACGCGCCATGCTATGGTCTTCCATGCTAGGCGGATTAAGCCAACCGTTCGGCGCCAGTATCGCTGTGCTATGGTTTAAGTTGGCCTCGCATACTAACATAACGCCCGACGCGGTGGCTTACGGATGCTTGTTTGCTATCACAGCCGGCATCATGGCCAGCGTCGCCCTGCAGTTGTTCGTCGAGAGTTTGAGTCTGAATCACAACCAGAACTTGAGTATTCTATTCGCTTTCTTGGGCATGACGCTGCTGGGTGTCAGCAATGCTTTTACGTCGCATGCGCATTAATTATGCGGGGCTACAATACCAACTCAAAGGGTGATAGGTCAGCATAGGGATGATGAAGAGGGGAGGTGTATTATTGTCATTATTCAATACTGGATAGGAATTAGGCTAGGCATCGGTAGGCTGCATCATAATGGGCGTTCTTAATAGGTCTCACGGATATGAGGGACGCTGGGTACGAAAATTATATGAACTTTGAAGTCTGGTTGTGTGCATTGCAAGGGAATAGTGGCTTGATTGTACCATGGCTCGGGATACGCATCCGTTTTTTAAAGCTCGGCTCCGCTGTACTAGGTAGCGATGGATAGGCCTGCGTTATGTTGAGTTGGAAAATAAAAATCTATTAGTTCTACGTTCGATGCAGCCTGTATTTTGTGACTTGCGTTTATTAATTAACATATTTTGCGGGAGTGATACTCACCAACCAAGAGACATGATTACGTAGAAAATTTCGGTTCTATTCAACTTAGGGTATTCGGTATGATCAAGTAACTTGTCTAGTATGGGTGATATACATTAGGTGTAGCATCGTGACCGGCTAACTCCTATAAACAATTTGGAGCAGTCGAGCCTCTATATTCTCTTCCTCAGTTTACAACTTAGAGTCTACTACCATCCCTCTCCTGTCCCGGCACCAACGCACCGCTCATAACAAATTCACCCCCTTGCGCACCTCTCGGCTGTCCAAAAAGCACCATCTCCCGTCCACCTCCAATGCCCCACCAGGCAACTCCCAGCGCCGCACGTTCAACATCCATTTCACCACCAGAAAGTACATCCCAAAAGCGACGGCGCGCGACCTCACGCATACGAGGGTCGATTACGCTATTCACGGATTCAGCGGCGCGGGATAGCCATTCCTCGACCGAGGGGAGTGGGACGTGAGGTAGACCGTCGATTAGAGCGAGGAGAAGGGCTGTCTGCTCCGAGATAGGAAGTTGCTCTTCCTGATGCGCGGGATCTATTTGTCCCTGCCCCTGCGCGGCGGCGGTGGCAATGGAGTTCGTTGGGTTGGTGCTAGCGGCTGTGGTGGGTTGTTCATTGAGCGGAAGTAAAGGTTCCGTGGACGCGCCCTCGGCGGCGCGGAATCGTAGCATTTCGAGGAGAGTTTCGGAGAGTTCCGGGTGTGTGGCGGCGAGGGGGTATGGTGGGCTGGCGATTTGCATTACGGTGCGGAAGGCGAGGCGGAATTGGCGTGGGGAGATCCGTGAGGGGAAGGATGAGAGGAGGGCGTCGACGTAGAAGGGGATTAGGGAGGCGGCGAGGGGGCTATGTTGTGGACAGGAAAGGACTGAGAGTATGGAGGAATGAGCTGATTCGAATAGCTCAAGGGTTAGGGACGAAGGGGGTTTGTTAGCGGGGCTGGTTAGCCAGGATGTGGGCGATAGGTAGGTTGTTGCGGGTGTGATAATGAGGGCTTCGCAGGAGGGTGTAGAGATTGAGAGGGGTAGGTGCTCGGCTGTGTTGAGGTAGAAGAGTGTTAAGGCTTGTACTACTGGTGATGGCACGGCGTTGCCTATTAGAGGAGGCGGTTGCGTGTCTTGTAAGAAGGATAGACATGCTTCCGGATAGCGCGTGATAATGTCGAGAGAAGTGAGATAGGTGAAAGTATACACCTGGAATGAACCCGCGCCTTGTCGTGTAGACACGAAGGAGAGGTTGCGTAGATTGTGTAACGTTTTCGCAGCTACGGTCGGGGCTATCATATCGTTCCTCATGAAGGGATCTAGTAGCGATCGCCCGACTATAGGTCGGAGGATTGCGACTACGGTATACATAATCTTCTTTAGTAGCTGCCAGAGCATGGGATAAGGGCCTTGCAACACTTCGGCCGGTAGAGCTGCGGCCTCGACGTATAGATCAATAGTTGAAAGGCGGCAAAGGGACCATTTCTCTAGAAGTCCAGTTGTGAAGCCAAGCAATTCCTCATGAGCCCCAAGAACAATATTAGGGTCGCTGGCATGCTGAACGGCAAACGCGCCGAGTCGTGACAACGGTCCCATATTCTGTGCTAGGGGCCGAATTTCTAGTCTTTGAATCTTGACCACAGATGATGAATTAATGTGCCATGTTATGGTTTTTCCCTGGGGAATATCGCGGATGATTGACGAAACAAAGTCACCACGTTGAAATCCTTCGTCTCCGAGCATTGCTTCGATGGTTGCTGGTAGAAGGATGTTGCCATTGAGAAGTATCTTGACTGGTTCTGACAGTAGTGGCAATGCGTATGTTAAAGCTAGAACCACGGCGTCGCGTCCCAAAGGCCCAGTCTTTCTTTCATCTTCTAAAGCCAGATTTGCGGCCGTGACAACAGCTTGTTCGAGCGTTGATCGCAGACTACGGGATAAGGATCTTCGGTCGTCACCTTCCATACCCATCAGGATACCCGTTAACACCAACATATGTTGCCATCGAGTCGATCTTTCGTCTGCCCCCTTCGCAATCGCGCGTGCCCAATCCTCGCTACGAACCCCACTGCCTATGAGTGGTGCTCCTCTTGGAAGTTTCGCGTTATCCAACTCATTCTTGTGCACGTGAATTGCAGCGGTATTGTATATGCTCATGACCCGAAGGCATGTGCGTAACCCATCTGGAGACTGCCATATCGAACGTGCGGTAAGGAAATGTGAGGTGAGCAGAGATAGGTTGAGAGGGTTGTTGAGATTGGTTAGGAGTGCTGTCGTGGTTCCGAAGATCTTGTCTGTCTCGGTCGGATTGGGAACATCTTGGTAGGCCCGTAGGACGGTCGCTAGCATACGATCGGCTGGCATTTTCGTTGTCGGCTCTTCGTTATTCCTTCGTTTTCCAAGAACGCGTGTTTTGCAACACACTGAGGTGTTATTTTTCCATTTCACTGTTTGTTAGAAAGGAATACAAATTGTGATGTAATTGTTATAAGAAGGAAGGAATTAGATTACTGTAGATGCCCGGTAAAATTAGCGGAAAGTCTCGAGGTTTTACCGAGGCACGACGTCAACTGAATTTCATTAGCACTAATAACCCCCTGTAGTTGGTCCCAGCGCGGGAGCTACCCGCTAAGTGACACCCCTGTCGTCTCATTCTTCAGCTTGGAGCTCCACCGCAACTAACTCACCATTAGCATCTACTCCAGGACTTATAGAATGCGACCGTTCTATATACACTACTGCTGAGTTCTCGTGCAACAATTGAGGGGCCAAATGGCCACGACACCGTGAGTAACCATTAACATCTATCTTTGGGAAAATTTACAAAGCTGGAAGCACAACGTTGCTAACTGCAGCCTATAGGCGCGAGTGTCGCGATTACCCTCCCGACGACTACCACACTCCCTCGTTTCCATCCCTCTGCTGGCCTTATGCGAACAATTATTGCGCTCTATATACCGTTTGGGATTCGTGGCGATTCACCCTGCTCTGGACTCTGATACTCTACGCCCTTTTCCATCTGGGCGCGGCGGGTATTGCATTGTCTGTGCAAATCGGGAAACCGGGATCGGTATGGAAGTACTTGCTAGCTGTGCCGGCCATCTACGCCTTGGTTGCAGGAGCTGAGGCTTTGTTTACCGGGAGCATCGTCGGGTTAATGTATGCAAGACCTGCCCTGATCTTACCCTCGAGTTTTGATGGTTGACTTTTCGTGTCTTAGACTTGGCGCTGTCTACATTTCCGGATGCTACCAGATGCCGACTTGGATACCATTTATATGGGGATGGATAAATGTTTTGGTTTTGATCGTTTCATCCTTCACCATACAAGGAGGCCTTTGAGGCGCGAAGCTGTATGATAATAGGACGATTTTACGGATCCTAAGGGTATCATTTGCCCTAACATCAGTACGCGAGAAAGTCAATACACACTCCAGACCGAATTTTTGGGTCCTACACAACCTGATGCGATAGCCGCTACTGAGGGAATAGCTCAGAATATACATAATCTAGGTGTTGAGGGGATTGAGGTAAATATCACTCTTATTTCTGTATTCAGTACTAGAAACAACTAGATGTCATACTTACGCTTGAGATAACTTCATAGGTTTCAAATCTCTGACTTGTCTTGCGCTTATCGACCCTTTTATCATAAAGCTTGATGCTCCTGGGTAAACATACCAACATGACGATAATTAGTTAAAACCAATTGGATATGATTGTGGTAATCTTGCTAATACTAGCCAGCCTCATGAATTTTGTACGTATATTTTTTTTTATTAAGGATTGATTTAATAATATCCAGAGTATCTACACGCAAGATTCTAACCAATTTGATCGCAGGAATACCTAGGTAGTTAGGACTCAACGGAAGCTTCTGTGATACGTCATCATATCCGATGTACCTTTTCTGCAGGTATCACAAAGGCTATTCCGTTTTCGTAAGCGGTGTAAGCTTTTGACCGGCAGAATTCAATCACACCGCTCAAGTTTACTGCACACTAATACGGGGACCGTGGGTCCGTCACGCGAAGCATAATAAAAGCAATAAAACCAATTCAACGCCGAGGACCTAGTATGTGTCGAGTATGTCTTGGGTTCTTCGAATAGCGTGTCTTTGTCCTTTGTAACGAGTGAATACTATTGAATCGTTCAAAAGTGGGAGACCTTTGATTGGGACAATGGAGTCGCCGCCGGATAGGTAAGTCTGATTCCTATTTCAATAAACCATTTTCCCGCGTATTGAGCAAACACCATGGACGTTCTCTGGATACCTCTTCAATAGCGTCGCTGTTATTATTATTGGTAGACCCGAGTGAACTCGCCTAAGTCTCCGGCGCGACATCATGACCCTGCCAATCATTTCGACCTCGGCGCATACGCCGACACCAACGCCGACGCCAGCCACACCGGGCGCCCCGCTGCTGACTTCTCCTCGAGAACACGATGAAGATGATGTATCGTGGGCGACTGGCTTCAGTGCCCGCCGACGTTCCCTAGCGAATATGACCTCAATAAATACCCATACGGACGACGGAAATGCTGACAATCTGCTTCCCCTCCTCAGTCCCGTTGCGCAGAGCGCTAAAACGTCCCCCGAGCGGGCTTACTTCCCTGGCCAATCGAAATCCCTCGAGGGTATCGCGATTCGTTCATTCTATCTCGGTATTGCACTCGCTTCGTCGGTAATAATAATGAGTTCAATTCTCATATTCACTTCGTCACCTCTATGGCGTCTACCTTTTTTCATCGGTGCATTGTCGACGTTTCATTTCCTCGAGTTTTGGACAACGGCGAAATACAATACTCCTGTCGCGAATGTCGGTTCATTCCTTTTAACTGCGAACTGGCCCGCGTATGCGATCGCGCACATGGCAGCTTCGCTCGAATGCCTTTTCACAAAGTTATTGTTCCCGAATCGGTCTTGGGCGCCACTTTATAGTGGCCATATAATCCTACTTCTGGGCTTCATTATGGTATTTGTTGGGCAATTTGTTCGCAGTGCAGCCATGGTTCAGGCTGGCCAATCGTTCAATCATACCATTCAGCACCACAAGAAAGATACCCATGCCCTAGTTACCACGGGTCTCTACTCGTTCCTACGCCATCCCTCATATTTCGGGTTCTTTTATTGGGGAATAGGCACGCAGATGGTCCTAGGAAACCCTGTTTGTTTCATAGGATACACGCTTGTGCTATGGAGATTCTTCTCGGCAAGAGTAAAACATGAGGAAGCGTTACTCGTCCGTTTCTTCGGAGAAGAGTATGTTAGTTATAAAAAGAGAGTTGGAACGCTGATGCCATTTGTTGGCCATTAAGCGACCCTTCATAGGAATTGGTATTGGGGAACGGCGTTTAGGTCTGATACCAATGGGTAGAGTTATAATACCCCGGTTAACGGGTCTATGTCTTGACCATGTAGAAATTATAATAGAATATTTTATGGTTAGTTTAGAGGGTCTTGGTAAATGGTTTGAGAAGATAACAGCAAAACAAAGTCCTTGATGTTGTCCTATAATGAGTAGGACTATCAAGTAGGATCATATGACGCAACCAACACACCACATAGTAGAATTGGAGCTACATCCTTACAAAAACACCAGTAGCCCCACAAGCTGAAAGATATCGTTTGTAATATGTCGAGAATCAAGATCAATTAGTTATCACCTTTGATGGTTGTCTCCTTCAGGTACATGCATATAATGCACTATACCTAGGTATCCTACAAACGGATAAGTGGACACGCCACATTCTCCGGTTTGTACCTATCTTATCGATAGACAAGGAATATAGACCCACTTGTACGTAGCCACCCGAAATTTAGAAGGCCACGATTCAAGTCGGATAATGCAATTCCTTTGGACAGCTTGCTTAACTTGCGCTTTCGCTTTTGATTCTAAATTTAAAACAATTTATCAAGTCCAAACCCACGCACGAGTCTCTCTTTTTTATAATTCTTCGATAACATCAATCACACGACGTGACACATTTTGACGTTCTCTACCGCAGATATTTCAAAAAAGACCCTGTCGTAGGGCTCATCTGCAACCATGAGTTCAGAGTATTCTTACGATGAACAGGGTCAATTCTACCCTTTCTTCGTATTTACTCTGACCTCCATCGTCACCCTCCCTCTCACTTACAGTCTTCTCGCGCCGAGCAAGGATCCCGCTTCCCTTGCCCCACGATTGAAATCCTCTTACAAACCCGAACATGATGACTTAATACAAGGACTACGTGCTGCGCAGAAGCGAAAGCAGCGCAAGGTCAAGCGCGCCATCGCCGTCATCCTAGGCTGGGCATTGATGGCTGGCATGCTATATCTAATTGTCACTACCCAACGAACAACAGCCAAGATATGGAATCCCTACGATATTCTAGGCGTCTCCGAGGTACGCTTTCGGCGATTTCTACCTCTATTCATCTATAGCCTAATACTAACGAAACCTGTTTGTAGTCGGCGTCCGATAAACAGATCAAGTCCCATTACAGAAAACTTGGTCTCAAGTTCCACCCCGATAAAGCCAGACCTGACCCGGCGAAGAACGAGACCGCCGAGACATTAAGCGACAAATGGGTCGAGCTCACTAAGGCATACCAAGCACTTACCGATGAAGAGGTTCGCAACAACTACATCCAATACGGACACCCCGACGGCAAGCAAAGCTACAGCATAGGAATTGCTCTCCCCAAGTTCATCATATCTGAAGGAAATGGAAAATATGTCGTACTTGTCTATGCTCTGCTTCTAGGTGTCTTGCTGCCTTACTACGTTGGATCGTGGTGGTATGGTACCCAACGCATAACAAAGGAGGGAGTACTAGTCGAGAGTGCCAACAATCTATTCCGCGAATACTCCGAGAACATGGAAGAGGGAGATCTCGTGACTGCTCTGAGTGGCGGCAAGGAGTTCCAAGAGGTTCTGAAGGGAGACAAGGCCGAGTCCGGACTTTCAAAACTCGAATCGAGAATACTTGCAGAAGGCCAAATCACGCCGTTTGCTGGCGGGTTATCTGTCAAGGACAAGGAGAAGCTGGAGGATCTCGAGAGCGGTGTTCGAAGGAAGGTTTTGGCTCTTCTTTGGGCATACCTCGGCCGTGTAGAGCTTGATGACCCCGCCCTCGATAAAGATAAATACACCGTGGCTCCTATCGCTCAGAGTCTCTGCAGTTCCTTCAGGGCGATTTCCCTCGCATATAGCAACACCGGACCTATTCTAGCTTCATTCTACACCAGCCAACGACTCATCCAAGCTCTACCGCCAAAGGCATCTCCTCTCTTCCAGCTTCCCCACTTCACACCTGCGGTTGTTAAGGCCATCGAGGGCGATTCGACGACACATCTATCTGTTCAAGAGTTCATGGATTTACCCGATTCGGAGCGTAGGAGTATTGCTGTAGGAAATGGACTTCTAAGCGAAGAGCAATACAAGACTACCGTCAGTCTCGCAGGCCAACTCCCATATTTCAGAGTCGCAAAAGCATTTTTCAAGGTTGCCGGCGAGCGATTTATCATCCCGTCATCTTTGGTTACACTGGTTGTGAAGGGCCGATTCATTCCTCCCGGAAGTGTCAACGTTCCAGAAATCAATGAGCTTGACCTTGAAGATGTTGACCCAGCTGAAGATGACCTCGATGCGCTTATGGGACGCAAGAAGACTGTGAAGGACGCAAATGGAAAGATAGTCACCAAGGAAGAAACCAAACCCGTATCACCCCCGATTACTTTCGCGCCTTATTATGCTCGCGAACACTCGCCGAAGTGGCATGCTTTCCTTTCGGATAGTAAACAGGGAAAGATGGCAGTTCCGCCGTTCACATTTACCCAATTCGACCAGCCTCTATTTACCGATGACGGAAAGCCAACGTTTAACATGCAGACCCTAAAAGCGCAATTTGCTGCCCCGCCGCAGGCAGGCACCTACACCTTTGTGTTACATGTCGTGTGTGACAGTTACGTCGGATTTGACACTAAGATGGAGGTTACCCTCAATGTTGAGGACACTAGCAAGGCTGCAGCAATGGCCGCTGAGGACGAGATTAGTGAGCCGGACGAAGGTAAGATCTCTTTATTCGAAGTATAATACCGGCAATTTCTAACAACTTTACAGATTCTATTGCCGGCCAAATGAGCGCACTTAAGGGTGGTAGTGTAGCAACGAAGCCCAAGAGGCGGAAAGACGACGACTCGGAAGAGGAGGATGAGAGTGGTACCGAAGAGGAAGAGGACGACACTAGTGAAACAAATACCGATACTGAACCTGAGTCGTAGGATATTAAATTTCTACGATTGGACAGTATTGAAAAGCGAAGGTTGATTAATTGGGTGGATACCCCTAAGGCGATACTCGACAATAACATCCCGTCGAAATTCGCAATTCTCATCATGTTGGCAGTTGGCATAATACCAACTTCCAAACTACCTACCTATCCAAGATGGTAACACGTGTAAAGATAGTAAGTCTTCTGCGGATTAAAAAGCGCGTACGCTATTGCAGCAAGCATAGGATTGGCGTCGTGGCGTTTGAAGGAGGAATTTGCCATGCGATAGGGCGTATAGACCTGCCAGTCCACGCGCCGCAGAAATATGGTCTAATACATATTGAAGTTCATAAAACTTAATGTCTTTGTGAAGATCGCGGTTTGATATATGTTCTGTATTGTGATGCGTTTATATGTGTCTGGGATATACACAATTACTCAATACGCGGGAATCTCTTCCCCCTTCCGTTCACGCCTAAAAATCGATATCACAACATAACTAGACACCTTCCATACCAACCAACCCCAACTATCCCTTTCGCCTGCAGTAGGGACCTATAATAGTACAGTAGAGTATCACCTCTCATCTCACATCAGAATACTCTCAGCTTCCACGACACATCTCATGCTACTTCAACTTTCACCAACGACACCAAGAGGTCAGTCAACAGACCCTAACTCCACAAACCTCAACCCCCTTCCCTTCAACATACGCTCTCCGTCCAAAATACGCAGCTACAGCCGCCTTGATGAATTCAGCATCGGTAGCACTCCACACATCAAGACCCATCCTCGCGACCGCATCACTACCAATCCTAATACCTCGTCCATCCAACTCCTCTTCAGCCCCTACATCCCGTAACAATGCAGCACGATCCTCATCCCCACTCCCCTCATCCTCCCCCTCATCTTCCTCACTACTATCATCACTAGTACTCTCCACAATATCCGCCAACGTACCGAGAACCTGGGTAGTCAATCGATGGAAATACGCAATAACCGCTAACTCCGCCCTCGCCTCATCACTCTCAAACGCCGCAGCGCGGGGGGTAAGTGAAGCCATCGACGTTGATAAATCGGCTCCTCTAGCTCCCGACGAGGGTGAGGGTGCGGTGAGATCAGCGAGGAGTTCGGCGTCATGCGCGGATTCCTCGGCGCGATCGGATCGCGCTTGTTCGCCTGCCGAGGCCCACCACATGAACCCGTTATACGCGAGCGCGGCCCAACTTAACGGCTCCACGACTTCTTTTTCTTCGGCTTCGGAGAGGAAGATATCGTCCGCGTCTGAGGGGTTGGGGGTTGTGGGGGAGGTGGTTAGACTTGTTTGTAGGCGGGTTAGGCCGGCTTTTAGGGAGCGGAAGCGGCGCAGGTCGCGTTGGGTTGCTTTGATGGGGAGGCCTTGGGGGCCTTCTAGTTTGGGCCAGGTGTGGTGTTTTGCGTTGGTGGAGTATGGGGGTGGCATTGTCACGAGGATGTCCCAGAGTGTGTCCTTTTTGGCGAGGATGCTGTCGGTTGTGCAGGCTATCCAGCCTGTTCCTGCTTCGCGCTCGGCTTCGGTGGGTTCGTCGGTGTTGCGGCGGGGTTTGGAGTCTTCGACTAGGAAGGGGATGTCGTGGACACCGATGGAGAAGAGGGGTCGTAGGCGATGAGGGGGTGAGTTGGTGGAGAGGAGGTCGAAGGTTGGTTGGGGGATATTGGATAGAATAGATATATTGTACACTAGGAAACATCGTCAGTCACGAGGTCGCAATCGTAGTAATTAGGTGAGAAAACTAACCGAAGTTGCAAGCTTCTTGTATAGGTGCATGGCACGATATCAAAATACGCTTTCGCAGCAACGCAGCTCGTTGTATAGGGAATATCAGGGGTCCAAAAGTGTCTAATAGTTTTGTCAAGCTCCAAGCGGGATGGAATGGGGATAGTCTATGTCCAGGCGCCAGTAAAGCTGCTCCATCCGAGGCCGAACGATTCCTACGGTGACCTTGAGGTGGCTTTCGGGAAGTTTGTTGGAAAGTAACTGACGGCGATTCGATAGATTCACTTGGTGCAATTGTTTCGGCATCAGCTTGGTTCTTCTTCCAGTACTCTTCCAAAATGCTTGTGTCCTTTCCATCCGCAGCAAGTGCTGCAGTCATATTCTTCAGACCTTCGGCATGTCTCCAAGCTCTTCCCAAGCGCCCATAACTAAGGGGAACCAGTACGCCAACAGCCAGCATTCGAGCATTTCGAACCTCAGTATCCTGGACAGGCGCGTTGATGAACGCGCTTAGTCCTGCGAAACCATCGTGGACAAAGTATATGAGATCCTCAGGCACTGTGTGCAAGCCTGACGGTAGAGACTTGTATTCGACGACACCCTCGAGTTCGACACCAGGTTTAGAAGCTTTCCATGAGATAGTGTAGCCAGCTTTGACGTCGAAGTTGATTAGGAAGAGAGCGAATATAGGAGGTAGATCGGGTAATGTATTGGCAGTGCCCGTGGTCGAGATATTGGGAGTCGAGGGAAGTCGGACTTGAAGCTCGGGCTGGCCGCGGCGGGATGCCGCCATAATGTCTTAGGGTATTCCCCCGACACGCCTTAAGTCAAGAAATGGAAATTCAATTCTCTTAAAGGTATATAGATGCGTTCGAGAGTGGTATGTGTAATTGGATTTGTTGTTGATATAAATCAAATCAGTTGTCGTCGCGCGGTTGTTGGTTGAATTGGAATTGAATTTGAATTGAATTGGATTGGATTTAGGCTTGTAACGTCGCCGACCTGCTGAAGTTAGTGCTAACGAATGACGCTACAGCTAAGAAAACCCCCCGTGGGGCACAATTAAATTAGAGACACTTGCGCTACAGTTACAGTGGAACCACCTATACTAATTCAACCATCAGCATCTAAGACTTCTACTACTTGAACAAAACATCTTCGACCTAGGGCTTTGTTAATCTTAGATCCTCGTAACAGATACAAACAATTACTAGAAAACAGACAGTATGGCTCGGGTTTCTACTTTAAGAATGAGCCCGACGTTGGATCCCGCCGTCTAAGAAACTGCAAGATCTAGCGGGGACAGACGCATTCATGACATCAGCACTACGGCTTTCTATCAACAATACCTGGAGTATAGACCGTAATGGTTCACAATGGTGGAACTGAATGGGTAGATGTAACTCAGCGAGTAACTATTATATATCATTGTGTATAGAGCTATAGGTAATACCGACGTATCTTTCAATTTGTCGTACCTATAATCTTTGCGATCTCACGGCTTCGGTTGTCGTACCGATTCATAACTATCGGAAACGCATCTCGGGTGGCGAGATCAACTATATAAAAGCTGGGGATCACAAGTAGATAATAACCTAGACCCCCAAGTCGAATGAAAAGATCCAATCAAGCCCTTATTACAATATATATAAAACCATGGCAACAAACTCAACGCCCTCAGCCATTCCCGGTGGCCCCCTCTCAGCAGAGGACAAAGTCCTCGAGACGGGCGCATCTCTAATCCAAGACTTCCAACCCACGAAACAGCTCTGCGCTCACTTAAACGCCTTCCATACATACGCCGACGAGCCAGGACGCTACATCGAAGCGAACCACTACTGCGCTCACCTAACCGAAGGTATCCCACCCCCATCCCAACCATCTCATAACACCCTCTACTAACACCTCCAGACGTCCGTCAATGCATCCTGTACGACAGTACCAGCCCCAACGCCCGCCTCATAGGAATCGAATACATGATAACGCCCACCCTCTACCAAACCCTGCCCCCCGAAGAGCGCAAACTCTGGCACTCACACGTCTACGAAGTGAAATCCGGAATGCTAATCATGCCCGGACCAACCACCGTTCCCGGCATGCAGCAAGCATGGGAAGCAGCCGAGACGCAGGAGATGAAGCACGTAATCGGGCTTTACGGAAAAGTATATCATTTATGGCAGACCGATCGCGGTGATGCTTTACCGCTTGGCTCGCCGAAATTAATGACTAGTTTTACGGCGGATGGACAGTTTGATTTTGAGAAAGCTGTGGGTGAGCGGGACGCGAGGTTTGGAAGTGATTGGAGGCGGAAAAGGGGGTTGAGGGAGGGTATTGAAGTACCGAAGATTCATCATGATGCTGATTTCGCTTGGAAGAGGCGGAATTCTATGTAAAAAGGGGTCGTCACTCAAATCACCAATCAACTTTCTGCCTAGTTTTTAACTCAAAAATATACTCCATAAGGGAGTGTGTATTAGGAGGAGGCATCGAAAGAAGCCAGGCGTAGGAGCTATTGTGTAACCTAAGTATTTTAATTAACACTGTTCGTCCTCACCTCCCAAACGCAATAGAAGAAAATACGCCAGTAGCGCAAGAAGCCGACCTATTCAGTTTACAAAGCGTACGCGAAGAAGATATATATACCCCATACTAGGGCCATCCAGTTTAGGAATTCCAAAGTTACCACGTAGCGCCAGGCTTTTGATTTGGCATTGAATCCTTCGAAGCTCCTTCCGTAGATGCCGATAACATAAGCTAATGCTTTAGTGTTTAGTAGCAATGTAGTCCCATTGATGTATTGGATTTCGTCCTCTGCTTTGTGGTAATTGATGTCGTATGGAACTCCGGCCTCACCTCCAAACATGGCTGCCTCATCTGAAGTTTTGATGCCATTGGCGCCGCTAAATAGCCCTGCAATTGGGATGTGGGCGTCAATAAATGGGGCATAATCACTGCGGTTGCTGATTTCGGTCCTCTTGAAAGGTGCGCCTTGAGTTTCGAATCCTTTTGCCACAACCAACTCAGCGTCTCCAGAGCCAGGTGGGCCAGGCCTTTTGTAAGTGGTACCATTCCCATCGTATATCTTGAGGGCGCCGTTGGGAGAACCGATCATATTGACATCGAAATAAAGGCGGATATTCCGAAGCTCTTCTTCATGAGTGTTGGAAATCCAGTGTTTCGATCCAAGCAAGCATGGCTCGGCAGCTGTCCAGAAAGCAAATTTGATTCTTGAATTCGTTCTGAACTTGGCGAGTTGAGTAGCCACTTCCAAGAGCGCAGCTATACCACTCGCGTTGTCATTGATGCCTGAGCTGGTACTGACCGAATCGGTATGTGTCCCAACCAACATCGTGTTTTCCTCGTTTCCATATTCCTAGGTTGCAAACACGTTGTAGCTTCCCTCTGTTAGCCGCAGAAGGTAACCAATAGTCCAAAGTTACTTACCTTGAGACTGTCGTATATTGTGTCTTAATTTCTAAGATGTTGGCCCATAACGGGTTGTTCGTACTTCGTATTTGATGCGCATCCTTTTCAGATATTATGGCCGATGGGATATGACGATCATCTAATCCTCCCATGCTCGGAGTAAGTTGTGTGGATTCATGTAGCAGAATGGCCTTAGCTCCAGCTTTACCCGCGGCGATTGACTTGTCGGAGGCCGAACATTCGCCCCCAGCTACTAATACGATGCTATCCAATGCTTCTTGTGGATAGTCGACCTATCTATATTAGTCACCGTGGTCCTAATTAGTAAGATGTTTACTCACTGCTCTGCATCCTGCCCCATTTACAGGTATAAGAGGACGATCGGAAAAATTGCCGTTAGGAGACCACCCGATTGGTTCAACATCGAAAAGGTCACCGTTCACTGCGACAGAGGCATGGCCTTCGACTTGCATTAAACCTTCGAAGCGCTGGACTTCGACGTAGTAACCTAATGAGGTGAGCTGGTCTTGGATGTACTGGCGTTTAAAGTTAGCCGGTGGAGGTTTTTATTTTTTATTTTTTATTTTTTTTTGTTTAACACGACGATGCATACCTCGATTGTTTGGTTGTGGCCTTCCGAACCAGTCACTCTGCTTCCACCGTTCTCGTCGGCGATATTTTGCAGCGCTTGTAAATGTTCCAGTAGTGTGCCATAGTTGACCAGGACGGGGAGTGTCTGCCTTATCTCGTCAGTTCTGTCTCCTTACTTAGGTAGGCTACGGCCATACATCTGAGACTAAAACCCCATTGCAATCGTCTACAATAGCTTTGGCCGGGTATAGAAACAGCAGCAAGGTTATAGCACTAAGTTTCCAGAAGAAATCCGTCAACCCCATCCTGAAGGTCGCGAGTAGTTGCCGACTACCCCAGTGTTGTATAAATTTGGTTTACGCGGGATTAAAGGGTATCATGGGTCAATCGACGGAGAGACAGAAGTTATTGTAGCGATGTATAGAAAGAAATGCGTTACATAAAAGACTCGTAAAGCGATGCTATACTGGATCTTAATGTGAAGTCTACTCGTCCCAGGTTCACATTTCCAAAAATGACGAATAACATTGAATGAGAGAAGTTTCAAGCCAAGTAACTTGAAATTTCGTTAGATGATTGAATTAACTCAACACTAGTATGAGACTCCTTCCTGCATTTTCGCTCGGTGATGAAGAAGAATGCTCTAGGGAAGGGGAGGACGAGAAGAGTGAGGTTGTGACTTCTATTCTGTGCCCAATAGACAACATGGAAGTGACAACTCCTTATCTCTTGAAGTCTCACCGTGGCTAGATGCAATCGATGAGTTTAAATCAGACCATTGAAGAACATAGCAAGGTCCTAGCTCCATGTAGGCCACGAGCTTGTAGTGAGGTGCTCTTTTGAAGCACTTTACACGGACTAAATCTCATTCAAATCAATTCTAGAAATCATGTTGAACGAACCAAACAGCTTAAAACTGAAGAGGCTGGGGTCGTACAAGCATGCAACAATTGAGATATCATTATAGAAAGTATTATGTATATAGTGAATGTCTTATACACATATCGGGATACCTTGTTATCTTCCAAGGTTCCTCGCGAGCTCAGGTTATTCAGGTTATTACCCAAGTACCCAAACCAAAATATCCACGCGAAATTAAGCGGTTGACAGGGCGCACCTCGTCGATAATGAGCGAATGCCCTTATGGAGAGGGCAATGAAGCTTCATGATGAAGTAGCACTTCTCTATAATCCACCCGCCTGGAGATAAGGGAATATAATTATGAAGATATTCTAGCGTTTGCATCGTCGCATGCATGAACTTCGATCTTGATTGCCTCATTCGCAATCTCCAAACCCCAAGAGGAAGACAGGTCCTCATTTAGATCTCCCGCGGGGTTGATCAAGCTCCCCGCACCTGGACGATGCTCTTTTGGGTATTGAACATCTCTGGAATATCTGCCGAGCCAAGGTCTAGAGGCTAGCAACAACTTAGTCCCATGACATAAACGTTACAAAGATGGCCTACGAGACAGGGATATTGGCGAGCTCAACCTAGGGGGGCACATATATACTTGACTAGCTAGGTAGCTAAGCTATCGTATCGAGCCGTGACTGGTTATCGTCGCTTTTCGGAATCACGTTGAATACCATCCATTGAAACTTACCTCAAGACACCATGGGGTCCGAACTTGCAGAGTTGAAGGAGCAGGTCTCCCTGCTTCGCAAGGAAGTTTCACGCATCTCGGATGAAGCTGAAGTGCGAAAGGTTCACTTCAAATATGGCTACTACCTCGACAAGTGCTTATATAACGAGGTTAGTGATAATCCGCCATTGCTCAATTTTATCTATACTAATCGCCATAATCCTAGGTGGTAGATATGTATGCAGACCACCCCGACACCTACGTCGAGTTTCTTGGATCGCGATATCGAGGAAAGGCCGGCGTCAAGCGACTCTATAATGGCCGTTTCCAGGAGGCTTTCGTCAATGGGCGCAATGGGCCCGTCCGTGGTTTCCTACTAGACCATATCATGATGCAAGATATCGTCGATGTCGACCCTAGCGGAACACATGCCTGGTGCCGAATGCGCGCGTTGATGCAAGCTGGAACACATCAATCCGTCAAGGACAGCCACCCGCGCGGACACGTTCAATGGTGGGAAGGTGGTCTCTACGAGAACGAATACATCAAAGAGAACGGCGTTTGGAAGCTATTCCGATATCGATACTTCCCATTCTGGCACGCTGAATACGAGAAGGGTTGGTCTCTAACCAAGGAGAACTACGTTCCCTGGCCTACAAAGACCTACCCTGAGGACCCCTTAGGTCCAGATGAGATTATCGAGCAGAAGATGCTTTGGCCTGACACGCGCGTGGTACCTTTCCACTACCCACACCCGGTGACGGGCAAGCAGACCGCAGACGACGACCTTCGCGCCCCGCACTTTGGCAAGGACGCCAGCACGGCCGAGGCGCCGCTCACCCTAGAACTACCTGAGGGCCAGAGCCGACCTGGAGCGGGGAAGACGTGGGAGAGCGAGGGCTCAGTGAGGGTTCTGCCTGATCTAGTTCAGAACTCGTAGCGTTGGGTTGCATACATATAGCCTAAAGGGGGATAGGGGGAAAGCTGGCTGGAATCCGAATCTGGGGTAAAGAACTCCCTCTCGCGTGTAGTCGACCCCACTTCTCCAACGCCGAGCTTGGTGGCATTCTTATTATAGTAAGTAGCGGAAGTGGTAGTAGTTAGATGCAAAGTGTTCGTATCAGATCGTACGGTCATATGCTTGTCCTTTTTCCAGCCGTAACATAACTGCCGACCGCGTGTAGATCGCGTGTTAACTTCTCCACACCTTAAGTGGTTTAGCGACTTTAACTAACACTATACGGTAGTCGGATTATTGTTCCTGGCCGGGACCTCGAATCGCACCCCCCCGTTCGTTCTGCAGTACAATAGAGAAAAACGTGGTCGGGGTTGTATTGTATTTCACATGAGGATCTTTAACGCTCCCCTCGAGCGAGATTTCGCAACCCAATAATATCCTCATAATTACTAACTGGGCAGGTACCTGTAACCATGGCGCATCTCGAAGCTATCGCCTCTGAGATATCTCTGTATCCGTATACCAATGGCAAGAAGACGGGCAACAGGGTTAAATTCCCGGATTCCATTGCGTTCTCGGGGATGAACAAACCTGCGCGCTTTGAGGGAGATATAACTGATCTTGAGGTCACGGGCGATATTCCTCGTGATATCAATGGCACGTTTTATCGTGTGCAGCCTGTAAGAAGCATGTATGTATGCGAATAGTGAGATAAGTCGCTAACGTGAGTGAAGGATCACCGATATCCGCCTATGTTCGAGGATGATATTCATTTTGTAAGCTATATGATTTCAAGTATAAAGTCGAATTGTTGCTGACTACAACCTTTGATAGAACGGAGACGGTATGTAAAGGGAGCGAATCAATATGACATAAGTCTTGGCATTATACTGATCCAATGACCGAGGAAATAGGCAGTGTCACAGCAATTCGCATTAAGGATGGCCATGCCGACTTCAAGCAGCGGTATGTGCGGACCGACAAATTTCTCAAGGAAGAAGAAGCTCGAGGAACGCTATTTGGGCGATACCGCAACCCATACACGGACAACGAAAGTGTGCGGGGTGTGATACGCACCGTTAGTAACACGAATATCACATTCTGGCGGGGTATGCTTCTAGCAAGCAAAGAAGATGGGCCCCCATTTGCCATGGATCCGATCACACTCGAGACTATTGGGCGTTACGACTTCGAGGGCCAGATCACGGCTCCAACTTTCACCGCACACCCTAAGTTCGACCCGGATACTGGTGAGATGTTGTGTTTCGCATACGAAGCTGGTGCAGATGGCTCCGATTGCGGTCTTGATGTTGTGACATGGACAATCAATGCAGACGGAAAGAAGACCGAGGAGCTTTGGTTCAAGGCCCCGTTCGCTGGCATGATCCACGACTGCGGTGTCTCGAAGAACTACTTCGTGCTCCCATTGACCCCGCTCAAGATGTCACTCGACCGTCTTAAGGCTGGTGGAAACAAGTTCGCATGGGACCCGAACGAGGACCAAGTCTACGGTATTGTGCCTAGACGCGGTGGCAAACCTGAGGATGTGAAATGGTTCCGGGCCGATAACGGTAAGCATCCCCAAGTACCTAGCCGCCCTCGTACCAGGGAGTACAGACCCTCTAACATAACACAAAAATGCAGGTTTCCACGGCCACGTAGCGGGGTGCTATGAGAATGAAGACGGACACGTAGTATTCGACCTAACAGTCGCCGACGGCAACGTATTCTTCTGGTTCCCACCCGACGGGCAAGCGCCCGACTTACCAGGTCGCCAGCGTCTCAGTAGTCCCACAACACGCTGGGTATTCGACCCGCACGCGAAATCCGGAACCCGCGTTAAGGCGTCGCTGGAATGGACTACTAACGGCGAGTTCTCGCGCATCGACGACCGGTGGGTGACGAAGAAGTACGAACACTTCTGGCAGTTGAAGGTAGACCCCACGCAGCCGTACGACTTCGCGCGTTGTGGACCGCCAGCGGGGGGGTTGTTTAATAGTATGGCGCATTATACTTGGGATGCGGAGGATGAAGGGAAGACGGGCAAGGAGGATGTTTGGTTCGCGGGACCGACGGCGACGTATCAGGAGCCGGTTTTTATTCCGAAGGATGGTGGGAAGGAGGGTGAGGGATATTTGGCGGCACTGAAGAATAACCTTGATGAGTTGCGCAATGATGTGGTTATTTGGGATGCGCTGAACTTGTCGAAGGGCCCGTTGGCGACGCTGCATTTGCCTCTGAGATTGCGGCTAGGCTTCCATGGCAATTTTGTTGACCATAGGGATATTGAGGCCTGGCAAGAACGCAGAGCAGGTGAACTGGGTCCTGTTCAGCCGGCGAAGGAGCCGTTGCCTTGGCAGAAGGCGTTTGCAGCGAATGGAAGTGTGAATGGTACGACGAACGGCCATGGGGTTAACGGGTCTTCGTGAAGATCAAAGGCACTTCTATAAGTCGGAAATTTTCGAGTGATACAAGCCTGATTTGGAGGCCCGGGGTTTGAAAGAGGGCATCATAAGTGCGTGATTCCGGAGTACATTAGTATCGTTGACTCGTTCATGTTAAATCTACTTTGTCCGCAAGGTTAATCAAATATAATCAAAGAATTTTACTGGCGTTTAGTCGTTTATGTTGGTTAATGCTATTAAGATTAGAAAACTCACTTATGAATACACGCTATGTTATATAAAACATAAGTTTACAGGTCATTTCTCGTGAGCGGTCTTGTAACAGGTATTGATCTTATGCTTTCCCAGATAGGAACCCCCGTATGAATGCGATAGGCGATTCCGTGAATGGGCGAAGAACCCGCAATGTCCGGGGTTCTGATTTTGGACGAGATAATAAGAAGGCATCTAGCCTTTCAATTTCTCCATCATCCTTCCCTTCCTCTATAGCACGGTCCAATTTGCCATTGTCGAATGCTATACCATGCCATAGCAGTATTCCGAGGACTTGCGCTTTCCGAACGAGCGCGACACGCCTGGTATCTCGGGCTAGGTCTGGCAGGCTAGATAGAAGCTCATCCCAGAACAGCTTCCGAAGATATTTCGCTTCAGGATAGTAGGCAAAGTGGCCATCTCTGTCTTCTCCTAGGAGTTCCTGCAATCCGTACATACCAATCCCAAATGGGAGGAATTCGGCCTCGGCCCAATCTACTAAGCCCATGAGCTTTCCTGTTTTAGGGCATACCATGATATTCGAAGGTAAAAAGTCCCCATGGCTCAACGTCCAGGGCAAGGCTTCGATTCCTGGTAGATCGCGGAGGATGGATTTCGCAATGCTGCGGAAACGGGAAGGGAGGCTGTTCGCCATGAGTTCCAGTCGCCATCTGATTGAAGAGCCTACTGTCCTCTTCTCGTGAATAAAGCCATTGCCGTTCGTATGAGTCCAACTTTCTACTTGAAATCGGGCAAAGTCCCGTATGAGTTGTTTCCGTTGCGATCTTCCAGATAAGAAGTGGGTTGCGACGCGAAGATCTGTAAGTGAAATGCCTGGTATTCTTCTCATACCAAAAACGTAGAGTCCGGTACCTTCTAACTCCCCAAGAAACTCGGTATGGGGAGCTAGTAACCCGAAAATATTGCAAGCAGCATTTGTTATGCCAATGTCGAGCTTATGAGCGAGTGGTCTGAATTGGACGACAGTCTCTTCTCCGACAAAGACTGTGTATGAGCAGTAGCCCTGAAATGGAGCAGGTCGGACTGTATCGGAACATCTCGTCTTGACGAACGCATCGCAGTCGTTTTTGACGCTTGCTGGGAGTTTACAGCGATCGAAGAATTGCGAGAACGAAACACCCGAGTCTTTCGGTTCACCAGCCATGCTGCTGTTTCATGGGCGGGAATCGAAAACCGAAAAGATTGTCATGATATGGTTGGTGGCGAGGGGAGCTAGGGATAGCTATATATATACCTCAATTCGAAATTGTATGCTGGGCAGTTGATAGACAACTCAGCTCCAAGATCCAACAGGACCATGTGGAAGAATGAGTGGATGAGGGGTAAGATGTGAGTGTGAGTTTGTAAGTCAAGCACACCTTAGCTAGGTAGCTGATAAGACGGTCCAGCCACGCATTCCGGGGATGCATCCTCCCTGTCTAGGTACCATGTGACCATTATGTAACTGTTGGAGATAATAGAATCGGAATGGGAGCTCCCCACGTGCCGCGTATGCAGGACATGTTGAAGGATCGTACCATCACCTACCATGTACAGTATGAGGCTCGGGAGGAGTTGGCTAGGTAGGCTAATAATACTAGATGCATGCCACAGCGGCTATGCATGTGCGACGCCGTAATAGGAACGATCTGGCGGTGATACATGCTATATATGTATGCCATCTTCCGATGTTCATTGAATTGTTAAGTCTTCTCATTGGAGACAGCAGTAAGCGGTATACTTATTATGATTGATTAGCAAAATTGATCCGGAGGACGTCTTAACTATACCTTTCGGATAAGACACCTAGTTGATAGAGGAAGAATAAGCTGAGTTGTGATATTCATTAGGAGGTAGATGGGGGACCAACCTCGCAATTGTTTGAGAGGGGAAAGTTCTTGTTGAACGATGGAAGTGAACGGCATTATTTTAATAAGTCTTTGGGGGAATTTTATGTATACATTAAAATAATGTATCCATATATGTATCAAGTAAGTTCTTATGTATATATCGGGTCCCGCTTCTACCCTTTCAATTATCATGTGTCGCTCAGAATTTCAACATTTATTATATTTACTTACCATGCTTCAGACAGAAAAAGTCATTGACAAACCCAATGAGGTCATTGAAATACATATGTTTTCATGAAGCGAATTAGCGTAACCAATTGGAAACCCGGCGATGATATCGAGTTGGATTTCGCTACACCGTTGGATCTAGCCCCCGAATCTCTTACCACCAATACATATGTATGATCATGATCTAGCAAACAGTACGACAATATAATGAATTGTTTGTTGCAATTAGATTCCACGATTTCGTCAGAGTTCCGGGCACATGTATAAAGAGCCGCCGCCATAAGGCGTCCTAGGAAACCACGCCTCTTATTTGAGTCGTACCAGACTGATCACACCGAAACCATATATTAGGTATCTAGGTAGGTGGCCAATTGGCAAGGACGAGCTTCAATCCCGAGAGCTAAAAACAGTCTTTGCCCCTAGATGGGGATTTCCTCGTGGTCGATAATGACTTCCCTTTATCAATCACATGGGATATTGTTGGAAGTTGGCTGGGGCTTAGTAGTAGCTATTTTCATCCTCCCGTTGTAGAGTCCTGTTTAGTAACACAGGTCTGACTTGGATATATAACTTCGTTATGGCTGGTCTCTGATGAACGCCGATGAGTCGCCTTCAATAAGGCTATGCGTATAATTAATATTATCTTCTATTCTTATCATTCGTCTTTCCCCTTTAATTAGAACCTTCTAGTTACGAATAGGCCCTTTCCACGATGAAGAAACGTATTGTAGTATGTTGCGATGGCACTTGGCAGAACTCGTAAGCACTTAAACAAGTTACGTACAGGCTAAGCTTGAAGCAAACATTAACACTTCTCAGGGACAATGGCTACGTTAAACCAACTGCCTCCAACCCCATCCCAACCCTCCAGATCCCATCGAACGTAACACGAATCTCCAGAGCTTTCAAAAGGAACTGTTCAGATGAAACTTTTCAAATTATATATTACCACTCCGGCGTCGGTTCGGGGTCCGACTTTTTCAACAGGATTATGGGTGGTGCATTTGGCATTGGTATAGCAGAGGTTTGTGAAGATAACCGAACCTCCCTTCAATATTAAGTATAGTGGGCTGATATAAATTAGAACATCCGCGAAGCCTATGCTTACATCTGCGCGAACTATGTTGACGGAGACGAAATCATTCTCATCGGCTTCAGTCGCGGGGCTTTCACTGCGCGATCCATTGGTGGAATGATATCTGACTTAGGCCTTCTCACTCGCGAAGGCATGGAGTTTTTCTACCCCGTCTTTAAAGACATGCAGAATTGGATGAATCAAGATTACAAGGATCAGTTCCCTGAGATACCGTTCCCAGACAAGCCAAAGGGACCGCATGCTGCTGAAGAATACCGGAAGAAGCTTGTAGAGGTACCACTTCGACTTCTCTATGTACTTACAAGTACTAACGAGACACAGAAAGGATACACCCGTGTACATCAGGATAAAGGCCGAGGAGACTTGATTAAGGTGAAAGCTATCGGTATGCTGAAGAACAGGGTACAGAAATGAGTGGCGGCCGATGATAGCTAACTTGTGCGATAGGCGTATGGGATACTGTCGGCTCTCTGGGCATTCCCCAGGGGAAACCGAGAGAGATATTAACTCGGCTTGGGATAAAAATGCCCAATTCAGAATAAGTCCAACTGATCTTGCACTGATTCGACCTATAAACTAACGATAATATACGTACCGATTCTACAACACGAGACTGTCGAACAAGATCCAGCATGCATTCCATGCTCTAGCGCTTGACGAACACCGGCGCCCATTTAGTCCGACTCTCTGGGAACGGCAACCGGAGTTTCGTGACACCTCAGATCTTCGACAAGTCTGGTTTCCCGGTTCCCATGGAAATGTGGGAGGTGGCTGGGCAGATCAAGGTGTTGCTAATATCGCCCTTGCCTGTAAGATCCCCTCCTTCACGCCACCCCCCTTCCCCTATACCTTACCTACCTCCTAGGTATCTGCCACTTACAAGATCCAAATAGGGATGATGGACCAACTTTCTTCTGTTGGCTGTGAATTCGTAGACGATGCCATCGAAAGACTATACGATCGCAACGTCCAATATTACCACAGCCTAAAACCCCCACGGACAAAGCGCGAAAAATGCGCCAAATGCTGCTGTGGCGCCTGCGCAGCCATCCGTCGGAAATTGCCCCAGCCGTGGGCCGCGATGCCGATCTTCGACAGCAATAAGCCCATTCGTCCGTGGTCGTTACACGGTATCCAAGCAGTCAAAAGCCCAATCTACGATATCGCTGGAAGCGTCACTCGTTCGCCGGGCATGTACAAGAAGACCAACCCGGATACCGGTCGTCCTTTAAAAGCCTTTCTTAAGGATACGAACGAGCGCATCCACAGTTCAGTCCGAGTTCGTCTTGCGTGCGAGGGCTTGGGGCTAAATGACTCGGATGTCTGGGAATGTCCCGCTTTATTAAAGTTGTGGCGTCCTCGTCGTGTAGCACAGAATTTCGATGATCCCGTGCCTAAGCATGCTAGTTGGGGGCCGCAAGCTGACAGTGATAGCAGAGGGGATTTAAGTGATGCTACTAACAGATCTACAGCGGATGCCAACGGTGTATCGGATAAAATTATCTACAGCGCGGCACAGAATGGAAATGGTCAGCTGGACAACCCATTCGAAGACCGCTGGGTCTGGGAGTATATAGGGTCTGATGTTGGCGCCCCCTTTGTTCGGACATTAGTGGAGGAGAACCTTGGTCCTTGGGAGAGACATCTGCTGGCTTTATCGGCGGGTAAAGTGCAAGTGTATGAATTTGCAGACGCTCGAGATGCTAGCTCGTTTAAAGCTATCCAAAAGAGGGCTCAAAGGAAAAAGGCGAAAAAGTTGAATAAGTCGAGTCCATGAGTAAAAGATAGCGTGGGGGTGGCGTACGGGACGGTGTTGGTTGGATGGATCGCATTGCTTGGCGTTAGTATTGATAGACCTGTATAGCTTCTTAATTAATTATATTCCTTGTGATACCAACAGTACATTACAAATTCCTAGGAATTGAAAAAGTGAAGCTTGTTTAAGGATTAGTACAATGATAGGGGGTTGTATTTTGTTAAGTGCATCACGTGCAGCAATTAGGCAACGAAACGGGGATTAAATAAAAACCAAGCGCGAATCAAATATTGACTTAGATACCTGTAGCCCATTGTATCGAATTTGGTCAACTTTATTTCGTCCTTACCAGTGATTTGGAAACGTCAATTTCTGTCTGAGATAGTGTCAGCCCTACGTTATCGAAACAAGCCAAGCCAAGATGTTATCAATCCTCCGAAAAGCGCGGCTCAAGGACAAGGAGATGAGAATCTTGATGCTGTAAACCTAGCTCTTCCTTGCCCCTCGCAATTTCTTAGTACGTGGGTGGGTTTGAGCTGACAATTGGGAAAATAACAGGGGTTTGGATAATGCGGGCAAGACTACGATTGTGAAGAAGGTGATGAATGAGGACGTCAATACGGTTAGTCCGACGTTGGGCTTCATTATCAAGACTATTGAATATGATGGGTGGGTTATGTTCTGTGTTGTGATGAAGAGTATTGTTGACATTGGAATAGGTATAAGTTGAACATTTGTGAGTTGAGCGAGTCTGTTGATTGCTTAAGTCATCAGCGTGGACTAATAGAGGGGTTGTACGGAAATAGGGGATGTTGGCGGTCAGAAGACGTTGCGATCTTATTGGCGAAACTACTTTGAGAAGACGGATGCTCTCATATGGGTTGTCGATGCGACAGATCGGTTGAGAATCGATGATTGCCGAGAAGAGCTTCATGGGCTGCTGCAAGAAGAGGTTCGTTTGCTGATCCCTGCAGAGGTTGAAAAGAAAAGCAAAAGTACAGAATGGCTAACAGTATTACTGATATAGCGTCTTTCGGGTGCGAGTTTGTTAGTATTCGCCAATAAAACTGATGTGCAAGGATGCATGGATGAGGCAGAGATCCTCGAAGGACTACAGCTGGAGGCAATCCGGACGCACCAGTGGCATATCCTGCGATGTAGTGCCATGACGGGGAAGAATCTCAAGGAGGGATTGGCTTGGGTTGTCGAGGATGCTAAGGCGAGATTGTTCTTATATTGACGGGAATGTACATGCAATACATGATGTTGTGTTGATATGCATAATAGTATGAGAATAATGAAATATGATATGATTTCTAAGGGTTTCAATTACGAATCCTTCCCGTGAAATATTATAATCTGTTCGCTCTATTCGATGTAAGAGTTGGCTTCGGCATGAATTGTATGTAAGTACCTAGGTACTTGGTTGGGTATAAGATGACGGTCCTAGCGTTGGCACTAAGCCATGAATGGAATAAACTCAAGGTTTCCGGGTCAGTTTCATCGGTTCTCAGCGGTGTTAGGCAACTGCACCGCCAAAACCAGGCGCCAGGCTCTGCTAGGGCTGCCTGAGACAGTGTCGTAATTGGCTGTGGACATATGTAATCATCGCACAAGCTGACAAGGAGACTACAACCTGCAGGGATCCAGACGACGACAGCCGAAGAAACAGCACTTGAGGAGCCCACTTTGAGGGACTGCATCCTCCCGCAGCTGCCACCAACCTTGTTTACTGTAAACTTTCGTATTGTTTTTTCGGTTTTTATTTTTCTTTAGTTCTTTAGTTGGAGTCCTTGGGCAACGAGTTGGACTTTTATTTAGATTATCCTAACTTTCAATTCTAATTACCTATTACTTCACGAGGCCCATATATCCTCACAAACGCTAGCAAGACGGAAAACAAGCATCTTCCTCGTTTGGCCTGTGCCCGGTCCTAGTGTGTTGTTGCCCTCCACCGCAAAAAGAGAGAACGGTGTAAACAAAAAGTTGTTTATCTATATCCCCCTCTCGCCGTTATTGTGTTGTAATTTGTTTACCCTTCTCATTTCTTTTTGATTCGATCGGTGAAAAAAATAAAAATGTCCGAGGACGTATCCAAATTTTTGATGCAGGTTAAAGAATTGGGCGATCGACGAATCGAAGAAGATGAGGCCCGTTCACGAGAATTAGAAGAGAGAATATTACGGGAAAGAAAAGAACGAGAGGCTCGCCGCGCAGGTACGGAAATGCAACATCCTTTTTAAACCAATTGAGTATTCTCCATTTGTTTTCTAGTAGTGGCTGTGGTTGCGTTGCTATCGTGGATTTATTTTAATTTTAATATTAATTAATTTTTTTTTCTAGAACGCGCCAGGTCCATTTCACCTCAAAAATCGTCACCAGCGAATACTCCACCCCCTACGACACACCGCATCGACACTCACGGCTCGTCTAGCCGCCTCAATTTAGACTCATCTCCTGTTCTCGAGCCTCCTGCCAGCCCTCACACTCGTTCTGGTTCTAACGCTGAAGAAATGGTTTCCCCTGGAGAATTCTCGACCTCCCCCTCAAAAGAGAACGAATTGCCAATCGATTTGGAAAATAAGCAACCCGGTCAAATTTCCCCCACTCGAACCGGATCTAGGGCCAGGGGGTTATCGTGGCAGAGAAGACCTAATTCCCAGACCTCCGAACGCTCACGCAGCCGGCCATTGTCCATAGTTGCTGCTGAAAACGCTGCACGAAATCCCCCTCCTGAACCTACTTCGGCAACAGAAACTATATCAAGAGATCAAATTGCCTCGGCATTGTCCTCTAAAGACCCCTCGTGGTTCCGTCAAACTGCTGATAGGGGTGCCAATTCCGCCGCTTATCGACGAAACCAGGTCGAGGATAACCAAATCGCAGACATTTCTCAGATGCCGGCTCAGCTTCCGGGCATATCGCGTGCACCATCTGGCGGGGCTCCAAAGGAGGATGCTGGCTCAAAACCAACATCTCCTGACCTTCACAGCAGCTTTGCTTCCCCTCCCCCCTCGGCGAGCACACCCAAAACAGACCCCTTTACTAGTGAAACCCAGCTAGAGTTCGATATTAGCCAAGAACGATCCCTAATGTCACCCCCTTCCGGACGAACCTCGCCATCTAAAATGGATAGATCTGGCTCGCCAACGAAAGGAATGGGCGGGTTCGTACAGAGTGCTATGATGAAGCGCTCGGATAGCATTAAAAGATGGAGCGTCCAATCGCCGTCTGGTGCACCACGTGTAGACCCGGTCGCCTCCAGCCGGATAAGTGCTGGGCCAAGGTCGAGGCCGGCCAGTATCATTCGCGACCCTTCACTGGAGCTTTCGCCGAGACCTTCACCAAATCCGGAAGGAGAGCGTCCAAAAGAAGATTCGGTTGACCCAGAGAAGCCTAGTGATTCGCTCAAACTCGACAGCAAATCACAAGCGGAACCACAGGGGCAAGATCCCGGCAGGACTACGCCTCCTACCAGCCCCTCCAAAACCATGGATTCTAGAAGATGGAGCCCTACGAAATCTAGCTGGCTGGAATCTGCCTTAAATAAACCCGAGTCCCCCAAACCGAAGCATAACCCTTCCGCAAGCCAACCAGCTTGGATGGCAGAACTTCAGAAGGCGAAAGCCGAGAAAGCTGCCAATCCGAGCGCGGAAAGAAGCAGGTCCCCCACTATTTCGCATAAGCATCAAGTCAGCATCGGTGGGCTTATGAGGTCTTCCGCACCTGGCATCACTGCAAAACCTGTTGGCTTGGGAGTTCTTCCACCAGGTCCCTCAGCGGGCACCAATACTCGTTCCGAAAACAGTCCTGTCGCTCCAAAGGAACTTCGGAGCCCAACGATGCCGGAACTGAAAAGTCCAGTCTTGGATCGTAAACCCTCGGAATCCTCCCTGCCTATTAGCAAGCCAAAGCCCGACGCTCCACCTAAGAAGGACTTTCGAGCAAATCTCAAACCTAGGCAACCCCCTCCAACGACTAGCGGTCCCCAAGACAATGAGTTCAAGAACGTTTTTAGTAATCTCCGAAAAACGACTACTTCGAACTACGTTGCTCCAGATGAGCTTAAGGGCAATATTCTGAGAGGAAAGGCATCACTTCATTTTACTGGGGGGCCCAAGAAGACGGAACGTGTCGATGAGTTTAAGGAAGCAATCCAATCGAGGAGGAAGGATTTCCAGAAAGCCCAATCGGAAGGTCGCGGTATTACGCGAAATGACAGCACAGCAAGCGAACAACCAGTCCCAGAGGGCTTACTTAAACGGGGCGAGCTTGGGCGGTCAAATACAATAACCCAAGACTCTCCCACTTCAGAGGTAGCAGGATCAGACTTTAGAAGGCCAAGCATTGTATCAAAATCTGTTTCTCCCCAAGAACCGCCATCAAGTAAGCTTCAACGATTCGGTGGTATTGATAACCGCGATCCCTCTCCGGAATTCAAATCTCCCAAGGTGGATCCTCTAAGCATGGCCCCAAGTATGACGAGAAGAGGGTCGGTCCAACCAATTGACCAGTCACCAATTACCCAAAAGGATGCTAGTATTCCCGGCCGGTTGCCAGGGAAGATCGGAGGTGGTGGTTTAGCAAACCGGTTTAATCCAGCTCTCGCTGGCTTGATTGCTAAAGGACCACCAGGCATGGGGTCTGGATCTTCATCCTCTAGTCCGTCAGCATCGAGCTCGCGCAACCCTGCTTCTGAAGTAAATGATAACGAAGCCGGCTCGGGTCCAAAGTTGACGCATATGACAAAAGGTCGCGCTCGGGGACCTAAGAGGAAAGCTCCTACTTCCGCTGCTTCAGCACCATCAACATTTTCTGGCGAGCAAGAAGGAAAATCGTTTGAAACAAATACAAGCGAAAAGCCCGCCTCCATTTCACCAATTCAGCCAGAGAAGGCTTCTATTTCCACTCTAGAGCCTCAAATAACTTCACCAGTTGATTCCCCGACGGTGGGCTGCGATGAACCAGCGAGACCAAAACTGCAACCTGTAGGTGCCGCTAAGTCGTTCGACTCCGTATCCGAAGATTCCCCTAGCAAAATTTATGAACAGGTGGCCGCGTATGTCGCTCAGGGGAGACAACGATCGCCGACGAAGACAATTGAAGAACCTAAAGAGACCACTTCTCAGCCGCCATCCCCAAGGAAGCTGGATATGAAACGGATGTCACGTTTCCTCGATGACTCCACACAAGCTTCTGAAAAAAATGGTGAGCCTGAGCCGGTCAAGGATGTGAAAAAGGATAACGACTTACCACCAGTGGCGAAGCCAAAGCCTTTATTTGATAAGTCGACCGCTTCCGATGCACCAAAGTCCGAGGCGCAACCACCTCCGCCGAGCAAGCTCAATAAGCCGCTACCGGAACCCCTCTCTTTGGAGCGTAAGAAGCAGCCTCCCGCGGAGGTCAGTAGCTCTAGTCCTATTTCTTCGAAGGCTACCGCGACAACTCCTTCGAGCACCCGGCCTTTACCGGCAATTCCAACGACCGCCGAGCCAGAACTTTCATTGCGCAACCGTCCATTACCAGCAGAACCCAAACAGGCTCCACGCCCTTTACAAAATCCTATATCAAAATCACCGCCTGAGACGACCTCACCCGTTCGTTCACCTACTAAACAATCATATGATGCTTCTACCCTGCTCAATGACTTTTTTGACCCCGAACGCTCACGAAAGAAGTATAACGTAGATGCCGCCGAGTTATTGATGCATCGGCCAAACGTAACTCCAACAAAAGTACAAACATTAAAGTCTCAACTATTCCAGTTCTCGGCGGATGGCAAAAGACTACCAGTCCCAACCCATCACGAACGCACCTTATTCGAACGTGAAATGTACCTCTGTTCTCATACGTTCAAGGATGAATCAGGCAAGAAGGTTTTTTCGGAGGTTTATTTCTGGGCGGGAGACGAAGTGCCCCAATCAACTGTTGAAGACGCATCGGTATTCCTTCCTCGCGAAGCGAAGTCTCTAGCCGGCAAGTTGATCAAGCTTCAACAAGGCAAGGAGACCCCTGAGTTTCTTCAAGCGCTGGGGGGTATAGTGATCGTCCAACGTGGCTCAGGTAACAAGTTCGACTCACTTGCCCCACATATGCTATGCGGAAGACGATATCTCGGACATGTTGTCTTTGATGAGGTTGATTTCACGCCTGCCTCGTTGTGCTCTGGATTTCCGTACGTTGTGACAACAGCCGGAAGGTGTTACATATGGAAAGGCAAAGGTAGCGGGGTTGATGAGTTAAGTTGCGCACGTCTCATAGGGATGGACTACGCGCTATCGGGTGAAATGGAAGAAGTTGAGGACGGTCAGGAGCCGGCCAATTTCTGGAGTCTTTTCGATACCAAGTCCAAGCCTGTGTCGGCCGATCATTGGCGTCTCAAGCCCAACTACGATAAATACTGCAGCCGGCTATTCTACTCGGATGCAGCTTCTAGGCAGCAGGTAAGTGGCGCTCCGATTCGCCCGTCGCTCGGACGATATTAACACATTACTCGCAGATTATCGAGATATCTCCTTTTTCGCAGGTGGATATACAGCCAACGGGCATTTACGTACTCGACGCTTTCTTCGAATTGTACATCATCGTAGGATCACGGGCCCAATCACAGTATTCGTCGTTCCATAACGCATTAGATTTTGCCCAAGAGTACGCAATTCTCGCGGCAGGGATGGAAGATAGGCCATTCGTTCCGTTCTCGTCTGTCGTACTAGAGGGTATTCCTCGGGATATGAAGAGCGTGTTCCGCAAGTGGCGCGACGCCAACAGTCCCACAGTCACAAACGTGAGCACGGGACTCAAGCGAGGACGCAGTTTACGGGTTGTGCCACTCAACCAGGCTCTACAGGCACTGAGTGATTAGGAATCTTCTCGGTCTTGAGTGTAACTGTTCGGAGCTTCCTCTGGGCACGTGGAGGAAACATCACTGTTTTGCAAGGAATTTGGAATTTAGTATCTATCGACGCCTTATCATAACAGCAGTCGCATAGCTTCCTTCGTGGACGAGGGACCGCTTGCCCATATCTTGCATGTACGTCCTGTACATGCATACTTTAATTCGTGTATTTATTAGGGATGTATAGGTCAGGTCGAAGACAAGGACGGCGTTAGGGAAGCATGTACATATTGATGCATGTTCTAGGGCGCAAAGGGTTGATACAAGAGCCTTGCTATTTGTAGGTACGCCGTTAGATCTCACGACGGAATGATCATGCAATCGATGTCGAGGAAATACTACTTCATTAAACTATAGGCCATCTACTGATCGATAAATATTCGGATATTGAACGCAACGCAGGTTGAAAACAGGCTTTCTTTGCAGCTTGCCCGAATGGTCGTAAGAGAACGCGACGCAGTGGCACTAGGGAGACAGCGAGGCTCAAATGATCGACCCCTTACTTCGACCCGAAGCTACGAATACCTATTAGTTTGGCCTAGGATAGAGCCGCGAATTGCGTGGAGCATCTAACTAAGATCCAGTGTTTGAGTTCGTTCAAGGTACAGCTCTTCTGGATCCATACGCGTCACCTAGGTAAGGCATGTTTTTTTGCGGTGATGCCCATCCATACGAACGATCAAGACTGCAGGTAATCATTCGAGGAATCACCACACAACCAATCCAATTCCCCGAAAGGGATCATCGTTAGCAGCCTCGTCATCATATTTCTGCAAGATGGGACCTAGATAGATGCTGTATTTCGGTCAATTGGGAACGACCTACTCGATGGGGTGCTAATTTTCCGCATGTAGGGTTACGCAGGTGGCTGGTGGATAATTCCTTGCTTTTCTGTCAAACCAGACAATATTCCCTCGTGGATTAGGTAATTTGTCCGTGATGTCTTATGCAGCCCTATTGCTGATGGGAGGACGGGGAATTCGGATTGAGGGTTATAATTCGTTGTGATATGTTTGAGACTCGTATTGAATGTTGCTTTTCTACCCTTTTCTAGGTTTCCTTGCGTTGTGGCCGTAGAGGAAGAGACACCCTTCCTCCATGTGGGCTTACTCTGATGAGTTGGTTGTTTTGGTGTAATTTCCATCGGCCGATATGAGGGATTACTGACCGCTATAGAAGCGGTCAGTTAGGTACCTAAGCGGGTGTCACAACCGCTGGCCATTGTGCGTGTGTGCGGGCATGTGAGTCTGACGTAAAGGGTCCGCCCGACTATAGGAGCAGATCGATAACGGTCGTTTTACTAAAGAAAAAAAAATCCCCTGGGCTAGTGTTTAGTTGATCAAGCAACGACTTTACCCTAATACTTTAGTGTAGACGCTAGAAAACCGGTAACAGGACGGGTTACAGAACGCTACGGGGTACTTGGTACTGCTATAGATCCCGCAAGCCACCCGTTCCTTAGCGCTGCCGGTCGTAATTAGGCTTGAATCAGGGAAGAGGGAGGAAAATATAGTGGACTCGGGGAAGAGGACTAAGACGCTAAGAACAAACGAGCGGAGAGTCTCGGGCACATAAGACATGATTCTCTTTTATCCTATCGTAGGGATTGTAGGGATAGGGTTCTTACTGAGTTTCCATAGCACTGGAACATCTATCAGCCCTAAAGCCTCTTCGATTCGGAAGTACAACTTTCCGACATCATAGCCAGAGAGTTATTAGTTCTCAGATGCATAAAATATTCTGTACTCCAACTAGAATGGCTGCCGCTAACATTAGTGGTGGTGTGTATACTAACATGAGGCTTGGTTCATTACGAGAACTTTACTTTAGTAGACAAATTAGAGCAAGACAATCCAAAAATAGCCACACATAATTGTCAATCTCCAATGCATATTTGCAATATTATACCTCCTCTGAGTCTGATTTTTCGTATCTCCAACCGCCACAGGACTCGTCAAAAAGAACGCACTAATCGATGACGTAGGTACGCTTAAGACCGTAGAATATAGTAGGGGATCACGTACGGGGAGCCGAAGGAACCCTCTCGCTAGGAGCCGCTAAGAGAGAGCCGGCTGGGCGCCAGCACAAGTCAGAGGACGATCACAAGGTAGACCCACTGGAATAGTCTATTTAGTGCTGGTTATAGTTGGTCTTCATCGACAGCACTTAGGAAGGAGAATTATAGACTCGGAGGGAAGAGGTAGAGGGATAATTGAAAGGGCAACGTGAAAGACATTAACATGGTAGAGCAGCTGGGAGAGAAAGGACGTTTGTGAATGGTATTCAAAATTAATGTGCCTTGGTGACAAGACTTTCAAAAATCTATATACAAGAAGTGTTTCAAAAATTCTACGACTTGAAATCATCGAGAGATTAGTTATTAATCCTCGCCGTCCCGTTTTGTGATATCCTAAAGCATTAGAAGTGGCCATTATCCGTAAACTTGTTTGATGAATCATGAGGTCCGCCTTCCTGAGATGAATGAATAAATCCGTAGGAAATCCTGTTATATATGCTACCGTGATTCCCATGCCTCGTGTAAATGAATGCTACCCGCCGGTCGTGCCCATGTCGTTATTATGTCGTCCCCTCTTTTTTCTCATTTAGTATTGAAAAATATTTGCTAGCGAATTCGGATACTTGTGTTTCAAAGCATGCCAATTTATAGCAGGAGGGCAACTCCGGCGAAAGCCAAAACAGCCGCGGCAGGGGTAGCTCGGGGAGCAGGGTTGGAAGGGACCTGAGGAACACCGCTCGACGAGGGAGTGGCGCTCGAAGGGATATAGGTCGTGCCGACCGAGCTGGAGACAGAGACGGGGGCAGAAGCGGAAACAGAGACAGTGGTAGGATAGGGGACAGTCGTCGCGGACTTGGACTTGGTGACGACGGTGGTGTCACTGAAAGTGACATAGACAGTTGGGCTGGCAGTGACGGTCTCACCCGCAGTAGCTTCCGAGGTGACAGTCACGTCGACCTCCTGAGTCTGAGTGACGGGGAGGGTCTCGGTGACGGTGTACTTGTTGGTTTGGTAGACCGTCTCGGTACCAGTCTCAGTAACGTAGATAGTGCTACCCTGAGAAACGGTGGTGTGGACTGTCTCCGGGCAGGTGACAGTCTGGAAGACCTCAGTTGAAACTTGCTCAGTGACTGTGTACGAGGTGTATTCAACGGCGGTGGTAGGTACCGCGGTCTTGACGGTAGAGGTCGAAGTCCAGGTAACCACGACAGTAGAACCCTCTAATGTTTTAGTCTCGGTTACAGGGCACAGCGAAGTAAGAGTGGTGTAAGCAACGTCCTCGCTAGTCTGCGTAGCACCCGGTCCCGTTACGGTCTCAACGAGAGTTGTGTCGACGTAGGTGACTGCTACACTAGTAGTTGTGTATGTTGTGAGGTAGGTCTTGCCAGGAGCGGTGACAGTTTCGGTGACGGGGCACGTTGTCGTGTAAGTCACCTGAACGGCGGTGGTAGTGCCAACGGTGGTATCAGGTGCTGTCACCGTCGCCTCGCCACCTCCGCAGGATCCTCCCGGGCACGAGGTTACAGTGATTGTGGACGTGGTGTAGCTGGTCTGTTCATAGGTCCTAGGGAACTGTAAGCGGTCGCCATTCAATACTACGAATTCTAGATAACACTTACGATCCTCCGTAGGTAACGGTATTGGTGATCGGGCATACAGTAGTTGTCTCGTAAGTTGTTGCAGTGACAACAGGCTCGCCAGCCATGACCGAAGCGGCCAAAGCCAAGATGGTAGCAACAGCCTTCATTTTGAACTGAGTTGTGCCTGTAGAGCGAACGAGGCTTATAGCGAATGGATACGATGATGCTAAGACAACACGAGGCGAGTATACAGCAGTATAGCTCAACGAGGGTCTTAAGTAACCTTAACGAACGAGTTACTCGATAGCGAGGTCTTAGAAAAGCAGCGGGCTGGGGAGGTTGGTGATGAGGATGCAGATATAGAAAGACGGGATGGCAGGTCCCTTATATCTTCGTCTTACCACACATGCATAAGAGCTGCACAGCGTCGCTAGTGGGATATCATGACATCGTGCTACGGCCTAAGTGACCGACCAACTCGCGGACACGGCGGATGAGGATGGCTTGCTGGAAAACCCGCCTTGTAGAACCGAGATACAAGTGGATCAAGTCTCCATGTTACGAAGTCAGCATATTGGCTTATACTAGAAGCGATACCTGCGAGAGACATGGAAGAAGTTGTTGCTGAAAGCACACTAGCGTTACCGGAGGCTACTCGACTTGGCAGGGAGTCAGTCGATCCTGGTAGGAGTCTGGTCGATCAGCTAATTTGTGTTACTACCTGATGGAAAAAGCATTCAATACATATGTAATCTAGTCGGGTTCTATTGACCATGGTGGAGATTCGGTAGCCGGAAGGTTGGGAGCTAGGCGACGACGATGCGGGCCCTTGTCTCCGGTTATGTAGGCTAAGACGATATCGCAGATGCAAGGGAAGGGCTGGTTGCTAGGGCAGGGTGTTTACAGCTCGATTTGATTTAGGGGTTATCCATGTCCTCTGGTAACAACGATGTAGTCGAGGCTGAGATCTTGGAAGTACAATGGCCTGACAACACACCAACCCCTCATGAGTAACATGCAGCACATACAATAGTATGTCACCGCTACAATGCAAGCTGCATAAAGATTAAACATGGTAGGGCGTTCGGACTTTAAGACTCTGTCCCACAAAGCTTCAAACTCGTTCACCTCTACCTGTTCAATTACGATATGAGGTAGCGGATTGCAAGGTATCCTATAGTTGTGGTGTAGCACTCTATCTAGCTCTGTCAGGTGGTGGTGTGTAGCGGAAAACGACCATAAACATCTCCACGTCTACTACAAGGGGAACGAGGATCTGTACTGCTCACTATGTATCGTCGCATTGTTAGTATTTTCAAGCGTCGTGGTAATGCGGTGATGCCCGGGATATTTTCATATCCTAGTATTTTTCTCAGTGAGATCGAGATTGTGGGTTGATGTGGATGGTCGTCATCGAACAGTTTGCCGAGGTTTTTAGCTGCACCACCAAAGAGTGAGAGCCAGCAGGCAAGCTCGTGTCCAGAGCAACTAGACCAGCTAGCACGGAAGGATCTACGTGCTGCGTTTGTAGGCACCCAGTAAGATGATAGGATGTGTTGTGACGGCGTGCACACTTGCGGTGGAATCAGCAAAACTTGCTTTGCAGTTCTCCACACTAGGCCTCACCCGTCCGTAGATAAACTAGGCTACCCAGCCGCCTCACCATCTCCCCTTGAAGTTAGCTAGCTGCATACCGTTTCGAGTATGGTATGCAGTAGGTCCATTAATTACCGCGTTGGCTTTCATCGTTACATCCCCGCGTGTATAAAGTAAGTTACCTAGGTTGATGGATAACTTGGAGCTTCCGAGTAAACGGCAAGTTACCAGTAACCTGGTTCTCTCCGCCTTTAGCTGTAAGACAGCAACAGTAACGGTAACACCCACGAGGCCAGAGACAGTGAAATTGTCTCGGCTGGTGGAGTTTTAATTATCTGGGTCTCCTAAAGTCGGAATATGCGGTCGCACAGCGTGGTTGAAAGACTTTGTTATGCCACTTAACCAATTAAAGGCAATGATGGGCAATACTCGTAGTGCCACATGGACATTTTCGCTCAATTGGCGTATACATAGGTGCTGAACAGCAATGGCTACCGAATGATCGTCCTCGCTAGACAGTATCGCTTATGTTGTCGCCATGCTATTGCCCTGGCACAAGCATAAATCCGGATTTTTTTTTCACGAGTAGGATTAACACGCGATAGCTAAATCATTAGATGAGGACGTTGTGATAATGTGATATTGTGGAAAAAGGGCCACATGTCATACTGTTTACAAATAATTGATACAACTTAGAAATTGATAAATTTGTTATTTGCAAATAATTTGAATCCATTAAAGATTGGGTTGAAGTTGAAGTTGAAGTTGTAGTTGTAGTTGTAGTTGTAGTAGCGTTGGTTTGCCTTGCGCTCCAGGAAGTCTAAAAGATGGATTGACATGGGCTTAATTTAAGCATATTGTGTTTGATTTTAAGTTTATGCAAGTACAACATGGTTGGCTTCAGTCTAAAATGTCACAATGTCAATGAGATACTTTAATTAAAATTTGTTCTAATATCGTTTGGCTTGGTCGAAATAAGACTCTCATTCGATGATATTCATGAAGTTTGTCAATTCAGTCCCTTAGACCTTAAGCCATACGGCCTTTAGCCTATGAAGGATCACTAGGTACTCCTAGTCCGGCAAATATGAATCGTACATCCAACATCAAAACGGGCTTCGTAATATCCATGGATATTCAATTTCTTCAGAGTTTCGTAGACTCGTATCTGTAAAAGTACAAGATAATCAAAGTGCACCGACCATCTCAAGCCACCACCCAGCAATATACAAAAATAAAATCAATATAATTATTGAAATTGAACAACCTGTGAACAAGGGTATCTCCGCAATGAAAATGACATAGCTCTAAGGCTTCGCTCCCTACTTACCTCTCCCTCTGCGCTTCTTGTCTCAGTTCGATAACCACCTTTGCGATGATATCCAACGTAGTCTTTGCGTCACCTTCCACCAACTCACGGCCAAACCGTTGTATCACCTTGTCGGTGTGCCATCTCTTGTTTTCGGCGTTGATGAACTTGAATCGTTTTTCGCCAGAGTCTACGAAATCTGCTGGTGGCGCCTTCGCAAAGAATAACCTCACGTTAGCTTCAGTAACGTCTATTTGTAACCCTGATTTTACTGGCCAAGGTATAGTCAATATTGTAGCTCTGTCGTTCTTGTCCCATGCGTTGGAATAGCGTTGCCAAGTCGCCTTCCACTCAGCTGCTTCCTTCTCCGCCTTCATTCGTGCTTCTTCCTCTCTTCTTTTCTTTGCAAGACGTACTCGTTCGCGGAACGCATCTTCACGAGCTTTCTCTGCTCGTCTCTGTTCCTCCTCTTTCCGTATACGTTCCTCTTCTTCTCGGCGTCTACGTTCTTCTTCTTGGCGTTTCTGCTCCTCTTCCTGCCGTCTCGCTTGTTCTTGACGTATTCTCTCTTCTTCCTTTCGTCTCGCTTCTCGCTTCTGGCGCTCTTCAGCTTCCATTTTCGCGTGATCTTGCTTGATATCGTGTTTACCTCTTCGCCGCAATTCTGACTCTAGGCGAGCAAGATTATCCTGCATCTGCTTCATCATTTTTCTCAACTCCTCGATCGAAGGGTCGCTTGTTGGTTCCTTTTTGGTATAGAGTTTCTTTGGTCTCCAGTCGTCAAGCCCAGACTCGCTCCACAGAGCAGACGACTCATCATCTGAATCATCATTCGAATAATCATCAAAATCTGGGGCGTAGTTTTCGAGCTTATATTTCCACTTCTTTAAAATGCCGGATGATTGGCCGGTGTGTTGCCAACATAACATTATATCTAGCGCCTCGGGAAGGTCGGGAGATTCTGCGGCCTTTGAGGCGTTTTCACACGCCAACTTATCAAGAATGCATTGCCCATGGCTGGACTTATGCCTGGCAATATATCGTTGACATTGTCGGCCGCGTGTAGTTGCCCAGCCAATGCAATAGGAATCGTAAGCAAGTCCAAGCACCTCCTTTGGGTCCCATTTCTGAGGCTTCGACACGGTTGAACTATTGGTATAATACATAGTAAAGCAAGAGAGTATTGGCAATCCTTTGGATTTGCAATAGTTGAGATTGAAAGGTTCAAATGTGAATATGGAAATCGCTTGATGATTCTACCCCTCTTCAAGACAGGTGGCATAACGCCACATTTATACTCGGTTATATCATTGGAGCCCTCACAAGCTGCGCAGGTCACATTGTGTCGGCGTAAACCATCTTCAACAGCCGGCACCTATCCAAAAATTGCCCAAAAGCGGAAGTAGAGTGGTAACCCCCAAATCGGCCGTCATCGCCGTATCTGGAATGTAGTAAGGGAGCATGTTTGATCGTATGGTAGGGCACAGCCCGGCAGGCTGAGCATCGAAGCATACTTCCCAACAATGTTGCGACATCCTAGTGCTAGAGGGTAGTTAATATGCGGCCTGTCCCCTTTTTCGACCACGTTGCCTGCTTCTGGTCTTTCTTAAGGCATTGAACCAATAATATCAAATCCTAGAAGATATTGAGTAAGTTCAACATTAATCTATAACCAATCCCATCAATAGTATAAAATTCATTCGTTCGATTATGCTGCACTTGATGTTCCAAAGTCTTTCTATGTGCTCGCGCACCGAACTCACTGTTTAAGGCCAGTTAGGTAGCGCTGTGAAAAACTCAAGGGGCCGCAGGCCTGTAGACCTCTGCCAAGTGGAACCAACCAATCACGACCCTTTCCGTTATGTTGGCACCCGAAGGAATGGCTGAAGGTAACACCGTCATTTATCATGATCCCTGTTATAACTGGGTGATTCTGGCGAACCTGGGTGCGTGAAATGAACATTCAATTGATTCGTCACATTTAGAAGGATGGTTCGGTCAGGATTCTACAAATTTTACAAGAAGGCTGTGCAATGGGATGCCACCCTTTGGTATGCAGCCCTTCTTGACCACAGCGCTTAGCAAACACCAGTAGAGAAAAAGCAATCGTCCATTATGTTGGTGCCACGAAACACGGCATCTCATCCGACACCCCGCTTTGCAAGTCTACACCGGATCCCGCACGTGTCCTACGCGTTAATTACTGCTATGTTGGCATCCAGAATAGGCTCTCAAGTTTGAATAGAGACATAGTTCCTGGGATGAGAACAGGGAGCCTTGCTAGGACATAATCGAGGATCTTTAATAGTTCCCGCGCGATCTTTGTGAAAAGCGCTCTCGCCGTTGGCCGGCGCGTCGTCATCCATCTCGGGCCGTTCGGCGCCAATTTCACTATGCCTAGCGATTGGATCTCATGGAGCCTCATATAAGTCAGGTACCCTCATCGGACTGTATAATGTGATGTGTATTCTATCAATTATCTACATGTCAATCGAGCAAAACCCTTCTGAAATCGTTGGCAGGTTGGCGCCGTCCACCTACCATGTCGCGGGGCCACATCATGCACCCTTTACCATGCCATCCGACTCAGACACGACCGCTGCTTTCTAGAAGTCGCTCCATTCACTCTACTTCGTCCATCTCTTCATCCTCGGTTGCATCGAAGCAATTGAAATCATGCGACTTACCGACGAGCCTGTCATATACCCTCCTCGAGGTAAGGATGGTTAGCTGATGGCCCCATGACTGCCAACCCAGGGGTAAAATTAGAGTCATGTATATCTTCGAATGCAACGTGCCTCGGGGGCCAGTATGGTCGAAAAAACCCATTGCGAACTTGGCAAGATTCAATATATCGTTCGCTAAAGGAATCTACTCTGCCATTGGCAAATTAAGACCATATTATACGTGGCAGACCTCACGGCAAAGGGGGAGGCTTGCCGATTGTCCTTCTCGACGTAGCAGAACAGGAGTCAAATCCTGGCCTTCATAACCGTCATCATGGTTGCTTGCGTGGAAGTTTTCCACAGTTCTGACAAAGTGGTACGGAGCATATCCGCTGCTTGCAAACTTTGGGTCGCAGCCGCGTCTCGATATGCCAGCACAGTAGCTATATCTATCTAGGTAGGTGTTCGAGGCTCGATTCGGTATCTGCGCTATTTCCATACATCTTGGATGCTCTCAGGACTCAGGGGGGGCAGCATGAGTATGCCTTGCCTCTCGGTAAAGTCATTCAGCCCCTGTTCACTTACATACCCAGAAGACGCTCGAATGACTAAGCCTTTACATTCTATCATCAATTCCATCGAGATGATGCGAGCAATATCACACGTCTTTACTTTAGGTAGTGTATCCACCTTAGTCTTACCCCTAGCAAAATTGCAATCGTTCCATATGGGGTTTTTTTCGTTCGATTGACCTCTAACTTCTCGACGCCTTTTCATCCGCCATAGCTAGTTCACTGAACCTTTCGGGATTGACTCCTTTAACCACCTTTCCAGCTCTCTTGACCAATCCCAGTGCTCATAATCCAACGCAAGTCCAATCCCATGCGGGCCATCTGGCAGAATCAGAAGTTGAAAGGGCCTCTGATGCTGAGCCATAGCTGCAGCGAAATCCAGCGGGTTTTGTACTAAGACATTATCGTCGTTTGAAGAGTGGAATAGAAATGTGGGTGGCGTGTTCCCATTTACGCGCTTCTCAGCACTCATAGAATTTTCTAGGTCGCTCCCAGCCGCGCACCCGTCTCCAAGAAGCCTTCGTCGCGAGTTTCCATGTGCAGCACCCCCAGCCATAGTTATCACAGGGTACGCCAGGATAGCAAAGTCCAAACCTGCGCTGGGTTCCGTCGCCGTCACAGCTGCTAGATGTCCACCAGCACTGAATCCCCATATCCCTAGTCGATCAACGCGGCCCGAAGCGCGGATCTGTTTTACAGCCTCTAGCGCATCTTGCTGTGGGGCTGGGAAGATGGGGCTCGGATGGGATTCATCCACTATTGTATACGAAAGTACCCATGCATCTATGTCGCGATCGTTGAGCCATTGAGCTGGGACTGTGCCTTCACGATCCATAGTAAGACGCCCGTATCCACCACCAGGGAGTATGATGACCCCTGTTCGGTTCGGGTGCGGTGCGGGGTAGAAGTCGAGCTTTATGTCCGGAGCCATGGTGGTTAAGGGGTTAGCTCTGATGTGTAGATATTCGGTGTGTATTGAGTAAAGGTAGTTGACTAATTAAAAGGTTAAGAAGAGGAGGAAAATAAATCGCTTCTATGGCTGTGAAATCATCTTATACTATTGAGAAGTTGTGGTCTTCTCAGGTCTCCGAAGGTATTCGTAGGACTCCGATTAATTAGACAACGTAATGGCTGGCTGCCTAAATCAATATAAGGCAGGGCGTAACGGTACCTTAGTATGCTTACGTGTACCTACTTCAGCAGGCACCTCAATATGCATCTGCTTCATATGGTTATATTATTCTTTGAGTATCCTCTGTATCGTCGCCAAGACTTGTTTGGGTCAGCGGCGGAGCCCCTATTCCGCCGTCTTTAGTCTGCATACAAGCTTCGCCCATATAAAGCATTGAATAATTTTAACTTAGTCCGACAACGCCTTTGCACTTCGCTTATATATCTATTTGTTCTCTAGTGTGATGTATTGCTTTGAGGACAGTGACTGAAAAACTTAGAAACGTCCAGCCCTGCGTTATAGCTCGGTGTGCAAGATGTAAATAATGTGCACCTAAGTATGAAAGCTCACTTTGAAGTTAAGCTCCGCCTAAAGCATATCTTGTAAGCGTAGAAATGCGCTCTTACTTTATGTGGATGTATGAAAGGTCGGCGTGAGGCATGACAATACCTACTTCGTGCGAAATAGAGACATTTGTATCGCATAATATGGCAGTATCCTAGTAAACAAGCCATAGAGCGATATGCTCCTCTAAGTTTTTCTAGCCTGACCTTCCCAGTGGACAGAACTGGACGGTAGTTTCTGTCATTGCTAATGTAGGGCAGTTTTAGCTCTTCTTTGTCCCCGTAGTAGGCACAGACCGGGGTAGCCAGAGCCCCATAGGTACCTGGGTAGGTGCAAGCAGTCCTGCCCCATGCTGCGACAGCACCTGTGACGATCCCCGTAGTTGGGTACCTAGGTCCCTAGGCAATCATCCTAATGCTAAATGCTAGTGAACGACGGCAACAGCTTGGTCCCCCACCACGTTACCTTTCTTTGTTTCATTTATTTTCCCAAGTAATCCATATTCTCACCCCCTTCGATTAGAGTTCATCATTGAATCCTTTTCCATTTTGTTTCTGTTCAAGCCTACGATACTCCGGCTTGAAATAAGACCTTTCTGATGATCAGGGTGACCGCACAACCTTTTTACGTGTTTTGTTTCCCTGAAATTACCCACTCGGTTCATCCTTCTACAATCACATTGTTCGTCTTTACTTCTACTCAATCAGGTTGACATACCTTCAACTTGATAATACCACTACCTCTAAGGCAGACTAGAAAGGGTTTTCACTCTAACGCATCGCCATTCGTAATTCGAACACAAGGTAAGTCTTGTTTCCCTACACTGACACACTTAAAGCAGTATCGTCGCAGACCTGGTGTTTATATCCCTATCTATTCCCTTCTTGCAATTGGCTCGAAACGGCTGGCGGTAGGTATGGGATTAGATTCAGATATATCAATTTTCTTCATTAACAAAATTTTCCTCGGCCAATCATCGCCATATTTCTCTGTCATAGTGGCCATCAAGCTGATTCTTCGATGCTTAGTTCTTCATTGGATTGCCAGTGTCTGCGCCCTCTGACCTTGTATAATATCGCAACGGCTCTTATTTCCTGCAGCGACTTCACTTCTTGTCATCTCATAAAATCGCGCCACTATAACGCCTACGAACCATCCGCAGGCACACTATTGACATCGAAAGTAAGTTGATTCAAGTTTTTGAGGATACGCACTCAAACTCATCAATCCTCGTTATCACACATCCCACCCCATTATACTATTTTCTGAAATGACCAACCCCTCTATGAAAACCCATCTTCCTTCTCTCAAAATAGCCATATTCCAGCAGAAAGAACTATCCTAAGGCTAATTAAATATCTTAAGGAAACATGGCTGTAGATCAGCAGCCTCCGGCCGAGAGCCAGAAGTGGATGGACGTCTATGGCGCAAAGACCGGCCATTTCGTTGAAGATGGCCAACATCTGAGCCAACCTGCGGGAAGCTCCGTAAATCATGGTGGCCAAAATGAGGTCAAAATTGAGGCTGACAGCAGCAGCAAAGCACAGGGTTACACTGTCCAGAATGAAAGAGGTGCAGCCGAAGCACAAAGCAACACTAAGCCCAAGCCAAAGATTGGACTTGCTAGCAGCAGATGGGCCTCCAAGAAAGCAGAGCCTGGGCAGCAGAAGAGCGAGAAGCAGAAGCAGAAGATGCCTGTTGTCAAGAAACTGGAACCTCTGGCCGAGTCGTCAGTTAGTATGACTATGGTAGTCACGAAGCGAGAGTTGTCTCCCCCGGCTTCATCCGAGATTAGCAGCACGCTTCCAATTTGGTTCAAGATGCCGGATCCAGCCACGTCTAAGGCTCCAGTCATGCCTCAAGGTCCGATTGAAGCTCCTGATCCTGATCCTGCTTCGTCTACGCCTCAACTATTGATAGATGTTTCTACGCCAGTTGCAGCTCAGACTCCAGTAAAGGCTCAGAATCTAGTAACCGCCCCGGCTGCAATCACAGCCCCGCAACCAACTCCGGATATACCACACCATGATCCTAGCGGCAAAGACCCCGTCTTCCAGTGGCTGGATTCGGAGTGGGACGCACGAATGGCCAGTACGTACACATTCCAAATCCAATGTACCTGATACTTACTAACCAAATTCCAATATAGAACAACGCCGACGTGAGATTGGTATCAAAACGAACTTCCGCCAAGTCATGGAGCGCGATCTGCCACAAATTGCGGAGATCTACAACCACGAAGCTAAGACGAGCTACAATGTCCCGGACCAGAAGCCGCTGGACATTGAGGCGTTCCACCGCCTCCTGGATTCATGCCGAGCGCATAAGCTACCCTTCATCATCGCCAAGAAGGAGCACAGTGACAAGGTGTACGGCTTCGCTCTGATGCAAGTCGCGGATCGCGGACTCATGGGCTCGCACTCCACTCGCGCGGCGCTTTGCGGCAAGCTACTAGTTCTTGTCCATAACCGCTACCGCCACCGTAACCTCGGCTCAGCACTCCTGGATGCGATGTTGACTTTCTGCTCCGTCAACTACACCAAACAAGTCGGTTGGTCCTTCTACAACATCGGCAACAACCCGATTTACAAGTTCGCCAAAGACAGCGCCCGCGCTTGGTTCTACGCCGACCTCGAGGTCGTGCTACCGAGCACGCCCCTCGGACCAGGAACACGCGTTGAAGACACCGAGGAGTACCAGAGCCTCATCAAACACCTTGAGCCTTTCAACATGCAACTCGTGCATCACGAGGTTTCGCTTTATCGAGATGACCGATTCGGCCGTGGTAATTGGCTTGACAAGCTTACTTTCCGCCACCAATGCCGCGATGTTGAGTATTCGAACAACCCGTGCAAGATCGTCAGCAAGAAGCCTTCTTCTAAGCCGTGGTGATGTGTCCAAAGAAGAACTAACATACCACACTCTGTATTTGAGGTCTATCGGTCGTTTCGGCCAACCCACTTTCATTCCCCGTTCCGCCTCAAGCTCTTCGCGAATATTCGCGGAAACACAAAATCATGGAACACATAAGTTTTCACATCAAAACCACCGCGAGGCTCAATTGAACATTCTCTTTACCGTTATCCTATGCTAGGGCCCTATCGACCCATATGTATGGATGAAATCACTTCCCGTGGAGGAATAACACCAAAACCGAGGGAGTTAAAGAAACCCGACATATCTTTCGAGCCATCGGGAGTTGGGGTGGTCATCTCCCTTTGTCTGTTTCTGACCAGGGATTTGCATGAGACATTGTCACTACTATGACATAAGCTCTTTAGGACGAGGAACGAGCACGGGTGGCAGGAGTATCGGGAGTTAACCATGGCATGGAGGGTTTCGCATCGAGCTTTTTCCTTTGTATTTTCCTTTTGCGCTGTTTCGATCATTCTGCTGGACGAAGTAATGTTGGTGGGAGGAGGACTCGACTGCTGTTTTTTCCTTTAGTATTTCGGCATAAGACGTACGGTTATAGTACCTACGCACTAATAATAAATTTGTCGGCTGTTATAACTTCGAGAACTGTCTGTGATAATCCCATTTAGTTAATATTAATACTTCGAAAGTCATTGTGTGACAATTTAAAATCACCATCCGGCGATTGTTGATATACCCTCTCGTGTAGTTGGTGACGTAGTTACCGCCCATATTCTGTTGAGACCACACCTTTTAGGGGTCCGCACTAAAATTTAATAGAGCTGGTTCTTGGGCATTTGATCTCTAGTCGGTCTTCGGTCGATCGCTTAACTAAGCGCAATTAGCTATAGTTATAGCTCATATATTCGGTATGAAGGAACACTTAACTTCAACAAGAAATCGAATCTACAGATGATAGGATAATCCATTTCACAATCTCATAATACTAACACTCAACTTGCAAAATATACATAATCTCGCATTGTATAGCTGATATAGAAGGTGTAAATCACCGGTAATGACGGACTCGAATCAGAGTCAACATTGTAGGGGTAGCCTCTTAAATAGCAGATAGGTAGTAGCCCATGAATATAGCAAAAGTCTCAGCTCAAACCATCTTGTGAGATAAAAAGCCAACGGTGATATATACACCACCACGGAACCCTCGTTCCTTTAAAAAAAGATAAGATGCATATTCTGGTAGCAATCAGAAACTCCTGTAATAACTCCTATGCGCCCGCAAGTGAAATCTAAAGGGACCTCCGATAAAATGAAGATAAAACCACCGATATAGTCAGAGCATACAGCTTCGCCAGTAATATGTATGTTTATGATGCACCGATACGCCGTTAAATCATCGTCATCACATAACAGCGCAGGAGGCCGCCACAGTCCGTGCGCGACGGCGACCGCCAGCGCCTCCTTCCTCGTCTGCGTGGGCCATCTGGGCTTCACGAGCGCGTCGTCTTCGTCGTCGGGAGCCCGCACCGCCTGCCCCTGCTTCCTCGACGGCTTGCATATAATCTGCCCACTTCCTCTCTAGTCTTGCCGCCGCGGCGAAATCACCCTTCAATACCCGCTGCGTATGCTGTTCTACGGTCTGCTGCCAACCGTAGAAACACCTGAGCCCAATGATTTCGGTGGGGTAAGTAGCCACACCTCCAGTTCGCTGCCTGACTTCGGCGTTCCATGACAGTATCTCCCGAATACCAGTCCATGTCACCAGTTGGCAATCATACACAATCAGCTTGAGTCCAATCCGGGGACGCGAGCTACGCGTCGAGGTCCGAGTTGACCGAGACCTAACCATAGCCGCGGCTTCTGTGAGGACCAAATCGCCAATTCGCGTGTTGTCCATATCGACACTCTGAAGGCTAACACAGTTCTTCATGACAGGCAACATGCCAATATCGCTAATGCTCTCACAATAGCTCACGGAAAGATGCTCAAGCTTTGGTGCGCAGGGCGCTTTCGCCAAATGTTCGGACAGAAGATCATTAGTCAACTCCGAAAGTTCCTCCAACTCCAAATGAGTAAGACGAGGAGTCGAGGCAAGAATGGGCTGGAGAGCCGCATCAGTCAACGCTGAACACCCGCTCAATTGTAATCCTTGTAGGTCAGGGACGAGATAACCCAATACACCTACACCCTGGCTTGTCAATTGCGAGCATCGACTAAGGTCTAGATGTCGAAGTTTTCTCGGTGGAACTATCGGTCGATCGGTCAAGATATCGATCACCGGGTTGCTACCGTGGATCATAGTCTTGAAAGCTTCATCGTCAAGGTCCGCACAGCCACTCAATACCAGTCGCTCCAAATTATTGGTCGAGAAAATAGCCTCCGCGACTCGGACATCGGCGAACCCTTTGACTTCTCCAGCCCTTAATTCTCGTAGCCTTGGGCATCCATTGACAACCATCCTGACCCCTCGAGCATCCATGTGCTTACACCATGAGACGTTCAATGTCTCGAGCTGTGAGCAATGTTGCGCAATAATTTTGCACGTACTATTCGTCACCGCGGTCATACTTGTGAGGTTCAAGTTGGCAAGTTTTTCGTTGCTTCGAATCAAGCCGTGTAGAGTGGTCCGCTGGAAATTTCGGCAGCCTTCCAGGGTCGCATTGATTAGGTTCCTGCAGGAACTAACAATAACCTCAGCCCGCTTAGACTGCTCGATTTGGAGACATCCTCGGATATTAAGATCTTTTACGAAAGGACCGGCCGAGAGTATGATCTTGGCGAGAGCTTCCGCAGGTATGTCCATGTAGAACTCTGTAGCATCGAAATGGGTCCACAATTGGCCATCGAAACAAAACCTGTGGAAGTCTTTGCTCACACGCGAGATACGGACAAGTTCTTTCGGTCGGAGATACGACATGATATGGACACGCATTTCGTCAGGCATCCTCGCCCAGAATTCAAAAGGCAGCTTTCGGGCCGTACCCGACCTAGACCTTCCAGTTGTGACCTCAGCTGGTAAGGAGGAGGTAGTTGGGTTTAGATGTGTCGTGGAGACATTGCCGACTTTACGTGCTATCCGAGTTTCAATTCCCTCGAACGCAGGGAATTCAGTAAGTGAGGTGCCAGGAACAGAAGACTGCCCATTCGAGAAATACCCAGGAGTAACACTACCAGACTGGTATTGGCCAAACGAGGGTGTCGGTGCGAGACTAACACATGACAAACTCCCTCGAGTGCTATACGGCGAGCTGGAAGATCGAGAGCGACCGATTTGTTGTAGCGAGGGAGAAGAAGACATTCGCTGGACACCTCGAAGTAATCGTTGTCGGCGCTTCTCCTTCGGACGGCCTTCAAGTGGCGTCACGACCGGGGACTCCTCGTCAATCGGGTCGGGTGGGGTGATATCGGACATAATGGGCAACCTTGAGATTTGGTCAAGCTCAATTAAGGAAATCGGGGCACTCGGTCTTTAATTCGGCAGGGGGGACTTTCGCAAGCAGCGTATTTATGTAGACAATGAAAGTAAAAACGATCGATCAGGACGATGAACCCCGTGCGTGACTGAGTATCGTGTTACTGCTGGTTGTTTGCTGCGGATGCGGATGCGGGGATTTCGAATCGTCACTGTGTTGATCAATTAAGATAACCAGAAAGGGCAAGTTTTAGAGCTGTAACCCTGTTTGCCTTTCCTTGACAATCATCAAACAAGTCAGATGGTGAACCGAACATAGCCAGCAAATAATTCAATCCATTCTCTTCTAGATAATGCGTCCCTGACAATGGATAAACGAGCGTAGTACCAGCCAGCCCTATGGTGCCGTAGCAAACAATATGACAAGAGGAGAGAAGTGAAAGGGAAAAGGAGTTTTGGGGAACGAGTTGTGTAGTACGACCACCAATGGTACAGGTAGAGAGAAGTAAGTCAGGGCAGTCGGGTAGGCTAGAAAGGGGTCCCGTTTCGCCCCCAGGACACACAACAGGTATTCACTAACTTATCATTCGAGGAGGCAGGTGGCGACGAGATTTCCAAATGCGGCTTTGCGTCGAATTATAGAAAGTAGTGCTTAGCTGATCTGATCTGACTTGCACGACTTAAACGTATCTGACTGGCTCGTCTCGTCAAAGACGAAGGTGAAAGAAAGAGAAAACTCGACCAAGCAAGCTCCTCCGCATTTAACATTCACGAAACATCGATACGAATCAATTTAGACCCAGGATGTATGAACAATTGGGATGGGAATTGATTAGATGTCTTGAAGATAACGAAATACCAACAAGCGACAGGCCTCTCTTGGTTGGACGGATTGATATTGGGTGGATGGAAGAATGCGGAACAGAGGGTTGCGCTGACCCTCGCAAAGTCTTAGCTGACTTGCCCATGTGAGACCCCATAAAAAAATCAGGGTCGGGCTCTTATCGTAAAAGAACCGGCGACTGCTATCGACCATAAAAAAGGGACAAAAGAAGCGTGGGGTGACTTCCGACCTTTTTCTTTTACACCAGAGGAAGGCACGACCCCTCTAACGTACATGGATCGCTAGCAGTTCAACCCCTCATAGAGCCCAGTCGACCCCACTGTCTTTCGCTAGTGGAGTACTGAAGACCCCTGGCACTCCCGATTTCCATCGCCAGTTATCCACTACCATTTTGACATTTTCTCTTGAGATGGCGTAGTTGGCTTCATTGGGTCAAACAGCCTGCAAGGAAAGTTGATCATGCTCTCGTGGCACAATATTGAGAGCCTTCAAATAATTAATGCCTCATCGGATGTTTTAGAAGAGTAGTGTTTTCTTTTAAAAATTTGCTGTCACAGATTTAAATTTTTATTCTTTGTTCCATGCACACAGCCTTGAGCTTCGCTTCTGGAACCGATGTGCGTTGGTGTCACTAACACTAACAAAACGGCTTGAGCTTAGGTGCCTACCTCCAAGGTACCTAGCCCGTAGTCTAAAAATCAGCTCTAAATCTGGAACACGAGATAGTGGATTTTTCGTAGTGGTGAGGTGCTACGCGAAATACCAAGGTATTACAGTTAGAGATATACCTCTTCTACCCCTCACTTTCTTAGCGACTTGTAGGTATCTATATAATTTTTTGAGATATATACGTGGCTCCACGTATTCGATCAGCTAGATTTCGCGCCGTTTTTCCGACCAACACAATAACCGCCACAGTGAGTCTATTGTAGGTCTTACTAAAAAATCGGTTCTAGGCTTTTGTTCCTGTTCGCGTGGTTATTTTCCAAGACTGTCCGTAGCTTGTCCGTAGCTAGTCGATAGCCTGCAGCAAGTCGCATCCGAAAGGGAAATCGAAATGGTCCCTTCGTACAGATGCAGCTAAGGATCTGCACACCATCTTCTTTCTGTTGTGAGAGCTATCGTAGATACCTCCCCGTCGTGTGACAGAAATGTGTGTAATAAATTAGTAAATTTGTCATATCCTATACATGTATGGAGGAAACATAATAACAGCGCTGGAAGAACTTGTGAAAATATTTTAAAAAGCATTAGAAGTCTATCAATAATCTTCATCGCAATAGTTTCTCATCGGAATCCCTAACCCGAAGCGATCTACGCTCAGGGATTCCCCACATCGTCAAAAGAGGGGAGACGAGGCTTGCGACAGGGGCTATAACTCGCTTCTCCAAGTCCGTCGAGTTTGTCCACTCCGAAATCTAATTGTTACCCGATCGTTTTTTCGGCTCTTCAGATAGAAGCTTGAGGATATCCAAAGTTGTCTCGTGAAAAAAAAAAAAAAATGGTAGAACATTTACTAGTGCGAAAAGATAATACCGACTCAATAAATAAACAGACCTTATCAAGATCAATGGTTACATCCTTCGGTCGATCTGTAACAGCCATAATGTCTTGCCCGTGCCCAGAAATAGATCGCCTGACTCTATCACCTTGTCACATCTGCACCCAGCTGACCCATACCTTGATAAGGACCAGAGACAAGGTGGTTACTACTTCAAAATAACTCCATCTCACGTCCCGATAACGAAATAAAGGCTACTCATTTAGCAATTTCAACTTTTTAGACTATTCCATCAAGATGTAGCGTATAGTCTGTGTATGGCCTGATTTATCACATCCGGTGGCGCGTAAACAAGAATTAATAAGTTCAGATACTTAGACTTCTCATATTCAACGCGGGTGAATTCCCCAGCATGGGTCACTGTCCAGTCTCATTCGTATTATATGATAACATCTAAGACTCTCGGGTGCTTAGTCGCTCATTATTAATTTTTATTTCTCTCATCCTGAGGTAGTTAACCATCATTCCCAATGTGTCTACCGGCTACATGAAAATAAACATATTATGAGAAATTGAATATGACCCGGTTTGGATAGTTGTTACGACAGAGATAGCAGTGTTTGGATATAAACGCTTTACTACGTATTCCCTTTGGACTTGGCTATTCGCCGAAGATTACAAACTTCTTCACAACACCTGGTATGTGGTGCGAGAGACTCATAGAACATCCACATGATCATAGTTGTTCATTATGCGGTAATAGTGTGTCTTAACTCCTCAATTCTCAGATTTATAAAGTAGCAATGAGAATATTTCCTGGGTGTTGAAATGGATCATCTTAAATGAGGCATTTCAACTATTAGAGTCACTACCAATGAGTGTATATTCACATTGTTGGTGGTGCAGTCTCATGTGAGTTTTGTCTTGTAAGCGTATGAGGGAATTGTCTGTCGTATACCTAAAAGAGCCCTCATTCCGATATATGAAAACCAGGATACTGTTCTTGTAACTACAACACGGTCTCAGCAGTATCTCATCGTAGACTCTTCGCGCAATGAAGCAATTATTAATTCGTCTCTAAATGCCTATCAACTCAATTATATTAACCTTGGATGATCATCAACCCATAGCTATTATCGTGTCGGCGGTAATGTATCGCTCGGCTATGAATATATTGATTTGTTCCTGATATTGAGAATGAATACCTGAAAACCTGGAAGGTGCGTAGTTGGGGTTAGAGGGCTCTTAGATATCATATAAGTCAGGGATATACTAAATTGAACATAGAGTCTGTGAAGGGGTATCTATGACGGAGCTGTAGGTAAGTTGAGAGCTACGGTACTTCGGTTTATTCCTCCCCCTTTCGTGATACGGAGGGGAGGCAGTGGCAACCATATGTAGTAGAAACATACGGATAAGTGGCAGACTATTGATTGCTTTTGATCTAAGGTAGAGACCGAGTTACTTCGATCTTTGGTACGCAATGAGATTCATATTGAGATCGGGGGGCTGTTGGAGAGTGTGAGTTTCCGGTTAGCACTAAAGTATCTATCCCGCGAACTGAGCTTCACCCCAAACAAGTATTAGAATATCGTATTTAGCTCTTAGTAGAAAGTGCCTATAAAATCCACAAAATAGGGCTCAGCATTAACTTCGCAATTTAGACTTAGGAGGTGGTATAACCGGAATCGGCGCATTTATTCCAAGTTGATAAGTGATTTTTGAGAACCGGCTTGAGTTGGCATATAATCAACTTCACGTCTTGATAGATACTTAGGTATGTTGTCTTTAAATAAAACATCCATATACTGAATAGCTCTTGGCTCTGTGGGATTCATAGGTAGGCTTTGAAGTCACCTCGTATGATATTAAGATAGTTACGTAGCGCTCGTTATGGTATCTCTTGATAGGACTATGATAGAGACATGAGAGCTGGATTATGATACACCTAGAGTAACTTGCTTAGATACTTACGGAGTTGTATTCTGGGTACTATGAGATACGTATTGTTTTAAGGTACAACTGAGTAAATGAGACGAGAGGTTGTTAGATTGCCTCAGCTTTCCCCTAAGTGAGGCGACCAGAATGTTTGGTTTTCAGAAAATAATCTCTTGACAGCGTATGGATGATACGATACGACACCATAGGCCTAACGAATTCTTAAGTGCTCCATAAAGGAGAGCCCTACGAAAGCGCTCCCCGCAAGGAGCTTAGAGTATCGAGACAATTACAATACTAAGGGGTAGAGGGGGTACACGATACAGTACTCAGACTTAATTATCTAGAGCTTCCTTAGTGGGATGCGAGCCGTCTACGGTAGGGTGAAACTACGTTAAAACTTGGCCTAAAGGACAACATTTCCTGGGGAACGACGCCCGCGATGCTGTGGATGGCTTCTATGATTCCCCCCCCTGAGAGAGAGGTGACTCATCTACCCTCGCCGCAACCGAACCCCTGAGCCGTTATTTGGCAGCGCCGCGTAAAAGATAGTGGGCGCGCCCGGTGTGCTTGCTTATTTGGGCTTCCCCGTTTAATTCCCGAATGAGAATTGAATTGAATTGAATTGAATTGACGCCTGAATTTATTACTACGTAGCGTTCGGGTATGTTCGTAAGACTCACATATTTCACTTGCAGCCCAAGGCTACCGCTGACCAAGCTTTGCAGGTAAGTATTGCTGGGTCTCACAACCTCAGGGCCCTTTACAGCTCGGTTTGACCGTTTTCACATCGGGGTAGCCATGGGGTGGCCTGATGGGGGTAGGATAATGCATCAATAATCTCGTGATACCCAACTTGCTGATCTTGATCATGTGGGAGCGGTGTAAATCTGTTATCGTCGCGTCTCGCTGCCTGGTGAAGATTTTTCTAGCAATTCTAGTAGGTTTAGGAGCGCCTATCAATTAACCGCCCTGCTGTTCTGCCGCCGGAAAACTCGAAATAGTTGACACTCGTCATCTTTGGGGAGGCCTCCTGACGCCTTCGCCGCAGACCCGGTCGGACCAGTGGGCCGTTGACACGACACGGCCGGCACAGAAAATGCCGAATACGTCAAGGAAGAGGCAAAATCCGA